CGACCAGAGGATGCGCATCCTGAGGCCGATGATGATCCCACTATACACGACATGACTAGTGGGTTTCATGACCCACAAACACAAATGCCACACCAACCCGCACTTCCAGACTCTCCTACCCGACCAGAAGATGCGCACCCTGCGGCCGCAGGTGGAAATCACTCATATCAACATCCCGCAAACTTCATGGACATGTACGGCGAAGACGAGGAGGATCCAGGCTACTATGATGAGGAGGATCCAGAGAACTATATGCATGAAGGGGAGGAAGAAGATCCAAACAGTTTCATGGATATGAACGAAGAGGATGGAGAAGAACCTCAGTATTAGGCGTACTCAGTATATGACTAGGATTCTAACCAGCAAGAACGGCGTTGGTTCAGTATTTGATATTAAGCAGTTGAATTCTATGGATAGGCAGACACAATTCGAGGTTCAAGGTTAGGAGCGATATATCAATTAATTTACCAATAAAGCACTGTGCGCTCGAAGGTAGACAAGTCTCCCCAATGATCCCGGCACCGGGAGCAGGAATGTAGCTGCTCTACCTTAAAAATATGCTCCGACTCGATTCTCAGTGCAAAAATGGGAAAGGCTACTATATTTCAACGCCTTTGATTCTTAAAATGCCTGTAGTGAAGCAGATGTTGCTGTAACTCGAACGCCATAACCCCGAGGCCTCCTTTTTGATGCAGCCTTGCAGCGCAACCCACATCTGTGCCAAGCCCCAGCCTTGTCAGCGACCCCGCCAATGACGAAAGTGCTTCAAAGCATCAAAGGACCTTCTTTTCACTTGTGTCGTGTGGCTTTAATTTACACCGCTATTATCGGAGAACAGCCCTTGGGTGTTTGCAATCATTCGAGCGTCTGAGCTGAGTATTGGCCTATTGGTCTAGCACACTTGCCATCATGTCTAACTTTGACCCAAATGCCATCCTCCGTGGAGCGCAACTCACCTTTGTAGGCGCCCACCGAGCTCTACAAAACCCGGAGCTTTTCACCACACAACATTACCGACAAGCTGCGATTGCCGTCTGCGCAGGGCTCGCCATCCGAATCATCCTCAACATCCCGATCTATATTGTCAAAATTCTCATATGGGTCATATCCGTGTTTGTCAATCTCGACCAGGAGACGTGGGACGACAAGGTCATCTCGGGCTTGGACTTTATTTCGAAGTCGGTGCTCCAGATCCCCTTTTTTCTGATGATGGTCATGGCTTCTGTTACCCCGACGCTGGACAACCTGTTCATGGAGTCCCTAAAGTGGGTGGACACGACTTATGTGCAGAAGCACAAATCCGACGACCCAGCAACACTGAGAGGCATGTACTATCCAACTCTCAAAATGTACCCGACGCATGGCGAGAAGGAGAAGAAAGAGCGACGATCCTTTGTTGACGGGGTTATCATCTTTCTCACGAAATATGGCCGCCGCGCCGCCATTTCTCTGGCCATCTATGCCCTCACCTTCCTCCCTGGGATAGGCCACTTCGTTCTCCCCGCGGCCTCGTTCTACACTTTCAACAAAGCCGTCGGCCCCGTTCCCGCCGGCATCGTCTTCGCGTCTGGCCTCATCATCCCCAAACACTACATGGTCCACTTCCTGCAGACCTATTTTTCGAGCCGCAGTCTCATGTCGCGCCTGCTGGAGCCCTACTTCCACCGCATCCGCTTCACGCCGCAGCAGAAGAAGATCTGGTTCATCGACCGCAGCGGCGTCTTGTTCGGCTTCTCCGCCGCCTTCGCCGTCATGGTCAAAGTGCCCCTGCTCGGCGTGCTGATCTATGGCATTGCCGAGGCGAGCACCGCGTATCTCATCACCAAGATCACCGAACCGCCTCCGCCCCCCGGCGGCCCAGCGAGTCAAGAGTACATTGAGAGTGAGGTGAGGTGGAAGAATAAGCATTTGCTCTTGAATTTGCCCCTGGAGCGGCTGGATGAGTTCAATGCCCGGATGACAGGTGCAGAGAAGGTGGGGAGGGCGGAGAGTATAGAAGTCCCGAGGAGGAAATTTACATGATAGGCGGACATTGTCTCGAGATGATTGAGGAACGAACTATTGGTCAGAGTCCCCGTTTCTTCGGAGTTGTTCTCGGGGGGTCAAGCTTTGGCAGGCCACGAGGGGAAAATACAAGCAGGTCTAGGGGAAAAGACTGATGGAGTCTGGTCTAGGTTCACTAGGAATACATTTTGATAGATCATTTTGACGAAAGGCCCCATTTTCGTCTCCGACGTAATCCGGGCATCTCACGCATAGGAACCGCCTATTGTGGAATCCGCAAATATACCAAACCCTGCCACCTGGAGTGTCGCCAGTCCAAAGACCCCGAGGCGAAACTGGCTCACTTATACTCATAGAAACCTCTCCCGCTCTTCTTGCCCAACCAACCAGCATCCACATACTGCCTTAACAGCACGCTGGGCCTGTACTTGCTATCGCCCAGGCCAGCATGTAGCGTCTCCATGATCGCCAAACAAGTGTCTAGGCCGATAAAGTCCGCCAGCGTGAGCGGGCCCATGGGCACATTCGTCCCATTCTTCATGATGTTATCGATATCCTCTTTCTTCCCCACACCCGTCTCCAAGCAAATGATGGCTTCGTTGATGTACGGCATCAGGATCCTGTTGGCGAGGAAACCAGGGCTGTCCGCCGAGACGGAACAGACTTTGCCCATCTTCTCGCAGAATGCGATGGCGGCCGCGAGCGTCTCCGGAGAGGTTTGCAGGCCCGAAATGATCTCCACGCCTTTCTGGACTGGCACGGGGTTCATAAAGTGCGTGGACACAACCCGCGACGAGGCAGAGGTATCTGTGGGGTCCTTGGACGTCGCTCGCGCGATCCTGGTGATGCTTATGCTCGAAGTGTTTGTGGCCAGGATGGCGTGTTTGGGACATGTTTCGGCCAGTTCCGCAAAGATCTTCTCCTTCAACGACGGGATCTCGGGCACGGCTTCGATGACCATGTCCACGTCTGACAGGTCCGACATGTTTGTGGTGGCCTTTAACCTCTCTCTTGTGGCCTTTGCGATCTCTTCGGTGATCTTTTGCTTCGAGACGTCCTTTGCGAGGAGTTTGTCGGCGAATGCGAGGCCTCGGTCGAGGGATTGCTGGGATGTGTCCACCAGTGTCACTGGCACTTGGGCTTTTTGAGCGGCGACGAGCGCGATTCCCAGACCCTGGTGGTTCGTTGTTAGAAGTTTGCAACTTGCACACAGCACATGTTACTCAGTGCCAGAAGCATACCATTTGGCCAGCCCCGACAACGCCGAGCTTCTTCACCTCGAAGCCCAATGCGGGCGTCGATGAGAATTGACGGTTGAGTGAGGCGAGCCTCTGCGAGGCAACTTGAGGTTTTGACGAGGCCATCGCTCTGGACAGTGATAACCTCGACAACGAAGCCATTGTGAATAGATCTGTAGAGAATTTATGGCGAGTTGGAGGAATTCGCAGTTCCAAGCTTCCGGTTTTTTAGTGGCCGACGTGCTTCAAAGCTGCAAAAACGCCGGGATTTCTCCTTGAAAGCAGCCGCCGAGGCCAGGCGGGTCCCAACCATCATTGTTGGCCCTTATCGAGGGCCGAGGCTCGACGATAAGCGGCGGGTCATGCGCTTTGAGAGTCTATGATCCGCCCGAATGCCTTAACGCGTCTTCGGCGTGAAGCGCGTCAAGACGCGTCTTCCTTCCCAACACATGCCTCTTCCTGGGTCAGCTTTCTGTTTCCTCAAAAATGACGACGACGGTATGACTTGACAACATGGACTCTATCGACGATAACAATCCTTTCACCAAGGCCCAGACCGTGCATCCTGAAGTTCGCGCCTATGTGTACAGTCTGGTTAACGCAGTATGTGCCTCGCCGCAGTTCACATACAACACATTCTAACGTCCCCTAGCTTGGTGGGAGTAGCACAGACGATGATGGCCGCTACGTCCTCGGTGACGATGCGCTCGCGTGTCTTCGAGATCTCAAGCGGTGGTTGAAGCTATACGACGAGAAGAACAACAGACTCGACGTAGCGAGATGTCTGGCAGAAGCCAAACTCGTTGGGGGAGACCTAGTCCCCATTCTGGCCTCATGGCCAGAGAACGGCAAGGAGAACAAGCTGAAAGCTCGAGTTGCGCTGGCATGCTTAGAAGTATTGGTGCCCCTGACATGGCCGCTGGAGACCACAGGAGAAATGACCGTCAACCATCACCGACACACGCCATACATTCAGCAAGCACAAGTCGTCTACAAAGCGGCAGTCCTGGGCTGCGATACTAGTAGTATTCTGCGGCAAGTAGTGCGGATTGGTCTCCCTTCAATAGCCGTGGCAAGAGACGAGAGGACCAGCCGAGACGAAGGCATCCTCAAGCTCATGCTCTATTTCTTTCGCAATATCGCCGTTATTCAGCAGATCCCCAATCTACCCAGCCAAGGTTTGGACTCGGAAGTCTCCAGATCAGCGACCATAGAGGCATTTAGGGACCAAGATGTGTTCGCTTTGCTTCTGACCATCTGCTCAAATATGGGCGAAGACTTCAACTTGCAGGACGTTATTGTGTTGGATATAATGTTCAACTTGATCAAGGGTGTCGACCCACGAAGGTTGTGGATGACCCAGCAAGAGAGAAAAAGCCAGGGTATCACGGATCTAGGGGCTGCTCTGGCCGTGGAGGAAAGCAAGAATCGAGACGCGAAGAAGCATCAAAACAGCAGACACGGACGATTCGGAACCATGCTCTGGGTGAAGCGAGACGGAGAAAAGATGTCGGCTGTTTCGGGTCAAGACAACCTCCGGAACGATCAGCAAGCCTTATTGAACATGGACAAATCGAAGAAATGGAACAAGCCCCAACAGAAACGCAGGGACATTGACCACACGATCCACGATTTCGACCGCACTACGCATCTCACCGATTCTGCTGCCGAGAAACTACGGAACTTCGTCGAGGAGTTCCTCGATTCTGGCTTCAATCCATTCTTTACACATCTCCGCAAAGCCATCGAGCGAGAAGCTGAACGTTTGTCCGACGTCAATTATCGCCAGTTTTTCTATGCGGTAGCATGGTTTCTCGAAGCCGAGCGCATCCGGCGGGAGACGCAGAAGAAGGAGGTAAAGCCAGACAAAGTCCGCGACGACTTCACTGATGAGAGTTATTCAATCGTTGCAGCTGTTCTCAATCAGGAGTCATTCATCATGCTGAATCGATTCATGCAAGTGTCTTTGGATAACAAAGAGTGGCAGGACTTGAATGCCTGCATGCGATGCTTCACTCAGATTTTGCTTACAGTCCAAGAAATGGCACAGAGCCCTTTGGAGGAGGATCAAGAAATCGCAGACAACATCCAGAACCGAATATTCTACGAGGAAACAACGCATGATCGGGTTGTAGAAATCCTGAGAGGCTACAAGGATCAAGGTTTTGGTTATCTCGATGCCTGCACCGAGCTCTCTCACGTCTTTTTACGCATGCTGGAGAGATATTCGAAGGAGAATGTCGACCTGCAGATACGCTCTCGTCGCAGAGCGAAGAAGAAGCGGAAGGAGGAAATGAAAAAACTGGCTCAACCTGGCGATGATCCTGGTGCAGATGACGAGGTGTCGGAAAACGAAGACATTGCGGACGTTGTTCAAGTCTCCAAGGAACGAAAGTTCGATTTCAACCGATTCGCAGCAAAATTCTCCACCCAGAATTCAGTCAACACCTTTGTCTCTCTTACCACCTTATACCGAGATCTTAGCATGGAACAACTCAAACGTGCCCATCGATTCTTCTACCGAGTGGCATTCAAGCAGGATCTGGCTGTCCTCCTTTATCGCATCGACATTATCGCTCTATTCAACAAGATGATCAATGGTCCGGAGGGCCTTGACAGGAAGCATGCGATGTACAAGGAATGGTCCGAGTTTGCCAGACAAGTGTTCAAGAAAATGTTCAAGAAGATCGATCAGAGGCCGGAGCTGATAGTGGAAATGCTATTCAGTAAAATCAACTCGACATTGTACTATCTGGAGTACGGTCAGGAGAAACAGACAATGGCAACAAGTCGTGCTCCTGCAGAGCTAGAAGTCAGGCCGGCGCCCGGAAGAGATGTGAAAGAGCAGATCGGCATTGTTGTCACCGCTCTGCTGAAAGACGGCAAGACAGACCTTGTGCGATGGGTCAAAACCATGTTGGGAAATGCCTTCGACGAAAGACATGCTTGGGAAGCAGAAGCCGAGACACGGAGAGCGGCAATCGTCGAGGCCGCGCAAAAGGATGGTGAGGATAGCCCCGAAAATGTTGATGTTGGCAAGCCATCATACATCACAGTGCATCCTTCGTCGGAGGACATTAAAATGGCAATGTTCAAGAACGGAAAACTGAAGTTGTTGATGCGCCTCGTTGACTTCGAAATGCTCGGAGACGAAAACGTGCTTGGAGCGGGCTGGATCATCCCTGGACACATATCCGCTGGACAGCTTTCAGAGCACAAAGCCGCAATAGAACATTACGAACAGACACCGTGGCAGGGGGAGGACGAGAACGAAGAAGCCGAAGATATGATCCGCCGTGCAAGGAACAAGGAGAAGATGAGTCAGGACGATGAGGACGACGCACTGCGCGGCACATTCCTTGATGATTCTGAAGGCGAAGAGGAGTTTCTCTTTCCGGATAATCCGCGCAAAAAGAGAAGCAAAGATGCCATCGCTGAACTCCGAGCGAGGCGCAAAAGAAAGCGAGGCGAGGAGGATGATGGTGAAGATGACATTGACGAGGGACTGGCAGCCGCAAGAAGAGCAGCGCGACGAGCAGCTGCAATGGATAGGCGGCGCAAAATCAAGAGTGAAGCTTATATCAGGGACAGTGACGACGAATCGGATGCGGAGAAGGATCGCGAGTTCTTCGAAAAGGAGGAGCAGATGCGCACAAAGTATGCAGAGAAGATCCGGAACGAGCTTCGAAACCAGACCGGCCTGGGCATCAATGTACAGCGATCGAAAACAACGAAAGGACCCCGAAATAAGCATGTTGCTCGGACAGAAGAAGACCGAGATAGTGATGACGATCTGCTCATGAGTGATCTCGATGACCAACACACCGAGACGGCATCATCACAGCAACGACGCGCTTGGGATAGTGATGAAGAGGGAGAGGAGGAAGACGATACCCCAATGTCTTCTCAAAGCGCGAGCGCGAAAATTGATGCGAGAAATGAAAAGACAGTCCTCGGGGAGCTTGACCAAGGACGCGCAGCTGTCGAGCCACAGACAAAGGCAGCAGCAGGGGAGATAGAGCTCAGCGACGAGGATGAAGATGTCATTCCAACCGCGAGACGACGGCCTGTGATGAGGGGAGGGTTTGTCGTGGACAGTGACGACGATGACTGAAAATGATTACCATGGCAGCAACACATGCCCAGAGCCGTCGCTGGGACCGAGAGGGTTGCGCTGGGGCCGATAGAAGTTGTCTCAACGATCTTAGCATTGGCAAGCCTGTGTCAGCCTCATGGTAGTTCTCGTATTCATATCATTTTCTGAATGCCGCACCCATTCCTCTTGATATCTGTCCTCGGACTGTGACATTGCAAATTTAGAGTTTCCTCTGGGATCTTCCTTCGGGTCAGGCCCTGGAACTGTGCAGAGTGGGCAAATGCTTGAATACAGTGTGGTCGGCAAAGAGAGATCGATCTATTGCGGCAGGGCCTGAAGTGCAGCATGCTACCCTAGAGATGAAGATCTGTGGAGAGGACACACTTTGTGATGCATATGCCAGACTATACATGCCGTTTCTGGGGGTCAAGTCGAGAAAATTGCAGAAATGCAGAAATGCAACACATGTCGGGATCCGCCGACGGCCAGTAAGCGACATCGACGTCACCCCGATTGGCTGCCACCTTCGTACTTCCTGGCACCTTTTTTTGCTTGCTTCTTCTTCCATTCGTATTCCTGATAAGACCCGTCGCTCGTTGCTACCGTGAAGGAGGGCCAAGAGCTGCTTTGTTTTCGTCGCTGCCTTCGATCCTTCTTCTCCTCTATTTAGATGCTGCCACGGTCTCTGAAAGCTTTAGACATTTTTCAATCCAGTACCAGACACATATTGCGGATAGACGGAAAATGACCCAGAAACGCATTTATTTTGGTCGCTTCATCTCCACGCCGAAGCCTGATGAGCTTCTGATACGGACTGGCGCCGTGCTGGTGGACAGGAGAAACGGCAGAGGCGTTATAGAAAAGGCAGACTGGACTGTCAACGGGCCAAACGATGCCATCAGCAAGTTTGCTGTCGAGGCGCCGGTTGTGACGGCCGATGAGAATGGTTTCTTCTTTCCTGGATTTATTGGTAAGTTGTGCTTTGATAACCCCTGACAAAGCATATGTGTGCCTGGTCTGCGACGGATAAGAGAGTGAGAGTTGTTGCTGGCACCTTGGGACCATGCCCGGAAATGTCGCGCTGTTTGGGGATCAAGTGCTGACCACCGGTCTTGTATAGATACCCATATACACGCTTCGCAATACCCCAATGCCGGAATATTCGGAAAGTCTACACTGCTAGATTGGCTAACCACATACACATTCCCCCTGGAATCATCCCTTGGCACCGACAAATCTCCTATGTACAAGGATTCAATTGAGCCGCCTGATCCGCTCGCTCGCGCCAAAGCTGTCTACAACAGAGTGGTTTCCAAGACCCTTTCACTTGGAACAACAACGGCATCATACTATGCCACCATTCACGTCGAGGCGACGAATCTGCTTGCTGATATCACTTTCAAAAAGGGCCAGAGAGCATACATTGGACGAGTGTGCATGGATCGGCCCGACGCCTGTCCGGACTACTATCGAGACGAAAGCACCGAGCAGACGATAGCAAATACAAGAGCCAGCATCGAATACTGCAGAGACCTGGATCCCTCAGGAGAGCTGGTGGCGCACATCATCACGCCGAGATTTGCGCCCAGCTGTCTACCCGACACATTGTCTCAGCTTGGCGCATTGGCCAAGGAGGAGGATCTCAGAGTGCAGACGCACATCTCAGAGAACCTGAACGAGGTAAAGTGGGTCAAGGAGCTGTTCCCAGATCAGTCGAGTTATGCGGGGGTGTACGATCACCATGGGCTGCTGACACCACGAACAATCCTTGCACACGCGGTCCATCTCAGCAAGGAAGAAATGCAACTCATCCGCCAGCGGAAAACAAAAGTCAGCCACTGTCCCGCGAGCAATAGTGCACTGGGGAGTGGATTCTGCCCGGTGCGGACGTTGTTGGACGAAGGGGTTGAGGTGGGCCTGGGCACAGATGTCAGCGGCGGGTATAGCCCCAGCATCCTCGACGCGGTACGGAACGCTTGCATAATGAGCCGGCATGTTGGGTTCTTGAACGGCGGTGATAGCAGATTCAACCTCAGCGTGGCCGAGGGGCTATGGCTGGCTACAATGGGTGGCGCCAAAGTGGTAGGCATGCAAGGACGGCTGGGTGGATTCGAGGAGGGCATGCTTTGGGATGCGCAGGAGATTGTGATGGGCGACGTTGACTCCAGTGGCGGAGGAGCTGATACAGGGGTGGACATCTTTGGATGGGAATCTTGGGAGGATCGAGTGGCCAAATGGGTGTGGAATGGCGATGAAAGGAATGTGAAGCGGGTGTGGGTTGGGGGGAGGCTGGTACACGAGAGAACCGCCCGGTGAGGGCAGCAGGAATTGGTGAATGCTAATATCAGAGATGTCACTTGGGTATTCTTTGATCCCCCACGATCTACCCCGTACTGTAGGAATGGTGTGTAGGTACTAGGTGTGCAACATACCTATGGAGATCTGAGTGTATGATATATGCCGTAAAAGGTATATGGGAGTATATGTCTGAATGCCAAGACTGCTTATGTAATAAATGTGCTATCCTACTCACGTGATGACACCCGCTGGATAAGATTTCCAAGCCCAATTCCATGCCTGCGCCAAACCCGCATTGTCACGCAGCGCTTCAAACATCTGATCGTCGGCGGGCGCCCAAAAAGCTTGAACCCTCGCAGCCGTGGCAGCCCTCGTTTCCATTTCACGTGCGTTTTTAATTCGATCAACAATGGTCGTTGATGCCTCCTTCTTACCACCCTTCTCACTCTCGTTACCCTCATTTTCCTCATTCCTCTTACTAGTTTCAGTCCGCGATGCTAGACCAACGCCTCCATTCGCCCGGCAAGTAGCTGCAGAAGCAATGCCTGGTCCTCGTGACGTGCTCACTGGCTGGCCTCGGATCCCTCACCTCTCACCCTTGAGCTCCCTCCTAGCCTAGCCCTTCCACCTGCGCTGCGCCCCCCACGAGGAGCCTGAGGTCAAATCTGAGCTCGGTCGCCATCATGAATGCCTCCGCTGCTGCTGGTTCACATCTCCTGGTGGGACATGGACAATCGTCGCCTGGAACGGGCGGCTTCGTCGCTGCCCTCATATCCCTTGTGACTTTTCTCCCACATGCGCTGTTATGGGTCATAGCATTCTGTACAATTACGCTGCCGACATGGTTGTTCACTCTGTTCTCGATGAGTTTGACCTTTACCATGAATTTCACCACCCTGTAAGTGATTTTCCCCCAACCAGTTTTGTCCTCCAATTCCCCTCTACTGACCAGCTTGCAAGGCTCTTAATCTGCGTCGCACTAGTCTCGACCGTCAGTTGGTTCATTCGCTATCGTTTCCTAAACTACTATACACACCTGCCTCAAGAGCCACAGCGAAAAGAACCGCAGATAGACTTGTTTCCAGACACACAGGATGGAGACTCGAAACCAGGGTTGGCCAACTACCTGGACGAATTCCTTAGCGCGATCAAGGTGTTTGGATACCTGGAGAGGCCCATCTTCCACGAATTAACGCGCACGATGCAGACTAGGAAGCTCATTGCAGGAGAGACATTGCTGCTCGAGGAAGAGAAAGGGTTCTGTCTGGTGGTGGACGGGCTGGTCCAGATATTTGTCAAGTCTTTGAGAGACACGCCTGACGGTACCAGTGCTGGTCAAATTGACTTATTCGACGAAGACGAAGGATATCGGGAAGGCAATCAGGGATATCAATTATTGACCGAAGTCAAGAATGGAGCGTCCATGTCCTCTTTGTTCTCAATCTTGTCCCTGTTCACCGAAGATGTCAAGTTGCGCCATGACGACCAGATTCCCAATGGCACGCGGTTATTTACCAACCACGTCGCTCGCACTCCAGATTCCAACGTTGCCAGCCCGACATTGGATCCGCCGACGCCAGGGTCGGCCATTGTTGGTGGTCTTACCGACGCGCAGAAGGCCAGGCTCCCTAGCGTTCCACCTCTGACCCTGGGTTCTGCCTTTGATGAACGCCACTATAAGAATCATCAAGCCAAACCTAAGCCTTCGGTTTCTGCGCACCCTGATATTGTGGCAAGAGCAGTGGTTGACACCACAATAGCCATCATCCCAGCAAGCGCATTTCGCCGCTTGACTAGAGTGTACCCCAAAGCCACCGCTCACATAGTTCAGGTGATATTGACGAGGCTGCACCGAGTGACGCTGTCAACCGCACACCAGTATCTAGGACTGACCTCGGAGGTCCTGCAGATCGAGAAGCTGATGAATAAATACACCAGTTATGATCTGCCCAACCATCTCCGCGGCCACGCCCTTGACAGGTTACGGGACAAGTTTGCAAAAGAACGAGAAAGAATTGGCCCCGAAGAAGGGACGAAAGGAATAGCACTACATAACCCAACGGCAGGTCGACGGAGATCTTCAAGCGTGCTTCGCCGGGACGCAGCTACAGTAGCCCGGATCAATGCAGCAAAGGGAGCTGTCTCTTCTTTAGCCCCGCCTTCTATACGGCCGGGACTGGGTGACAGAAATGTCAGCTCCGGTGATCTGCATGGCGCATCGAGGCCCAGTCAGAGACCAACCAGCCTTCACCTGCGCTCTACGTCGAATTGGACGAGCATGGGAGCCCCTGACGGGTTCAGGATGGATTTGAGCCCGATGGGAACCCGAGAACCACAACCTTTTCGTCAGTCGTCTCCCTTTGGCAACGACATCCCGCATAGACAGGATTCCATTCATGAGGACAGCTTGTTTCGTGAATCGGTGCTGGAATGCATGGCCAAAGCTCTTGGTTTGAGCGAATCAGTAACCCAGACTTTGAGAGGTGCGCCAGTCTCGGTCGAGCAGTCCCCTCGGCTTGTTTCCTACGATGCAAAACGTCAAACGGCGATTTTCAACAATGCTTTTGGCTTCATCGACCCCTACGAAGGCTCGGCCGATGGCGACTCTGAATCTGTGACGGCTTCGGCGACCAGTATCAGCGGGCCGGTGAGCGGTCGTACTCTGAACGACGAGCTAATGGACGATGTCGAGATTGTGTTTTTTCCAAAGGGCTCTGTTTTGGTTGAGCAAGGCGAACGGAATCCAGGTCTTTACTATGTTATCGACGGCTTCTTAGATGTCGGCATCCCCGTCGAAGAGAAAGAAGAGAAAGAAGAAAAACAAGAACCGAACGATCGCCACCGGTCGCGGAGAGGCTCGCGAGACGACGCATTGCCCCGTCTTCGAAGAACTAAAACTTCCAATTCCCGAACTCAGTCGACCGCGGGCTTCCCCGGTCAGCGCAAGGAAAACAAAAGAATGGTGCAGAAGACATTATTTCTGGTTAAACCTGGTGGCATTGCTGGCTACGTTGGGACACTGTCGTCCTACAGGTCGTTTACGGACGTGACGGCCAAAACAGACGTCTATGTGGGTTTCTTGCCTCGTTCCGCATTGGAAAGGGTTGCCGAGAAGTATCCCATTGTCCTCCTGACAATGGCGAAACGACTCACCAGCCTGCTCCCAAGGCTGATCTTACATATCGATTTCGCTCTCGAGTGGGTACAAGTCAACGCCGGTCAGGTCATCCATCACCAGGGAGACGACAGCGATGCTATTTACATCGTTCTGAACGGGCGATTGAGGGCCGTTCGCGAGCTTGAGGGTGGAACCATGCGGGTGACAGGAGAATACGGCCAAGGCGAAAGCATCGGCGAGTTGGAAGTTATGACTGATGGCACCCGGCCTGCCACCCTCCACGCTATACGTGACACAGAACTGGCCAAGTTCCCGCGAAGTCTCTTCAACAGTCTGGCGCAGGAGCACCCCAATATCACCATTCAAATCTCGAAGTTGATCGCACAGCGAATGCGAGCGCTTGTCGAAGCCCCATTGACAGAGAAGGGTCAAGAGAGGAAGAGGGCCGCGTTGAGTGACTCAAGCACGTCTACCCTGAACCTCCGAACCATCGCGGTGTTACCGGTCACAGCGGGAGTCCCAGTTGTTGAGTTCGGGAACCGTTTGCTCGCAGCATTAAGCCAGATCGGAGTGCCAAGTGGCGTTACTTTGCTGAACCAAGCTATCATTCTCAGCCATCTCGGTCGACACGCCTTCAATCGGATGGGCCGCCTGAAGCTGTCACAGTACCTGGCCGACCTCGAAGAGAAATATGGTATGGTCCTCTACATTGCAGATACCAGCGTGAATGCTCCTTGGACCCAAACTTGCATCTCCCAAGCAGACTGCATTCTGCTGGTCGGCTTGGCTGAGAGCTCACCGAGCATTGGGGAATACGAGCGCTTCCTTCTGGGAATGAAAACAACCGCCAGGAAGGACCTTGTCCTGCTCCACGTCGACCGATATTCGCAGCCGGGCCTGACCAGGAAATGGATGAGCAACCGAATGTGGATCAACGGTGGTCATCATCACATCCAGATGGCATTTCGTGTGAGCCCGGAGGCTACGCCGCATTCGCCTCCCAGGAAGTTTGGGTCGGCGATCAAGCAAAGTGTCCAGGTCATTCAAGCAGAGATACAGAAGTACACCTCTCGCCGAGTCCGCCAGGCTCCACTATACTCGGCTGACACGCCTTTCAAAGGCGATCTGCATCGACTTGCAAGACGCCTCTGCGGCAAATCTGTCGGGTTGGTGCTCGGTGGAGGCGGCGCACGCGGTATCTCGCACATTGGGGTCATCCGGGCTCTCGAAGAAGCAGGCATCCCGATTGACATTGTTGGAGGTACTTCGATCGGCGCCTTTTTAGGAGCGCTCTATGCCCGTGACGCAGACGTGGTGCCCATGTACGGCCGCGCGAAGAAATTTGCCGGTCGCATGGGCAGCATGTGGCGGTTCGCGCTGGACTTGACGTATCCCTCGGCCGCATACACCACCGGCCACGAGTTCAACCGCGGCATGTTCAAGGCCTTTGGAGATTCGCAGATCGAAGACTTCTGGCTGCCTTTCTACTGCAATACGACAAACATCAGCAAATCTCGTGCCGAGATCCACACTTCAGGCTATGCGTGGAGATATGTGAGGGCGAGCATGTCTCTGGCCGGCCTCATCCCGCCGATCTGCGATGAAGGCAGCATGTTGCTGGATGGTGGATACATCGACAACCTCACGGTCCAACACATGAAATCTCTCGGCACCGACCTCGTCTTTGCCGTCGACGTCGGCGCCGTGGACGACGACACCCCACAACAGTACGGCGACACCCTCTCGGGCTTCTGGTCCCTCCTCAACCGCTGGAACCCCTTCTCCTCGATCCCCAACCCACCCTCCTTATCCGACATCCAAGCCCGTCTCGCCTACGTTTCCTCGGTCGACGCACTGGAACGCGCCAAAGCCACGCCCGGGTGCATATACATGCGCCCTCCCATCGAAGCATACGGGACGTTGGAGTTTGGGAAATTCGACGAGATCTACGAGGTCGGGTATAGCTATGCAAAGGAGTTTTTGGCCAGATTGAGGAATGACGGCCAGTTGAACGGCATTATTGACGCGTGGGTGGATGCGAGTGATGAGGAGGGGAAGAAGATGTTAAGGGCCATGGCGCCGAGAAGGGCGAGTATCTAAAAGGCGAATTTGAATCTCGTTCTTCTTGCTGTTCGAGGTGTCCATAAGGAGGATAGTACGGTGCTAGATTGTCGATAGTGAAAAGCGCATAAATGTATGGTCGAGACGACGTCGAGGAAACGATGTCGATATCTGGGCCACTAGTATCCTCTCTGCTTCCTCACGCATACGCATAAGAGCCGAGGCTGGCCGCGTTCAGGGAGCTCCGGTCTTAAACTGGCCTGGACCGGCCTGGACTGGTCAATAATATAAAAATTCGCAGGAGCCGCACCACAGACAGAAAGCTGCTATAGAAATGAACGCTCCGCTTTGCTCTGCTTTGGGCGCAGGGCCGAGTCAAGTTCTCTCTTCCTTGCGCCTCATTTCGCTGGGAGGAGGCGAGCTTTGGTCCGGTCGAATATCGCCCTGGCTGAGCGGGGATCTCTATCTCTATCTCTGTCCGTGGAGGATGTGCCGGGGTTCGGGTTGCTGGTGCTGTGTCTCTGCTCCTGCTGCGGGTGGTGGTGGTGGTGGCTCACTACAGGATACGAGTGTGTCGTTGTCGTCTGGGACGGGACAGCGAGGGAGTGAGCGCTCCCCGAGGCGCTGTTCAGCATCGCTTCTCCCGTAACCTGACCGCCTGCAGATAGCGAGGTCGAGGCCGAGGCCGAGGCTGCAGCTGCAGGTGCTGCAGCAGGGTAAAGCCGCAAGGCGGGCATGACTAGGGGTCGCAGGGCGTGTGGACCTCTCATGACCACTGGCACGGGCATTGGCGCCGGCAGGGGTTGTTGGTCCTCGCCGGTCCCCGTGCGCGTGGAGATACTGTCCGTGTGCAGGGTTGAGGCGGTGGCAGTCGAGCGAGGCCGGCGGAGGAAGAGCGATGACGCGGACGCCGCGAACGATTTCGGCGGGGTTGGAGTCCTAGGTCGGGACACGGGCGGTGTCGTCGTCACTGGCGCTGTCACTGGGTTCATGCCCAGCGGGTTAGTGGCTCCTCCGAGGAACGACCGTAGGGATCTGGGCGGGGACTGTCGTGCTCTTGGGTACCAGGCTGGGAGGACATTATTCAAGCCAGCAGCTTGTGCCATTGGAGAGTCATCGGGCAACACGTCGAACGGTCGGTGGCGGGGAGGACGCGGATCTGGAGATTCGGGTCTCTGACCGCCCCGTCCAAGCCCTGATTCTGATCCAAGGCGGATGGATCCCCGTTTGCGCCGTCGATAGAGCCAATACAGCAGCGAGAGAATGACAGAGACACCGACTGGATGCACGGTTTTGTTAGTAACGAGAAGTTGGAGAGCCACGGTGGGAAAACACACCAAGAGTTCCAACCGCGATTCCTGCTTTCTGTCCTTGCGATAGAGAACCATTGGATTTGGACTGGACGGTGCCATTCGGGCTTTGATAACCCCACGGCGTCTCGGTGGTAGTGGCGCTGGTTGTATGGTAGATGCTTGACCGAGATGTTGTCTTTGATGTTACTTGCATCGAGTGGCGTGAGGTGGATAACTGCGATGATGCCGATCCGGCTAGGGACACAGTATCGGAGGAGGCAACTGAAGCTTGTGAAACAGGAGTGCCACAGGTGAGGGAATATGTAGTCGAGTCCACGGTCGTGCTGGACGAGAGACTGTATGTGAGCGTGGTTGAAGTTACAGAGGTCGACAGCAATGTTAATTCTGGATCTGGTGATGGAGTCGTCGTGGCGAGAGAAGAGGGCTCGTAAGTGGTCGTTGACCCTGATGCGCTGGTGATGAGAATGAAAGATGGCGTGGTGATTTCAGGCCCAGCTGGGCTTGAGGATGCAGTAGGGGGAGCTGGAGGAGCGGATGAATCTGGGGAACCGGTGACCTCTTGCGCAGTTGTTGTCTCGATTGAAGGGGTCTCGCTGGTTGTGGTACCTGGCTCTTCAGTGACTCCGGCGGGAGCAGGGCTGGGTGGTCCATTTTGCTTCCCGTGCGGTCCATGAGGATGTCCGTCTTCCTGCTGACCAGGTGCATTTGAATTGTGCGGTTCTCTTCTCCGGAGGGAGCCGTGAGAAGACTGAGAGACAGGCCGGCAGTAACCAGTTGGTAAGAGCATCGTTCTAATGCCACGCCCGTACAGCTTTTGGATTGGCGACTCTTAATTGAGGTCACATAGACAACTCTTTCAGATCCAAGAGTCCAACTTTTTCTTGTCGGGGGTTTGAAATATTAAGGCAGAGTGCAGATGCAGCTTATCCACAAATTCCCAGGCAAGGCAGACAACGGAAGGAACCCGAAAAGAATAAGAAAAGTCATGCAATAATATTCAAGGATGGCAGGCCAGCTACAATCCGAAGAGGCCGTAACCAAGCCAAACAAAGCAGAAACAGGAGAGGGCACACCGACCGCTGAAAGGAACAAACCATCGCTCAGCAGCGTGTATCAAGGCATAACTATAACAAACCATAACTTTCTTCAGTCAGAGGCTGCTGGTCGGATGGAGGGACAAAGAGAGGGGTTGTCGCAGTGCGGAACGAAGAAGATTGTGTGAGGAATGATCGTCTGTTGTTCTTCGAGGGCTCCAATAAATTTTAACCGATGACCTTGTTTCCACGAGCTGACCGGGTAATGGCGCCTGGAGCAATGGGGCAAGTGTTTCGAGCCAGCGTTGAACAAAAGCATGTCTGGGGTATGCACAAGTGCACACGGGCTGCGAATAGACATGTTCGAGTGTAGAGCTAGCCTCACAAAAGCCGCGATAGTGCGACCTCGCAAGGCTCCACGTATCCATTCATTTTGATGGTATTCTCAGTTCAGGCGTCTTAAGCTCAGGAAGAAGCGTTTGTCTGCTGTCGTGGAACTGGGCTATGCAGTAGACGACGAGGCCGATCCGGACGGCGAATCCTTGCTAGATCGATTTTTGAAGAAGATATGAAACACAGTGAACGTTTCTCCAGCGAGGCTTAGGCTTAGGCGGCTGGTGGAGGTCAAAAACTCCTGCTGCTTTGGGGCCAATATCGGTAAAAGAACGCCGAAACCCGCCGACAGGGGTGACTTTTCAGCGCGCTGTTTTGTGAGGCTTCGGAGGTCTAGCCAATTATCAATATGCGAGTAGCAGCAATTCCAAGTTGATCAACGAGTTGACCAGGGTTGGATGGCGCCAACTTGTCATCGAGCTCGGCGCGAGGCTTCCGAGATAGGCGAGCGACCCAGTAAGAGGCAGACCTCAAGTGGTCATGGATTGCAGGCTGAGCAGACCACTTTGCAAATACGCAGCATAGTATAGGCCAGCTGCGAATGGGACAGAGGCAGGCGAGCATAGGCATTGAATTTGAGAAGTCGGCGATCAGAATGCCTGGTATGTGTAATTTTGGTATCTCCAGAGGGCGCGAATATATAAGTATTGTACATATGAAGAACCTGTACACAGGTGTCTGACACAGCAATCCATTTAGCTAGTCAGAGGATCAGCAGGACATACCTTTTCCACTGATTCGTTGTCTCAATTTGCATCAGCACTCTCGCTGTCGTTTCGCTGCACATCCAAGGCGGCCATCTCCTCCAGAGCAACCAGTTTATCCTGCAGCACGCTCGTATCATACGTTGCCTGCCCCTCCGTCGCTGCCCTTAGTTTCCTCAGCCTTTGCCCTTCTTTGCCTGCGTTGCCCAACACACCGCCGATGAGAGAAATGGATCGGAGAGAGTCATCGTTCGCGGGTATCGGATAGGTCACCCAGGTCGGATTAGCATCTGTATCAATGACTCCTATCGTAGGTACGTTGAATATCCCACACTCGTGCAGGCAAACTTGGTTTTCGATCGGGTTCATGCAAATTACCAGATCTGGGCGCATGACTTGATGGTAGCCTCTGGACAGGATGTCGTCGTACTGAGGTAATTCATTGTCGTGGATGTCGACCACCTTGACGCTACAATCACCAAGGATTTGTTGCCCATTGGTCAGGGCACCTGGAACCCATCGGTGAAAGATGTGGTAGCCTTCGGCCAGTTTTGCCGAGTTGACAATTATCTCTTCCATGCCCTTGCGTGTGCCGATGAAAAGGATGATACCGCCTCGCTCTGCCACTGCCTGGACCACTTTTGCCGCACGCTTCAAATAGGCATAGGTAACGTCTAACGAGATGATGTGAATTCCGTCTCTTACGCCAAATATGTAACCACTGTTTGAGGGATTCCACAGCGAGGTATGGTGACCGAGATGGGTCTGGTTCGCCAGCAACATGGGCAAAGTGAGGTCATCCACTGTTGGAGGCCGGCGAAGGATTGTAGATGGGTCATATGTCTGTGTTAGATGCGTGCCTTGACGAGCAGCTCTCTGCATTGCACGACGGTGACGGTTCAACTCCTTTAGATTTCGGAAAGGCAGGGCATCTTGAGTGGGTGCAGGAGACGCAGTACTTGATACCAAGCCTGACGCAGGTTTCGACATTATTCGAGCCGCAGAGTGTGCGTTGATGTCTGCTTGAAGATCACGAATGGATTTGTGTTGCGACTCGACCATTTCTTCTAGAAGCCTCGTTGCGGCTGTTGGAGCGCGATCGATCGTGTCGAGGATGCTTGAGGGGTCATCGGGGTGGCCCGGGATTCTAGTTGTCCCTTTGGCATCTCGTTCTGAGGGTCGAAATGTGGGATTGTCTGTCGAAATGCTTGTTGCATAACCTCGATTGACTGTCCGCGATGACTGCGCCAACACTGTCCGCCCTGGGTAAAACATTAGGAATCGAAGGAAGCTAGTGTCAAATTGTACTTACCATGCCGGACACAAAACTGTCTGATGATCATGCTTGCTGGGTTCTGGCAGCAACCTGAAGAGCGCGCATTGAGACTTTCCCTCCGTTCCACTGAAGCTGCAGTCGGGTTTGAGCTTGGCGGAAAGAAAGTCAAACGGGCAAACACAACAAACCAGACAAACCAGACAAACCAGACAAACACGGCAAACAGCAGCTACGACTGAGGCACCGACCGCAGCCTTGACATGAATTTCTACGTCTCCCCATTTCTGTGTATGCTCCAGTATGCTGCGTTTCAGATACTGGCTCTGAAATGGCTCTGAAATTCGATCCAATATGCGATCAGGCGTAGAGCCAGATTCAGACTCACGGAGGTAGGCGCTTCAGAATATGGACGTTTACAGCTTGCAAGCAGCCACCGAGCCACCGGAGCGGACTCAGGTTCAAACACGAAAAAGCCCCCTTTGGACAGTAGATCCGGAAATTGTCCTTTCCGCTGCACGATCCCGCCAACACGAAACAGATCCCCCAGCATCTCAGCGCTGGCGACGGCTATTTGCATTCTTTCAAGATATACAAACTGATGTAGGGTTGCCTCTTTGCTGGACGCCATGTTTGGCATTTGTTTGATATCTCGGGTGGGCACCAGTGCCAAGGTCCGGCCGGTGACTCTAGAAGCTCATATTAAAGTCGGGAAAGAAAATGGAGTTCTTCTGGACTTCACCTTGATTCCCTCCAGCTTCTTGACCTTCATCAACCTTCAGCTTGCTGCTAGATCGCAGAAAGATCAGTCATGGAAATGGTGAGTGCAATTTGACGTGCTTGGTCTCTTCCACAGCTAAAGACAGTAGGATCGACCGCGTCGCAACTTCAATCCAAAGAAGACCAGACGGTATGGGCGACAGACTTTTGACCCAGATTATCTTGTCAAGTACAGCCCCAAATGGAAGTACTCACGTCTCTACAACTTCCCGTACCCCGGCGCTCATTGGCAACCACGGATGCGAACCATAGTGATCGCTGTCGATGGAGGGTCTCGCGGCAACAATCGTAATAACCCCAAGTCTCAAGCTGCTTACGGGGTCTTCTTTGGACCCAACTGCCACCGCAACACACACGGTCTGGTGCCGCAGAGTGCCCCGCAAACAAGTTCCCGTGCGGAGCTTGAAGCGGTCCGTAAGGCTCTCGAGCTTGTCCAAGGCATGAAACAGGCAGGCGAAATCGAGGATTGGCGTGAGATCATTATCAAACTGGACTCAGACTACGTGGCCAAGAGCCTCGGTGAATACATCTGGACGTGGGAGAGCAATGGCTTTATGACCAGAAAAGGCACCCCTGTGGAACACGCTGACCTGATTCGCGAATTGCATGGCACCATCACGCAGTTGGAGCAGGATGGAGCGGTGCGGTTCTGGAGGGTTGGGCGTGAGTGGAATCGAGAAGCCGATGCGTTGGTGAACCAGGCTCTGGATGTAAGTCTCGTCGCAAGCCGACACCCTTTGGACCCTTTCCGCGACCTCCCCCGCGACCACAGCTTTTTCCATGCTCACAACACAATAGGACGCGGCCGACAGTGGTTATGAGGAGGCGTGAGGGTGTGGGCCATGGTTGGCGCCGCCGACGTGGATGCGCTCGTGGAGGGGTATTTTGGTTCCTTTTTCCCTTTTGCACTTTTTGGGGCGCTTGTAGAGCGTTGGGCATCTTGGGGGTTGCTGAGACTGTAAGATTTGAGTTGTACTGATAGGGATGGGCGAGGAGCATGTTATCTGCACTGTTTTACTGGTCTCGTTGCTGTTATTGTGTAATATTAAATTGGGTATGGTTTCGCCGAGTCCTTGAGAGCTCGAACCAGAATCTAGGACTTGCATTCTCACCCCGTGGGTCACCGTAATTTCTGAATTCAGCTCTCTGCGAAATCTTGTGATTGACAGAGGTTGTCCACCGTGGGAGCGGAGGTTGGGTGTGGCAGCCTACTCGAAGTGGTCAAGTGTCGACCCAGATGGCGAGATGATACGAGACAGGGTGAGCAACCAGGCCGCTCGAGTGTATGAGGCTGAAATGGGGCGTAGCACCCTTTCCCTTCGCACGATCTGCGCCGTCAGAAGACTGGGCTACCCTCTGGAGCTGACTTCGGAGGAAGAGCTTTTCGGTATGGGTGCAACCAGACATCTTGGAGCACCAAGATCTCCCAAACACCAAGGACACCTCCATTTCTGGTCCTTTCCTCTGCTCGAAACTCGACTGAAGCTTGCACCGACTTCAAAGATTTTTGCAAGCCGATGAAAATGTCGGGGCCTCAGAGATGTTGGCGGGTCTGGCGTAGGGTGTCCGTCAGTGGCAGAACGCGTCGAGAGTTTGGGACAAGGTTTCGCGTTGAGGACCTCAACTGTCGCCGTCCATCCACGCCAACTTTTATCTGTGCAAGCTCATCTCTTTACATGGTGTGAGATATCAGCTGCTTGACCAGTTCTGAAGGTTGCGAAATTACCTGCTCTTTGCCAGCTTCTGCGTTTTTTCACATCCTTACCAGCCTTACCTGCATCTTCCATTTCTGCCACTAAACCCTGGCTGTGACAAAGCACTGCTTGTCTCCACATTGAAGGTGAACAGTGGAAGAACCACGATGGACCTCCTCGCCGAACTCGAGAGCATGGCTCTCAATATTTCAGATGTAAAAGACACGACATCAGAAGCCGACATTGCAAGATGGCAGCGGTTATTTGGCTACGGCAGGGCAGAGGCCGTTCGCCGAATGGAAGAGTACCGGAGCGACTATTCCAGGACTAGGATATCTGATGAACTGTGGGCTACAGTTCGATCCCAAAAAGAGGCGGAAGGATACGACCGTGAAGCATACGAGTATGCGCTCAAAAATCGGCAACAAGCCCGCGGCTCAACTGCCGCCCCAACTGTGTCGGGCACGTTCATCGTGCAGCTCAGGGGGCCGCTCGACTCCCCAGAGAAGATCAAGGATGCTGTCGGCCTAAAGGAGGCTCCATCAGTGGCGACAGGAGCAGGTGAAGATGGACAAGCAGATTTCTGCCAGATCGATGGCGCGACGCGAGCGAAGCTGCTTGACTGGGTCGCAGAGCACCATAGCGACTACCAACCTACTATTGTTCGCTTGACAAAGGCGAAGAAGAGTCTCTGCACACAGAGCATCGCCCCGACCCTTGGGCGGGACTCGACAATGCCTCAAAACCGACTAGACGACCCAAAGGACATCCCTCGGCCATTGCAGGACGAATATCCGGTGTGGTATTTCTTTTACGGTACCCTGGGCGATCCCGAGGTCCTCAAACACCACCTCAACTTGGACACAGAACCTTCTCTTGTACCAGCCCATATCGGAGGTGGTGAAGTTCGACTCTGGTCAGGGAAATACAAGGCGCTCGTGGACTCGCCAGGAACGGCCAAAGTGTTGGGAAGCGCGTTCCTCGTTCGGTCCCGAGATGAGGAGGATGCGCTGCGGTTTTACGAGACGGACAAGTATGAAGTTGTACGATGCCGCATTTTCACAAGGCAGGGTGATCTCATGGGGTTGACATTTCGTTTTCATGGAGATTCAGAGGATTTAGGATAGTACGAGGTAGATGACTCTGGGTTCCAGCTCGCCAGGTTGTTGTCCTAGTGGTCGCTGGTCAGAGAGACCTGAAGTGAATGACGGTCAGGTGATTAGTGAAATGACGGTGGAGAACCAGCCCCTGAGTGCCAAGCCACTAGACTACTTTTGCTCTGGGCCATTGCCGCTTGGCATGCGATCCGCTCTTCTTGTTCTTCTTGTTCTTCTTCTTGTCGTCTCCTGTTCTCCTGCTCCTCCCTCAATGCTGCCCCCAACAATGTTTTCCTTCTCGAGATACCAGATACGGAGCACAAGAGAAGGTCGTTCACCACTGGGTCTCTCGCTCCCGAGATGCCTTTGTCCCCCGGCCTCTCGGTAGCTATGGGAAGGTTGCATACAGCCTCCGTCGTCTTCATTGGCCCCCCCCTCGTCTTCCCCCAGCATCGCCCAGCCTGACTTCGAAACGCGCCGTGACATTCATCTCGTGAGCATCTGGACAACGCAATTTCGACTTGTCTCTTGGAAGATGCTCATTTCGCAAAGTTTCGCACGAACGAGAATGAGGTTGGACGCTCGGCATCAACTCTTGTCTCCTCCGCTCCGCCTGTCAGGATTCAGTGGACTGATCTCAAGTGGTTCCTGTTGCCAGGATCGCCAGCCTCTCAGTCTGGATGTGAAGTTGCCCGCTTGGCTCTCCAATCGAGTGCATATCCGCATCTTCAAACCCTTAAATGACGCGGTTTACTTCCCATTTTCCTAGCCGTCCATTTCTAAACACTTTTGTTGTTGTCATTTTCGAATAACTTTTTCGTTGCCTTTCTTCCTGAGCTACCCGGTACAACCGCAGCTGAGCGTCCTCTCTTCTGCCCTTTACCCATCCTTTCGAAACGCGATTCTTTCTGCGAAACGTTTCGCTCCATATCTCGGACAACTGCTTGCGACTTCATATCCCGCCGCGAGTCAAATCCCACATAGACGGCGCCACTATGCGCTCACTCTCGTTGGTGGTGGTGGGGACCCTCCCGCTCCTGACTTCTGCATGGTCAGAACACACTCTCTTGGGTCGATCAAGTGGAAACGCGACCTCCTGCGACAAAGGCGACAAAGTCTGCGGTGCCTTCTGCATCCCGAGCAATTATACTTGCTGTCCTGATCTCGGAGGTGGTTGCCCCTCGACCTCGGTCTGCCAGAAAGGCGACAACAGTATATATGGGTGCTGCCCGGTTGGGGATACCTGCACGGGTGATGGCGGCGCCGAATTTCTCGACGGCGATGGTTCGTCCAGTATTTCAACCAGCACGGCCGATGCCTCAATTGCATCTGAAACGACCTCAGCCACCAGTGCAGCTCAGCCTCGAGTTGTGGCTCGGGGATTGACGGCTGTGCTCGTCGCTGCCGTTATCAGCACTCTCCTATCATAACAATCGCCCACCCAGCCTTGTGCTGTCTCATTACCTCATCTTGGAATTGCACGAATTACTATATGTTTGCGAAGCGAGATTAGGGAAAACATTATGCGTGGAGGCGGATGTGGAGTTAGCTTCTACAAGGATTGATTGTATTTGGGTTTTATTGATATCCCCTTGAACGTATACCACGGACAACTCATATCATCACAGCTATTTTCACCTTCTGGTCTCTTTCGCCGCCTCGCACTCTTCTTTCTACATTGTCTCTCCACTTACACGTTTCTTCCCTTGGAGGCGGACTTTTCACCGACGCCGCCATGCCCGGTCCCAAGCTCGCATTCTGGATAGCAGCAGCGGGAATGAATGATGATGCCCTTTAATCCGCCTGAATATGCTGTGAAACCCCGCTAGCGTCCTGGAAAAAGCCAGTGGTAGATCTGAATGCAAAGCATAGGCAACATTGAACTGGTATTACGGGTAACACCCAGCTGACCGGCCTGAAGGGTAGGGAAGGGGAGTTTGTTACTCACCGTCTCAGCTTGTCTAGGGACTTTTGTTGCTCCGCATATCGTGTATTCCCCCACGTTCTGGAGGCCGCGCGAATCTAACTCGTAAATGTCCCTCGTACTCGGTACTCCATCCGTACTCCATCAGTCTACGGAGTAACCCAGATGGAGATGGAACGGAACCCACTACACTGCTCCGTCCGCCTGGACTCGGGTCGGCACATCGATTCCAATGCATAGAGTCAGCCGCAGCAGCACCACCACGACCAGCGTGGACAACGAACCAGATGAACATGTGGAGAAGTCGACGGTGACTTATCCGAGGTAACAAAAGTAACGCCTCGTCCACCCGCCCGCACTTCGAACTGGTGGCTCGTCAGATACTGCTAAACGTGCAATTCAACTGCCGGTTATAAGCCTAATCTGTCCTCTCGATTACCCCCTCACATACACGCTCAGCAGGTAGTGCCAGCCCTTTCTCAGTCATTGACTCATTTGAGTTTCTATACCAGATACTATATACGAGATATCTCTCATTGCCTACCTGCCTGCGTGCCTGACAAAAAACAGAAGAACAAGACATGTCGTCGTCCATGAGAGCAGCCCGCTTCTACGGCAATAGGGACATCCGCGTCGAGGACGTCCCCGTCCCTGAAGCGGGTCCAGGCGAATGTCTCGTCGAGGTTGAATGGTGTGGGATCTGCGGGAGCGATCTGCACGAGTATGCTGCCGGTACGTTCAAGTAACAAATGTTTATGTTCAGGCTGTCGGGGAGTCTATAAAAGATGGTCTGGCAACTTCGTCTTCCACCACCAGAGGAGAAGTGAGATGAAGAGGGGAGGGAATTGCTGGACCTCGCAAGCTGAACATGAGTCTCTTTTACTCGTTTTAGGACCCGTCCTGATGAAAACGGTCGATCCGGCGACGGGCAAGGCGCGGCCCATCATCTTCGGGCACGAGTTCTGCGGCCGGTTGAAGTCCGTGCCGGAGGGCTCCAAGCTGAAGGTCGGACAGGCCGTCATGGTCGACCCGCACTGCATCTGCCGGAAATGCATCTGCTGCGAGGCCGGCAACGACCACATCTGCCAGAAACTGGGCTTTTTGGGCGGCAGCAGCGGGAGAGGCGGCGGGTTGTCCGAGTACGCCGCGGTCGAGGAGGTGCACTGTCTCCCGCTGCCGGAAAACGTGAGCCTCGACGACGCCGCAGTCATCGAGCCCCTGGTCGTCTGCCACCACGCGGCCAAGGCCTCCGGGCTGAACCTGGAAGGGCTGACCGTGCTGATCCTCGGCGGTGGACCCGTGGGCGCTGCCCTGATCTCGGTGCTGCGCGCTCACCGCGTCGGCAAAATCATCCTGAGCGAGCCCACGGCCAAGAGGAAGGAGCAGGCCAAGGACGTGGTCGACCGCGTCATTGACCCGCGGACCGAGAAGGTTGGGGATGTCTGTCGCGAGCTGACGGGCGGCAAAGGTGTGGATGTCGTCTTTGACTGTGCGGGTGTGCAGCCGGCGTTGGAGAACGGGATTGACGCCTTGAAGTCGACGGGGACGTTTGTCAATGTCGCCGTGTGGGAGAAGCCGGTCAGTTTTGTTGCCTCCATCTCTCTCTCTCCCATTGCATACCGGGGGAAAAAATAGAGGCGTGGATGTTATGGGTCGCTAACACTCATGGGTTCGCTCGCTGCAGATCCAACTCCAATTCTTGCCCTTCTTCTTCAAGGAGATCAAGGTCATGAGCTCGTGCTGCTACAACGAGCAGGATTTCAAGGAGGTCATGGAGCTGATGGCCAAGGGTGAGTCGAATCAATGGAACATCCATTCCATATACACATACACACATCCACATCCATATCCATACTGACTTTTTACAGGCGCATTCCCCGGCTACGAGAAAATGGTCACCAGCCGCATCTCCCTGGAAGACACGGGCCCCAAGGGCTTCGAGGAGCTGGTCAACCACAAGGACGACCAGATCAAGATCCTGATCTCGCCCAAGATCAGGTGAGAGCTATGAGCGCTCAGCGGGCTCAGATCACGGCGCGGAAGGCTTGAGGCTCGAGGCCTGGGTACGTCTTGAAGGACATTAGAGCATGGATATACCACTAAAAGATTTACGGGATGTGATGGACCTTGAGTACAACATCTCCAGGATGTCTTTGCTCTACCCTCTTTACTGATTTACCCCTTTTCCCCCTTCCTTCCCTGCCCCCTTCTTTCCCCGTCTCTTTTTCTGTTTTCTATTTCCCATCCCTCCGGGATGCCCACCTCTCTGAAAACCTCGGCCTGTCCTCTCTGCATATACTCGATATCCTTGACCTACCTTTTCGAACGCGATAGACGGAGAAAAGAGACAAGACCCGAGACACACAGAGCGAATCCATCCCCCTACCGAAATCCAAAGCGAAACCAAACCGAGACCGAAACCGAGACCAAGAAACGCAAATCACACACACAGAGGGCTGGCTCTCCTACAGCACCACCCTCCTAGCTAACCAGCTAGCTAGCGAGCTAGGGGTCTCTCGCACCAAACACCTCCCTCCAGAACCCCCTGTTCTCCTTTTCGGGATACGCCTCGCCCAGCCTCCACAGGGGACTGATGCCGTTCCGGACTTCCCACTCCCTGCTCATGGCGGCGAAGCCTTGGCGGACTGCGCTGGTAGTACTGACGCTGGTGCCGGTCGTGCCGGTGCCGGTGTCGGGTGTGCTCGACCCTGTGTCCAACATCCCTGTCTCACCATCAGCGTCACTCACACTTCGCTCCACGGATAGCGCGCTCCGAACACACTTGGCACACTTCCGATGAGAGACCACGGTCTCCTCGCGCGGACGACGCGGCAGCGGCCGCCACGAGCGGTACGGACATCTCGCGGTGGGGATGCAGGTCTTTTCCACGACGACCAGGTCGGCCAGGCCCGTGCGGCCGCGGCAGCTCGGGCAGAGAGTGCGTGTGGGTACGGTGTAGCACATTTTTTTTACCTCTCCCTATACTCTCGACCTTGGAGTTTTTGTTCGGGGTTTGATAAATACCTTTTGTCTCTTTTCACTCCCTGGATTTTGTGAGTTGACTCGTGGGGTGGTCCTGAAAAAAGGTCCAGGTCCTGTTCCTTGATTCGATCTATCGGTCAGTCGGTCGGGAGTTGAAGAGTATGCGTCTGAGATTCCAGGAAGGAAGCACACGAGGGCGAGACCTTTTATAGAGAACCTTTGAAAAAGCGTAGATCGAAATGTCCCATATATTGTCTCGGCGCGTCAATGGACTATGACAAGGAGAGTTGAGTCAAAGCGTCAAAGCATCAAAGCGTCAAAGCGTGGCTATTTTGTGTCGTAATGAAAGAGACTCCTTCTTCCTTGTTCTCGGGCTTTTGGTGGTATCCATGGCCCTTTGTGTGCGCCTTCACCACCATAGAGTCCATGGAGTCTCTTGCAAGATCGCCACAGCCACCAGCTCCCTTCTGATCTCCATTTGAGGCGTCCGATCACGATTGTCCCCCTTTTCTTTTTCTCGGGTGTCATCGTCTCCTGATCTGGACCCGAATATCTCCATCTATGCTCAGCGTCCCGTTCCCGGCATACTGCCGCCTGGGTCTTGGAAAGCCCGCAGGGTGTTCACCCAACCCGGCCACCGCATTGCCCTTGCTATCCGTGCGCAAATACTCGACGAAGCGGATCTCGAACTGGGCCAGCAGCGTGGCCACGGCGCCCAGGATCTCCTGCTTGGCGAAGACGCGGCCGGGACAGGCGTGCATGCCGCCGCCAAAGGGGAAGAACTTGCCCGCGGCCCAGGACGCGCTGAACGTCTCCTTGCCACCAGTGGTATCGTCTGGGTCCTGATGCTTGAGGAATCTCTCGGCGACCCAGCTATCCGCGGGAGCCTTGTCGCTTTCTTTGAGATACTGCTGGTGGTGGTCCCAAAACCTCGGATCATGGTGGCTGAGCGAGGTCGGGGCCATGATCAAGTCCCCTTTCTTCAGCAGGTATCCGTCCAAGACCATGTCGTTGTTCAACTGCCGCGTCACGAGCAAGTCGATGTAGTGCCTCATGGTTTCGTGCACGGCCGAGTTCAGCAGCGGCTGGGTCAGCAGCACAGAAATGTCCACGGTCTTGTCGGGTCTTTTGGCTCGCTCGATCTCGGCCTGGATCCTGGTGAGTGTGTCGTCCCCGGGGTGGACGGGGGAAACGAGGTGAGCGAGCAGCCAGCTCATGATGGGGATGACGTTTGACGAAACACTGGACCAGAGTTGGGAAACAGTAAAGTCAGCATATACAGATAAAACATGTGGCTAGGACAGTAGCACAAATACTCACGCAAACAGAAATCCTATGTCAAACGCAGCCCGCCCTCGTGAACTGAATCCCTTTTGCTCGTAGAATCGCTGTCTGGCCCTCATCACCTTGGATCCAAATAGTGGTTCCCAGTCTGGCTCTTCAGACGGGTTGCCACCACAATCGGCGAGTGCAGCTTCGACCCATTCAGTCGTGCTGTCGAGGATCTTGTCGAGACTGGCGTAGGCGTCGGGTTTGACGAGTTTGGGCAGACGGTAGAAGCGCGCCAGAAACCCGGCGTCGTAGTCCCAAAACTGCTCGGCCAGGTTCGGGTTCATCTCGAGGATCTTGGTCCCCAGGATCGCTGCGGTCGAGGCGTGGAACATGATGTTCTTGAGCCAGGCGAGCAAATCTATCGTTGTCCATTCGCTACCAATCTCGGCGCTGTCGAGAGACGCAGTGAAATGTGCCATGAACTTATTCGTCAGCGAGTTGGCGGCGGTCTGGTTGAGGAGGAACTCGTGATTAATGGCGTCCATGCTGAGACTCTTGTGCTCCTTTGCCTCCTGCGCGGCATTATCCGTTGTTGGGATATCACGGGCTTGGGTGGAAGGGAACATGATTTCAGTGTCTCTTTTCGGACACCCCAACGCGTCCAGTGCGATCTGCTGGTTGAACAGTTCTCGCGACACCTGTCTGCTTCTGAACAACGCTTGCACAGCCGAGGCCGAGCTGGTGATATGGACTCTCTGGCCTGCGAGCAGTACCGTGCAGAACTGAACATTGGCTCCCGTCCCAGTGAGTTTCGTCTGCAACATGCGCCAGAAAGACCCAGGGTCCTCGTTCAAGAAAGCCAAGGCATGTCCTAGCCATGGAATCGCGTATGGCAGTACCGGGGGCTTTATGGGAATGGCCTGCACCCCAACGCCGTTGCATTCGAGAGCCTTGGACTTTTTGACCGAGCGGGAGAATTGGACAGTTGTGACCAGCCATGTTAGCAGGCAGGTGGCAGCAATCAAGAGAGGGATGGAGAGGAGGACATGGAGGAGGGAATTTATTTGCAAAGCAGGAGGGATGTAAATGGTTTGGAGCATATGAGAAACGGCCATTGCTGGCTTGATGGTTCAGAGTTTGAGCGGCGAGCCGGCCGTCTGCTCTTCAAACTGTTCCTGGAACGAGATATATAGATCGCATCGGTACATTGAAAGGCCGACGCAGAGCAGAGGTGCCCATCCATCCACGTCCCTCGTGTTGCTTGTGCAACATTGCTGACATCACGTGCGTGTGTAATTCCTAAATCCCATATCAGAATTTGTCCAATGTGCAGAACAAGCGAGGGAGGACGATGCTTGTCCTATTTCTGCGTATGAGTACATAATCAAGCGATGGCCACATAGCAGATCTAAACTCACATGGGCAAATGCTGATCTTGATGGCCTAAGTTCCACTCTCCACCATCCTTGAATCATCCCAGAATCCCTCGCGAGTACGCCTTAATAAGGCGTCCAGACGCGTCATCGAAGTCAACACGGTCCACAGACGGCGACCAAGGCCGAGGGGATTCTGCGTGGTTAGCAGATTGTTCACGGGAGAGAAAGGAGAAAGAATCATACTTTCCTGACCGGATGTCCATTGCCTACCCAATACTTACCTTTGTCCACCTAATTAGCCCTTGTCAATTTCCCAAGATACCTCAGCAAACATGCCTCCGCAGCCTCGAGAACCAGCTCGCAGCCCCTTCACCTCCTTCTCTACCCCCGATGTTCTCTTCCCCTCTCTGCAACATGTCTCTCTGCAACATACTTGAACTTTCCCCCTTCTTCCGCCAAGCAAGTTTCACAAACCGTCCACCTCATGTAACCGGCGCATCCCGAGATGTCCCCTGGTGGGAAAGTGCGCAACACGTCTGACGGGATCCTGAAGTCGACTTCGTGATTCTCGTTACGAGACAAGCCGAGGTTGGTCGTACGCAGACCATGTGGCTGGAGGAGCGTATCCATAGGGATATCAAGATGCCAGCACGCGGCCGCGTCCCAGGCCATGGTTGTCTGTCGCTCTGAGGGGGTCGACTGGTAGTGGGCTGTGGTGTGACGAGAGTTGGTAACGATTGAGCGCTTACTTAGCGGCGTATCGAACAAATGCTTCTGTTGATCGATGAACTCGTCAATACCCATACGCTCCATCGCCCTGGTCAATTCTTCGTGAGAACCGAAGTCATCCAAACCTGAGCGGGAAGTAGACACAGTGTGAGATCGAGAAAGAGAAGACCCACCCTCGGAGCGCCCATGGGTAGCGTAGGACTGATCCCGAGTGTCGTAACGCGATGTACCACCTCGAGATCGTGATCCGGTGGTTGTCGTCGCAGTCGAGCGATCGCCATGGTGCCGAATAGTCAATGACCTAGAAACTGTGGAATGGGCCCTGGAGCGTCCAGAACCTTGCTCAGACTCACGGGTCACAGAGGCAGAATCTCGACGTGTGCTTGAATGGTGGGCATGTCGACTGTCTGGATTCTCTCGACGCTCTCGATATTCTCGATCTTCTCGATTGTCTCGTTTGTCACGATCTGTCTGGCATCTTGAGCATCGTCTGAACACCTCCACCTCACGTCGAGGCAGCGGTCGGAGGGTGCGATACCGGCAAGACTCTGAAGATGAGCAAATCTTGTCGACCGTGGGATAGGCAGAAGAAGTCGAGCTGGAGCCACAGTCTCGACAGACAACCAGTGTGGAACGGGTGTAGCACATTTTGTCAATGGATTTCGGGGTAGATAACTATGTCGCGATGGATGACGATTTGTGAATCGAATGGTGAATGAATTGGGAGATGATGAACAGATTCTGCTAGTGGTCGAGTCGGTGTTTTATAGTAGTCGGACTGGACTCGTCTACCAGCGTGTCTTTGACAAGAATTTCAAGGCATTGGCTTGGTTGATACAATGACCAAAGCAATCGGTGGACAAGGCACGAGTTCTGGGCATCCACATCGAAGACCGCTGTCTCCCACTGATGATGGCTTTGATCGCGAATTTTCTTTCTGCAGAAACAATCAGTCATTCTTAGAAAGAGCAGCAATGCCCTTTGTGTATGTGACGCTGAGAAAGATAAGCAATGACAAAAACTTTGACGCAACAAAGGAGGCCGACGCAACAAAGGAGGCCGAAGCATCGAGTCCGTCAGCATGAACAAGAGATTCCGAGGGCCCAAGAACAATGATCAGATAGTCATGGATACCATCTGCGGACAAGAGGCGAAAGCAGCGACAAGTAGGCTGCACTATGGCTGCCCAAACATTTTGTGAGACCCAGCGCCTGAGCTGGACAGTGACATGGCAGAGTATGTACTAAGACGCAAACATTGTAGGTATCCTTTTGAGACTCATGGCATTTTCAGTGAGAAATGCGAGAAACGTGCACGCCTCCTCGCGCCCGCTTACTCGCCCAAAGTGTCCTGTTTTGTCAATCTTATAGCAGAGAGTCCAGCCTGGTGAAAACGCTCAAACAAGCCGCAACGACCTAGACGGCGCCGATAAGTCAGGGTTGCGAGGATCACGCTGATGGGTCGAAAGAGCTGGACTCACCTCAAGTTGTAACTCTTTGTCCTTGTTCTTCTCGACCTCCTCGGCAATTACTTGGCCAATGTTTGCTCCGATGCCCTGTTGTCCGCCAGCCCTCCTTGCGAAAGGCCATTGTGAGTATTCTGCCAATAATTCGTCGACTTGGGCAAATGCCCTCTCTCTTGCTTCGTGGCTCATTGTCACCAGCGCATTCTCAAGCACGTTGGCTGCATAAGCGGCACAGACCATGCTGACTGTTCTCAGCATTCTGAAGTCGAGTTCGGCGGGAAGAAATTGTGAAGGAGGTAGAACGACGGTGCGGCTGGAGCAGACGTTCCGTACGCGCTTGCGGATTTCATCTTTGGCACCAGAGTCGACCACGGGATGGGTGGCCATATCGAAGAGGAGGAAGTTTCGTTTCTCTGTGCGCAGGATGCCTTTGTCCACGAGGCCCTTGGCCAGTCGTTCGCGGACTTGTTTTAATTGGTAGCCGATTTTCATTAGATTCCACGTCTCGCCTGCAACGGAGAATGTCAATGGTTCGCCCTGCACAGCCGAAGTGAATCCCACACTTACCGCTCATGAGATCGATCCAGGAGCTGACACTCATCTTCTCACTCGTCTTCATCATTTTGAGAGCTTCATCTAACAAGACTTCTCCGGTGAGGGTATCGTCTATGACCTCGATGATTCTATCGGCGAGAGGGAACCGTCTCCTCGAGGAGTCTTTCTGCATGCTAATTCTGCCCCGGAATGCCAGCTCAATGACTATGCATCCTCGCAAGGCATAGGAGATGTTGTCGTTCCAAAATGACAGGTATCCCTAGTGACTGCGGGTCAGGATGCCTCGACTCTGTGAAAATCTTCGAATAGTTGGTTACCTGCTTATCCTTCAGCCCCAGGAGCAGCACCTCTTCCATCAGGGTCAGCTTGGGTTGTTTACTCCGTTCTGCGCTCTCGCTGATGTCTCTGGGATCGTAGGCGATCCGGTGGCCATTCTCGCTGGACTCGTAGGCGGTTTCGGGGGAGCGATCGTTGTACTGTTTGGGGACAGGGGAAGTGACCCGGCTTGAGGACTCGTCGTCTCCGTTGGGCGACGTGGCCCCTCCAGCACCACGCCTTCGCGTGAGGCCTCCTTGGGAGGCCATCAATCTAGAGGAGTTTACGCCTCACCGAGGGGATAGGTGGGACAATGGGGTTGGTGGAGGGTGTTGGTGATGATCTCGTGCCTGGGCCCTTTTTAGGCCGAACAGTTGCAGCCGGCGGGTTGCGCGATGGGGGCTCTCCAAGGGCTCAAATCTCGGCGGCAGGACGATGTTTGGGGAGAATGAGCGACAGGGGCAGCAACAAAATGATATCGACGGGCAAACGAGTATAGAAATATCGGGTCACAGTGAGTTCTGTCAGGGCTGAAGACCCCGGGGTAACTGGATACTGGCTATTGCATGGCTGCGCGTTGTATGGCCGGTGGCTCGTTTCGCTGAAGATGGCGCCAAGTCGCTGAAATCTACTCCGTACTCGCGACTCGCCCCGTTTGGGGAAGAGGGTGATGCCGCCCTATCATATCGTCCGGCTTGCGCGAGCTAGCCTCCTTAGGTAGGCTAGTGGACTGAGCTACGGTCATTGGTCAATCAACGAGACGCTCAATCCCTTCTCACGCCATGTACTCGGTACTTCGTACATGTACCTGCACTCGCCCTCATACCGAGTACTCTCCTGTGAGGACACATATCCCCCTCCTTGATTGCTTGTCTTATATGCCGTCTTCCCAAAGTCTATTCCAGGCGAGACCAGCCATGCCCCACTGGCTCCTCCTCTTCCTTCTCCCCTCCTTCGACGCCAGCAGCCGGCCGTGTGCGGATGCGGAGCAGTGGCAATGACATTCCCGGACAAGATTCCAAGAGAACAAGAGAAGACCAATCCTATTGTCGCTGAGCAACTTCTGTCTATTGCATGGCGTCACATGCATTCTCTTCCCTGATTGGGCCACCGGAGGACGCCGTTGTGTTCTCCCGGTAAGGATATACGAACCCTCAATCCTTCTAAAGGGCCAGCCCTTCCCTTTCCGAATCCATCGTTTAGCCCCGGCCGAGCACGGTAACACAGCTTACTTCTTTGGAATCTTCTCCTCTGCTGCGGGGTACGACAACAAAAAGGTGAGGCATCTCACACAGCTCCCGCTCGAGGTTGTTGAGGAGTTTCCTGGTGTTCTTTTTCCAATCCAACCGTTTGAAGATCTTATGACGGAGAGATCGACCGCGGGACTTTATTCCGACGGAGCTATTCTCAAACATAGGTACCCAAGTACCCAAGGTAACGTTGCCACCATCTACCCCAACATCTACCTGACAGCTTGGCCTTATACAAGTCGAGTTTAATCCGGCCACTTAAGCTCGCCTGGGACGAGAAAGGAAGAAAGAAAGAAAAAAGACCACCGCGCAGCTACCATGAGCACCAAAATCCCCCTCATCACACTCGAGGAGCATTTTATCTCGCAGGCAGTCCTCGACTACTATGCCTCGCAAGGCGTCGACACGAGTCTGCCGGACTCCATGGCCCACATTATGACTGCTCTCCGAGAAGTCGGCCCCAAGCGTCTCCAGGCTATGGATGGTGGCCGCATTAGTCTTCAAGTCATCTCTCATCGACCCAACACCATCCCCGTCCCGCCGGAGGTCTGTACAAAGGCGAACAACGAGCTATACGAAGCCATCAAGGCGTCGCCTTCCCCCAACCGCTTCGCAGCCTTCGCTATGCTGCCAATGCTTTACCCGGAGGAAGCGGCAAAGGAACTCGACCGGTGCGTCTCACAGCTCGAATTCGTGGGCAGTCTCATCGACAACACGGCCAACGGGCGCTACTACGACGATCCCTTTTTCTGGCCCATCTTCGCCGCCCACGAGAAGCTCGACGTCCCCGTTTATCTCCACGCGATACCGCAACCAATCACCGAGGCCACGCCAGCGCCATCGTTCCACGGGAACTATTCGCCGCAAGTCTCCAACTTCCTCGCCAACCACGGGTTCCACTGGCACAGCGACGTGGCGCTGCACGTCCTCCGGCTGTTCGCGAGCAAACTCTTCGACACGCATCGACACTTGAAACTTCTCCTGGGCCACATGGGCGAGACGCTGCCCTTTCTGATCGACAGAATCCATAAGCTCATCCAGAAGACCTGGCCGCAGGCCTCGAAACCGAGGCGCCATCTTTTGCAAGTCTGGCACGAGAACATCTACATCACGACGGCAGGCATGTTCAGCCTGGCGCCCATGGCTTGCCTGATCCACATGTGCTGCGCCGACAAGGTGCTGTACAGTGTAGACTATCCGTTTTGCAGCCACGAAGATGGCCTGAAGTTCATGCATGGGTTGAGAGAAAGTGCAATGTAAGCTTTCCTTCCTCTTTTCTTCTCCGCTTCCCCAGCCTTTGTTCAAACCTACCTATACACCGCAACGTAGACCAGCTAACACTGTTTTACTTCGGCCACGCAGGATCAACAACCAGGACTTTGAAGCAATCGCGTACAAAAACGCCGAGAGACTGCTCGACATCAAGGTGCCGGACGACAACGACGTGGGGATGGAGATCGAAGACGACGGCCAAGGCAGCGAGGCCGACCGCCGAAGCATGCCCTGGCTGCAACTGACGAACACGGCCAGCTCGGGCAGCGGCAGCCTCAACGGCGACGCCGGGGCGGCCTTTCCGCACAGTCCGCTCGAGACGGTCAGGGAGGAGAAGTAGATTTCCTCCTATTGGAAATTTCCAATGTCCTCAATCTCCACGCACACTTAACGACGAACAATGACGAAACAAGTATCCAAAGACTCGGCCATCGACAACACTTTACCCGAACACCAAGCCCCAATGGCGCGAGTACTCCCGATCGCATCATCTCAAAAGACTCAAGAACAAAAGAGTCATGTCTGCCACCGACCACCCGAGCGCTCCGCGACGTTATTGCGGCAAGAAGACGACGTGAGAGGAGGGGGAGGGAGGGGGAGAAGGACCTCTGCGCAAGATTTCTTCCTTCTTCCATTCTCCATCATCCTTCTCCTATCTTTGACCTCGTCCCCCGAACCGGGCGGTGAAGTGATGGATGGACCAATCTAATGGACTACTGCTTGTGCGTCCCGTCTCTATTGAGCTGAAGAACGAACCAGGCCGTGAGCGTTGGACAAGGGCCGGAAGGAAAATGCGGGGGAAAGGGCCGTGGTCGAGGAGGGAGATCTACTTCAATATTGGTCTGGTGTTTACCGAACTATCTTATATAGACTTATTTACCTCGTACCTCGTATGGTGAAGGAACAAATTCCCTTCCCCCAAGCTTCCAAACAAATCTCTTGGTCAAGCCTCCTACAGCACCTACCTAGGTAGGTATGTATACGAAGTACGAGGTACATCATCTACCTTGGAGAGATGGTTGCGTGGATACGGATATCTGGGGACACATCACCAGTAGCGCGATCAATGGACACTCGCTCGTCTGACCGCTCTGCTGCCGCTCACTCATTTCCACGGAGTTCAAAAGGTTACGTCACATTCAATGCCATTGAGGATAAGAGTAAGAATATCATTTTTGCTTTCTCTTTCGCTGTGTCATTCTACCAGAGAAAAAGAAACGTCGTGAGCCATGTCTCCCATCCGGTCCTGTAGCTTAGGATCAGCCAGGCACTGTACATTTCGATGCCAAAAGACACCACCGTCCAACAATGCATCCATCCTTTTCCCCCAGTCGCGGATCAACTGTGGTTTTTCATGACAAGGCAAAAGACGCGCTGTTCGTTGATTTAGAATAACATCATCCCACCACCGAACAAGAACCCCAGTACCACCACACCACCTGCTAATAGACTCGTCATCTCAATGGGGAATACGCGGAAGTTGGCATTCCCAGCATTGGAACTGCCACTGCCAGAGCCGGAACTGGAACCGCTCGTAGTCGAACTTGTGGGCGTCAAATTGAACGTCGCACTTCTGGAGGTGCCGCCACCCAGTTCCCCAGTGGCAGTGAGCGTGGCTTGCGTGATTTCTGGGTTGCCAGAGAATGTCTGGGCCACACTTGCTGCTGTCGCAGTCGAGGCAACGTTGGGAATACTGCCCGAAGCCTGGAATGCCTGAACGTTGGAGTTGGCGTCGGAAGCGTCAAAGTTTGTCTGTGCGAGACCTATCTGATTGTTCTCTAGGTCGTAGACCACATAGGCGCTGCGGAGGAAAGAATCACCGAACAGAATGGGATCATTTCCTGCCGAATCGATCGCGAACGAACACGCTTGATCTCCGTTCTGGAAAGTTGGTTGAAAGCCATCTGTTGTGATCAAGGGAGTGACAAACTCGGACAGTGAGACATTGACAATGGGGCCACCTTTGCCGCCGAACTGGAATGAGAAGGTGAGATCATCGTTGGCGAGAGAGCAGGGCACCACGTTGCCAAATTGTGGGTCGCTCACCACACCGACACCATTGAAGATGCTGTTCGCGATGTCGTCAGGGAGCAAGGTGTCTGTGGTGCCGGAGTCGAGAATGGCAGGTTGAGGCGAACTGGGCGAGACGTCGGAGGACTGGCCGCCTCCAGAGATGGTAAGGCCGGTCCAAGCGACAGTGAAGGAATCAATGACGCCAGTTTGCGAGTCTATTTGGATAGGCAAAGCAACCAAGTTACCGTGGTACTTGTTCGTGTCAACACCACCAAAGAGAATGGAGCCAGTATTGGAGTTCACATCGTCCAGCCACAGGGAATATGCAAGGGCGTTGATGAAGCCTTCATTCTTCATGACGTTGATAACGTTGGGGTAGGTGAAGCCGTTGATGGAGGAGGTGGCAGAGGCCTCGCCTAGCTCAAATCCAATGCCCATGATACCGATGGCGCGGGTGTTGGATTGTTGGGCAGCAGCCATGGTCATGTTTGTCAATTTTGTTCCACCAATGTTCAACACATCTGAGATGTATTGCCCAACAACCTGGGAGCCGTCGACGTACTGGATTTGGAACTCGGGAAGGTTGGGATCGACAAAGGTGGAGGAGGCATCAGCGTTGTACGCTCCAAACTCGGAGCAGCCATCGTTGTCTTGACAGATTTGGGCATTGGCATCAGGGAACCAGATGTCTGACGAGCCAGTGTCTATTTGCAGGGAGAAGGGTTGCCCGGGGGTGCCCACGGTGCAATTGATGAAGTACAGCAGGATCTCGTTGTCCAAACCCGCCTTGATGGTCTTGGTCTGACGTCGTGACAGATGAGGAGCGTCCTGCGCAGCGACGCGACGCTTTTCGAATGTGAAACCCACTGTGCCGGGAGTAGCAGTTACGGGGGCGAGGGAAGCAAGCAGAGCGGCTGCTCCCAAGGCAGCTGCTGCAAACTTGCCCATGATGGATGGGAAGAGAGCGAAGAACAGGTGTTGAGGATGTGGCACCAACAGGGTATTAGGAATATGAAGCCAAAGAAAGCCAGAAGCAAAGGAATGACGACGAGGATGTTGATGCTGAAGACAACGGATGATGATGCTACAATCAAGACCAGCAACAGAAAGGACTGTGACGCAAAGAAGAAGAAGAGTTGATCAGGGTTTATACAAGAATTGAAATGGACGAGTTGGCAGAGGATCGTGACTGCGCCTCTTGGTTCTTTCCTCCTTCCCCAGGAGAAGGCGCGGGAGAGGCGACGCAAGCAGCAGCCATGACTGATGACGGCAACAGCCAACAGCGGCCAGTCGGGAAAGGCGCTTGAAGCATCTGGCGAAGTTCGATGACGGGATGGCCACGGATGAGATGAGCGAGTGGGATAAAGCATCGAGGGAAATTGTGCAGCACTAGCAGTTTGTCAGTGGCAGATCCATGTACCGCCCAGCGAATCGCAAAGAGGCAATAGATCCCTGGAAGAAATCCCCCCCTTAGGCGGCCTGTGCTTGGGAAGCTTCGGCATCTGGGTAGCCGCTACGAGTAGCAGGCTGATCGATTTTGGGGGGCTCGGGGGGTTACAGATGGGCTAGTTAGGCTTCAGCCTTAGGGATTTGGGGCTGTTTGGCTGGACTCTAGGCACTGAATATCTGTAACCCGCTCACCTGGCCCGTCCACCAGCCACGACGAGTAAGTTTCCCGTCTGCAGGCACTTAGACTTAGTGTTTTATTACTCGGACGCGCATCACTTGAGATCCTACGAGGTTACGTGATTATAAAACTGAGGACTGAAGAATCACCAGAATGAGTGTTCTTCATGGCTGGATTCCGCGCAGCCACGTATGCACCTGTTGATCTGTGCCTAGTATGTCCTCCGTACGGACCGTACCTGGCGAGGGCGTGTGTGTGTGTGTGTGCAAGTGGCGTGGTACCGGGTTGCGCCCTGCTCATCCTCTGAAACGGACAGTGTGCGAGGGCAGTGCTTGTCCGTTTCAGATTGTCAGCTAGGCCCTACTTATTACAAGTTACTAGGTACCACGTTCAAATCATTAGCCCTACAAGCTACTGCTCGGATTATTGATCGTAATCAACTGAGCCGAAAGGGACCGTCCATCACAATGATTCGACGGATGGACTTGGCTCTTCGGCTATTGAAATTCTCTGTGTAACCTCCCTCAAGTCCATTTCACCAAGGCACCAAATTTCACGGATGGCGTTTCTTGGGACACGGGTCTAGAACCAAGATTCAGCCTGTGACTGCTCTATTGTTGGAAGATGGGAATGAGGCATTGAGCCATGTCCAGCTGGACTTGAATGTCCACGGAAAGCATCGAAAGCCTCGCTTGCCACACGCCAAGCACGCCGACGAATGCACTGTGGCGGTGCAAAACCTGGAAGTCACCTTGCACGCTCATGCTCCGGCGGCAAGTGTTTCGACACCAACTCATCATTACCTACCTGAGTAGTTATTCAGGCGGAAGCGATGTCGCCACCAAGAACTGTATCCGTCGGGCCGTTCATCGCAGATCCAGTGTTACATCTATGTACAGTCCGCCAAATTAGGCTATAACGATGCAGCAAGCACCAGATGCGTGCCTCCGTCGGCTAGGTACCTCTAATCAACTCCAGAAACGCCCTTTTGCAATCCATTTCCGTGTAGTTGTCCCTCTTCAGACTTTGGGTTTCCGCGCAATCATCAAGTACATTGGTGTGAACAGCTTCTGTTTCCCACCAGCAACCAAGCAGTCAGCCGCTAGTGCCAAGCTGTCCGCCGTCTTCTGCGTGCCACGGGGCATCACTCTCAGAGTCTCGCCCACCCCAATAAACTTATGGATCAACCCTCGTCCCCACCATGTCATGCGCCCAATGGTGAAGATGTCGCCGATGCTGCCCATGTATTTGAATTCGCCTGCGAGAGGGTAGTACCACGGGATCGCGTCCGGTCTCTCGGCCAGGTCTTCGTGGTGCTCCAGCTCGAAACCAGCAGCCTTGATAGCGGCCAACCCTTCTGAGACTGTGACCATGTTGGAAATGCCGTCTCCCTGCTCGATGCCTAGACGGATCTCGCGGTGTTGGGGATTGTCGTTGTCGTAGTTGTCGGTCATAAGCCATTCGTACACTCCAAAGACTCCACCAGGCTTCAGCACCCGGAAAATCTGCTCATACACTCCCTGCAAGCTCGGGGCGTGGACGGTGGCCTCAATGGCATATACAGCATCAAAGCTGTTGTCGGGAAAGGACATTTGCATGAAATCACCTTTGACGGCCGAGAATTTGTCTGCGAGGCCCTCCTTCTTTGCATATCGCAGCGACCGTTCGATCTGATAGTCGTTATTGTTCAGTCCAACAACGTTGGCCCCTGTGAACTTGATCATCTCTCGCGCAGGGCCTCCAACACCGCAGCCGACATCCAGGACGCGCCAATTCTCTTGCATGTTCATTTTCAAAGCCAGGTAATGTTCGTGACGGGCAATGGCCTTGTAGAACGACTCTTTTGCAGCAAACCGACAGAAATGGAACGAAGTACCCCATCCATATTCGTACAGATCAGTGGCGAGGTTGTAGTAACTGCCATACTGTTAGTGGACATATCATCAATGCCGGAAAACCAACACCCACTGTCTTGTCAATGTCGCGTATTCATCTCTTCTTGCCTTTCGAATTTCTTCAGTCTCGGTGGCTGCTGATTTATTGTCCCAGTGCTTGAAGTACTCGTCGACCGCAGCCTTCTGCGCCGCTTTGTCCTTGGTGCGCATGGCCATCAGTCCACCAGAGGCTTCAACCGACTTGCCATGAAGCGCCTTGTTGAAGGCGGCATCGCGGGCGTGATCCTCCTTCTCGAGGACCGTGACTGGGGAGGTAGCAGACGGGGCCATGTTGAGACAGCCGGGAAGAATATCTGGGAAGAAAGGCAAGCTGGGAAGAAACTCGAGATATTGCGACTCTCCGGCTTAATTGTACTCGTAGAAGAATGAGCGACAAGCGGTCAGTGACACGATGCGGAAGCAAGGAGCGATATGGGTGGTGCCATTGGGATTCAGAAAAAAATACTCCATATATCGGCCGGCACTACATAGTCCGGCGCAGTCACCAATGGCCTGATTCTCAACTAGATCTCTTGGCAGGGGTCGGCGGTGCCATTGCTCCCTCTAGCGATCTGGGACCAAATCCTTCCAGTTCCGCAGCAGGCCACTCTACTTGGTCTAACGGCGAGACGGCAAGCTACACGTGACTTTCGGGTAACCTTCTGCTTGTGACCATGGACGTGCAGAGAAATTGGACAAGGCTGACTTTTTCCCCGCCGTTTTTATGTCCACGACGCATTACCCAGCATTTGTCAAGGCAAGTGCTACACCGTCCAAGTACTTTTACTCGAGAATTCTCCCTATCCTTCCTGCACTCGGTACAATAGCATCGTTCCTGATATCTACCTGTCGATTTGGCCTGAAACATACTCTCGCCATCATGGCGCCACCTCAGATCAAGCAGGATCTGAATCGCTCTGGCTGGGAAACGACCGACTTCCCTTCCAGTTGCGAGAATTGTCTGCCCGATAATCCCTATGTCCAAATGTTGAAAGAAGAGTACGGAGCCGAATGCAAGATATGCACCCGTCCGTTTACAGTCTTCCGCTGGAAAGCCGATCGAACCTCCAGAACCAAGCGTACAAACATCTGCCTTACTTGCGCTCGACTCAAGAACTGCTGCCAGTGTTGTATGCTCGACTTATCCTTCGGTTTGCCTATCACAGTTAGAGATGCTGCTCTAAAAATGGTTGCGCCGGGTCCACAGTCCAGTATCAACCGAGAGTACTACGCCCAAGAACACGAGAAGGAACTAGAAGAAGGACGAGGTGCAGTTGAAGCGTATGAAAAGACAGATGAGAAAGCCAGAGAACTGTTGCGCAGGCTGGCTAACAGTGAGCCATACTACAAGAAGCAAAGACGGCTGGAAGCAGAGGGTTCTCAATCCAGTCAACAACAACAACAACCACAACAGAAAGAGCAGAAGCAAAGTGGTTATGGTCCTGGGCCTATTCGAACTGCAGACTCTAGAAAATCCGGAAGCGCACATCGCGGTGCTAAGGCGGGACCCGGTGGTGCTAGGGCCGTCACAGTGGCAAGACCCCCTCAACCCGAAGATTGGCTTCCCCCTCCGGATCCCAATATCACCTCGCTCTTCGTCACCGGTGTCGAGGACGATCTGCCAGAACACGCAATCCGTGCCTTCTTCACTCCTTTTGGTCAGATCCGGTCTATTGTCTGCTCCCACCGAGCGCACTGCGCATTCATCAACTATGCCACAAGAGAGGGAGCCGAGGCTGCGGCGGCGCACTGCCAAGGGAAAGCAGCCATCCAAGGATGTCCGTTGCGAGTTCGGTGGGGCAAGCCGAAACCGCTCGATAATACAGACCGGGAGCAGAAGATGAGCTGGGCAAGGGAAGGTCGGGAAACCGCTGCTGCTGCCAGAGCTCAGCAGTCTGGCCAAAGGGCTATCACCACTGGCGATAACCAAGCTCAAATCGAGGGTGCAGATGTTCAAGAGAATACTAGCTTCGCTGTGGCGCCTCCACCAGGCCAAGGGGAAGTCACCTATGCCAGTTTGGCTGGTGATTGAGCTTGTCGTATCAAAGTTGTCTTTATTTGTACAGAATCAGCACGGCGTTATGGCACAGCATGCAACTGGCATGCAATGGCGAGGGTAAGCCGTCCACCGGGGTATCATTATGTGTTCCCAAAAATGAATGAATCCAAGCGTTTCTTTTTGATTTTTCATACACCGCCGACCTTGACTTTTCCGTCTTTGCCGAGGGGATTCTTGACAGTGTCATTGTCGCCTCTCTCTATGTCCTTGTGTATGTTCAGTCCTATGCCATAAGTGTTAGATTCGTGTCCGTCCTGCAATGTGCCTTCACATACGTATCACATCAGAACCGTCGACGAGCTTGCCTTGCACAACATTATGTCGTAATACTGATGCGACGCCCTCAGCATGTGCTATGCCCTTGATCGCCTCTTCTGAGTCGGCGTCTACTGTCCTTAGCATCTCGAACCCTGTGCGGGCCTGCATCCGGGCAGCATGTAGTAGATGGTAGTCGTCTTGAAATGCTCTTCGCGTCGCTCGCAGTAGGTGTCTGTAAGCCGCCAGCGCCATCTTTGTCGGAAAGAAACGAGTGAAGAGTGAATGCAGGGTGAGGCACGCTCTGGGAGAAGCAGTATTCACTTCACTTGAATTAGATGGTCGGCGCAATCACATTCACGACTCTTTCATTCTCGCTTCTCCTTCCTTCTTCGACAGCACCAAACTGTCTATCTCATCCAGGAAACTTAGCCGAATATGATGCGCCCACGCCCGCCAATCGCCCGTCGCTCTCGGATGGGTAAGTTGCGTCTCTCTCGACCAAAAAAAAAACTCTCTGCCCAACATACTGACTGCCTGTAAATCTCTAGGCCCTCTACGTTCCGTTGAGGAAGTCCTCCAGGCCGTTGCAGAAATCGACGCTTACAACGCAGCATACGCCGAATACGAAGAAGCACTCGCCGAGTACGAAGCAGCACAAGCCCAGTTGGCGTCCGTGGCAGAAGAGGCGGCAGAGGAGGCTACAGAAGAGGCCCCAGAAGAGGCTCCAGAACAGGCTCCAGAGGAAACTCCAGGAGAAGCTCCAGAAGAAGCTGCAGCAGAGGCGCTCCTTGCCATGGCTTCTGACGGCCTTGTGCCGCCCCCGGCGGATGACTGGAAGGGTGACAATGGCAATCCCAGCTTTCGCACCTTGGGAAAACTCTCTCCGCCTGTGATGCGTAAAATTGAGCCGTACGGAGCGCAATTCCTTGCCTTCGCTCGCCGCAAGCGCCATGGTCGTACTTTCTCTGAAGATCAACGTCTCGAAGCCCTTAAGAAGGTGAAGAAGTCCGAGGACGATGATGATGATGAGATCAGCGAGCCAGAAGACCCCTTGATGCTTGCGAGAGATGCGAAAGACTGGAAGGTAAGATCTCTTTCAAGGTCTCGAGTTTAGTCCTTCACCGCTGACCGTGTTGTGCAGGGACAAGACCACTACGCCGTCCTCGGCCTCTCCAAATACCGCTACAAGGCTACCGACGAGCAGATCAAGAAGGCTCATCGCAAGAAAGTCCTCAAACATCATCCTGACAAGAAGGCCGCGGCTGGTCAGAGCGACGAGAATGACAGCTTCTTCAAATGTATTCAGCGTGCCTACGAGATCCTGACCGACCCAGTCAAACGCCGTCAGTGGGACTCGGTTGACGAAGCCGCTGACGTCGAACCCCCAACCAAGAAAGACATGCAGAAGCCTGGGAACTTTTACAAGAAGTGGAATGCCGTGTTCCAGAGCGAAGCCAGATTCAGCAAGAAGACTCCTGTCCCTATGCTCGGAGACGAAAATAGCACGCGTGAGGAAGTGGAAGAATTCTACGACTTCTGGTACAACTTCGACAGTTGGCGCACGTTTGAGTATCTTGATGAAGATGTCCCGGATGACAACGAAGGACGCGACCACAAGCGACACGTTGAGAAGAAGAACGCGAACGCTCGACGTAAGCGCAAGACGGAGGATACCGCTCGTTTGAGGAAGCTCGTGGATGACTGCCTGAGCTATGACGAGAGAATCAAGAAGTTCCGCAAGGCCGCGAACGCAGACAAGAACAAGAAGCGCTTGGAGAAAGAAGCTGCAGCCAAACGCGAGGCCGAAGAGAAACAACGCGCCAAGGAGGAAGAGGAGCGCAAGAAGAAAGAGGAAGAAGAAAAGTTGAAGGCGGACAAAGAAGCGACCAAGAAGGCGAAGGAGGCAGCCAAGAACGCTGTCAAGAAGAACAAGCGTGTTGTCAAGGGCAGCGTCAAAGATGTCAACTACTTCTCCGAGGGTGAAGCGTCTCCTCAACAGATTGACGATGTGTTGAACGACGTGGACAAGGTGCTCGGCAACATCGACGCGGACGAGTTGGCTGAGCTTGTTTCCCAACTCAGCATTGCCGGAAAGGACGCAGCAAAGGTCAAGGAGGCTTTTTCGGCGACCACGGGTGGCTTGGTCGGTGCTGGGAAGCTCAAGGAGAGTGACTTGAAGGTCTTGAAATGAGTTTGAAATGAGCTTGAAATGAGAAATACGGGCGCAGAAAACATAGAGATTGATTCAGGCATAGCGATGTGCACCGGGCTGGACTGTCAGCAGCAAGACGCTGCAACAATGCAAGAAATGTTTCATTCACCCTGTTCCATTATGTTCCGAGCCGACTTCTGGCACATTTTGAAGCAGAGTGCTCAATAACGACAAGGTAGTCGCCATATCGAAGACAGCCAATCTTTTTAGTAGTAAGTACACTGATCCCGCTGTATCTAAGAGGCAGACAGAATACTTCTGATGACTGAAGACGAACCTCATCACTAACGCAAGTGGTTAATCAACGTCCTACTTTTGTGCCGTCGTCGTGCCCTCTTCTCGTCAGATCCTGTGCCACGTTACCTCCGACGTCGGCTCGACGTGCAAGTTATTGACATGAGAATGATTCCACCGGACTCCGGAGCTGCAGCTGGGCCTTGCCTTTTCAGCAAACAGGCCATCCAGTCCCTCATGGGTTCTGCTGTATGGCCCGCGTCAGCAGGTCGGTGTCGAGGTACGCTCGCACCTGGACGATTTTGCCCCGGGCGAACTTGCAGATCCAGCAGTAGCGCATGTCGTAGGGGAGGCCTGCGGGGGGTGGGGAGGTGTTAGTATCTGTTTGTGTGTGAATGTCTGTATGTATGGCGATATCCTGTCATGCCCTGACCTGCTTCACCCATTGTATCCCTCCGTATCTGCATTATTCGAGAATAGGGCAGAAGAGCATAACCAGGGCAAAGTAATCACACATCCCGCGACGAAGGGTCAAGCAAATATTCCACGCCTCCCAAACAACCCTGAGAGAAGAAAGAGATCGAGCAGGAAACTCACCATTTCTACACACCGCATCCAAAGCCTCCAACTCCACCACGACCTCGCCCTCAATCTCCTCATCCTTCCCCTCTTTCCCTTCTTCTCCCACCGGCGACACAATGACATGACGCACGCCGAGCCTCAGTGGCTCCGTTAGAACTCGCTCGCGGAGTACTTTCAACGTGTTGTCGATGAAGTCCTGCTTGGACGTGTAGCGGGCCGACATGGGCGAGTGGCCCGAGATGGTCCAGTCGACGTCGTCGGCGAGCAGGGCCAAAGTCTCGGGTTGCCGGCCTTGGATGGACAACGGGGTGAAGAGGCGGGAGATTTGGGAGGTGGTGGGGGGTGCCATTATCACTATTGAGTTCGAAGCGAAATAGTATGTTATATTGTTGTGGCTTCTGTTTGTGGTTGTGGTGATGAGGAGGAGGAGGAGGAGGAGGGGAAAGGGTGATGATGGAGGGATGGTAAAGAGTCAAAACTTAAACTGCAGATCGGATATAAGCAGCCTCGCTGATCAAGGCTGAGATGAAAAGGGTTTTCAAGAATCAAGAGCAAAATCATGAACCGCGTCCTCGTGTCGATTCAATATACACACCCGTTCCACAAACCTCGGCCACCGTTATTATGTATGTCGTATGTATGTCGTATGTACCTCGTATATCTCGCAGTTTCTCCAAATAATAAGCCTGCTTGCGCAATGCTAAGAACTTAGAAACCTCCGCACCGCACCCGATCCAGGGCGGGACGTCCTTGTCTCGCTCAGAAGCGTCTGCGGTTCTGAGGTAATATGTAAGATTGCCGGACAGGGTATATGCACCTACGTGCTACTAATATTACTTGGGACAAAAGGGGAAATAAAAGACTGATCGGCCCCACTGACCTTGGATGAACTTATGCATGAACGTTGTAGCGGGTGCGTATGTATGTACCGAGTACTCGGTATTCAAATGCACGACACAATGGGCAACTTACCGGCTCAGGAATGCTTGGGTACTGGCCGTCAGCGGCTCTGGATTCGGAGCCTCGCAATGTGACCATCACCTGCGGGACTGCATTTTTTCCACACAGGGGTATGATGATGAAGATGTGTTGGCCTCGCAGTATTATCTTGTAATACCTGGTAGAGTCCATGGTACAGAAACTGCACAGCTTTGACACAGCCCTGCGACCCATTCCCAGAACGGAGCAGCTTTTTTTTAACAAAGGCACCAGGGAGATACACAAGTGGCCTCCGGTGCCTGGTGTATCTGCTAACGGGACAGTGATGCTTTTCAGGTCTGAACGGGGGCACGACAGCGAATATTAGTTCCACATTCGATACACCATCCAGGAGCCCTGGCATAGAGTAATGAGTCTTCATTCCCCAAATCTACCAGCTCTCATACTCGAGTCACAATCTGCTGCAGGTACAGAGTCACAAGTTCCATATGGATGGCATTTCTTCGTGGTCGAAGGCTGCTCTTCTGCGAGCTCAGATACGCTCGTCGGTTCCATCGGCTTCTGACGTTGTATCGAATGTCCACCAAAGTACTTTCAATCGAGGCACGCTCCCAGGGGGGAAGTTTTTCAAGCGCGAGCTTGTTTGTAAGATCCCTAAAGGGGATGGGGGAAAGGTAGGTCGGGGCTTGACGAGATGGTTACGCGCTGGCTGGGCACATGGCGGGGCATTCCAGTTCATATTGGGACCTCCCCAATGTAGGGTGACTCTGGAAATTCACCTCGTGAGAGGAGCTCCGTTTCTGCTTTCCATATCTCCTCTCTTGCTTTCATTGTGGTCGCGAACTCTTGATAAGAGGTGATTCATCTGCTGAACCGTCTGTGGGAGACTGGCGCTGAAGCAGTCCTGGAAGCGCGTGACAAAGAGGGCAGAACGCCATTGCTCGTTGCAGCATCTCACGCAAACGACGTGATGATCAGAGCTCTTTTGGACAAAGGGGCTGCTGTAGAGGCAAAGGATGGGAAGGGTAATACGGTTCTTCACAGTCTCAGTCTCGGTGATCCCATTGACGAGCAGCAGGCGGCCCAAATTTTTCACAGAGTATCTACAGCGTCGCTATCGCGGAGCATGATAAGCTTGGACGTCAGAAACAACGAAGGGAGGACGCCACTGCATGAAGCGTGTTGTCGTGGCAGGGCGTTCCTGGCAGAAGCTCTTGTCTGGGCCGGAGCAGACCCAGAGGCTCTCGACAGCGCTGGTCAGACTCCGCTGCAGCTTGTTCCCGAAATCTGGAGGGAAGACGTGCGTGGATTTGTTGAACGCGGCTTTGCCATGAGAGGCTGGGAGCGGGAGCATCCACTTTACCACCAGCTAAATCCAGAGCCAGCTAAATCCAGAGCAGTATGCTCCGACTTTGTGGCCTCCCGAGTTACCACCGTCAGTAAGTTCAGCTAGTAGTAGTGTGGCTGATTATGAAGAATGGAGTCAAAACGAGAGTGAAGAATCCGATGCTGAAGGCGTCGAATTCTGGGATGGAAAGGCCATCAGGCGTAAATAAGAGTGCCAATTCTATTTACCTTCACAATCCCCTCGTACCTCACATGCAACCAAACAACATAGGAAAAGCACCTCACTCGGCTCAGGTATGTGTCACTCGTGTGCCGCCCCGGGCTCTATCTGGCTCGGAGCCTCGCAATATGCCCATCCCTTACAGGATTGTATTTTCCGCAAATTAGGTAGAATTCTGACGATTTGTTAGACTTACGGTACCTATACATATTATACTACAAATCAGTGAGTTCCCAAGTACAGAAACCCGGACGGCTTTGACAGATGTCACGTCTAGCGACCCATTTTCCAGAACAGAACCGCTTTTTCAACAGTGGCACCCAGGGGTTATGCACAAAAGTCAGCCTCCGGTGCCTGGTGCACACTGCATTTATATAGTGATCCACGACCTCTCTTTGATCTCATTTGCTAAAGGCGTGCTTTTGAGGGTAGTTGGACTGGGAGATGGCAGCGGGCGTCCCACATTCGATACCCCGAAGGATGCCCCAGGGATGGGTGCATGTATTCTTTTGTCCGAAGAGACGACAGAGGCTTTTGAAGCCTGGTGGAGTCCTGCGGTAAAAGTCGTATGAAGGCATCGATGATCGATGTACGAGAGAGATACTAGGAATTAACATTTGTCGCACTTGGTTGGAGTCTGGTGGTCGAGCCCTGTGTCTCTGTAATATCGTTCCAGACGGGCAGGCCGTGGGGTAAGGGGAAAGGGGTAGAAGGTGGGGGAGGTGACTGACCGGCTGTTCGGGGCAGGTCCTAGGCAAGAGACAAGAGTATCCGTTGTATTGTGTGCTTGAGGAGTACGGAACATTCCGAAGGCGAAGTGAGTACATACCTCCTGTCCATAGGTATCTATGCTATCCTCCCACACAGGCCAGGAGTTGACCTCGTGAAAACGTCTTTTGGCGCTGTAAAATTGTAATACTTACTGCGTAGCTACCCCAATATTGGGGTATCACAAACACAGCATTGATAAGTCGGGGAATGAACCGGTGAGCGGGTCTTAAACCTTATGTGCCACCGCGGGAAGTGGTCATGAGGTGGGAGTAATTATATTCCCGCTGCCAAGCACCGGAATTGTTATTCCTTCCCTCCTCCTGGCCAATCACAGTCCCTAAATTGCCGAAAATACCAGAGAAACAACAACAGCGGACTAGCTCGCAGCGATCTCATACTAAGTCCGATCTCGAGTGATATTAAGTTCCGCTAATTCATAACTAGATGGATAGTTCTGGAAAGGCCCAACTCCAACAAATCACGCCCCCTCTGCCGTGTACCTCTCTGCAAAAAAGAATGTTAGCTCTTGGCCCACCCGGTCTTTGTCGGTGCGTTGGCAAGCCCCGTTCTCGCCCTCCTTGTTGCCCTTCGAAGACAAAAAGCTAGGACGAAACCGGGTGTGCTTCTGGGCCCAAGACCCTAACTCCACTAAAAGATCGTCCCTGTAAGACCTAAATAAGTCAAAGGTTCCCCTCAAGGGTGACATCTCTTCATCAACCCAGGCCCACGTCTCTATAAAGAGTGAGCTGGACGCTAGGGAACATACCCTGGTCCTCACTCTTCATTATCATGTCCCCCCAGGGCGTGTAGAGCCCTCTTCCCAATTAACGTACGCCGCCGCTTCTGGCACGAGCTCCAGGATCTTGGCTCCGACAGAGTGGTTCTTGGGATTCGAGATATGTTCCAGGAAAGCGGTCGACAGGGTTGGTCGGTTTCTTGTCCGATCCCACCCGAGACACGCTTCGTTACTATACGACCAATTGTGGTACTGACCGGCTTCTAACAGCGATGCGTACGAGTCCCAGTGAGACAGAAGATACTGCTTGACAGGTGGTCTTAATACACCTCGGGTTAGCCCGGCCTTGTCAAGGGATCGCAGACAGATACTCACATGGCACAAATGTCTGCCCCAGCAGCATGTGGTCGAGCATATTGCTGCTTCGTGGGTCTCAGCATAACAGGCAAGTCATCATATGTTTCCTTGCACGGATGAATAAAATACTGGTCTCCACTAAGTATGCAAAAGCGATTCCACAGAGGGTACACTCAATACACACCCGCATTTGAATCCCGGCAACAAAAATCCCGGTCAATTGCACTGTCAGCGGCAAAGGATACGCTTTCGCTAGCTCGCAGGCCCAGGTCCAAGCAGTATGGGGGTCTCCTTCCCGTCGGTCCCGCAGGAACAACTCGAGGTCTGGTTTCTTCGACCCGATGAGGTCTGCGACATTTGCATTGCCCTGCAACGCTTTCCGGGCTCCATCGCGGAAAGTCAATATTGTCTTTGACAACATGTCATCCGACTCAATGTGATACGGATCGCAACTAAAGACCGGCATGTTGATCTTGTTCAGATCCGAGGCCGACAGACGTTTCTCCAGTCGAGTCCAAACTCGGTCTCCGGACGTGCGCTGGCCCTGCACGGTGCCACCTGAGGGGGGTAGATGCTCAACGAGAGAAGGAACTATGGCTGTCTCGCTCAACTCAAGCGGTGGATCCCATGTGCTTTGTCCGGGCGTCTCTGGGCAAACTCCAGCGACATGCTCCGCAGCCTTGGCGGGCTCCTTCCCAGACCTGGTGGACCTCGAAAGATCTGCTGAAGGGCTGTCGGACTTGTCTGATGTCGCTTGGGTGGACGACGACTGCTCCGCGGAGGCAGCGCTCGAAGAAGGCTCCGCTGTCTGGGACGAAGGAGCCTCTGGCGGGGTTCCGGTTCCCAGAAGGACACTGGCAATTTCTTCGAAGGTGGCACCTTCTCGGACCGCTCGAATCGCCTCGTCAGCATCCGAAGTCCGGATCAGGTCCAAGAGCCGGTCCAGAACGACCTGTTGTTGTCGTAGTCTCTCAACGTGCTGGACGGTGTTGCGGTTCCGTCTCAGGTCGCCATATTTGGAGTCCATGTCGTAAGTGCATTTGCGACCAGTCTGCATGCAAGGCGCACAGGGGCAGAGTGCGTTACACTAAAAGGAATTTGGCGATTTGCCGTTCAGCTTGGGACCTTCGTTCACCTTATCACTCAACTTGTTACGAAATGCCTCAGGCTTACCTTTCTTCTCCTCTTTCGGCATTGGTCACAAGCTCGGCTGACATTCTTCCTGGACCTGTTGTTGGCGGTAGTGGTGGAGGTGGGAGTCGACGAAGAGCCTTTCTCAGGGGGAGCCTCATCGACGCTTCCGCCCTCAGACGCCCCGACCTCGCTGTTCGGATCTTTTGGTTGAAGAGTCCTCATGACGATTCGTCGTCGCCGATGGAGCAGAGCAATGCTTGTTTCCCCTCAAGCACTCCGCAACCCACATTCTGCTCGCTTGCTCGAGGCCCGCTAATCCCTTTACGTGTGCAGCCGTGGTGGCCCGTGTTGGCTGGTGGTACCGGCAAAACACTTCCGAACAACGTCTAAAATCGTCCGCGTGCATGGTCCTGGATGGCTCGCTTAGAGCGCTGATAAAACCGCGCAAACAGCTGGAGCTAGAACCAATTAAGAACCCTGGAGCTATATTGTACATCTCTGGGCATGTGCAAATAGCCCTGTTTGCGGGTATTGGTCCCTGAGCATCTACCAGCAGGACATTGAAACCTCGACAACACTGTCATTTTGGATGGTTTTGCATCAACCAAGCCTTTATGAGATGGGTGAAAGAACAAGGAAATGGGAGGACTTCTAGTTTGAGAGTGCATATGGCGCTCTTGCTCTCTCGGAACCTACCTGAGGGTAGACACAGCCTCGGGCAGGCTCAGCCTTAACGTCTTCGCAGTTCTGTGCCCCGGCGATAGGCGAGAGCTGGAAGCTCTCTAATTAGACGTAGGAAAGCATTTCAGAGATCTTGTTCCGTACGTCCACAATGCAGTCAGCGAGAACAATATTTATAGATGACATTGATATTCTTATTTGGAAGACCTTGGACTCAATCTCAAGGTGGCATCGGTACAAGTAGCCGCATGCCAGTTCTGTTTAGACAATCGCAAACCACCAAGTCCCTGGGAACAGCTAACCAGTATCAAATCTCAAAGCTTCAAACGCCACAGATCCGATCCGCTCCACGGTTGATAATGTTCACAAATGGTCCCGACCCAACGTCTGTTCATGCCCAACTAAAAGGCCCCCTCAAATCATTTCGAACGCGTATGTCGATTCACATCTTACTTCTTGTTGAAGAAGCTGCTTGCCACAGACCCAAGACCTCCGGAGGCAAAGTTCTGATTGTTGCTGCTAGCATAGCTGCCATCGTCGCGATATCCGTGGTTGTGCTTGTTGTGCTTGCCTGGTTTGTTGCTGTGCTTCTTGTTCTTCTTTGCGTAGTCCTCAGTCAACGAGCCAAGAATGGCTCCGCCTAGAGCACCCAAGACACCGTGGCCAACCTTGTGGCCACCAAAGGCACCGGCCGCGCCACCGGCTGCCGCGCCAAGCAGTCCACGATCTTCCTCGGGGCCTTGCGGGTTGGTGTTGGTGTTGTTATTATAGTAAGCGGTGTTGGAGCCGCCTTGTTGGTAAGCGTTGTCGGGATAGGACGAGCTACGCGTGTCGGGATAGTAGCTCTGCGGGTTATGGTATGCTTGGGGTTGGTATGACCCAGAGAAGCCCTCGGCGGGGTAGGAATTCTGGCTGTAGTATTGATTGTTGTGGTCGTAGGTTTGAGAATAGGCAGGATACTGATCGTAGGAGCCCGACATTGGTGCTGATGTAGTGTGATACACTTGAGAGATGAGGGACTTGCTTCTGATGTTGGCACTGCTGTTGGTATGATGTGTGGTGATAGGATGATATCGAATGAAGGGATGTAGTAACAGACACAAAGGGGCAGATACTTTTATAGCTTTTCTCTTACCTTGATGCCTTGATCGACAAAGACTGATCAACGTAGGACCCGATACGTGTTCAAGGTGGCGTGCATCCCCATGTCTAACAACCCGTTAGGATACACGTCGGCCTGACGCCCCTCTCCACGAACGTATGAGAGGGCAATATGAGCCATTCTCATCCAATGTTCTGGAAGATTTCCGAATCCGCGCGAGATGATGGAAGAGATTGGCATAGCACGGCGGATGCGTGAAGAGTGAAGAGGCGAGGCGGATTTGGGCAGATGGATATGGGATGATGATTGGCTGTGGCGCAGCGAGGCGCAGGCGCAAGGCTGTGCAACTCTAGAAAATCTCCGATTGGCTGCATGCCAACTTCCCTCATCAAATCAGCTGGACCGGCTCCATCTCACGCAGCTCTCGGCCTCGTAGCGATGACTATCACCAAGAGGCACAGTTCGGAGGACGCGCCATTGGTCTATCCTCATTATTACTTCTCCGCGCGCGACAGATGGTTTGCTGGATAATACGTCAGGACAGTGGAAGGCTCCCGCCCACAGTGCGTCAACGTTAGGCCTGCATCCGGTACGCTGTGCGAGTCTGCCTGATCTCCATAGTCTTCGTCGATATTGGCCCTGCTTCTCGTCCTTATGGACCGATACAGCTGGTGTGAGCTTCTATCGCCATTGACTTTGGTGCCTTTGCCTCTCCTCCTAGTCTTATGTGCGTCCTGATGCTGAGCAACGATGGAAGTTGATTCGCTTCTGAACACGAATTGGCCAGAATGTACCTCGTCAAGGTCCCCGGATCCCAGGTCTATCCAAATGCACGAGCTTTGTCCATTATGGCTTTTTGTCCCCTGTCCTCAGTACGACTTGGGCAGGCCAAGCACCCTTTCTCCGATGTAGTTCTTGATCATCTCTCGACTGACCGGCGCCAGTCTGGGAATCATAATCTCCCTCAGGTACCTCTCGACATGATACTCCTTTGCGTACCCCATTCCACCATGCGTCATCACGGCTCTCTCACAGGCCCGGAAAGCGGCCTCAGCAGCCAAGTATTTGGCCGCATTTGCGTACTCTCCCGTCTCGTACCCGGCGTCATACATCCTTGCGGCCTGGTAGATCATCAGTCTGGCGGCTTCGAGCTCCATCCAGCTCTCTGCCAGGGGATGTTGGATAGCCTGGTTCTTCCCAATAGGCCGACCAAACACTACCCGCTCGCCAGCATACAACGCGGCTCTTCGCAACGCAGCAAACCCTGTCCCCAATGCCTCAGCTGCAATCAGTATTCTCTCAGCATTCATGCCGTGCATAATCATCTTGAACCCGTTCCCCTCCTCTCCGATCAAATCCTCCTTCGGCACTTTCCAGCCGTCGAAGAACAGGCTGTTGGAATCCACCGCTGCCCTGCCCATTTTGGGGATCTCCCGCACCTCGACCTGTTTCCGGTCAAGATCCGTGTAGAACAAGCTCAAGCCCTGGCTGGGCTTTTTGACCTCGTCCAGCGGCGTCGTCCTCACCAGGATGAGGATCTTCTCCGCCACCTGCGCGGTGGAGATCCATATCTTCTGCCCGCTCAGCCGGTAGAAGTCACCGGCGTCACCGTCCCGGACAGCTCGTGACTGTAACCTCAAGGTGTCCAACCCGGTATTCGGTTCCGTGACGCCGAAACACGCCCTCTCCCGCCCTTCAATCAACGGCACCAACATCCTCTTCTTCTGTTCCTCCGTGCCAAACTTCCTCACGGGCTCCAACCCAAAGATGTTCATGTGCACGGCACTCGCGCCCGCGTACGCCGCCCCGGATTCCGCGATCGTCTGCACCATTACGGCCGCTTCGGCGATTCCCAGATCGCTGCCCCCGTACTCCGAGGGCATGCAGATGCCCAGCCAGCCGTCCTTGGCGATGGCCTGTTGGAACTCTGTGGGGAAACGGTGCTCGCGGTCCGCGGCGAGCCAGTATTCATCGCCGAATTTCGCACATACTTTGCTGATGGCTTCACGCACCGTCCGCTGTGATTCTGTGAGGTCTGGATCGTGGAGTTGGAGGTACTCTGTGCCGCGAGCGGCAGCCAGGCTGCTTGTAGAGAATGTCGAAGACGATATGCGGTGAGGATGGTGGCGGGATGCCTTTTGCATTGGCGTTACTCTCGTTCTTCTCTCAATCCCACGAAGCACATTCGTTACCGCCTTTCTAGAAGCCATGCTGGTAGACCGCGGCGCCGAAACATGCGATGAATATTCGAACCTTTCTGCCCAAAATGCTTACAGTTTCTCCGTCTTTGAGCCAGTTGCTTCGTATTTATTTGTCACAAAGTGTGTGAACTGATGAGAAGCCACTTCCCACCCTGGCAAAGCATGCATACACTCCCTCAAGCTGTGACCACACCAGACTAGATCTGCGGCTTGTACGTCTTGACTGTCCAAAGGGGTCTGGCAGGTCTTGAACATTTCGAAGTTTTGAGTTTAGACAATCGGCCTAGGTACTTGTTTGCTCTGCCCCCTCACGCAGCCTCGTCAGCCTCGGTCCGTATGCGCATGGCTGGTGGGCTTTACCCCAAGTAGCCCCAGTTACGGAGTTTCCCCCAGCGCACACATTTTGTGCTTGAGGGTTACATTCCACTCGCAAACGGGAGGTAGAAGCCGAAGTCGGAGTGGTAGCAATTGAACGAACTCAATTATCCAATCTCAGACTCCCACAAAAGGTATCGTGACAAAGGCTGCAAAGGGGAGGAGGACGACTGGAGGGTATCATCGCTGGATTCGATGCTTCGTCCACAATGACACGACCAACACGTCTGGTACCCAGACGGCACGCTTTAGCAAAGCTCCATGCTGGAAACCTGCTGGGAAACAAATCTACAACATCACCATGGGCACCTAATATACGAAGAACACTGTCCACCGGCACTCCTAGCAAACAACAACGCAACAACCGTCTCCCCCTCTCGGGCCTCAAGATCCTCGACTTAACCCGTGTGCTCGCGGGACCCTTTTGCACGCAAATCCTCGCAGACTACGGCGCCTCAGTCCTAAAAGTCGAACAGCCTGGCATGGGCGACGAGACACGGCAATGGCGCACGCACAACGAGTCGCAAAAGTGGAAGGACCAGCATAAGCTGATGAGCCTGTACTTTGCGGCCGTGAACCGGAACAAGAAGTCCGTGACGGTCAACTTCAAGGACCCCAAGGGGAGGGAGATTGTGGAAAGGCTCGCGAGAGAGTGGGAAGGTGGTGTGGATGTCGTGGTGCATAATTTCTTACCGGGGAAAATTGAGGGGATGGGCTTGGGTTATGAGCAGCTGAAGCGGGCCATGGGTGAAGCAAAAGGGGAGAAGTTGATCTACGCCGCCGTCAGTGGGTATGGTCCTACGGGCCCCAGTGCGCAACGAGCTGGGTATGATGCCATTGCGCTGGCTGAGGCCGGGTTGCTGCACATCACGGGTGAAGGGAGCGGGCCTCCGTCGAAACCTGGTGTTGCAATGGCCGACTTGTGCAGTATGACCCCTTCTTCTCACAGACTGCTCCTTTTAATCTTGTTGTCAAGGTCCCTCACTGTCGGGCATAGGCTAACAGAGATTCGCAGCGGGCTTGTACACGCATGGAGCCATCCTTGCGGCGTTGCATCAGAGGGATGTCACTGGAAAAGGCTGTTTGATTGAAGGGAGTCTATTTGAGAGCAGCCTGAGCTTGCTCATTAATGTGGGATTAGCGAGTCTGAATCTGGACGTTGATAAAGGCCCCGAGAAAAGAAGGAGAGGAAAGAGACTAGGTCTAGAGCATCCCAGCTTGGTACCTTATGGAGGTTTTGAGACCAAAGATAAGAAGATGATGTACGTGGCGGCGAACAACAATAGACAGTGGAAAGGGTTCTGCGGGCGTATGGGAATCACAGGCCTAGGCGAGGACGAGAGATTCAGTACGAATGACGGGCGAGTCGAGCATAGGGAGGAGATCAATCGGATTTTGCAGGACAAATTTCGGGGGAAGACGAAGGATGAGTGGATGGCTGCGTTTGAAGGCAGTGGATTGCCATATGGTGCGATTAACGATGTGGTCGAGGCGTTGGAGCACCCTCAGGCTAAAGCCCGCAATATGGTGGTCGATGTCGAGAATTTTGAAGCAGCAAGAGATGGAGTGCTCAGGTTGATTGGACCTGCCGTGAAGTTTGAAGGAGCACAAATGAATGTGAGGCTGAAACCACCGTTGCTGGGTGAGCATACCGAGCAGGTTCTGGGGGGGCTCGGGTATAACTCCGCTGAAGTCGCTGAGTTGAGGAAGTCTGGAGTTGTCTGACCAATAGCCATGGGTCTTCACACGACAGATGTAAATATAGACCAAAAGAAGATAGAAATGCGTGGTTTTGTTCAGAGACCATCGTGGAGATCCGGTAGATCTAGTCTTGTGTGATGATAGTACAAGGGCAATCCATTTCCTCACCACTGGAAAATGTACAGTGCTTTGATATTTTTGTGATTCTTGAACCGCGTCTACAACCGACAACCCCCAGCGCCCGGCAAACACGCATCAGTGTGCGTCAGGTTGGGCGCAGATATAAGTGACTGCCTGGTCGACTTGATGGCTGTCAGCAAGGGATCCTAGAGATATGGTCGGCACAACATACCGCTGTGAATAGCATCAGCCTCCTTGTCTGGGATCTCGATGCTGAACTCTTCTTCAATGGCCATCACGACCTCGACGGTATCCAAGCTGTCCAATCCAAGATCATTCTGAAAGTGTGCCGTGCCGCTGATCTAAAGTAACCTATCAGCAGAACTTCAAACTCACATCGCAAAGTGATGCTACCTTTGTTGCATCTGTGACCTGCCCCATGTTAGCAATTGCAATACCATCACACGAGCGACGGGTGCGCACTTTGTCAAAGTTCTTCAATAGATCCATTATCCTCCCTTGCACCTCCTCTTTCGACAAGCCGGCAGGCGCTGAGTAGTATCGTATGCTTGGAACAACGAAGGAGGGAGTAACTCTTGATGATTGCAGCAGGGAGGTAGAGATTCGAGATCGGAAAGCAGGTAATTGTCGGGGCACCTGGGTCCTTGTGGCTGCGTATAGCGCTCTGACGGCACCTGCCCGGATCATCTTGACCGTGAGCTGAAGTGAATGGGTAGAGGTAAAGAAGAGAGGCAATTGCTGGGGAGGCGGGAACAAGCCTTTCGCTGGTTGTAGGTAATGATTGAATTTCTGGACGGAGATGCAGACAAGTGCAGCGAGCTTCGGAAAGGGAAGAGCTTGTTCGAGTCACGTGAAGCCAACCAATCACATTGCAATTAATCCCATTACCGCATCAATGACCTCCACGGGCTCTGCTCTCAATTACATCCTGTACCACGCCTCTTCTCTTGCGCTCGCCACGCATCGTCAATTGCCAGTCTGCAACCTCCACGGACAATGGCGTCGTCACTTCGTCCAGCATCGCGGCTCGTCGCCAGGCCATTGTCGGCTTCATCAGCCATCCTGCGACAAGCAGAACGATCACCTTTCCTCCGTGCCGCCACAACAGCTCAATTTCACTCTTCAAGTCCCAGAAATGCCTTACCTTCGGGCCCTCCGCCGCAGGGCTATAGACTCCCACGACCAAAAAGATTCGATGAGGGCGAGGGTATGATGGACAAGGCTAGCAATTACTTTCTTCTCACCGAGATGCTGAGGGGCATGTATGTGGTGTTGGAACAATTCTTCAGACCACCGTATGTCCGAACAATCAGTTGTTGGAGGTCAAAATACCTGCAGGATGTTATACTGACGGTGTGGCTACAGCTACACAATCTACTATCCGTTCGAAAAAGGGCCCATCTCACCACGATTCCGAGGCGAGCACGCCCTGAGGCGCTATCCCTCGGGCGAAGAGAGATGTATCGCCTGCAAGCTTTGCGAAGCCATTTGCCCCGCCCTAGCCATCACAATTGAAGCCGAAGAAAGAGAAGATGGCTCGAGAAGGACTACCCGTTATGACATTGATATGACAAAGTGCATCTACTGTGGTCTTTGCCAGGAGAGCTGCCCCGTTGATGCTATCGTGGAGACACCCAACGCCGAGTATGCAACAGAGTATCGAGAAGAGCTCTTGTACAACAAAGAGAAATTGCTTGCCAACGGCGACAAATGGGAACCCGAATTGGCGGCGGTGGCAAGAGCGGATGCACCATACAGATAAAAGTGGTCTTACAAGGCTGTTGTTTGCGCTCATTCTCAAATTGTACATAAGCTGTGAATCAGCATGAAGGAGAGAGTGGCTTTGCAGCGGAATCACCATAAATTGCATTTTATCTGACAGAGGCTGTTTTCACGCGCTGTGGTGCTTCATGTTGTTCGATCGGCTCGATTTGCTCAATATTACGCCAGCTTAAAAGGCTCGCACTCGAACCTGTAACATGATATTTTCCTATCTCTCGGTCTTCACGGCACAAACATGATCGCGGCCTCTATCCCAACGCGCGCATCGTCAACTCGACTCTGGACGCTTACGTTAGCCACGATAAATATGTGAACGAAAATCGAGGAGAAACTTACACTGCAAAGGTACCCGCACTGACAGGCATCGCCCTCACCAATGTCGGCCCAATGCCCTTCCAGAATCCTCTCATTCCGTCAACCTTCCACGTTTGCGCAAAGCAATCCCTCATGGTCTTATACCTCTGTTCCTTGCCGAACCCGTCACTCTGCATCTTGCTCTTGACCACGTCAAAAGGATAGCTAGCGATCCAAAGCGCTTCACCAGCAAGCCCTCCGTAGAAGGCGACCTTTGCTGAAGAGATATCTTCGCGGCGGACATTGTTGCGTTTCTGCTCTAGTTCCATCAAATATTCAAAAGTCAGGAACCAGACGCCGTAAGCTTGTGCTTCCCGGTAGAGTGTGACCGCTTGGCCGCGGTAGAGACCCCGTAGGACACCTTCGTGTGCAGACAGCTTTCTGATACAGTCCAGGGGACCGTTGTATAGGCGAGCGGCGCCATGTGGTTGAGTTTGTAGACGTATACGCACATGCTCGATGGGGCCAGAGAGAACAGAGTTCGTTAATCCAGCGAAAGCTCCTGCTAAATAGTATTGACCATGGGACAGGCCTGCTGGATGGTTGGCACGCAGGTTTTGTTCCTCGAACGCTCGTCTAGCATAGTGAAAGGCGCCAAACTGGACGGAGACACACGCCCCTATGCCGATCAAGGGAGTGAGCGTGCCTTTGTAGAATGCCAAGGGTCCTTCATTTTGGAGGATTGATGATGCACATGATAAGGCGCTAGGGTAGGTAGTTGTCGTCTGAAGGCGGACCTTGACGATATCTAAGAAACTCCTCGTGAGAAATTGATGAACAGAGGGCCAAAGGATATAATCCTTCACAGCTTACCGAATGGTTGACCTGGGAGAGAGAGTTAGTGTATGATCATGAAAAGACTACCACGACCAAAGCTGCGCAACATCGACAGAGTCAGCTCCTCCAAGGGAGCGGCGAGAAAATCCAATGCGAGAAGCGTCGCTACAAAAATCACTGTAAACTCATCCTGCCAACTCACCGAGTAGAACCTGGGCGACGCCCCCTGCAGCGCCAGCGAACAGATCTTTGGCGGTTCTCACCCAACTGGTATTTCCAGCCTCATGGGCTTCAATATCTTCGGCAACATCCCCCATCTTCTGATTCTGCTGCTCAATCGACCTCCCCAGCTGTGGCTCACCTTCGTTTTGGTTTTAAACGCAGACTATTTCAATATTAGATTCTTTTCCTTCTAGGGCACGTCACTCGCTAGCCTCCCTCGGTCGATAATCCGTCGCTGTCGCGGGTTTGGCCGCTGACTTGTGATTGGCTCTGTCCACTGCCGCAGGGTTCATCCGCAGTATTCAACGCTCGCTGTAGTGTCCGACAGGGTCTTGCAAGTCAGTATGGCAATTGGAGCCTGCTTGTCAATTGTGTATAGCGATCTAGCTTTGAATCGAGCATGGACTCGCGGAATTGAAGTGCGGTATCCAAAGGTGAGGAAGAGAACAGCGCTTTCGAGTCTCAATACTCTGCCGTATATACATGCGCGTAGCTTGATATGATCCACCCGAATGGGGTCTCCGCCAAAAAAGTTGTAGATACGAACTCGCCGTGGCGTGTCTCCGATTGAGTTCGGTACGAGACAAAATCATCGACTCGGGTGAGGCAACGTCGGATCAGCATGCGCAGGGCAGTGACGCGGAAGGTATGTGCAAACAACTATTGTTTCTTTCGAGTGTGCTAGATATTGACCAGTCTGCGCCAGCTACTACAAGGTCAAGACATCTGCTTTTTCTGCGCTTTCCGATACGCCGCCGAGTCTCGCCATGTCAGCTCCCTCCGACCCCAGCGTCGGCTTTACAGGGCTGCTAGTGCGTCAAAACGACCGGCTGGAGCAGCAGCCGCCCGTATAGAAGAGGAGGACGATGATTTTGCTGCGCCAGCGGTGCCAGCAAGGGAGCTTCTCGGCTGGAAGTGCCGTTGCAACCACATCAATAAACCTGCAAGATCAGAGTGTACGATATGCCTAAGTTCCCGTCCACAAAGGCCCGAAATGGTCTATACAGACCCCGGTCCCTCATTGTTTCCGCCTTCGCCTCCTCAAACCTCAATCCCGCCGAACGGACCACCCCGATCCAGCTATAGCTCTGCAGTTGAAGGAGGCTCGCTATCTGAGGTTCTTTCCCGCACACAAGCGCGGTCCCAAGAAAGACGGCGAAATGAACCTTCGCCCAATCCTCGATCGCTGCCTGGACAGCCTCAAGGCCAGCAGCAGTGGTCCCCAATGAGTAGAGCTCGGAGAGATTACAATGAAAACGGTGTTGGTGGAAGAAATGGCAGAAGTGATACACCCTCACGCGAGGCCACTTCTGGATCCCAGCGCCCACTTTTCAGGTATTCGCATATGCGGAAGCCACTTGCGGAATCAGGAAAGGGAGAGACTTTCAATGCGGGCAAGAACGAGCCCGGGGCCTTTTCGCCATACTCGAGGGCAGGTAATGCTTTAAAATATCGGGCCACCGAGGATTCGACAGCTGGAGAACAACGGCGGCCGGAAGCTTTTACATCAAGAACTGGATCATCCTCGGAGGCGCCAAGTGCTCTTGTCCAATCCTCATTGAGGGGCTGGGCGGGAAACAAGCGAGAGACCCAAGCAGCGAGACCCGCTGGACGAGATTTTCCAAGACGAGCCCCGCAAGAATCTGGGATTGGCAGAAACCCAAGTACTAGGGTTGCCCCAGACGACCCTTCAGTCTGGCGACCTGATTCATTGGGTACCCCGCAACGAGCGTTCGACCAAAGAACAAGTCGGGACAGACATGTAAAGAGAGTTTCTGAAGGATCGGATGAGCCAGCCATTGTTGACGAAGGACCCTCTTCAATGGTGGAGACTGAGCTTGTAGAGGATGTTGAAGACGAGAGGCGCAAGCGAAAGCCCGTCGGCGCCAAAGATCCTGATAGGAGATCTCGGCTTTATGAAATCGAGGAAGACGAGCCTATACAGGTGTCTCGGAGGGCTAAGCTTCCGACCACAAGAAGAAGCGGCATCTCCAGGGCAGGATCATCGGATTTCCACTTTGACCCCGATCTGGCCGAGGAATTTAGCGACCATGCAAAAGCTAGGCGGAAAAAGAAGGGAAAGCAAGCGAACGCGAAACAGCAGACGCCAGCACGACCAGAGATAGTTCTGCCAGAATTCATCAGTGTCGAGAAGCTGGCACAAGGACTCAAGGTGCGACTGCCAGACTTCATTGACAAGCTTGAAGAGGAGGGATTTGAGGGTGCGAGGTATGACCACGTCTTGGACTCGAGCACTTCCGCCATGTTTGCGGAAATTTATGGCTTCGAAGCCATTGTCAAGACCATTGACGAGACCGGCGATATTCTCCCACGTCCTGCAGCAGAAGATCCCTCGGTGTTACCGCCTCGCCCCCCAATTGTCACTATAATGGGTCATGTCGACCACGGGAAAACTACTATCCTTGATTACTTCAGGAAGGCCAACGTGGTGGCCACAGAGCACGGGGGCATCACTCAACACATTGGGGCTTTCTCCGTCACCATGCCTGGATCAGAGCGTAATATCACGTTTCTGGACACTCCCGGCCATGCTGCATTTCTGGAGATGCGCCGAAGAGGTGCCGTTGTGACCGACATTGTTGTTTTGGTTGTTGCTGCAGACGACAGTGTCAAGGCTCAGACGATAGAAGCCATCAAACACGCCCGAGAGGCTGGTGTCCAGATTATTGTGGCGATCAACAAGGTTGACAAACCTGAGGCCGACATTGAACAAGTCAAGCGAGATTTGATGCAACACGATATTGTTGTGGAAGACTTTGGTGGAGAGTATCAAGCTATTCCAGTGAGCGGAAAGACAGGCAAAGGCATGGGAGATTTAGAGGAAGCTATCCTTACCTTATCTGATGTTGCCGACTTCCGTGCCGAAACCGACGGACCAGCGGAAGGCTGGATTATCGAAAGCAAAATTGGTGCTACGGGTCGTGTCGCTACCATCCTTGTGCGCCGTGGAACTTTGAGACCAGGGGACTTTATTGTCGCTGGTACTACCTGGGCCCGTATTCGAACGCTGCGAAATGATTCAGGAGAATTGATTCAAGCCGCCCCGCCTGGTACACCCGTCCAAATAGATGGCTGGCGAGGTGATGATCCCGAGGCAGGGTTAGAGGTGCTTCAGGCCGAAAATGAGCAACGAGCAAAGGACGCGGTGGCAGTGAGAAAAGAACGCGAGGAAGCCGCTTGGGAGATGGACAATATGACGGCCATCAACGCAACACGCGCAGAGGAAGCAGCAGCCCGGACCAAGGTCCTTGAGTGGGAGAAAGAACAAGGCTACATGTCAGTGAGCTACAAAAGGCGTCCCAAGGACAATGAAGGCTGGATTGAGAAAGAGTCTTCTGGACCTCAACTTGTCCATTTCGTCGTCAAAGCCGATGTGGCTGGCAGCACAGAAGCTTTGGTTGCTGCTGTCAGTGCGATTGGCAACAACGAGGTTCGAGCAAATATTATTCACAGCGGGACAGGCGGTCTGACCGAGTCGGACATCAAAAGGTTGGCTGCGACCGGCGAAGTTGCTTATGCGATCTCGTTCAATCAACCCATTGATAATGACATACGGCAACTTGCGGCGGCGGCTCGGATTCAGATCCTTGACCACAACATCATCTACAAGGTCACTGACGATGTCACGGAGAAGGTGAGCGCAGAACTGCCTCCCATTGTGACCCAGCGCGTCTTGGGAGAGGCCGAGGTTGGTGATATCTTTGACATCAAAATCAAGAAAGGATCAATGAAGATCGCTGGGTGTCGGGTGACAAATGGGACAATCCGTCGCTCGGAGAAGATCCGAGTTTTGAGGAGAGGTGAGGTGATTTACACTGGTAAGTGCGCTCCGCGGCATTGGTTGTGATGTCCACTAACGAAATCCTAGGCATGCTCAACTCGTTCAAAAACATCAAGAAGGATGTTACGGAGATGCGAAAAGGCTCCGAATGCGGGATGGGCTTTGAGAACTGGGAAGCATTCGAAGTGGGCGATCAGATCCAGTCGTTTGAAGAAATCAGCGAGAAGCGAGCCTTGCATTAGCGCCCCTGTATGGTCCAGCCAGCATGTTTCTTTCCAGAAAGAAGGTCAAGAGCCTGGGACAGAAGAAGCAAGATGAAACAGGGCAGTGGAGCTGGCGGCTCTGCACGAGGCCCTGCGCGAGGCCGTGAGGCCGCAAGGCTGGCGCCCTTGTCCACAGTCACTCTCAGCCAATCAATGTCCTGTCTCGGCCCGGTCTTGGCAACAACTCCGCCCCTGCCAGCATTCTGCTCCGACCCCCCGAACACCAACCATTCCTGTCTCTGCTCTTTCTCGGAAACAAAGACCACTCTCTGCATAGACGACTTGCGGTCACTGCGTTTGTTTCACGGCATAGAAGAAACATGTTTCAATGAACAGACATAGATCCAGATTAGAACTATCAGAAAGGCCACCTCCGCTGCGTTGCCAATCTGAGACGCGCCGCATCATGATACTTCAAAAAGGTCCATCGAAGTATCTGGGCATCAGTTGCGCACCCAAACAATCTTCCCTCACATTTGAATCTGTTTGCATAGCTGAGGAGTTCTGTTCACATCAACTGTTTTCCTTGATACGCTGGCGTTGTTCTAACAAGCAGTTTAATCAATCGTCCTCCATCATCAGCTACATTTACACCGCTGCAATCACCTTGACCTCAAGATACTGCTGGACAGTCATGCATAACTTCATTTCCATCGTTGGCCTCTTTTTTCTGTTAACACCCATATTGGCTGGCCCAATCCAGAGGTATGTTCTCCCGGTACGTTTTCAGCGGCAGAATTGATTTTCAATACAGGCCTGATAATGTAATACGTCGTTTGAACCAGCCACAGAAACGCTATGTAGTGAACGGCCTTCTCTCACTGACTCACGGGCCGCCGAAGAGACGGCAAGCTCCCACAGACCCGGCGAACAATGCCGCGGCGGCAAGCCCAACCACCACATCGAGCATCAACCCGTTCGCAGCGCAGACAGGGAGTGGAACAGAGAATGGAGCGGTCCCTGCTGTTGGCGTGGGAGGAGACAATACCAGTCTGGTCAGCCTGTTGACGCAGACCACCATCGAAGTGGCCACTCAAACGGCGGCGTCAAGCGAGACGACAACTGTTGCAACGACAACGACGGAGAGCTCCGCCGCCGAACAATCGACAGCTTCATCTGACGGGCCTGCAGGCTCCACATCCGGCGTGGTGGGCACGGGGACAGCCATCGAACCCAATACAGCGCAGACCGGAGCACAGGATCAATCGACCTCAACCGTCACGGTGCAAGCCCAAACGACCATCTTCCAGACCGTGTTTGTAACAGCTGAAGTCACTACTGCGTCAACTACTGATTCCGGGTCGGTGCCTACAACAGCTTCAACCGCCGTGGCAGAATCTTCTCCCGCATCCAGCACGGGAGCTGGAGACCAAGGAGACCAACAGTCCGCCGGGGTCGTGACGATTGTGTTCGTCACCGCCAGTCCGACATTCACTGGCCCCATCGGTGGATACACGACGCTCACGCCAGATGCGAACGCCGCAAGCACCGCCACCGATGAACAAGAGCCGACATCGACAAGCACCTCGACTGCTGCGGAGACCGCGACCGCTACCGACGCAGCCGTACCGCCTTCATCGTCTTTTCCGGAGCAGCCAGCCACTCAAGCCACGCCAAACACTTCCTCGACTACCTCGACTACCTCGACTACAGAACCACCTGCAGGGGCTACCCCCTCTCCGGCAACATCGTCAACCACGACTTCGGCGACGGGTGGAGGTGGATTAGCCGTGATTCCGGTCACGCCCAATCCAGTTCAAGCCCAGGCGACAGTGACGGTGACTGAGACTGTGACCACGACGGTTACGGCGCGGTAGACGTGGGGAGGAAAATAAAAAACTAAACGAGCTTTGAGCTTTGAGATCTTTGTACATAGATGGACGGACAGTAGTTATGCGTGACATTATCGAATTGCGAAAGCCTGTAACGCGTGGTTCTGTAAACATTAGGGATGAATGCCTGACTGGCCTGCCTGATTGAACTGAATTGAACTGTAACTGAATGCATCTAGTTCCTCTTGATTCTATCATCCCTGCCCCTTTCAAGTTTTCCCTTGCTTATTCAATGTACATACATGGGGTAGGAGGTAGATCTACGTCCGCCAACTCAAACTAAAAACCTCCGCCGAAGCCTTACTCACGCCGATCTCGACCGTGCCATCCTCGCTCTTGACACTCTTGGGGATCGTCTCGCCTTTCCTCTCCAGCACGATCCCGGCTACGGATTTGTCGTCGGGATCGTGCAATTTGTAAAACCGCCGTCCGTTCCGGCTCAGGAACCGCTCGAGGTGGTCCTGCGTGACGGCGTCTTCGGCGAGGACACCGCGCGAAATGGCCTCTTCGAAGGCGAGGAGGACGAGTTGCGTGGCGAAGGGTTGGGTGAAGACGCCGGCGGGCGGGGGTTGGGCGCTGTTGGGGGAAATGGCCTTGGAGGCCAGAGGGTGTGGGGCGCTGTCGCTTCCACTGTAGGAGAGTAGAACAGATGGGTTAGAAACATCGGGGGAGGGATGGGGGAATCAGGTATTACAATGCAATAGCACTACAGAAAGGGAGGGAAATTCTTGATGGAGAGAAAACGCGGGGGAGCACTCACAAGAAGAATTTGTCGTCGCCGCTACACGCGGCTTTGATCAGAGCGTCTCGATCCGCCGCGGTTTTGGGGATGGGTTTGCAGAAGGCCAGGGGGTCGACCTGGCTGTCGTCGCCGGTCAGGTAGAGGTGGTGTGCGGTGATTGTTCCTGCAACCGACGGACCACAAGCCCGCACGGCATCCAGAGCCGCGGCGGTGGAGCAGTGCTGACAACGAACGAAAATGGTTTAATGGACTGTGTCACAAGTGATTTTAAGAACCGCGTGTATCGACTCACCTCGAGAACACACCTCAGGCGCGGAAACTTGTCATGCAGCTTCTTCAGCTCCGGCAGGAACGCTTCCTCGAGAGAAATGTCCTTGTCCATGCCGCTGGGGATAGGACCGGGCCACTCGCCGTGCAGGTTGAGCACGAGGTCGTGGTCTTGCATGGCGGCGAAGACGGGGGAATAGGCGCTGAGAAAATCCGCAGGGACGCCGGATTCGGAGTTTGTCGTCACGCCTGAATTGGTGAATGTGTATCAATACCCATGACATAGTGGAGGAGCAGCAGGAGGAGGAGGAGGGGGAGTGAAATGCCACCCACGTCTTCATGTCTTACCTTGGGGATACATCTTGACTCCCGCAATGCCCGCGGCTGCAGCCTCTGCGATCACTTCGGGGGTAATGGAGGGATGGAGCTGGGTATCTCAGATGTTAGACGCGGTGTGTGGGCGAACCTCCGTCACCACCGGCAGCCATGGACCACTCACGTAAAGAGACATCAGATAGTTGACTCTGGGCTCGATGGACCGCAGAGAAGACTTGTATTCCAAGGCTTGAGCCACGCTTGTGATGGGCGGTTGTAGATTTGGCTATTAGGACCGGTCAATATAATGTCAGAGTGAGACTCTTGGGAGGCGGAGGCTGGCTCTTGACATACCATCACGAAGACGGTATCTACACCTCCCTTCAAGATCTGAGGAACCACCAATTCCATGACCTATAAGTGTGAGAAGAAAACCATGTCAGTCGGAACCAAGTAACACAGGGTGGGCGGGGTGGTGATGATCTACCTTGTCCTGCCGTAGATGGACGTGCATGTCTGCCGTGGGCGGCAGTTCTAAACGCTGCTCTTCTCGTAGTCGCATCTTGTTGGGACTCTGGGAGGAGCGTATTGGGGGGGTTGTCGAGAAAAGGTTTTGTCTGTGGAAGAAAATAAGATGCTTGTCCTCCCAAGAACGACGCGGGGTTCTGTGTTGACAGGTTCAGGGAACAAACTCGAAGCCTGCTAGAGAAGGTGTTGGACTTCGAGTGGGAAAGTAGGTGGACGATGAGAGGATGAGAATGCGACTACCTATGTGTGTGGCTTGAAGGTGGCTCTGTCCACATACCTTAGGTAGGTATTCATGGATGTTGGGCGATGCACAGAATATGGAAGTTTTCGACACTAAACCCAGTTGGTAGAGCCCCAGAGATACCAACTAGTAGGTACCTAGCTCGTCAGGTATAGAGTTTCGGGTGTATCTTTAGGCGGATCCTTAGGCGGAGGAGCCCCTGGCACTGTAGAAATAGGGGGTACGTTAGTGGTATGTGAGTGGTACTGTATATACCTCGTAGTCCATCTCTCGAGTTTCCACTAACAAGGCTCACCCCCTTCTCAGTATCCCTCCTTCTTCTTCTACGCCACGTAACACTCCCATCAACTCTCAATGCCTCTGCAGCCGCCTGTTCCTTCCCACCTCATCGTCGTCTGCTGCCACGCCATCTACCAAGGTGGTCATGCTGGGCCACACTCCTCCGCCAGCGAGGACGAGTCCAACTGGCTCATCGAGCCCTTCCAGGCTGGCGAAACAGGCACGTATATCAGCCATGTCGAGGCCGGGGTGAGGGAGTTGGCGAAAGACAGGGAGCACGCCATTCTGGTCTTTAGCGGTGCGGCCACCAAGCCTGACAAGACGCCGCTCACCGAGGCGGAAGGGTATTTGGTAAGTCAACTCTAGGGTCGACAAGATAGCCCTACCGGAAGAATGATCAGGGGGATGGTCGGCATTGACGGGATGGATTGAGCCTTGTTGCTGACAAAAGGGCCTTATAAGAACGTCGCTGTTGAGCATGACTTTTTTGGACTGGACACGTCGCCGCCTACCCTGAGACAGCGCATCTTCGTCGACCGCTACGCCACAGACTCGTACCAAAACATTCTCTGCTCGCTGATTCAATTCCCGCTCTTCGTCCAACAACTGCAGTCCCGGGAAAGCCCCCAAGCCACAATACCGTCATCGTCGCAGCGTGCTCCGAGCATTACTGCTGCCCAGGATGCAGACGAGAACGCGAAGCAGGACCATCAGCCCATCGAAGGACCCTTCCACTTCCCAACCAAGCTCACCATAGTCTCCCACGCATTCAAACGCGCCCGGTTCCTCCACCTGCACCTCCCCGCCCTGCGCTTCCCTCCCGAATCGACCGTCTACGTCGGCATCAACCCGCCCTTCACGCCTGCCAAACTCGCAGAGATCGAGGAGGGCGATCGGCTGCGTGGCTACGGCGCCTGGGAGAAGGACCTGTACGGCGCTGGCGAGGGCTTGAGTAACAAGAGGGAGAAGCGGGGCTGGGGCGGTGGCGAGAAGTTCAGGACGGAGGTGTTGGCCAGGTTCGGCGACAGGTCATGCAGAAGGGAGCTGGAGGGTCTGCTGGCCTGGTGTGGTGGAGTGGATGGGATGACTTTGTGGCAGGGCGGTGTGCCGTGGGAGTGAGCTTGTCACATTAAAATGTGCGCTTCAGACACTCTGGTCTCTTGCGAGATAAGACTAGAACTCTAACAATAATACCCTTAGATGAGCCATTTCATCCCCGCTTTTCCTAAGCACCATGTTTCCCCCTGAATCGATGATCACACTTACAGCTCCCTCTAGAAGTGGACCTCCTTCTCCTCCAGCCGTGCTTCTGCCTGAATTCCAAAACCATCACCCAGTGTCAATACCGGGGCTTCGACTTGTCCGTCCACATATCCATCGCGGTCACGACCGGTGCTTGCCCAAACGTCACTCTCTCCCGTAGTTCCTCTTCTCGGAGTATCCAGTGAATATCAGAGCTGTCAACAATCAGAGGCGGATACACGTCGCTAGTCCATGGGGAGAGGATCGTTGGTGTTGAAGCGCGCAACAGAGTCGCTTCTCTTCGTGGAGCTAGAGCTGGAGCGCGGACGGAAGCGATCCCAGGACCTGGAATTTGAACTTGTGGAACAGGCACGCGATCCTGAGCCGGTGCTGGATCACGATCCGGCAAAGGAGCTGGATATGGCCCTGGCTGTGGCGTTGGAAACGGCCCCGGTCCATAAAGGGGATATGGAGGTCGCTGGGCATCCTCAACGAAACTTTGCTCCGAAACACAGCGCTCCATCGCAGACGGGCGATAGGATTGATATGGAGCGTAATACTGAGCATGAGCTCGACCGTGAGCTGGTGATGGACTCCCAACCTGGTTTCCCGGAGGACGATATGTGTCCGCTGCATGGTATGGTCCAGGAGTGGGATTGCGCGGTGGAGGGAAGTTTCGAGGTGGACTTTGATAATCCTGCCAAGTCTGACATGGGGCTGCTGGGCCTGACGCACGACACGGTGGTCGGAATGAAGCTGGACCAGAGCATGGAGCTGGAAGGATGTCTCGAGGTGTTGTATTCAATGTGTTCGCCCGAACAGGTGGCTGTGCTGACCTCCAAGCGGCTTCCTCATCCCGAGCACGTTGCAGAGTATGTAGAATCTCAATGCTAGTGCTAGGGCTCCAGCGCCCTCTTCGCAAGCATCCAAAAGTTTTAGGTAAGAGCAATCGCCACACAGAGTGCCAAATGTACTCTTCACCTCCTCTCAGGGCTATTCTCGTTGTCCGGAAAAGCCAAGGACCATCGCTAGCCGTAAAGCCTTGTGACGCTTGGCGTGCCGTAGTCGGATCGGTCCAGTGGAAAGAATTGTTCTTGATCTGAGCAGCGATGGGGGCCGAGACGTTGAAGAGACATGCCATGAATTGATCCCATGATGTCGTTCGGTCAGTAAGAAGCTGAATCCGTGTATTGGAGGCCTTGTCGATAAAGTAGACCGGTAATGTTTCTAATTCCTGCGAAGCCATCATTCCAGTGTCTGGTTCTGACGAAGTGCGAAGAACGGGTTTTCCAGCGTGTTTGAAGTCTCAAGAAGTTGTACCTGCTGCTCTGCGACTGAATAGCTATTTGACTGGAAAATTGTTATGCTAGGGTACGGTTCTTGAGTTCGTCAAATGGAGCCATCCCTCATTGTTGCTGTAATGCATCTGTTTATTTGCTTGTTTCACAGCCATGCACACCTGGCCTTTGTGCATGTGTGTCTCGATGCAGTGTTGTCTCATATCGGAGACCAGAGGCAGGGCGACCATGTCTTTGGTAGCATTTCTGCAAACCATTGTCCTATGCTCATTAGGGTGGCAAGCTTACTGCTCTGTCCATGAAGCTTGCAGCCTTGCCTTTGTCAGTGTCAAATTTGTGTTTGCCATTTCTAGGCTCTGGATCCATCTGTGTTTCAATGTGAGAAGGGACGGGATGTGAGCTCGTCGTATCAAGAAGAGGAATACTTGTCCTTATAGACCAAGAAGAATGAATCCATACAATGGACAAAAACTAAGTTGTCGACAGCTGTAGGCAAACCGCGTTCCGCAATGCTTCGCGTAAACAGTGTCAGGCTTTTTTGATTGTGTCTTACCACTCATAGTCTCAATAAATGTCTCAGTGGCGGAACAAGGAAAGCCAGTTGAGATTGAGAGATGCATCTCGCATCGATTGATACAAAGACGCACAAGGCATAATGAGAGCTGGACAAGTGCAAGAAGCATGTGGCAGATCGGCAGCTAGCGAGCATTCAGACTGTTGTTCCTTAGTCCATGTTGCTGCTTCAGATTCGTCTTCCATTCATAAGAAGCGCTTCGTACCAATAGAATAAGCAGAGCAGGGTTTAGCTACGTTGGTTCAGGTGGTCGAGGCAGAGGAGATGGGAGAGTGAACGGAAGGGAAACTGGAAGTCGACTAAAACAGTCTATTCCCAGATCGGCCTAGTGCATAGTGTTATTACCCTCCTGCGACGCTAACAAGATTATGGGGAAAGTTACCCGAGAGCATCCCGGGGACAAGGCTGAATCGGCCAGCCTTCTCAAAATTCGCTCAAATGCACTAGACTCGATTGGATCTTCGGAATGAGCTCCAACTCCGGGAAACACTGCGTCTCCCATCCAGCGGCGTTCTGCTCCTACAATTTCTCAGCACTTTTGCCTCGCCCCAGCTATTTGGTGACTCCATCTCCTTTGCGACTTTTGGTCGCTTCCTTTCATTGCTCCCCCTACTCCTTCTCCGTTGACACGGTCACTTTCAAGATGCTCAAGACATTGGTACCCAGGACGGGCCGGTCGCTCCTCTCGACCAAAGCTCCGCATTTGGGGCCAGCAAACCTCCGAACCGCTCCCAGCTTCCAGATCGTCTCCCAGAACCAGCAAAGAAGGAGGGGATATGCTTCGGAGTCCAAAGAATACGACATTGTATTCATCGGTGGCGGTGTTGCAGGCTATGTTGGTGCAATAAAAGCTGGCCAGTCGGGTCTGAAGGTGCGCATATCCTGCTCCATGGCCCAGCGGACAACCCGGACCCAGTATTCTAACCCCCTGGCTAGACAGCATGTATCGAGAAGAGAGGAATGCTTGGGGGCACATGTCTAAATGTCGGATGCATTCCCTCAAAATCTCTGCTCAACAACTCACAATTATACCACCAAATACTCCACGACACCAAGAAGCGAGGGATTGACGTCAACGATGTCCAGCTCAACCTTCACCAGATGATGAAGGCCAAGGACGAATCTGTCCTCGGGCTGACAAAGGGCGTCGAATTCCTGTTCAAGAAAAACAAGGTTGACTACATTAAAGGGACGGGATCTTTTGCGGACGAACACACGATCAAAGTCAACCTGCTCGATGGCGGCGAGACCGAGGTCAAAGGCAAGAATATCGTTATTGCTACGGGTAGCGAGACAACACCATTTCCTGGTCTGAAGATCGATGAAAAGAAAGTCATCACCAGCACAGGCGCAATTGCTCTGGAAGAAGTGCCCAAGAAGATGGTGGTTATTGGTGGTGGTATTATTGGCCTGGAAATGGTATGTCCAGTTCCATCTACCCATCTGAGATGTCTATTCTAATGCGTGAGCAGGCCTCAGTATGGTCCCGCCTCGGCTCCGAAGTCACCGTCGTCGAATTCCTTGGTCAAATCGGCGGCCCCGGCATGGATGCGGAAATTGCCAAACAAGCGCAGAAGATTCTGACCAAGCAAGGTATCAAATTCAAGGTCAATACGAAAGTCACTCAAGGCGACGCCGGTGGTGACGGCGTCAAGATTGAGGTCGAAGCTGCAAAAGGTGGCAAGAACGAAACTCTGGACGCTGACGTTGTGCTCGTGGCTATCGGGCGTCGACCTTACACCGATGGCCTGGGTATCGAGAACATTGGCGTCGAGATGGATGAACGCAAACGGGTAGTCATCGACCAAGAATACCGTACCAAGATCCCGCACATTCGATGCATTGGCGACGTCACCTTCGGACCCATGCTCGCACACAAAGCCGAAGAAGAAGCGGTCGCCTGCGTCGAGTACATCACCAAGGGCTATGGACACGTCAACTACGGTGCCATCCCGTCCGTCATGTACACGCACCCCGAAGTCGCGTGGGTAGGCCAGAACGAAGGCGAGCTGAAAGCCGCCGGTGTCAAATACAAAGTCGGCACTTTCCCCTTCACCGCCAACTCGCGCGCCAAAACCAACCTGGACACCGAAGGGATTGTCAAGTTCCTCAGTGATGCGGAGACAGATCGGATCTTGGGCGTCCACATCATCGGACCGAATGCAGGAGAGATGATCGCAGAGGGCACACTAGCGCTTGAATACGGTGCGAGCAGTGAGGATGTGGCAAGGACATGCCACGCTCACCCAACCCTGGCCGAGGCATTCAAGGAGGCCGCCATGGCCACATATAGCCAGCCCATCCACTTCTAAGCCAGCCGCCTGTCAGGCCGGAGGCTATCACGACAGGGCCACGAGGGCTTCAGATGTGGGTGGGGTGTTGCTGATGAGACGTTGGCAAATATCAAAATCTGTGTCGTTGAAGAAAGCGTGTCTGGGACAAACCGGGGAATTTGGGCAGCGGCAGCAGCAGCAGCAGCAAGCAATTGTACTTAACTTAGGCATGTAAAAAAAAACCAATTCGAGGCCGTCTCGCACTATTTCCTACTGGCTGAGTGGATGTGAAAGTACGAAGTATCTCGTAATCAATATGCTAAGCTCATGCTCCGATTTCGCAAGCAAGCTTCTAAACTGTTTTGTTGTTCGGAAACATGTCCAGTAGCGATTCAGGCTGTCATTGAACTGTATTCTGATTTTGATTTTTCTCTTGCATTACTGCTACCTAACAACTACTTCTCGAGGTAGTATCTTGCCCATCACAAATAGTTAAGTCATGCAGCAACCAGTAAACCATGTGCTGTATCATACACATTAAGAGCAGTTCGATCTGTGAGGATCATCTGCAATAACACCCAGATCTTGCACACATTCAATTCATAGCAAGCAATCCATGCCTCGCATTGTCTTCGGGTGTTTTTTTTTTTTTTTTTTTGAGCTTTTTCTCATCTTCATAGCTTGGATGTGGCATGGTGAAAGCGCCGTACAGGCTACCCGGCATGCAAATGCAGCTGTTCTAAAGGGAGTGACAGAGGGTCGTTTCCAACGCCGATGGAGATATCAAAAGCAGCGAATCATAATACGCCGGGTATTTGTCTTTCAGATTAGACCAGCTTAGCTGTAGACCGATTTGCCGCAGTCGATCCTTATTGGAATTATCGTAAACGCGTGGCTCGCAGGGTATACCGTGGGAGTATTTAGACTTTGCAAAACGTTAGCTGTCAATTTCCCGCCAGCCCTTGGGAATGTCTCGAAGCATACGTGATGCAGAATCCGAGAAGCAGGATTGAGCCTCCTTTTCTTGTCCTCTCCCAAAGCTTCTGCTTCACATGTTTACACCTGAGACATTGCTGGGCGCGCACCTCTAGAACGGACAGGGCCTCTCAGGTTGACACCGCCACTGCGAGCATCAAGAACGGAGAAGAACAAGCTGGCCATCCAGGCTGCCCACGTAAACCACAGGAAGGCGGTCGCTGCCTGCTCTTCTCGACATCGGCCTTCCCTGTCGTTGGCGCCGTTCGTGAGGTGGTTGTGGAGGGTGTAGTTCTGTTACAAGCAGTGAGTGGATGTGTAGATATGAGGAAAGTGCATGCGCAAAGAATGAGGGGCTTACATTGTTACTGCAGGAATGCACATGGAGCTCGGCAGCCATGGCGATGGCGGCGCAGAAAAGGAAAATGACGTTGAGGAGATCGACAATAATAGGGAAGATGGGATGGCCCATGAACGAGTCGTTGAAGGCGACCAATATCAGGTAGAATAACGAGAACATGCCAAAGGCCGCAACAAACATATCGTAATTGATCAATGAGGGGTTGCCGGCGAAGGCGGTGGCAATGACGTTGCCAATGAGGCCCATGATGATGATTATGAAGGCGAACTGCGCAACGAGTCTGTTAGATGCTGCTGGCCAGACATACAAGGCTAGTAGTCAGTTCTCTGGGAGCTTACCTCGACCGCTCGAAGCGTGAGGTTGATTGCTTTGGACACCATCTTGACGGCTGGATTGAGGCCTGGCGGAAGCGATACAGTTGTTCGGATGTGGCTGAGATGGTCCTGTAACTCGAGTGCTCGTGGAAAGGTGCAGGAATTGGGAGATGGTCGGGAAAATGAGAGAGAAAAGCTGTAATGGAGGCAGAGTTGTGCGTAAGTACTAGGTAGCTGTCGGTCAAGGTGGAGAGCAACGGAACGGAGTGGAAGGTGGAATGATGTACTGGCAGCTCGAGCTTCTTTTGCTGAGTGACGGAGCTGTGCAGATGCCGGGGCAAAAGAAGGAGGGGGACACCCGGGCGTCTAGCTAAACTTGCTCTGGTGGCCTGTGACGCGGCGAACAATGGGTGACCCCGGTGACCTTGGTTTGCCAACGACGTCACTGGCTGAATGGGTGTCCCGGAATTGACGACCAACTGCTAAAAGCTTAGCAGCCAGAGGGTACCTGGCACCCACCTGGGGGGACTGGGCGCGGGCTCGTTAGGCTAGTGAGGCTCGATTTTCCAGGCAGCTCGGTGGTAGCTGGGTGGTAGCCTTGCCTGTTTGTGGTGAATCATCACCCTGCAAAGGTGCCCACGGCGCCCACGGCGCCCACAGTGCTCGGGCATCCAGCAACCACACCCACCCGGGAGCTTCGGTAACAATGCTATCTCAATCAGGCGCCCATAAACAGCATGGTGTCACTGTGGCGACCTTCTTCTCTTCTCATCAGAGCCAATGGTGCACAAGGTTCATCCTTGCACGTTCCGCCCTCGCGATGAGCTCACAACGAATTGATCCCATCGTGCCAACGAGTCTGGTGTTTGAGCGTCAGAGCAACTTTTAGGTGACTCGCTGGGTTGGCGAGTTTCATCTTCAGCTTTCTGTCCTGGCAACACGACCAGTGGCTCTGAGTGATTCTCGGGGAGACAAATCACGTGAGCCATGCGCTTCCGGAAGAACCGGCGAAACGGCAACTCCCTAAGTAGTACTCCCTCGAGTCCCTCCAGCTGAGAACCCTGCTCTGCACCCGTCACCATTGGGTGACCATCTTCAGGGACATATGCTGACTTCCGAACTGCTCCACCGTCCTCACAGAAACAACTCGAAACAAGAGAAAAAAGCCTTGCTGACTTGTTTGTTGCCCATCTGCCAACCAATCCAGCCTCGTGCCCTCCATGTGATTCAGGGCAAAGCGGCTATTCGATCTATTAACAACGATCATCGTTTACGAATGCTCTACTACAGACATCCGGTGATCGCGACAAGTCGTTCTCATCTTGTTTGTACACCGATCTAGAGCTTTTCAAACGTCGGCGTCCTCTTCTGGAGGCCGCTGAGCATGGCTCTCTGAACATCCGAGCTTTGCACCATGCCCGCGTTCCATACCGCGGTGTAGTTGAGATTATCTTCGACAGTCCTTCCCCACGCTGCATCGAGGATGTTCTTGGTGCCTTGGACGGCGACAGGGCTCTTGGTCGACAAGTATTTGGCGTACTTGACACCCTCTTGAAGGAGCTCTGCCTTGCTTCCTTTTATCACTTGGCTCACAAAGTTGTTCTTGAGCGCTTCCTCTGCCGAGAATGGTCGTGCACTCAGACAGACGTCTTTAACCCAACTGGTCACGCCTCCCACGACCTTGGGGAGTCTGCTCAGAGTCCCCACGTCCGCCGCCAACCCAATGTCGACCTCCTTGACGCAGAATTTGGTGTCGCTGAGGCAAAAGCGCAAATCGCATGCCGAGGACAGATCGATCCCCAGCCCGTACGTGTACCCATGCAGCAGCGCAATCACGGGTTTCTCGCAACGGGCGACGGCCGAGATGACTTCCTGTAGCTCAAGTATATGCCTCCGTATCACGGTCGCCTTCCGTGAGGGATCGGGGAAGTTTGATGAGATGGGATTGTCAGCTTTAGCTGCTTGCTCTACATCGAGGCCTGAACCGCATCTTAGCTCTCATTTTCCTTTGTTCTTCTAGACGTCGGCCACCAACCTGCAGTAAACGCTCGGTCTCCAGCACCCGAAAGTAAGATACACCGGACTTCGGGGTCATGGGACAACTGTTCGATGATGGCCTTCAATTCAAACCACATAGGCGCATAAAAGGCATTGAGCTTTTCTGGACGGTTGATCTCGACATGCACCACATATTGCGCCGGAACCGTGACATTGTAGAACTTGAAATTCGAAAAGGTCCCCAACGCCATGATATCGAGTTTCGGCCGCGATATAGGTAGACTTTTGTCCGTTCTGCAGCTGTTAAATCCCGGCAGGCGAATCCAGAGAATTAGAGAAGGAGGGAACCGGGCGCCAGCAAGGAAGTAAGTCGCGAAGCAAGAATTCTGGTTCAATGGTGCTTGTCAGAAGCGTCCTCTACATGTAACCTTTGGCCTTCAAGTTTCTCACTCATCCCTCGCCCAGAATCCGATTGCCTCGGCTCGGACCTTGTTTGTTCTGTTTGTTCCAGTGCCATCACGTGCGAGGCCGAGGTCTTTCTCTTTTCGAGCTTCGGTCATCAAACCAACATTCGGTCTCCGCCTTCTTCTTGCCCTCATCTGCTTTTCATCAAACATGGCCATCCGAACACCTGCAGCCGAGCTGCTTGGGGCATGTGAGAGCGTGTCAGAGCTCGACCATCTCTCACTGACTGAAATCTGCTGCTGGCTCGTCCCAATTTTGGCCTGCCTTCCCACCACCTCTTGTAATTGATGGGCCTAGACCAACGTCGACGACATCCTGGTGGCTGAAGCTCTATCCTTCTCCGCTACTTCTGTCATACCTTTCCGCTGCGAAAATCTCTCAGGTCGGTCCACCATGAGCTCTAACAGACTCGCAATCATATCGACCCACGGCAGCTCCTGTACCTGGGCTCGCCCTCCAGCTACGCTGTGGGTGTGGTCGGCGTTCGCGTCATGATCGCAACCAGCGAACAGCGGATGACGAGGAGACTTGTCGTCTCATGGCTGTTCGTGGATGAAAAAAGCCTCTAACTCGTGGAGTCGGTCGCCCTCGTGGTGCCTGACAAGGCTGTTTCTCTCGATCCAGGTTTTGAAAGACCTCACCAGTTAGGGTGTTTGGGCCTTCGGTTGAACCACATTTTGTCTTCTTTTCTTGCACTTGGGCCTTTTGCGTCTCACTCTTACACCCAGCGGCGAACGGGGTAGGGACGCCTCCGTCGCATGAGCTTGACCGATACATGACTTTCCGAGGGACTCGTTGACCTTGGCAAATCCTGCTATCTCGACCCCTTTTGCTCGAGTTGTGTCTCTTTTAGTCATGACCTCTATGCTCAGACTACAGGCTACTTGGTCGCAATTTGGCCATGATGCAAGACTCTCGACAAACAGAAGATGCGGGCTGCTTTCCCAACAGACAACGCAATACTGGCATGACACAGGCAGTGCCTCCATCCTGGTGAACAAGGACGGAGCCCTGTCCAACCAACCTTCGCAAGTTTCGAGACATGGACTGTTGTCGTTTCCAACGGATACATCCAGATGCCCTACATCTTCCATCACGATGTCGGTTAATTCCTTGCTTGGGCAAGAAACCCGTTTTGCCTCTGCCCACCTTCCCCCCTCGACTCATGGCCAGCAACGTGCCTCGGCCCACTGACCCAGTTTTTTATAGGTACCGAGTAGTACTTCAAAACTTGCCGTCGAATCAGACGCTGCTCTGCAAAAGCCATGCACGCAACCACTGCCGTCCCTGACGGTGGGTTCGACGACCTGACATGGGATATGCCAATGACGGCTAGAAGCGGCCCAATCGGCTTCTTTCGAACATCAAACACCTCGACCTGCTCGTTCGAGCAGTACCCTCACCACCCTACAGTGTTCGGGATTCACACAGATACGTCCTCTTCATTCTGCAACAATACATGATGGTGTCGAGCGCTATGCACGAGGCTCAATACAGCCGGACTAGTGGGTTAGGCAAAGTTCGAACGTAACACGAAAGAGACTTGCTTAGCGAGGCCACTCCAATCCTGTTCTCGAAGTTCGCCGATCTCACCCCTCAACCACCTCAAGTGACCTTTTCGTACTGCTACACGAAGCCAGTCATCTACTCTCAGGAATGTACCAATCTTCTTACCTTTCCTTCGAAGGAGACTACTTTCCGTGCCACCTCTAAATCGTCGTTCAATGGCCAGGAGAAGGTTCGAGTTGCTGTGGCGGGTCCAATAACTCTCAGCAAAGCAGGTCTGTTTCCCACCATTTTGTTGGCCGGCCATTACTCCACAGAGAAGCTATGGACTCCTTCTCCTGTCCGCGATCAACCCTGGTGCACTCCTTGGTCCAGCTGCGATCTCATCTTCGCTAAGACACGTGGGAATATGATGACATCCTGTCATGTTGTTCCTCTGTCTAAGCATGCACATTTGGCACTGACTGCTGAGTCTGGCATATTCACTACGGAAAGACTGCTGATCTCTGCCTTCCCCAGCGACCCCCCACCAGGGTTGCCTTGCGTGGCAACGTCACGCTGGTGAGACCTATTTGCTCTGAAACGTACCTCGATGTAGCAGCCATGGAAAGTCACCGTTTTAACTGGGTTCGACACATCCGATCGGCTGTTTTTTGCACAGTATACCGGTTCCGGTGTTACGGAATGGAGGTGGCACTGCCCGTTCTCCGGTCCTGAGGCGGACACCTGATCAGGCGGAAGGTGGAAGGCGGACTCTTCCAACGTCCTGTCACAGTCGTACAGAAGGTACAGACACTTGGAAAATGTTTCTTGTCTGTATTTGGCACAGTATTGATTCTACCGGGAAGCGTCCCATGTAAGGCTCAGGATTGCATATAAAATGGACCTGCCCTACTGGAAAACATCTTGCTCGACATCTCTGGTCCTTTTCAAAACTTCCAACATCGTCAATCATAGCCAACCTGCATACGCAAACCCCACCTCGCTTAAGACTTAACGCTGTTTCGACTCTTATCTCAACCAACAGAACATCTCCTCAGTCTCATCATGTGCGATCACCCAAAGGTCTGGAATACTTGCCGTGCCTGCGCAGGACATCCTCCACGGTATGCTACTTCTCGAGATGTTCATTTGAATGTTCATAACTAGCCATTCGTTGGCATGAAATGAGTCATGTCAAGCAGCTGACATTCATCACAGCGGAGCCCATTGCAAGGCTTGCAACGGATATGGCCATGTCGAAGCCCCGTGCCCTAGATGCTCATCCTCTGGCCGCAAGCTTGAGGATGACACCGCGCGATCTAGGGGCCATAATAGACAGAATGTGGTTCATGGTCGGGATGACGCTCAAAAAGTGTCGCGAAGTTGATGTCATGGCGAATTTGAGGTGTCAGCACTTTATCAGAAAGATTCAGATATCTCCGCAAGCGGTGTGAGAGCGCTCAAGAGGTTTCGTGGGCAGGATAAAGGTTACGATTGCAATTCAACCGCACCCGTTAAGAGCATATCAAAAACGTCTTTGCGCCTCCGCTACACTATCGTCTGCCTTGGGGAGCCCAGTATCCCAACATAATCACGACCTGTAAAATTGTTAAGGCATCGGGTTGGAGCACCAAGCAGAACGCGAAATTAGCCGCTGGCTCGCGCAAGGGCCCCCTGCCGCGTCTTTGCCTGTGCTGTCCTATTCAGTCTGCAAAGTACGTGCCCTTGACACATCGAAGCCTACGAATCATGTCCACCGGGGAACTCTCCTCTGGTACCGGTGGGGCTGGAAATTACATCCTGCTGGCCCTTTTGGGTAGTTCTGTGTAACGCCTTCCGTGCTTGGACTCGACGGTTCTACATTTGACAGAAGAGGCAACCAATGCTGTGCTTATGCCTCGAAGCTTATGACAATCGGAAGACAGCTTACCGGACCGGCTACGTGATTTGGCGAGGTGTGATGTGGCTGTCTTGTGGCTGTCGTGCGACGGTGTTGATGCTAACGATGATTGATCCCAAGCGAACCTGTCACTCGACCATGCGATTGGCAGAAGGTTCCAATGGCAGTGCCTGTCTAATCCATTTAGAGCCCGCTTGAAATGGCATTGTTACAGCTAACAAGGCTGACCTGACTTCGCCTGTGCCTTGCTTTCGCCCTTCCAAATACCACCAAAGTCCCTCCAATTCGAGAGGGTGAAACAAGATCGACCGGTTGCTGCTTGAGAGAGTCTTCCGAATGGAGGATGCGAGAGATTTGCTCAAGATGCATCGCAGTAGACGCCTTGAAAGCAAGTTGTACAGATCAGATCTGTCAGTCGGTCTCGCCCAGTGGCATTCCTTCGCTTGCAACGTCATAGGGAGAGCATCATGCGCAGAGGCACATTGGCGGAGACACCGAGCTTCATGCATGCCGTCACAAGTATGACGTCGAAGAGCCTGGCTTTGTTGTTATGGCAGCATCTCAGCGATATTGTTGCCCCATTGCGGGACACCACAAGGTCTGAACGGGCGGCCAGACCAACTACCTTCCTCAACACGCAAGGACTTACTGAAGAAGGTAATTCCATCGAAAGAGATGAGTCTGCCCGAAGCCCCGACGCCCGTGATGACCACGTTCTCGGCAGACAGGCAGCATGACTGGCACTTTTCGCCTGCTTGCATCTCAACTTTGCAGGAAATGCAGCGCGTGCCTGAAACGAACTCCTTCAGCCGACCTAGTGTAACGAAGGGTCCGCCTGGCCGAGATTGAGCATGTCCCGCCCTCTGGAGATATAAGTCAGGCATTTCGCATATCTGTCATCATCAACTGTCGCAGATACCTGATTGCAAGTATTTGCAGGCCAAGACGCTCCAACTCCGAGATTGCTTCTGCTACAGTCTCTCTCTTCCTGGGCCAGCGAGCGATGACGTGGCGTATCTGTACACCATACTCGTTTACTATTTCATTTTTGTGCGCGTGACATGGAAGAAAACCCTATAGGCAGTGAAGGAGTTGTCATCTCCGGTCGGGGTTCAAGGATCTTTTCTCCGACGACGGAGTTCTCAACTCAACTTCTACTTCTGTGGCCTTGTCAAACTCGGGGGAGCGGAAAGATCAGCCAGCGAGCTCTTGCCAGCCTTTGAATGAGAATGCTGTGGCATGCTCCGTATCAGCTGAGACGGCAAGAAAAAGGCAGGATCTACCAACAAGACTGGTGCTGTTTGAATCACGGATATTCTTTCCAAAGCAGAGACCAATATTCGAACCTTCCACCACTTCCAAGTTTGGACGTCGTCGTGGATTGATAGCGCGCGCACACTGGAAGGGGAAATGGGGACGCCATTGAAATATCTTTGACGAATCGCGGATGTAACACTCGACTGCCCTAACAAGTTGCCAGACTGTTGCTGCGGCGGAGCACTAGTTTAGGGACTATGTCACTGATCTGGAAATCTATCTACGACTCCTCTGGTTCAAAACGACGTTCCTGATTCGATTACAGCAACGGCCTTTTCTCCTGCGAAGATACAAAAAGACCAAGCTGTAGTGGAGCAGCATTCCGGGACACCGACACGAATCCTGCGGCGCAGCTATTGTATCACATATGCGCACAATGGTTTCTCAATCTCTTGGCCATGAGTGTCCTTCAGAACATGGGACTTGTCCTCGGGGGAGTTTAGCGAAGGAGGAAATCGTTCCTATCGAGGTTATGGCGCCTGCTGCCTAGGAAGTGGTAGGACTAGTCTTTTCCCTATGGCTCGTCTCTCGTCAATTAAACAGCCATCCACAGAAAACCAGGTAAGAGCAAAGTTTCTGATGCATTATCTTATGTTTCTTTATATACTTGTCGAAAGTGGGTGGCATGCGTGGGCATCCATTCGACACGCAAGGCTACGAATTCCCCAAGAACCCCTGAATCTCGCCCCCGGCAATACCCAAGCAATCAGACGCTGCCACTATTACGCCATGAGTGGAGTCGGGGATTTCCCCGTCAAATATATACCTATTGGTTGTCTACGCCCATGTATATACAGCCGATATCGGTAGGCTCAATAGGCGGTGTCGGCCAAGACGCCGTGGAGGCCGCCCCAACCATCTAGGTTGCCCTCAAAGCTGATTACGCAACTTAATTCTTCTCCATCCTTCTCCTCTTTGTCTCGCGATCCCTCCGCTTGAGGCTGGTGTGTCAGTGAGTGCGTGGGTGTTTGTATACACCCGAGAAAAGCCAAGGCCCCGAGGTCATGTCTGTCATCCTCCGGCCTCTGACTTGGTTCTATCATGAATTCGGAATCGTGGCCATCCATGAGACTGGGAGAAATGCGTGGCTCATCATCCTGGCACGGTCGTGCCGGATGTTTGCCTATGGGACCAATTCGTTGATACTGGGTAAGTCTCCGACCAATGTCTCGTTGCTTCGGCTTGCGAATGTACACACCCTACAGTATCACAAGGTAAAAAGTTAAGAGGGTTCGTGCTGCATATGTCCAAGTCCGGGGCACGAGGCAGAAGTCATTCAACTATTCTCGCACAATTTGTTTCCCTGTTTTTCTCACGGGGTACTTTTCTTCGCAGCAATCTTCTTCTCGGCCTTGAACTATTCCGACCACCAGATCGGCATCTTCATGACCCTCACGTTACTCGGCGATGTCTTCCTGGGCACCTTTTTGACCCTGATTGCCGACCGGGTGGGTCGTCGGCGCGTGTTGATGGCCGGGTCAGTCCTGATGATCCTGAGCGGGTTTGTGTTTGCCGTCTTTGAGAACTTTTGGGTCCTGCTGGGCGCGGCTATCTTGGGGGTGATAAGTGTCACGGGAGGGGACTTTGGTCCGTTTAGGAGTGTGGAGGAGTAAGTTTTACGTCTTTCCCTCTGGTACACTGGGTTGGCTGTCCCCGGACATGGAGTCGTATCGACAGCTTGATGCTAACGTGCCACGATCTACACAGGTCTGTTCTCTCACAGCTAACAACACCTTCAAACCGAGCGGATGTTCTAGCTTGGTACGTCACGACATCAACGCTGGGCTCGAGTATCGGCAGCGAAGCTTCAGGGAGGATCATTCACTTCCTCCAAGCTCGCCCGGGATGGACAGAGGTCGACGCCTACCACGCGCTGTTTTGGATCTACTCAGCCATGGGCATCGTCAACGTTTTGTTTGTGTTTTTGTTGACCGAGGCCTGCGAGTTGAGACCGGATAGCAAAGGGGGGCACGAGGTGTACGCGAGCGTTCCGCAGGACGACAGGGATGAAGACGGCGAGGAGGAGGCTGTCGCGAACGGTACCGCCGCAAACGACATCGAAGCAACAGCACCGACCACGCCGACCACACCAGCATCATCACAACCTCACTCCCACTCCCACCCGCATCATCCTCACCACCACCAGACACCACCGTCCTCCAAGCGGTGGACATCACGCACCCGATCCTGGTTCTCTCGCTTGTTCGCCCAGATCTCCACCCCGACACGCTCCATCATGTACAAGCTTTGGTTCCTTCTAGCGATCGACTCGCTCGCCGACGGGATGGTCCCCTACTCCCTGACAAACTACTACATGGACATCAAATTCCACCCCTCCAAATCCACGCTAGGCGACGTAACCTCGCTATCATACTTCCTGGGCGCCATCGGAGCCGTCTTCGCCGGGCCTTTGGCACGTAAGATCGGCCTGATCAACACCATGGTATTCACGCACGTCCCCTCCTCAGCAGCAGTGTTATTCTTCCCCTTCCCACCCTACCTATGGCTTACCGCGGGATTACTGCTCCTGCGCACCGCTCTCAACAACATGGACCAAGCCCCGCGCTCGGCCTTCATCGCCGCCGTCGTGCGACCCGAAGAACGCACCGCCGTCATGGGCATCACGTCCATGCTGCGCAATCTGGCCGCCATGACGGGACCCAGCGTCACTGGTGTGTTGGCCGAAGGGGACCGGTTTGGAGTCGCATTCGTCGCCGCCGGGGTGTGTCGCCTCGTGTATGACTTTGGGTTGTACGCCTTGTTCGTGAACGTCAAGTTGGAGGGGTATGAGAAGAACAACAACCACAAAAACAAGAGCGCCGGGGCGCGGGATGACCCCGGGGAGGAGGACGAAGAGGGCGAGGTGGTGGAACGGGATAGAGTCCGCGGGTGGACTAACGGGGTGATTTCCCTGGGCGGCCAGGGCGCTGGGCCCGAGGAAGTCGTCGAGCTCGCGAGTCTCGCGGATTCCTCCCCCTCCTCCTCCTCGTCGGACGCAGCGAATAACACGCGAAACCACGATGCCGCCAAAGAAGCGGCCTCGACGACGACCACGGCGACCACGGACCCAGCGCCGGCAGCACACGCGCACAGTGATCTCCTGCACGTCCCCCCGCCCCCCGCATCCTCAGACGCACTGGACCGCGTGCGCAGTCGGAGTCCGCACCGCTCGACGGCCCTCGACTGATGAAAGCAATTTGCCAATGCTTTCATGCAAATGGGTCATGTTATGCCCAGGTGTGACATGCGGCGGCGCGTATGACACAAACGCACATAAATACGGTAGATACTGTACGTACAGTTTATGTGGCCTCATAACAGTTCATGTGCGATCGATCGATGAGACGGCGCACATATACATCCCGTTTTTGGGGGATGGACGTGGATGCCCTCCATGGCATCGAGATGAATAATCTCTTTTCTCACGATACCATTCCATATCATTATCATTATCATTATGATACGAAGCTTCTAACGAAACGAAACGAAACGAAACGCAAACCAGAATGCGGGATGAAAAGGGCAAGGGAAAAAGGCCAGTGAGGCGTCAGAGGGATACAGGACACAGGAAAACTTTCTAGGATCAAACGTTTGAGTTTTATGGTATTCCCATCTATATTTTATATTACCACGCTCAAGCTCTCTTTCTTTTCCCCTTCAATCCGTTTCGCTGATGAATTATAACTCGCTCGTAACATTCGACAAGATAAATAAATGGCCCGCACGTGGATGATATATAGGTAATTATTGTTAACGACAAATCGAAGACATCAAATGAATCATGCATAGGAATCCATTTCAACAAATACGCGCCGGCCAAGGGCTGGCATGAGAGTGTTCGGTAGGGTAGGCAAGGTAAGAACACAGAAGAATTGCCCTCGCATCGATGGCCGTTCCGCAAGGGATGCCTTGTGTGCGTGAGTGATCAGGCGGTGGTGGAGGGTTGCGAATATGTCTTGTCGTCCAACTACCACACGGCGAGGCATCCACAACCAAAGCTGGCCATCTCTGTTGAGAGAGCGGAACTCGTATGTCTGCGGGCACCATCGATAGATCTATCTCCATCATACCGGCCGTTGGTGGATGTGGAAATCCCAGGCAACGTCGAGGCCACCCATAAAAAAGCAGAACGAAGACGACCGATCCAATTTGCGGCACCAGGATTGACATTCACATAGCCCGTATAGTTGCTGCCCGATCCAGAACGTTGAATCTGCGGTCGACAATTTCGCGGTTTCTCTTTCCGCCGCAAGAATCGCCGAATCGCCGAATTAACCGGCCGCCATCTTCGCCACTCACGGTGAGATCGCATCTTCGACGCAATGGATGACTTTGATGTTCCCGGTGCTTGTAACTTCCGGATATAACCAAGTTTCTAGCTTCTTTCTCGGGGCCGAGCCCTGGGATTTTGTTCCACAAGACTGACACCTCGTCCGCTGACGTCACCTTCCTGGCTGAGCCACTCCGCCACGAACTGCCCGAATATCGCGTATTCATCGGAGAAGCCAAGTTCTGTATCGCCAGGAAAATTCGACGAGTGGTCAGCAAGCACGGGCGAGTTACCGAGGGCGCAAGGAGCGTGGTGGCAGTCGAGTCCTGGGCCATATCGTCTCCTTTGCAGTGTTGACGAGCAGATCGCCTCTTTTGAAAACGCAGTCCCCGCCAGCCTTAACCAGCAGCATAGGTACTCTTGTTCCGCAGAGTCTCGCCATATTTCCAAAGGAGAATCGGTGCTGGAAGACCGAGGCCGATGGCAATGAACGCAAGCAGGGAATTTCCCCAATCCAATCCGAGGGCTTGGTACATGTATGGGGCAAATAGGGGACTGCCAATGATTAGTCTGCGGACCCAAATCAGTGCTATAAGGTGAATAGGGAATCGCTTACAATCCGAACCCTGCCAGACTCCTCAGCACCACGGCCGAAGCCACAGCCGAGGCTGCAAATCGTGAGTATGCATCGACAATGTACGTCTGTGTGCACTGAAAGCCCATGATGGTGCCTGCCGCGAAAATGGCGGCACCAATGTTAGGAACAATCCAGTGCACACTAGCTCGTGCGCCCCAGCCGTAGATGAAAAGACCGATCGGGACGAGGACGGCTCCCGGAACCATAAGCGGTACGCGAAACTCGGGTCTTCCAATGTCATTATTTCGTGACTTCAGTCTGCGATAAATGCGGTCGTTGATCGGAGCGCAGATCTGTGTGCCCAGAAAAAACCCCACTCCCAAGGAGATGTAGTTCAGGCCGCCAACGCCGACAGTTTCGTGGTAGATTCCCTGCCAGACTTCGGGGAAAGTGGACAGGACAAGATACATGAGACCGTAAAGGTACGCCCTTGAACGTGTCAGTCAGTGGCTGCCATGTAACGACAGGGCAATACGAACATATACAAAGCCAAAGCTTGAATAATAGGTTGAGTCCCCAAAAGACGAAACGGGCGGACAAGGCTTTTGCGGAGGACCTTCCCAAGTGTTCTGTCGGGACGATCCCACTCCGTGTGGTAGTTTGGATCGCCTGTCTCTTTCCGGAGTCTCTTTGCCTTGTCATTCAACAACTTCGGCGCGTAGGTTTCTCGTAAATAGATCAAGCCAAGGACTTGAATACCAGCGTCCACAATCGAAGTCGCCCAGAAGCACCATCTCCAGGTTGTCTGTTCCACGTCAGCATCTGGAAGATCACGAACATCAAGGTCTAGCCTACCTTCATGGCAATGAATCCACCTGCGATTGGCCCAACTGCAGGACCTAGAAGGGGTGCAAGAGAGTAGATGCTGATAGACTTGCCGCGTTCTTCTGCACGCCAGCAGTCACTCAATACTCCTCCACCCAACGCCAGAGGTGCACTACCACCCAGACCACTCAGAAACCGAAATGCGATGAGTTGACCTTGGGTTTGGGCAAAGCCGCACCCAAGATTCCAGGCGAGATAGAACAAATTCGAAAGTTGTAAAACGATAACTCGGCCGTAAATCTCTGACAAAGGGCCCAGAAACAATGGTCCGATGGCGTATGCAAGGACGAAAATAGAAAGCGTCAATGATTTCTCGATATCCTGGCTAATGCCCAGGTCTTGGCCGATTTTGTCGAGAGCCGGTGCCACCATAGACGATGACACGGGTGAAATGAATGTAAACGATGATACGATGAGAGTTGCCGCCCATTTCTTCCTGTATGTCCAATTTTTGGGATTTTCGGGGTCATCGGAGCCCTCCCAAGTAACCTACCGCGAAGATTGCGTTTAGCACTTGCTGTGGTCAACTTGAGAAGGCCGACTTACCAGGTGGGGATCCTTCAGTGATCGAGTAGACTTCTCTGATTTCAATTCTGGCAGATTGACTCCTGCTTCGACATCACGACTGTTGACGATGCCAAACCTGACTTCCTCCTGCGACTCTGTAGCGGTGCTTGTTTCGGATATGGCATCCTCGTCAGTCATTGGGCCCTCGGCGCCGTCGCGCTGACCGAAATAACCCTCATCAGGCGTCGCAGCGACGTGATAATGGTGGGCACCATGGTCATCCATGAATTGAGGCGAAAACAGCTGGTGAGAATCATCCTCGGGAGTCGATCGCGCCCGTCTTAAAGAAGCACGCGAGGACCGTCTGGACCGATTTTCGGGCGCTGTCCGGGTCTTGTTTAGGTCTGTAGCCATGACCGGGTCGTGTGCGCTCTCGTTATCGTGCTGCAGAAAAGCCAGAAACTAAAACGGGAGACGCGGGATCGCGGCACAAAGGGACATGAAGAATGAGGGGGTGGAAAGAAGCCGAGGATTTTAGATCATTTTATCCCATTTTATCCCATGTCGTCGACCACAGGGAACCTGCAGCCTGGAGAAAAGAAACGGATTTTGTGCATAATGACCGGCCGGCGTGCGCATGACTGGCCATTGAGAGAAGGCATTGCGAGAAAAAAACCCCTGCCAGCGTGCAAGGAGATCAAAGAACCTGGGAGAAAGTGCCTGTTAGCCGCCACTCCGGTCGAAGGATTGCATCGAACCTTGCACGGAACTCGGCACACGGTGAACAATTGACTTGTGAACCATTGTGACAAGACTATTTCGGCCCGGGGAAAACGTGCCAAAACGTCACCCACGCCGATGCCAGCTGCGCAGCTGCGCAAGCCAGGGCCGTTAACGGAGAACCAAGCTTCTGATCGGCAGGGTAGTGTAGAGTCTTGATTTGACCTGCCAGTGTGTTGCTGTCTCGCAACCTTGACCAAAGATGAAGAAGAGGCGCAGTTGGTGGGAGAAAGTGACCGAATTCGACCGTCATTTTGTCAAAGGCTCATCGATCACATGATTGAAGCCTTGCACGTGACCGGCTTCACTGTCTCAATCTTTCTACGCGGACACAATCGACTCATACGGACAAATAGTACTTAATTTACGAACATATAACGGCTTGGTCCTCAGCAGGATGAACGACCACGGCCATCGAGGCCTACCATCCGCCACCCTGTGAGGCAGTTCGATCGGTAGGTGTAAATCAACACGCGTAAGCACACAAAACCCAGCCTAATCGGTTAACGAGTCTTCTCCTCTGACCGCTTTTGATCCCTCAATCCTTGATCGAGACAAAGAACCCAACGAATAGTGCGATCCGTTGCAGTTCTCCTCTCCTCAACCTTGCTCGCGCCTTTTCTCTGCCTGCATGTCCTCATGCTCGCCCAGATCCTCGCCGTGCATCTGCACATCAGGTAACGTATCCAACCCCGTTCCCATGCCCAAATTCATGTCCAAATCCATTGAAAAGTCTTCTTGGACCCCCATTTCGTACCCCATATCTTGCCACCAGTCGGCTGCTGCGTTGGGCACGGCGGCCGAGAGGGTGACTGGTGTTGGACCAAACAGTGGCAAGGAATCGAGCCCATCATCGAGGTTGTGGGCCGAGGGAGATACGGGCAATGCCATCGGTATCGACATGCCCGCCTGCTGAAGGAGTGGTTGGTGTTGCGCGGGCATCTGAAAGGAAGATTGACGAGACGGTAGTGGTCGTCGCTGCGGAGGTGAACTTGGCCCCGGCCTGGTTGATCCTGCCACTCCCAGTCCTCCGAAAAACCCAGCACCCGCAACGCCTTCAGAAGCACCAGCAGGAACATGATCCGGCAACCCCATAACCAAAGCCGCCAAGAACTCGAGCTTTCTCGTCACAAGAACCTGCAGAAACCGATCCAGAACTCTCTCGGCGTAGACAAACCTCTGGAGAACCCGTCGGACATTTTCCCAAGCTTCAATATTCAATCGTTGCAGCACCATGGCGAAATGCACGCTAAACCAACGCGCATTGATGATATCGCCTGGGTGCTCGACAGAAGGCGAAGGGATCACACCCGCCCTTGTGATGTGATGTGGTGCTTGGACCCGGTTTGGCCCATCAGATTCCTCGACGACTGCGCCAGCGAAAAAGAGGAAAAGAAGGGCGTCCGTCGGAACTGGATTAGTAGGCCCTCTACCACCACGGCCCTCTCCCGCTCCAGGCGCTTGTATGCGTCTATACTGACTCATAAGCGTCATGAGCAGGTCCAGCCTTGTGCGCAGATGATGGTACGGTATGTATGCCATGCTTGGCGCGTTCATGCCGTATCGCATGACGAACTGGAACATATAGCTGGTGGCGAGCACAATGCTAGAGTGAAAAACACGGAGGATTTGTGCCAACAGCGACTGTTCAGGGTTTTCCGACTCCAGGAAGTCCATATACATATGCGACGAGAGGCAACTCAAGGCGTATTGACGCAGCGACAGCCATGTGTATATCAGGTCGGCTCGGTCCTCCCCACCTTCACCGGCAGACTCGGAGATGTTCGGAGAGCCCGATGTGTCTGCGATGGCGAAAGCTAGTTCATTTGCTGCCAGCGCTTCGCGATGCCAGTTAATCAGCTCCAACAGATGCTGAGAACCCTCACCGTCATCGCCATGGTCCGTAAGCAGGAATATGACCTTGTCCGTGTCCTCATATACACGAGCGTCGAAGCCGAACAAATGATCAAGCGGTCGCAATGATGTCTCTTCTGCCCATGACTTAGGCGCCCAAGACTCAATGTCCATCGACGGACGTCTTGGAACATGGCTTGCTGTAAGCGAGTCGCAAAGTATGAGACAGCACTTCAGCACCGGGTGCAACGATTCGAGACCTCCTTCAAGGCTTTGCAGAAGCCGCATTGAAGCAGCACGATGGACCTGACAACTCTCGAGATCGTGGCAGTGGAAACTGAATGTTGTCATTCCATGGATCAGACTCAATGCCTCTTGAGTACTGATCCCTGGGCGGGCGAGCTGAGCCCGTGTCTCTTCGAGACATTTGCCATAATGATGGATGGCCCGGGCCCACAGCATCGGGGTGTTTTCTGTCGGCGGAAGATAATTTGTGATGTAGCTGAGGGCGCCGGAGAAAACGCCGTGCAGCAGGGCCGGATTGTTGATGACCATATTTCGAATCCAGCCATCGGTGAATTGGACTGCTCTGTGCGAAAGGTTGAAATATATATGTGCTGGCCAAAAGTTGGACATGTAGCACAATCGCCAAAACTGCAAGACCGAGTTGAAAAAGGTGTCAGGAGCCAATGGCGCGGCTACGGCCGAGTCTGAAGCGCCGCCTGGAATCAGGGCGCCGGGCGATGCGGCTGTGCTGAGCTGCGCTAAAGAGGCGGCGTGTTCAGCAGGAAGAAGGTTGGAAGTCGACAGGGGGAGGGTCGAGGACCTTGGGGACAAGGCTGGGAATTCATGTGTTGCTGACTGGCTTCGGGACGGCTCTGGCTGGCGTCTCTGAGACTGCCTCTGCTGGTATTGGAGCACTCCTCTAGCCTGCTGCTCCAGAATGTTCTGGATGGACGGAATCGGCTCGGCTGATGGACTGGGACCACCTGTTTGGCTTACGGGGCTTGCAGGTATAGTTGACTCTGGTTGTGCCTGGCTTTCCCGCTCCGACGATTTGGGCCGGGAAGTCGACTTTCTCGATCGTCTGGCAATCTGCATGGCATGGCTGCGCACAGCAAACACCTCTTCTCTCTGCCGTGACCTAAGATTTGTGGCGTTCTTGTTCACAAATAGGAATGGTCCGGTATATGCTGGCGGGCGTTGATCTGGCTGGCGGTCACCCTGGTCTTGTTCCGCCATGGCAGCTTTCGGCCGATGAAGACTGGAGCGGCGTAAACTGCACCTCGGACTGCAAGACGTTAGGGGTGGGTCGTCCTTAGACTCTTCTGCATTGAGCCTAAGATGATGATGGATTGGTGAGCTTGCCACCTGAGAGTCGTACATTCTGGGAAGGAGCACGTTTATAAATCCTGTCGCTGGGGACGACGCATATGCTTCATCCGGGATATTCACGTTGATCAAACACGCATATGGGGGTCAAGTCTGGGATAAACTGCAAGTCGGGAAGCACGATACCGAGATCGAGAATTTGGAAGGAAAAAACCGTAAGGCCGTGGAGCAATGTAAATATCGCATCTCCCTCCCCAGGTACGGCCGAATATGGCGTTTGCTCGCCCAAAGGAAACGGACATTCGTAGAGACGGCGGACTTTCGCATTTTTTAAACTGAGAAGGGGACCACAGACGCATTTGAGATTACAGTTCAGCAGACCCCCGTACCCCATACCGTAGAACCATGAACGTGTGGGCAAGGCTGGTTGGACCATACTCCCTTTTGGGTTTGTAGAACCATACCAGGATGTGTAGACGGGAGGACGGAGCTGGTGATTGGTAGAGGGCAAGCGGTAGTGCAGTTTCTGTTCTCAGAGGCTCAGCCACAACAGCCCATTCCATAAGTCGAAAGTCGGAACGTCCAAGCCGACGGCCAGCCCTGCCCGACGATAACCTCGTGGGCCCTGATGCGATGAGTAAGGCACATGGCGGCGAATTGGAACGAATTGGAGCGAGCTGAGCGAATTGGAGTCCTTGGCCACGTCTTTTCGTCCGAGCAAAAGCCAGTAAACCCGCGGCTTTTGGGGTCCAATGAGTGGCCATGGACTGGTCGACTGCTTGCATAACATTTGACAAACGAGGCCTTTGATTGCCCACCGGCCTGCAAGGCCAAAGCATGCAGAGTACGTCAGGCGCATGACGAGTAGCCGTGGCAGATCAGGACTGGGGTATTACGGGCTAGATTGTATCAGGCTCGACCACCCTTTTGGACCATGTCAAACGCATCTGGACCCCTCAGGCAATCAATCAGAAGAGGAATCATCTACCGAGTTGGGCGCGGATGCTCGTGTCAGACATCTGGGCGTTCAATCAATGTTGGGATTTGGTCCGTATCTGAATGTGGGTGCATTGAGCTTTTTATTCTGGCCCCTGGAGCAGAGGCTGGAACGGGAGCTTGTGTCTATCATCATCACAGCCAATCCCGGCTTGATCTTATGATGGTGGTTGATATGGATGAATCAGCATCTCTGAGAAACTAACACACCAGCGAACGTCAGTAGTTGAGATTATGGCATCAATATGCGAGAGAGAAAGCTCACCTCTTCAGCTTTTCCACCCCCCGCACCTCGTCCGTGAGGAGGGGCATCTTGACAACGTTGAACTCGTCATACAGCTCTTCGATCTGGTCGAGGTATTTCTTCTGCATCTTCCTCCTCGCGTTACACTGCTTACATTCATTGCCCTTCTCCGGGAACAACAATTGGTTGACGACAATGCAGTGGGTATCGATATGATAATTTGCCAGCTCTTGAATCATTCTCTCCGTCTCGTACAATGAGAGGAACTCGGCGATGCAGACGCAGACGAAGGTGGTCATGTCGGGATTCTTGAATTGGCCATTGACTTCGGCAATGGTCTCTCGAAGCGACTCAAGCTTCTGCGTCAACTCCTCAAGCGATGCACCGCCAGGAAGTCCTCCTCTTGCCCCGATGACTGATTGCAGCATGGGACCGAACTGGGTGGAAAGTTGAGAGATCTTCGCTAGGGCCTTCTCCAGCACCGTGGGGAACTGTAAGAAGCGAAGAGTGTGGCCGGTGGGAGCCGTGTCGAAGATGATGACTTCGTAGGAGAGAGATTTGACTTGCTTGAGCACTTCGGCAAAGGACATGGCTTCGTCAACACCAGGAATCTGTCTAGATTAGCGCCTAACTTCACAACGGAATGTAAGAGTGCGTACGCTAAAAGCCAGATCTTGCATCATGTTGCCCATTCCCCCCAGTCCTGCCATGGCGTCCTGAGCCTCATCCCCGGCGCCGCTGATGAGGTCGTTGATGGAACCGTTGGGGTCAATTTCCATGGCGCTGAGGTTTGTAAAGCCCTCGACCAGTCTCGCATCTTTGCCAAACTTCTGGCTGAAGGCGTCACTCAAGTTGTGAGCCGGATCAGTTGAGATCAAGAGCACCGATTTCCTGGCTTTGGCCATTTGAATTGCCAGCGAACACGACGTTGTCGTCTTGCCTACACCGCCCTTTCCACCCACGAAAATCCATCGTAGCGACTTCTGGTCGATGAGGTTTTGGAGGCTAGGCTCGAGGACGTCGTCGTCGGCGCTGACGATCGCAGTCGACATCTTTCTGCGTGCGAGTTGGATTTGTTCACAGCGTCTGGCCTGTTGTGACCCTGCTCTTGTAACTCAAGGGTCTGGTTTCTGCCTCGTGCAGAAGATCACCTGCAGTTCTCGACTGTTCCCCGAAGACTCTGGGTGCACGGAGAGGTAGAAGGGCTGGTTCGAAGAGTACTGAGTAGCTTTCGGAATCTATGTCAAGGAAGTAAGGTATTCTATCATCTATGGGGAAGAAAAGGACAGCAATCCTGTAAAACGCAGACCTAATGGTGAAAGTGACCCAGGTAGGTGGAGATGGTGGCCAGAAAATCGCAGGCCGCAAGCCGCAGGTGCTGCCCTCAAGTCCCACGTCATTCCTTCCCAAGTTCCCACTGCCTGATATGCCTCGTATTTCGTGTACCATGCCGTGCATGCCCACCACCGTCTGGCAACCAAGCCTTGCGCTTTCACTACCCATTATCAATATCAGCTGTTGCAAGTCTGTGATGGTACTAAGGAAGAAAGGATCGCAATTCTGAATAAATATGATTGAAGGCAGCTTTCTGCCAGAACTCGAGCCATGGATCTGGCTAAAAGTGTGACTCCAGCTTAAATGCTATGTGGTGGTGAGAAGTGGTATATCTGCGCCCTAGCAACATGAGAGAAGCCACCTCTATCCGACCATGCCTGATTGTCACCTCCGTGCTTGCCTGGCCTGTTTCTCTGCAGGTTGAAATCGCTTTTGAAAAAGAGAAATGCTGGAACAGATGGGGTCGGCTGTCGAATTCGCTCAATAAAAAAATTCATAGCCCCATGAGATGATAGTAGTGTACAATGGAAAGTGGTGTGAGCATCCGCCGAAAGGCAACTCTATCAGCGATCATCTTCATCACCGTGACGATACGTGCAAGCGTCGCCCTTTAGACATTTACCTTGCTCCCAGAAGGAGCACGATTGCGTCTTGTAAAGGTATGGTTTTGGTTCCCCCTTTTTCTTCTTGATCCCACCTTTTCTGCCATAGTCATTGTCGTTGTCATTTGAGTCGCTCCGGCCGTGTTTGCGTGAAGCGTCGTCGAGGTTAGCAACGTAAGGGTTAGGGTTTCCAGCCAAGCCCAGAGGGAGCGCATTGGTAGATGTTCCGGCTTGAGCGCCTTGTTGCATCGAAGCCCAGAGTGCCCCTAGATTTGGTCCCAGGGTCGCCGCCTGGCTAGCGGCTGGGTATTGAGGGTGTTGATTTTGACCCTGCGATTGATTGCCGAGGACTGTCTGAAGAATTGCTTGCAAATCCACGTTCGCACCAGGTGCAGCTTGCGGCGCAGTTGTCGGTTGACTCGACCGACCCAACATGCTCAAGGCACGTTGGAGCTCCAGCGGAATGGCTCCTGGCTGTTGTTGAGACATCTGTGGGGCAGACATGGCTTGGATCTGAGCCGCAAGATCTGTGGCAGGTTGCGTTCGGACTTGTCGTGCCAGATACTCCTTCTCCCGTTGCCGTGTCTTCTCGCCGGGTTCTCCAAAAGGCGTGTCAGGTTCGGCAGGCTCAAAATCGCCTTCATCCTCCTTGGTTTCATCTGGCTCCTTTGGAGTCGGCGGACGCTCAGCCTTGGAAGTGTAGAGTGCCATGAGTGTATCTTGCTCGTACTTATTCTGCGCTTCACTGCTAGGGCTGGAGGGTTTCATAGTCCCGCCGAACTTGGGTGAATTGATTTTGTGTGGTGAATCGCCGCCAAGCGAAGCGTCTTCAAGGTAACTAAAGTCCACCTCGGATGGCGGCACAAACGGCTCAAATTCTTCGAAAGAATCTTCATCTTCTTCGTCATCGTCATCGTCCAGATTCTTGTGAAGTTTGAGCGCTTCGCCTTCACGACCGGTGTCCCCAGCGTCGCGTTTTAGACGGTCGCCATGGTCAAGCTCTTCGTCAGGATCATGGGTGAACAGGCGAGTCTCCACGAGCTCTGCATCTGCCTTCCAGGTGACCCGAAGCTTCCGACGAGTCTCCTTCCTCAGTCTCTTGGCCTTTTGCTCCTCGGTCTCATTCGGGATTTCGTCTTCCTTCTTTGCCTCTTTCTCGGGCTTTTTCTCCATGTCAGCCAGCAAACCCAAAAAGGACGACGAGGTCGCAGCCTTTGTGACGGGAGCGGAGCCGCCATTTCGCGGTGGTGAGTCTTTGCCTGTGTTTAACTTCTTCGTTGTCTGAGCAAGAGCAGGGGAAGGAGATGCCGTTGAGGCAGCCTTCTCTTTAGCAGCTGCAGCGGCTCGTTCTGCGTTTGAGGTGCCTGGCTTTTTAGGAGCCGATGCTAAAGCCGCAAAGATCGATGATTTCGGAGGGGCAGCTACGGCCACTTTCGCTTTCGCTGCCGGATTGGCTGTTGCTCCCGCTGGCGCAGAGGTTGCTTTCTCTCCGGCTTTTGCCGCGTGTGCTGCTTCCAACGCCTTTCGACGTTCGGCATTTTGAAGAGCTAGGGGTTTCGAGGACTGCGGGATCAATCTGGGATGCTTTTTCACAGCCGGCTGAGCAGACGCATCGCCTTCTCGGAGACGCTTGACCCCGGTCGCAGCGTCCTTTCGTGTCCCATCTGCTGGACTCCCAACAGATTTAGGCGACGTTGGCTTGTCGGCTTTCTTGTCATGAGTGGTGGAAGTCTTCTTCGCCGTAGCCGCGACAGCATTGTCAAGGACAGTCTGTGCCAGCGTCTTGACTTCACTCGTGGCTTTCTTGGTCAGACGCTGCAAGATTTTTGACAGCTTCGTCATCTCTAACATTTCCGTATCAAGCGTGCCAAACTTGACAACAAACTAGTCCAACACAATGAGCAGGGAGCAGCAAAGGGGAAGGATTCCTCTTACCTTGAGGATAGAGCTGACAAGAGCACTATCGTAATCGGCTGCGTTGAATCTGTCGAGCATGAACGAGTACAAGGCTGACATTGTGAACTGGTTTTCACCTAGTCTATAGGGATTATTAGTAGATGTTATTAGATGTGATCGAAGGACAAATATGCCATGGCCGTCCCACGGGCGTACGAAATAGATCACGAAATGAGGCGGCTTGTAGACTATCTATGGATGTAGAGCTATGGATACAACCATTATGCAAAAGTGACGAGCACATCCATGCCCGTGGATTCCGGACATAAGACAACGAGCTCCGATTGCAATAAAGACAGAAGAAGCCAAAAGCCTTGTGTCTATGGAAGAACGAGTCTGGACCACACAAGGCCATCTCGCAGCGGAGTTCACGAGGTGAAAACAAGCGCGGGTACGGCAGGGTGGTGGGGAAGACAACATACCTATTGACAATGGCTGGATGGCCATACAGCAAAGACCTCATCATGACATTTTCCATGACTTGGCGATAGCGCGCAACTTCTTCCTTTAACCTCGGAGCATCTGCGGCTGTGGGAGAATCAGGAAGCTCTGCCTTTCTCAGACTTTCATTCTTCGTTTTCCAAGCGTCTCGCAAGCCTCGTACGACATCACCAAAGTCAGCAATGCCACCACGGATCTTCTCAGGAGAAGCCGATTTGTTGCGGGGGCTCCAAACAGCTTGCACTGCATTATAAAGAGCTTTTCCTCGTTCATCGGTTGGCATGGATACGCTCAGTAAGGCCGGAGTCATTTCTGGAGGCTCCTCATCCTCGATCTCCAAGTCGTCATCGGAATCTGTCTCAGATCCTGAGGGGTGTCCGTCAGGCTTCACAGATGCATCTTTTTTCGGCCGACCCTTTTTGCTCTTGGGCGCATCTTGGGCTTTCGTAGCTGTCGCCCTCGCATCTTGTTCCGGCTTTGGCTGAATAGCAACCCCTGCCCACGTTAGCTCTCGCTGATGAGGTGAATTAATTTCAGTACCTGAGCGTGGTGTTTGTGACGGGGCCGGCGGCATCGCCTGCATCGGCTGACCTTCTTGCAATGATCTCGGATCCACTGTTGAACCAGTCTTGAAATACGAAGCTGCTATGAAAGGTTGCTGTGTCTGGAAGGCATGGTTGCTATCTGCCAGAACACTATCAGCGAATGATTCTACGAGGATGTAGTGGATTTCCTTACTTGGATGCATCATCTGAGTTGCATTCAACAGGGAAGGATCCACAAAATGATTTGAGGACTGGTGGTTTTGATCTTGGAAGGCCCCGAAGCGCATCATGTCATTGCTCTAGGCCAGTGTTAGACAACGTGAGAGGTTAAGACATCGGGTTAGTCCCTTACCTGGCCGTGTGACAGTTGTGTAGGTCGTGGACCAATGTTGACAAAGGTTGAATGTTGTGGCTGCGGTTGTTGTTGTTGTGGTTGTTGCTGTCTGGAAGGATAATTCTGCGAAGGGGTAGGAGTAAGTCGTTGCATGTTCAGCTGATGGCCGCCGAACTGCTGGTTTGGGTAGCCTATCCGAGACTGATATGAATAACCGCTATCAAACCCCACGGGTGAAGGAGAGGGTCGCGGATAGAATCGAGGGTCGTAGTTGGGTTGGCTCATCTGGCGCGAGTCGTAGAATGGCTGAGGGAACTGATGGTGGGAGAAGGCTCGCTGGGGAACATTGTACTGTTGTACATCTGGTGTTCCCGACTGTCGACCGGCGTTGGGATCGTAGTCCTGTGACATTGACAACGAGGGCTGGACATAACTGCTGCCAAGGGTGGTGGAATCGAACAGCTCGGGGTCAAAGAAACGAGACAAATCTTCTCCATTTTGCAGACTATCGGGGCCCGCATACGCCTGGATGCCGTCGAGTAAGCCGTACGATTGACCTTTTGCATGCTGCGCGCCGTTGAGTGAAGAATTGGTGGAGGGGTCCATGGCGATGGGGATCGACCACCATCAAGAGACAAGGGAGTCTAGGAAGTTGGGTCACGTGCTCAACGTCACGCGAAAAGAGCCGGTCTGACCAAAACCCAATTGCGACAAAAATAATAGGCGTCGAGGGGCCCGGAGGAGTCGCTGCGTCGTAGTGGCAGGGTGCAAAAGTTTGGGGCTTATGCCGAGAAAAAGTTGCCACTCACAGGCCACAAAAAGCGCTCGGCTGCATAGAAGGTAAGGAAGTGGAAGTTGCGGCGACTGCCGGACTGGCCACCGCAAGTGACTCAGTGAGCCTGTGAGGCCTTTTTGTGATGTACTTGGTACTCCCGTCAATCCCAAGCAGGACTCGGTAGTAGCAGTAGAGACCGTAGAATTAAATTGGCGTTCCCAGGTACACAGGGGTTAGTGTTATTTTTTGCTTTTCGTGCTGTTCAGTCCAGTCTCTCTCAGGCTGGAAAACGCGATGATTTTGTTTTTTTGGGGAGGTCGACTGTTTTCTGTTAAGGGCCGCCCTGCCGCCTGCGCCCTTGGCCTTAGGCTTGACTGTGCCTGCAACCACCGCCCCAAGACAGGCAAAATAGGGACCCTTCTTTCTTGGATTTGCCTGCACTTCGAACCGTGCAAACAAAGGCCAAAGGCCAACCTTCACCTCAACCTTGCACCCAGAACGCTCTCCTCTAGTATGGACCAGTCTGAAGGAAAACAAGCACTAATGCACTCAATCCACCCGTCACTGATGAGCTGTACACAAAAGAGGCTCAAAGAGACGTGGTTTGGGCGGATTCAAATCAATATTAGATGATGAGCGAACGCGCCACAGTCACGCCAACTTCAACACGTCCCGACTCCAGCCCATGCGGTGATGCCAAATGGAGAACCATTCAATGTCACTTATTACAGAGCACTGTCTGAGTGTGCCGAGGAACAAGATTACAGATTGAAAAAGGAGTGAAGGAAGGGTTATCGTGGATAAAGTGTTTGGGTGATGAAGGAATGAGGAGCAGGAAGTGAAGTGAGAGGGAGAGATGGAAGGCGAGGGCCAGTTTAACGGTCCTGGCTCGCTGGGTCCTGACTCTCTGAGATTGAAGCGCCGCCGCAGGTTGCAGCCTAAGCCGGTTTGGGACTGGCGCCTGGATGCCACCGTAATGCGCAGTAGCGGCCACTTTTTGTTAGAGCGCCCTCGGACCATATGCTTGTAGAGGCCTCTTTGGTGCAGGGAACCTCTTTGTGTGCAGACAAAAGTCAGTCCAGTTGCTATCTTGTCCATGTGTGCTTCTCCATGATGCAATGTCGTCCTTGTTAGACCCCGTCACCTCGAGATCAAGATGAAAGCCGGCCTTCAACAACTCCATCCAAACCTACCATCTGCGGACCTTCATCCTCGACCATCATGGCATCCCGCACCCAGACTCTGCGGGACCGTCAGATAGGCAAGTACTCCTTCAGAACGATTTGTCTACATTTTCAAGTTGCTCATACATCCCAGCCTCTATTGAACGCATCCTGAGCCTGAACCACGACCATTCGTCTGCCTCAAATGGCGAGACCACGGCCAGCCCACAAGCGGCTTCACTCCTCAACGAGGATGGAGAACCTATATGGAAAGTTCTTGTATTTGACAATCTTGGACGGGATATAATCAGCAGCGTCTTGCGGGTAAATGACCTGCGGAGCAAAGGAGTAACAATACACCTGTCAGTTTGCAAACAAACACGATGGCCTGCGACAGAGCAACCACTGATCCGTCCACAGAAGCATAAACTCTCCTCGCTATCCCATCCCAGATGTTCCTGTCCTGTACCTCGTCGAGCCTACTCTGGCCAATATACAGCTCATATGCTCCGACCTCGCCCGAGGGTTATACTCCCCAGCCTATGTCAACTTCATCTCCTCGATTTCTCGACCATTACTCGAAGAATTCGCCGCCCAGATCGCCTCCACAAATACAGCAGACTCCATCGCCCAAGTCTATGACCAATACCTAAATTTCGTTGTTGCCGAACCAGACTTGTTCAGCCTGGCAATGGGAAAAGAGTCCTATTGGACATTTAATAGTGCCAAAGCAGAAGCTGAGGTCCAGGATGCAGCTATAGACAGGATCGTGAGCGGGCTATTCAGTGTCAGTGTGACAATGGGATCAGTGCCCATAATACGATGTCCCCAGACAGAACTGGCCAAAATGATTGCAACGAAACTGGACCGAAAACTAAGAGATCATGTCCTCAACTCCAAAGACAACTTGTTCTCAGCAAAAGGCTCCTCCGCCAATCTATACTCCGCGCCCTCAAGACCGGTTCTCATAATCCTAGACCGGAATATCGATCTGGTCCCGATGCTGTCTCATTCGTGGACCTACCAGTCCTTGGTTCACGATGTCTTGAAAATGCACCTCAATCGGATTACGGTAGATGTTGCAGACGAGGGCGACCCGACCGCAAAACCCCGAGCGTATGACCTTAATGCAAGCGACTTCTTCTGGGCGCGTAATGCGAGCGCTCCCTTCCCTCAAGTCGCCGAAGACATCGACAAAGAACTCACAAAATACAAAACCGACGCAGAAGAGGTGACCAGGAAAACAGGCGTGAACAGCATCGAAGATCTCAACGACAGTTCAACTTCTGCAGCCCACTTGAAAGCGGCAATAACACTGTTGCCCGAGCTGCGAGAGCGGAAAGCCACCCTGGACATGCACATGAACATCGCAACCGCGCTGCTCAAGGGCATCAAGGACCGCCAACTCGACAACTTCTTCCAGCTAGAAGAGACCGTTACCAAACAAACCGCCGATCAAATGCTCGCTCTCATCAAATCGGACGACAAGGGTAACAACCCATTAGACAAGTTACGAATATTTATCATCTGGTATCTCAGCGTTGACAGGGAACCCTCAAAATCGGAGCTTTCGGAATTCGAGTCTGCACTCACAACTGCTGGAGTGGGAGATGCCGTGACAGCAATCAAACATATCTCCAACGTGCGTCTGGAAACACGAGGGACAATGATGAGCTCCGCAGCACCATCTCAGAATCAACCATCTTCCCAGGCACCCTTATTTGGAGGCCTCTCCTCCCTCTCCAAAAATTTCACCGAAAAGCTCTCCTCCACTGCCCTCGGAAACACGTTCAGTAACGTAAACCTTGAAGCCCTCGTGTCCGGAGTGAAGAATTTCCTACCAGCAAACAGGGATCTCACTGTGACCAAGATTGTCGAGTCAATCATGGATCCTCCCGCCGCGAGTTCCAGCGCGATCGCCATGACGGAGGGATATCTGTATTTCGACCCGAGGAGTGCGCATGCGAGGGGTATTCCTGGGACGGCGAGCGGCGGCTCGAATCCGCCGGGATCAAGAGATGGTAAGGCAGGCCCCGGTGGTGGCGCAGGTGTGAATCCCAGCTTTGGCCAGAGGAGACAGGGGTATACGGAGGCAATCGTCTTCACTGTCGGAGGAGGCAGTATGGATGAATACGGCAATCTACAGGAATGGGTCAAGCGGACAAGTGGGTTAGGGACTGCCGGTGGTGGTGGCGGCGGAGGAGTAGGCGCAAGTGCGCCGCGGACGAGGAGAGTCGTCTACGGGAGCACCGAGTTGGTCAATGGAGAGGACTTTCTGTCCGAGTTGGTGAGATTAGGGAAAGAACTCTAAGGGACAGAGAAAATAAGCGAGTGTATCCAGGCCATTCGCACCATTTTGTCCGCGTATATCATGAAAGTGACCTCGATGGAAGCGACTTTACAGTAGTAGAACTTGCAAATACGAGTAGTGGGATGCCATCAAAGGGGAATCTCAAAAGCTGGGACAGTGAACGACTTTGCTGTCATTCCATCTACTTAAGTACCCAGGTACCTTCCACGGCACACCTCGGGACACATACATATCTATTCCCTGATCACGACTGTCCAGTATACACGAACTGGGCCAGCCGAAAACTTATTCCTTCGAGGTCCCAAACGTCATGAATCAATCATTAACCATCAACCATCAACAATGCAAAAGTTTCATGACCCGTCGTAGATTAACATGATCCAGCCAAGGGGGCTTCTGGAGGCCCCAAGGGGCCAAACAAAAAGTTGCCGGAAAACGGATCGTGCGGCGCTATGCTGCGATCCTCCTCCTCAACTTTCACCTTCTACCTCTGGAGAATCTGCCTCCAGCTCTCTTCGCCCGCGAGTTTTTGTTCTTGATCTTCAGGCTCCGGAAGTTCATGTGCGAGTAGGCGTTCGGGTTGATTTTGCGCGTCGTTGTCGTTTTTCTCGTCATCGTCTCTTCGCCCTGGCCGCTAGTGCGGTTGGCAGGGTGTTTCCTCGAGGCTTTCGGTTTGGTCGAAGACGCCGGTTTCGACTTCGATATCACCTTTCTCCTGTTGGCGGGCGGGTCGTTTCTGGGTACGAATTCGTCTGCCTCGTCAGATGCGTCTGGGTCATGAAGCCCGTCATCATCTGCTTCCTCGTTTTCGGCTGTGAGATCCTCCATATCCAAGCCGTCGCGTGAGCCGCCAGCATCCTCAAGGGCGAGGGCCAATTCGTCTTCGCTTTCTTTCTGGTCGATATCCTGAGCGTCGTGCTCATCCTCATCCTCGTCATCAGCGACAAACTTGGGTGCCGCTGCCGGTTTCATCTTTACTGGCCTCATAATGACTCTCCTTGTCGTCCGTTTCTGGCCCTTCTTCTTCCATACCTTGGGCGCTGGCTCCTCTCCTGCGATCTCCGCCATGAGGATTCCATCCGCTGTCTTCTGGCTATCGTTGACAAGAACATTGACTTCGTTAGCTTCCATTTCCCTCAAGGCATCGAGGTCATCTTCATTGTCATCGTTGCTTAGCTGCTGTGTCTCTTGTTTACTCTGCTCCAGATCCGCTATCATTTGACTCAAGGGCTTCGGCCCAGGCTTGCCAAATCCTAGGCTTCGTCGTGGGCCGGTTCTAGTGGACGTCGGGCTTGACTTGCTGGCAGAGGCTCCAGCTCCAGAAGCAGCGAAAAGCCGTTCTTTGAATGAGAACGAACGCTTTAGATATGGAGGGGTGGAGTCGTTGCCATTCGCAGTCGCAGCCACAAGTCCTTTGTCCGTCTCAATAGCTTTTGCAGGAGTAGTCTTGAGGACAAAATCTCGAAGCGGAGTCTTGCTCTCTACTGGAGCATCGGCGTCATCATCGTCACCGATCATGGTTGCAAATCTGACGGCACTTGGGGTTGCGAAGAAGTGGTCGAGCATGAACTTTTTGCCTTCGCTTATCGGGGTCTTAGAGTGCATACGCTTGCTAGCGGACACCCTTGATGATGGCGTGGTGGCCTGGAGACCTGCACCCCCAGGATAGCTCGATTGCCTGGGTTTCTGGCTTGGGGTTTGGGTCACCGGTAAGGGTCGCGAGTCATTGTCGCCAGCTCCATCGTAGAGTGCGTCGGCCTTTCTCTTTCTGCTTCCCGGTGTGCTTTCGACACTTTTCTTTGAGACCGTATTAGGGAGCAAATCGAATATGCCCAGCACTGTTCCATCTCTTCGCGGAGTTGGTCCAATGGCCTTGGGTAACACTTTTGGTGATATCGATGAGGGAGGGTCATAAGGATCGATGTCGTTGGGATGGGATAGTGACTTAGAGGGAGAAAAGCTCTTTTGGACCCGATGAGGTGTCAGGCTAATCGCACTGTCTGATCGTCCGTGCCTTCGAGTACTCTGATGTCGGCGGGGTGTGTTCAATAGATCAATGCTGCGTTTCCCCGCGAGAACATCGCGCACTCGGTTATACTCTTTGTACTTCGCTGCAATGACCAGGTCGGCTTTTATATCACCCTTGTCTGGCTTGCGGCCGCCATTTCTCGCGGCGAAGGTCCGTTCGTATCCTTTCAAGTCGATGCGAAGTGAGTCTGCTTGAGACTGCAAAGATGCTCGTTTGGGTGTGTCAAGTAGAGGAATCAATGTGTCCATAGTGGCTCCAAGGGTTGTAGCGTAGATTCAGCGATGGGCCATTCCGTCAGCCCATTGAACATTCGGTACTTCAACGGGGAATGCGGAGTGCGACAGATACGAGGTTCTCGCTACGACACGCTCGAGACGCGTCGCCAATGACGCGCGCCCACGGGGACAAGAAAGAGAAAATGGGCAAATCTGCCAAGTTGACCTAGGCGCATGCTAGGCCAAAGCGGACCTAGATCAAATTGTGCTCGTTACATTTCTTACTCCGCCCAAGAATTAGTCTGGGCCTGCGGATGAGCAAAGCGGGTAGTGAGGAGGACAAAATTATGTGCCTTTTGAGGGTAGTTTCATGGAAGAACGTTGCAATGGATTTTGTCTCTTCCTGCATCATCACGATCATAGGTGAAACCGACGTGGCTGCATTGAATGGAAATCATCTCGATCTCCTCAAGACTCGTCTGTTTCTAATGCCACTTTTTCAAACCCCACGGCGCCTCTTCTCGATGAGACAATTTCCGTAGATTTTGCATCCGATACTGCAGGCCCGAGCCGACTGTTGTCTTCGCTCTTTTGGCAGTAAGGTTTTTGGATACCTCGTTGTTTGACCGTACCAAACTCGCCTTCCCTCTTCGAGCATGCCATACCACCGATAAACAGGAGACGCCGCTCATGCTACCAACTCGACAACACCACCGGCCTCCTTGATCTTTCGTTCGGCCTCCTTGCTGAACCACCTTGCTCTTACAACAATGGGAATCTTGGGAATGCGGCCCTTTCCGAGGACTTTGGAGTATCCGAGGGGGAGGAGGTCAAGGACAGGAGCGGTATCGGTCTTCTCGCCAGAGACATAGGCTTCGCGGGTCTTCTCAGGGACCAATGACCAGAGCTATGAGCAAACGTTAGGTTCTTGTTTCCAATGTAAATGATGGATCAGGTCCTGACCTTGTCGAGGTTGATGGAGGGTTTCCAGTAGTGGTTTCTGAGCAGGTGGAAGTGTCTCATACCGACCTTACCGAAGTAACTATTTCATCCGTTAGCACTCCTCTACCCACAAATATCCAGCATGGGCAGGGTTGATCCAGCAAGACCAGCCCTCCGTAGCCTTGAACTTTCCAAGTAGCAGACGTACCCAGGATGGTATTTATCCATGTTTGTTCTGTGATGATGTTGACCACCAGCAAGACCACGACCACCAGGATGCTTTCGGTGCTTTCCTATACGACCGTGACCAGCGGACACATGGCCGCGGCTGAAGAATTCAAATGTTAGCCGTGTCCCTCAACTTGACCGACGTCACGGATGAATAAATGTGCGCTGTTTGCGGAGAGGAAAATCGGGTGTATTTGGTGTGTTCAACTTGTGCGATGGCTTATCTGGTCATTGCAGCATCGAGAGTTGAAGTTTGGTTTCGTAGTCGAGCGACTCAAACGACTCGATCGGCTTGCGCAGGGCGACATTCGCACCGTTGACAGAGTGAGAGATTTGAAGGAGTATACTCACTGTTTTCTCGTCTTCGTCAGTCTCGTGGGCATTTTGGCGGCGTCGAGACTGAAGTTGTCGTTGATTGGAATCAGACGTTGATGCTGGAGGGAAGTTCAAGAAAATGTGCGGTCTCCGGAAAAGGGTTAGCGCACATAAATCTTGGCGAGGATTTCACCGAAGTTCTGCCGGCACGAAAGCCTCACTCGCAGAATAGACGCCCATTTTTAGAATGGAATCAGAGCACTTCATACCAGGTATATACCTACAGATCTATCTTTACAGTGTTTATACAATATAGCGTTACTCGCAGTCATAGTCGAGGCTGCTCGACGAACATAACATGCCCACCACCTTGATAGGCCTTGAGCCCAACTTGCCGGCTTGACGCACCGATTCGACTCTCTTCAAACATATCGTGGACATCTTCAACCCTCCGCACTCTTTTTTCAATTGTATCCTCGAACGCCATCGCAGAGAGGCCTTCCAGACTCATGCGAGCGACCATGTCTCTTGTATCCGGGGAATTCAGCCTCCAAGCACGTATGATAAGTACGACTCCAAATATAGTGTAGAGAAGATTGCTACCGACAAGGAAGCCGAAGGGGGCGACACTGATCTTCGCAACCAAGAGATCCTCACGTATGGCTTCGGCGGAGTCCATCCTGGGCGACATGACACTTGCGATCAACGTCAACGAGTTCTCCGAATGCTGATTTGCGAAACTATGTCCAAGAGCTTCGGCCGAAGCTGATAAGCTGGCAAGGCTCTGGGCCTGCGAGAGAGCCGGCATTCCTGTTGCTTGCATGCCGTGGGCAAGTTCGAGAATGCTGCCGTTTCGGGTTTGGGAGAAGTTGAAAGAGTTGATGGAGCCGTTGATCCAGTCATAAGCGACATCATAGGATGTCACTGAGCAATTCAGGGTGTACGCAACAAATGCACCACCTATGGACAGCAAATTTCTGTCTTTGCTCAGACTTTCTCCTGCTGGTCCATTTGAAACTGGGACAAGTCCGGCAACCGCAAGAAATATGGGATTTATAAGCTGGTCATCCGGTAGTGCAAGCTCCCCAGAGGCACCACCATTGGTTGCATTGCCACCGATTGAGTTATAGATTGTGTTCAGCTGGGCATCAGAGAAATACGCATACTGAAAATTTCTGTCGTATTTGAAGTTGAAATCGGGCGTAGTGGCATCAGTATGTGTCCAGAGAAGTGTATCGTTCGAAATACTAGGGTCGGCGCCCAATACTCCGCGAAAATTCTCCGTGCAATTGAAGACGACATAGCTGGATTCGTCAGTCGGGTTGCCTGACATCCTGACGTCGCATCTGCTGGATGACGGAACGCATTGGGTAGAGACACCGACTGTCGTTGCGTGATAGTCGACATTTGCGGGAGTGTCTGCAACCTGGGGCATCAGAACGAGAAGATCTCCATGCTTGAGCCTCTGGTCCTGAACCGTCCAGATACTGTTATCGGAAGAAACATTCTGTTGGAGAGAGATGACTTCTCCTGAATTTCGAGCCATGATATTTGCTCCGACGGTGGCATCAGCGATGACTGTACATGGAAAACCCTGATTCGCCTTGCGATCAAAATCAATGCACTGACTGATCAACCCGCGGCCGAAAGCGTTCGACGATGGCGTCTGCAGTTTAACCTTGCTGTAAGGTACTGTGGAAGTAAATGTATGGATGGCCGTATCGGCACAGAAGATGAAAAATGCAAACAGTGAGGCGATGACGAGGACAACCGCCGAGCGAGTCAAGAGACTGGATTGGTGTGCTTTGACTTTGCTTAACCGGTACACGAAGTATTTTCGAAGCTCCTCGAAAGAACCGTTCGAAAGGCCAATCAGCATGCTAAGTTGATGCGGAGTAGGGAGCTCATGGATATCGTTTTGCGCCGTTGCTGATGCCAGTCTGCAAGCTGTAGGAATGTGCCAAAGTGCCATCAAGCTTCCGAGCAGCATAGGAGCGAGGGTGCTGCTCCAAGATGCAATGAATGTTAATCTGGTAGCTGAGAAGTCGACAAGGATGGATTGACTGTCGACACTTGTTGTTTTGATGGCGCTGAGCGGGTGGGTAGTATCGTTTGGTACTCTGAAAACAAATACGAACGCGAGGATAGTGGCAGTGAAAAAAGGAATGGGCAGGCCAACAATGGCAATCGTCCACCAGAAGCCAAAATGGGCAGATTTTCCACTAGACTTCTGGCTTCGCAAGGAATTGAAGGACGACTCTCTCGATAGCGAGGTATCGCTGCTGGGAACAAGCTTGGGTTTCTCGATATCGAAATCCAACTCTTCGAACTTCAGTGTGCCTATCCGTTGTTGCCTGTAGAGGTGGTGAAACGCCAGTGGCGTCAGTCTCTTGGGTCTTCGTGGAGATGTTTGAGGGCAGTCTAGATTGTCTGGTTTTGTGTTCTTCATGTTGACCTGTTGTTTTGGGGCACGTCTCTGAAGATTTTGACTGAACATGAAGCTGGAGAAAACGGCGGCCTTTTCTCTATGCTCCAGGGGAAGAGAAGGTGGCCTGGGCTCAAACGACATCTCGATGCATCGTCGACGTATATGCAGGGGACATCCTTACCTCGACATAACCCGACCATGGTCGTTTCATGAGACTTCGTGATTGGCTTGGACAGCATGGCGAGAATCGTGAGACCGTGCTTGGGCGGTTAACTTTCCAGCGCCTATTCAACCACAATCATTCGAGCCATCGTGACAACGAGCTCGGCGGCAACAGACAGTATGTAAGGGCAATGCAGGAGAGCGAACGGGATTGAAAAGGACAACGGCGGGTTAGAAGAGAGAGTGGCGCTTGGTTGCCATCCCCACGGACTGTGGTCGTTGACAACAGGGCGCGAAGGTCTCGCCGTCACTGGCTGTAGGGGTCACATTCAAAGCGGTCCATTGCGAACTTTCCTTTCTGGAAAGCTTCGCTGCGTTGTCCAGAGGAAGGATTTAGTATTTTGTAGATTCGAGGAGTAAGCCACGTCCTAGCAAATTGCCAACTGGGGCAAAGGATAAATCAGGCCTCTGGGTTGGCAGTGAGAATCATATTATATTCACCTACTGTACCGAGTACCTAGTACGTTGGTGGATAGTGAGCTACTGCGCAAGTACCCGTGTACCCACACAAGAGCCCGAAGAGGAGTGACAGTTACATGCACAAGCCCCCCACCCACTTGTTCGGGGGCTGTCTTTCTCCTTTGGCACAGTCTAGCACTGCAGTCTTGAGCGTCCAGGCACCCCCACCGGCCCTATTCGCCCCGCACATCAGGGTGGCGTCAAGCCTAGAAAGATCCAGACGTAATAATCACCAACAAAAACTTTTTGCTATCCAGAGAAAAGCGTCACTTGCCGGCTACTACCCAGCCTCTTCCCACCAAACAGCTTTTCCCTTCTGGCTGCGCTGATTCCATCGCTAAAGCCAATGTAGATTGATGAGCCCAGCGGCGGCCCCTACCTACCGCCACATGCCCTCTCCTCGCCACGTTAATTGGATATCGCTAACACTGCACAAATTCTTCTGACTTCTCTTTGATATCAGTGACCTGAACTAACAAGGCAGAGCGAGCGGCTCATTGGTGCACACTGTTTTCTGCATCTTCGACCCTCGTGTGACCACTATCTTCATTGCTTGTTGTGACATATAGGATATCCATCAGCGCCTTCGTGAGAAGCACCTCAGGCTATCGCGACAATGGCGTCGGCCTTTGCCTTCCTTGAGACTCCAAACCGCGGCGTGCCTGACCGAAGACATTCGACTGAGCATCTTGGAGTGACCTCGACCTCGCTGTCAAGAAATAGCAGCAGCGCCTCCTTGTCATCTCGCAAATCCGAGCCGGGCTGGTTCGGCGCAATGAACAATGTGGATCGAAGCCGTTCCAGCTCTGTCCCCGTACACAACTCCACCAAACCGCCCAGTGGATTGAGCAAGCTGTTTGGCAGGAAGGAGAAAAAGGAGAAAAAAGATATGGATCACTTCATCCTCACCTCCCGACATGCGGCCGCTGTCAAGACTAAATTGGCGCTGGACCCGAAATACAAGAACGTGCGCAGAGACTCTGCCCCTGCTGAACGGCTTGCGGGTTCCCAGAACATCATGCATATTAGTGCAGGGGAACTGGAAATGAGGCATCCGCATTCCGGATCACCTGCGCTTCATGCAGCACGGAACAAAACAGACCTACCTGCTCTCACACGCATCATCAGCGGCGACGAAGCTGATGAACCAGATGAGTGGGAGAAGATGAGGGATCAGTGGCGGCAGCGCAAGGTTCCGACACTGGACACGCAGATCATTGAAGGTCAAGTGCTAGGCAATCAATCTTCAGGACAATCGACGCCCGCAGAAAAGGGTACGGAGGTCGAAACATCACCACCACAAGTCACCGAACCACGAGGCAGCAGGACCCTTTCGGCCACTGACGATGAATATCAGCCACGACCAGCGAGGACCCATACCCCAATCGGTGGGCGCTGGAAAAAGGATGAGAAGGGTGTTTGGAAGAGATGAGACGCCTTTGAGTTCTGCATGCATCCGTCTTCCTTTTTTCCCCCCAGCACCGGTCACTTTTGGAAAACATCTCGTACCGATTCACATCGTCCGGGATCGCGATTTATGGGCAGATTTCGAGCGATATGAATGTCAATTTATGAAAGGAGCACAAGATAATTGCGCTCTGCTGTCTCTAAGCGAGGATAAGTCCCTCGATTCGATTATAACACCTCCAGACAACGTTTCTGCTGAGCCGGGTTCGAACTCCAGCACAATTTCGACCCACGAAAAATGCCGAATATGCCAGCTTGCACCGAATTTCTTCAGCATTTGCTTGTGAGAGGACATTATCTTCCTTGTTGGATATACTGAGATGCTGTGCGGTTCTTTGACTACTCTATCATGTGAGCTTGATGGAAACAGGATCGGGAGGGACATCAGCAATCATGAGTGGCGCAATTTTTGGATGATGGAATCTATGGTGGCAGATGAAGAGCAGGGCTCCGATCACAACATATTGAGCCCGCTTGGTGCAAGCGAGCCCAGTTGAGAAATTGATCGCACGGTGTCGAACTGGCGGTCGTTGATTGCAAAGTACAACATACTTCCTAATCATTAATAGATGAAGCTTGGGTTTCATTGGTCATACATACCTATCTTATGCACCTTCGGAAATAGCGCTGCTTTCTCCTTTATCTGTCCTACTAGCGATATTTCGATGCAGCGGTCCCTCCTTAACGACTTGAATACAACATACATTCTATGTGAGACAATGCTGCTTATGTTTGGACTTAAATCGACGTGCCTCTTGGATCTTTGGCGAAGAATTATTTGCGAGATTCATGTAGACGACAATCTCTTCCCACAGTCATTGCCTCAGAAGCTGCGCGCAAGTATCAAGCACCGACAACGTGTCAGGTGGACGCTGAGGCCTTCGACATGAGAATGGACCCTTTTTCCTTTTACCAAAACGGTCGTGAATAAAGTGAAGAGAAGGCCCGTCGGTCCCATCACATGAATCAGAGCTTCTTTGGGAAACACTGCGAAGGGTGGGCACTGACATCCCTCAGCCTAATACCTACTGAAATCGCTCTCTACATTAGTGAGAAGTCGATGCTCTTCCTTGTCCAGTAGGACGAGTTGATTCAGAGCGGACTCTCTGAACGACGCACCAATCTCGGGTCTATTTAAGCGCTATGGGGACCACAACGAAAGCACAGCTCTTTGAAAGGAGGTCGCACAAACGCCAATGCTATTGTGACGGCTCGCGCAGAGGCGAGTTGGCAATGCTACCTAGTCCCTAGGAGAAAGTTACTAAACATCCGGCGTCCGAGATATGTCAAGCATATCTTCACCCAAGAGCGTCCGACACTGGCCAAATATTATGTCAACCCTGCCTAGGTAGGTATATATGATCTCGTGTTCATCCGCCGAACGCGAGAGTCACAGCTTCCAGATGGCAACAAGAAAATCCCAGTAAAACGAATCTCCCACTACATCCGACATGCGCCCAATGTCAGGCCGAGTTTCAAGTGACCGATTTATATCTTGCTCAGCATTTTCATGCCGCTCTGCAGGCCGCCTTATCCCAGCGCATGGGATGCGCCAGCTTCTCGTCTTGCCGAGCTGACAGTCAAATCCTTGACGATGAATGATGCCTCCTGCAGAGCTTCATCCCTTCGGCCAATGTGGGTTTTACACTTGCAGAGTCGAGGATCGAAAATGTTGCGTGCGGTCACCAGCTTCACTGTCTGCGTGCCCAGGCCACCTGCCCACCTCGTGGCAAAATTGCGCCGGCTCTGCAAACTCGTTCGAGAAGGCGGCTTACAGGGGTCAATAGCCGAAGCCACGGATGAGATCCCCTTGCATCCCAACCCTCAATGGTTCACTCTTCTTTTCCCACGACCCTCCGTCCTTGTCGTTCAATCCGTCGGATCAATCATTTAGGACCTCAGTACTTCAAGCAGCTTGCTCAGACAGAGATCGCGGAGGAAAGGAGACCTGGGCGATGCAGCAGTCTGCTCGTCTGATCAGGGACCTGGGCCCACGAAATACGAGGATCTGACACCCCGCCGTCCCACTCCCCAACCCACTACTACCGGGTACCGCTTCTTTTTGTTGACGACATCCGGCAAATGACCATGCTCTCAAACTTTTCCCACCAGCTGCAGACCGAGGCATCTTACCGGCACGATAACAAGGGACTTGCGAGACAGCAGAGCCATTCGCTACTGGCGCGGGCCATCGAGGCACTCGGGTTTTGCTTAAAAATCCATGGGCCGAAAACAGCGAGCGCAAACATGGGAATTTCAGCGACCCCGCCACTGATTGACCGCCAGAGGTGATCCACGCAAGGGTTGTGGCACGCTGCAGTGGTACAACGTCTGGAGGCATCGGGGAAAAAGTCGTTGACAGTGGCATGTTGCGCAGCACCACCACTGTCACGCATCGACTTATCTCCGCTTGCCCTCTCTGTCCCTTGTTCTTACTTCCCTTCTCCATCATAGTATGGTTGCCGCTCGTCCATTTTCCATCTCGGGCGCCCCGCTTGCAAATGCTGGGGCTCTACCATGACTGGTCTGCACGGCATCTTATCCCGAGACTTCAGGAAGCATACGCCCTTTCCTCAATTGTTGTAAGTACACCGCAAGAAAGGAATTTTCCAACTAGGTTTGTTTGTTTTTCGCCTCTCGTGTCTTTGCTTCCCATACCTTTTCTTGCCTTGAGTGACATTTGCTGGCTGTCTATCACTCAATAAAAGTGCTTCGGCGTGCGAGACCTTTTCTATTTACTATTTCGATCCATCCTATGCGACAGATCCCCATCCCCCACAATGTCAGACCCAGAAAAGTTCGTTCCGCCAGTCGTCATCTCCCAATACCCGAACAGTCCTTCCTCCTCCCCACAGACTCCTATTCACAAGGAATTCTATTCACCCATCACCGAACAGTCCCCCACGTCTTCTATCTCCAGATCTGAGAGCGACAACGACGAACGAGCCCTAACACTCACCATTACTCAAGCTTCAAGGCAGTCTGCAACGAGGACAGCCACAAGAATAACCACTCATGGCACGGATCTCACACTAGATCCCTCATATGAGGTGGACTTTGACCCCGACGATCCTGGAAATCCAAGGAACTGGTCATTATGGTACAAAGCCTTTGCCATCTTTACAATATCCTTTGGGACATTGGGGGTCGTGATGTACTCGACCTCATACACCTCGGGCATGGATGCCATGATGAAGGAATTTGGTGTCACGTCGGAACCTATTGCCACTCTTGGGGTCACGACGTACCTGTTCGGGCTGGCGGTAGGCTCCTTAATCCTCGCTCCGATCGCTGAGACATATGGCCGAAAACCGGTATACACGATATGCATGGCCGGTTTCGCCATCCTTGTCATTCCCACGGCAGTTGCCACTGACCTGCAGACCGTCATTATCACGAGGTTCTTTGGGGCTCTTTTCGGAAGTGCCATGATTGCCAATGCTCCCGGGTCCATTGCCGACTTGGTTTCGGACGAATATCGCGCCACAGCTTTCTCTATCTGGTCGATTGGGCCCATGAATGGCCCCGTGGTCGGTCCGACTCTTGGAGGCTTCGTGACCGAATATCTAGGTTGGCGGTGGACTAACTGGATAGCAATGATCTGGGGAGGTTGCGCCTTTGGTTTGCTGCTACTTTTGAAGGAGACATATGCTCCAGTCCTGCTACAGCGGCGAGCCAAGCAAATGCGACGAGTCCACGACGATGAGAGGTACTGGACTCGTTACGATATTCGGGTCGGGTTTGTCGAGCTGATGAAAATCAACCTCAAACGCCCGTTGTTGCTGGCAGTCCAGGAACCTATCTGTATTTTCTGGAATGTCTATATTTCGGTCGTCTATGGCATCCTCTATCTGTGCTTCGTCGCCTACCCTATCGTCTTCACGGAATACCGCGGCTGGTCCACTGGCATGAGCGGCCTCTCCTTCCTTGGAATAGGCATAGGTACAATGATGGTGAGTGCCCTTACAGAAGTGCTTTTTTAACATGCTGATGGTTCTGAAGGTAATCTGCAGCGCATCTCCCATCCGGAAGCTCATCAACTCGCACAAACGGGACCAAGATGGAAATGTGCCACCCGAGGCAATGATGAGCATCGTATGCATCGCGGCCGTGTTGGTCCCCATTGGGCAGTTGTGGTTCGCATGGTCCTGTTACCCGACCAAGATCCACTGGGCCATCTCCATTGCCGCGGGCATCCCGTTCGGCTACGGCAACGGGGCCGTGTTTATCTATGCGGGCAACTACCTGGCGTACAGCTATGGGATCTACGCCGCCAGCGCAATGGCAGGCAACGCCGTGATGAGATCCTTGTTAGGCGGCACACTGCCCCTGGCCGGACCAGCCATGTATCGCGCCCTCGGTCCCAACTGGGCCGGAACCCTGCTGGGAATTTTGGAAGTAGTCATCATCCCGATTCCGTTCCTCTTTTATCGGTATGGCGGCCGCATACGAGAGAAATCCACACTCATCCGCCAGATGCGACAGGACGAAGAACGACAGGAGCGCAAGCGGAGAAAGGCCGAGGAGCGATTGAGGATTGCGGTCATGAGAGGTGACGAGGAGGAGACGGTGGAGGCCCGCAACGAGCTCGTCAGGGTCCGGAGTCGTCTCGACGACGAGAAGAATCTCGAGGTCGCGGGCCAAGAGACGTTGAATTGCATCCAGGGGCTGGGACCTGGGAAGGAAACGGTTTAAAATCGTGCCATCTGATCTGACCCCCGGGGCCCGGGACGAGCGAATATATTCTACGATTATGATATGAAAAAACACGACGGCGAACGGCGCGGCTTGAGACATATCAACCAACGCGAGTGACGACGGAATTCGAGACCGTCGAATGCACAAATGTCGACATTTTACCTCCACCTCCAGGTTCAAATTTTGGAGTATATATACATAGACAGGCGCTGGACATAACTTGGACGTTCAGACCATGACAACAGGACCATTCGATAAAGCGATGGCGTTTTGGCGCATCCTGAAGAACAGGAAAAAGGGCAAGGGAAAAGGCAACTTGATGAGGGTCCGCAGCGATGCGGACGGGAGAATTTAAATTGGTTTATTGGGTGCTTGCTATTTATGATTTATGATTCAGTTCTGTGACGAGCTGGGAAGGACACCTGCAAAGCTCAATCATCGGAAGTGTCCTCAGTTTATGAGCGAGCACATTTCACTTGACAAACGAAAGTGCTGCTCATCATCCATCCGCAAATCAGAAGAATAGCAAAAAACATCAGAAAACATAACCCTGGCACGTGCCTGGGCACATTACAACTTCCGCACACTGTTGACCTCAATTGATTGATTGATTGTACCGTGGAAAGTCCGGTAGGATCATCTGCATTGCCTCTGGAGATTCTTCGCCATATAATATTCAGATTGACTAGACAGTGCCTTGGTGCAATTGTCAATTGGTACCTGAATAGTGTGTATTCCAAGCAGACGATCTTGGGATCTAGATTCCCGCGTATTGCCCCAGGCCCTTATTGGAATGCTCACGTCTGGCCGGAAGGCTTTTCAGCCCCACGCTTCACATCATCAAACAAACCCGGAGGATATTTTGTTCGTGGGTAAGCGTGGGTAGGTATTGCGGATAGGTTCTAAGGGGAATCCGGTTCAAATTGCCGGAGAATGGGACGGCACGGGCAGAAGGGACAGCAACGTAGTTTGGGATTCGTTCATTGTGTAGGTAGAGCCATAGCTGTAAAGCGACAGGGATGGATTGGGATTGGCGGTGGTGATCGAGATTCAACGCCACCTCCAGTGGTGAGTGCAGTGAGTGCAGTGAGTTGTGATAGTGGTGATGGTGGTGGCATGGGTACAAGCGATCTTGGGCCAGGGAAATTTCACCGGCCGGCGGTGGTGGAGGAGGCACTGGAGGCACTGGAGGGACGTAGGGGTCTCGGGGTGCGCCTCCCATGTCATTCTCGGTCATTCTGCAAGTCAGCGTCAGTCACCCCAGTGGTTACCCAGGGTCAACGTTGTCTGAGCGTTGTGAGACCTCACGAATCGAAGATGATCTTCATGGCCCTTCACCCACTTCATTCATCGCCCAAATTCTAACGCAACAGAGGATCGTGCTCCGACGTGGAACCACAGCATCCCTCCTCCACCATTGGTCCCACTCCTCTGAGCCTCTGCCATGATCCAGAGCCTGCGCCCACCAGGCCAGGGCCCGGCTCCTCTGACGTCGGGGAGGAAGAAACAAACATGGCCAAAGCCAGGATTGTCGTGTCTCGAGGGTTGATGTCGCACCACAAAAAAGAGTTGGTTCCTGAAGACAATTACGGAGCACACACACCCCCTTTGGAGTTGATAATTTGACAAGAGTTGGATGGTACAGTGATATCTCACCGTTTTCATATCCCAATCCCCCGGCTTCCATGCGAAAAGCACCCGTTTCGGCCACATCCACACACAATATACGAGTTCGCCACCCTTCCTGCACCCTCTGTCTCATGGCCTCATCAGCTTGTCTCAACTGCTAAACGAGTCATCACAGCGTGCTCCCGAGAATGGCCACCGCCGGTTCCCAACTGCGCGATAGTGGTTGTTCCACGACATCCACCGTTACCACTCCAGGTACACCTCACTCGAGTTACCCCCGTCGCCGGAGCCCAGTAGAATCTGACAGGATTCGTGGCTCCCGAGACCTCCATTCGTGTAACGAGGAACCTTCTCGCCGGAATTCTGCCTTTCTCGAAGTTGGCCTTGGTGGTGAAGATGCCATTGTCGACTCGAAATTAAGAAGAGACCCCCGACCAAAGCTCCAAGTGCGCTTTCGATCCGACGTCGACGTCGCCGAACCTGAAGTAGTTGACTGGCCCGAACCATCCCCAGTTGGCAGCAGACCTTCCCATCCGCAAATGTCTCCATACTTTCCCACGCTGCCCAGATTACTCTTTCTAGCCCTGGTTATCTTGCTTGTGGTCCCAAGTCTGCACCATTCTCCGCTGTTGATTGCCGGGGCAAATCCCCTCGGTCGTAAAGCTGGATCGTCATCGGCGAGGGCACCATGGCTGGGGGACAAAAGGGATGCACTTCCAGGAAACATCAAAAGGCAGAACAGTGCAACAGACGTTTGCAAGAGGTGGTCAGGGCAGAGCGCCCTCGTCAACGGGACACTGTACTATTATGGAGGAAGAGCAACCACCAGTGCTGACCAGACCTCGGACGAATGGAGTACGTTTCATCAACATTGGTTGCGCCGTGGCTAGCTACTGACAATTGATGTGGCAGATAACGATCTCGTTACCCTCGACCTGACAAAGTCCTGGCAGATTTCGTCACCGTCACTCACCGGCCTGCCAATCCCTAGCGGACCTCCTGCAGTATCGCTTGGCTACTTGTGGAATTCCTACGATGCTTTGTATCTGTATGGCGGCGAGTTTTCAGACACGCCGGTCGCATCTCCCGTTCCCTTCTCCCTGTGGACATATGACATCTCTTCGTCGACGTGGTCTGAGTCGTCAAATCCGCAAACCAGCTCCGGACAGAACTCGGAGCCAGCAGGGCAACCGGTTCAACGTGCCGCCGAGGGCGCTGGGATATCGGTGCCGAATATAGGTCGAGGCTTCTATTTCGGAGGACATCTAGACTTTTTGACCACAGCAGGGTGGTCAGAGTCGATTGCGCGTGTCTATCTTAAGGGCATGCTTGAATACACCTACCCTGGCTACAGTAACGCCGCGGTGAATGGTGGACAAAAGGCGGGATCGTCAGGGATCTATCGCAATATCACCCAAGGTGGTGATCAAGACTCGGCCGGCTTCCCAGAACGGGCCGATGGCCTTCTTGTTTACATCCCCGGATACGGAAAATCAGGAATCATCCTGGGCCTTGCAGGGGGTACGAATGCGACGTTCACTCAGATGAACGTGATAGACGTGTACGACATCGACTCCTCTACCTGGTACAAACAAGCGACGTCAGGCCCGACACCCGAAATTCGAGTCAACCCGTGCGCCGTTGCGCTGTCTGCCGCCGATGGAAGCTCCGTTCAGGTCTATATGTACGGAGGTCAAAACCTGCTGCCCTACGGCCAACAAACACAATACGACGACATATGGATCTTGACCATACCGTCTTTCACATGGATTCAAGTCGACACCACCAACCAAGCGAATCCTCCTGGAAGAGCCGGACACATGTGCAATGTTTGGAATGGTCAAATGGTGGTTGTCGGAGGGTATGTTGGCCAGGACCTATCGTGCGACAGCCCGGGAATCTATGTCTTCAACACCAGCTCCCTTCAATGGCAAAGCGGATATGTTGCGTTGCAGACAGATGATAACCTCAACCGGCAAAAAAGCCAACAAGGTGATCCTTCAGCGTTGCAAGGGTCATTTGGGTACGCAGTCCCAAAAGCAGTCCAGTCTGTCATCGGGGGTAACAGTGTGGGAGCTGCCACTGTCTCTGCCCCGGCTGAGTCGGCCACTCAAGGGCCGCTGGCAACAGGGACACCACATACATACACGGTCACCCAATCTGGTGGATCTGTAGCCACTGAGACTGCTGCTCCCACTGGAACGAGTGGCACGAGCGGCACGAGCGGCAATACTGGCGGCGGCAGCAGTGACAATGGAGGCTCTTCAAGTGGAACCAACATCGGCGCCATTGTTGCCGGAGTTATCGCTGGAATCCTTGCCGTCGTGGCTGCCTATCTCGCCTTCTGCGTCTGGCTCTATCGCAAACAGCTTAAGATCTACAAGAACCACATGGCCATGGCGCAGAGGCAGGATCTCGCTGGCGATCCTAGATTCATTGGCGCAGGGTTCGCAGGCGGTGGGAGATACACGGACAAAAGCCAATCGAGCGACAGCCGCCACAGCGCGGACAATCGCAGTGGGAGCAGCGGAGGGCGTGCCAACCAGCTATCGAGCAACAACCCTTATCGGAACGTACCTGGAGGCGCTGGGTCGGCAACGGCAGCGAGCAGTACGGAGGATCTCATGGCAGGTCAAGAGCCCAGTTTCTTGGGAGTGGTTCTGAACCCTAGACGAAGTTTGAGGGTGGTGAACAGAGACTAAGTAGGGCTGCACCCCTGAGAATTTCTGTTTTTATGATTCTTATGACCTGCGAATATGACATTGGAAGCAAAAAGCACACATTTCTTTTTAAAGGGGCATTGGAACATGCATGGATTGTCTAAATACATATGTGATTCGGGGGATGGCAATGCAACCTTCGCTTCTGTATATACCCACTCAGCGAATGATATAAACTCTTGGTAAAATAAGCCCATGGTCGACTCTGAACTGGACAGGACAGTCGAAAGTATGTTTTTGAAACCCTTACAACAGTGCTCCAGATGTACCGGGTCCAGTCAACCCACCTACAGCGGTCCTAACAAGGGGCGTCAAGTACAATAAATAACTTTTATTCTTCTACGCCGCGACTTCGAATCGCCGAGACGGGGAGTGAGTGACGAACGGCCGCGGGTCGACGGACAGGTCGTATATAATATATTTCCTACATGATTACCACCAAAGGTGGGAAGGGAAATCCTTGTATCAGAGGAGTAATATGTAGCAAAAAGAAATTTCCCAGAGGCATTAGCAAAGCAAAGCAAAGCAAAGCAAAGCAAAGCAAAGCAAAGCAAAGCAAAGTAAACTCGAGGGTTCATCGGTGGCACAGATACGTACATGTCGAGTTACACGGTACACGATCCTAAGAGTCGGGAGTCAGCGGATTGAAGTTACAGGGCGAGAGAGAGAGGGCATTTAGTCGCTGGATATTTACGGAGCGAACTCCAAATGTCAAGCTAGAGGGTGCGAAGCTGAGGAACACATTGAGCAAGGAAGACAAAGTACGAGGTACTCTTTTTGTCAATTGAATAGAATTCAAATTATTTGACTATCCATTTCCTCCGAGCGATTCTGCCAGTTGCTTTTTTTCCACCACGTTCTGCTCAATTACTCAAAAGGTGTTTACAAGCGAGCAAGACCGACAGACTCGCCGGGAGCGTGGTATGACGGGATTTTCATGTCCAAAGCGGCACCGCTGTAGCCAAGGTCCTCGGCAGCGAGCACGGCACACTTCTCGCCAATGAGCAGGGCGGTCTACAAGGATTGTTTTGTGTGGTCAGTAATGTAGTCTTTTTCTTGACAAGAACACACAGGTCAGGGTGACGAGAGAAGACAATAAACTTACCGAGAAGGTGTTGCAGCCGACATTGTCTGGGCAGACCGACAAGTCGGAGACCTTGAGGTTCTTGACGCCGTGGACGTTGAGTCTTTCGTCCAAGACACCGTGCTTGACGATGCTGTTGCCCTCTCGTGGAGCCATGGAACAGGTTCCCAAGCTGTGCCATGTGGTTTCGCAGTGTCGCTGAACCCATTTCTCAATGTGAGCAACTGTATTATCACAGGGTCAGTCAAATTTGTTTTCATTCTTTAAGGCAGGGGGGGAGAACAAACCGTCTTCCTTGCTGTACTTGAGAGGTGCTCGGTAGTGCTGTTTGTTCGAGTTGAGGAGGCTAGCTTCCGGGACCTCGCCCGACTCGACGGGCATGGACCAGCTACCGTGTTGGATGTTGGCAGTGATGTGGTTGGGTCCGGCATATTGGTTGCGGGTGTTGAGATCCATGTCCAGAGCGCGGGCGGGCGAGTCGTGCTTGAAGTGAGGATGCATGGCCGTGACCTCACCGGCATAGGCTTGCATCCGACGGGCCGTCTCACGGGACTGGATATAACCCCAGACCATGGGTGCCATATCACGCTTGTCGTTCATGAAGCCGGCATCGAAGTCTGGTGCCTCGTACGGGTCTGGAGACACAATGTGGGTGAAGCCACGGGAGAAGGGGTACTCCAAGAAATGGAACATGGTGAAGAACTTGCCAGCGGGCATGTCGAGGTGGTCACCGAACCATCCAGCAATCACGCTGTAATGCATGACGGGCTTGTCGGGCTTGTTCTTGAAGTAGCTCTCCCAACCTCCCTCGGTGACGAACTGTGGGGTAGGCCACTTCTTCATCTCCTCGAGTTCTTCGGCCGTGGGTCGTGACTTGACGCCAGCTTCAATGCCGTTGGTCGCCAAAGGTCCCGTGCCCTTGAGGTTCCATTCCTCAAACACGGCCTTCTGGACTTCCGGCACACCACGGACAAAGTCATCAAAGGACTCGGTGTCTGGCTTGGCACGGTAGGTGGCGAAGTGCAGGTAATGGTCCTGGAAGTTGAGGCCAACACCTGGAAGGTCCACAACACACTTGACGCCAGCCTTTCGGAGCTTCTCTGGGTCACCGATACCAGACCGTTGCAGGACAAGAGGTGAGCTCAGAGTACCACAGCTGACAATGATAAGCTTGCGGGCTTTCCAGAACTTGCGTTGCGGGTTGGCTCCACCAACTGGCTTCGTGGGCACAGTCAGGACGCCTACTGCGGTGCCGTTCTCGATCACCACGCGGTCCACCTTGGTGTTGCACTGGAGGTGGAGGTTCTGGTACTTGGCACGAGTTGCGTGGATATATGCATGAGCAGCGTCAGAACGACGGCCGGTGTCTCGGTTGATCCACTTGAGCCAGTGCTCGGCACCGTGACCAGTCACAAGGTCCTGGAGATCGTCCGTGACGGGGAAGCCCTGGGACTCAGCAGCTCGGAGGAAGTCTTGCATAATGGGATAAGTGTAGTTGCCAAAGGAGACCTTGATTGGCCCTTCGAAACCGTGGATGTCTCGGTTGTTGCAGGCTCGTTGGTAGGTTTCATGCTTCTTCATCAAGGGGATGAGCTCCTTGGTAGTCCATCCCTTGGTTTGAAAGTCATCGTAGTCAGAAGCACTTGCTCTGGTGTACATCATAAAATTGATAGAGCTGCCTCCACCAAGAATGTGGGCACAGGGAACAACAGCACGACGTCCATCGAGCCATTCAGAGGGGCGAGAATAGTAGAATGTGGCTGTTTTCGAGTCGAGCTTCATGTTCCTGGGATAGATACCCGGGCGGTAAACCCATGGGTTGTTGAGGTTGCTCTCTCCGGCCTCAATCAAGAGGACCTGGAGTTTGTGATCCAGATTGGCCAGACCTAGGAGGGTGTCAGCGTCAGTCTTTTGCGAGTGTCTTCAGATAGGGATGGCTCACGTCCAGCTGGGACACATCCTGAACTGCCACCTCCGCAGACAATAATATCAACTTCTTCTGGGATAGTCATGATGGCGGCTTGTTCAATGTACAATGGGGCGGTTCAATGTCTCTTTGCACAAGTGAATATGTCCGTCGCTCAACCAGGAGCAGGCTGGAAGAGAAAAAGCAAGAGGGACAGAGAGCGAGAGGCCTCATTATAAGACTTCTGGAGGTCACTTCCTCTCCGCCTCTCGGGAGACTGGAGGAGGGGGAGAGGGGTTCAATGCAAACGCGTCTCTGGGGACTCCACAGGCCAGAAGAGTGGTTGTGGTCATGTCTGAGCATCCTTGCAAGTTGATCAAACCTGGAGACGAGCTGATTTGCGTTGGATATGCGGGGTTTGTTCAATCAGGTCGATGATGACGAGGATCAGCACCGCAGGGGCTAGGCAGTGACAGGAGCCCGTGACAGGAGCCCGTGTTGCACCGAAGCGAAGCCATCACCGGCAAAGTATGAGACAACCGGTCCCTTCAGAGCTTCGGGTGCTGGGTGATGAGCTTGTCGAGTCAACGAAAGTATATGTCGAGATGCATAAGAAAAGATGGTTGAAATTCAGGTCGACCGGGATATCTCGCCCACCTCGACCCAAGGTGGTTAGGATCAGCGAGCAGCTTTAGAGGACAGTTACGGTAGTTCCAACGAGGACCCCGTATCACATCTGGTATCTCATGGTCTCGACCTCTTCGAATCACGAAAGGTCCAAGCAAAGGCCCCTCATCGAGAAAGGCAACAAGCAGCTTTCCTTTTGCAGGAGGTACCACACAGGAGAACGCACGGCACAGAGGCTGACGTCGAAAGGACAAGGAAAAGCCAACGACTAGCGGTGCGATATGCTGTTAGTACGGCCAGCGGATTGAACGGCTCAGCACCCCACCCGAGTGGCTTGGACGGGCGTCCAATGCAAGAAACGCGGGGGAGGTCCACAATCAAGCGGCACCGCATAGAAGTGCAAGTGGCTGGCAAAGAATGGGAAAATCCTGCATAAGCTGGAACGCCCGAATCGGGCGGCGGTGGGCGTAATGCTGGAGGTCGCTGCTGATGGTAGAAAACCCAAGGGAAAACGGCTAAATCCCGTTTGCGGGGGAAAGGGCAGGCTAACCGGGTCTGGAATGACATAAATTGGAGAAATGCATGGCCGGCCTATCAACATAGAGAAGGGTGCCAGTTGTTGGAGATTTGAGAGTTGGCCGCTAGGCCCAGGGATACCTCGTCGTATCTGGCGGGCACAGCGTTGCACAGGAAGCATACCCAGCTCCACGTCTCAGCACGACGAGAAAAGAGCGAGAGTCGGCTGTTGTCTTTCTGAGAGGGGTGCAGATAGTCATCATCCGGACTAACGCAGAGCCTGGACCCTCCTGGCTGCAGCACCCGTGAGCACCCCTCTCGAGTCTCGAAATAGCGGACTGGATAGAGGCCCCACATGGGAGCGGCTCGGGATTCTGGCAGATTGCTCCCCGGGACCAGAGTGACCTCGTATTGCTGAGGATATATTTCCAACAGAGTCGACCATCAGCAGATTTTGTGTCCGAGAGCCTTTTCCTGTGTCTCGAGGTCCGTATTTGGAGCTTTTAAATGGAGCCTCGTGAAGGCTGTCTTCAAGGTCCGGGGCACCCACGGGGGATCAGATAAGCAAGCGTCGATGGTGCTTAGTAGGTTAATGCGGTCTGCACATGCGGAGATCTCGCCCTTAGTTGTGCCGAACGGAGAGGCCGGGCACATTGCGCACCTGATTCCGAGAGATCGCTGCAATACTGATGCAGCCATACACCTCAGCTTGTATCCCTGCTTATCAGAAAATGGCCCAGTTGCATTCAAGGATCTCATGTTGCAGGATGCAGTTGACCCTGGCCCACTTGTTGCCGTAGCTGGTCTGCAGCGACCTGGATCTCGAGAATTCTGCCTATACCTCGCTTCCAATTTTCCTGAAGCGTCAAAAGCTCGCCTTTAGACTGTTCCTGGGTAGCTTTCCGAGCTCTGTTGATGTTTTCGGTCTCAGATTTAAGGCCGGCAAGCTCTAGTTCCAGCACCTGCAGGATTTGCTCTGTCTGAGAGTTGCCGATAAGCCAAGCGTTCTTGCCAAACTCGTCGAGGAGCTGGAGGTTGGTGTGCCGATCTGACAGGAAAGTGGTCAAGATGTACGCGTTTCGCAGCGCCTCCTTCACTGTGGCCTGATCACTGTCCCCAGACGGCTCGTCCGGGGCCTCGTAGCGCGACACGTCTATACCTTGCTGGCGGGGCTGACCCGCAGCTACCCGATTGATTTCTTGACGGAATGTTTCGGAGAACTCGACTGCAGGAAGAGGGGCGAGGGAGGGGTGAGGCGTGCTGAGATGGTCCTTGGGGAGGTGCCGAGCAATTGAGGCCTTTGCCCTCTCACGCTCGGCATCCGTGATGTCGGGGTCGATGTCTGGGGAGAAAAGCGGTCAGCGTATGTCAACAGTCTGACCATCCAGCACAGAATCACTCACAGGGCAGAGAGTCGTGAGACTCCCATATTAGAGTCATTGTTGGTTGCAGGCAGTCGAAATGGCTGGTCGGTGCAAATTCATCCAAGTTGCCTGCGATAAAGATTCCATGATGCCAAGCCCAAGGCTTTGCCGCTTTTGCAAGTGACCGAGTCTGATTGGCTAGCCTTGCTCGTGTGCTTGCTTACTCCAAGGCACCCGCAAGGCTGTCGTCGATCACTGTTGATTCGTCAGGATGACGACATTGTTGGCTCATTTCAACGGAGCCTCGCGGCCTTGAAAGTTCCAACCCAAAAATCATACACTTCTTCAGTGGCGGTCGAGCCTTGAACTTTATACTCTGGCATAGTCGTCCATTGTCAGAGAGAGACCATGTTAGGACCATGATCCCTTCCGAAAACTTCCTATCGGGCCCGAAAAAATACGGGGATTATCTGTCGTAAGCCGCAGAGACATCGCGATTCAGGACAATACGAAAATGGCACGGAGAGCCCTAGCCCCAGTTCTATGCGCGCTCTGTGTCCTCCTTACAACGGTCCTTCTGTGGTTCGGTTTCGCTGCTCACAGTCCGCTTCAAAATGTGCATTTGTTTCAAGCCAATGTGCAGGGACAAACCCAGCAAAGCCAGGACAGTGGCAAGGCCGCTGTCGAGGGCGAATACTTGCTGGGGGTCGGAAAAGCCGATATTACTGGGTAAGAGAATAGGCGTACTGTGCCGATGAGCACATGCTAATTTCAACTTACAGACCGGTTGTCGAGATCAACTTGATGGGCTACGCTGACACAGATCAAGTGGGAAGTGGTGTCCGTCAACGGATCTATTGCCGGGCGTTCATCGTGGGCAGCCTCTCCAAGACTTCCTCGCGGATCGTCTACCTTGTCCTTGATACCCAGTCTGGCGACACTGCCATCCGTCATGGCATCTTGCAAAGGCTTAAGGAGTTGGGCCCAGAATACGCAATATATAACAAGAACAACGTCGCAGTTACCGGGACCCACAGTCACAGCGGGCCTGGGGCTTGGTTGAACTACCTATTGCCACAAATCACAAGTCTAGGCTTCCACAGAGAGAGCTACGATGCAATTGTCAGTGGCTCGGTGTTAGCCATCCAACGGGCACATGAAAGCCTGACGCCAGGCCATATCAGGATTGGACAACATCCTGTCGAAGAAGCGAATGTAAACAGAAGCCCGTACGCATACCTTCAGAATCCGAAGGACGAACGAGACAAGTACACCGACGATGTTGACAAGGATATGACATTGCTGAAATTCGAGCGGGCGGCCGACGGTCAAGCCATAGGAGCACTGTCTTGGTTTCCTGTGCATGGCACATCCCTATATCAAAACAACACCCTCATCGCCGGCGACAACAAGGGCGTTGCCGCATATCTTCTGGAAGAGTACATGAAAGCCAGGAACCCATCCTTTGTCGCCGGCTTTTCCCAGGCAAATGTTGGAGATACTTCTCCCAACACGCTCGGCTCATTCTGCGAAGACACTGGCCTTCCATGCGCATTTAAAGATAGCACGTGCGGAGGTAAAACCCAGCCCTGTCACGGACGTGGGCCAATGTTCGAAACAGAAGATCAGGGGACGAGGTCCTGCTTCGAGATCGGGAAGCGTCAAATGGCAGCCGCCAAAACCCTCTTAGAAGATGACAACTTAACTCCGATACCAGCATCTACCGTATCCTTTTTTCATACCTATGCCAACCTCTCGTCATTCACCTTCACCTCATTCTTCAACCAGTCCCGCACCCTCAAGACGTGTTCCGCCGCGTTGGGGTATGGCTTCGCAGGCGGCACAACCGACGGGCCCGGCCGCTTCGATTTCGCCCAGGGCACAAACGACACGAATGGCGGCTCCCCTGCCTTGAAAAATCCGCTTTGGAGAATCGCAAGAGGCGCGATCCATCCCCCAACAGACGCTCAGATAGCATGCCAAAGCCCGAAACCCATCCTCTTGGACGTCGGTGACGCCGATGACCCTTACGCGTGGACGCCCAACATCGTCGACATCCAACTCCTCCGGATCGGCAGTTTAATCATGATAATATCGCCGGGCGAAGCGACAACCATGTCCGGCCGCCGGTGGAAATCGGCGCTCGCGGCCGCGGCGCCCTCGGTTCTGAACATCTCTTCTCCGAGACTCGTCCTCGGCGGGCCCGCAAACACCTACGCGCACTACATCTCCACCGAAGAAGAATATGCCGTGCAACGCTACGAAGGCGCGTCCACGCTCTACGGGCCCCACACACTGGAAGCATACATCAACCTCACCATCACACACCTCCCCTATCTAGGCTCCGACGACGAAACCTCCCACCTGGACCGTCTCCCCGCGGGTCCCCACCCGCCCATAAACGTGAATCGCTCATTATCCTTCATTCGGCCCGTCGTCGTCGACCACGCCGGCATTCTACGCAAGTTCGGGGACACACTCTCATCCCCGGACCCCTCTCGATCCTTCCACGTCGGCGAAGTCGTCAGTGCTCGCTTCGCCGGCGCCAACCCGCGCAACAATTTCCGTCTCGAAGGCACCTTCGCCGCCGTCGAATCTTTCGACGAGTCCCGAAAGGAGTGGATCCAGGTCCGCTCCGACAGGGACTGGTTCCTGGTGTACCGGTGGAAACGCACGTCCACGACCCTGGGCACCAGCGAGGTCACGTTGGAGTGGGAGATTGAGCCATCCACGAAGACGGGCATGTATAGGTTCAGGTATTACGGCGACTGGAAGGCCTTGACCGGGCAGATTACGCCGTTCGAGGGCACGAGCGGCGTGTTCCACGTTGTTGGCAATGAAGACGGCTCGAGCAGCAGCACGATTTGGGACGAGCTGCTGGTCCGTTCTTGAAGCGAATCCTTATCAAATTTGAGTGAAGTTTGTATGTATGATGAATCCAAACCCAGTTTTCATTAGAGGAATACCTAGGTATATATATCAATACCTGGTTTTCTCACTCTGAAAGACCGTAGTGTCTCTCATTCTGTCATTCCCCCCCTCCGCCTTCTCTCCTAACGAGTTTCTCTCCTCCCTCTACTTCTCTCCTAAAAGAAAGGAGACATCCCCGTAGGGTATTATATTCATGACCTGGCCTGCCGCTGCCTCTTCTGGTTATGGCGCCTGACATCCTTAGGCTCGACAGGCGGCAGGACGACCCTGATGCCGTGTGTCTTCTGAAAATGCCTGGCAAATGTCTTCTTGCCGGCCTTCAGCCCGGGGTGGTTCGGGCACAGCAGACACTTCCACGGCCGCTCGGCCCCGCGGACGTACTCGCCCCAGATGAAGCAGTCCTGGTCGTCGTGGCCCTGGAAGTTGGAGTAGTTCTCGTTCTCGACCTTCATGACGTGCAGGCCGGCCAGGCCGTGCTTGGTGCGGAGATGGACTTGGAGCGTGCCCTTTTCAACGACGTGGCACCTGTCGCAGAGGAGGCACCGCCAGGGCCGCCGGCCGGCGCCGTGCTCGTAGCGAGCGAAGGGTGTCATTTGGCCATCGACGGTTGTTGCCCAGGTGGTGACGCCCTGAGCGCCCCGACGAACGAAGATGGTTGTTTCATCTTCATCGGCGGCACTGCTGTTGTTGTCATCGTCATAGTCATCGTCGTCGTCATCGGATATGATGATGGCCTCGGGAGCGGCCTGCGCTGTGTCATCGACGTCCATCATGTCGGCATCTCCTCCACTTCCTGCGACCTGCGCGTTATGTTCATTAGCGATGTTGCCACGACGGTGTGGGTTGTTGTGGGCGCCTACCTCAGGTCCTTCCTCTTCCCGGGTGCCTCTCACCCACTCGGCATCCCAGTCTCTGCCACCGATGTAGCGCTGATATTCATCAGCGTCTACAACATTGGCCTGGGGATCTGGCCACAGGTTGAGGTTGGTGACCTCTTCAAGCCAGACCTCGCGGTAGGTCGTGGCCTGTTCAAGGAAGGATTTTCCGAGCGCCTGGAGCCTATTCAGTTGCTCGAGTGTGTACTGTTCTGGCCGTTTGGTGGCCCAGATGATTTTGAGCGCGAAGTCGACCTCAAGGTCGATTCTCCTGACAAGGCCGAGGATGTTGTCCTCGGCAGAGCGACGGAGGAACTGTCGAACGGCAGACCGGTAGCACTCGGTCATATTTATATTGGTATTCCGCAACAAGGATGTAAGAGCTTGGGAGATGGCCTCTTCGCGACCAGGAATCAGTCGAGCGTCGTAGAAAGCCATGATGGGAAGAGATTCGTGGATGGGTGTGACAAGCTCGGAGGGCGACCGGAAGATGTAGGCTGAATCTTGCAGGACTCCAGGAGACTCCCAAAACGCTGTGACTTTTGAACCTCGCGGATGATTTGCGAACGGTAGGGAACAATTGTGAGAGCCGACAAGAGAATTGCTGTTCGCGCAAGCGTCGAGTCGAGTATTGAATGGTGATGGGCTGTAGACAGGTTTGTGGTAGACCTTTTGAGGACGAGAGAAACCTCTGACTCCCGAAAAGAACATGGCGCGAGGAACAGGGACGAAAATCGCAGGACCACGAGGTGCGGCATCATGCTGCGCTTGGCGATACGAGTATTCACCATTGTTGTTTCGTGCCATGTTGACGACAGTGCAGTCCGTAAGCACAGTGAATGCCAATAAAGCGGTGAATTTTCCCCCCACGATGCAGCCAGCACGTCGAGTCAGGCTTTTGCTGGTTATTCTCAAGCTCAACCTGATAAGTCAAGAGCAGACAGGAAGGAGGAGGGCCGCCTTGTTGTGACTGAGACGCTGTACCAAGACGAGACGGAGTTTGAGCCTGTGGACGAGGGACAGCAAGGCCAGACCAGAAAAACTGTGCAGAATCACACTAACTCCGACAGTGTCCGGGTTTGTCTGCTGCAGCAGTTCCAACAGATCTCGTCCCAAGATGTGAACAATTGAGTCGGAGCAGGCACAAAGAAAGCAGCTGCTCAAAAGAAGATGGTTCAACAAGCTAGATCTTGAAAGATGTGTGTATGGATGAATGTTTGCAAATGCAAGTTCAGATCTGTCAGTTGGAGGTTTATATAGATTTTTACCTCTCGGCAAAAGAAAGGCGGAGCGCTGGACCGTTGCGGCGGTTGCTTACTGAGGAGCGTTCTATGCTTGACGGCGATGAGGTGAAGCGGGTCGACACCGCCGCGGGAGACCTTGAACGCATTCAGCCTTTGACTCAGGCGGTGACATGTCCAAGAGCAAGTGTCTATTATATATGCCGCGAAGCGTTGCGCCTATTCTCACCGATTGAAGTATGGATCTGGAGAGCCAGCGGGGTGGGATGGACAAGGGCATCTGCAACAGTTTGGTGACAGACTGGAGGACACACCAAATCAAGGCAAACGGACACAAAGTCAAGCGCCTTGGAGGCACAAGTTTGTCTCAAGTCTTTTTCCAGCGAACGCGTCGGACCCATTGAGCCCACTTCTGGACATCCTCTCTCTGGCATATCAAGTCGACCGTGTACCATTCTCGGGCGAGCTCTTCGTTTGAGGCCATCCGGTGAACGAAGCTGTGACAAGCTCGACACAGCCATGCCACGCTGTTTAACTGGTGTTCTTCATGCCAATTCCTCTTGAGCACCTTGGCATGGATTTGTTTTGGGATTAAATGATGGTAGGTCAACGGAACCCAGTCTCGTTCGCAGATCTCGCAAGCCTTTGTCCTCGTTTCTGACCATTTTGGCGGCGGAGTTGTCACCGCAGAAATGTATCCAGAGAGCACCGGGGCCATAAAGGATTGGATGTCAGATTTGGGAGGCTCGATGAGTCCGTATGCTGTCAGGCTGTCGTTTATGTCTCCTGGAAAATGAGCACAAAGCTCTTCAAGGACAGTCAAAGTCAGTGGAAGTGACCACTTGTCCGCGTGCACAGCGTCGTTTTGCAGTGTATGATAGGACAGCTCCTGGAATGGCTCCGGCAAGCTCTCAAAGATATCGGTGGCCAGGTAATTGGAAAAGTCGGCCAGCTCAGAAGGATCAGGGCCAGATGGTTCAGACTGGTTCTGTTGGCCTTTCTTGCTTATGGAGGAACGCTTAGATGCTTTCCTTGTGCCCTCAGTGAGCTTCTCCACCACATGTGAGAACAGGCAGTCTCTGAAAGCATCAAGATTGCCATTGTCAGCGTCTGTCATTGGAATTGGTTTATATATTATGATGAGTCGATTCGCGCCTCAAGAGACCGAACCTGGAAATGACGTTGAGGCAAGCTCGCAACCTAATCAGTGCGCGGAAAGTATGACGAGATTCTTCTTTGCGTGCCGCTTTATATCACGCCTGTGGCAAGCTCACGAAGGAACGCGAAGTCATTGAGCAGGGTTTTGTTACATTCATATGCCAGTACTAATTATGCCTTGCTTTGTCGCAAAGATATCCAGCCTAGCTATACGCGAGATAGCCCAAGGCCAACTTGTACCGTTGCAAGATTCGTGTCGTCCGACAAAAGCTGCTTGTCTGAATCACTGACAGATCCCTAATTGCCAACCGTCCCACAGGCCACCAGTGGGTATCAAGCCTTGGTTGAAGCTTCACTTTTCGTCCATCCATGCGAAGAACAAGATCTGGTTTTCCCCTGCTGCATTACTCCCCGCCACATCATCAAGCCAGCACCCATAAAGATCATCACTCGTTAAATTATGCACAAAAGTCGGTCCTCGGACAGGGTCACCAAAATTCGTTTGTCCGAACAAACCTCTCCTGGTGTTCCTTGAGACTGGCCCAGTGAACCAGCTCTTCCTCTTCAACGTCCTCGGGCGTTCGTAGCATGGCACCAGTGTTGCCATCAGCAACGCCTCGGAATCGGCCTGGACCCAAGCGTTCCAACTTGGAGAGGATGTCGAGGAACACGTGAAGATAAGCGTTGACGCTTTCGGAGTCCAGCGTGGGCATGACACTCATTCTGGCGCGTTTGGTCTCCAGCAGAGTAGACGCGACGGTGCGGATCTTGTTGCACTAGTTGTACGGTCAGTGAGAAGGCTTCCGCGAGAGACGTCAATGACTTACAAAGCTCATTCCATTGGGCTCCATGTTAACCTGGTTGATGCTCTTCAGAAGCAGGGCCATGTCTCTCACAATGTCTTCTCGTTCAACAGCCATCATTTGTTCTCCAGCATCCATCATGCTGTCACTGGGTGTACGACCTACGATCTGTCGATAGCTGTGTTCCATGCCCGTCGTCACAATCCCTGCCGTAGGGGATGAGCTTGTGACTGACTTATCCGAAGGGAAAGTCAATTTGTCGCGATCCACTATTTCGTAGAGGTTCCAAAATCTCTCGACTAGGTAAGATCTGGACGAAAGCTGGGTAGCATAGATATTTGCCTTCTGTATCTCAAATTGAATTGTTCTCTTGGAGGGCATCGAGAAGGACCCGCGGACGCTTCCTGGCGTGGCGTGTAAATCGCCCTCACTCCCTTCGCGATCATTGAAGAGGTGGGAATATGCCGATATGTCGGCTTGTGTTGGAGGCCACTCGCCGAATCCATTGGCCGGGTTTAGCTGCAATTCCTTGGGAGCTTCCCGCGTAGCATCCTTGACGGTTTGCAGAGCGCGGCGAATGATTTGCCGCTGACGATCCCAGTCATAGACGTTGTTCGCACCGAATGCCATTTCCAGGGCAGCCAGAAAGTGAAAAGCTCGGAAGACTTTGACGTTGAGGTTGAACCCAACCATTTCAGGGACAACTCCTCGAGGTTGAGGGAAAATCTGGCTTTCGGTGATGTACTCATCATCAACCTCAACCGGCAGTGGGGGGAGCATCTCCGCATGGGATACAGGAGGCATCAACAAGTCACCTTCGGCCTCGTCAAGCTGTCGGGCCGACATCGCGCCCACAAATAACAGCCAGAAAAGCCGCCGGCCGGATTCCTGATAGATGAAGTCGACGACTGGGCCTCGAGGCATATCAGCAGGGCCATACGCTGCTGTTGGAGTCACAGCGGGCCGATGGATCTCTGGCCTGTGAAATTGTAATTCCCGCATGATAATGGTACACTCGCCGAGATAGAGTCGCATACGTGGAATGTCTAGGGTATATCCAGCGGCCAGTCCAGTCAAATAGCTCGCAATAGCGTCGTACAGGTTCATCGGACGATCCATGTACCCGAGGCCGCGAGCTTCCACGAAGACTTGATGGCATCGGTCGATCAGACTCCCCGCATTTGGAAACTGCGACTTTCCTGGTTCCGTGATAAAGAGTTGTCGGGGTCGTCTGGGGAAACTAGCCACGAGACATTCGACCATGGCAGCAATGAGCGCCAGGAAGTTGTGATTTGTTCTGTCCTCTCTAGCTTCAAACGACCTTCGGAATGTAGGCTCGTGTGGGAGAGGTATTAATGGATGGATATATGTAAAGTAATCGTCCAGTAGAACCTTCAGGGCAGGTAGGTCACATATTGACTCGGCGGAGAGCGGAGTCGGCGCGGCCAGGGCAGCGAGGCTGTAGGCGGCATCGTGGGTTGGTGAGCTTCGTGAGCCGTCAAAGTTACCACCCTCGAGTTTCTGCCTCTTGATGGCTTCGGCATGTCTGTTGGGCGGGCCACGCCGGCGACTCGGACGATCGAAGGTGCAGGGAATGTCGAGGGCGGCGCATGATTTGCAAGGAGGACCTGTCTCGTCGCACTGTTGGACTCATGAGCGCGCGAACTTCCAAAGACCTGGAGCACGAAGGGAGTCGGCGCGCACATACCTTGACCTTGCGCACACTACAACTGTCACAGGCCTTTCTGAGACGGACTTTGGGTTCTGACGAACCTGAAGACTGTGGCTTCGGGGTTTCTCTAGGTTGTGGTTCTGGTTCCGGACGCGCTACGGGCAGAGGGACTTCGAATTGATTTGTCGGGTACCCAGAGGGGATCTGGTAGGCGGTGGGATCATCGTATTTATAGGCGTTGCCCGCGTCCTGCGGCTGAGAGGACGAGTAAGGGCCTTGCTGAGAGATGGAAGCCATTGGGAAGGATTCCTATCTTCCAGTCTTGGTGTTGAGCAATCTAGAAACCACGGGTGAATGTCGGCACATGGTATGGAGAATCTAGCTCAAGGTTCCCAGGGGATTTTGAGATGTCGGCGAGGTCGGCAGCAGGAGCAGGTGGCCTGGAGGATGGCTGGTGGTGGGAGCGAGTCAAGCGCAGGCAGAGGTGGAGAATTTCGCCATCGAGGGTTCAAGGGACCGAGGATCAACAACCACGAGTCCACGACCCTGTCGCTTTCACGGCCACTGGCGGCTGTCCTCGGTGAGATCCTTCACTCGACGCGGCCCTTAACTTATTGCGGGGGAATGGGGGTAAGATTTGGGGATTGCGGCGACGAAGAGTGGTCTTGAATGGGATATTGCCAATAGACACGGCTCGCGCTTGGAATGCAGTTTGCGTGATGGACGTGAGCAACACTCTTGGGAAAGGTGAGAAGGGAAAGAAATTGATTAATCGTAGGGAGCAGGATGGACGGAGGGTAGCATTTGTTAATTACCTAGGTAGGTACCTAGGTAATATTGGTTTAGAGTCCTTTTGGCACATCATCCCTGTGGCTAGGAGGACTGTATGGACTGATCTGGAGTCTGGGGGTGGAATTATCGAACTTGGGCGGGGGCAGGGCAGGCTTCTAAGGGCAGCTAGGTACCTGGGTGGTCGTAGTGGGCTCCTGGACCAGCGGGAATTTACAGCTAGAGCTGGCACTCACTACCTAGTACTCGGTACACAGGTCACTCCTACAGTGGTCAGCCACCCATAACAAGAACCTCCCCCAGGGCAGAGATTTCTTCGTGGCAGCTACTGTAGACCCCCATGGAAGCCACAGAATGTGCACCTTTTAAAATTCCAGTCAACCTCTCCATTGTGTCCCGAAAGATTCGAGGATGCAATTAACTGGGCAGTTCCGCTGCCATCCATCACCCCTCCATTCAACCCCATTCTGAAATATATGGATAATGTGCAGCCATAAAATATTTCCAAAAACCTCCACAATCTCGAAGCTGGATCAGCAACAGAAGGTCCCGGGGTAAGTTGGCAGCCGTCGAAACGATTCATCCCTCTGTCCTCTGATTTCCCCTCCAGCAACCACAGTCATCATCGTTGACAGAGTGAATACAGAGGAAACTTCAGTTTGATAGAAGGGAAGGAAAATTTGAGGGCCAAAACTGCGCGAGAAATAGAACCCAATGCGGCGACGAGGCTGAGCCTTGGCGACAAGGCTGAGACTCGGACTCTTCCATTGGCCCGGTGACATCACTGCGAAATCCGTTCCGCTCGCTGCCTGCGACACCGTTTCCCCCCTCGATTCCCAACCAACCTCACGAACAACCTTGTGTGGTGATAATGGCGGTAGAGGGGCGTTCAAGAATGTGTTGGTCACTTTGGGACGCCGTCTGGCTCTATCCTCTGAAGGTGAGTGTGTTGCGCAGGGAGAGAGTGCAATTTCTGACTTGTCTTCCACACCAGGGCCTGGTCTATTTCCTCCTACATCCCTATTACTATCCTCTGTTCAAGGCGCGCCTGATTCCCATTGTACTCCTATCCGCCTTCATCTACGCCAACCTATTCCTCTGGACATTCCTTCCACAGGCGGCGTTCCTCGCCCTTTTCCACGGACCAGGGGCATGGCTAAATGCAACATTTCTTGTCCTGGGTGAAGGTGCCGCGATCGTCGCCCTTCTTTTTGAGGCTTTCTTCGTCGACGAGACTCTGGTGGATACATTTGATGCTGTCCTAATAGACCAAGGCCTGGCGGATCTTGTGAGCGAGGGTCGTACGCTCAACCCTCTGGCTCAGAACTCGGTGCAAATGCTTGGAAAACCTACGTCGTCGGCTGTCTATGCTCCATTCAGTTTCCGCCAAATCATCGAATTCGTCATTCTTCTCCCGGTCAATTTGATCCCTTTTGTTGGTGTCCCGATCTTCCTCATCCTTACTGGGTATCGAGCCGGACCCTTTCATCACTGGAGGTACTTCAAGCTCCGGGGATTTTCCAAGAAAGAAAGACAAGAATATGTCAGGAACCGGCAGCTCAAATACACGTGGTTCGGTGTGGTTGCATTGGCGTTGCAACTTGTCCCCGTGCTCAGCATGTTCTTTTTGCTTACTTCTGCAGCCGGGAGTGCATTATGGGCGGCAAAAATGGAAAAAGCACGTCGATCTAGGGAAGCCGCCGCAACACCAGGGGCCGAGAGATATCAAGATCATGTAGCATAAATGCGGTTGCTCTGGAGCACTCTGACTATTTGGAGCCAGCGGCATGCTTCTCGACAACATCTGCGACCTCCTCCAGACTTCTCACCACTACTGTAGGGCCAAGAGCAAGACTGTCCTGCCATCCATTTCCTGGACGATCAACCCATGCAGCCTGCATCCCAACAGAGCGAGCACCCACAACATCAAAAGGGTTTCCTGAGACCAGCCACAACTTATCTTCTTCGCCCACTTTGTTGACCTGCTGCGCCAGGTAGTTATAAACCTCGGGGGCGGGTTTGAATACCCTGATTGCATCCACAGTCACAAGGTCCTTGAAGACTGAAGAATTGAGATCGTTAGACTTGTTGACGGAGCTGGAGACCATGGCCTTGGTCCCGTTGGAGAATACAACGCATTTGATGTTTGGGTTATTCTCCAAGCGTTTCAATGCTGGGTTGACGTCTGGAAAAGTCGACAGGGAGTCGTATGCTTCCATAAGCTTGTCACTCTGTGCACTGTCAAGGCGCAACCCGTGCTCAGCCAGGGCATGCCGGAGAGATTTCCGAGTCACGTCTGAGAAATCCTGATATTGTTCTTGACAAGATTAGCATCGAGAATCCACGTTTCGCATTGCTCCCAGACCTACTCATGCTGTTCAACCTCCACGTATATTCCAGTTGATACTTCCTCCATACCGCAGCGATGGAGGCGGCTTTCTCCTGTCCAAAGTGTGAAGCCAATTCTTTGGCGATGCTCTCGGTCGACAGGAGCGTGCCGTAGAGATCGAACGCTACTACGATGTTGCTCATGGCTGTTTCGTCTGCTTGCCTCGATGGGTCGCTGCTGCTGCTGCTGCTGCTCTCTCTCCTCTCGCGTTTCTTATTGCGACTCAGTAACTCTGAGTGCCGAATAATAGATGTCTTTGGAACCTTGAGATATGACCTTCTTTACTCTTATTTTGCTGGCCTCTAGCTACTTTAATATGGACGTAGTAAGAGCCCAAGGGCCTTCGGAGAAGCTGCCGAGAAGGTGCAGATGCGATTCCAAATCAACCCCGCGATTTTGGTGCCCGTGAAACTCTATTAGTCGCATGAATAGGCCGCGGAAACCACGGATTTTGTGGACACTGGCCTTTTCGACATCGCGATCTCTCTCTTGTCCACCTAGCCACCTAGCCACCTCCTTGATATCAGGGCACATAAGCATTCATCGAAAGCGGCAAGGTTCCATTTCCCCAAACATCCAGGTGCATGTGCATTCTCGATCCATGACTGCGGCTTAGTCTCGTTTGGGCTCGGAACATAATATATCCAACCCCCGATCATACTTCCCATTCCTCCGAGTAAGTGTCTGTTCTTTCTTGTCAGCGCTCGGGTCTCTCTTTTAGTACCTATGTAAGGCTACACCATCACAGCGCACGGTTCCATTGGCAGTCGCTTCAGCCCCGGGCCCCCCGTCAAAGAAAAATAAGTTTGAGATGGACTGATCCCTTCGCGCCTTTTTCACGGACCAACCAAATCTCTAACAGAGCCAGGCTACCTTAGTTAGTCGTGGGAGGAACCGGTGGACCAGACAATGTCCTCTTCTCAGCCCGATCCCCGTCAAGGTGGTGATGGTGGCAAGGTCCTGGCCATCGTGCGCTGGGGCACGCCGATCCTGCATCGCGAATTGCGCCCCGTGACGGCCTTCAATACCCAAGAGCTCGACGCCCTCGTCGCCGACATGTTCGCGACAATGTACGCCGCGGGCGGGGTGGGCCTGGCAGCGAACCAGATCGGCGTGGATTTGCGCGTGTTTGTGTACGATATGGACGACGCGCGGGGCCAACGGCGCTGGGGCGCGGTGTGTAATCCCGTCATCGAACCCTCGTCCCAGAAACCATTTTGCGATGACGGAGGCAGCAACGACAACAATGACCACCAACATCAGAGCAACGGTGCAGGCGGGGCTGCGATCCATCCACCACAGGTGCCGCAGCGGACCGGTTCCATGACAGAAGGCTGCCTCTCCTACCCGGGCATCTCGGCCTCGGTGTCGCGCCTCGGGACCATCACGATCAACGGACTAGATCCGCGTGGCGAACCAGTCACCATCCACGCCACGGGCCTTTTTGGGCATGTCTTACAGCACGAGGTCGACCACTTGAATGGCATCGTCTACGGTGACCGCGTCTCCCTAAACCGGAGGGACGAGATGGATCGCAAGTACAGAGAGTTGGAGGCCAAGAGAGCTTATCCTGACGACTGGCCCGCGACGCAATCGAGTCATAAATGGGGAGACTGAATTCAAATTTCTAGAAAGGGGGGACCACCTGCCACCTGCAAGGCTGGATAACCTTTGGTTCGAGGGATTCGAGGTTGTTTTGGGGGGCCAAGTTTTCCCCCATCGATTTCTCTACTACTTAGTCGTCCTCCGCCTGCACAGACGTTGGGCAGTATACACCGAACAAAGCTAGCAGATCAGCGACACAACAGGGCGAGGCTGCAGTTTGGAGAAATGCGAGGCGAGGGGTCGGTAATGGAAACCTGCGTCTGAAGTTGTTTTGAACTTTGTTTTGAACAGTTTTTCAATCATTGGTCCCAGAAACTAGGCCAGACGGCATAGTGGCACACAGTCTGACATGGAGTCTTTCACAAATCCTAAAGTGCGAAGTTGAGAGGGATGGCGTTGATAACGTATCAAGGTAGAGAGGCAGATGTTCGTTTTCTGATCAAAGGTTGTGGTTTTCCTACGATACAGTAGTGATTGCCTTGCCCCACCTTATTTCCCCTGGGTGAAGATAATCTCACACAATTGACATTACTTGGCGAGCAGACATGTTCGTCGTCGCCATGTGGTGTTATTTCTCTCTCTCTCTCTCTTGATTGAGCATTCGCACCTATATCGAATGTCAGGGACTGATATTTCCTTTTTTTCTTTTCTTCTTCCAGGATTCCTGAAACCCCAGGGCGGAACTCCGAAGCCCCATGTATGACTTTTCCGCCCGGGGTTGACCCAGAGATATATCTCAACTCATATATGCTCGACGCCCTCTTTGCTGATGGCTCTGAGGACTTCCAAAAGCGCCTTTTAGGACGGCGGCGGGAGCTGACTCGACACGACCGCGCCCTCGGCATCGGCCGCCAATGTAGCGTAGAAGAGCTCCGTCTCCGCACAGATGACCATGCGCCCTTTACCCGCGAAGTTGAAGTTTGCCGACGTCGTGCCCAAGAAGATCTTGCCGAGCAACTTTCCCGAGGGGTCCCACACGTGCACGCCGTCGCCAGTGCCCGAGTAGACGTTGCCGTTGGTGTCGCAGTGGATCCCGTCCGGGATGCCTACGCTCGAGTAGGCGAAGAGTTTGCGGTCGCCGAATGTCCCGTCGGGCAGGACGGTGAATTGATAGCTACAAGTGGTATCATACGGATGTCAGGGTTGGAATGGAATGCGAAGATGAGGAAGGCAGCAACTATCACGAGGGATCCAACCAACACTTACATTGTGGATGGCGCGGTCATGTTGTATCCAAAGAAGGAATACTGAGCACCCGTGTCGGTCACGTACGCGTACGACCCATTGGGGGAGAATGTGATGCCTTGTTGTCGCGAATGGTCAGTCTACATTTTCTCTCTGCTGCGTATGTGCAAGCAACTGGTTTCGAAGCGCACTTCCAACGTACCATTTGGCAAATCGAATCCATCGGCTACCACCGACACAGCTCCCGTGGAAGGTGTGAACCTGTACACCTGGTTTGGGATTGCCGGCGAAGGGCGGAAGTCTTGCAGGTAGCCGTATAGAGTGTCGGTGAAATACACGTCGCTGTTCAGAGGATTGACCGCTACATCATTGAGAGAATTCCATTGCCGGCCGAAGTAGTTGTTCACGAGGACTATAGCAGATGTCAGCGGCATTCAAGCAATGCTGTCTGAGAGACTGATCCGAGAAAGCTGCCAATATCTGAACTTACCGGTCGTGTTGTAGGGAGGCCGTGGGTTCACGACGTACAATGCAGGAGCCGTGTTGTTGCCCTGTCCTTCCCCAGTAAAGACAAGCTGGCCTCGATACTGAGTCGCCCCTGGCCGATATATATCAGTTCTGAATCTGGAGGAGATGGCAACCGCAGCGATTCTCACCGTTCGCATTCACCACCGGAGGTGTAGCATTAACAGTCACGACATCCACCTGGCCACTCGCGTTCCGCAGGGACGAAACAGCCGCAGCCTGGCTCAAGGCGATCTTTTGTATGATATTCGACTTCTGCAGACCAGTTCCAGCGGCTGTTGCTCCGGCGTTTTGAACGAAACTGTACACCTCTGTTATCCCGTACCGATTATGATGGACTTATAGTAATGATACACCGCGAGCAAATCAGATCCTTCGAGAAAGGTAGCACTCACAAGACTTCATCGGTCGGAGGATACCTAAGAGGCATATTTAGTCCTTGAATAGACGTGGAGCACGACGGCGCGGTTTATCAAGCATTTGGGACATACCAGACGACAGCCTCATGGAAGAGAGGGTTGCTGTTGGTGCTCGCTATCAGTGTCAAGGTGGGGTTTGTCCCAATGATATCTAGGAAGGCTTCATCATAGACGTGGAAGGGCTTCGCAAGGGCTTCTTGCAGTGTGACGCCGGGAGGGACAAAAATCTACCCTTTGGGGTCAGTATGCTGACACAGACAGGCACAAGACAGATCCATAAATCTGTCATCTCCCACCGTTGTAAGATTAGATTGCGAAGTAGGAGGGACAGGCGTCAAAACATTGAAACTCTTCTGATCAACCACCAGTATCTGACTGGAATTCGACTGGGCAGAGGTCGAGGCGACGAGGGCAGCCACGCCGGCGAAGAGAACCTGTGGGAGCATTTTGGCAGATTTCTTCTAGATTGCTTATGGCTATTTCCCACAGTCAAAAAGCGCCTCATCAGGATATTTGAGCTTTGTCGTTGCTCGTCTAGCTTTGGGATTTCGTCGAACCCCGCACGAGATGACATGTTGTGCTCACCGCTTGCTGCATCGAAAAGTTCAGTTGAAGCCATCGTCGAGTTGGCAGCCAATGAAGGACATGGTCGATGCCTGCATCTGTCCAAAGTGGGACGACGTCTATAGTATTTTGCAAAAGCCGGTCGTCATGTGTGCCCGTCGGTCTTTCTCCGATGAAGGCCGTTTGCGGGGTTTGGAAGTTTGGAAACCAGGCCCGGCTCCAGAAATGACTTGAAGCAGGAACAGGCGTTTTCATTGACACCGACTGTATTATGATTGGTTTCCACCTCGTGAACTTAGACTTCTGATGGGATAGATCTCGCAAATCCCCCGTAAACTAAGCTCAAGTGCGGAGAAAGCACCAACAACGAAGAAGCCAAGACAGAAGAGATGATTACAGCTGCTTCGAAGGCTTCTCTGGTTCCTCCTGCGCGAGGATCAGCCGGACAAAAGGGCGAAGTACGATCCCCCTGGAACAGTCATTGTCGGCCCGTCTACTGTCCCAAGTGGTAGTGACGGTGTCCGATGGTTCCTTTCAAGGGGTCCAGGATGCAGGTGGCACGCCTTTGATATCTGCTCTCTTGACACTCAGAGATCTCCTAAAAGAGCATCGTCACCGCAAGCAGTATGCCATCAACCTCAATCCCTACCTTATCGCACAGGCAGGGTGTGTGATGTTCCTGAGCTTCGTCGGATGTTTGATTTGGCAATTGAGTTGGTAGAGCACATTTGGTACCGTGACCTTCCAGATCGCGTCCTGACGTCATTGTAAAGCCTCAACGCGAAATCACGTGGAAGTCGTAGCGCTGTGGCGTTTGTGGCGTCCGAGTAATATATAAAATTCGACACGAACATGTTTGTAGTCTGATCCAACACCCTGTCTGCACCTTCAATCCACCCAGCACGTATTTGCAGACTCGAGAAACAACACAATGGCCAAGGAATCCCTCATTGCTATGACCAAGTTGCTAAGGTCTGTCCTGGTTAGCTGAGATCACCGGCAGGCTTGCGACTATCTTGGGTGCCGTCGTACCTTGGGTGCGGCTGCGCCAAATGCCTGAATGAGGATACACAGGGCCGTGAACCGCAAAAATGAAATCTAAGTCTGAATCTTCATATAGGAGGCCTTTCCGGTCCGGGCCATACGGTTCTGCACAAAATCGTCCAGTCCCAACAATCGTGCAAAAATTCGACGCGGAATCGGGCCAGGTGTACTCTGAAGTAGAAGTACGTCCGAACCGAAACAAGTACTCAGACTGGATTGGTGAGCCCAAGACGCCTGGTTTGGTCAAGAAGCCACGCCCGAATCCGAATGGTGCCCGTTCTTTGGCGGCTATGGCGAGGACCAAAGTTGCTACAGAATTCAGAAACCTAACTCCGGAGCACTTTGCAACGGTGCCCTGGCCTATAGCACAGAAGGTCTGGGACCAACTGCTATCAATGTACTCATCATCAGGAAAACGCGTCTGAACAATCACTGACAGCTAGAGACAGGCGAGCAGAGAGTTTCCACGCTTGGAAGACTCTGGCGACGGCGTACACAAGTCCAGAAGAGTTCGCAAGGCGTGAATACCGGTATCTCTTGGAAATAAAGCAAGTGGGAGTGCCAATTACGGAATATTTCAATGGCATTACGTCCGAGGAATTAAAGTGGCTTACTTGCCTCCGAGTCTCCCCAAAGCAGATGGCTACGAGCAGCCTGGTCTCGATACACACCATCACCAATCTCGCTGTGCTTGATCTTTCGGACGGGCAGGTGACGATTGACAACGAGGCCTCCAAATTTGACGAACGTGTTTTGCGTTCTTGGGCAGAGCTTGCACGCTCGGGACAGGCCTTTCAGCACCTGCGGGTGGTACTGTATGGTTGGCAGGAACATCTGGCGGACTGGATCTTCAAATATGCAGACTGCTTCCCATCTTTATGTCACATTATCATCACAGATTGTCCGAGAATGCACCAAAAAAACCGAGGACTGTGGGAACCCACCGCACAAGCCGCAGGATGGGAAGCTAGGCATGCCAAAAAGAGTGCGAAAAGTCTCCGGCCGATCATTGGAGACAAGGACTTTGCTTTTGGCTCAGTCTCGGGTTGCTACTATGACAGTTCGGAGCTGTACAGCCAGATAGCGCACAATCGCCGGCCCAGCCTTGCTGACTGCCGACCGGTACTGGAAGCGTGGATCGGCAATCCTCGACCTTGGTCGCATATTGTTGACGACTTTCCTTCGACAAGAACGATTTTTCTGGAGAATATCAAGACACAGAGCTGGAAGGCCAAAGATGGATCTTCTACCAGCAGCAGCAACCGCGAAACAGCGAAGAGGGTGCGAAACCAGGAACAAGGAACTCCTGGAGCGACATCGCCTCCTCCGAAGCGAGGCTCGCGGGCAAGGCCTGCGATGAAATCGAATGGGAGGAACGTCACGGACATGCTGAATGAGTTCACGACATAGACGTGATCTGAGCGAGGACGCTGTACTCCGTGTTGAGTTCACGCCGTAGATAGGTAGCGAGTCAACAGACTTGAAGGACTTTTCCCTGCAGTGGGCGCCCTGCCCAGCCTTATGTTACAAGGGTCGTGTCTTCAGAACGGAACGGCAGGGATCCTGGTTGCAAAGCCCCTCACATGATTTAATCTATGAGCTTTCAACGCAACGTAAGTCGAGCATCTTCAACAGTAGCGAGCATCTAGAACAATTCTTGTTGATGCAAAACGGGCTCAGTCATCGATGATAACAACATCACACCACTTGCTGGTGTAACAAACCTTTTCCCCCTCACGGCCAATTGAGGCGCGAATTGCCCCCACCTCCACCGCATTTCCATCGTCAATTGCGATACCAACAACAAGCAACCACAATCAGTTGCTCCTTGGCCGATTAGGAGTATGTCGACGCCTAACCGGGACCCGCCGGTCACCTCCCCCCCTTCAACGACTATATCTTCTCGCTCCAGCATGGACTCTCAGTCCCAATCTCCCTCTACCGCTGCCAGAACACCTTCCCTCCGCATCCCGTCTATGCCCAGTGCGGCCGCGCATCACCGCCAGAGTTTCAACGAGCTACGAGGTCATCCTCCTTCTCCTCGATCGCAGAGACAGCCCTCCCTATCCAATATCGCCGTGCAAGATTTGATTGACAATCCCCCCATGAGAAATCCAGATCCTCGCTTTGCGGGGAGGAATTGGACTGAAGTGAAGGTCAAAGAGCTGGTCAATCCGGATGATCTGAGATTTGTGGACAATGAAACCGCTGTAGAGTCGGCTACCAACGTGAGCATATCCTTTTTCTTTGCTCAACCTCACTTCAGATCTGACAAAGGACTCATGATAGGTCCTCATCGAGTCAGGCGCTCCCGTGGTCCTTGTCCGCGAAGGGCCTGGCTCCCAAGTCATCGGCACATTTGACCACCGCGACCTCAATGCCTACCTGTTGCTAGTGGTAGGACTTTCTCGTCCTGATGACGAAGAACATGCCGAAGACTTTATGGAATTGGCTCAGCGCGCAAGGGAAGGCAAACGGATACACCTGCGCGAGATCCAGGACTTGAGCAAAAAGGAACCGTTGACTTTCCTGGATGAGAATGCCGATCTGCTCAAAGCTATTGAGACGTTTGGGAGAGGGATACATCGAGTGGTAGTGAGGGACGAGACTACGAAAGAAGCAACGGGTGTGCTCAGCCAGAGCCGTCTGATCAGGTTTTTGTGGGAGAATGGCCGGAATTTTCCTATGCTGGACCAATTATACCTCCAAAATCTTCGAGATTTGAGGATAGGGTCCAAAGATGTGGTTGCCATCAAGTAAGTGAAAGTCCTTCCGTGGTGTACACATTCTGACCCGATCTCTCATTCAGTGGCGACCGCCCCCTTTTTGAGGCCCTGACGCTACTCCTCAACGAAGGCGTCTCTTCTCTCCCCGTGGTTGACCACAACTACAATGTCATTGGGAACATCTCTAATGTCGACGTCAAACTCCTCACAAAGTCCACCTCTTTGCCCCTTCTTCGCAACACATGTATCCACTTCATAACAGTCATCCTCTCCACACGAGGGATGTACGAAGGCAAAGACTCCTTCCCGGTCTTTCACGTCACTCCACTCTCGACACTCGCGCACACAGTCGCAAAGCTGGTCGCGACAAAGTCGCACAGAATGTGGATCACCGAACCCGCTTCTCCCAGCTCCTCCGGTCCACCTACGCCATTGCTGCATAGTGCCACCCTGGTTCCGACGTCAAGCCACTCCTCCAACCTCTCACTAAACAGTGGCGGCAGTCACCATATCACACCCCCAGCTGCCATCCCCACTCCCGCATCCGACCCATTCTCACCATCCTCGGGGGCGGTCGTTGATAGTTCGCCAAAACCACCATTTATTGCACCTACAGGACCCTCGATCTCCGCATCTTCGCTTCCAGGAGCGCGGATTTCAGGCCGTCTTGTTGGCGTGGTGTCTCTCACCGACATTCTGATTCTGTTCGCCCGCGCGGGTGGCGTCATTGACGTGGCGGATCCAAACGAGATTAGGATGCGACGGAGAAGAAGCAGCTCGAGTAGTGTCAGAAGGAGTTTTGATCTGGGGCAACGGCCAAGTGTCGGTAGCAACGGCGGAAGCGGGCTGAGGCCGAGTGGAGAGTTGAGTCGAAAGAGCAGTACGTCGATTCGTTGATCAGAGGGATAGAAAAGATCAAAGGAACCATGATCGAACCACGGATTTTCAAATAAGACGGGTTGGGAGCGACCGCCGGCTGACTCGATCCGAGAGAACGGGTTGCATGGCTCTCTTGATTGTCACCGAAAAGCACATTGTTTGGGCCTCTTGAGCCCTGGTATCCGGGAATGGAAACTTCCTCCCGACGACGCGACGTTGACGACTTAGACAGCTTGGAGTAATCATTCACAACGAGATTCTGAGGAGAGCACTGTGACCGACCAGGCGTGCAGACAAAGGAGGGCCAAGGCTCTTCATGCCTACTGTCTACCTACCTAGGTACCCTCCCAACCCGGCCACAAGCGTTGAACCGATGTATCGCTTTGCACGCAGGTGTGCAACGGTTTTCGAGTCATGCAAATGAGATAGAATGTTGTTCCCTTTCGAGGATTCTCCTGCAATAGCCTCGAGGACACCCCCATAGACGGAATTGAGGGAAATATCCATGCACAGAGACGTCGTTCTGGTGTTTACGAAACAGCACTTGAGGGATTATTTGATTGACCGTAGAAGCGTCGCTGCACTGTGGATCAAGCAGCCAATTGTGCAATTTGACTTTGATCATCTCATTGGGACGACAATCTGTTGATCTTGTACGAGTGATAGACAGCGACAACCCCAGACCCTGTGAGTATTGCTTGCTCAGTCGATGCCAAGTATGAAGACCGATAGTTACAAGGACTTCCTTGTCGCCTCTGTTTTCAACCAACATAATGATACTCAGTCTCCTCACTTGTATTTCTTCCTCGTCATCTCCGTGTTCCAAACAACCCAACACTGATCCCGAACATCGCTCGCCGACAACTTGGGAAATCTAATACTCTCCAAGCCGTCACATCGCTCATACTCCTCGATCCTTTCCAGCGTCCTCGTCTGCCTAGTAGGGAAAAATCCCGTTGCATCCTCATACTCATACAACATCAGAAACGCCTCCTGTGAAATCAGACTCCCATCGCCCTCTCCCACCGTGACTCCAGGAGGGCAAGCGGTCCAGGTGTGCGGAACCCCAGGAGCAATCGAGACCAGCGTCTTGGGCGGAATTACGTACTTCTCGCCGTTGAGTTCGACAAGAGCAACACCCTCCAAGACCACGATCCTCTCACAAATAAACCGTCTCGAGTTTGAGACTTCCTCGTGCGGAGCGATGTGGACGTGTCTTGGAAGTCGGTATTCCGTTGAGAATTCAATGAATCCCAATTGTCCTGCGAACGATCGAGTGCCGGCGTCGAGTTCATGCATCACGACAGGGACATCGGTAAAGGGTTTCTTGATGTTTGCGCCGATGCCATGGTGCTGCCATTTGACAAGGTGATTCCATATGCATGAGGAGACGGCATGGTGGTGATATGGACAATGGATGCTTGCTTTGCTTGCTGTTCCCTTGAGACGATTTGTTTTTATACAAGAGACGATCCACAACATACAGTAAGTCAGTGTCTGTGTCTACCGTCAGAACGCCCAACACACCCATTGTCCCACCCAATGGTATTATACATACCAGCTAACCAGTGGTGTACTGCTCATCAATTATCTGCTTGTCCAATTCCAACTACCTTCACGGAATTGGGTAAGTATCGAATTGGTGCAGAGTGCTTGCGGATAGATTTCTTCCTGACCGGCAATAACCGTTCCGCAACATCCACCGCACCTCAGCCTCCACATCCTCTGCGAGTCCTCGGTCTGCAGACAAAGGTATCGGAGATGGGAGACGTATGGGCTGCACTCTCTTGCGTGACGGTGCTGTACGACGAATGCTTCTCCGAACGAAGACCTTGCCTATACTGAGACTCGAGCGAATGAATCGATCGGATTCTAAACCCACAATGCGCAAGTCATCTCGCGCCATACTCCACACGTGTCCGACGTATCCTCACCCTCCTTGGGGGGTGGCGACATAGGCCAAGCCACAAACTGCAAAGACATGGACTAATGTAAAACAATAAAGATCGTTAGACTCGATCATTGTCTCTCCGCACAGTATGATTGATTCAGATATAGACTGGGCAGAACCCCCAACATCCATTCATACGTTGAACCAAAAGCTCATGCGACAAAAGAAACTACACCCTCTGAGCTCATCACAAAACATGGCCCAGCCCACGCGTCTAGACAACAAGACAGCCATCGTCACGGGTTCAGCCAATGGCATAGGCGCAGAAACAGTCCGTCTCTACAACTCCCTCGGCGCAAACGTGGTCATTGCAGACCTTTCTTCATCCCGTGACGCGGCCGAAACACTCATCCAAAGCCTCAAAGACCCTAGTCGTGCGTCTTTTATCTCGGTAAACATCACAGTATGGAAGGAAATTTCGACGTTATTCGACCAGACCAAGCGCCAGTTCGGGCAGATTGACATTGTCATCGCCAATGCAGGGATCATGGAGAGTCGAAGCTTCTACGACTTCGAAACGGCCGACGACGGGTCGTTGAGAGAAGACGACGACGTCCATCGCGTCATCGACGTCAACCTAAAGGGCACGATGAACAGTCAGTAGTAAATCGCTTGGGAACGAGCGACCCAGCTAACGCCGCACACTCTTCCACAAGCTCTTCGCCTGGCCATGTTCCACATGAGATCGAACCCTGTCGATCGGACTGGATTTCGGGGCTCGATAGTCCTCGTGTCCTCGACGTCGGGCTTCTTCGGGAGCACAGCCGTGGTGTCATACATAGCGTCGAAGCACGGCGTTGTAGGACTCCTGCGCTCGTCGCAAACCGCAGCAAGAAAGTATGGCGTGCGTGTGAATGGCGTGGCACCTTTCATCACGCCAACGTTCATCACCGAGGGCTATTCTCAGTCGTACGCCGCGACGGGATTGCCTCTGAATCAGCCCGAAGATGTGGTGGCGGGAGCGATTGTGAAGACGTCCGTGGATTCCGAGAGTCAGGGACGGTGTTTCTTGGTCAGTCGCGCACAAAGCCGTTTTCTTGGTTTTTTCGGTGCATCAGCTCACAGGAACAGGTTTATCGTGGAAAGACCAAGGAGGTCGAGGAGGCTCGAAACGCCGCAATTGCTTCGTACATGGGGGAGGAAATCAAGACCGCCATGGACGGGGCAAAGAAATTCTTTGACGAAATCGGCGGCTACCCATTGCCGAGAGCTAGAGCGTGAAAAGAAAAAAGAGAGAGAGAGAAAAAGAAGCCATCAAAATCAACCATGCTGTTATACATTGGCCGTGGCGCCTCGTTTCGCTTTCTCATGCTTCACTGCCTCCCGTTCGCCAAAGCATCCGACAACAAACCGGTCATGTCCCAATTGAACAGGCCGTAAGAGTCGCCGAGGTGAAAGTCGTCCAGGTCGAAAAGTCCATTTGCGCCGCCGCCAATGAGAGGCGTCAAGGAAAGATCGTGGTCGATAAGCTGCGTATTTGTGAGTTGACCCGTCGTGATCTCCGAGCCTTGGATCTGCTCATCGACGCCACCGAGACCAATGTCGTCCCCTGGCTGCGTCTGCGTTCTCCGGTGGTGGGGTGTCTCCGCCGCGGTCCGTCGCCCAAGGTAGGCACGGGTAGTATTCTCGCCCCCAAGGATGATTGAGATGTCCGGGACGAGCCGTTCGGCATCTTGGGGTGAGCAGGAATCATCTTGCTCGAACAAGGAAATCATTTCGAGGAGGACATTGCGCCCGTTGACGGCGACGGGAACGGGACACGCCTGGGCCTCCAGCAGACCCAGATCCGCCGCCATGCTTTGGATGTCGACTCGAAATCGAGCCGCATTTGGGATGGTCCGCTCGACGAGAAGCAACGCCGCCAACGTCACGGCGACGGAGAAAATCTGATATGCCTGCGGGAAGAACTTTTGCTGCGTACCGATTGGCTTGTTGTCGCGAAGAGCCCGGTAGACGGTCAAGGCATCCTCAACGGCACCAATGCACGTGTCGAACGCGCTCGTGACGTTGTCGAGAAACGGACGATACATGCGAATCCGCTGGGTACTGACGCAGGTACGTAGAATGTGGTTCTGCCATGTCAGAAAGTCGTGGGCGGCAGCAAACGTTTTGGCCTTTCCGCCGTGGTCGAGTTGGAAATACCAGGGTAATTCGTCCATGGTCTTCACAAGCTGCTGGTCAATGTCGACGACTGCGCTGTAGGACTGGAGCTGTGACGGGTCCGTCACCAGCGCCCTGTTGATGAGCTGGAATATCTTCGCCCGATAGATGTTCATGCTCATGGTAGTCGGCTCATCCACGGGCTTCGCATGTGCAAAGTCTGCGCCCAGGTCGAGGTCGTTGCAGTTCAGTGGAAGCGGTACATGGGCCAGGTGCGCCTGGATCAAGGGTGGTCTGTCAAGACATATGGACTGAAATCTGGGCCTTGTCAGCACGGAGCAGCGGTAGGTGAAGATGCTGGCGATTTTGCTCACGTGTCGGAGTCCACGAGATCCCACCATAGACGATGTCTCATCTCGTCGCCAATATTCCTGGACGGTGTGCGGTCCTTGTCCAGGCCCAGAGCTTGAGCATTTCGAATAGCTTGGCCCATCCGTCTAAATTGGACAGCATCAGACTAGTAGCTGTGAACAAGCAGAATTTGTACTTACGAATTGATGGTCTCTATGTCATTGGTGGCATACCAATACAACTGTGTGACGGAGAAAGTCTGCAATTGTGAAAGAGTAGGCTTTCGTTCGTAATTGCCAGCCTGGAGAGCCTGGAGGCACGCACGATGCCATACGTGAGAGTATCGTCGAATGGACTCTCGTTGAAGACCGACCACCTGGACAACATCGACAGGGATATATAGTGCGCTCAAGGACAATATTGTGAACAACAACGACATCCACGGCAGATCTGCATCTTCGACCGCCCCATCCCAAAAGGTCGCATACTCTTTTCGGAATGTGGGAATATGGACCGTCTGGAAAAGCCAGTTGATGTGCTCAATGAAGTAACTGAGGAGTATGTCTGATTGAGTCCGAGTCGGGAGCAATTTAACCAGGAGTCTCTTCCATTGTAGTTCATCGTCCGCGAACATCAATGTTTCCAAGATACTGCCATCGTGGCCACTGGAAAATTGCAGGAGTGGCAGAGTCTGCGGAAAGAGAATGCTCATGGCACCCTCTGACCTTCCGTCTGTGCCAGCATCTCCGGCGGAAGATGGGTGCTGACGCCTGGCAGACAATGACTTGGTTGCCGCCACCACATTGACACTTTCGACCAATTGACCGCGTCCGCGTCGTTGCTGCTGGGTTGCCGGAACGTCCGCAACGGAATCGTGGCTCAGAGCAGCTGACCACCCGTTGCCTGAAGGATTGCCTGCTCCTTGCCGCGAGGACCTCTCACCAGCCGCAGCCGCAACAGGTTGACTCGCATCAGTAGCTTCGACAATGCGACCTGGTCGACTCTGGTCGTTTTGCCTGGGTTGCGACGAGCCGGTCTTTTTCCCTCCCGGGGCCGCAGGATTTAGCAGACACAACTCTTCACGGTTGTACCGCGAGCAAGTACTGCATGGGATTCCCCGATCACATTTCAATTTGTGCCTTCTGCAAGGCTCACAACTTAGGGGGACCCGCCGAGGAACATGGCGTGGCTTCTTCTGGACCACTGGCGAGGTTATTGCTGGGTCGGACTGTGAAGTGGACATGAAGAAAGACAGCAACGGGGCTCGCTCGGAAGGGAAGAACAGATTTTCGGAGATGGGGCATTAATACCAGACCGACTGCCTCGTGTCTTCGGTCGAAGATTCGGAGTTGGAGGAATGGACAAGTGCCTTGGCTACGGTCACCGGATCCGTACTCGTATCCGTCGAGCCGAATCATCCAACCAGCCACCATCATCACAGTGTCGTCGTCGTAGGGCACAGAGAAGTGGCACTTCGCATACAACCGAGCGATCCAAGCATTGGACCCTGGCATGCCAAACACACCACGGACACAGTCTTTGTCAGGCCACCGCATGGCTAGCTGAGACTCTGTGAGACCATTTGCGGCATCGCCTGAACAATCAGGACGAGAAATGTCCGCCATTCCCAATATTGCCCTTGAACGGTTGACTTTTCAGCAGACCGTCGGCAACAATCTCATCCTTGTGGCGCTCCAAGTCATCGACGTCCCAGTTGGCTACGATGAACCGCCCTCTAAGAAAGTCGGCCGTGTCTCCAGTGAGGTAGACTGTCAGCGAACCGAATAACGCCGCTACAGTAAAATTAGACTAAACGGTCAGAAGCGCGGAGGGAACGAAGCACCCACGTGTATCTCTGGCATAAATCTCGAGTTCGGGCCGTAAAACACTGCTTTTGGCCATACCAGGATGCACATTGTAGACTCTAACGTTGGCATATTCGTGGGGAGGATTAGTGAGATGGAGTGATGGACATGGTAGACGCCACCTACCGGCATGGAGCTGGTCGAGAAGCATATTCACCGCGAGCTTGGACATGATGTAGGCTGACTGGCCTGGGCTTGCGAAGTATGATGCTGCTGTGCCTGTGTTTATGAAGGTAGCGGTTTGCTGGCTTGTCCTCGACACAAACTCTCGAGCCACAAGATATGCGCCTTTTGCATTGATTTCCTATTATGCAAACGGTGCGGTTAGTAGTACCCAAGTCAATGTAAGACAGGGCAACGTAGACGTACAAATGCCTTCCACCAGTCTTTCACCGGGCTCTCGCCAATGTTGGTGACAGGCCCAAGCACGCCAGCTGCATGCACCACGACGTCGACCTTGAGGAAATGATCAAACGCACAGTCGAATAAGCATCGAACGTCCTCCTCAGAGGCAACATCCGCAGACACGGCAAGAACATCCACACCAGGAGCGATCTCTCTCACTTCATGGGCTGTCCTGTCCAGTTCACTCTTGCGGCGGCCAGCAAGGATGAGGCCTGCGACTCCGGCCTTCGCCCACTGCAAAACGGCACCCTTCAAGCCCACATGTTGATCAGAATTTGTTTCTAACGCCTTACAAAATAAGCAGTACTTACCTTCCCAAAGCCTGACCCAGCACCCGTCACAAGCACAACCTTTCCTTTCGCAATGCCTTGTAACTTCTGGGACTCTGGGTCCAAGGCGGGATAGACGTCGCGGTGAATAGTCGGAGTGAATTGCAGCGCTCTGGTCCAGAAATCAGGATGAGACATAGGAAGAGCCATCATGTTGCTGACGGCTCGGTCAATCTGTGTAAGCAAGCATAAGTTGAAGGTGGTGAACGAGATGATGCAAAGAAGTGTAAAGGGCAAGTCAACTGGAGTTGAAGATCGAACGGATGCGATTTTGTCTTGTCTCGTTAAATCCGATCCATATCCGGTGGGCAGGAAGCAGTGGTTTTGTACAAGACATGCTAATTTCTCCCCTTTGCAGCGTACCTCGCCGGAATATGGTATCATCAATCGCTTCATAGTCAGTGGCAAGGGGGGAATGCACCGGCATGACTTTTTTTGGTTTAGGAGAGAGCATACTGTCCAGGTTCAAGAGCATATTGACTGTTCAAGAACTTGTATCACCTTCTCCTTGGCCTGGCTTCCCCTTGGCTGTATACGATATAGCACTGACTCTTGTCAGGCAAACAAAGATGAACTTTTGCGCCTTATCTATGCCCTCTCCTATGGTTAATCGCTTTACGACGTGTGGCACGTCCCAAGTACTTACACTCGTCTGTGGATTGAAGCTGATAAAATTCGCTCTATCTGTGTCTACCTCCATCATCATCCTTCAAATCGATTCGAATACTCCCGGATAACGCTGGCTGGCTCTTTATACACACCCAGCGGTTCATACGAAATATCGTCAAAGCCAAAAGCCGAAGGGCCGCCTGCAGCAACTCCCGCCTCCGTCTTTCCCCATATTGGTGAGCAGGTGATGCCGAGTACAGTCACCACAATGCCGTACTTATATTCGGGTATTCCTAACGCTCGTCCTGATTGAGCATCCAATACTGTGATGAGGTCGGGAACAGTTGCTAAGACCTTGGTCGCCCCATCCTCGGCGACGTGTTGAGCAATCAGGTTTTCGTTCATGAAGGGGATCTTCAAAGCCCCTCCCTGGGCGACAGCTTTCCTAGCTCCGTCTTCGGTGTCTTCTGATCCTTCCTCTGAAATGGATTTGATGACAACCTCTCCATGAGAATGGCCTTTGTATAGGCGGCGCTCAACTCCCACGATCTTACCACGGAACAGCAGCTTTGCCGCAGAGTTTCCTCCCACCTCTTCGATTATCTGCTCTGTCACGGTGCTAATCGTGTTGGTCCGACTCGCGCGAGCTATGCATCTCCCAATTCTCCACGCCTGCGACATGGTGTTTCTCACAGACCACTTCTTGACGAGCGCGGTTGTTGTTGGTTTTGCGGCAAATCCGACGTAGTATCCCATTTCGATCGCAGGCGCTCTCAATGTTCGATCTATCGATCTATCGTCACTTGACTTCGTCATTATCAACGCCCTTCCATCTCCGGAAGATATTGCGCACGGCGCAATCTGATGGGGTTCATGGACTGCTATGGTGACCTGCCACAGGTTCGGGTATGCGCGACCTAGTACGGGAATTGATCAGCCAGGTACAATTGAAGAACAAGAGGAATACGACTCACCCATCCAGTCCGCGTCTACTACCGGCCGGTTAAAGTTATTGGAAGCACCCATACTCAGGGGTAGAAGCCCGTTAGAGCCCCCAATCTCGAGGCCAATAAAGGCATCAAAGGAGTCTTGCCGGTAGTATTCCATCATCTCTTTGATGGCTTCGAGCGACTCATTGGCACACAGCCTCTCTTGTGGTACGGAAGGCGATCCCATGTTACCGGCCCCTAAGCTGATCAGTCAGGTTGTTGTGCTGCTGTGGATGAGTATTACTCACAGTAGATCTGCGCTTTCTCGTCGAGGTCTTCAGCGTCCACAATACGCAAGCTATGTCCTTCTTGCAACAGCCTTTTCAACTTCAGCATTTCTGGGTACGGCGTGCCCCCTCCGCCACATCCAAGTACGTAACAACCATCCGCCATCCATTCAAGGTCTGTTGACGAAACATGCCACTCTGGCACTCCTGTTGTTGGATTGTTTTGAATTGCGGGCTGATAATCTTTTACATCAATGATGGTCGTCTCTCCCCCTCGTTGGAATGGCTTGGTTTCCAATGCTATCTCTTCAACGTCGTTTAGCTCCTCGACAATGGATTCTGTGGCCGATTCATATGATGGAATGAAGTCCCCCACAGCTTTAACAATGGTCCTGACTCGATGGTCAAGGTACTGCAATGGGAGAGCCTCCTGTTCCGTTATGGCAATCGTCGTAGGGTCGGCGCCGACCTCTATGACTTTCTCCGTAGCTAGCTCTGCTGCGTTTCGAAGCGCTTGCTTGATTGTTCTGGATGATGTGTCCTGAATGATATCCACACTTGCACTGATGCGTGACATAGCTGCTCCGACAGCATTCGCCACATCGAAATACGGCGGGCGGATGATCTTGCTGACGCCGTCAAGGGAATCTGGAGCAATAATCGAGCCACCGCCAACCAAGATCAGGTCAAGGTCTTTTGGAGATGTCTTGACCAAGTCTACAACACGCTCCAGCTTGCTCTTGATGACCCCCCTGGCACTTTCAATAATCTCTTGGCTTAGTCCACCAGCCTTCGCTGCATCAGCGCCTTTGATGGGAATGCCAGAAGCAACAGCAATATCAGTTGCTGTCGTTGTGTCACCCCCAAAGATCAATGCTCTCTCCTTGATGGCATAACCCACAGAATCTGGTCCCACCACCACTTGATCTCCATCTTGTCGAACGATAGAGCCTCCTCCTATGCCTATCGACTCGACTTGTGGCATTCCATAGTTGATCTTGACCCCGGCAATTGTGACACTGGCGAGTGACTGCCTGGGGTAACCAGAAGGTAACAGTATCCCGACATCTGCCGTTGTGCCTCCAATGTCGCAGACGATTGAGGAGGTTCTGGCCTCGTCGTCCGAGTATAGCCCACTCAGATATGCGGCACCTCTCATGGAGTTCGTTGGCCCGGATGAAAAGGTCCTGATGGGCAGTTGTGAAGCCGCGTGTGCGTCGATCAAGGTACCGTCGTTTTGTGTGAGATACAGAGCACAACGAAGATTAAGCTTTCGCATTGCCAGCTTGAAGCTCGCAATTGTTCTTTGTGCAAATGCGTGAATGGAGGCGTTTAGTATTGATGCATTTTCCCTTTCCAGGAAGCCGAGATTCGAAATCTCAGACGAACAAACCACCGAGACCTCAGGAAGAAGGGAATGGATGATCTCGCGGACGCGTTGTTCTTGTCTAAAGCTTGAGTCCAGTGGAGAGAACACGCCGCAGACGACCACGGCAGTAAGCCCCAATTCTCGGATTGTCGTGCATACGTCAACCACTTGATCCTCGACGATGGGAGCCTCTTCGCTGCCATCAATCTGGAGTCCACCGTCAATGTATGTATGCCACCCATACATGATGCCTCTCAGAGCCGGTGGAAAGTCAAAGAACGGGGGGATCTCCCGGGTGAAATTCTTGGAGAGGCGGATTACCGCGACTTTCGAGAGATGGCGATGGTCATGTTCGACGATTGCATTGATAAAGTGAGTGGTTCCAATCGCCAAAGAGGAGATTTGCTCCACTGCCACTCCGGACTGTTCCAAAACGTGTCTTACGGCCGCCGCTATGCCTTCGGTCACGTTTGGTGACGTTGTTGCTGTCTTGTGCGCTGCAACGACGCTTTTGCTTCTGTCAGTGGCTGTTGTATCGACGAGGACGGCGTCCGTGTTTGTTCCTCCAACGTCAACCCCCAGGCGGTAAGGGAGTGTTTTGCGAATTGAGCCCATTCTTGGTGCTGGGCGGGCGTTGAAGCTCCACGATCGACCTTTGAAAATAACTTGAGTGCTGGAGATGCTCGAGTACAGGCTCGTTCCCTGATCAACCCAATGTCATCTAAGATATACCGAAAAGACATTCTTCATCACTCGAATGTACGTCTCCCAGAGATAGGCAAGAGTGCGGTCCACGTATCCACTCGAATATCCACTTCGTACATTCTAAAGCCCCGGCACAAGTGCAAGTTTGATTTTCGGAGATGGAGACATTCGCCACCATTACCGGAAGATGGTACGGCATTATCTCTAATACCTGCGATCTATGAAACTCCGGTCTGTTCGGTCCAGGCCTTTAGAAGCTCAATGATCGTGTCACGTCTAACTTCAGGCACCTAGAACCGGCGAATGAGGCTGGTTTTGTCCCTCGCCCAGACCTTATTCTACGACGACGACGCGGAGAAGGCTGAGATATACGGTCTCACTGGGGTGTGGGTGAACTGATGATTTGCAGGTAAAATGGATTTAGTCTTGATTGGCCATACAAGAAATGAAAGGTACATCATGACAGCGCTTATGTAGGGGTTCCCTGGAACGGCTCACGGCAAAGTGCATCGTATTTTGCAGCTATTGCCTCGACGTCCCTCCAGCCAGCGGCAACCTCCTCATTCCTCCGCCTACAGTCGTCCGGCCCGGTGGTCACGACCCGCGTCTGACCCTGAGTACGTGCACCTTTGACCAACGCCGACGTTCGTGGTTGTCTCTTCTTCGCAAACGCCTCAAAGATGTCTGTTAGTCCCGGGCCAACCTTTCGCAAGCTCTCCTCGTAGTCCTCGCTTCCTGGAACCAAGTATGGCAAGGCATGGCTGAGATGGAAACAGTCTTCACTAAACATCGATGTCAGTGTGAGTCCAATCAGCTTGAGGTCGTCTCGAGATCGGTCTTACAGTGCTTGGTTGGCCCCTTGTCCAAGATGTGGGCTCGTCGGATGTGCGGCGTCGCCTGCCAAAACACATCTCTTGGAATGCCACTGATCTGGACTCATCTCTTTGCGATCAAAGATACCGAATTTGATGATTCGAGATGAATTCCGAATCAATTCTGCCGGCGATTTATCCTGCCAGGAGCTGATCTCCGCAAGGAGCTTTTCTTTCCTTGCAGCCATTTCTTGCAGGGTACAAAGACCCCAATCGGCTTCATTGCCCTCGCCTTCAGGCAAGGTCAATGCCCAGGAAGTCACGTCGGGAGAGACTGGATAAGCGATCATATGGACTCCTTCTCCAAACCAATTCCGCATACTAGATCGACTCTTCAGCGCCTGTGGTGTCGGTGACAAACCGGCGGTCTGTGATGTCAGCCACGAACACGTCGTTCGGCCTTTGTTTGGCGCCGCCTTACCTGGGTCAACTGGGTAAAGTCTGGCAGCCCTTCACTAAGGCTTCTCTTGCTCAGAAGGATACGCCTGGAAACAGCTTTGATTCCATCGCAGCCGATGAGGAACGAGCCCGTGACAGACCCGTGTCCTTTGAAATGAGCAGTCACCGAGTCTTCCCCTTCCTCAATATCTTCCAGCTCCCAACCCTCTCTCACATCGACCCCCCGATCGGTGAGCATGTCTTTAAGCATCAGATTCAGTTCCGTCCGCTTGACACCGAGCGCAGGTAGTCCATAGCGCGACCTGAAACTTTGCGGCAAGTCCGAGAACCCAATAACATCACCATCGGAAGTGGCGTCTTGGAATGCCTCGAGTGGCTGAGACCTCTTCTCAATCTCCTCGGCCACACCGACCAGGTTGAGAGCTTTGAGCCTGCATTACCCTCAGTAAAAGCCCGACTTTGGTTCCATGTTTTGAGAGAAGTGATGGTATCTTACCCATTGGGCATCATCATGAGTGACGCTCCCACATCTCCCAATTTTGAGACCTTTTCAAAGACGATCGGATTGTATCCTTTGCGTTTTAGGAAGTTTGCAAGGACGGGCCCGGCAACGCCGCAGCCGATAATGAGTACCGTCACTTCAGACATGATTGCAAATTTCTGGTTGTATGTTGTTGATCACACAGACCTGTTGTCCTTCTGGTCCTTGTGTGTTGTGCTGAAGTGTCCTTTTTATGCGGTTCGGTATCCGGTGCATCCTTCACCCAAATAAAGCGCGATTTGTACAAGCAGGCACCTCTACGTCAGCGCATATGCATGCCAGAAGAAGAGACACTGGCTCGTTCATCTGCATGAGACAACACGAGCAACAGGATCAAAACAACTTGCCGACAAGTGACCAGCCTGAGGTTGTACAATGGTAAAGGAGAATAGAAGACGAGGGGGGAGGATTCTAGACTCCGGTCCGACTTTTCGGAGAAGGAGTCGGTTGACCGGAGATGGAGGATTTCAAGAGCTTTGTCTGACGGCGACGACTCTCGACGCACCTAGATCACCATCGCCGCACAGTCGAGCATGATTATCATCTGAATCGATTGATAACAAACAGGTGTTGTTGTCTAATCATTCAAAGGTTGTCGATACAAGCGAGAGGGTCTTCTCTTACTATGGTCAAACACAGAGCCACCACGCACGCACACGCGGACACTGGGAAAGCTTTGAGCTAGACTACCAACAGCGACAATGAAGATACTATCACAAAGTTGGATACTGCCAATAAACAACATCGAGGTGAAGAAGACGGTCAAGGACTTAGTCAGTTGGTTTCTTGCTCTGGCGCCATGAGAATATCACGTCTGTCTCCTTAGTATTTCGTGCTAGGCACATGGCCTCTGAATCTCTCCTGTTGAGGCACCAGACTTCAGACTTTTGTTAAACACTAATTCAGTTTGATTCTTGATGCAAACGTTAATCACCCTCAACGGTGTAGAGCCATGGAGGGCAGTGCTGATCCAGCGTCAGACAACATATTGTCCCTTATCGTATCGGATTCTTGCAGTGGTCACTTCGGAGATGCTCTATCAGGTATAGGAACACTTTGATGCTCCCCCCAAAGACCATCGCTCCCTCCGTTTACCTACCTAGGTACATTCCGGGCCAGAAATGAATACAGAGATAAGGGTATCAGGGCAATGAACCGTGCCTGTTGGCCATTCCCCGCCTTGATCCGAGGGTTCTCCAGTGAATATGGATATATAAACCCTACGTGACTCGTGGCGACTTTGGTCCGGGGAATACTGAACCAAAAGCTCCCCATCACTTGCCTGTCTCTCTCCACCACAGGACCTGAGACCAAACATGGCTGAGATTCACTCACGTCAGGAAGTCAAGCAGCCGAAGATGGATATCGAACAACCCACGCAGTTGGCTGACATTTACAAGCTAGCCTCTGTGAATAACGGGGACTGTCAAGAGATCCAGCTCGATCCAGAGCTCGAAAGGAAGACATTGAGGAGGTTCGACATGTTTCTGCTGCCGCAAATCGCGCTCATAATCATCATTGGATACCTCGACCGTTCCAATATCGGTATGTCACACCCGTGTACAGCTTCGACGTGGACTGGGTACCAGTAACGAAATCGCTGACTTGGGGGATCAGGGAACGCCGCGATTTTCGGCCTCCCAACAGACCTCGACCTCAAGGGGAAAGAATTCAACAACCTCGTCACGCTGTTTTACGTGACATATATCGTCTTCGACATACCGTGGGTCGTTGCCATCAAGAGGTTCGGAGTCAACCGTGTCCTGGGCGTGGCATTGATCGGCTGGAGCGCCGCAACTCTGGGCATGGGTTTTGTCCAGAACTACCACCAAGCCCTCGCTTGCCGGCTTCTTTTGGGCCTTTTCGAGGGCGGCCTCCTACCATGTATGATATTCATCATCTCGACCATCTGGAACAAGAAGCAGCAGGCCAAGCGTGTCGCCGTGATATACTGCGCCACGACCGTGTCCGGGGCATTCGGGGGTCTTTTCGCATACGGCGTGCAGTCGATGGGCACAAGAGCTTCGCTTGAGCCGTGGCGTTGGCTGTTCATCATCGAAGGGATTATTTCGTTTGTGGTCGGGGGAACATGCTGGCTCACGATGCCGTACAGTGCCGAAAAGGTCTGGTTCTTGAGCCAGGAACAGCGCGACTTCATGGTCCAGAAAAAGACGCGGGACGCACTGTACAAGGGCGGGGACGACCTCAGCTTCAAACATGTCCTGTCTGCAGTCACAGACCCCTTGGTCTACCTCGCTGCCTTCTCCCTCTTCTCATCCTCTCTACCGTTACTCAGCTTCGGTACATTTCTCCCCACCATCATCCGGGGTCTCGGGTGAGTAGATCTGGCTAATTTGGTGTTTTTCGTTTGAGAGATCCAGCAGTTGGGCTCACCCACTGACTACAAAAAAACAGGTATACCTCGATCCAAGCCAACTATCTTACCATACCCGTCTACGCATTCGCCACAGGCACCGTGGCGCTCATGGCATGGCTGTCTGATCGCCTGCACAAACGCGCCTTTTGCCTTGTCATGGTGCCCGTCCCGGTCCTTGTAGGATATGCCATCGTGCTCGGGACGCCAAACATCGGCGCTGGCTATTTTGCCATGTTCCTATGTGGCGGCGGGATCTATCCATACAACTGTCTCATGCTCACATGGATCACGAGCAACTTGGCCCCGGACTATAAACGCAGCATCGGCATCCCCCTGGCGGCGAGCATTGCAAATATCTCTGGTGTTCTTTCGGGACAGATCTACCCGGCGACAGATGCTCCGAGGTATATCAGTGGGAACGCAGTCAGTCTTGGTCTCGAGTTCGTGGCGCTTTGCGGTGTCGTGATCACTTACTGTCTCTTGAAATGGCGGAATGCCCGCAAAGAGCAGTTGCTGGCGAGTGGCGTGGAGAGTAACGGGAAAGAAGGCGATGCCAGTTTGGAGTTCCGCTACGTCCTGTAAGAAATTAGGAAGCAGAGATGCCTGCCTAGGTAGGTATCCATCGTCGTTGACAGTTCCAATGGGTTACAGGTTAGGGACTCGCATTCATTCCACCTTTTGGATGGTATTGCGGCCTGGTTTGGCTTTTGCCTAGAATTTCGTGCCCGTGCCGCGTGGTGGCAGACGCCACGATCGCGCTTTGGGTGAGGCAGCTCGAGGTCGTCGGCAGGCAGGGCTCATCACTGCCTGCGAGTCACCGACGCTGAGGCAGCGTCGCCGCGAGTCTCACCGGAGCTGCCTAAGCGCCACTGCCCTTCCCCACTGCCTTCGCTATATTACTTATCGTATTCGAGAAGCCTTCTTGACTACTCCCATCACCAAGCTATTCTATCAACTAGCTTTTGTATGTCTTTCTGTCCCACTCAAACCTCGAGATCTCAATTATTTGAGGTGTTCAAAACACTCTCAAAGTCTTTCCAGCTCCTCACAAAATGTCCTCTCACCAGACCATTCATCCGCACACCATAGCTGTCTCTGTTGCAAACGGTACTCGCACCGAAAACGACCTCGACGATATGCCCGGTGGGATCACTGTTGTGGATAGCAAAGTAAGAGCAACCCTGAGCGAAGCAGAAGCTACCATAAGCGAAAAAGCCACCGGCGAAGCAAAAACAGCAGCCGAGGGGAGCATCATATCGGAAAGGAATCGCAAAGCAAGAGCAACCATGAGTTGGCTGGAGGGAAACATGAGCGAAGCAGAAGCAATCAGGATGCGCGGAGCCACAGAACGCGAGAGCTATTATCGGCGATTTATGGAAGCAAGACTAGGAGCGAGCGAAGCAAGAGCAAGGTTGTGGGAAGTAATAGCAAGAAAGAGCGGAGCAACGGGAGCAGGCGTGAGTGAAGCAGAAGTAGAAGCAAAAGCAAGGTTGAGCGAAGCAGAAGCCAGGATCGAAGAAGAAAGGCTAGCATTGAGGAAGAAAATGAAAGAAAAGATTAACGAAGCAAGAGAAAGGATGAACCAAGAAAACGAATCGTGGAGAAAGGAAGAAGCAAAAAGAGCAGCACAAAGAGCAGCTACGGAGAGAGGAGTCACAGCTGAAGAAGGAGCAGATCTGGCTAAAGCAAGAGCAGACGTGAGCGCAGGTACTACTACCTCTGAACCGGCCGGTCAGGATAAGGACGAGGACGAGGATGAGGACGACGACTTGGACGGGGGTGTAGAACTCGACGCATGAGCATGTACTAGCAACTGTACCACTGTACCGTTTGAGTATCACTAGAGATCAACACATTGAGACGGAGTTACGGGGAGGCGGAGACGTCGGCGCAGATGAGGGTGCTTGCGAAGTTGAACGAAGGTTGGATTCAGTGAATGGACTGTACAAGTGTAGCACATTGCCAAAAAGTGCAAGAGGGAGAAAGCCTGGCTATGAGATAATTCAGATCCCTTATCCCTAGTATGTACCGCTCAAGAACCAAATACCTAGCCCTAGGACATGCCACAGGGCGGTTGAGACCCTAGGGTGAGTCGTGGAATGTGATCGTTTCCTCGTCGGTATGTTCCCGAATTCCCCTCGACCAACCCACAGGGTGGTAGCATTCTGACATATCTTTTCCATAACTAGAGCAATCTTCATAGTAACCGTCATCATCAGGCTTTGCTTTGGCGAGATTATGGACTAGACATTGCAGATTTTGACTCTCAAGACGGAAGGAGGCAATCATGTTCTCCGTCCCATCTACGAGCATCGTACCTTGGTTTAGATATCATAGTTGACAGTCTTGTGCTTCGATCGTTTCTAGTTGGAGGATTTATATCCCTTGTACCTGGTAGAGTCTCGCCTTAGATCTAGGTACATGTGTGCTTTTAGGGCACCCGTCGCAAAAGCGGCTAGCGGCAACCGAGCAAATTACCCACTTTGAGACTAGTGCAAACTTTCAAGTTGTGCATTGGCGCCAAGACGCTAGCCTCGTACCTACTGGGTATCTACCTCCAACAAGCAGTCCTGGCGTCGGATTGCCAGTTGGGTGCCAGTGGCACAACAGTGTAGGACGGAAATAGACTTTGGAGAGGTGAGGTTTCGCCGTTGAATACCTTGCGAGTTGGTACTGAATATCAAAATATTTTCCCTTCCCATATCTGCCTCTATTACCGAGATCCGGGGTATTTTGAACACAAACCAAACCTAGACTTCCAAACAGACCAGCAATCATATCGAGCACCGAGACCGATGTTGGAAAGCAGTTGACTTCCCACGAGGGCGCTGGAAGCCATCCTCCGAGGCCCTAATTCTCCCAGGCTGGGATAGGAAGAATTTCTTCTTTCCTGTTGCCAGTGACAGGAGCTTCGAGCAGACGCTCACAGTGAAACACCAAGTGGCGTTTGATACACCGACGTGGGGGGATCCCAGAGGCATCCCCCGTATATATATATATCCCCCATGCGGCTCAATCATGTGTCTCAACTTTCACGTTGTTTTCACTTGTGAGAGCATGTACTTCGTCGTCACCACCTTCCCAGCTTCCGTCCCTGACAAAGTGGTCCCAGAATCCGTCAGCGGAAGGGTCCGTCTGACCAGTCTCCAGGCCGTCATCAGCAACGAAAAAGCTAGGTTCTCTACTTTCCTCCTTCAGAGCAAAGTCCAAATCTGGGGTTTGCAGATTATCTGTGTTCGCAGGTTCGGCGGAAACAGACGTGTGTGTCGCCGTGGTCGTTGAAGCGCTAGTGCTGGTGCCCTTGGGTGTTTCCTCGGGAGTGTCAAGCGCAGCAGGTGCCAAAGTTGCGTTCATTCCTTGGTACGTCGAGTCGTGAGCACACATGCCTTTGAGAGGATCTTGCGTATTCTTCCAGGGATAGTATGAGTTGCTAAGATACTGGTCCGAGCCTCGCATCAGCATGGCGTAGAAGGGATCGTTGACGTCAAAGCCAGGTGCATGTGCGAGCATCTGCTGCGACTCTGGAGGCAGTGATGTGGTGAAAGGCCCCATGTCCTGCCACAATGGCGTGAATGAAGCCTGTCTGCTTTGCGGAGATGTGGCGGACTGACCCTGTGGCGGGCACTCCAGGTCCGCTCTGGAGCTTTGGTCCTTGATACGTTGTCCGGAAAAATTGTCTCCAACCTGCGTTGGGGCGGGAAATGACACGTTTGCAGGTTCCATCGGACCTGGAGGATGCACAGGTGCCGGAGGCGATGTTGGTTCTTGTTCCGTTGGTGATGTCAAGAAACTTGCTCTTCTGCCACTGTTCTGGGGGAAATGGGCTTGGTGAGGCGAAGGGTACGGAGCAGGGCGTTGGTATGCTCCCAGTGACGGTGGCATACTCTGCGGAGGAAGCATGGGAGAGGGAAACATGCCGAGTCCGCCTCCGGGATACTGGCCATGAGGATCTCGAGCCATCTGCTCTATTGCACTCCGGATCGCCACCTGGTGTGTCAAGTAAGCTGCGACGCGGCGATTGAAATCGGCCGAACTGGTTTGCAGATGGGCGGTGAGCCGTCGATATTGTATTGGCAAGTCGTCCCCCTCCTCTTCATACATCTCCTCGTTCATGACATCCTCGGCGGTTATGCGGAGTGCCCGACCGGTTCTTCGTTTGTGAACTTCTGAAGCTCTCCGTGCCGACTCCACTCGAGCTTCGAGCGTCCGGTCACTCCTTCTCGATGCCGCGATATATGCTCTTTATACGTGTCAGTGCAAATGGACAAGCTGCACCGTCAGAAATGCTAACCTTTCCTGATTCTCCTCCTGAGTTCTCGTAGACTTTGGCGGCTTTTCACGCGGCGTGGTTGTGGTTCGCAATGGTGGCATATTGTGTAAGGCCTTGAGCTCCTGGTGTCCAGCTGCTGTGCTAGCTGGTCTCCTGTGATGCGGAAGACGCGCCCTTAGGTCCGGAGCAGGTGGCGCTCCAATGATCGACTAGCTATATGACTCGATGGACAGGCAAAAGGTACTGAGTATAGAACCAGCAGGTATCCTGAGGGGTTTTCGAGTGACGAAGTGTGCACAATTAACGTCGGTGTCTCTACAAGGTGTAGGAAAGTGATATTGGGCTGTTGCCTTGGGGGCGGTCTGGATCATAAGAGAGGAGATACGAGTGGCGAACCGCGCAGTAATGGGCTAGTACCAATGAGATCAGGGTGTCTGGTATGAGGCGAGGGTGACCACACCGAGACAGCTCGTATCTGTCAGCTAGATTCAGACCAGGGACACAGTATCGCCAGAGGTCGTCCAAGTGGGCTCGAGAGTACATGAGATGATCGAGGGAGGAGGCGATCACTATGGAGTTTTATCTAGGAGCGAGTGCGAAGATCGCGAGAGACGGTGGCTGTGAGCCAGAAGACCCAATCTACCGCTTTGGAAGGGGGGAAGAGGGGAAGGAGAGCAAAAGTTGAGAAACCCATGTTGAACCCTGTGGACCGCAGACCTCGAGTGGTTACTATTGGGCTACCGCAGCTATGGCCACCCATAACCATGTACAAAGGGCAAGGAAGCGTGGAGCAACAAGGCGGGAGAACAAAGTTAAAAGCTCGAGGTACGATACCAGAGATGGACTGGCGGGAACAGGACAGCATCGAACAAGATGCTGGGAACTTTGGTATGAAGCCGGCAGAGGCTTGTCCACCAGGCCTCACCAGGCCTCACCAGGCCCAAAGCGGCAGGTAGGATCTTGACAGACTTTGCTCGAATTGAGCAGAGTTGACCGAGCTGGAGGCAGGCCAAGGCGCAACAAAATGATGCACACTGCTGGGGCTGCTGGGGCTGCTGGGGCCTCCTTCCAGCGACCCCCAGTGACGATCGATTGCAAATTCGGCGGATGTTAGTTCCGCCCATCGTGCCTTTCTTCGGTCGATCGCGGCAGGTGCTGCTGGGCTGCTGGCTGTGGCTGCTGCAGTCTGGGTGGCAGAACTGGCAGTTGCTCTGGTGGCCTGAGGCTGCCCAGATCCCGAGTCCCCTTTGCTTGGTCTGTGTCTCCACGAGCCGCCGTACTTGTCTTCCCCGATCCATTATATTCTCATTCAACTCGGACCAACATCCCAAAAGTCACTCCGCTCACTGTCCGGCTCCCTCCCTTACACTTACCAGTTCGCGATCTCCCATGAAGATCAGAAGGCGATGGGGCACGAAGCAGCCCCTCTCTCAGTCGTAGCGCCAGATCCTAGCGTCTTCGGCTATCGTCTCCGTGCCAACGGCCTACGATAAGGCCTGAGTTGCAGCAGAGGAAAGAATTGACGGCGGTCAAAATTAAGGCCCTTTGAATCGCCAATGTGATTTCACTGCGGAAACTATTTCCCTTAAAGGCGTGGGCCCCAGTAGAGCAGGAGATTCGAATCCAGCGCGTACGAGTAGCTGCTGGCGGGAAGTTGAGAATCAAAGCTGACGCCGCTGCATTCATTAGAATGGATTGTCACTTGTCTGCCCCTGCTCGGCGATTCATCCATGGAGAGTCTATCGATCAGAGACACATTTCCAGATCCCCAATGCCTGGTATGAGCCACAGTCTACTAGGGGGCATGTCGGAGTGACACTCTGCCTTGCTGGGACCCATTTCCTACGGGTTGAACCCTGTTGGCAAGGACCAACAGCCAGAGCCACCCAGAGAGCCACTGCGCGGCTTGATGCCATTTTCGACCAGCAGACACGGCACGCAAGTCTCGTAGGCAGGCCGCTATCTCTCGGATCGCAGGCTTCCGGAACACGGGACACCTCGTTGCATGGTACCCAGCGAGCCAGGTAGTAGCAAGAGAGGAGGTCTTCAACTGTTTTGCCGTAAAAGGCTGAAAGGAGTGAGGTGAGGTATGTCGCTGTGTCGCTGTGCCCTTCGCATCGGCGATCTGGCCTGGCATCGCGAATTTGGAATAATCAGCCATCTTCGAGTTTTGTCCTGCGACTCCACCACGTTCCTCGATCGCATCCACCGTGACGCAAATCCCTGGCTACTGCTTCAGATATTTCCCGAGTACGAGGTACTCGCAGCACTGTTGGTCACTGTCGGGTCTCTGGTGGTGCCCGTGGTACCGGTGAGATCGGAGCCATATCTGGATTTCTCTTCCTTGCACAGATCGACTGGATCAACATTTCCATTCGTAAAATCGCCACCCAGATCTCTCCTTTCTCGCCCCATTCGTCTTTTGTGTCTCGTATTTTGCATTTTCCCTCGCCTTCGTACTCGTGGTGCTCCCTTCGGCATGACCACGGTACAAGGTCCCTCGTACACCGTGACGACTGTACCCACCGCCACTAGAATCGGGTCCGGTTCTCTCCCACGACCTGCCGTTTCCTGCCCCCCATCACCCGTAGAAAAAGCAGAAATTCAAGGCCTTTCTATTGGGTCAACCGGCTGGGAACCTTGCAGGTTGGTGACCAACTTTTGTGGGGTGACCACCTGCAAATGTGCATTATTTGGAAGACACTGGCAGTATCGGTTCGAAACCTTCGGGTTCGCTACATACAACAAAAGATAGCAGCCATCCACTCTGTCCCTGTCCCGGCCCTACTGTATGGGCTTTCACGGGGAAATTCTAACTCGTACCAACTCAAAGTGCCGCTTTATTTCGTCCAAAATACCTAGGTATGATCGGAATAACACATGGCACATCTCGCTCGCTCGTTAGCATCATGCCGTCCCTTGCATGGCGGACATGCACGCTGCCGCATTCGCATTCACGTGGTATCTAGTCTCAGAAGGAGAGCAATGTCATCAGACTCTGTGTGGCGTGTGTGGCATTTTAACTAACTCCCAATGGTGGCACATTGCCTTGTTGTTCTTGCGCTTGTCCATTCAATTCGTAAGATACCTTGAAACGCATCTTGACCTGATTCCCCTTCCCCACAGGCACTCCGTTGAGCAAAATCTCCTGCTGGACAGAGTGATGTGTGTTGGGAGCCAATTCACGTCCGCTCTGTGGCTTCAGGTGGAGAGAGTAGCTCTTCTCCACGGCCACTTGAAAATGCAAACCCGTGATTCTTTGCGCGGGCGTCGTGTTGGAGAACCGCGCTGTTATCTGGATCACGTTGTTCTGTCCCGGTGTCCGTCGGGCTTCAAAGTCGATCGCGAGAGGTGAAGAAAGAACCTGTACAGTCTGCGGTTCGGGTAAGGACGACTCGAAAGTCCACTCGTCTTCAGCTGGTGCTGCAGAGCGGCCTTGGTTCATGCCCGTGACCGGCTGAGTTGTTGGTGGTTGTGATGGATTGACATGCCTTGAAGGGGTTGAAGGCCGTGAACTGGACGACACCAGCGCTGCGAAGGGGTCGGCCGCGGCCAGTACTTGACTCGAGGGCCGCGGTGGCTGCTGCTGCTGCCGCTGCTGCTGCTGCTGCTGCGCCATAGGTACCGGAGTTGCAGGTTTGGAAGAAGGGAGGGCGCTGATGAGGTTGGCAAAAGCATCGTAATTGGGTTTCGGTGATGTCTGCTGAGATGAAGTTTGGAGCATTGCTGTCGGCTGCTGGCTGGGGGCGGCGACATTGGAAGAGATGTTCGAAAAGATCGACCCTGAAGGTGCTGAGAAATTTGTGCTTGGTCCTAGGGAAATCGCCCCTAGTGTGCCGGCACCGGGGTCGTCCAACGACAGACCTAGCAAGTCATCTTCAACCGTCGTTGGTTTATTTGGCTGTGCACCAGACGAGGCAGGGCCGGCGTCAAGAAGGGAGCCATTTGTGTGTGTCGGCATTGTTGAGGCTGCTGCTGGAAGGTCCGGCTCGAAATCAATCAAGGACAATTCGTTGGCGGCGTTTTTGCCAACTCCGGTCGTGGTCCCCAGGGTCCCCTTTTCGATCCTGTTTGCTCCCTCGATGTCCCCAGCTTTCATCAGCTTGTACCTTTCGATCGTCCGATGGATGCTGTCGTTGATTTCGAGCAGCTTGGCGACTGCTTCCGCATCGTCCGACTCTTCCTCGCACATCTTCTGAATCTTGGGATGAGCGCTCTGGAGAGCACCGGCCAACTCCTAGTCTCTTCATCAGCTTTGTTCGGTACCAATGGCAGCGTTGGCCGATCCATACCTCGAAAACATCGCCATCGCCAAATTTGTCGCCCGGTCGATGGCTTTGAAGCATTTCCTCCAATATCTTGGCCTTTTGCTGGACCTTTGCTACCTCTTCCGCTGCCTTTGCCCGATAATCGGTCTTGTGCCTCGTGTCATACCCAGCCATGACCTTCATGAGTCTGTTGGCCTCTTGTAGATCTTGAGGTCGCCCTCGCCGAATCAGTTCTTGTAGCTTGGCCGATTGTGCCGCTCTGTCTTCCTCCTCCATCTCTTCTGCCGACTGGAGGTTCTGCGAACGTGTTAGCAGCAGACCGCTGTTTTTGACGGGTATTTCATACATCGCTAGGATTCAAGACGGCAGCATCCTCCCTCCGTACCTCCGGAAACATGTACCCCTTGTACAGCAGAAGCCTGTGCATATCCCGGATAAAACCCAAGTCCTCCTTGTACCTCGATGTTTGACATATCGTCGACCGCCATTCTTCAATAGCCTCCAAGATCTTGCTCTGAACCCGAGTGGGCCGTATCGGGGGTCGTTCAGGAAATCGTCTGACGAGCTCGTTGAGGAACTCCTTGGTGCTGATTTGGAGGTGGAAGGGATAACCGCAGTTCTTGACGCAGATATCAAGTAGCGACAGGGCCAGGAGGGACACATTCGGGTTTCGGTGGTTGACCAGCTGCACAATGGTGACCGCGGCCTCACGCGGGGCATTGCCCTTCTTGGAGTTTATCAGGTCGACGATCTCGAGGTTCAAGGCGAGGTTAGGTTCTAGGTTGGCGATAGGGTCACAGGCATTGTATATGAAGCGCTGGAGGGTCGAACGAGGCGGGGCGAAGCCGTCAAAGACAAACTGGTTTCGCGACGCCATCCTCGCCGACGTGGCTTCCATGATCCTGGACTGGCGTTAGGGCGCGTGTCTGTCGAGATCGATCGCAGTAGTGGTTAACGAAGGGGAATCTCTTCTTGTTCAAGACATGGCCGGAATCGGTCCTCACTCGCGCATTCAGCCTGCAGTCAATTGATGCCAGGCATTAACGAAGTTCTTGGCAGGAACGCTGAGAAAAGTAAGCGTTGCACTGCGGCGGATAGGAAGGCGAGGGGCACCGGGAGGGGCCCAAGGTACCACGGTGCTACGCCAGCCTTGCTTAGATATGGGCGCTATATAGATCAAATTCTCAGAACCTCGACACAGAGATTCCTATAAATGGTTCCCATGTTCAAGATCTATAAGCTTGAAAATGCTCTCAGTGTACTTGGTGAAAACGCCAGTATCAAATGCTGTATAACTCATGCCCATACCCGTGCCCATGCCCGTGCCCATGCCCGTGCCCCTGCTCCTCTTTTTCCACCATATGCTTGATGCAGCTCGCAAAGATGTGCTCTTCAACCCTGTCACCTTGGTCGACGAGGACTAGCTATTCCTGCACTCTTTAATGCTGGCGGTGCAGGTAGGTCCTTCATTGGAGGAGCCGGTAACGGACCAGTTGGTGGAGGTTGTCGCACGGAAAACGCTGGACTCACCAATGGATTTCTGCCGTTGATGGTATTCCCGCTACTACTTGTCCTCGGCGGAAACATGGGTCTTTGAGAAGGCTCGATAGCTGAAGCAGGCTCAGGAATATTGTCACGGTCGTTGTAGCCCATGCGATTAGCACGAGGACCAATTCCGTTCGGCGCGTCCCTAGTCTCCAACGACAAATGCTGTAAAGAGAGCGGAGGAGGCGGCGATCTCTCCACAATACCGGTTGGTGTTCCTTGAAAGCCAAACTGTGGAGGTGCTACCGGGATGTTGCCAGATGTCGGGCTAGCATATTGCTTGGCCGTCACCGGAGTGCCACGGGCATCGCCTGCAAATGAGGCTGTCGACGCCGACGAGGCTGGGTGGGAGCTATCCGAGCTTGTCCCATCGCTCTTGAGTGATTTTGGCGCAGGAGGGGCCAGATAGGATTTTCGATTGTGTCGTTCCATCATGGATACCGCCCATTCCTGCAAATCGACAGGTGTTCTCTTGGCAGCCTGCAAAAAGTTGTCTCTGTCATATAGCTCTCGAGGAGTTGGCCGCTCGTCGGGGTTCTTGAGCAGACATTTGGCCACAAAGTCTTCCAGGATAGACGGGAAGGCCTCACTCTTTGGAAGCTTGGGTGCCGGCTCGTGAACTATGGTCTGCAAAAGATCAAGAATCCCCATTGGTCCAGCGCTGGCTCTGTCGCCCGCGGCAGAGTCGCTTGAATCAAACGGAAATCTTCCAATTGCAAGTTCCATCACCGTCAACCCCACGCTCCAAACGTCGGATTTGATGGTGTATGCTCCTCCCTGAATTCGTTCCGGGGCCATGTACGTTGAAGTCCCGACAAACGTGTTGGCTACTGAGTTGACAGTTTCTGTAGCCACGCCAAAATCACATAGCTTGATCATTCCTCTAGAGTTGACCAGGACGTTCGATGGCTTGATATCTCGGTGCATGATTCGGTGGGCCTCGTAAAGGTATACTAGACCTCCAAGAATAGATTCTGTGATTTTTCCCAGTACATCAACACGTGTGGGTCCAAAGTCTTTTGATATACGGTCCAAGGATCTGCAGGCCGTTAGCTTTGCAACAGGACAGGTCTAGGCCGTAAGTGGCTCACCCGCAATCCATATATTCCATACAGAGCACAATATCACGGGCTTCATTTTGAAATGCTCCATAGTATGTGATGACGTACGGCGAGCTGCAGTCAGCGCCAACTTGCAGTTCTCGGACTATTTGTTTGCGGACGTTCTCTTTTGCATCGACTCGGATGACCTGTATTCTCCCTCAGCATCTGGTCTGCCTCCGCAACATAACTAGGACATACCTTTCTTGCCATAATCACCTTGGTCGAAGCATGCATGACTTTACTGACAGTGCCCCCATTGCCAGCACCCAGCTCTTTCAGCACAATCAGATCTTCACTTCTGAGGTCGAGTTTGAATTCCAAGCCAATCTCCAACGTGTCTGTTCGGTCACTTTCTGAATTTCCAAGCGCCCCGGGGATCTGTGAATCACCCTCGGAGGGTGCTGTTCGGGGAGCAGGTGCATTCAACGCCAATCCCTTGACATTCTTCCTTTTCAGCGTCCGAGCCTTGAACGCGTCAGACATGGTGTAGAATACTTTCTGGGACGACGTTGGGAATGGTCTGCCGACGAGGCTAACGAAGGAACAATGGAGGTCGAGAGAGGATATACGGTAGGCTTTGGCGGGACTGCGGGTGTGATGTGCAGACAGGATAGAGACGTGAGGCGGCTATTTCAGACCCCAAGAACGATGCCAGTCAAGGCCATCAGGCGCTTAGAGGATAAATAGCTCACTGCTTTGTCTGAGTCTTTGGTAGATCAGCCAACGCTGGACGATGCAAAGATGTCAAGATATCAAAATGCCACGGTTTGAACCTGCCGCGCAGACGAAGAAATTGTCAGTTGAGAGATGGTGAAACAGAAACCACGCCGAAGATAGGGGGTTCAAAAAGTGCTTCAGCACGGTTGTGAGAGGCACACGCGGTCGTTGACTGAAGAGACGATATCAGTCAATAGTGCATGGCATAGGCCAGTAGTTCGCCAATAGATGTCAATAGGAGGTCAAGCGCAAGCGCCTATTCTCACGCTTCAAGTCAGAAGTTCCCCATGTTCACAGCGAAGGCGAGGAAGGATACCTCACCAGGGCCTAGCCAATCGCCGACAATCAGCCCCCCACCCGTCGAGCGGCCAGGAACAGCTTGGCTCGTGGCGATCATTGTCCTAGATGGCAGCTATACCGAGCCCGCGGTTTAGCCGCAGCATTAACTTTGTCCTTTTGGGCTTTCGCAGGACATTCAGACATCTGTCGCTGTCGCAGTGACTGCGACCTTGCTGCCTGCGGATCGGACACTCCTCGCACCACCTCGGTCTCCTACAACAAATACGTGCACTGTGCCATCCTGTCAACATGGATCTCATCGATGATCGCGCAGTTCTTGATGACGAAGAGGAGGACGAATCCTTTGATGAAGAAACTGGTGAAGTGAGAACAAAGTCAAATGGCGCGAACGGCCGCTTTGACGATTCCTCAGAAGAAGACGAGGAGGATGAAGATGAGGAGGCTGCGGCGGAGGTGAAATCTGTCCTTCCAAGAGACTTCTGAGAATCCAATCCTAATGTTTATGCTAGGTGGCCAAAGGCTTCATTGTTGATGAGGATGAAGAAGATGAAGAAACCCGCCGAGAACGAAGACGAGAACGGAAGAAGCGCCGCCGCGAAGAGCGTGAAGACGAAGACCTCGATGAAGAAGATTTGGAGCTCATCGGGATGAAACCCAACGAGGAGAAGAGCGAATCAAAGTTCAAGAGACTCAAGCGGGGACCCCGCGAAGACCGTGAAGCGCAACAACATTATGGCGTGAATGATATCTTTGGCCATTCAGACGAGGAAGAGGAGGCAGCCGATTACAGTCGGCGAAGTCGCCAGGACCGACGAGGGCTGCAGGACGAGTTTGACGACTTCATCGAAGAGGACATCTTCTCGGATGAAGAGCAGCAACGGCAACGTGAAGACGAAGAAGTGGCCCGACACAATCGCCGGGGTATCGCGGAGCTGGGTATCGCAGATGCAGCTGGCCTTGACGAGCAGGCTCTGGAAGATTTCCGCGCAGCCTTCGGTGATGGAACAGACTACGACTTTGCTCTAGAAAAGGAAGAAGAGGCAGAAGACGAAGAGGCACAAAAAGACAAGAATCTTCATCTGAGAGACGTCTTCGAGCCTTCGCAGCTGGCTGAGAAACTTCTCACCGACGAGGATAACGAAATTCGATTCACCGACATACCCGAACGTCTCCAACTGGCCAGGAGACCGTACCGCGACCTTGAACTTACTGAAGACGAAGTCAAAGAGGAAGCAGTGTGGATAGCCAATCTGATCCTACCTTCCAAAGGGCACGATGAGCTTCACGAAGAGCCGTTCAGACGGGCTGTCGCAGATAATTTGGATTTGATGACTCGGCAGGATTTCGAGCCCCCATTTATCTACATGCACCGAAAGGATTATCTGCTGTATCCTCAGACCAAGGTGGTCGGTGTGAACGAAGATGGGACTCCAAAGGTCATCGACGACACTGTCAAGCTCCTAAATCAGAAAGACCTGTGGCGTATATTGGAACTCGATCTCAAATATCGAGCCCTGATCGAGAGGAAAAGAGCGCTTCAGAAGACATACGAAGATCTGAAATCGACCAATGTGTCTGAGGACCTGACCTTCGAACAACTCCTCCCCCGGGCTGCTTCGATGGAAGATCTTCAAGATTTGCAGGATTATCTCTATTTCGAGTACGCCTCACAGCTCAAAGATTTGGCCCTGACCTCGAATGGAGAGAGCAATGGTGTGAATATGTCCCAGAAGAAAGCATCGACGAGAAGTGTTTACGAGGAGATTCGTGCCTCGAAGGCGTTCGGTCTCGTTCGTGCCTTTGGCATAACTGCGGACGCATTTGCACGAAACGCCACCAGAGAAGGTGTCCGAACGTACACAGAAGATCCCTCTGACAGCCCTGAGAACCTTGCTGATACGATGGTCGACGAAGAATTCCCTACTGGCGCCAGAGTGCTCAAGGCAGCGAAGGCGATGTTTATCGAACAACTGACCACGAGCCCACGGTTCCGACGTCTCATCAGAGAGAGAATCTTTCCTCAGGGCGTGATTGACTGTCATCGTACCGAAAAGGGCCTTCGCAAGATCGATGAACAACATCCTTATTACGAGTTCAAATATCTCCGGAATCAGAAGTGCATCTATTTTAGTGAACGACCTGACCTGTTCCTCAAGATGCTTAAAGCCGAGGAAGAAGGCTTGATCGAGATTCGAGTTCGACTACCAGGATTGGATTCTTTTAAGAAGGATCTACACAAGCACATTGAAACGGACAATTACTCTACCGTGGCAGATGCATGGAATCAGGAGCGTCGTGAAGCCGTATCTATTACCGTCGACAAGATCATGAAACTGATGGCCCGATCGGTCAAAGAAAACCTCAAGGAACAGTGCGAGGCAACCATTGGGAATGAATGCCGCGACGAGTTCTATGTGAAGCTTGATCAGGCTCCCTGGAAACCCAGGGGCCTAGCCAAAGGTACTACTCCGCGGGTTTTGGCCATGACTAACGGCGGCGGAGCAATTGGTCGCGACCCCGTCTACTGGGCTTATGTCAGTGACGAGGGTAGAGTTCTCGAACACGGTCAGTATAGGGACCTTGGCCCTGGTAATCGAGAACGTGGCATCTCTGATGGCAAAGATGTGGAAGCGCTATTGGAAGTCATTCGAAGGAGGGAGCCCGAAGTTATCGCAGTCTCGGGATGGTGTCCTGATACTCGCAAACTTCTAGCAAACTTGACCACCTTGGTCAGCAACCATGACCTTCGTGGCGCGACATACACGGATGACGACGATCAAGATCGAAGCGACCTTTTGGACGTCATTCTGGTTAACGACGAAGTGGCGCGGATGTCAAAGTCGGGCGATCGCATGAAAGCCGACAACCCCGGTGTTCCTGAAATGGCCCTCTACTGTGTTGGACTAGCAAGATACATGCAATCACCCCTGAAGGAGTATGCCGCTCTGGGCCGGGACATTGTGTCCATCAACTTCAACGCAGCCCAGAACTTGTTGCCGCAAGACAAACTTCTGAAGAAACTCGAAACTGCTCTTGTGGACACGGTGACCATGACAGGCGTGAACATCAATGAGGCCGTGACTGATCCTGGGCTGGCAAATCTGCTTCCCTACGTGGCCGGTCTTGGACCTCGAAAGGCCTCGCACCTGGTCAAAGTTATCAACCTCAACAATGGCTTTGTCACGACTCGCGAGGATTTGCTGGGCCTCAACGACAAACATCAGGCCATGGGGCCTAAAGTGTGGGCCAATGCGGCATCTTTTCTGTACATCGACTTTGAGATGTCGGACCCGGACTCTGAGTATCTGGACAACACGCGCATACATCCCGAAGATTATGATATTGCTCGAAAGATGGCGGCTGATGCTCTTGAACTCGACGAAGAAGATATCGAGGCCGAGAGACAGGAGGGAGGGTCGGGAGCGATCGTGCGCCGATTGATTCGAGAAGAGGCACAGGAACGAGTTCATGACCTGGTTCTTGAAGAATATGCTGCACAGTTGGAACAGAACCTCAACTCCAAAAAGCGCAGCACACTAGAGAATATCACCGCTGAACTCAATGATCCCTACGAAGAACTGAGGAATCCGTTCCGGGTCAACCTAGGGGAGTCCGAGGTCTTCACGATGCTCACCGGCGAGACGAGGGAATCGTTGCAGAGAGGCATGAATGTTCCCATGACGCTGAAGAGAGTGACAGATGACCACATGGAGGGCAAACTCGAATGCGGGTTGGACGCTGTGGTTGAGGACCGGCAATGGGCAGAGCCTGCGTTGTCCCCGAAGCAGCTGTACAACATTCACCAGACTATTCAAGCTCACATCACGTCAATCAATCGCAAAGACTTTATAGTCACTGTGAGTTTGAGAGACGAGCAGTTGAAGAAACCATTCAGGAGGTACAATCACAACGATCGGAGCTACGACGAGTGGGATGAGCGCGAAGAGGTTGCAGATAAGAAGCTGCTAGAGGAGAAGACGGACCTGGGCAACCGAGTCACCCGAGTGATAAAGCATCCTCTTTTCCGGCCATTCAACGCGAAGCAAGCGGAAGAGTATCTGGGCAGCCAGAATCGTGGCGACGTTGTGATTCGGCCGTCATCCAAAGGGAACGATCATCTTGCGGTGACCTGGAAGGTTGCTGACGGTATATTCCAACACATCGACGTCCTGGAACTTGACAAAGAGAACGAGTTCTCCCTGGGAAGGACTTTGAGGATCGGTGGACGATACAACTATTCAGACTTGGATGAGCTGATTGTGCTGCATGTCAAGGCCATGGCTCGCAAAGTGGACGAGATGTGCAACAACGAGAAATTCCAGAACAAGTCCAAGGCTGCTTTAGGTGAGTTTGGTTTCCTTGTGAAGTCGATGCCAGACGTGACTAACGTTCGGACCAGAGGAATGGCTGACCACCTATACCAATGCAAACCCCAAACGATCCATGTACCAATTCTGCCTCAATCGTGAGCGTCCAGGCCAGTTCCATCTTGTCTTCAAGGCGGGCCAGAATGCGAAGCTGATGGACTGGAGCGTGAGGGTTATTCCACAAGGGTTCGAGTTGATGAAGCAACCATATCCCACAATGAGGGATCTGTGCAACGGCTTCAAGCTGATTTTCCAGAACATGCATGAGGCGGCAGCGATGGGCAGGCCCATGCGAAGATAGAAAGAAACATTTGGGTATTGGTCCGGCCGAACGTGGCCGTGCTAGCCGTACATTGGGTGGGAGTCTACGGCATCTCGGCGGATCCCTAGTATTGGGACAAGGAAGTGGTTCCTAGGAAGGGAAAATGTATTAGTATTACCGACATGATGCTCAAGGGCGAGCTAGATATTATGGCATGATCAGAGATATGCTCAATGCGATGAATCTGGTCCTATCCACCACAACGACGCCGGGAAAGCCCTGGCGCCGACCCGGCCCTTGTATGTGGATGTGCTGTCCTTGTTTCGATTCTAGCCAATGTCTATCTTGTTACATGGCCTTGCTGAGTTGTCCGCTTCCAAGTGGATCCCATTTCAGCCTCGAGGAGCTCTCGGTGGCTGGGATTGATGGCACCAATTGGGAGCATCTGCTCAAGGTCTGGCCTCGCATTAGCTCGTGCACCTTACTTCGACTGTGCCTTCGCCGTCGACTTATTCGTAGCTGGTCGGAAGTGGCCTACCGAGTGCAGCACAGCAGGAACCGCAAAGCTTTGCCCCCGTTGACGACTTTTGCCGACTTTCGTTCTTTAGAAGTCACCCGGAAACAAAGCTCTGTTGGCGTATACTGTGGCCATTCGGGAAGCAAGACTGGCGATTGGAACATGGGTTTTGGAAGCACCGAATAGGCAGAGTCAAGGCGGTGAGTGTCAAGTCTCTGCGAGAGTAAGTGCCATTGGTATATATACAAAGAGTGGCAGTAATGCTGATACTGCCGCAGCTGTCAAGCTGACTGACCGACGACTTCCCCATATCCCCATCACCCTGCCGACAAGAAGATGAGACTCAGAGAGACCATGCGGGTACCGCGCCTCCTCGACCTGATCACCTTGCTTCTTCTGCCAGCCATCTCTGCCGCGATTGCTATACCGGCCAATGTTTCTGCCAGCAGTCCATGCAAATGCGTATGTTTTCCAACAAGGCTGGCCTCCTTCCATCAGCGTCCACTTTCTCTGATCAGATAGATATATCTAGATTCCCGGCGACAAGTGCTGGCCGTCCGACACACTCTGGAACTTGTTCAATTCCACCGTCGGCGGGAACTTGATTCGGACCCAGCCCGTCGCCGCGTCTTGCTATCCCGGGCCTGATTCCAATCCAGGTCAGTGTGCTTCCGTTGACGCCAACTGGGCCAACGCTACTTTCCAAGCCGACAATGTCGTGGGCCTCTCATATCCAACCAACATCACCTGTCCCCCCGTCAATGTGACCGCCGGCGAGACTGCCAATGGGACCTGCACCCTGGGAGTCAGCCCGAGTTATGCCGTAAACTGTACGGAACCCCGACATGTCAGCTTGACGATCCTCTTCGCCCAACTCTTCAACATCCGCCTGGTGATCAAGAACACGGGCCACGACCAGCTCGGACGTTCTGAGGGGTCGCACGGCCTGGAAATCTGGCTCCGCCATCTGCGCAACGGCATCACTTTCCAGTCCACCTTCAACTCTTCCACCGGTTGTGCGGGGGTAAATTGGACCGGAAGCGCCTTCAAGATCGCAGGTGGGTATACCTGGGGCGATGTCGGGCTAGAAGCCCAACGCCACAACGTCGTCGTCGTCAACGGCGGCACTCCCTCCGTCGGCGCCATAGGCGGGTGGATGCAAGGTGGTGGCCACGGTCCCCCGTCGCGCGACTTTGGGCTCGGCGCAGACCAGGCGCTGGAGCTGGATGTCGTGCTTGCGGATGGGAGACTCGTGACGGCGAATGCGTGCCAGTATTCCGACCTATTCTTCGCCCTTCGCGGCGGCGGCGGCGGCACGTTCGGCGTCGTGGTGAGCAGCACCGTCAAAGCTTACCCGATGGTCAACGTCACCGCGCAGCATCTGGCCATCGTCCCCTTGATCCCAGAAGACACGTCTGGCCTTCTCGACGCCATTGCCGTCTTGTACTCTTCGTACCCGGATCTCAACGACGCAGGCTACGCCGGCTACGGCACGTGGAGTGTCAACAGTCCGACGCCTCTCTTCGAAGACGTGACGACCGGGTACATCCACAGCTTTCGCATCTTCAACTCCACCGTCCCGCAAGCACAATCCGCCTTCTCCACCACCCGAGCACGCCTCGCTCAATACAACCTCACCAGCACCTTCATCTCTGAAACCTACGCCAGCTATCCGGACTACTGGACCTACTACATGGCCGAATCCGGCGTCGAGCCACCCGTCGGAATGCCCGCGTACGGCGCCGGTTCGCGCCTCTTCGACCGCGCATCTGTAACCTCCAACGTGACCGCTTTGCGCGCCATGATCGCCACCATCGCGGGCACGCCTGACCAGTTCACAACCAACAACCTCGAACTGGTCAGCGGCGGCCAGGTATTCCGCGACGCAGCCGACCCGTTCTCCGGCGTGACGCCCGCCTGGCGCTTTTCGTACTTTTCCAACATCGTCGCGCGCATCTCGTCCTTCGACACGCCCCAGTCCATCCTGGACGACAAACAGCGCGACATCACCTACGTCAAAGTCCCCGCCATGAAAGCCCTGGCGCCCGATACGGGCGCGTACATGAACGAGGCGGACCGGTTCGATCCGGACTGGAAGGAAGATTTTTACGGGCCCGGCGCACGACATTACGAGACGTTGTTGGGGATCAAGAAAAAGTATGATCCCCGGGGATTGCTTTATTGTCCTACCTGTGTAGGCAGCGATGCGTTTGAGGAGGTCGGGCCGTGTGGTAGGTTGTGTCGAGTCCGAGCGGGAGGTGGATGGTATGCCGAAGAGCAAAACCCGCCTATTAAGTGAGAAGGTGAGAAGGTGAGGTGGGTTATCTTGCAAGGGATGCAATTGGGACATGTCAGTATAACGCGATCCATGAGCTTACGACCAGACGTGCCGTTGGAGTTGGGGCTGATACGCGGGTCTTGGGGGTCTATTGATCCCTTACCGCCGCAAACCATGGCTGTAATGCCACCTAATGAACATAATACAAAAATATATATACATACCTAGGGCCCTTGGAGAATGTCAGAAGCGGACCCGGTGTCGACATGAGATAGCGCCTCTGGTCCAGAACCATGTCCACATTCACGGTGACGACTGCTGCGCTGGATGTGCCTGTCTTCCCATCAGGTGTAGCAAATGCTCATAGCTCCGTTGGCAGAGGACGGTATCCAGGTGATCCGGACCACAGAGGCGCATGAAGCCGGCGAGAGCCTGGTCTAGGAGGTCGACTCCTTTCCTAGATCATACTGAACCACCCCACCGTGTCCGCCTTCTGGCATCCCAGTGACAACATCACCAAGCCGGATATCATGAACCGTGCTCGGTATACCTCCGCCGATACCAATGAGTAAAGGTAATTTGGCAGAGGGAAAACTTCGCTGCATATGTGTTGCAACAGCAGTAGCAGCGCCAATGCCTTGGAATCCTTCGGGCAAATAGCCGATCACAAGGTTCCGTCCACACATCTCGCCGAAGATGTAGCTGTTTGGATCTCCCTCTCTTTCAGGAAGCCGAGCATGCTCCTCGTCCAACATGTATCTCACAGCACTCATCTCGACCTCGAGCGGACAGATGATTGCTACAGTGTAGTCACTGTGCTTCAGCCGCCGTGTCGGTGGTGACCCGGCCATTGTCGCAGATCATTCCCTGCACGTTCCTGGAGAAGGATCCAAGCAGAGGGCTGCACCCTCCTTGCCCTGCTTTCTACTTCCGAGATGAGGTCGCTGGGTGCTAAAAAGTAGCAGTAGGGTCGCTTATTGAGGTGCGCAAGCAGTAGTTGGCACAGCGAGCGGCATGCAATCTTCATTCCTGCTGATAGTCAGCCTTGTGGTGTAGTCCAGGACATTTAGAGGGCAAGTTGCAAGCCATCCTTCGTAGGCTGGCGGGACTTGCAAGCTGGTTGGCATAGCACTGTGACAGTGGCAGGCCTTGGACCCCAAGAAATGCATCTTGGAGAGGACATTTGGGGCGCACATGCCAAAGTAGTAAGAGAGTCCAATAATTGTACTGAGCATTGAGCAACACTGGGCAGCATTATTATCGGTCAATAGGGTGTCCTTGTCGGAATCAAGAAGAGAATGGCATGGTTCAAGGCGCTTGAGAAGACGGTGGTGGATGGGAAACCCTTGGAGGTTCGCGCCGACGCGTTAACGATTGTACGCGTGCTGGACTGCCTACCTAGGTAGGTACGGGCAGGGAGTCAGGGACGCACTGCACGGCCTTGAACTCTTTCCTTCGGCACGTCACTTCACTTCTGTTTCCAATTTCTGTTTCGTCGACACCAATCCCATATCTCTTCGCACTCAATAGACGGCCCCAAGCTCGTTCCCATATCCGTCCGGGTTGAATCCGATGCCCTTGTTTGAATCTACGGGGAAAGGACTTGTACCGGTATGGATAATAGAATCCGCCAAAGCGAGCCAAGTGAGAATATTCTCAGCCACAAGGCTGCAATCCTCCTCAAGGACTACGATGGTCCCATGTCCATCGGAAGCGAGCAGCCAGGCCGTCAGTTCCGGAGACCCATGTTCTGACACATGCCTTGTTCGTGCCTGATGCACCGCTACTACCAGCACTGGGGGCTCCATCGACAATGACAGGAATTCATGCGGTCGCCGGCTCCGCCTACTCGCACACAAAGTGTCAGGCTTCCTGCACCAGGATGGCGAGCCTCGTTCGTCTTACCTCTTCGAAGACACCTGGCCTGGCAGAAACGACGGCACACTGTAAAGTTGCCGAGCGCCGTGTGCATCTGATGAAAGCAGCAAGCCGGTGCCTCTTCCGGAAACAAACCTCATTACCTTCTCCTCAACTTGCTTGTCAATCCCCGCTATATCGTCCCCAGAGTCGAGTGCCTTGTTGCTGTGCCTCGTACCCCACCGGTTTCCAGTGCTTGCTACCATTCTTGTCGGTGGTGGAGACCTTTGGACTACTGAGAATGACTCTTTTCGGAAAGTGAGATGAGCGTTTCCACATCGAGCGCTTACATACCCATTACGAGGTATAACCTGGACGTATCACCTTGAAAAACTCCTCCTTCTTGGGCTGACACCATCGCCTGCACGACTCCCACCGCCAGCGAAGGTTGAGCAATGGCCGCCAGCTTCTCGACTGTCGGAGTCGGGGTTTATTTTGGTCTTCAGCCAGCCCTACAATGAGCTCGAAGGGGTAATGCCAGGGGTCACACGCTTTCCTCGATGCTGGTATGCTTCTTACCCAAGTGGACTGCAATTGACAATACCTCGATTACCGCTATATGGTTTCCATAAAAGCCTCCTGTCGGTATTCATGTTAGGCCCGGATTACTCGAGCAGCTGTAAGACTGCTAGATTCCCTCGGTGAAGGACGGTCAGCCGTCTTCTGATCGGTTGGCTCTCACAATGGTCCACCTTAGCATATAAATCGACCGGAAGATGTGCCAACGAGCCTAATGGGATAATCAACAGCTTTTGACTTGGACGTGTACCATCTGTCAAAATGTACTGGCCTCTCGTCCTTCTATCTATCGCCCTAGCTGTCTATCTCACCTTGAGACCCACCACGAAGCACGACCTACCAGACGGTCCCGGAGCCCTCGCAGAGAAAGACAACCGGCGTAGACTTCACATCTCCCTTGCACCATGGGCGAAAACATACGGAGACTTATTCTCCTACAACATGGGCCGCTCCACCGCAATTGTACTCAGCAGCGTCCAAGCCATTGAGGAACTCTTGGTCAAGAGGGGCCACATTTACAGCTCGCGACCGACGAGTACGTCCCAGGCGGACATAATCACCGGGAAGGGAAGAATTGTGACAATGCCATACGGTGAAGAGTTCAGGGTACTGCGCACCTTCTTGGTCTCTATCGAAACTTGGGTCGACAAGAACTGATTCGTCCCAGAAACACCGTAAAATCATCCATACACTCCTCGGAATACAGAATGCAAAGACCTTCCTTCCTTACCAAGAATATGAATCTCGACAAACATTGAGACATTTGCTGGACAATCCTGACCTGTTCTACTCGGAAATGTCGCGGTACTCGGCCAGTGTGACCTTCTCGCTTCTGTAAGTTGGCTCTTCAAGATCCTTCAAGGCAATTTGTTTTTGCCATGAAGACTAGTCGACCATTTCTGGCATTGTTTTGACCTGTTGTCACAGAGTTGGCGCCCGCTTCGACCGCACTGATGCTTTCCTGCCCACGTAAGTCTGCCCCTGTCACCCCAATCTAATAAACGTCTTTCGTCATTTGCCGCAAATACCAATCTCGGACACCCTCAAAGTCCAGCCAGGGCTGAGCAATATTGCAGGACGATCAGTACAATGATGCAGAAGTTCTTCAACAGTACGTTTGGATGATTGGGATCTCAGCGGCCAATACAGATTCTGACAACTTCAGACATCGCCCCGGGGTCCTGGCTCGTCGACCGCTACCCTTTCCTGAACTACCTTCCTGGACCCCTTGCTCCCTGGAGGTCCCAAGCATACTCCATTCATCTGGAACTGCGCAGTTTCTGGGGCGTGTTCCTCCATTCTATCGAAGACCGAGTAAAAGAGGGTACCGCACCGGATTGCTTTCTGAGCAGATTTGTCCAGAACCCTGAGACAGAGCATTTCAGCGAGATGGAACGGATCAGCGTGACAGCGGAGTTGCTTTCAGCGGGCACGTAAGTCTAATCTGGAAGCTCAAGTCAGGCGGATGTTTTCCTGGGATTTGTCTTGTCTGCCCCAAGGTTTGGAGGCTAATCGGCACCATCCAGGGAGACGACGGCGACGTCGCTACAGTGGTTCTTCAAGGCCTGCGTCAAACACCCGGAATGGATCCGTGAAGCCCAAAAAGAGCTGGATACTGTGGTTGGGCGAGAGAGACTGCCGAATTTCTCTGACAGGGGAAGTCTGCCATATATCACAGCTGTGATTTCAGAACTTCATCGATGGGCATCCGCAGCACCATTGGCGTTCTATCACGCAACGTCTCAGACCGATACGTACCGTGGCTCAACGATTCCCAAATCCACAATGGTGATTGCGAATACGTACGCTGTGCATCACTCAGAGCAGTATTTTCCGAATCCCTCAGCCTTTCTGCCCGGCCGGTGGCTACCGCCCGACGATCCGCGACATGTCGTCAACGGTGCACAGACGCCCAATCACCTCGGATTTGGCGTAGGGAGGAGAGAATGCCCCGGCAAGCACGTGGCGGAGGCGAGTCTGTTCATTTCTATCAGCCGGATTTTGTGGGCGTTTGACATCGACCGCGGTGACAACCCAGAGCCAAGTGATGAGACAGGTAAGTCTTGCTAAAATGTTCGGGGTTTTGCCCCCTTCATCTCTCTGCCTAGTCAAGTCATGAAAAGAACAGAAATTCCGAGCTAATCCAATCCCATCGTCGTTCACAGTGGGAGCATTTCCCGTCTTCGGCCCGGCGTCCTTCAAGTGCAGAATAACCCCTCGGCCGGAAGATGCCGCGAACAAGATTCGCCTCTTTGCCGACCACATTGATCCGGGCCTGCGCGTCGAGGATGGGAGTATCTACGACGCAAGCGTGAAGGCGGTGTTGGCAAAAGCTAGAGCCTAAATCTTGATTCTTGCAAAGGGGGGAGATGCATGTTTTAAGTCGAAAGGGGGTGGGAAGGGCGGCCGGTGGTGTCGAGACCATGTGTGCCACAAGGGACAGGATGGATGTCAGTTGATGTGATCGGATAGCTGACACAAAGAGGCTGGTGACACTACGGTGTCTGTCTGTCTACATCAAGCCCCTTGATTTGCTATGGCGTTGGTTACTGCTGGTGCTTGCATAGGAAGATAAGGTATCACGGTTTGGGTGCACACAGAACCTTGCTATTTTTTTCCACCAGCCGGATCAAAAAAATAGCGCTATTTAGAGACGAATCTGGAGGCGAATCTCCCCCGTCTCAGAGATAAAACATGTATCACTTTCAAAGACACGAATACTGGTAAGAAGGGGCCTAGGGAGGGAGAGCAGGGCAGGGCAGGGCAGGGGACGGCCAGATGGCAGATCACGTGTCTCGAGATTGATAAGGCTGCACATCCCCTTTTCCCTTTTTTCGCTCACAAGAACTCATTCCCAGGAAGGAAGTGTATATGTACCTAGGTAGGCTTGGGAGACATTTGGTGGATGGATCTATGGCCATCCTCAGTCAGTCAGTCAGGTTTTCTTCACTCTCCCCTCCACAATCCCCGCGCCCCCTCCCGGCGCTCTATGCACCCGGACGACCTCGAGTCCCACACTCTCAAACAGCCTGTGAAAGTCCTTCTCGGTCCGCTCCTTGCCGCCCATGACCATGCAGGCGACGTCCAGCGCCGCCGTGTGTGCTTGCGCGCCGGTCATGATTTCGGGGAGGAGCATGTCGGCGATGAGCACGCGGGAGTCGCCCGCGGCGGTAGTCATGGCGGGGATGATTTGGCGCAGGGCCAGGGCGCACATCTCGTCCGAGTAGTCGTGGAAGACGCGGCGGAAGAGGTATGCTTTCGCCCCTGTTCCCCAAGGAGTTCAGTCAGTTATGCCCTGCGGGCAAGGATTGGGAGAGAACAAGGCAAGAATCAAGATGCATATTTAAACCCCCTTTCTTTGGTTTTGGGCTGCGAGAGGGTGGGCAAGGAACTCACCTTTGACGGGCTGTTCGGTCCAGAAGTCATGTTCCATCAATTTCACGCCTTCGGGGACAATCTTCTCCTTCTCAGCCATGGCGATAACGTCCTTTTGATCCTGCAAAACCACCGTCCGGGGATCCAACTCCTTGTACTCATCCAGGATCTTCTTCAAGGTATTTCCCACCCCGCCACCGATGTCCACCAGGGCCACTCTGTCCGGGTTATTCTGCAATTCCTCCTCTGTCAGCTTCAAGGCATTGAAATTGTAATACCCCAAGACAGGAACCAGGTTGTCGCCCATTTTCAGCCCCAGCTGGAACGTCTTGAGTTTCTCCGGGTCCTTGGACATGATTTGCCATGTTGTCAGCCCGGAGTCGCTGGCGTTGTGGTAGTCCGAGTACGGATTGACTAGTAGAGATGTCGGCTCGACGGCCCCGCGTTTGGCCAGGTATTTGGGCAGGTCCGTCATGGGCTGGAGGAAGTGGTCGAACATCAAGGTGAAGAACATGCCCGGGAAGGAAGTGTAGGCTTGGGAGAATTTGGTGGATCCATAGCTACCGTCTTCGGGGGATTGGGTGATGAATCCTGAAGCAACCAGCGGACGCAGTAGTCTTTCTGGGTCGCTCTATTGTGTCAGTTTCATTGTCCTTCTCCGGTCAAAGCGGCCACCACTCGGTGGTTTAGATTCACCAGGCATGAAAAATCAAGCGGAACAGGAGCGCATACCAAGCAGCGTATCCTGAACGCCAGACTTCTCACTCAGCTCCTTTGCGCTGATAGTCTTTCCCTCTTCGGCCGGCATCTTCTCAAACACCTTCAGGTCTAACAGCGTGCGAACAGACACCAGCTCAGCCATTGCCAAGGAGTGGGCCTGGACCATCATCCCCGGGTCCATCAAAGAATACATAATCTTCTTGGAGAGACTGACAAGAGCCGCTTTCGGTGCGAGAGATGCTGCATCATCATGGCCTGTGGTAGGCACGTAGTTGCTAGCCAGTTGTGAGAGCTCATTGACGAGTGAATGCAAATCTTCAGCCATTTTTTTTGGCGGATACCCGTTGTCCCGATGGCTGTGTGAAGAGATGGATTGTGATCCGCTGTATGTCAGAGGACGGGGAACAAGGCCCAAGAAGAAGAATGTCTTGACGATTCCTTGCCCTAACGCATTCACCAAGTGACGGATTCTATCTCAAGCACGCTATTCACTTGTGAGCAAGGACTTACCTTTCGTCCACGATTCGGCGGAGTGGTATCTGGGGTTATCAAATACCTCAGTCGGTACGTACTAGGAACTCAACGGATCCCACCCAAGTGCATAGCCCCCCTCTGCCGAATTGACGTGGTTGTGGATAGACAAGACATTTGCTGGCGGCAAGTCGCAGTTGCACCAGGTACATTGGTACATTTCACAATCCGCTTCATGCAAGTCGAGGGCAGGTTGCCAGCGCATCGCCGAGGGAGACGAGTGGGAAGGAATCGATTGCAGATCTCTACGCATGGGACGCTGCTTACAGGCTGGCTGGCCAGTGGCATGGTGTCGGCTGGAGAGATGGGATCCGTTAGAGTCTCAACTAAAGCCTTGCATGCAGGTATTGAATGGTTGCGTCTGGGTGCCTGCAGAGGCCTAATGGATCCGCGGCGACTACGGGATCTGCCAATCCGGGAGGGGTTCGCACGTACATGCGTCGGTCAAGATTGCAGGATTGACACTGATTGATGAAGGAAGAGAAGTCCTAAGGATGGACAAAGTATGAGAACATATGTTAATTGCTGGGTGTACGTCCTAATTACAAGCATGACTGGCCAAGGGAGTGACGGCACGAGAGATACCAAAGCGCTAACCCGTTCATCATCCTTCTGACCGACCCTCCAACGCCTCCCTCCTCCAACAACCTGTGTAGGTAGAGTGACGCTGCTGTCTTGAGTTGAGATACCTAGTCCTTCCTGCTTGAGCCCCCTGAAACAGTACCTCCTGGGGTGTTCTGATTCCATATCCAATTTCCGTAACTCCGTCTGCCTCTGGCATAGACCTTAGCCAAAATCCAAATGAATGTGTCTCCAGCACCACGCAGACCAACCCAGAACCAAGTAGCCTTCAACGTTGAGATTGACGGTCCTTGCCTAAGGACGCCGTCCAGACTGACATTGCTGCCGTGTGTATCATGATTTACTTCATACATCGTAGCTTCGAGTGACCGTCTCCGGGACTGCTCACGGCATCATTGCCTCCGCCTCCTCATCCGTGACAAAGATCTCGGCCACAGGACAGTGGTCCTCGTCTCCAAAGTCACCGTCGTATAGTTTCTTCCGACCCCGCTCTCCATATCGTCCCAGCATATAGCTTGGCAAGAACAGTTCATCATTCCAGGTAAACCCTTGGCTATATTTTGTGTATGTGATTAGTCGAGGAGGCTCGTCGGGATCATCGTGATGGGCATTCAGGTTGATGGACTTGTACGAGCTGGACGAGAGCATCGAAGGGCCAAGGGGAGAGGAGGAGGCATTGAAGAGCATTGGCATGCTACTGGGCGGTGGCAGACCGGCCTTGTGCTTGTCTTTCCGCTGGGATGTGCCGGGCTCGTCTTTGGAATGCATCGGTCCTGAAAGTCGGACCCCCTCAGCCGGTGATGGAGCAACGTTGCGGAGCAGATGTTGAGATCGACTGGGAATAGGGCTGTAGGACCAGGGCGAGTCCTGATCGGAGCCCGAACCTAGCGAAGATGGACCAGCATCTGAAGCTTCGGCTCGTTCGGCGTTTTGGAGGTAGCGTTCACTTCGTCGACGTCGGTTCGGCGGAGAGTAGTCTGCATGGTTACCGGTATGCAAAGGGATCTTGATGGCACGGGAGCCGGGGACGGGAGGAGCAGAGGAATCTGGCATTTTAAGACCTCCACCACCGCCGGTGGGAATCCAGAAACCCTAGTCAAGGGAAGTGAAGAGGATTATAGAAAACGCCTTTCACCAAGCTCCGAGTACAGTAAAGGAAATCCAAAGCCTGGAGTGATTAATTGTATGTGGTTACATGAGAGTGGGCGTGGACTGATGAAGAAGAAGGAAGTGCAGTTCAATGTGTTGAAGAGTGGTTTGGATGGAGGGTTTGGCGGCATTAGAATGCGCATGATTCACTGCAGGTCACGTTGACAGATTGAGTCACCGCCCGAGTCACAGGAGGTGCAGGCCGAGTCAATGATCCATGAGCCTATCAAGTGCCTATCCTTTCGCCTGATCCTGAAGCTGCGATAATTATGCGGGCCTCTGGCTTGTGCCGCCTACGCCTGCGCCTGCGGGACCCGGGTACCCTCGTACGGAGGACTAGCACCCAACTAGTACCTCGCTGCAACAACCCCGCACTAGTTTCGCGATAGCGATAAGACTTAGACACACTCCACCGCAGCCACACTTTGGTTGGCTACAGCGGGAGACCGAGGCGCGTCTGTGGCCGCATCATATTAGGCTCCGGGCCCATCGTGTTACAGACCAAACTGCCAAGTGCATTATCACCAACACATCTTCTCCCCTTCCCCTAGGCATAATACCATGGCTCATCAAAGACGTGGTATCTGTGTCCACGGACACCCTCGCCACGGAACAACGCTGGGAATCTTCGTCCAGGCGGGACTTGCTCTTCAGGAATCCTCTCGTCCGTGTAGGACACCGGCTCTCCAACCACAAATTTCCCAACCTGAGTTCTCATTAGTGATGTTCAGTAAACCAGCGTCTCAATGGGCGGCTTACCTGGATCTCTGTGTCTGTGATGGTCCCCCGGCTGACCCGAGCATACCCCACGCGCTTGATGTCCTTGTACAAGATGTACTCGCACCACCGGTCCCAATCACGAACATCAATGTCGTGCATTCCACTCAGTTCACTCACGTACGTGTTGTAGTTGCCTTCTCCCGGCTTGACCACCAGATAACTCAGCAAGATCGCTGGTCGAGGCGTCGCACCCATCCTCTTCGACAAAAACTCCGTCTGAAGTCGTCGGTCTTCGGGATCCTCCTCCTGTCCCGAATGGAAGACAAATACATCGACCTGAGTTCCATAGACATCCAGTGTAGCTTCAATGGCTGGCGCAAGTTCGCCAACTGGCGACGGTAGTAAGTGGTGGGTCGAGTTGAGAATGGGGAATTTGGATAGGAGTGCCGAACCCCAGGTATGCTTGTTTGGCCCCGGACCGTAATCCACGTACATGCCCAAATCTTCGGCAAGATACTGCGTGGTGTCGCGGTTGCCCATGATGATCCGTTGCAGATCAGACTCCAGCAATCCGACCACGTCTAGCTCCAGTTCCTTAATGGCATCTCGCATCCTCCGCTCAGACGACCAGTCGTCGTTGTCCAGCGAAAAGTGGATGGTCCAGATCCCCGCAGTTATAAGCTTCTCCTCTGGATGGTATGGTACATAGTCATAGCTTGGGAAGCGCAGGTACGCAATCGAAGCTGTCAACAGCTGCAAAACAAGCAGAATATGAAGATAATAGCTGGATTGCTTGCGTCCACGAGGACTCGACTTGCTCTTCGCTTGGTACGCCGGGTTGGTGGTCAATGCTGAAAAGACACCGGCACCGATCAGAAGCATCGTGGTGATCATCACCCAATCTGTGTGCTCTCGGACTAGGGGGCCGCCAGGGACAAATGCATATGCCACAACCCAGACATGGAAGAGAACCATGATGTTGTACATGAAGTAGCCGAAGCCAAAGGTAGACGCTGGACTGTGTTGGGCAGCAGATGAGATAAGCACTGGAGCAACTCCCATCGTGTAAAAGGCAAGAATCAGACCGCCATAATAGCCAGTCCAGTTGCTGTAGCCGGTGAGTAAAGCAGCGCCGACAGCTCCCAAACCGTAGGCTGTCCACGATCCAAAAAAACCAGGGAGGGCAGATCCCAGGAACAATCCAAGGCTCATCACGACAATTGTGACCGCACCGTGGGGTACTGCCAAAGGACCCCGTACCGGAAAGCCCTCCCAAACCCACAGAATCATGGTGCTGGAGTCTGAGAGCAGAGAATGCATGGTAAAAAAGAGCCCTCCTAGACCAAGCCCAGCCAACAGACTTGACCCTTTCTTCGCATTCGGAGGAACATAGTCTCCCCCACTGAAGGCGTCTGGTCGGGAAGAGCGCCACACGGCAGCCAGGGCTATCACCAGACCAGTCTTGTTCCAGCCACCAATTCCGGAATGCAGTATTGGCCAGATAGGATTGTTGGTGTGATTAGCAAACTTGGCAATGCTCGATAGCACGAATCCAATACACCACGCCAAGATTCTCCTCTGGAGGCGCGCCGAGTTCCTTCGCTCAGCGTACCACTCTGCTGACCAGGCTGTGCAACCCAGCATGACAGCAAAACTGACGGTGAACAAGCGGTACGCCGGGTCCTTCACCAACCAAGCCACAAGTCCCACGAGGGAAGACATATGAAGCCAACGAACATGCTTGATCGCGAGAGATCGAACAAATGGGATGGCGAGTAACAGGGGAGAAGCAGGAGACATGACCATGACCTCGTAACCAGATATTCCCATGTGCCAGAGCGGGAAATACCATATCAGGACGCCGAGAGATGTCAGGATGGACCAGAAGAAGAATCCATGGAGGACGTCGGCAGCCGCATCCAGCATTGCGGGCCAATAGTACGGCCCATCAAAGGTGGAAGTCTGGATTAGAGGGCTCTCGCGTCTGGAGTCCATTAGCAAAGTCCACAGAATACTAAAGTTGGCCTCACTCCTTCTCTTTCAGAGCATCCTTCAGCAGTTTTGCGTCACTGGAGAAAAGTTAGTGAGTCACCAAGCCAAACTTCGACTTGTTCGTACATTTGAGTATTTTGGGAGCAACTGCACGTACCCTCTGGTGGAGCCTTTGACATCTTTTATCACGAATTCGAAGGTTTCATAGTCAAGCGCAGTGACCGCGTCAAAAGCCACATCGAACAAGATCAGAGACCATTCAAAGAAGGCGTAGATAGTGTACGCTTGAGACATCAGCCGGCGCTCCAGACTATGGATGAAAGACTCACCGCCCGCGACTTTATGGATTTTATGCTGGATGAAGAAATAGATCAAAGGTACAAGAGTGCCAAAGAACAAGCCAGCCAAAATTTTGCGATACTTGACAGCTTTCGGATTTGGCGGACTCAAAGCGAGGCATCCCAACGTCCAAGGGAGCGTGAAAACAAGGTAGGAAATCATGAAAATATCATGCCAGTCGTGGTCGTCCGTAGATGTCACGTATGTCCATCCTCCACATGTCAATGTTCTTAGTAAACCGGTGGAAGCGACGATCGCTGGAAGATTCGAGTTGGGTCTCCTCGTGAGGAAGTACCATAAGGCGACGAGGACAAATCGAGGTCCGGAAGTAATGGCAATGAAGACCATGAAGACCGATCGCTCAGGGTATCGATCGCCAATGGTGGCCGAGACGGAAGGAAACCATTCATCGGGATATCCATAGTGTTCATTCTGCACAATTTTGTGGAAATGGAGGGAAACACCAACAATCAATGCTCCGATGAAGGCTGTGTATGCGACGACCGTATGAGTCCATGACACCCATTTGCCATTGAACTACGAATCGTTAGTAACCTCGAAAGACAGGAGAAGCAGTTTTCCGTGCTTACAGAGAACACCACGTCCCCGTCCTTCCTGGGCGCCATTTGGTGTAACAGTGGGGATTAAAAGACGACCAGCTGCATCTGGGAGAACAAGAAGAAAGGAGTGAAAGAGTGACAAGAAGGCGTATGAAAAGGTCAAAAGGTCAACAGGTCAACAGGTCAAGAGTTTGAATAATGGTACAAGCTGCGCATGGGGACACATGGAAGTTCAGTAACTTCGCAGTTCGCAGCCCCTGATTATCCGCAGCCTAAGCAACTCGGCAACTACTAAGCGGGAAAACTGCGGGTCAATTTATGCTTCGCTCAAAAAAAAGTTCCGCCGCAGTCTCCCTTCCTCCATCATCAAGCGCCTTCAAAGCAGACTTACTTGCAAGTCCAGCATTATGGCTGCTGCAAGTGACAAGGCACGATTTTTCCTCGAACAGTCAGTACCAGAGCTGAAGGAATACGAACGCAAAGGCATCTTCAGCGCCGAGGAGATTACCAGCATTGCCCGCAAACGATCCGACTTTGAGCACAAGATTAACGCCCGGGGATCAACGCCCGCCGACTTCGCTCGCTATGCTGAGTTCGAGATGAATGTTGACGCCCTCAGGCGCAAGAGAGTCAAGAGATTGGGGATCAAGTCCACAGCGCACAATGGCAGGCGTCGCATCTTCTTCGTCTTTGATCGCGGCACTCGCAAGCATCCCGGCGACATCGGTCTTTGGATGGAGGCAATAGATTTTGCGAGGAAGCAGAAAGCATACAAAAAGTTGCAGGAAATGTTGACACAGGTACTCCGGTTACATCCTACAAAGTCCGACTTATGGATCCATGCCGCCCAGTATGCGATGGAAGAGAATGGTGACGTTACTGAAGCAAGGAGTTACATGCAACGTGGTCTTCGATTTTGTAAAGGTTCAAGAGCCATGTGGCTGGAATATGCGAGACTGGAAATGTCTTACATCGCAAAGATCCACCTCCGTCGAGAAGTCCTAGGGATCAACCCCGGCAATACCGATCAACCAGGACCATTAGACCAAGGCGACGCAGATGAGAATTCTCTCCGCTTCCCGAGACTCACGGCTATGGACATATCTCCCAACAGCGAGCACGACGATGTTGATACCGCTGCGCTCCAGAAGCTGGAATCCACCCCCGCAATGAATGGCGCCATTCCGGTAGCAATCTTCGACGCTGCGATGGCCCAATTCCATGACACGAAGTTTGGGTGGGACTTTTTCAATATGCTTCTCGAATACGATGAGATTCCAGCTTGCGGCAAAGTTGCAGACCACGTGGCGACATTCCTGCTAAAGGAACACCCTCAGAGTTGGAGCAGCCAGGCATGCCATATACAACTACCGCTTGTCTCGATATCCCCCACTTCTCCCAATTTCCCGTCAGCTCTCAGAAATATGCTGGCGCGACTGAAGGAAGCTCGCAGAAAGTCCAACAGCCAGGAATTGGTCGGCTGGGCCAAAGAATCGCTTGGGAAGATCCTTCAAACCTCGGATCTGGATCCAGCAATTAGGACAGTGGTGGATTCTGTTATCAAGTCCTTGGGCGTGCCTGAATCGGCTTAATCAATCCATATCTCCTTTTGACCTTGACTGTTTTTTGCTCGATTGCAGTTTCTTCCTCTTCAATCTGGCCTCATCTTCTGACTTTTGGAGCCTTTTCACCTTTTCCTTCTGTTCGTCCGTTGTCTCCCCCGGGACGGTGTGCTTGTACACATCCAATATCAGTTCGTTGAGCTTCCGGAAGCAGGCGTCTTTATTTGCTTGTGCCTTTCGACTCTCATCTGCTTGGATAATTAAGGTCGACGACTTCTCAGCATAATACCGAGAGGACAAGACGCCTTGATGCAGAACGACAGGGATTAGAGGGAGAAGACTGTCGATGGGGATGCGCAGCTGGGCTTTTGAGTTGACTCTGCAGGAGCCAGGTCAGAACCACTCGTCGACCAAATGCTAGAGAGGACAATACTTGTTGACATTCTGGCCGCCAGGACCGCTGGACCGGGCGTAAGTCACTTCTCCGACATTGCGCAGGGACTGTAACGTGGTGAGTTTACTGTACCACTCCCTCGCCGCGGCGTATTCGGGTTCCAAGCTCCCAGTCTTGGCGGAGTACAATCTCCAGAGAGGCAGCGCTTTAAAGACAGTCGTTGTTCGCCAGGCACGACACATATTCTGGCCGAGAAGCAAATAGCAGTCAAAGCCCTGGAAGTCATTGTGAGCCTCATATCTCCAACATCTCCCGTGGCAGGTTAGCCGATAGAACTAACTGTATTCGGGATGGTTGGCCAAGCGAAGCGAAAATACTAACCAGTGGTACTAGTAGCACCCAGTAGTAGGGCAACTGCGTCTCTTGTCTCTTCTGCCGGCTTGCGATTCTTGCTTCCTGCGCGCTGTTGTTCCAAGGCGTTCATGAACAACGTCGTCGCATCCTTTTCCACAGACCTTTGATCGCCAAATCAACTACCATCATCAAGCTCAGTCTTCATTTCCTGTTTCTTCTTGTCTCCATCTGATGCGCTGATGCCGCCGGACTGCTCTTGACTTGTCCAACTTTTCTTCAGCCTTTCCCCCGCGTCAACAGCCTGATCAGGCAGCTTTCTCCTTCACCTTGCCCTGAACATGACTTGCACCGCCTTCGCCGCCTCAAGATGACTGATGCAGACCCTCCACCAGAGGCCCAACGCTTTGGTAGATCTCAGACACCCGAATCTCCTCGTCCGGTCCATATTCCTGAACCTTCAACGATCCCGGTCCTGCTGAACCAGATGGACCCAGTCTTCAATGACACCGAGACATATAACATCCCTCATAACCAAACTTTCTCTCCTTACTCAGACTCTGCCCGCGCTATGAATGAGAATGATCCAAACGATCCAAACTCGGAAGAGCAAGACGTGGTTCAAAATTTCCTGAGAGGCGCCGAGGAGGAAAATGCTCGTCTCGACAATTCTGCCCAGTTCTCCTCCACAAACGGCCAGATGCTCCAGAATGATGCCGCCATCGAATCCAATCTTGTCTCAGCCCTTGCAAACGCTTCGGCGTATCCACAGTCATCTGAAGCCCATGCCAATCCGCCTCCAGGTGCTGCCAGCCAGGTCCAAGATCCTGCCCAAACGAGCAATGATACTTCGTCAGCCGCTGATTCCACTGTCAATCCTGATACCAGCAACAATGCGCAAGCCGAAGGAGAGAGCACGTCCGAGGCAGAGCCTGCCGTGATTCCCAGCTTTCAAACAAATGAAGGTGGAGTAGACTATCAGTCGCTTCTGGATACCATTTCTAAATCTGCTTCTACTGCTCCTGCTGCAGACCCTGTTTCTGCCCCAACTACTGCCACCTCGCTTGCCAACCATGGAGCCCAGTCATTATTTCCCATTCCAGGTTTACCCCCCAAGCCACCAAGTCAAGCTCAATCTTCAGATTCTCCCGCTATTCACACGTTTCATAACTCCACCAACGATCAACTGGAGCAATATCAGCAAGTGAGTCCGGACCACGCCAATGCCAATGGCACCGACCAATCTGCTCTCCCGCCCGCGCAGTTCCAGCCTCCACCCGCTTCTATGCAAGCCCCGGGCACGTGGGGGTATTCTGGCATTCAAGCGTCACCCACAAGCACCGAACCTACCTCTCCCGCCCAATCTCTCCAGGCGCCGGAACAAGGAAAGGCATTTGATGCGAATGAACGCCCATGGACCCCCAGCACACAAGCGCTTTATGACTCTTTCCTTGAGGATGAGCGGAGGTATGTGACGGAGGGGATTTGGGACAAATTTCCTCAAGGCTCACGTCTTTTCGTCGGTAATCTGCCTAGTGAAAAGGTCACCAAGCGTGACATCTTTCAAATTTTCCACAAGCACGGGAGGCTTGCCCAGATCTCCATCAAACAGGCATACGGGTTCGTCCAGTATCTTGAGGCGTCATCGTGTCAGGCAGCACTCCAAGCGGAACAAGGCGTGGAAATCAGGGGAAGGAAAATTCACCTCGAGATATCGAAGCCTCAGAAGAATACACGGGGTCAACAAGGCCAGCAAGGAAACAAAAGACGTCGATCTCGATCACCAGATCGCGGCGCCTCGCGTCAGAACGACCGGTCTGGACGTCCTAACTATAGTGATTTTCGAGATGAACGAGGTAGGCGTGATGAGTATCGACGAAGTCCTTCACCTAGAGGCTATCGGTCCAGAGATGACTACCGGCAACCTGTTCAAAGTCCTCGTTATGGCACCGGTGGGAGGCCAATTTCGCCTTTTGCTAGCAACTTCTCAAACCCACCCTCGGCAGGTTATGATGAGGAGGCCACCCTTCCCTTGCCTCGAAGAGACCCGCGAGATGTACCGGATGTACAACTGCTCATCCTGGAACCTTCGGTGGCCCCTAGCTTCATGAACTGGATCGAACAGGGCTTCCGGAACAAAGGTCTACGTGCTTCCACAATATGGCTCAGTCCTCGACTACCACTGAACGCTGTGGTGAAACGGCAAATCATTGAAGGCGTGCAGGCTGTTGTGAAACTGACACAAGCCAATCAGTACAACAGCAAGATACCCTTGCAAGTTTTTGATCGGAGTCAAGGGACGTCGAACGTCAACTTTAACGAATACGTTGATCTTGATGTCCCCGTCGCTGCAGATATTGCGCTCCATGCTCGACAGAAGGAAAGGGGAGGCGTGCAGCAGCAAAGTCCCCAATCGTATCAGCCACAAGGGTATTCCCAGTACGGGTATGCTCCTCCGCCGGCACAGTACCCGCCAGCACCTTTCCCTCAACACCACCAGCAACCGCAACCGCAACCGCAACCGCAACAGCACAACCAGTACCAATACGGTCAGAACGCCCATTATCATAATCCGGCACAGACGCCGGTGACTCCGAACTCTGCTACAGCGGCCCCCAATCTGCAGCAACTGTTAGCCAATCTCCGGCAGCCTGGTGATGGGCAGCCAGAGAGTGCTACGCAAAATGGCAAGCCGACGCCCGACCTGGCAGGTCTTCTAAGTAACGTTGCCCGTCAACAGCAGGGCCATGGCGGAGCACCATTCCCCTCGCCGCATGGCCCTCCGCATCAGCAGCAGCAACCACAGCAGCAAGGCTATGTACCTGGCGCACCGGCTTATGCAGCTGGGCAGCAATCCCAACAGAACGTACAGAATATTATGGAGACCTTGGCAAGGTACAATAGATGAGAGATCAAGGTCTTGTTCCGACGGCCCAAGTTTCAAGTTGTTGGGGCAATATTAGACAAGAGGTTCACTTCGCCAGTTGGGATTGTATTAGTTTGTTCGTCAACAAGGGCGGCCAAGTCAAAGCGGTGGAGGATTTCTAGAGCCAATGCAGCGGAGGAGTTGGAGGGACCAATCGATACGTGTGCACCATTACCAGAAGACGTCTACATAGGTGTCGGCATTTTACATAATGCTGGCACGTAGAAAAGAGATACATGTTTAGATATGAGGCTTTGGTGGTTGTCCTCGCTTGTTGTCGCTTGTCATTGCCAAAGACTCGGAGGAAATCTCTCGCGACCTTTGAACATCATCATGTCCCCGCACGTCGGAGATGCGCCGCAGCCGCGGCACATTGACTCGCCTTCAACTTGTGTTTGCTCGACAATCCTAGTAGCATCGTCTGCTACCCTTCCTCATCCAATCTATCCTCCCTCTCCCTCTCTCCTCCTCCTAGAGATCTCTCTACCACCCCCTCCGTAAAATGTCCAAGACGACCCCCAATCCTGTGGCTTCGACCTACGGGTCTCTTGCCTCAGCGAGTGCGAGTGGCGGAGGTTCCACGGCGCAATCGATTCCACACCCAGAACCGATCTCGTCGAGTACACAGCACATAGCGGGGATTCTAGTGACGGTGTTCGGGCTCGACGAGGTTCCTCCCGGCACAAACGATATTGCGTGTCTCTGGCTTTTGCACCCTCGGCTGCAGACGCAGGCGTGCATGGCGCCCTTTGCGGCGCACATTATTTCGGAGTGGAACAAGCACCAGCACCAGACGAAGCCACGGAGTGGGAGGAAGAAGAACAAGGGCCTGATAGCCGTATCGTTCGACCAACGGAACCACGGCTCTCGACTGGTATCCGCGATCGCCAACGAGGCGTGGCGGTCCGGGAATGAACACCACGCCCCGGACATGTTCAGCCAGTTCGCAGGCACGGCGCTCGACACCTCACTCCTCCTCGACTATCTCCCCGGATACATCTTCACCGGCGGCGCCAGTGATCCCCGGAGGATCTGCCAGAACCTCGTCCTGGGGATCAGCCTGGGCGGCCACGCGGCATGGCACGTCCTGATGCACGACCCCCGGTTCTCCGCCGCGGTCGTCACCATCGGCTGTCCGGATTATACACGCCTAATGACGGACCGGGCACGTCTGTCGAAGCGCAAGACATACACGTCCTCGTCACCCCCCGGGCGCGAGTTCCTGGGAAGCGCGGATTTCCCGCACAGTTTGGTCGAGGCGGTGAAAAAGTCCGATCCCGCCGGTTACATCTGGTCCCTGCCCGGACTGAACTGGCGCGAGGACCAGGAAAAGTTACACACCGATCTCACCGACGACGAGAGGGCGATACTGTTGCCCGTCATGACGCGGTGTTTCGGCAACAAACGCCTCCTGAACCTCTCGGGCGGAGCGGATAAATTGGTCCCCTACGCGCACTCGAAGCCGTTCATTGACTGGCTGAAAGCCATCACGAAGAAAGGGGCATGGTTCGAGGGCAGCGGGTTCGTGCTCGAGGATATTGTCTTTGAAGGTGTGGGGCATGATGTGCCCAGCTCGATGGTGCCGCATATGGTGAGGTTTGTCATGGAGACGCTCGAGGATGAAAAGGTAGAAGCGATGGAATTGCAGTTGGGTGGAGGAGCGGGGAGGTTGGGAAGTAAGATATAAAATAGCATAGAATGGATTTATGGGGTTGAGAAACGTGTATAGAATGTATATCGTTTTGTTAATTGAGTTTCTGGCGGATGAAGCGCTCGTGGCGCCAGCCGCTGCCGACCTTATGGATAGCTAAGATGGAATTGCACTGCTTTTATCTTGCATCATCTATATTCTTTCGTTGCTTGACATGATATCTTGTCATCTTGTCCTCAACACCGTGCCAGGCGTCTTCGTACTTCCTATGGGACATTGCATGTCTCAGAGGATCGACTCTTTCTGATCATCATCAGGCCCCGAGCAGTCTCTTCTGCGTCTAGCATACTAATGGCCTTCTTGTTTGCTTCAAGGAGGGTCCCAAAGCCGAGACCCATTGGGATCCTCTGTTTGAGCTCAGCAGATTGCTATAGCTACCCTGTTGACCCAATGGTTGGAGGCAGGCTGATCAGGTCATGCATAAGCCTTGCGAGAACCGAGCGAAACCACGTGCTAGAACTAGAGTCCTAGGAGGCATCGTTAAATGGGTCGACCAAATCCATACGGTCGGCCCTCCCTTGACGCTATTGCCAGCTGATTCTGTCGTAGGATAAGTCGTGGTAAAAATGTCCACCGGACAGGTCCGAACCCAGCTGCCTATCCGGTATCCGACATGGATTCTTTAGAGAGCAAATCGTTTCTGCCCACGGAACTCATCTTCAGAGCTTTTGGACACGCGCAAGTGACGGCTTTCGTCTCCAAAACCCCTTCTCATCTTAACCGCACAGAGCCCTTGAGGCGGTTCCAGAAGGATGTGAACCATGATCTTCCCGGCGCTTCGTCCAGCTCTTTGACCAAATCATCATAGTGGGAAACATTGCTCTTGGGCTGGCGTACTGATTGCGGGATAGGGTATTCCTTCGCATATCGATCTTCGAGCAACGAATACAGAGCATTGACCTGTCGCATTTCTTTTTGCTCATTAAAGGGCTCGACAGGCGTCACGAGGGCATCGTTGGACTTGGGTGAGACAGCAGGAGCAGGTGACTGGAGCTTTTGCAGACGGGACTGCATGACCTTCTGGAAATGGACATGAGCTGGGCGGACGCGGTCGAGCGGCCATTGCTTGATGATGCGCGCCCAGTGCTTGAAAACGACCTGGACAGAGGTGAGCTGGGTTGATTTTGAGGTCTTTCCATGTGGACTTACCGATTGATTAGCTGCCATGGTGAGGCTGTGCGATTGATCTTGAATCGTCAGTGCTCAGAGCAAGGAGCTTCTCGTATTGACAAGTTTATTAGCAATACTTTGATGACGCTGGTGACGCCTCTGGAGCCGTAATCAAAGACGTTACCGGAAATGGCGATGGCGGTGGCGGATGATGGTCGATCCAGTGTCTGGCCACCAAGCGCCCGCCCTTGTTATTATTATTATGTGTTACTTTATTACCTAGCACCTGAGTGGCACCCTACCTAGTAGGTTCCTAAGGTACCCTTCCGCCTGCGCCTGCGCCTAGAAGCCTGCGCTCTGCCTCTGCCCTCTGCCCTTGTACTACGGTGAGAACCTCAACACCGACCTCCCGTCACTCTCGCCCTCGGGTGTTCGTCCTTCCACTTCCACATCATTCCCTTCCACACTTCCCTCAACTCATCCCATCACCGCGATTTCCCTATTTCCCTCAACCTCCCTCATCCACGCCATCCGACTTTCCTCATCTATCTTCAACCCTCCGGTCTCCTTCATTGTTCCGCGCACTGAGGCTACACCTACGAGGTTGCCTGGCCTGAAATGGCCCCTCAACGATATGAAGCAGTATGTTATTCTCAACCATCACGGCCTGGCAGGCCAGTCTCATCACTAACTCTCCTCAGCTGAACTCGCACGACGACGAAGTCGATTCTCCCGTCTCTCCAGATACTGCCGCACCCATCCCATCCTCACCTCCACCGTCTTTCCGGTCCAGAGCCTCCTCACCCACGACCAGGCGCTTATTGGCCCAGGATCCGTTATCTCCTGACGCCGATCAAGATCATTTGGAAAACACTTTTGACGACGGCGAGGATTCTGACGCCGAGAATGATGGCGACGACAGGCAACGATTGATGAGAGCCGACTCTGGACTCTCCAGACAAGATGCTACCCCCTCATCAACCTCTGTTCCCGATACCCGACCGGCGCCTGCTATCGAACGAAGAGTGACGGAACTCCCCGCCTTTAGACCTATGCCCGCCTCCATGAGAGCCACCGATGGTGTTTTTGCAAATCTATCTGCAAAGCCTGAACGTGGTGAACAAGTCGAAGAAAAGCCTCCTGTATGTAACCACGCGCAAACTCTTCTGAGTCGGCACTGACTATTATTAGACATATGAACAAGCCGCTGCCGATGCGACGCCCCCGTACTGGGAAACTACTATTCTCGCCCCTGGAATGTCGTCGGATGAAGTCTATGTCGACGGTCTGCCCGTTGGATCCGTTTTCTCATTTGTCTGGAACGGCATGATCTCCATGTCCTTCCAACTTGTCGGCTTCCTGCTCACCTATCTTCTCCATACCACTCACGCCGCCAAACATGGAAGCCGTGCCGGTCTGGGCTTGACACTTGTACAATATGGTTTCTATATGAGCGGTTCCAGCGATGGCGGCTCATCCGACACTGGGAATCCAGGACAGTTTTCAAACTCCAGCCCGCCCGATCCGAACAGTCACAGCTTTGACCCCAACGCCGTGAATGGGGGCGGAGACCAGACTTCCGGAGGGAGCAGCGGGATGGGTGGTTTCACCAGCGCAGATTGGATTTCCTACATTCTCATGATTATTGGTTGGTTTATTTTGATCCGGGCCGTATCAGACTTTTTGCGGGCAAGAAGGCACGAGGCCCTCGTCTTGCAGAGTCCCAGTCGAGGATTGCCTGTCCCAGTCGTTGCGGAGGGCGAGACTCCTGAGCAGACCGCTTAAATCCTGAGAAGAGGGTTTGGGGATTTCTCTCCTAGGACGAACGCACCTCTGGATGTGTCTTGTGTGTAAATATAAAATGCATGCTTGTGAAATGAATTGAACAACGGTCTCTCTCCCGAGAGTGATGGCATATCTCTTTCGCCTCCCTGATATCCATTGCGGATGCACTCTGCTTTCAAGCTCAACAAACGATCTTGCGGGTGTGCAGGTAAACGAAGCATTTCATCAAAGGCCATACATTTGCGCGCTCAACCTGTGTTTCTCTCTCAGATTGGTCCTTGCTCGCTTCTACTCATCTCTCCGTCCCTTTGCTCTAGTGGTCGAGATATCTACCTGGTGGTAGGTATCCATGTGACTGACTTTCGTGACAAGCTGGCCGGACTAGTGACTCATATCAATTTTACTCTCCAGCCTCCTCTCATCCCTCAACTGGGTCAGTCTCTCGAGCGCTTTTTCCAGGGGGATCAACTCGCCCATCTTCTGCGTGGCCGGGTCGTCGCGGTTGCGGATGTTGACGGTGCGGGTCTCTTTTTCTTTTGCGCCGACGACTATAAATGCATAAGTTAGCATTCGATACAATTGGAGTGAAGAGAAGAGAAGAGTAAGATACATACCAAAGATGAAGTTATACTGCGCCAACTGGCCCGTGCGGATCTTCTTCTGGAGCGTGTTCCCACTGACATCAATGTCGACGTACATGCGCGCCTTGTGGAAGATGCCCTGGATCTCGCGCACGTAGTCCTCTGCGGACTTCATGACGGGGATTACCAGGATCTGTCGGGGCGAGAGCCAGAAGGGCCATTTGCCCGCAAAGTGTTCGCAGAGGATGGCGATGAAGCGTTCAAACGACCCGATGATGGCGCGGTGGATCATCACGGGGCGAGCCATGCCCGGCGCTGGGGCCTTGGGGTCGCGCTGCTCTTCGGGTGGCTGGGCGGAGACGTCGCCGCCTTCGGCGGTGCGGTATTCGAGCTTGAAGTTCTGCGGACCCTGGAAATCCAGCTGGATGGTCGCGCACTGGAACTCTCGGCCCAGGGCGTCGGAGATGGTCACGTCGATTTTGGGGCCGTAGAACGCGCCGTCCCCTTCGTTCATTTCCCAGTCATCACCTCGGAAGTTGATCAGGGCTTGCTTCAAGCGCGCCTCGGCGGCGTCCCAGTCCTCCAACGTGCCCATGTAGCCCTCGGGCCGGGTGGAGAATTTCAACTTGAAGGGAAACCCGAATAGGCTGTAGACGTGGGACATGAAGTCGAACAGACCCTCGATCTCGGCTTGCACTTGCTCGTTGGTGCAGAAGATGTGCGTGTCGTCTTGCTGGAACTTGCGTACGCGAGTAAGCCCTGAGAGCGCGCCAGAGGCTTCGTTGCGGTGAAGGACCCCGAAATCCGCCACTCGCCACGGTAGCTCGCGGTATGAGCGCTCTTCGTCGCGGAACATGACGCAGTGGCCGGGACAGTTCATCGGTTTCAAGGCGAAGACGCCCTTGTCTTTATCCTTGATTTCGGCGAGCGGGGTTTTGCCGTCGGGCTTCTTGTCGCTCAGGGGCATGGGGTCAGCAGTGTCTTCTTTCACGACCACTCGGAACATGTCGTCTTGGTAATGTTGCCAGTGGCCCGAGGTCTTCCACAGGTCAACGTCGTACATGTTGGGAGACTGGACCTCCTGGTAACCACGTTCCCAATATTGGTCCCGGAGCATCTGTTGGAGGGCGTTGAAGATGCGAGTTCCATGGGGTAGTAAGAATGGCGAGCCGGGAGACATCTTACTGAACATGAAGAGTTTCTGTTGTTGGCCAATGACCTGGTGGTCACGCTTCTTGGCCTCCTCGAGGAAATGTTCCCAGTCCTTGAGCTGTTGTTTCGTGGGGAAAGCGACGCCGTGGATGCGCTGGAGGGAGTCGTTGTTTTGGTCGCCCAGGAAATATGCCGAGCTGTTCTTCATGATCTTGAAGGATTCGATCTTGCGAGTGTTCTGGATATGTGGACCCTGGCACAGATCAACCAGCGTGCCGTTGCGGTAGACCGTGGAGGATTCTCCGTCAGGTACAAACTTCTCAATGTAGTGCATCTTGTATTTGCTGTAGCCGAACAGTTTGCGCAGGTTGTCCTTGGAGACTTCGAGACGCTCAAAGGCCTGTTTGTCCTTTGCAAACTTCTTCGCACGGTTCTCCAGAGAGGGCCACTCGGCTTCACGGACGGAATGGCCAGGTTCGAGTGCCATGTCATAGAAGAAACCCATCGCCGTAGGGGGGCCGTGAGAGAGGCGGCAGCCGTACTCGTGCTCGGCACATTCACCAAGCACGTGGGCTGAAGAGTGCCAAAAGACATCGCGGCCTTCGGGGTCGTCGAAGGTGAGGTAAGACACTTTGCTGTCTTTTTCCAGCGGTCTGTCTAGATCCCAGAGTTCGCCGTCGACTTTGGCCACCACGACTTGACCAGCGCGTTCTTTGGACAGGTTCTTCAACAGGTGGCCAGGCGTGGTTTCCCAGGCCTTGCCTTCGACCGTGGTCTCCTGGCCTGGTGCGGGAACGAGTTTGATCTCAATGGACGGTTTCTCTCTGCTGGCGAGTTCTTGGTCACGCTGCTTCTTCAGCTGGTCGAAAAGCTGGTTCCTTTCCAGAATGAAGTCTGGCAGTGATTGGGGCGCTTGGTGCGCCGCGGCAGGCGCTGCTTGAGTAGACATTTCTTTTGGTCTGTTGGGCATCTTCTTGTTGGAAGTTGGGCTCACCGGTCTTTTTGATGTGTTGGCCTCAGGGGCAGATGAGTCAGGGCCAGCGGAGCCGTTTTGAGTCATACTGTCACCTTTCAGGACTCCCCAAAGATCGTGAGGATTGAGACTGACTTTCTTCTGGTGGCTCATGGCGAAAGATCTGAGTGGAGATATATGGGGATTGAATATTATGCCAGCGGCGTGGGTATGGGAACTTGTGGCACTGGCAGTCCGTAAAAATAGGGTGTCAGTCACGTGCCTGCCGACCACGGCTCTAAACATGGAGATGCAGATGCAGCAAAATTATTTTCCCCAAGATTCAAGAACAGCCTGCCACAGCCTGCCACAACTCCCGCTGTCCACAACAACAATGGCCTTCCGAGGTGATGCGCGAGGTCGTGGCGGATTCAGAGGTGGTGACAGAGGAAGAGGATCGTTTGGTGGAAGAGGTGGAGGTAAAATAATCTCGTTCCCCCCAGACTCGAAATTGCGCGCACTTTTGCTGCGGCGGAGAAATGTGACTGACCGGTGGTGGTGAGCAGGGCGTGGTGGATTCCAACAACAGAGCTTTGGGCCGCCTGCACAAGTGTTTGGTAAGGGCCTGAATGTGTTTGCGACTCCTTCGAGACTGACTTGATGTAGAAATGGGCACCTTCATGCACGCCACCGAGGGTGAAATGGTCTGCGAGTCCGTCAACGCAAAGATACCTTTTTTCAACGCCCCCATTTACCTCGAGAACAAGGTACAAAAATCTCCTCGGGCTTGTCTGTTCAACTCTAACGGGCGCAGACTAGCATAGGAAAGGTGGATGAGATCCTGGGACCCATCAACCAAGTCTACTTCACGATTAAGCCGCAAGAAGGGATTCAAGCTACGTCGTTCAAGAAGGGTGACAAATTCTACATTGGAGGAGACAAGCTATTACCGCTGGAGAAGTAGGTCTGAAACATCTCCGGGTCGAGGGCAGCGTGCTAAGCATTTCTCAACAGGTTCTTACCCAAACCCAAGCCGCCGCCAGGTGAGTCTCCGGCAGAGGTTCCCCGACACATATGTGGCTTACACTTTGAACAGGTGCAGCGAAGGTCAGGAAGCCGGCAGGTGAACGAGGAGGCATGAGAGGGGGAAGAGGAGCGGGCAGAGGACGAGGCGCACCTGGCCGGGGAGCACCCAGAGGCCGGGGCTCTTTTGGTGGGGGTGCTCGAGGTGCTCCCAGAGGACGGGGAGGAGCACCAGGGGGTCGAGGCTTTTCGAGAGGTGGTGGATTTGCTTCAAGAGGCCGTGGAGGCAGGTGGTGAAGCATGCTTTGACCTGTTCGATGTCTCTGCCTCTGCCTCTGTTTCGCATAGGACCGGCGTTAGGGAGGATACCCGTGATAAAAGTTGTGGTCAGAGATGACCTGGGACTGGGAAGGTGGTTACCCATACACACTGAGTGATGGCTCCTTGAATTGGAACCTGGCAAGCTGGGAATCACATTTGAGACGCTGAGATGAATGCCTTGGAATTCTCCCGCGTTGACTGCTCTGTGTTCCTGGCACGTGACGGTACTTTTTTCTTTCGGGTGTCACTGTCCAAAGCCACAGACGCAGCACAATGACGACACAAGCCGCACAGCCTAAAGTTTGCGTGCCGGTGACTTTTGACGTGGACTGCGGCTGTGCCTTGCTTCGTCAAAAGCAAAAGTCCCCAAATCCATCGCGCTCCTCGTGCTACAACTCCCCCTCGCCGTTTACCTGGTTCCTTCATTTCCTTGACCTCTCTTCTTGTCTGATCCTCGACCATTGATCCCTAGACTTCCCTTTCGACTCCTTACAACTCAAGCACCAGAGCCATGTCGCGGCGAGCGGGGCTCACCAATGGCGGCGAGAAACAAACTCCTGCGCAGCCCAAGGACAATGCAGCTCAATCGAAACAAGCAATGCTGTTATCCTCAGATTCGGGCCACTTCAGTCTGATTAGGTGTGCTCACCAGCACCTCCGGCCGCGCTCTCAAGACTGACAATTGGGCAGGGCGCTTCATCTCGCTGATCTGATCACCGAATTGAATGGTGAGGGCCTCCTACACTGGGGAACAAGGATACACACGCTAACACTGGACCAGGCTTTTGTGGATGTGCGTCTCTTATCAGAGGATGTTCTTCTTGCAAACTGACTCTTTGTGTCAGTCATGTCAATTCTCTCCTCGATGCGTTATTGTCTCGCAGACCCGAGCGATCTCACGAATCTCTGGCTTGCCTTTGGATTCATGCCGTTTGGTCTATTCTTTGACTTTTTTGACGGCAAGGTGGCGCGGTGGAGGGAGAAGTCATCCCTGATGGGTCAAGAGCTGGATTCACTTGCGGATCTGGTACGCTTTTGGATCTCTACACATAAGTTTGCTCGAATAATCCCTAACAAGCCTGTTCTCCAGGTCACATTTGGCGTCGCCACCGCCGCCGCAGGATTCGCCATGGGGTTCCGTACGACCGTCGACCAGATCTTCCTAGCCTTCTACGTCCTCTGCGGATTGACTCGACTCGCACGGTTCAACGTGACGGTTGCAATGCTACCAAAGGACAAGACTGGGAAATCAAAGTACTTTGAGGGCACCCCGATACCGTTTGCCTGCTTGCTGAGTTTGACGATGATGACGGCTTGCACTTGGTTCGGTTGGATACACGAGGATATACCCCTAGGGACTATCTTCAGTGGAACGGGGCTCGAGTTTCATCCCATTGGGGCGATTTTCCTCATCAATGGAATCCTCATGACGAGCAGAACCCTACATGTTCCCAAACCGTGACCGGGATATTTTTTGGGGGTCGCTGCTCGAACGAATGGAACACCATTCGAGGTCAGGGGATATTATGGGTTTGGGCTGGAACTCCGCGGCATAAGACCTTTCAGCCTCTATGGAATTTACGTAGCAATGGCACGGCGTGCTCTGGGGCTTTATGAATAGCACACAGTGAGGAATCCACAGTATCGATTGACTCTCCTTCTTCATTCTACCGGCGCGTAAACTACTGGTATGCAGTGAACGGCGAATTAGTTGGATCCTTCTCAAGCTTGGTCTGATTGCTAGGTGACCTTTGTTCTTCTATGAGTGTAGCTAGCATGGTACATATGTATGTACGTATGCCGGACAAGAAAAGTACAATCCGGGACGTATATATTTGTACTTTCATGGTGCATATTTAGTATGAAGTAAAGTAAAACCAGGGATGTATATATATGTATGTACGCAGGTACCGTTATCGCTACTCACAAATCACAATAAAAGAAAAGAAAAAAAAAAGAAAACCAGCAGCTAAACGGTAGACCATTGATTCGAAAACGGCGCCGGCTTGTTGATGAATCTAGGATCTCGGCAACCCTCCAACCCTCGAGCGCTGAATGCCCTTCAGAGTCTGGATCCTGCGCAGACTCCGCATGCCGTACATGGAGAACAATGCGGAAAGGACGGTGCAGGCGCCGGTAATGTAGAAGAAGCCGTAGGGCGCCTCCTCGAGGTAATTCAGGAGGTTCATACCGAATAGTCCCGCGGCCATGGTCCCCGCGGCGAGCCCCAAAGTGTGGATGGCGACGCGGGCCTCGAGGAACATGATCTGGTTGCGCTGGACGGCGAGCGAGGAGCGGAAGGTGTTTTCCTTTTTCCGCAAGATGTCGATGGCCGCTTGGGCGGATTCGACCAAGGTGTCGGCGGCCTTGTGGTACGCTTCCAGCATGTACTCGGCCTCCTGGTGGTCCGCGGCATCGTGAGGGTGGCCTGCGAGGTGGTCGGACAGGTACATGCCCGCGAGGTCCTCGTCGGTGTCGAGAACCTCGCGGATCGTGTCCCGCACCAGTCGGGCCTTTTGCTCGATCTTGCTCAGCGTCCGCGTCCGGTCGAAGACCAGGTTGAGGCCGACGGCCGCGAGGCCCGAGTCGAGACGCAGGCTGGCGGCGGATTCTTCGGCCTTGTGCCGCGCGTCGATCAGGTCGTGGCGCAGCGCCGAGAGCACGGCCACCAGGGCGGCTTCCACGGCGCGCAGTTCGTACGGCAACTCGGGCACGTCGGCGGTCTCGACGTTCGGGCCGGACATGCGCCGCTCGATTTCGCGGTAGAACTCGCCTCCGTCGTCGTTTTTCCTCGGAGACGATCCGTCGGCATTGGCGCCGGCGCCGGCGCCGCCGTGGGCGGCGTCATCGTCGCTGTCACTGCTTGTCTGCGGCTGCGGTTGATGATTGTAGATCAGCAGCGCCTCGTCGGCCTGGATGATCATACACAACTGGAAAAACTGCAGGAGGATGGTCGTCGGCCGCACCAAGATGCGCGTCACCGCCTCGGATTTGAGGTCAATGTCCCGCAGGTCGCGGTGGCGCAGCTCGAACTGCTCGCCAATCTCGGCCTTGGTCAGTTGTTTGTGCTCGGCGTTGAAGCGTCCAGACTTGTCGAAGTAGATGCAGGTGATTCTGCCGTTCTTGGCGTTCAGGCTGGATTCTGGCGCGTCCAGTGCGTTGTCCACGAGCTCGATGTTATCTGAAGAGATCCTTTGCGTTGATGATGTACGTCTCGCAGCGAAGGGCAAGCCAATGCAAGATGCATGTGGCGGAGGTGGTCTTTGTAATTGCCACCGCCGACTTCCTGGTGGTGTCCAGGTTGAAAGCAGAGATCTCTTTGGCAGAACTAGCAGTGGGCGAGGTGAGAGTTTGCAACACTCGGGTGGCCGAAGCTTGAGCGTGCTCGGAACCTTGAGCTTGGTCCACATCCTTATATCATTTATCCTTTCGTTTCGTCATTGAATACTGATAACTGCCATATTGCTCTGTCTTTGGCCGCCCGCGGGAGTCGTCGACCGAGGGATGCTGGGGAGTTAGGTGTACAGAGAACAGTCGATCTAGTGGCGAGTGAGTAAAACCTCGTGTTCAAAATCGCAACCTGGTTTATCTATGAAGCGAGACAGCCTTGTGCGGACGAGGCTGAGGTGTGACGTCACGGCTTTGATCTTCCACTACGAGTCTGCATCGTATCAGCAACTCGGAAATTTTCACTTTCAACGCTCCAGCGGTCAGACTGTTGGGAACGGAGTGTCAGATTCATGGCAACCGCGTGCTAATAAACTATACTTTTGCACGCGTCCTCAACGGTGCTGGACCCTGGACAGAAAGGAGAGACGATTCAATTGGTATCCATAAGGCTACTCCCCGGCACCACAAAGTGTCGTGAACCCTCCATGCCCACGGCAATCTTGAACCGAAATGTCAGTAGAAGAAGCCCTTCTCAATAGAAGAACCCTACTTCATATCTTATACCACTCGCCGAAGAACTTGCGGCAGTCTGCGAGAATAACATCCGGTCTCTCCAATGCAGCAAAATGGCCGCCGTCGTCGCACTCTGTACGGTCGTCAGATCCAACCAGTTCCTTTGAGCACAGGCAGCATCAGACACTTACCATTATAAAAGACTAGCCGGCCCGTCTTTTTCACGCCCCTCTCGGTCGCAGGCCTTGAGTCATAGAGAAAGCTGGTGTATCCCATGGGGACCCCAATGTAGTTCTCTGGCTTCAAGAAGAAATTGCCAAAATCAGCGTGCTTGACACCCTCGAAATACGGTAGGGTCGAAGACATGATGCAGCTTGTGAAATAATACAGAGAGCATGTGGTGAGAATTGCCTGGTCCCATGCCGGATCCGGGGACTCGACTTTTGCAGGTGCCACCAGTTCTATGTATTTCTCGCCCACCCAGGCGAGTATTCCAACCGGGTTATCATTCAGAGCGACACCAATGGTCTGTGGACGGGTCCGCATACAAACAGCATATCCCAGATGGTTATCCAACCAATCATGCTGCCGTGCTCTGATTTTCTGCTCGCGCGGTGTAAGGGCTGTGATGTTGGCGTCCAACTCGACCGGACAAAAGTTCAGATGGACTGCTTGACACTCCCTGAACTTGGCGCCCATTTCGCGAGCCACAAACGTCCCCCAGTCACCTGCCTGCACGACGTAATGCGCATAACCAAGCTCATTCATGAGTTTGTTGAAGATGCGCGCCGTGTCTTGCAAGGTCCAACCGCGCCGAGGAGGCGGAGAAGACCAGCAGAATCCAGGTAGACTTGGCACCACGACGTGGAACGCTGGGTCGGAAGGCTTCTCGGGGTTGACGAAGGCGTCGACTACCCGATCGAATTCGTGGAATGAACCAGGCCAGCCATGGACCAAAATAAGAGGAATGGCATCGGCTCTTGTAGACTTGGTATGTGTAAAGTGTACTTTCAACTGGGCACTCTCATCATCAATGTCGGCAAGAAAGTGGCTATGTCGATTCAGGTGTTCTTGTACAGAAAACCAGTCAAAATCGTCACGCCACATGTTGTAGAGACGGTGGAACCATTCAATAGGAGGACCTGTCCAGATCAGAGTTCCAGAAGCAAATGCACGTCCCCAAATAGATACTGACCATAGTCCCCACCGGCTCCAGGAACAATGGGCTCCTTTGGGATTCTCGTGTCTTGCAACTTCCTTTTCAGACGTTCGACTTCTTCATTGGAAATGTCGATTCTGAAGGGCGATATCCCCATTGTGGATGCGTCTCGAGAATTTCGACTAACTCAAGTATATCAAGAGCAGATGAATGGTTGCCTGGCGATCTTTACGTACGAGGGTCGCGCCCGCTTGAACATCTCAAGGTCTGGATGGCAAACATCTTGCGCGACTTGTATTGAGACTGCTGAAGGCCAAACTGCGGAGAGGATTTGCGGGGTGCCATCGTGAGTCATTACGAGCCCGGGAGCTCGTCGGCAAGTTCACGAACAATCATGAAGAATTGACATATCGACTCTGTCCAGCGCAATAGACTTATCGGCAGATCACAAGATGCGGATGGCTGCAAGTCCTTGGGCAGGTCCATTGTTCCAAAGTTGTACGTACGTATGCAGTAGCGGTGTCAAGATCAATAGCTCCAATCCCAACCGGCGTCCTCTGCGAAGAAGAACGGATCATCCATCAAGGATTGTTGCGTCGAGAATTGACCCAAGTTGCTCATCCAGCTTGGACCAAACCCATCATTTCCTGCATACAGCGGATCCGTAGCTAGCTGACTGCTTGGGAAGTCGAATCCATCTGGCAGCTCAGCAGACATTGGCACCGGTCTAGCCATAGAATCCTGCTGGGGCTCTAAACTCGCTAGCATCGAGGTTCCTATGCTCTCGGTCGTGGTCGAATCGACATAAGCATCAGAGGCGTTCTGCGCGAAGCCGGCGAAACCTTTTTCGCCGGGAGTCTCTCGCATTGTGGGATTCTTATGCTTTTCTTCAGAGACTTGAGCGCGGACGCTCTCGACATATTGTTTGGCAATTGTGAGAAGATCGCCAGCAACTCCCGCCATAAATGACATGGTCGCCCTATCCAGTGTGTGTAGCATTCCATTGATGCAGCCCAATGTCGCCTCCATAAGAGCTTGATCTGCCGTCACTTTCGGATCCAAAGGGGAATGTAACATGAACGAGAACAACGTCAAGAATGCCGAAAAGGGAAAGTAAGGACTTGTACAAATGAGAGTGTTTCGGGGATCGCTCAAGTTCTGCAAATATGTTACTGAGAGATGGAGGATCGATCGCGCCGCCGCCAGACACAGCGCGTAGGAGGAATGGACCCGAACGTTCAGTACGCCATCAGAGCTTGGAGCATTTGAGCCGTGAGAAGTGGGATAAGACCCGCTGTCGTCATATTCGTCGGTTTCCGAAGACCACAACTCATGGCTGTAATACCTGTTAGCATATGCCAACAATAAGAGAGGCTAGATGACAATAACTTCGGCTCCACGCCAACAACCATATGCAGAGCCAGGAGAACTTACTGTGCATTGACCCGATGGACAGCTCTCAAACAGTGATAGTATCCGAAGTGAAGGAGGACAATTGGAAACCTACCCTCCGGGTCACATTGGATAGGATGTTCCGGCCTGATTTCTATGGGGAGGCTCTCCTTCCATTCCTGAAGCTCTGCGTCTAGTCTGCTGATAGATTCGAGCCTCTCGCTGGTTGTTTTGACCCGAGCAGCATAGGCGTACAGCTCTTTGTATATCTTACTCTCAATGCGTGCAAGGACGCACATGTGGTAAAGAGGATAGAACTTTGCACCCCCAGAAGCGGCAGCTGACATCTTAATGCCACAGTCCTCCTGCGACTGTTCGGCTGGGAATCCGAAGCCGATGTCATCGTCATCAATAGCAGAGGGCCTGCCAATACGGCTAGACATATCTTTCTCCAGGATGTACAATATCCAAAAGACCCTTTGTCGCTGCTCAAGTTCTGCTCGGGACAGGCCGAAGCCTGGAAGCCATCGGTGCAGACCAAGAGCAAACCCCAGTCGAGCGGCGATCCCGAGGAGGGCAAAAGCAGCTTCTGCATTCATAATTGCTTGCATGATGAAAGCCTGGACATAAATTAACAATCGACAATACCAGCTTGTGGACAGGGATACTTACCATTCCAATCACTGTTTGCACACCCATGAGGTCATTGGTGTGAAAGAGGACATCCACCAGCACCGATGAAGAGTTCTGGAGAAGCTTCCATGACACCTCTGACACATTCGAGAAGTAAGACGGGTCGGAGTCGCGGATGCTGCTCCAGATGGATTCCGTAGCAGTGATACAGCCGATGGATAGAACAACATTCAGTGCGCCAAACCATGATCGCTTGGCCGGAGGGTCAGTTGAATATTGCTGATGGAGAAGGGCCCGGAACGATTTCTGGTCGAAGAGAGGGAAAACGGAGTTGAAAGTCCTAAAATAATCTTTTTGTCTCGTTAATGGAGCTGGTTTATACACATATTGTGCAGGCTTGTCTCACTGTTGACGAGCTGTTCAGCTGCCTCTTTGGTTGGAAGGCGGCACCCAGCAGTGTTTCCACTGTCCCACAGATGACCCATCTTAAATGAGGGCCATAAAGGACCAAGGCGCCGAAGCCTGTCTAACACGACTGCAACACGATTTGATCCGGTCTTACGCTGGATCCAGGCCAAACCTCGAGGGGAGAAGACGGAAAAATCCGAGGGACCTAGCATGGTCAGTCAAGTGGTATCCCTCAAGAGCAACCAGAAGAGCAAGTCACACTTACCGACATATTTCTGCTCGCCAGAGTCTGATATGATTAGATTGGCAAGCTCTTTCTCTATACTGTGTGAGGTGTCTTCTGGTTCTGCTACTCTAGGCTCTTCGACGGTGGACTGCTTCTCCGCAAAGCCGGACAGGAGTGCTTCCATTCGCTCAATTCGAGACTCTATCGAGTGAAGGAACTCTGCTCTGTAGGGCAAAAAAAGCGTCCTACAGTCAGCGGTACCCACACCAATGCTGGGGCATTCTCCTCATTACCTTTTGACTTTGGTGCTTTGCCTTTCCACTGGGGTCAGAATGCATGGTATGTCCCGCGCCCGGCAGTTGGAGCAGACGTTGCTCCCTTGTCTGTCGCATCTTATCTGGACAAGGGGATGAGCTGGGATGATGATGGGGGAGGCAGGTTCGCGGAACGTACTTTCATGCGGCGGCACGAATCACACGAGAGCCGCAGCCCTCGCCTAGGTCTGGCGTCGGAGCTGTTGGGCGACATTGGAAAGAACAGATGCCTCTGCCTTTGGGGATATCAGCTGTGCAAGAGTCGAGGTGATTGGTAGGTGTCTTTCGTGCTGGATGGAGTCGGACCCTGTGGCCTTGTTGGAGGTAAAGTCCGAGCACCAAGCAGCGAGCTTCAATGCTCCGCAACTGAGAAGAGGCACAAGGAAGTGCGATGTATGAATTTCATAACTCAAGCAGCCTGTGTTGTGACAAGCTGTGCAGAATGAGGGAGCAGTTCATTGTGGTTGTGAGAGAATCGTTCCAGGCCAAGACGCAGGCCACCACATGCGAAATCTAAAGTGTCGTTGATTGGCTGGTGTCGACGTTGGCAGCTTCACGACCTCGCGACTCCCGTCATGACGGATCCCGGATCAAAACGATAGCGTTACAGCATTACAGCGCCTTGCGACCGAAAACCACCTGCACGCATATGTCGACTCTCTCAGCACTTTCTGAACATTTGACCTAGGTATGTCCCCTTTCCCCTGCCAAGATTGCGACATTCGACATGAAACGACCAATGTTGTGGAGATCACAGTACAAGAAATAGATCCTTCTTGACTTGCAACTTATTCTGTTGATACCTCTAATCGACGCGATGGAACGTCTATCGTGACTGGATTAAAGGAGGTTCTTCCGTCTCTGGTTTCAACGAGGTGACGAGAAAAAGGGGCAGCTAGCCTTGTCAAGCAGACAACTGGCCTCGTCCGAAGTTCCACCCGCTCTCTAAGTGCTCGACATCGAGATAAGCGTATACTTCCATGCAGTCGAAGTTACTTGTTAAAGGAGTCTAAAATCCAGCTTACTAAATGGCCACGTTCTCACTCACAGGACATTGAAATCAACGTGTTGAAAAAGGACCGATAGGCGAATTGAGGATAGGGCTGGGGCTGAACCGGCACAGATGTGCACACTGCCTGCCTGCCTGCCTGATAACGTGCGAGAGTGAAACAATATCGGTTCCATAATTGGTATACCACAGTCGTGCTGATGCAGCTGAAGCTGGAGTATCTTGCGTGAGGCTTGATAAGAGAGAGGGGATCACCAAAAAGCCCCCTCCCCGATCTTGCCCGAAGACCGCCAAATCAGGCTGGCCAAAGGTAATCATCGAGGATTCGACTCCTGCATTGCCCTTGTCTTCATACGCGGCCACTCTCCCGTGAGCGAACAATCCACACAAACTGCGTAAAGCATGAGACCCCTAACCCGACCGTTTGCTCGTGGCCCCAGATCCCCAAGGCCATCTCGCTCTACTCCCCGTGGGTGTACCTGGACGACTCTGCTCAGAAATGGAGCCGGATGGCCTGGACTGCCTGAACTGCATGCATGCATGCATTGAACCCATCCGAAAGATTACCGTCCGTCGGGTGCCAGCAGAGCCAGCTCAGCTATATACGTGTCTTGGTGTCATCCGCAAGAGCTCCGTGAAACCCGCCACCCGCATCAACACGCAAGGTGAAATCGACTCCCAAACCCGGAGGGATCGAGCTACCCCGACTTTTTCCTTCTTACCCCGGAATGGAGTCGGCAATACATTTAGGCCTGGTCTTTTTCTTTTTTTTGAGGCTGACCTCGATCGCTGAGCTCACCGGTGCAGCGATGGCTGTGCACCATACACGGTGCGAAAAGCGGTTGGGATGTGATCGTGGTGGAGGGTAAACAATGAGACGGGGAGCTGGTGAGATCCGGGTGAAGAAATGTACGCTTTGCAGAGAAGAGACCCATTTCGACATTAGGAAGCTCGTCCATCTGTGCTGGAATGCAAGGCCTACTGCGTACGTCAACCCGACAGGAAGAACAGTTTCCGCATGACCCAGGAGAACCGGCTAATCAACAGGATTGAATCCAATCGATTGGTTTTGTTTTCTTTTTGTTTATCTACCACCTATAGAATGATTGTTGAAATGGGGTATCTCAAGACTTATTGTTGAAAGTCGTCAAAAAAAGGGCATGCCATGCGTAGTACTGTACTGTAAATCCTGGTCCTTTTCCCCCCAAAGCTCGTGGCGCGCCATCTAAAACAGCCCATCTATCTCGCCCGTCTCGGGGTCCACATCGACATTCAGATAGCCCGGCGCGGTCGGGAGACCAGGAATTGTCTGGATATCCGCGGCCAATGCGTACAGGTACCCTGCGCCGACAGCTAACCTGACGTCCCGTATCGGGACCGTAAACCCAGTGGGCGCCCCCTTGAGTGCCGGGTCGTGGCTCAGCGAGTACTGAGTCTTTGCAATGCAGATGGGCAGATTCCCAAACCCTTGTCTAGTGTACATGTCGACCTTTTTCTGGGCGAGTTCGCTAAACTCGACTTTTCCGGCCCCGTACATCTCCTTGCCAATTTTTTCAATACGCTCCTGAACGGTACCCTGAAGATCGTAGAGGAATTTGAAGTCTTTGGGTTTCGACGAAGCCTCAATCACTGCCTTGGCCAAGTCGACAGCACCAGCACCTCCTTCAGCCCAGTGGTTGGCGGGTACAGCTGCCTCGGCACCGGCAGCGAGTGCTTCCTCTTCAATGACTTTGAGCTCGGCTTCAGTATCGGTGTCGAACTTGTTGATCGCCACAACGACGGGGATGCCGTAGGATTTGGCATTGGAAATGTGCTTCTTGAGATTGACACAGCCAGCGCGCAACATTTCAGTGTTTTCTGTTCGGTATGCTTCTGGTAGCGCAGACCCAACGGGGATCTCTGGACCGCCGCCGTGGACTTTGAGTGCTCGAATGGTGGCAACGACGACCACGACATCTGGAACAAGACCGGAACTTCGGCACTTGATATTGAAAAATCTTTCACCACCCATGGTAAAATCAAAGCCAGCTTCGGTAACCACAAAGCCAGCCTTGGCTTCGTGATCTTCATCAGGCTCCGTTCCTGCAAGCTTGAGTGCCAATTTGTCTGCTAGAATAGAGCTGTTGCCAATGCTGATGTTTGCAAACGGTCCTGCATGGACAAAAACGGGGGTTCCCTCCAAACTTTGCATGAGATTGGGTTTGATAGCATCCTTCATAAGAGCAGTCAAGGCACCGCCAGCCCCAATATCATCACAAGTAACAGGGTCTCCAGACTTCGAAGACCCAATCACTATTCGACCAAGCCGCTCCCGCATGTCTCTCAAGTCGTTGCTTAGTGCAAGAATGGCCATGCACTCGCTTGCAACAGAAATGTCGAAAGCAGTCTCTCTACTGTGGCCTTTCTCGGTGGGAGCCTGTCCAATGGTGATGCCTCTCAGGAGCCTGTCGTTGACATCCAGAACTCTCCTCCAAGTGATGGTCTCCGGGTCAATGTCGAGCCGTGCAAACCGCCTGATCTCGTCCTCGGTCAGGTCGTTGGGGTTCGTTTTGTCTATGCCTAGCTTCTTCAGCCTCCGAAGCATGACCGGTGCAAACTCGCGCTTGCCCTTCTTGCTGGGCACCAGCCGCTTATACAATGCCCCATCCTTCTGTGTGGATTCGTGAAACATGCGTGTGTCAATGGCAGCAGCCAGCAAGTTATTTGCAGCTGTGATTGCGTGGATGTCACCCGTCAGATGAAGGTTGAATTCATCCATGGGGATAACCTGACTGTAGCCACCACCTGCTGCGCCACCTTTGATGCCAAAGGTCGGTCCCATACTTGGTTGTCGAACATTGGCAAATGCTACTTTTCCCAAGTGGGCCCCCAAGGCCTGCGTCAAACCCATTGTCGTGGTGGATTTGCCTTCTCCTAGTGGAGTAGGAGTAATACCGCTAACCAGGATATATTTTCCGTCCCGACGATGTGCCAGCCTCGAAAGAATTGAAAGGTCAACTTTGGCTTTGTGAGCACCATATGGTTCCAACTCATGAGGTGCAATGCCAATGTCAGCAGCGATTTGAGCGATGTGCCTGGGATGCTGCGATCTCGAAACTTCGATATCAGACGGTACGGGCTTTTCAAGCTTGATCGGTAAAGGAGTGACGTGTCTTGCTTTCAGTCTCTCAAAGTAGGCTGAGGCGGCATCGACAACGTTCTGCATGAGCATCGCAACTGTCATAGGGCCAACACCGCCCGGGACCGGGGTGATCTGAGAAGCAACCTCAACAGCTGACTCAAATTCGACGTCTCCAACGAGACGCTGTCCCGAGCTCCTTGAAGGATCAGAGATGTAGTTTGTGCCCACATCGATGACCACAGCTCCTTGTTTCAGCCAGTCACCCTTGACGAATGCTGGCTGACCAATGGCGGCAATCAAGATATCAGCTTGTTTGACAACATCCTTGATGTTCTGGGTTTTGGAATGACAGACAATGACCGTGGCATCGGCACTCTTCAAGAGGTAGCTGACCGGGCTCCCCACGATATCGCTCCGGCCAAGGACAACGGCCGTCTTGCCCCGGGGATCGACACCACTCTCCTGCAACAACACCATGACTCCCTTCGGAGTGCAGGGCACGAAGAAAGGTTTCCCGCCTCTTTTTGCGAGCTCTCCAATATTTCTAGCTCCAAATCCATCCACATCCTTTTCGTCCACGACAGCAGAGGTGATTGTATGCTCGGAAAGGTGTTTGGGGAGAGGCAACTGAACGAGGATGCCGTGGACGGCAGGATCGTTGTTGAAGTCAATGATCTGCTGCAGCAGCTCAGGTTCCGAGATTGAGTCCGGTAGATGAACCAGTGCACAGTCGATACCGGCTTCCTCAGCTGCCTTCAGCTTCATTCGCACATAAGTGGTCGAATCAGGCCGATCACCAACTTGGATGATTTTCAAGCATGGTTTGTACCGTGGGTTCACGCCCTGTTTCTCTCGGATCTCCGCTGCCAGCCGTTCTCTGATCTTCTGGGCAATGGCCTTTCCATCGATCTTTGTACCACCCATCTTTAGTGCTGTGCTTGAGAAAAGACGTGTGTGCAGCGAAGGTAAAAGCTGGGGAAGTCCGGCTCGTGTGACTCCTTCGGCGGAGAGGATGGGCGGCTTGAATGGGCCAACCGTCGCGGAGACTGTTCTGGGGCAGACAACTGGTTCTTTAGAGCACCGAGCACTTCTGCTGACCAGGCTGGCTCCAGAGGCAGCCCTGATCGCAGTCAGGCTTATGGGAGACGAAAGTTGAGAGGGTAAAGTCGGAAGGCGGAGAGAACTATTGGAGAAAATTGAGTGACGGAGAATGGCACGACCTGCCAATATATGATCTGGACGCGTCGCACTAGATAATCTGCTGGCCATGTCAGAGCCCCCGGCTCCGTGGAAAACTCGTCTCAGGTGACCAAGGAAGGTGCTATCCCTGGTCTTTGAGTATATCCATCATTGAAAGAGCCGGCTAAAGGTTGAGACGATGTTTTTCGAGCAACCCGTAGGAGGCGCCCAGGAGGTACATGGAATTTTTTGAGTCATCGTGACTCATGCGGGCAGGACGACATGACTCGCGGGATTCGGAGCTTGGCGTCGATTTCTCCCACAGCCAACCCTCCCGCCTGTTCGTGACTCTTCGACTTCCAACACAGACGTTCCAAAAGCGATCTTCTATTTTGACATTTTCAGGTTTAAAAACTCTCACCTTCCTCGACCAACTCCTGCGACGAACATTTTTCTCAAAAGATGAGGCCTATACTCTTGCAAGGCCATGTGAGTGGCCCCAGAAAAAATTTCACTGATGACCGACTGACGGATATTCCAGGAGCGATCGCTCAACCAAATCAAATACAACAGAGAAGGCGATCTTCTTTTCTCGGTGGCGAAAGACAAAGTCATCTGCGCCTGGTTCACCAGCAATGGAGAAAGACTAGGAACATACAACGGACATCAGGGTGCGATTTGGACTATTGATGTATCCCCAAACACCGACCTCCTTGCCTCGGGCGCCGCAGATAACACGATAAAACTATGGAATATTCGCACTGGTGAGAATGTCAAGACGTGGGAATTTCCGACCGCCGTCAAACGGGTTGCGTTCAGTGAAGACGGAAAGCAATTGCTGGCAGTCACAGAAAAGCGAATGGGATACTTGGGAACTATAGTGGTCTACGACATCCGGTACGGCGATGATCTTACAGACCAGACCGACGAATACAGCCTCAGGATCACATGTGAGGAAAGCAAGGCCACAGTTGCGGGATGGAGTTACCTGGACAAGTTCATCATCTCCGGCCATGAAGATGGGTCTGTGAGCCAGTGGGATTCAAAGACTGGGGAACTCTTGTTGACCCAAGAAGCCCATGAGTATGATACCACCATCAACGACCTGCAATTTTCTCCCGACCGGACCTACTTCATCACAGCTGGGAAAGACAAGACGGCCAAGATCCTGTCTTCCCGGGACCTGAGCGTTCTCAAGTCGTATCCTGCCGACACACCCTTGAACACCGCTGCCATCACTCCCAAGAAGGACTTTGTCATCCTAGGAGGCGGCCAAGCGGCTATGGAGGTCACCACAACGTCTGCTCGCCAGGGTAAATTTGAAGCTCGCTTCTACCACAAGATCTTCGAGGATGAAATCGGTCGTGTCCGAGGCCATTTCGGGCCCCTCAACACTATCGCCGTCCACCCACAAGGCATCGCATACGCAAGTGGCGGCGAGGATGGCTACGTCAGAATGCATGCTTTCGACAAGTCTTATTTCGATTTCATGTACGAGGTGGAAAGAGAGCAAGCACGGAAGTGAAACGAACCCCTTTTTCTCTTTCGACATGATACCCACAGTAATGCAATGTATGAAGTTTTACGGATTGGACTGGCGAAGAGCCTTTATGAGCATTCGATGCAGGGGTGACGGGTTCTCGTTCCAGAATGTGCTCTGCCCACAAAACAATCACTTGTGAATGTCAACAGGTCTTTAGTTCCGGTATTTGAGCTTCCGGTATTGGTCCCATCAAGGCCAAGGCAGCGGTGCTACCGCTCTCATCGATGGGAGTGGGGACAATGTAAGCGGCAAGGTCTTCGCAGTTGTGTTTATCTTCCAAGGCAGTCCGCTGGGACAAGGATTGCGCTACCGAGACCACAGCGTTTCGAAAAGTTGTTTAAGACGTCCGGGCAGAACCAAGGGTCGACGTTCACAGGCTTTGGGGCGGAAGAAATGCACGACCGCAATTCAGCCTCATGCTACCCCAATTGAGTGCAAACAAGGAAGAAGAGTGGTCACTACATATCAACACGCTCCAACAACGATTTTTCGACACAGCGTCGATTTGAGAGCGGTCCTGGCGGCTCATACAGGTACCTCTCGTATGCGTGTGCGCATGTCCTCCGCTGCCAGGTGGCCGGTGTCTCGCAGCAGCGGGATCATCTCTCTTTCAAGCTGCCACGTCTTCCCGTGACGGAGCTGCACCTCAGCTCGCACTTTGGTTCTGAAGGGTTTGAGGAGGAAGGCGAAGCGGTATTGTGGATGTGGAACAGGAGGCATGAGTGGTCGACGGTGATTCGATATGAGAGTTAGACACTACCTAGGGATGTCCACAAAACGAGTTCTGTTCGATGTGGTAGACCTCCAGTATCCACATTCAAAGCTGCAGTCCACAAGAAAGCCTGAATCTGCACGATGAATGTTTCCTGCTCTACCGAGCCCGTATCTGTCCTTTGAACAGTGGACGGCTGGAGAGCCAGTTTATTTCGTCTTTCACGCCCATTGTCCATGCACCGCCTGATATTCGTAACTAGCACCGATCTCACCATTGCGTAGAAACTCCCTTTCTTTAGGTTAGCAATATTTCTTTTGGTAATTACATTCCTATGTTCCTAGGTATGTATGATTCAAGCATCTTGGCCACCAGGCAGCGAACCCCTGACACGTGACGAGGCTGAACATTTCGTCAGACAGAACGACTTCCGACTCGAATTCTTTACTGGAAACAATCTGAAGATGGAGAGTAATTGATTTCCTCCAGCTCGTGTCTATTGTGTCCATTGTGTCGGCCAGGTACTTCTTCCGCATTGAGAGCCCATAAAAAGCGCATCAACCTCGCGCAAAGTGGGCAAGCCGGCGAGCAATGGATTCCCTCCCTGCCGCACCCTCACCAGACATTAACACTTTACAGTCCTCGAGTGGCTCTATTCCAAGCCCATCGCTAGCCGTGAGGCCTTGATTGAGATTCAATCCAGTAAGTCCGTTTCAGTTTGCTTCTTCTCTCTCCCTGTTTGGCATAACGACAAATCTTCATTTCATCTGGTGTTGAGTTCGCGCGCGCAATGGCTCTCCCTGGACCACCCTCCATCACCGAACTCATGAACATGGTAAAAGCCAGCATCAGAAAATACCGCGCAGAACAAGCCGCACAAGCCGCGAAGCAAACCGGTGCCGGCGCCACTCCCACCAGAAAGGTATCGTCCTTGTCGCTAGTCAAGAAGATGGCCAGCCTTGCCTCGGAAGAAGAAGACAACATCGAGTACACCTCCCGCACGGCGGACCAAGAAGTCGACACCGTCGCCATCTGTCCATCCCACCGGGACTACATGATCATCGGGACGTATTCACTTCTCAAAAAGGACGACACCTGCGCCTACACGGGCCAGACACGCCGGGGATCTCTGCAGGTCATGACTGTCACGCCGACATTTATCCCCAAATATGCCGGCATGCTACCCCCCTCCTTGGACAGGGTAGATTTTCCCTGCGCGGTGTTGGATATGCATTTCCACCCTTCGGACAGCACGCTTTTGGGCGTCGCTACAAGTAACGCCGCGGTTCATTTCTTCCGATTCATCATCCACGGCGACGTGCTCGGACGGCGGGTAGTCACAAAACTCCTCCCCTTGGGATCTGTCATTGTCTCAGAAAATGATGAGCACGGTCTAGTCCCGCTAGTCACGCAGTTTACTTGGTTTCCTGAGACGCGTAAGCACGGGGTCGTGGGCATCAGTGATGTGACTGATGTGGGGTTTGCGGCGACGACGAGTTTCGGCGATACGAAAGTGGTGAGGCTTTCGGTGCCGGCTGTCAAAGATCTCTTCGACCAGAGGGCGGATCTACCTTTGCAGCAGCTGACGCCCAGCTTGAACGAGGCCGTGCACAAACATGACTTGGAAGCTTGGACCGTTGCAGTCGTGGATTTTGGCAGGGCATCATCGTCATCATCAGCAGCAGCAGGTGAAAACAGGAGCAGCAGCAGCAGCAGCAACTCCCGAATGATCCTCAGTGGCGGCGATGACAGTGCCCTGATCGCCTCTTCAATCCCCGCAACCACCACCGCTACCTCTCCTTCAGCGCCGACTTCAGCATCCCCATCCTCCTACGATACAACACCCCCTATCGCGACACCACTATGGAAAGACCGCCGCAGCCACGCGGCAGGAGTTGTAGCAATCCTCCCCCTCTCCCCCGTCACCGAGGACATGAAATACACCATTCCCCTCATCACAGGGAGCTACGACGAGTTCATCCGCGTCTTCGAGATCGACACCACGACATCCCGCGCCAGCTTCAAGACCGAACTCCGACTCGATGGCGGCGTGTGGCGGCTCAAGGTATTGGACCAGTATTACTCTACCACTAGCAATGAGGGAGGTCAGGTGCACCACACGCTCATCCTCGCGTCCCTGATGCACGCCGGCGCCGCGATCGTCCGCATCACCCGCCGTCTCACTCCCACTGCCGCCACATCCGGCTCATCATCATCCCCGCCTGGAGGAGACAATACGTGGACGATCACGCCCGTGACAGTCTTCCGAGCGGGTCATGAGAGTATGGTCTATTGCTGCGACGCACGGCTCGACAGTCGTGGCAGCACACAACCCACCGACGAGGGTGGAGAGCAGGCTCAAAGAGGCAGCGGCTCAGCAGAATGCCTCCAAGCACCGGCGTACACGATTGTCAGCACCAGCTTCTACGACATGAAGATATGTACGTGGAGGTTTGTGGATACTTTCAAGGTTCACAGCCCGTGACAAGGGAGAGCCAATGGTTTTTTTTCGGGGACCAGCCAGGCTGAACCGAAAGCATTTTGGGGTCTCCAAACTCGAACATACCAGGCGGAGCGCAGCAGACAGCGGTGGAAGTGGGCAGGGAAAGAGAGGAAAGTTCAGGGGTGATGTCAAGCCGGTAAAAACTAAGGTCAGAAGGCTCATACGCCAGAGACTTGGTACATATTCCTGCCGTTTGTGTCTAAGCGCTTTTGTCCCACGGGACTCCTCCCACGCCACCGTCCCTGTGCAAGGCTATGCTCTTTGAGTACGAGTACAATAACCATCCCACTCTCACAGTAAGACCTCAAACGATGCTTTCTAGTTCTCTTGCATACTGAACCATGTGATTGATCACCTCCTTCTCATCCCCTTCTTCGGACTTCTTCGCCGCCTCCGATCCGGGGAACTGTATCCTCCCTTCTTCCAGACTCCAGCCCTGCTCCTGCGCAAATTCCATGACCGCGCCTTCGGACTCTAAAAAGAGGAGATTTTTGGCCGAGGCGATCGGAAGGGATGGATAGGAGCGGGCGGCGCACGAGGCGATTTCGACGCGGATGGTGTTGATGAGGATCTAAAGGTTGTCAAAAACGTCAGCAACTTTTGCAAATAGCACCAGGAGAAAGGGTGGTGATGCATACGTCGGAAAACAGCCCAAACTCTTCACCTGGCACGTCGCGCCCGTTCGTCTTTCGCCAGACCTGGTCATAGCTACCCTCCATAAGGCTCCTTTCCAATTCCATGGGGTATTTAATGTACGGATCGGCCTCGACGCTCGCAGACCCGTTCGCCCCTTCCGCGACGATCAGAGACTCCAAGAGCGTGTGGAAGCCAGCGTAGTCACCCTGGCTGAGTAACAGAAGCAGATACAGGCCCGTGATCTTTGACCGATCTCTCGAAGGCGTCTGCTGGAGGCCCGGGAAATCGTAAAACGGTTGGAGCTGCGAATAGTATCTGACGAAAGATTCCGGGTCTCTTGATCGAATCGAGAGAAGAGCGCCGGCTTCCAGTATCGAGCGAGCGGTTGCTAGTGTCTGTGCCGGCGTTTGAGGGGAGGGTATTAAAGCATTCTGTTGTAGGAGGGCGAGCTTCGCCTTTTGTAACTGTGACTGCGCTTGGGACGGGTCGGTGTGTTGGAGCGTGTGCAGAATCGAGTCGAGCGAGGGCGACTGTGAGGACATGGCTGCAGGCATCCTTGCTCTGCTTTCAGAGGCGCGAAATGGCCTGGTGGTGAGTATCTGAACACTGCTCGCACTCGGGTTAAAGCTGCGGTGACGAGCCTAATGTCTGGGAGAATTTGAGTTGCGGAAGAGAATGGGGGTGAGCAAGGGTATGGAAAAGGGCAGCGAGAATGTGCAGGTCGACTCTTGTACTCTGAACGTCTAGTTCGCGGTGTGCATGGTCAAGGTGAATGAGGCAGTGAGGGCTTGCGCATCGTAGTCCAGCCTGTTCTCCAGATCCTGCTGATTTAAGTTCCCACTAAGCCTAACCTGAATTGGAAAGATACAGCCTCGTCTGTCTGACCCCTTTTTGTGGGCGGGATGTCAAGACTATCAAATGGAGAAATGTGCATATTTCTCTACCTAGGTATGTATGAGATGAGAGGTATGTTCCCCTATGCTTATCTATATACCCAACATCCTCTCATATACTCCACGGCGAAGTTATTACGCCACCCAGAAACCTTAGACCACTCGGACCGGACCAGACCAGGACTCTGCTCGACCATGGCTTTCAGACAACAACCAACAGCTTCCGAGAGAGCTGAAGTCGTGCGAGACAGATGATCAGCCCGCCAACCACTAGTGCACTCCCAGCATACATGGAAAGGGCAAGGTAGCTGGACTTGATTAACTGACCACTGATGGGAGAACCGAAGAGGCCGCTGGAGGAGAAAGACATCAGCATCCCGAATCTCTGTCTGGTGCGATGCACCAAGAATGCTCAACTCACGTCAAGGAGACAATTCCCATTATCATGCCAACTGCAGTGCCATAGGCTTCTGGCGCTGCTAATTTCGTCCCACACGCCACCTGGAGACTCAAAATCGACTAAAACACAAACAGTTGTTTTAGTAACACACTTCATGCCTCCACTGGACGGGACCGAACTTACACCTGAACAGAACCCATAAGCCAAGCTCCACACCACCAGGCCCGCTGATGACTGGGCGGCTGTCCAGCAATATGCAACCACCGCAGATGTCATCGCGGCCAATGAGCACATATTGAAATGTCCATATCTATCAGCGGCCCAGCCGGCGGAAATTCTTCCAAACAGGGAGGCAGCGTTGAGGATGGAGACCAGATAGAACGCGAAACTCGTGGACAGACCGATGCTAACCGCGTATGAGGTCACAAAGAAGAAAGGGGAGAACATTCCCAGGTAGTAGAGCCCAATTCCCAGACAAAAAGTGAGAAAGACGCGGTTCTTGAGGATCGACAAGTCTGTTTTCTTCTTTGTATCCTTCTTCCCAGCCGACTGGAGGTCTCCCTCGGTCGTAGGTTCCTTCGTCACTGGCGGAAGGACGGTGGCGCAAGTAATGACCACGAGCGGAAGCATTGTAAAGGCAACGGCACGCATTGTCCAGCCGAAACTGACGCCATCCTTGTTCAGAAGTTCATTGACCATTATGGGCCATATTACACCACCCAGAGAAGACCCGGCGATCGTGACGCCGGTGGCCAGACCGCGGTTCTTGTGAAAGTGGCGAGAGACCATGGCAAGAACAGGACAGGCGAGAAACGCTTGCCCTATGCCCAGGAGGAGTCCCTGTGCCAGGAAAAATTGGTAATATTCGTGACACAGAGAGATCATGAACATGGCAAGGATGGTTATTGTGCCCCCTATAACGAGGAGAATCTAAATAATACATTAGCAGGGCTGATTTGGTAGTATGCAAAGTCGATTTTAGTCGGTGCTTACCGTAGGGCCTATCCGATCGACCAACAAGCCTGCTGGTGCTGCACTGATGAAGAACACAAACGTGCAGAAAGAGCCGATCCAGGATATGTCGAATTCGGACTTATCGGCCAGCTCATGTGCTCGGTAATAGTCTATGAAGACACCAAACGCATTGAGGAAGCCGACGGTGCAGAAGGTTGACAAGGCGGAACCGACGAGGGTGAGGATCGATCTTGTGCTGTGGGAGAGATGTCAACCGGCGTCCCAAACGAAAGCGGAAGAGTACCGACTTGAATTCACTAGTGTCATTCTCCCCCTGCTTAATCTCTGTCTTCTCAAGATCTGAAGCCAATTCCGGTTTCGTGTCTTGTGCCATGTTGAAAGTTTGTGGAAGTGATTTACTGCTCGAATATCCATATCGATGGCGGAAACGAGGGAAGGCCCTTTTATCAGCATTTTGAATCTTGAGCCAGCCGGAGAGTCCAGGGAGCCGAATATCCAATGCACTTGGACCGTCGCCTGAAACAATAGGACCTGACGTTGTCGTAAATTAACGGGCATGAGTTAGTTTTGTTGTAGCCTGTGGACACCTCGACCAAAGAACGAATGTATTCAGGAGTGGCCAGGGTCGATCCGGGGCTTCCATGGAGTTCCCTAGCGTCTTGTACCCCACAATAGATACACATCTCATTGGTTGCCTGAGCTATAGCGGGTCCACTTGCTTGGTATATGACCAATAGCAGCAGGGAATGACAATAGCTTAGGTAACCCGCTTCCGGCAAGGCTAGCTCAGGCCTCAACTGACGTTCCGTCCTCCATGTGGTCACTTTCCCGCGCGAAACTGAGTCTGCAATTCATGGCTCCTGGATACTCCGCGGTATGAGCATCCTTTGTCTGTTGCGGCCCTCTTGAAACGTCGAATACGGCCAGCCTCAGGAATTATGTCTTTGGGCTTGCGTCGTCATGCGGATGTGCCTCCAAATCCCTTGAAGCGGCCCCGACAGGATCCCATTTCTTGCCAGTTCTGCAGATCGAAGAAATTGAAGTGTAACAGGCAGCAGCCATGTTCGAATTGTGCATCAAGAGGACTTGTCTGCGATGGTAAACTTGCGCCCTATGGCCGGCGCGCGCCCGCGTCCGCGGTGGACGAGGATGCGAGTGACCAGTCTGTTCTTGCGCGATTGAAACGACTCGAGGATATCGTCATCGGGAGGACGTCCATTGTAGATGCGACAGGGGCTGCTGGCTCGGGTACATCTCCGCCGCTGGGTCATTCCAAAGCCATTTGGTCTCCCAGCCTTGCCTGCCTCTCACCGGCCTCGGAATACGAACAAGCCGTACACAGCTTAGAAGAGACTGGCGCCCACGAAGCACCATTGGTACTACCACGAGGCCATGACATCCGGATCATGTCTGTGCACCAGATATCTCTCGATTCTGAGAGACCTCCCCGTTTCCAGCCAGCCTCGAATTCTCTTTGTCTTCCGCCCGAGGAGGAAGCGTCGATGTTGTTGGATCACTATTTCAAATATATTGACAACCTCCAACATGTTGTTCACGTACAGACCGTCCAGAAAACCATGCGGAATCTCTATGCCAGTTTGGAGCAAGGTCTCTTTGTCAGCCCTTCCGAAGTTGCGCTCTTGCTCAGCATCTTCGCGAGTTCTTTGGCACTTTCCGTATACTTTCTGGGAGACATGCAGCCAACGTTCTCGGCCTTGGAAGCAACCCAAGCGTCCGCGTTCTGGGTCAACATGACGCAGGAAGTAATCGAGTCTTCTCGTCGCACGGCTGCAAGGAAGTTGGAGGATATCCAGGCTGCCATCATTCTCGGCTTCCTTCTCTTTCATGGCGAAGGCTTTTCCACTAGAGCTCGTTGTTTATTTTCCACGGCCGCGGCGATGGCGCGCGATCTGTCACTGCACAAGATCGACGCACCGGGCAATGCTGCTAGCCAGCAGAACGCCTTGGAGGCTGAGATACGACGCAGGGTTTGGTGGCACGTCGTGGCAACTGATTGGTATGTACTTGCTTGTTGAACACAATTTCCCCAACAACTCACAAGTATTTGAAAGGTTATTGAGTCTCAGTGGAGGTCCCCAAGAAGGGACATATTTGATTCAGCCGCGACATATGCGCGTGAACATGCCAAGGAACGTCGACGACGAAGACCTCCACCAGGATAGCCCTCCTATCGACAAACCCTTGTCGGAGCCAACCATCATGTCATACTATATCCAGAGAATCAAGCTTGCCGATATCTGCCGGAGCGTGGTCGATGTGATGCCCCTGTCGAGCCTCGAGCTGGGGACCGTCGACTACCAAGATGTGATCCGACTTGACCGAAAATTCGAATCCTTCTTGCAGGAGCTACCCTCATTCTTCAAGGTCGACGAATACAATCTGCGAGCGAGCGAACCGGTCCTCCGTCGATACCCACAGATACAAATACAGCGCTTCGCCCTAGGTATGATTGGACACACCCGACGGTGTAAACTCCATCAGCCCTTTCTCATCCGCCGCGCCGTGCAGCGCCATTACGACTATTCTCGCGAGATATCGCTCAAGTCGGCCCGCTCGGTCATCAGGATGAAAGCAGTCCTTGAACCAAACGAATCGGGCAATCTTACAGCACGCGTCGCAAAGCATACCGGGGTGGTCTACCACATTTTCTTGGCGACCATTGTGCTGGTCATGGACCTGTGCTTCAACAAGGCCGCCGAGGGAGAAGATGACGCTGCACGCAAAGCCGAGGTCGTCGAGGCTTGCAAGATGCTGGAAGAGGCCAAATCCCAGTCCCGCATGGCGCAGGAGTTTCTCGGATCCCTCATGGATGTGCTCAGAAAGCACAAGGTTCGCTTGCATGCGGCGCCTCACCCTCCTGCGCCTGGCGTGGCCATGGAGCCGCCGTCTCAGCAGCAGCAACCTTTGCAGCCGCAAATACCTGTGGATCCTGTGGCACAACAACCACCGGAGTCGTACGACAATCCTTGGCCCTCTGAAGACATCGGTCAGCACTACCTGTCGGATTTTGACGAGATATGGAAGGAGTATGTCGAGTTGGGGCCCATGATAAGCATGACAGGTTGGGATAGCCTCTTTTCCGACCTTGATTCGAGAATGTGAGCGTATTCTGTTGCCAGCGTGGGATTGCGTGAACACTGCCTTTACTAGCCAGAAGCCCTCCACTTGAAGGTGGATTCATTAAGAACGTTATATATTTTTATGGCGGATAAGAGGAATGGTCATTTCCTCACCCTCCTAGCATGCCTGACCAGATTCTCGATGACGCCCTCAAAGGCTTCCTTTTCCTTGACCAATCCATCCCTTCTCTTCAGCCAGTACTCCAAGACTTCACTTGTTCTGGCCGTCAATCCATTTAATTCCTCGACGTGGCTCTGCAATTCTTCATCGGTTAGGCCTTCTAGCTTTTCTTCGGTGGTGGCGCAGAGGCGTTTAACAGCCGCGAGGTCTAATTCTGGTGGCGGAGGGGGTCCCTTCGGTTTTCTTGAACGAGATGCTCTTTGGCCTTCCTTGGCAGCACCTGACTGTGTGCTGTCAAGCGAGGCAGATGAATCATTGGCACCAGCTTGTGCCTTGAGACGTGCTAGGGAACCTATTGTCTTGTCTCCTTCCGATCTGCGCGACGAGGGTTCTAGATTGATATCCGGCAGAATGAGCTTCTTCTGTTTGCTCGGCGGCAGAATCTCGTCCAGGTCAACCGGTACGCCGAGACTGACTAGGAATAACCGCCGGATTCGCGATTGCGTCCAATTCGGCGGTTGAAGCGGAGGTGGTGTGATGAGTTGCTTCCAGAGTGAGCGTGAGCGGTCCGAGGGGAAGATGGGCGAGGAATCCGGGATCGGTTGCTGTGGTGGAATTCGAGAGGAGTAGTCGGTTGTGGAAGATGGGAACATGGCGTCTAAGTGCATTTGTGCGGCAGTAACGAAGTCTGGTATTGATGAAAGGGCACCAGAGTCGATCAAGGGCTGCAATTGAATGCATATCAGCACAGTAGAGGGCAAAAGCGAAGATGGTAAACTTACGAATGCATCAGCTGGTATAAAACTTGATTGAGAAGTAGATACAGGAGGCGGTGACTCGACATTTTCAGGTTCTTGAAAGCCATCGCCAAAGTCCCCAAAGTCATCATCAGCCCCGGCTTGTGCGCCTTCTTCAAACTCATCGAAATCGTCTCCGAAGTCGTTGTCATTATGATCGTTGCCATTGTTGTCATCGTCATCGTCGTCGTGTAAGGTGGATCTCCGCCTTGTGGCATTCAAAGATCTGTTGAGAATTGGTGACCCTGAATCAGGTCAATGGTCCTCCTAAAAGGCTGGTTCATATGCTGTATTTACCTGCTCCGCTGCCCTGCTTCTCGGTAATATCTGGTGCAGCGTCAAGTTTTCGCTTCTTTTGCGCTTCTGTGCCTGGGACTTCGCCATGGGCGGGGTTACTATCGACCCGGGTAACGATAGTTTCGGGCACTTGAATATCTGGGGAGATAGAAGATCCCTCTCCGTCTCCTCCCTCATCGTCGTTGTAATGTTGTCTCCTCCCAGGCTCCGGAGTCTTCAAAATGACATCAGGAACGGCATCCATCCGTCTCTGCAGGTAGGCCGAAGTCTTTGGGATTTCACCATAGCTTGGAGATTCAGGGTCAAGCTTCTCAACGACAGTACGTGGTATGAGAGTCCCTCCCGGGGTTGTGGGTGGTTCGAGCAGCTGAGAGGAGCGTTTACTGAGGCGACCTTCTTGGACAACCTCAACCTCATCAGGCACAGCATCGAGGACTCGCTTCTCGTACGCAGGCGTGCCGGGAACCTCGCCATATCTTGGCTCATCGTCGACCTTTTCAATTCGTGTCTTTGGAATGGGAGATGCTGGAGTGACAGGCCGGGAGGGTCTTTTCTGGCCCTCTGAGGCATCTGAGAAGTGTTCGTCTTCGCCTTCTGACGATACTGTGGTAGACATTAGCTCTTTGGTTGATTTTGATCGCAAGTCTTAAGGCGGGCTTACACTCATGAGCACCAGGATCCTCTAGTTCGACACTTTTCCTGGGAGGCTCAAGATGCAGACTGTTTCTCGATGATGATGGTCTCGACATCTTTATTGCTGGATGAGTACCAACCTACCTCCCAGTGTTAAGGTCAGAACCGACTGATCAGAGGTTCATATGGAGAGAAGGAGAGGGTTGCAGGATGAAAAGGGTGAGAGAGGGCAGAGGGAAGAGGGAAGAGGCACGAGAGGCATGAGGTAGTTGGTTCAAGAATCCAAGCGCAGGCTGTGCACCGTTGGCGTCTATTTCCTTTTTGGGCACCTGGGCACCCGCTCCGCGAAGCCACTGCGTCCCCATACATAGTCCACCAACTTTTTTGCTCCGCGCCTGAGCGCGTCCTGATCAAACATCGCCAACTGTCAACTGTCAACCGCACCCTTCGCCCTAAACCATTCTTTGTGCAATCACGGACATTAATCTGCCCTTGTCTCTGTCCAGTGCCCCCTATATCTTGCCGAGCCTTCTTCTCCTGCGATGCCATCTCCCTAGATACGAACCGACTCATCGATTGGAAATTCCCGTGCTGCTGTCGCAAAGATGGCCTTCTCTTTTGGGCAGTCTTCTACCAGTGGCGGGAGTGGACAGTCACTGTTTGGAACATCTAATACACCCCCATCATCATCGGGACCAAGTCTGTTTGGGGGTGCGCCAACATCAGCAGCGAACACGGCGTCATTCAGTTTTGGCGGATTCAAGCCATCAACAACAACGTCTGCTCAACCGCAAGGTCTATTTGCCAGTGGTGGTGCAAACGATAATAAGCCTGCTCCTCCTACGTTTGGACAACAGAGTGGCGCCCCTGGCAATCCTGCCTCCGCCAACATTTTCGGGTCAAAGTCGCAGAGCAGTGATGCTACAAAGCCATCGTTTGGAGGGTTCGCAGGATTTGGCACCCCAGACAAGTCATCCACTCCTACAACATCAGCCCCGTCATTGTTTGGCTCTACAACCCCTGCTCCAAGCAAGCCGTTCAGTCTGGGCGCAAATTCAACTACGCCAGCCGGGCCTCCTCCAGCCAGCTCGGCCTTTGGCGCAAGTACAGGCGGTGCCGGCGCTGGAATTTTTGGCGCAAAACCAACCGAAGATGCTTCCAAGCCATCTTTTGCGTTCGGTAAGCCAGCAGCCCCAGCAGCCTCGCAACCTTCTGGAAACCTCTTTGGTGGTTTATCCGGCGGGTTCGGTCTGCAAAAACAAGCAGAGTCCTCGTCGACAGCGACCCCGTCAATGACTGCTGCTTCTGCCCCTGAGTCAAAGGGCTTTTCGTTTGGCCAGCCTACCTCAAATTCAACGACCATTCCAGCACCGGCAACTTCGCAGCCAGCTGGTGCTCCGTTGTTTGGCGAAGCACCGAAACAAACTACAACACCGAATATGTTTGGGAAGCCAGCAACAACTGAAGCTCAAGGGTCAGCCGCCAAGCCGACCTTTGCATTCGGACAGCCTGCCGCAACACAGGCTTCAGGCGCAGCGACGCTTGGGACTTCTGCTCCTGCCCAAAAATCACTTTTCTCTGGATTCAGTCTAGGCGGCACACCGAGCACTTCACCAGCAACCACTACGGCCACCACGACTGCACCGGCAACTTCTGCGAGCCCGCTCTCCTTTGGTGCTCCAGCCGGTGCGACAACGTCTCAGCCAGCCAACACTTCAGCTCCCCCGGCAAACTCCTTCTTTGGCAAGCCGGCGACGACGACAAGTCAACCTGCCACAACGTCAGCTCCTGCTCCTAGCTTTTTTCCGCTTGCCAAGCCGGCAGCCTCGTCTACTTCACAACCTGCTACTACGTCCGCTCAGACAGCTGGGACAGCTCCTGCGCAGGCCTCGTTTCCAGGTACAATTGGTGGTCAGACTTCAACGGCAGGTCCAACCCCGCCAGCTCAGTCCCGTCTTCGCAATAAGACCATGGACGAGATCCTCACCCGCTGGGCGACTGACATGTCCCGCTACTCGAAAGAATTCAAGGACCACGCAGAGACCATCGCTCATTGGGATCAGTTGATTGTTGACAACTCCTCGAAGATCGACAAGCTGTACGTGCGTGCCCGGACGTGCGAACGACAGACTGTGAGCGTGGATATGCAACTTACCGCCGTCGAAAACTCGCAAGCGGAACTGGAGTCCTGGTTGAGTAAATACGAGAACGACGTGGATGAGATGCTCGCCAAGGATTCTGCCGCTCCCGGTGAAATGGCTGGACCGGATCAGGAGAGGGAGAGGACATACAAACTGGCGGAGAAACTGGGGGAGAGACTCGAAGAGATGGAGAGAGACTTGGAAAATATGGTTGATGAAGTCAACGCCGCGAACGCGAGCCTCAGCAGGAGTGGAAAGGGAGATGAACCGGTAAGCCAATGTGGCCTCGTCCAAAATCATTTTGTGTTGAGTGGGGAGCTAACGAACATGTCACAGATCACACAAATCGTCAAGATCCTCAATTCGCACTTGATTCAGCTGCAGGCCATTGATCAAGGAACTCAGACTTTGCAGGAGAAAGTTGCTGTGGCGCAAAAATCGGCGAGTCAGTTGGGGTATCTGACCGGCTACGGGTCATCTTCCACAACCAATGGCAGCAACACCGGTGCAGCCGTCCAGGATTTCTATCGGAGTTACATGGGAAGGAGATGATGACATTGAAACGGATCTTATCAGTGTCTCAGGCAACGAATGAACTTGGCTTTCTCCAATGGAAGGGTGCTTTGGGTACTGTGAGAAGCGAGGGAACGGAGTGAGGAACACCTCAGCTAAAATTGCAAGTTTGTAAGACTAGAGCGATCAGATGTCGAAGAGTTTGACATTGAAAGTGCACTCTCGATCAACATGGGAGTGAAGACGTATGATATTGCCAGGCCGGTAGGCGAACTTCTGTACATCCGAAGATTCATGCTTGTCCAGTGAGCTAGTATTTTCCATTGCTTTGCTGTTGGGCATTCATCCCTCCACAAACTTGCTTCTCAGCGTGCTCCTCGTTGTCCTCTCTATATCTGCGCCCGACCCTCTGTTGTCAATTTGAGAGGACACAAAAGATGTCGCTTCCCATTTACTTGTCCTTGACATGTTGAGGATCTTCACCACCGGCGTCCCTCTCCAACTCTTGGATATGCTCATCCAGTTCATCAAGGTGTTTCCGTTGTTGGGCCAGCTTCTCCTTCAGTTTTCTCAAGCTGTTTTTGAGGTGTCAGCGGTCTTGAATCGAAAGGGCTCTTCATTGATGCTTGAATTGCTTGGAACGTACCTCTCCATTTCTTTCTCTCTGATGAACTTTGTTTCGCTGGCTTGCTCGCGTTTGGTGAAAGCGTCACTGTTTACCATCAAATTAAGTGGTTAGCGGGGGTATTGATGGCTTGACGTGTACACGCCTGGACCGTCCAGAGACTAGGGCGAAAGGGCCAGATATCAGGAGGAGTGAGTGACTTACCCAGCAGCAGATCCACCATATCTGGGTGCGCCCGTATCTCCTTCAGAAGCTCGCACGGCCGTGATGGAAAAAGATCGACGGACCGAGGGAGCAGCAGAAGCTCTTGCGAGCTTTATGACTTGTGTTCGTAGCATTTTTCTCGGATGACACAGGGTAGATCGAGGATTGGAAGTGATGGTTGCTAGATGCAGGAAGTGGTAGTTGAAGTCCGGGTGCGGGATTGACGACTTGAGGAGCTCGCCTGTACACTAGGTGACAAGCTGGTAGCGGTGGAGTAGATGACGAGCACGGGAAAGCCTGCCTCGTCTCGAGTGCTTGACCGTACCTAGGGATGATCAGGCGCTTACTTCTACGGAGGAGCGAGAAGGCCAGCTGAATGCCGGAATGAGCACGTGATGTACTTTCCACGGTGTCGAAACTACCCTGTAAAAGCGGCAAAGGGGCCTCGTTGGCTTCCAAGGGCCCTGAGGGAGTGAATATCTCTGAACGCGGACTTCCAAGGGGCCTGGATCTGCAGGTTTGTGGAAGGCAATCAAATCTCTATCCGAACCGTCAATGCGTGTCGATGAAACAAGTGAGGCTGGGGAGGCACTGGAGGAAATTTGAATGCAGGAAAATCAAGCGGCACCAAGCGGCGGCAGGTTATGTCAGTGGCAGTCGTGGCCCAGATGGCTCGGTGGCTCGAGGGCTGATGGGCCTTGGAGTGGCCCCTGCACCTTTAATCGGGGCTCACTAGGCCAAGCCTCTCTGGAGTCTGGCTTGTGAAAGTGTGATTCCCCCTTCGCTCCTGTCGCCCTGTTTGGGGCCTGCCCTCCTCCAGTCACCGGCCAGTGCCACCAGTAACCAGCTGCCTCCCACTCTTGGTGCCTCTGCTCCTCCCACTCCCTGCGGCTACCTTTTTCACTACTGTAGGGGACGCCTGCAGGCTTGCGCACACTCTCCTTCGTCTTTCTTTCTTCCATACCAACAACACCCTTTCTGCGTTCACCACCACCACCACACCCTCTCTTCCTTTCGCATCCCCTGCAACCTTGCTCGATCTCTCGAGTTGTCACCAGTGCCAGTCCAGTCGGCCTCACTATTTTCTTCCAACGGTAAGCTATCCCCCCCAGCATCGTCGCCTCCTTCACCAGCGCTCTACACGTACCCCACGTCGTCTAGCACTTGCACGGGACAACCATCAACTGCGCCGCCGGTCACTTGAGCTTCAGCCGGATGTAGGAATCTACCTTGGGTTCGCGCGGGTCTCTTGACACATGTGCCTCACCCTTTCAACACCCTGTCCGCTTGCGATCCCAACAAAAGTGGCCTCATTGACGTCAATTCCCGCTCCTGGATTGTCCACCACTATCTCAGTTTTGCACAGCTACGACTGCGGCGGAACTGGAAGGAAATCGTTTCTTGTGCATTCTCTGTAGTCGCAACACCAAACATTCCCTCTTGTTTCCGGCCTTATCGCGGTCCGGGCTGTTTGTTGACATTTTTGCCATTTGTTTGTGTTGGATGCCTTGGCTAATCAATCACCACCCGCAGGTCTCCTTTCCTTTTTGAATTCTCCAAACATCAAAAATGGGTGTAGAGGAGTCAGTCTACTTAGCGAAGCTTGCTGAGCAAGCGGAGCGATATGAGGGTAATGTTCACCTTACCCGGACCTGGCCTGTTCTCAGCTAATCCATGAGGCAGAGATGGTCGAGAACATGAAGGTCGTTGCCTCCGCAGACCAAGAGCTCTCCGTCGAAGAGCGAAATCTCCTATCCGTTGCCTACAAGAATGTTATTGGTGCCCGGCGTGCTTCTTGGAGAATCGTTACCTCCATTGAACAAAAGGAGGAGTCGAAAGGCAACGAAGCCCAGGTCAAGCTGATCAAGGAATACCGCCAAAACATCGAGAAAGAGCTTTCCAAGATCTGCGAAGACATCCTCGATGTCCTCGACAAGCACCTGATCCCGTCCGCTCAGACCGGAGAATCCAAGGTCTTCTATCACAAGATGTAAGCCGACCTTTCCCTATTGGTCACAGCTCCTCTAACTTGTTCGACAGGAAGGGCGACTACCACCGTTACCTTGCTGAATTCGCTACTGCCGAAAAGCGAAAGGAATCCGCGGACAAGTCTCTCGAGGCCTACAAGGCTGCTACCGAAGTCGCTCAAACCGACCTTGCGCCCACTCACCCCATCCGACTTGGTCTTGCCCTGAACTTCTCTGTCTTCTACTACGAGATCTTGAACTCTCCCGACCAAGCCTGCCACCTGGCCAAGCAGGCATTCGATGATGCCATTGCTGAACTCGACACCCTGAGCGAAGAGAGCTACAAGGATTCTACATTGATCATGCAACTGTTGAGAGACAACTTGGTGAGTTGCAAAAATTACCATGAACTGTGCAATCCTTTCTCTAACAAGTCTTTAGACTCTTTGGACCTCTTCCGAGGCCGAGCCGCAAGAGGCACCAGCTGGTTCGTCAAGCGAAGCTCCCAAGGAGTCCGAGGCAGCGCCTGCCCCCGAGGCCAGCGCAGAAAAGGCCGAGTAAAGAGGATGTGTCCTTAGTGGCCATGAAGTCCGTTGGCAAAGATATCCCCGCTGTTCCGGCGAGCAGACGATGAGAAAGGGCTGGGCGGCAGCATCACTTGCAACAATCTTTCCCACTTATCATCCTCTCCCTGATATCACCACCCCCATTACCACCGACAGCCCTTTTGCAGATGGACTACGGCAGACAAGATAATCTGCGGTGGCGTGCGACTACCAACAATTGTCCCATGGAAGAGTAGCTGCTTTAGGTACTTTTTTAGACCCAAAGACAGGAGAAGAATAGCAATATGTGATCGGATCAGTGATTCTCCACGTGACGCCCTTTTTCAAGTTTGTGCACGCATCTTTTTTGTGTATCTCATGCTCATCCTATCTGTCTATCCGCACTATCTGATTTTTAGCGGTGAATGATTGTCGATGAATGATACTGATGATAAGCGTCGGGCCAAGGCCAAAAGTCTCTGAGACCAAAACCGGTCAAATTCAAATCGCTGCATCACCCCTTGAAGGTGGAGATTTCCCAGATTCGACTTTCTGCTTTGCCCATCCAATCCCTTCTCCCGTCCTCGTCTAGTGACTTCCACTCATCTCATCCGCCAACGGCACGGTTGACCTTTGAGCCTTTGAGCGAAATCTGCTGCCTTTTCTGATTATGCATTCTTCTTCTTCTTCATCCCTGTTTTCTCATCCCTGCAGTGCCTGCGTCCCCGAGATGATGCCGTTATACCCCCAACTCACCGAGCAGAGATTCTCGTCTGTGACTTGTCCCGAGCGGACGAGTTGTTCGCGCGCTTGGAGCATGGCGTATGTGAATGAGGGCTGTTCGGGGGGAGGGAAGCGGATTGGACCAGCTGAACCACCTGTACCGGTGGTGGAGGAAGGGGAGGTAAAAGGGGAGATTGAGGTCGAGGTCGGTGAGGAAGCAGTTTGGGTGCCTGGTTTCAAGAGGCCATGTGTGCTATCGTCATTGGGGAGGACGGCGTAGCCATACCCATACCCATACCCATACCCGTAGCTCGAGTTGTTCGAGAACTTGGTGGGCGGGGATGGCGGTGGGGATGGGTACGGGTCCGGGTCGACTCGTCGTCGTGGTGGGACTTTGGGCTTGAGGTCTTCGAGGGTTCCGCTGGTCGTGGAGGTGGTTATGCAGTTGTCGTTGTCGTTGCTGCTGCTGCTGCTGTTGGTGGTGGTGGTGGGTGAATCAGGACTTCCAGGAGAGGAGGTCGGCGAAATGCTCGTGTCTAGGGATGGTGTGGCGCTTCTTGGGGTCGTCACGCTCGGTGTAGATGTCCTGGTCAATGTTGATGACTCTGTCTCTGCCTCGACTTGGACTTCGACTTCGACTCCTTCCCCGACGTGCAAATGGTCCTGTGGGTGGGAATTAAATAGGGCAGGATGGGCTTTGGCACTGGCATCATTGCAGGTGCTTGCAGATTGATCATCCTTCTTCGTAACCTCTTCTTCCTTCGCTTTGCGTCCGTTTGGGACTTGGTCGCCCACAAGCACATCACCCAGCGCATTGACGCACTGCCCATTGCACCGCTTAAAGTACAAACCCTTGGCGAGGGCGCTGGTCGCGAGACAGGCCTCAAGTCGCTCCTTTTCGGCGACAAGCAACGCCCGGGCCTCGGCGGCAGCGGCGGCGTTGATGGCGCGGAGCATAAGTGTCGCTGGGCTAAGGGTAGACTCGTCGTCGGCGGCGGCGGCGGCGACGCAAGTAGAACCAGAGGAGCCCGGGCCGGGGCGTAGTGAACCTTGAGTGCCCGCGCCAAACCGAGAATCCATGTCCGCATCCGGCTCGACGTCGAGTTGGGGTCCCAGGGTGCAAGTAATGCCGCTGTCCAGCAATGCCGTGATGTTCCTCAGCTTCTCCCTCGCGTACTGATCCATGACCGCCACCGCCGCTCTCGGCTTGAGCACCACCTCCGGCTCGGGGGAGTAGATACAGCCGCCGCCATGAGCGTACTTGATCTCGGGCCACGGCTGGTCCATCTCCCTAGCGGTAGCCTTGCCTGAGATGTCGCGACCATTGCCTCTCGTCGCCGGGGCGTGGACACCCCGACGGGAGACGACGGTGTGCTGGTGCTGGTGCTCGGTTACCGTGGTGACCTTGACCTTCTTGCGCAGGTCTTCTTTTGACTTGGCCGTGATCGTGCTTGTGATGACGGGGAATGTTGGGATAGGTGAGTAGAGTGGGTGGACAAGGGAGCGGATCTCCTTCAGGACTGCGTCCTCCAAGGCTGTGGATTCGGCTTGAGTATCGGCACTAGGTGGCTAGATTAGTTTCGCTGTTCCTTTTTCTTTGCTTCAAACCTCGTGTACGATAATGTATTTTGGGAAGAGAATGGGCAGGAATACGGCAGAGTCAACAGATGAAAGATGAAACGACCAGTTTCTGGCTTCTGGTCTCAAGGTCGACAGCTTGTGGAGACTTCAGCGAGGAGCCGAAGGTATAGCTTCAAGGTCACAAGAGGGGAATAAAGAACAGTCGATCTCGCACGGTTGCATTTCAGCGCCTCGTAGAGATAGACCTATCGATGCCGAGCTTGTCGATGACCCAACCCACATGCATTCACGGTGCCATGGTCGACACAAAGCCTGTCAGAAGCAGGACTGAAAGAACAGAATAACAAAAATGCCATTCTCACTCTTCCCTGAAGGCAATCTCAAGTGTCGTACGCGGCTATTTGATTGCTGAAATGTCCAAGACCGAAGGTACAACAAGAGGAGCACGTAAAGGAGGAAGAGAGAACTTGAGGTCCAGAATGCACATGTGATGGAAAGACATGGTGAACTTACGCATCTCTGTGTTTCTGGCAAGTCTCAAAAGTGACTTTCGTCTTGCCATCGCAGGTTCTGAGCTCGTGGGCACGGACACAGGCTGGACATGCCTCATAGATATCGTGGTCCCAGTCGAAGGACAGCGGACCGAGAAGGGAAGATTTGAAAACAATGAGGAGCACCATCTTGCTCAGTCGCAGCTCAATTGTAGTGACAATGGTAAACAACGAAGTGGAAGCAGAGCAGGTGTGAAAGGATAAGGACATATATAAGGGAACGGGTGAAAGTGGTGATCCATCACATGCCATGAGTGCTGTCACAGAGGTCCTCACCCTAGCATGAATTTGTCGTTGATTCTAGGTCAACAGATTCTCAACTCATATCGCCTCTGGTTCACTTATCCTTCTGTCCTGTAGATCGATAAACACAATAATTCTGAGTTGATAATGGCCCTCTGGGTCACAACGAGGCGTGTTCGGAACCAAGTGCTTGGTTCTTCCCTGTGAGTCGCATCTGCTTGTCGTTGTGCTCCTGGATTCAACCTTATTCTTCCATCAATCCAATCACTTGTGGCCATTGATACTATAGCATTTCCAGCCCGAACGGTTCCACTGGTATCGTCTTCCACACTCCCAGAAGAATAGAGCCGTGGACAGCGCTGACAAGTCGGGTATGGCCCGCTTGAATACACTTGATCGGCTTGACGACAAGTGGACGCCTGGAAGAGCGCTTGCAGGACATCGATGTACCAGCGTGTTCGAGATGTTGAACAGCTGATTCTGTGGACATGATATGGATTCTGACATGATATATCGTCCGCCTCAAGGCATCAGAGAGGTAGTGATCTTCACCTCTGGGAGTCGCGTGCAGACTCGGACGACCGTCTCCGCCAGTAAATCTCAACACTATGCCACAACAGACGGTGACATGGAGATACTCGCAACCGGCGATCACACATCATGCGCAGTATCAATTCCCCACTGCAACATGTCTTGATGCTTTGCCATCGTCGACGGCCGGAACTCGGGTACATGCAGAGTTGAGAAGATGCGACTGGCTTCGATGCGGCTCCTCCCACTTGATGGGCAATTGGTTTACCCAGCGGCCAGCATTTTAGCTACTTGGTAGGTGTTGTTTTCGTTGTTGTCATTGGCCCAAGGCATTGAGACGCGGAGATATTTATTCCTTAACGGTCCCTTTCCCGAGGCAAAACACTCCCACATAGCGATGGCGAGTGGGAGGCTAGTTTGATAGCAAGAGTCCAGCGCAGAGGTCGATTGGTGGTAGCATCCAGCTTTGCTAATGGCACCATTCGCTCTCTGCATATTCTGAGAAGGACAAATCGCCTCGAGCGAAGCCGAGATATTGTTCACCTTCGCGGTCATTTAGATTTTGAATCTGAGACATCTGATCTTTCCGTTGAAGATTTCCTGAGGGTACGCTGGGGACGATGGCAAAGAGCAACACCAAAAAGGCACAGAACGACAAGGTCGACGACGTGGACGGCCCACCAGAGCTTGATGTTCAGACCACACATCTGAATGTGGTACTTCCATTCGCTCGTTTCGAAGTCGAACCAAGCACTGAGGAGTCCGGCATTGCCCCCGTAATCCCCCATCATGCTTCGGAGCGTAATTTCTCGAATTCCAGTATGTGCGCTGCTGTGATTGGCGTGCTGCCATTTGCAGCTGTCCCACGAAGTCTGCTGCTGTTCGCCGCCATTCTCTAATGTTGATCCGACAGATTCAGAAGGTATGAAATGCCAGACATCACAGCCTTCGTGGTCATGACCTGTCAGGATGAGGCCCCTTCTCCCCTTGCCTTGAGCTGGCGCACCAATATCACCGCTCATGCCGAACAATGCCTGCAAAGTGCCCCTCTGACTCGTCTGCTCGCTTAGATGATTTTGTTCTCTCACCCCATGAGGCTTTAAAACCCCACCGCCGTTGTCGTCGCCCCAATAGTCGAAGAAGGGGGCATCGACGCACGTTCCTTCTTTCTTGTGGAGCGGCAGGTGCGTGAGCAGGAGGGTGAAAGACGAAGGGTCTTCCACGGGGCGCAGACGGTGAGAGATCAGGTCGTTCAGGTACTCAAAAGTTTCGGTCTGGATATCCTCTGACAGAGCAGGGGAGTCCAGAACAAGGCTGTTCAAGACAATCAGATGCAACGATGGCTGGATATCCGTCTCAGTCGTGGGCTCGGTACTATTAAGCCCAGGATATCGGAATCTAACATCCCAGTTGGCTCTCCCAAAGACCTTCTCAAAGCGGTCGATCCTACCTCGAGAAATGTCTCCAGCATATCCAATGTCGTGATTACCGGCAATATTGATCAGCCGTTGATTCCAATGCGCATCATGCATCTCGAAAATCGCTTCTTGGTCTTTAGCGCTCAGACTTGTGACATCGTCTTCCACCTTCTGCGCACTTGCAAAGACTCTGTTCCAAAACCTCCACCCTCTCCATGCAAACTCTTCGTCCGTAACCCATTGGCTGCCGATCAGATCTCCAAGCACAGCCACGTGCGTAGGCTTCGTCCACCAGTGAAGCGTTCTATATATGTGGCCCAAATAGTAGTCATTGCCAAATAGATCAAGTCGTTTTCGGAGGGCCAGCAGTGCCTCGGGTAGGTCTTCCAGAACCACCTCTTGCACGCTCTCGTATGCACAAGACAGCCAATGTTGTGGGTCTTCTGCGGACAGCTTCGCCCAATGCTGCCTTAGCTTAGGGATCAACCCATCCTCGGGTTTGGGAAGGGAGCTGTCACCTTCAAGCTGGGGATCAGCGAGGGCTAGCAATCGGAAAGGGACTCGCGCATGGTCTGGATGGACGTCTAAGCCACCCAAAGGGGCCCAGTGTTGCTTGAATGCCTCAGTGAGTGCGGTGACAGGCGAGGCATCTCTCGATGGGAAGGCACATCCGTGGAAAAGTGGATAGAGGTAGAGGTAGGTGGTCAAGCCGATCGCGATTGGGGTTAGAAGGCGCAGCAACTTGTCTGCATGTTCATATATGTACATCGAATCAAAAGGAAAACAGGACAGAAAGAGCCGAACACAAGAGCAAATGCAGAACAGGGAGAAACCATGAAGAGTGGGCTCATTGTTGAGGGATAGGAGGCGCTGAGCGCGACGTTTGAGAGACGACGCGGTTACAACGCACTCGGCGCCTCTTGCTTCACGCGATATATGATTGGCCAGCCTTGCAGATATCAGGCTGAGCCTTGCCCCTTGCGGCCATTTGCTGAATCGACTTATTCGCAGCCTGGGAAAGGAGTAAGAAGTTGAGAAGTATTATGTACTCCCGGATATATATATTATGTGCAGGACAAGATAAATAAATCTTCCCCGTGGATCATCATGTCTTTATTTCCCGCTCCGCATCATCCTCGGGACGTGCTGTCGTCCCGCTCGTCAGACCTGTGCCTAATTGAAGATTCATGTCCGACTCGTTGAAATCCAATCCTTTTATATTCAAGCCGCTCTCGCTCTCACCCTTCTCGTCCCGTGGCGTTGGCATCTCAGCCAACTCGGCTATATCTTCTGTGCCTTTGAGGGCCGGGGGTCGTTCTTTTCTTGCCCGAGCTTTGGCCAAGCTGATGGTTTTTTGCCGGTTCGTGGTCTCAAAGTTTGCTAGATCATGCTCGATGGTGGCTTTCAAAATCTCAGCCATCCACTTCCTTCCCGCAGTGATGTTGTCAACTTGGAAAACGTGAATGGTGGGCTTTGTGAACTGTACTGCTCTTGAAGTTCCCGCCTTGGGGGGAACAAGCTTGAAATAGAAAGGCGCGTTTCCACCTGTGCTGCGCGTGACATTGGGCGAAGTCTCCGTAGACGATCCAGAGGCACTGATGGAAGGTGTGGATTTTGTTCCAGTTATGGTGGCTTGAAGTGAGGTGATCGGGTCGGCCGTAGTGACAAGAACTTTATGTCCAGATATATCGATAATACCTTTCTCCTCTTTGTCGTTCTCTGAGTAGTAATACGACAACCGACGGCCTCGGAGGATGAACAGCCTGGGTTTCCACTGTGACACAATGCCGCTAGATCTTTTCTTCATCCAACCGTAATGGTCACAATGCTTCCGTGCCTCTGCAGGCGATAATTGTAGCAAACCTTTCGTGTAGGCGCTTGTTTGTCGCTTAGTCTTTGGATTGGTACGTACAATGGTTTTCGTGTGCAATAAGGGGCCCAGCTGTTCAGCTGTACCTTTCGAAGAGGTGTCCGTATTGTCCATTTCGAAGCTACGCGACGTCGCAGAAGGAGTTTGGGACCCAGAAGGTGACGCGGTAGGGCTCTCTCTTAAGGGGTCAGATGTAATGTTTGACGAACTGGCGGCTTCCTTTTCAGGTCCGGTAACGGCATCAGAGGCTGCTCGGATCCCCAACAACTTTCGTGCCTTTGTTGACGATGTCCAGGGCGCTGTTGTTGCCGCAGCAGGAGACATTGGTCCACCAATAGCTTTGGGCGAGGATAGAGCTGAGAGACCATCATCCTCCAAGTTCGTCACTGTCGGGGACTGCGCAATTGGAGACCGCTGCGTAGTCAAATTCCTCGCACTTGCAGAACGAAACCGTCCTTTATATGATCTGCTGTGATACGCTTTTGCGGCCGAAGAGATGGGAGCGCCTCTGATGGAATCAAGGCTGCTGAGTCGCGAATGTCGTTTCATGCCAAGAGCTTCCTTGGATGAGTCATCGAGCACGCTCGATTGACGGGAATGGCTGGCACTTTCCATACCTCCTCGCTTCTTGAGTAGGGTCCTCGCCTTTCTATTGTCGACCTCATTCCCACTAAAGTAGCCGCGGTCGAGATCAAAGGTAGAAAGCTCGCCACCAAATTCTGCATCTGCATCCAGGTCCATGCTTGTGATAGGATTACTGATATGCAGCCTGAGCGACGGGGTACTCCCACCGGTGTTTGCAGTAGTTGCGTTGCTCATCGACCATTCTTTATCGAAAGATGCATTTTTCTTATGTGGGGGAGAAAGACTGGCGCCACCTAGGGCCGAAGTATCCTGAACTCCTGGTTTTACGAAGTCGATGGAGGAATGGCGTCGAGACGAATTCAGTTCCCGTATCGAAGAGGCTGACCGTCGGGTCGGGGATTCAGCAGCCATCGAAGCTCTCCAAGGGGAAGGGGGCGTGCTTCGTTCAAGCTGGGATCGGGTAAAAGAAGATGGAGACATGGGTTGCTCGGAAGACGGTGGTGAGGTAGGTATGACATGTGGGAAGGTGTGCTGCGTCTGGCGGATAGAGAGTCCCGGTTGTTCCATCAGACTCGGTATTCGTGGCAATATGGTAGTGCCTCGGACTTGGACCCGAGCAACGTCCTCGTTTGAGCCATTCGGTTTCAGGCTGCTCTTTCGCGACGCTGTGCCGCTGCGGACCTGATTCTGAAAGTCTCTGATCTTGTGCCATGTCTTCAGACGGCGGCCCATCAGGCCAAAATCGAATTCCTTCATGTGGATGAAGGACTGGTCCATTTCCAGCAAGACATCGCCCGTTATCTCCTGCTCTTCAAATATGTCGCAGTGTTTTGAGTCAACACCCAGGCTTCTCAGGTATTCCGCCGTTTCTCTCGCATCCCATTGCTTAACATCGGCTTCGGTCGGGCGAGGATTGTCCTCGCTATCAGTCTCGGGGCCAGCGATATATGAGGCTCGGTCGAGATGGCTGCTATATTCACTCTCTGAGTCCTCCTTCAAAGGCAGCGGTGGGGACAGGCTCTGACGTGGTGTGCTCAGGTCTGTGATGTGTTCGTTGATAACGCTTAGTGTCTCGTTCATGACTGGGCTTTCCTCTCCACTTGCTCTGCTTGACAATGCCTGACCGATGCTCCGGTGAATATATGACGTGGGAGAAGGCGGTACAGAGCTTCGTAGAGGTAGATTAGACTGTGGCAGTGGGGGCGAGGAGAGTGTTCGTTGTCTGGAGGTATCAGTGGTTGAGCTTGCTTGTTCCAGTGGCTCGCTCTTCGGCTCGGTGGATGGTTTCCCAAGAAATTGAGGGCTTTTGACGGCTGGGGCGCCCACAGGTGCGAAGTTTGGAGGAAGCTTAGCAGTATAGACTGAGCACATGTTAGTCACCTATGAATAGTGAATGAAGTGTCTGGGGTGGGAACACTATACCTCCAGGAAACAGACCCGTTGTTCCTGTACCAAGGTGCTTCCCCAGATACCAGCCATCGCCAAAGCCATCGTCCAACTCAACCAACTCGATTTGATCGGTTTTCCGGAGGGTCAACTCATCAGCACTTCTTGCGTCAAAGTCATCTAGATAGAGTCTGTCAGCGGAACAAGTCCACACCAAATTGTGAAGCAAGGAGTGAACGCACGGATGGCGACAAGTATGTCACCGGGCTGAAGAGCCGCCCGGGGGCGCTGCTGAAGAGAAGTGGCCATGATGTGATGGTCAGACATCAACACGCAGGCATTCGAGCGCAGCAGTGAGCCAGCTAACCCAGCAGACAGTCGACAAAAAATTGTAAGTGAATTGGCGGGAGATCGACCGGACGCGCCGTGACAAGCGCCTGCATGATAGGAATAGCTCTTCTCAGTGCACTGACAGGGCGAAAGGCGCGAGAAGAGGTCGAGATGGGCAGAAGAGATCGGTCAGGAGAGTGACACGAGGTTGGTGGAACGAAAGTGCAGGAGTAATTGATATTGCGCAGGCTCATCTGATGGAGGTGATGCTGCTGTCCGAGGAGCAATCGGGTGGTGACACCGTGACAGGCACCTCGCCGGCTACACTGTCATTGATTGATGTCGTTTTCTTCTTGGGTGGCACCTCTAGCAAGGTGTAAAAGCGAGGATGGTCGGGAGAACAAAAAGTCTGAGGCCTGCCCTTGAGTGCACGAGTTCACCCTCTCCTTCTCTCTCTCTCTCTCTCTCTCTCCTCAAATGTTGCAATGCTCAAAATGAGACCACCTGCGCAGCCAGCCCAACCAACGCCAACCAATCCAAGCCAGGATGGACTGCAGAGTGCAGCGCAGGGACCTCCCCCAACTGTCCGTGAGCCCCCTATGATTCGTTGTCTTTGCGCCTAGAGACCCTCCCGGCTTCTGGTCCGGCCACTGAGGCCCAGGCCTGACAGGCGCTTGAGCAAGACGGGGTTTAACTAACTAGGGAGCCCTACCACCACAGCTCAGAATACGAGGAGAAGGAGAAGGAGGAGGAGGAGGGTCGATCACTCCGCAGAAATGAATAATTGACCTGAACGCTCGGCTTAAAACTGCCCATTATAATATTTTGTCCATGAATCTGCATCGAAGTTTCTACATCCACATGCTCCCCTCGCCTACAATACCGCTGCCAACCTCTCTCCCACTCCAATCCCTTCGAGCCTCTTGTGGCTTTTGCCCTTGGTCTCTCTATCACTAGGTCCCTCCTGCACGGACTCGACACTTCGTACCATCGCTGGGTCTCCTGTGCGTGCAGCATCGCAAGACTATCTCTTACAAGTCCACGTCTGATCGTCACAGCCTCGTTTGCACTCCTTCAATCGCGCGTTGGTGGGACTAGACAGCTCCAGCTGCTCAACTTCCCAGACTCGTTTCCAATTGTGTATTCCAGGAAACTGTCTCTGATCCGACCTTTGTTTACCTCGGTATAGATGGTCACCTCATCGTTGACTTTGGCAGCCCCTCCACCTCCCTTGTCCGCCAAAATGAAATTGAGTTTGGTGTTTGTCGTTTGACCTTTGATGTTGATGACCACACCGGTCCAAAGTGGACGCCATCTTCAACGCTACTCCTAATTCCGCAAACTTGAATGACCTCCAACTTCTCGTTGCTAGCAGAAGTGCTTCCTTGGCTCTGCCAATGTCGCGAATGGCGGGTAATGCATCTCGTGTCAATCCTCAACCCACTCCTACCAAGTCGCCTCGTCGACATGGCAAAGCGACCCCCAAGTCCTTGGGACGACAGCTGCCGAGATCTCGTCCCGGCTTTCCTATACAGCCTGTACAGCCTTTCGAGGACGATGCAGAAGATGCAACTATCGAAATAGCATCTGGACAAGGCTCTAATTCTGCCTCACCTCTTCCGTTTAGTGTTCCCTCGACTGTCACCCCAACTGTACCCTCAACTGCCATGAGGTCGACACAATCCCTAGAATATCAAGTGCGTGATGCGCAGCAGGAGGACGCTGGTACTCCGCTCACGGAAACGAGTGCATCCAGCCTCAGCTTTTCGACTTTGATACACGAAAGTTCACAAACAGTTGTCCCAGAAAATCCCGCGGGCATTGGTCGGCAAGGGGAAGCTGTACCTTCTCCAAAGCGTGTTCCCAGCGACGGCGCACTTGCGATGACCTCAGAGGCAAGGAAAGGATCCCGAAACCCATCAAGATTCAGCAAGCGGCAAGTAGGATTGAGCCCGACCTTGGGCGCTATGGACTTGCCCAGCCACCCAACTCCGCCAAATCGGACAGATGGCTTACAAGAGACGAGGTCTTTGGTTGCAGCAGGGCAAAATGGGCAGCGGGATGACTTAGCAGGCCCATCAAATACGCGTGATGCCCGCGCTCCTCGAGCAAGAATGTCAACGTCGGGTGAGATGAGTGCTGTGTCGTCCAGTCCCGTTACTCTCCCCTCAGATATCCGAGGATCGCCTCTGTTCGTCCCTATGCAAACCCAGCCTCGCCTTACAACCCTGCTTCCAGACTTGCCGTCTTCTACACGTGGCACCGGAAAGCGAAACAATGACACGAACGGGTCCCATGGGCGAACAGTCCGTCCAAGGGCCGATTCCAGACGTTTGGAGTCTTCAGCACTCCTACCAACCCCCCAAGACTCGCCAAACGTGTCGCACGGTACCACTCTCGGCCAACGACTAGAGTTGTCACTTGCTGCCATTGGGCTCTGTGCACCTGAGCCAGATCAAGCAGCGGGCCTTAAATATGGAAGGATTGAGATGTTGCGAGAAGCCTGCCAACTCAACGACGAATTTTTCCTGCTCACGCATTTTATTTGCAGTAATTCTACCCCTTCGCCGAATTGGGACGTCATTGGGCCACTCTTCTTGACGAAAGAGCACTTCCAAACCCTCAACTCCCTATCCGCAATCCTGTGTAGCGATAGTGAATTGACCAGAGACTTGTCCCAGCTGTTTATGAAGTTTCCTTTTCGCATGGAAGCGACGACGGAAGAGGCACCCTATGCATCTCCTCTACTCAAGAGCGTCCGCTCCTGCCTTGATGTCTTTGATGCTGCGCTCAGCACATTAAAAGCTCGCACAGTTCAAAGAGGGTTTCCGCCAGCCCCGTGTGAACTAAGGGCTGAAATGAGGCTACCTTCCCCCGTCTTGCAGAAGGCTATCTTTTGCCACTTCTATTCCAGCCGGGCTGATGGTTCGAGCATGTTCCGGGAGGCTTTGCGCCTCTTTGAGCAGGAAATGGAAAGGCCGATTGAGGTGTCCATCTCCGGAATCGCTCAGCTGCACGAGTCTCCATCCAACTTCAAACAGCTCATGAGTCGATGGGCCAGCAAGTATTCACTCCTTGGACATGGATCCCAAGGCAGGAATTCGGCAGCAGGGGACGTAACAATTGCTGATAAAGGTGGCAGCCGCACGTCAAGTCTGCAGCTTTCCACAACCGCGGCCCGCCACACGACTCCTGCACCCTCTCAAATCAGGTCTCCTACCCTGCTTCTTTCAAGCCCTATGGTCCAAGAGCCAGTTCATCCTCGTCGATATCAGCAAACAGCCTCCGTCCAACACGCACGGCAGGTATCCCGACCTTCACTGCCCCTAGCACCAGCACCACCATCCAAACTCCCGAACGGTTTTCGAGGGGTAAGCCAAACGGCAGAATCCAGCCAAGTTGCATTAGATGAAGCACATACCTTCACGCACGAAAATGAAAAGACAGCCGAGTCCGATGGCAGAGCGCGCGTTCCCACTTTCTTTCGATTTATCGAGGACGTCGTGGTGCTTCCCGAATGTATCCAGGCAGATTCGCCTACGATTCGGTGGAGCGTGCCCATTTCACAAGACCATTGGGCGCGGAGGGTAACTACTAGTGCTAGAGAACGTGGTGTCTCAAATTGCAATGTACAGTTCAGATTAAGGTCAATTGTCATCGAGGCCGATGGGAGAGAACCCTTTACGCCAACTCAGTCAGACTTCTATGCTCGAACTACCAAGTGGCCGGCGTGTGCGGCCGTGTCGATCAATGGAGTTTTCGCCACCACGCCCAGACGCGAGACTCCCGGTGGTGCTGATCTGCCTACAGATGTGACTGATCTGTTGAGAGAAGGCAACAACGAGGTCGAAATTTCCGCGTTGTTCACCAGGCCTGAGCAACTTTCAGCTTGCATGTATCTTATGGCAATTGAGATCATCTGCGTGGAGACTTACGACAAGATAAAGACCATGCTGAGACGAATCCCTATGGGATATGTTGTTAAAGCGCTTCTGGATGCCCTGAAGAGCAGAAAAGATGAGCTTGAAGACGATGATTTGATCCAATCTCCATTCATCGGCATTGACGTGATTGACCCTCTCACGTCTAAGATCTGGAAGACGCCTGTCCGAGGCAAGGACTGTCGCCACCGGGAATGCTTCGATCTAGAGGCGTTTTTGTCCAGTCGTGCCGGCGGCTTTGACGAAGGCGGTCTGACGCGGCCCGACCAATGGAACTGTCCCATCTGTCGAGGGAATGCACGTCCCAATATGCTAGTCATTGATGAGTTTTCAGTGCATGTACGGAAGATTCTCGAAGAAAACAACCAACTGAGTGCACACCGAATTCTTTTCAAAGAAGGTGGCGCTTGGGAGCCTATCCTTCGGCCCTCGTCCCCACGAGATCAGTCTCCAGGTATGACAAGAACGAATCCAGTGATTGTCATGGATGAGAGTTGATGGAAGGCTCGATGCATCCACAAGCAGAACAGGATGTGCCTGGCTCTCCTCACCCATGTCTTGGAAGAGTCGAGATCAGCCATCCGACAAGCCTGGTGGAGCCTTGTTTATTTGGTCAAATCACAGACCAAGTGTCTTCGATGGACACACACTTAAAAGAGCCAGTAATGCTCGCCAATACTTACTACGAAGTCAAGATTTATGACGTGAACGCTTTTACGGCCTTTTCCCTCCTTTTTGAGTATCTACTAGTGGGGCGAGTGGCATTCGGGAGGGTCCTATTTGGAGTCGTCCTTTGCTGCGTTCTCGATACCCATTGCGCGACGGATTTCTTTTTGCCGTTCTCTGTGCATATGCTCTAGTTTTGGCCTGGTTTTAAGGTCCGGGAAAAGCGGCTAGCAAAAGACCCGGATTATGGATAGGAACACACGAAAAAGGGACTGAATTATGTAGCATAAAGCATGAAGTATGAAGCAATTGTTGTACATTTGTGTATCAAGCTCCCTTTGTTCCCTTTGTCCCCTTTCTCCCAAGTTGACTTCCAGGGCCCAGCCCGAACGGTCGAGATAGATCATTACTTACCTAGGGAGGTACAGACCAGCTGTACCTCCTTCATCCCTTATTAGGCGGGCCAGCCGCCAGACAAACAAGGCTTCCATGCACGCTCTTGTATACCGCTTAATCCAGTCCCGCAAAAAGCTGGGCACCTTGCGCTGCTCGCCGGGAGCGCGTCATGGGCCCTGGCCCTGTGGCCGTGGCTGTGGACGTCGCTGCGTTTCTCAGCGCCGCCCGTCCTCGCGACCGCCTCTGAGCTGCTGCTGGTGCTCTTTGGGCCGACGCCGCCGCCTTCTTCTTTTGGACTCTGCTCCCACCTCGGGGCTTGCTGTTGTCAACAAGGACGACGACATTGGCCGATTGGGCCGCGCCGTTCCTCCAGACAATGCCTCTGCCGCGAGTGCCTGCTCGAGCGGCTCTGCCTCTCCCTCTTGCTGCTCTGGCAGCCGCAGTGGTTGGCTGCACTGGGGCCGGGGGCGCTCGAGGCCGGAGATTCATGTGGTGCGTACGTGTTGCGGTACTGGCACCACTGCTCCTCAACCTCATCTGGTGTGTCCTTGTAGCTGGCGCAGCCGCCCGTCGCGCATTGAGCTTGCGTCTCTTGGGAGGAGGAGGATGAGGCGAGTCTTGGTATTCGAATGGGCTGAAGCGGAGCTCGCCACTTTCGTACGAAGTGATCAATGCCTCCCAGACCTGTTCGATTTTGTCGGCGTATGCCTTCTGCTTCTCGGCTGGGCCTAGCCTCTCCAATTCGTCTTCCCATTCCTTCTCCTGTTCTTCTGCATATTGCTTCATCACCTCGGCTACCCATCCCCATGCCGGGTCATCGTCCTGCTGGAGGAGATTTCCGTGCTGGTCGTCGTGAGGAACGTCCAACAATGCTTCTCTCGGGATATCCGTGTTGAGACGAGACAACTTTTCGAGTAGCAGCTTCCGTAGCCGGCTAGATCTTGCGAATGGAAAAGTATCTTTGGATGAGGGTGACCTCTCTCGGGATGAGCTCTGTGGCTCTTCAGGCTGCACGGGTGTCTGGGTTCTTGTGGGAAAGGCAAGCTGGGCCGGCGATGTTGAAATTGGTAATACAGCCTCTTGTTCGTCTCCTCTTTTGCGCTTCTTTGACAGGCTGGAGGAGGAAGACGATGATGCAGAGCTGTCTGATGAGGACGAATCAGCCGACCTTCTGGATTTCGATGTCTCTCGCCAAGTTCCGAACACGCTACGTGGCAATTGAGCTGCTGGTTGCATGGAGTCAAGGGCCTGCTGCGCTATCTGAGAGAGGTTGTACTGGAATTGCGCTTGAGAGCCGTTGGGCTGTGGTGGTTCTTGGGAGTCTGAAGTCGATGGTTGTTGGGAGTTGGTAGGCGACGGTTCTTGAGAGTCTGCATGCCATGATCCTTGGGAATTGGTAGGTGATGACCCTTGAGAGTCGGTATGCGATGATCCTTGGGAGTTTGTAGGCGATGATGCTTGAGAGTCAGTATGCGATGATGCTTGAGAGTTTGTAGGCGATGATGCTTGAGAGTCGGTATGCGATGATCCTTGAGAGTCGGTAGACGATGGTTCTTGAGAGTCAGGATGCGATGCCTCTTGGGACTCGGTAGGCGATGGTTCTGGGGGCTCTGTAGGCGATAGTTCCTGAGAGTCGGTATGCTGTAATCCGGATTGAGTCGATTGAAGACGTGAATTCTGGTCATCTTGTGGAGGCAGTGCTTCCGGTGGCGGCATAGCCGGCCTCTTCTCTCTCGGAAAGACGGGTCTGTCGTTGATATCCGGGTCGTCGTAATGGTTCTCTAACAAGTCTATAGGCCGGCCATCGGCTGATATCCAGTGTTCAGCGTCGTAATATGCATTGATGACGCCGCCGTGCTCGGGATTGAAAGTAGTTTGTGTTTTGGGGCTGACATTAGGCTGGTCGAGAGGCACTTTTCTTGGTTCTGGATTCCAGTCCACCATGCGGAAACCAGGATCCTTCCACTGCACTCTGGGGACATGCCAGGTAAAGTCTTCGGGCAGCTGTTCAGGCTCGGTGTGGATGTTGTCGTCGGCTGGATTAGGCAAGTTTTTGTAGTGGATGGTTGCCTGACGATGGGCGGCGCAGTAGGTTGGAAGATAGCAGAGCTCCACTGTAGGTTTGCATTTTGTCGCTTCGTTTTCCCAACCCGGCCACTCGTGGTAGTATGGGGGAATACCATCTTCGTACTTGTCGCAAACCTCGATGGTGCAGGGGAATTTCATGTGTTCAAGACCGCCACCGTCGCAAAGATTCTTCGGGTCATATTCGTCATAGTCATCACCCGCGTCCTCGGGTCTGAAGCACTTGGTATAGCGATACTTGATGACCTTGCACATTTTGAACTAAAGGGAAACGGGTTTCTCGAGGCAGAGCTGGGGAGAACAACCAACTAATTATGATATACAGGGAGAAGACAGTAGAGAGAAATACTTCGACGTATGGAAACGTGGGAACATGAGCAATATCACTGTTGTTGGCTCTTTGAAGCACACACGGCCTGCCTTTGACGAGATCTTTCCAAAATTACTTACTATTCTGTTGCTTTCATTGTAGTTCATTGTGAGTAGAATAGGAGTGTGAACAATAGACCCTTTGACACCAGGCTCGGTGAATTGGTGAACGACACAAGAGCATGAACAATGTCCTGGCCTCGAGTGAATGGAAGCCATTGTCGACAAAGGAAAGGGAGGGAAACCGGCCAATAGAGCGCCGTCAAAAGGGATCAATAGGACTTCATTAAGCATATTTGGCTGAGCAGATCATGTTGAATCACCGACAAAGGAGTGTGCCAGCCTTGGCGGTACGAGCAGAGTCCTATGATGGAGGATGAAAGGGTGTAGTATGCATAGTGGAGGGACAAGCGAGTTGATATGCCAAGAAGGGATTGAAAGGGACTAGTTCAGCCTCTCACGTGATAGCGCGTCGGGCGAGGCGAGTAATCCGAGTCATGGGTTTCCAAAGGACCTCGGCACTGGTCCCGCCAACGTGCTAAGTGTTCTAGTGGGCTTCCAGGCATGTTCTGGGTAAGAATTCCGGCCAAGCGAGGCCCCTTTAGCGGCCACTGCGGGGGATCCCTGCCTATTAGCTACTACTAAGGTACCTCTGAAGAGCCCATCAAATGCCCCTACCAGTGCTACCACGCTTGTTCGGCCCACTGCTGCTCCATCCGTCAGCTCAGCGCAGCGATCCTCCGAAATGAGTACAATGTAAACACACTTTTCCGTCAGAGCAATTAATTTCTGCTGCTTTGCTCCTCCTGCCTCCGTGTCAACCCCATTCAGGTTGCGCCTGCGCTGGGGATTCTCTTCTTCTCACACCGCAGTTCAATGTTCTTCTCCTCCATCTCCAGCGTCTTGAGCTGCCTCTCCTTTTATCCAAGCAGATTTTCACTTCTCGCATTCCTTTGCTCTCCGAGCACCGTATTGCATCACTCCTCGCCGTGCGAGGAATGGAATGTTGGTTAATTTCAATTCTGTCGAATCATTCGCCCCTCCACTCGGAAACTCTGTCTGCTAGCTTTTCCTGCCGCGTCTGTCACCAATAGTGAGCGCTGTTGCGCTTGCGAATCATTCTGGCAGCGTCGGAGCTCCATGACAACATAATTCTTCACGGACAAGACTATGGACGACGCCCATGCCCACCCCCAATCACCGGCGCCCACCCTCCATGTCCGCTCTCGATCAATACCCCCGTCGGTACGCGAGTTCCCTACAAGTCAGACAACTCCCAAGTCTCTCCCTCACACTCGACAGCAGAAGCTACTCCAGACCCGTCATGCGAAGTTCTCTGGCCAAAGACTTTCACTCAGTGGCATCAGCGTCCCGTTCCCTCAGGTGAACCGCTCCGCCGAGAACGACTCTCCTTACTTTCCTTCACCACGATTTAAAATACGAGAAGAAAATGGCAGTGACTCGAACGAATTCGACAAACTGAGCAGTGCATCCACAGAGTCTGCCATCTTGGCCGAGATCTCGAATGCCAATACTTGCCGTATCCGAGGGTTGAAGAAGCGAGCTGCTATACCCGTTTTTCAGAGTTCACTGGAGAAGCCCACAGTCCGTAACACAGGAGCCAATACACCCTCAGTCTACCACGACGCCTACAGTGACATACATCCTCCCTCGATTCCCAGTTCTTTGCAAGAAAGTCCGACCACCATGGGCCTTAGGGAAGTCTCGGTCAACCTTCAGAGGCCTTCACCTCGCAAAGATTCGCCATATTATCGCCCAGCGCGTCCCGGGTCAAACCGTAAAGTATCTCAGACAAAACCCAGGTTCAATTCGGAGGAGTACATAGACCACATCGAAAATGAGTTACAGATGGTCAAGGACGCCATGTATTCACCAACTACTCATATGCCATGGAAAGAAAAGCTGCGAAAAGCAAAAGAAGAGAATGACCGTCTGAAGAAGGAGATGGAAGCCATAAGGGCCTCGTTTGAATTCGAACTCCATGAAACGGTCGAACGGTCTGCTGAAACAGAGCTGAAGCTGAAGCGCAGGATTAAGGATCTGGAAGACGAGGTCGAACTTAAGAAGTCGATGATCCATGATCTAGAATGTGATCGCGAGGAGAAGAGATCTGATCAAAACGCCCTCGACGTCCTAAAGGCGAGAATTGAGAAACTGGAAGAAGAGAGATTTAGCCTGGAGTCCACAAATCGCGATATGACAAAACGCAATGAGGTGTTGACCCAGCTCCTGGCCTTGTCACCGACAAAATCCCACCCCAACACTGGCATCCCTACGCCTAGGCGAAAAAGTGGCCGTCCTATGTCGCTCATCATCCCAAGATTGCCGACATCTCCAGTACTTGGAACATCTCAGAGCAGACCCCAATCTATCGTTGCGTCTCCAGAACTTGCGACCTCTGACTACTTCGGAGTTCAGCTCCCGTCGTCACCGTTGGCGTCGGGTCCATTCGATATCGCTATCCACTCCTCAGAAGCTATGGATGAGAAGTACTCCATCGATTCCGTGCTGGGAGAATCCGAGCTGCAAGGTGGGGACACGACTGCATCAAGGCGGCCAACGCTTGTCTCTAGTTCTTCAAACAGCCCTGATATGCATGTTGGTGGTCATGTTCGTGCAGAAAGTCAGTCGCAGACAGTTCTGCGACATCCCTCAAGGAGGAGACCTCGGAAATTTATGCCTGGCTCTACGCAGCTGAAGCCATTGCTCTTACCGACGTTCACGGCTGAAAGTGGTCATCTTCCTTCAACCTCACCCAACACGTCGCCAACTCGAGCACGACCTATCCACCTTAGCTCTGAGACAAACAGATCCGAACAAGTTCCAATTACGCACGTAGTCATTCCAGACTGCTTGGAGACTCCCTTTCCAAGTCCGGAAAATGTTGATGGTCAACCGGGACCAGACTATCAGAGCCTGGACGAGGTCTTTGCCAGTGACGAGCAAAGTTTCCAGCCGGAGTTTCTCGCAGAGTCCCTTCATCAACTTTCCTCTTCAAGTCAGATGGCGCAGTATCAAACTCCAGTCCCGAACGGCAAAATTGAGCCGGTCATGGAACCTTGCTCCAGCCCACAGATCAGCTCCTGGGTTTCAAAGACAATGTCTTCGCTGCCTGAGGACGTAGGGCACAACTCCCACCACACTGCCGTTGCCATTGCTGGGGTAAGGGGTGGAAAGACACCTGATACATTGGGAGGTGGCAAGAATCCCAAGAGGCAGGACGCTGCCTCGGACTTCGAGACCGTGAATGCACTTAATTTCCGGGATATTGTCGAAATCCCTCGTCCGTTATTTTCACGAGATCGAGGCCGTGATGGAGGTTACTCCTCTCAATGCGCTGAATACCCGGACTCGCCACTAAATCCTCGAAAGCGGAGAAAAACAAGCTCAATATACGAGTCGCACAGCTCAGAAGTTGACGCTCTCAAGCATGGATCCCGCAGTACCCAGATGTGTCCACCAAGTTGCCTTGAAGTCGTCACGCCCAGCTCCGTCATCGAACACACATCCAAGAGTTCTATAAACAAGTGCTCCTCCCTTCCTAAGAAACAAGCGACCGCCCCAACGCGGACTCCTCTTGAGATGCTGCAGCATCGCAATATGGGTTCGAGACCGCTGGCAGCCTTGACGATCCAGACGGTTTATGCGACCTTGTCGAGGTACACTGCATATATCCAGGGCTTCAAACAAGATCCACTGTCTCTAGCACGACGGGTTATGGCAAATGCCTGGCGGTCAAACTGGGCAATGATTGGAAAACTGAGTTGGTGGGTGCTTGGATTGTTCATTGGCTATCGGCGGCCAAAGGCTGATCACCAGGACTGGGACTGGACAAAGTACGATGGTGAAAGTATTGCTAACACATGCTGTCTTCCGGATGTTGATCCTCCTCCGATCAAACCTTCAACCCAGCCTACACGCGAGATCAGTCCGCACCACTCTAGTCACAAGATCGAGGCGCCAGAAAGTCAAGCACGGACACCTGTCGCTCCACCGTCGCGTCCGGCGAACGAGCCTAAAAGTGGCTGGGGCCGGTCATTGTACCTCTGGGGCAAATTCAGTGTAGCGATTATGCTCGCTGTGGGAGGCGCTATCGTCAAAGGCCCGGCTGAGATGTTGCGCGACGCTGATGAGCGTAGGAAATCTTGGAGTAATAGCCCTGCTGAAAATGCGACAGCAAGCTACGAAACTCGGCGCGCCGAATTCAATGAAGCAAATCGAGCGACAGAGGACCTCAGTAACTCGGGCCAAGGGCATCGGGCCAGCCTGTCGAGGCCCAGTGAGACTGCGGATGTTGCTCGCAAAGCTCGAAGTTTCAGCTCCCCAGCGATTTCACCACTGATGAATGGTGGTCCAAATGAGGATGTAGAGCATCGAGGCCCATTGACAGAAGGTTCCTTACACTCGTTCAGCGAACCGACCCTTGGGGAAGACGCGACTTGTTGGAGTGAAGACACCCTAAAACCTGCTAGAAGCGATCGCAAAGGAGTGGCCATGGTCTTCCACACACCAGAGCATGTCAAATCTGCACCAGACCAAACCGTCGCTACATCCGTCCAGCCGCCAGGCGAAGCTCAGATGAATGGAAAGCAGAGCACAATGAATACTTTGGTGCAGCACCTGTGCTGCGAAGGCTCGGAACGCTAACGACTTCATACGTGCTGAACGAAGGCTTCGGGCTGCGTACTAGCAGCTAACAACTTAAGGGGGATACTGCGAAGAGAACAGGCTCCGCTCATTTGTATGATTGATGACTTGTATGATATCGCACCTGTGCATGGCAAATCCTTTTCATTTGCATTGCTTCGAACTTGAACTTGTGGGAAACAGGATTGTTGGCTCGGACAGACGAAGAGCACATTGAGATGAATGAGACGAATGATGCAGGCGATAGATGAGAGATCCAAATGTATTGCAGTTGAACTGGGCGCTCTTGGAGACGAGAGAGATGCGCACCGACGAACAGGTTCAATGCCGGTGCACAGAGGCCATGCATGGCTTTCCAATGCGTTCACTTCCGTCCCTTCTCTTTCTCTTCTTCTGTTCCGTATTTAGTCTGTCAGGGCAAACAAGCACTCTTGACGAAGTAATCCAAACGTACATAGCGTTCCGTACGTAGAGACACCTCCCTTTGATATTCTCAACCAGGGGGCGTCTCAGCCTCGTCAGCCTCGCGCTGAAATCGCCAACGTCACTGCAGATGCTCACTGCCACAGCACCAACACCAGTACATCACAGCCAGTATCCCCCATGCGTCTACATGCTCCGGAATTGCCACAACCCAAAAGCCACCCGGCCGGCAATATTCGAGAGCTCCGGGCCAGAGATAATTGTCCCCAAAACGGCCAAGGCTAGGCCTTTCTCTTGGGTCGGGTCCGACAAAGAAAGAGCCGAGGAGTAGTAGTGTGCACACGGGTCCCGGCTCGACGGGGCCAGGTGGGCTTGACGGTTTGAGAACTGCAGGTGAATCCTCGACATTTGACTGACTGACACAGCCTTCTCAGTGCGTTTGCAGGTAGCGAGCTGTCAATCTCATTCTTACATGATGAGATATTGGGTCGGCGGCTGAGTTCAACATGCTGGCCAGATGAGGTTTCAAGTCTGAGAGGCCGTTAGCGACGTCCCTGTTTGAGGACAAGTACTGGTACACGTCGAGGTTGCTCTGAAGAACACGCGCACACATGTCGGCGACGTTTTTGGGGAGGGGGTACAGCGTGTCCATATGACGAGGGAATTGGCAGCTACTGTCAGCCAAGTAGCAGGCCTTTGCTGTCGAGCGGCGGTAATTTCAGTCGATCCTGGGCCTTCGTATTTGTTTGGGCGACTGACACGACGACAAGAACAACGGACACAACTGATCCAACCTTCGGATCTTGTCTCAGTCCTTGTCCCTCCCACCCTCACCTTCCGCGGGCAACTTCCCCTGGGCCCTCAACTTCCTCTTCTCCCCGACATCCCAATTATGCACTCTCGCGATCGCGACCTCGAGCGTGGTGATCTGCACCCTCAAAAACTCGAGGTCTTCGTCGCACGCACTCAGGGACTCTTTGGCTTTATCCAGTTTCCCCTGCAGGAGCTCTTCGGCTTCGTCGAGCGGGTACGCGACCATGACGTTGGCGCCGAGCCAGAGGTAGACTTGGTCGATCTCGGCGGGTTTGATGACGGCTTTGGCGTAGAGTGTGTCTTGGAGGCTGAATGTCGTTTCGATCTCGTCTCTTCTTCTTCTTCTCGCGCGGACATCGTCATCATCTTCGAGGTCCTCCGCCTCCTCCTCTTCTTCTTCTTTGTTGTTGTTCGTCTCCGCGAGATCCCGTCTCTTCTTCTGCAAAAACCTAACCACCTCCAGCGTGCGCTTCATCTCGGGCAATTTCTCCTTCAACCCGATCGCCCGACGTTCCACGTTCTGCTGCATGAATGTGTACTTGGACACCATCTCCTGGAACCTCTGCAGCGTGGGTTCCACTTCGTCGATGCTCTTGACGTAGTCTGTCACGTTGTTCATGAAAGGAAAACTAGGGATGCCTCGAGGGTTGGTTTCGGTGTCCATGGTTTCGTTGTCGGTACGGTTTCACTTTGGGGGTGAGAAAGAAATTTGCTTTGGCCAGGAAGAGTGAAGATTGTAGTGTCAAAAATCTCAGGAAAAAAAGATGTGTCGTAGTTACAGAACTCCGGTTTTGAGTCTGAGTGGGAGAGTGTGGATTGAAGGACACACAACCTGATGTTTTCTTCCTTCTCTTTGAGAAACTTGGGGTTGGAAAAGAAATACTAATGGCGGCGCGCGGGGAACCAACGAGTTGCTTTACAAAACGAGGAGTGTCCTACGGAATTTCTATTTTTCCGTATCGAGGGATTGAGATTAGTACAGAGTGCGAGGTAGGGATAGAATACTCCCAGAATCGTTCCGTCCTCTGAATAGTCACCCGGGGCTCGAAGACTAGAAGCACATTGTATCTCCTCAATTGGTTTCAATAGTCAAAGCACAAGCTATGGGTATCGCCTTTATGAGGACCGTACTTTTTGTCCAGCGCCCCCTTCTGATAAGTCTTCCATTTTGCTCGCGAGAGCCTCATATCTCTGGTTCCAGTCAGTCTTCACAAGACCCCAAATCTTCAAGCCAATAAAACGATTGTTCTCTCTCGTAATTCTTCATGGTGTATCGTTACACATTCGTCGAGGCTTCTCTTGATATGCCTCGGTGCGGTAGCAGTAGCCGCAATCCATTATCCCTTTCAGATTCCAAAACCGTGTCATAAAAAACCATTGTCCGGTACAATGTTGTACATTATGCCTTCAGACCATCACTCCCCCCTTTCAGCTTTTGCTGAGTCTCCCATCTCTGTCGGCTCCTGTTCATCTCGTCTGCGTCAAACGCCGGGACCTCCTGAATGGCCGGTTCTCCATGGCGACTGGGTGAGCGCAGACTGGTAACGTCTGAAAGAGCAGTGTTCGATCGCATTCTCCGTATGCTAAGCTTGTTCTTCAAGCTGCGGTCTTTCGCAGGTGTTGGTGGTGGTCGATCATAGTTGTCGGGCAAAGTCATTTCCGAAGAATGTGACGGGGTGCGTGGACGGAAGTCGTCTTTGATATTGGTCCGACTCTGAATCTTTCGGAGCCCACGAGCGATTCGCTCCAATGTCGACCCTGACGGCTTCTGTGTCACGGTGATCTCATCGTCCTTGGGCGGCGGCAGTGGCTTTTCAGGGAGTTGTTTCTCTTGAGAGGTGTGACGACTATGGCTACGACTGCCGTTGCTGAAGCTGCTGCTGGTGCTAGGTCTGGTCGTGTGGCTCTTTTGGCTATGTGCAGACTTGTTGCTTTGAGCAGAGTTGCGATTCGACGAACTTCCGGAGCCAAAAGAAATGGCCGAGTCAACCTTCCGGCGGCCCTCCTCTTCGTGCTCGAGAGACTTGAACGAGGTAGAGTTTGGAGAAGGGCTGTGCCCGGTGATGTCGTAGCATTCTTCGATGATGTTGTTCGCCATGCGGACATACTTGTCAAGAGTATCTCGGAGACTGACCCAGCCGTTGGGGTCTTCGGCTTTCTTAGCCTGGTTCATCAAGTTGGACAAGACCGCCGGCCCATTCTTTTCCACCGCCGTGATATACTTGAAGAACCCATTGCGTTGCTGAGTCAGAATTTGAGGCGTCAATTGTGCGGTGGGTTGCACGAAATGCCCGGCATTCATGTTGATTGGAGGATAGAGGGTATTGAGCATTGCCAGGCAATTGCCCTTGTCGAAAGGGGTCAAGTTAAGCTCGTTGATCAAGGTCCATCTTCTCAGCCCAATATAGACCTGGGTGTAGAGCGCTTCGATCTTGCGTTCTCTCTCTTCGATGTCCGAGACCCAGCGCAGAACGCCGGGATATTTCCGTGCCAGTTTATCTCGGTGACTGAGGTCATCTTGGTCGATACCAAGCTTATCCAAAGCTGCCACCACCTCCCGTCGACGCCGAACTTCTAGGTCCTTCAGATAATCCATGGCAGTCAAAGCTTGGGGAAAGTCGACCTGATCTAGTTCGCGTGGAAAACATTTGCGAACAAAGCTTGTGATGAAGCTTGGAGGCAAGGACGTTGGCTGGGAGGGCAACTGCAGTATGTGTTGCATGAGGTTGGCACGCAGTTGAGCAGCCGCAGTCATTGTGGTCATGTTTTGCTGCTCCTCAGCGCTGGCAGAAGACTTGCGAGGAAACGCGTTGCCAGGAACCGCGGTCGGCGACGGAGTTGGCGGACACTGTTGTTGATGTTGAGTGGTAGCATTGAGAGTATACATGGTTCGTAGCGGGATTTCGTAGGTGTTAGGATAGGTCAACAAGTGCTCCAAAACCCATGGATAAGCCGCACCCTGCGAGTTGTCGTCAGGAGAAGACATTGTGGTAGCCTCTCAATGCGAGGTCGGTGTTGAGTAGCTGAGTGAGAGGACGATAGAGTCCAAATATGGGCTTGAGCTCGCTTTTTCCCACGTCCTTGCAAACGTCGCGTGGTTGCAGTAAAGAGTCGGAACAAGAAAGGCTGTGTTCCAATCCCTCGAGATCCTACTCTTGTGGTGAAGCGTCCCGTGTTTGTGGTACCTGATCGTCTGTCTGTTGTTTACGGCATTGGGAATTTGTCAACAAAAGCGAGATTGTGAAACCTTTCAGGACCGCAAGTCAATGCTGCGAGACGACCGTCACGTTTGTGAACCGTGCGGCAACCAAAGACCGGCCAGGAAGGTCGAGGTAGGGCAACCGGAGTAGCTATGTACCCAGGGTTTGGAGGTGTTTAGTTGAATCGAAGTGAGAAGATAACGATTGACGGATGCTCCAAGTCCAAGCAGGCTCAGCTTCAGAGGAAATGTTTGTGACTAGGTGAACGAGAGACAAAGTCCGGGAAAGCGAAGGTCAATGAGGGACGAGACGTGCAGGATGTTGTTGTGGTATGTGCCGTGGCACTGAAAGCAAGGTTGAAGGAGTGTAGGTATGATGCAGTGAAGCAGGAGACAACTGTGGTGGTGGTGAGTGTATGCAGATGTCTCGGAAACGGAGGTCGAGTGTTTGTAGACAACTGAGTCCAGAGAATCGAGTTCTTGAGGACGTTGTAAGGACTGGGCACTAGAAGAGCGAGTGACACTAGAGAACAGGAACGAGTTCGAAAATGCAAGATTTTAGTGCAGTGGAGCCTGGTTCGAGGTGGAGTAATTGTACTAATTGACCATGGATGTTGATGGTGGCCGGACGGCGGAAGCGCGACAAGGGGGGATTCGATTTTCGGAGGCAGGGGGCTTGAGTTCTGGGTGCCGCGCTATAGTTTTATAGGCATAGCTGGGGGGCATGTGCATTCTCGTAGCGAGCACTCACCAAGCCTAACACGGCAGCCCTTAACCTTTGGTACCCAGTGGCCAGGGCCCAAGGGACTTTTCTCCCGGCACTTCGGCGACCACGAGTGATGATAACAACCACTGTATCTCGTGTTATTGGGCTCGCCCAGAGAGATACGCCTATGAGTCAAGTTATGCCCTCCATCGCTCCATCATTTGGCACATACAGTGCCCTACAACTATACTCGGTGTGTCTTGAGTAGAGCAGGCAACACTGATTACAGAGAACGGATGGCCTATATATCTAGGTATCTAGGTAGCTGCAGTAACAACGGCAACTCAAGTTTTACACTCCCTTCCCCTCCCTTCCGTGTCTCGTACTCTGCCCTTCTCCTGCTCCTCGACTTCCCACTCCTCCTCCACCTTATACTGCACATGACACGTATCTACTAGTAGCGGCCGGTGAATGCCACTCTTGCGAGGGGGCTGTCAATGTCAAACTTCGATGCTTGCAGATTTCCATCTGACCCTGTTTGGTGTGCGGTCAGTCACCCTGACCAAGTCTCATTTGAGTTCTACCCTGATACACCTCACCTCTGCCCTATCCTCCGATTCTTCCGACGTTATCCTCAAGTTTTGTCTTTTTACCTGCAGGGAACGACCAGCTCTCGTGCTAAGGATCAGCTCGAAAGCCAGTCCTTGCGGGTTCTCGACTGAGCACTGAGCAGGCCACTTTTGGCATCACCCGACTTGTACCAGGGAATGCCGGAGGCCCACCGAGACAAGCCTGCAGTATTGGCTCGCTAACATGCGGCCTCAAGCCCTAAAGCCTCTTGCTTTTGTGCCCATCCAGTCGGCTTGCAAGCAGAATTTTCGACTTTAGCTTCACTTACTGATCCAGCATGCAGGCTTAGAGTGGGCGAGTTGACGAGAACTCATCACACTCCTCCGCCTGTGCAGAACCGCATGTGCAAGCTGCCGGAACAACTCCCCATCACTACTCGTACTATCATCGTTCTTCCACTGCATGCTCAATGCTACCTAGCCATACTACAGCCATTCTTCACCAGGTTAGGGAGCACAGCCTCCTAGGGGTGGTCACAATGGACATATTGGGGCCTGCGCAGCGACTCCTGGCTGATCAAGTAATATTAGACATGTCTTCGCCCCTCGCCCCTCGTGGCTGTGAAGCTTTGTACCCTGGCAAACACGGGGTATAGGGCAGGCCACTACTACAAGACATGCCCGGGATCATAAACTTTGGCAGACGCGTCAAACAGAGTTGGGCTATACGAGGTAGACTCCAGCAGATGTCAATCCCTGAGTCACGTTTGACTTCCTGGTCAAGGTCAATGGCCGAATACACACCGAATACTTGTTGAGGAGCATCAGGCTTGAAATCCTACCTGTGCTTTCACAGCGAGAGGTGGTGCGGCGGCCATCTCCCACCCTGAGCCATCTCCCAACCCTGGGTAGGTCCAGTGCGCCGGTTGTCACGCCAAAGTGCAGGATGGGAATGCCGTCGGAGAAAATTCTGTGCAAGCTTGCAGGGATTCTTAGGCTCTTGGAGACTTGGACACCAGACTTACGCACACGATACCCGACACGGTCTCGTGCGTCCGCTATCACCCTGGTCCCGAGTGCCTGAAAGCTGCATTCGGTGGAGTATGCGAATTATGCAGGGGAACGGACAAATCGCGACCCTGCGCGTAACAGTTTGGCCGCTAGACCGACTGCCGCGGATGCAAACTTTGGAAGCCGTGTCTCGAGAGTGCCCAAGAGCTGACAGACTCGGAACACCAGGCTACCCCTCGAGGTGAGTCTCCCCAGAAGTCGCAGGTGAGCTATTCAAACAATCAATATCGACCATTATTGATCTCATCCACCCCTCCCGAAAAATAACCCTCGGTAACCTCGCATCCGGGCAAAAGACGGTGGGTGGGATTTCCGGCGTCTCGAGTGTGTGTCAGAATTCATGACGTCTTCAGAAGTTGTGTGGAGTACGCCTCTGTCGAAATTTTCAACTGGGATCCATCGCAATTGTACTCGAAGCAGTCGCTGCGGTGGTCATAAGATGATTGTACTCTGTGCAACCTTCAGAAGGCCGTTGACCAAGGTGAAAAAGGGTCCAATCCAAGCACACATCGGAGGTGAAGGGTCCAAAACGTGAGGAAAAGGCAAGGGTCTGAGCCGTTTGGCTTGTGACTGGGCTGCGGTGCTCTACCTCGTACACTGTCTCGTGTAACCGGCCAGTCACAGGCACAAAGACGCAGTTCGCAGTGCGCTCGCTCTGCTTGCATCCTCTCCCCCCTCCTATCCCCAAGGATCGTCCCAATCTCGTGGTCATCATCACAAAGGGCACTCCTCCTCATTTGGGAAGTCCGACGTTGGAAGAAATTCTCCACAAAGTTACTGAGCCCTTGCGGGTGATCATCGTCATCCACTTCCAGGAAACTATGTCCCAAAGGCACGACTTTTCCCAAAACCCTACTCGTAGCAGGGTTCGCAGAAATCCATGGAACCGGGCCGGATCCGTACCAACCTCGTCACACTAGTCTGTGAACAGGTAGCAAATGTCAATCACCTACTGAAAGGAAAGCAAACATTGCAGATCACGGCACAATTCAGGAATGGAAAGAAACCTGCGCCTTGGATCCCCCTCACTCAAACATCCCTGATGGGCCCCAGCTTACTCACCCCTCGTTGACGGTGCCCAACAGGCAGTGCACAGTCTATACCTATGGATCGACAATGCAGTTGGGAAGACACCAGCCAGCGATATCGAGCTGGGGCCGAACAAGGTACGAGCGTCCCAATCCTCTCATCCGGCATGCAGTTCTCCATATCCCGCACTACTGGGGTCTAATACTATCCTATGTTACAGGCCACTCTCGACGATATTGGCCAACAGGCAGCACTACTATTGTGCTTTGAACCGTAATCGGACACTTCAGCAGGCTGGGCTTGCCGTACTATGGGACGACTTGCTTCTCCGAGGACACTCGTCCTGCATCGTCAAGCACATCCATTATTCATCCCTATCTTCCTCGCCGGATACATTTTGACTGCTGCGATCGGATTCAGCGAGATCGCTCAATGCCCACTCGCCCAGGAATCCTTCTTCCTTGACAGGACTTCTCAAGTCAACACCGTTCTTCTCCGCCCACTCCACAATCTTTGAGCGATGGATGACCACAGTTGCCAATTCCTCTGGGTCAATTTCCGCCCCATGAGCGAGACTCGCGGATGCTGTCCCGTTCACCTCAGGCGTGGAAGACTTTGCCTTTTTCCTTTTAGGCGCTACCATTTTACACAGACCCATCTCTGTCAGCGCGGCGACTACATCCTCTCCCAGCATTCCGGTCCTCTCTCCGATCTCCTTGACTGTCATCTCCTCTTTTCTTGGCTGAACTGTCTTTCTATTCCTGCCACTCACCTTGGCTTTGTCAAAAACTCTTCTTGCATCAGCATCTGCGGTTTGGCCCATCAGAAACCGCGCAATGCGTTCGGACCAAAACCTAATGTATGACTTCCGGCCCATTGCGCTCAAGGGCTTCTCAGGGCCGCCAATTACCCCGCCTTCCCATTCCCACCCGCTAAGCTTGTACGAGACCGCCATCAACAACTGCCCTAGTTGCCGATGTTGAAAGGGAGGGAAGATCAATATGCACGCGAGATTATTCGAGTCCCACGAGAGATTCTCCTTGGAGAAGAACCCCAAAACGCGCGTGCGGTAGAGCGCGTCGTCTTCCTCTAGCGCATTTGCCGACATGCTCCGTTGTTTTCGTCCTCGGGTCTTTGTCGTCGCAGATGCTGGTGATGTGGGATTTTCAGGCTTCGTATATGTCAAAGCATAGTACTTGAATCCTGCCGTATCAAAAAAGACACTTTTCTGTTCCAAGAACAACTTCCCGAACAAACTCAAGTTCTGACAGTAGAGTTTCTCCCTCTCACCGTCGATTTCCCAGACGGCATACCCTTCCCACTCGTAGACCTTGAATGCGGATTGCGGTACAGGTTGGTCTGGTTCAAGGTTTTGTGAGCGGAGATGGCGGTGATGAGCAAGGTGTTGGGTAAATTGTTCTTTTACGGGGGTGTAGCGAAAACAGCACGGGCAAACATAGAGGAGACGACAGATCGGCTCCTGGCCCCTTATCGAACTGTGAAGTCCGCCCAGATGGCCGTGAGCGTGGCCATTTCTCACATCTGCTGTGGTTGAGCCGCCGCCTGGTTGTGGAAGAATGATGGTGTCAGGGTAAGGCGAATAATACCATGCATCAAAGAGCAGGTTTCCCAGGACGACCTGATGGATGTTTCGACTCAGAACCTGTAATGAGAGGCGACGGGAACGGTGAGGGGAGCCATCTTGGAGGACTGAGGTTGAGGTGTTGTTTGTCTTTACTATTGCAGACGGCATCATGGGTGCATCTTCTGTGCGTTTGTAAAGGTCACGACGGCGGAGAGGCCATCGGAGAGACCAGCAAGAATGCCAATGCTATTAGTGGAACGATGGGGAGATGAAAGCAGTGGGTGTCTTTTGATGGGATCAATGCAACTGATATCCAAGTTTGAAGTGTCAAGATGGCTCTGCACTGTCTGTAGCCACTACCGCAGGATGGCAGTTGGGTGGCAGTGGCTAAAAGCGGCAGTTGCTAAACCAGCCAATCATGGGTGGCAGTGGCTGGTGGGAATGTGGCTGCGGATTCTTTGAGGATCTACGACTCGTGCAAGAGGACAGATTGGTAGGAATCTGCAAGGGCGTCGACGGACAATCCATTCATTCACTCACTCACTCACTCACTTCTCCTGTCTTTGTCCATTTGCTCTGTTTCCTGTGCTGTTTCCTTCAGACTTGTTCTCTTTCTTTCTCCACCTGTACAACAACTCACCCTCCACGCTATGCTACAATGATTCTTCCATTACAGCGACTCGGTCTGTTCGCTGCCCTCCTCGGGCTCTACCTCGCCTCACTCGGTGCCGTCAACGCTGTCGACATTCCGTCTGACGCTTCACTCACTTCTTTGATCGCGTCCGGGAAGGCTGCACGTGCTCGAGGAGCCAACAGTGAGGCTCTTGCATACTTCGACGCTGCCGTCTCCAAGGACTCGTCCGATTACCTCACGCTCTTCCAACGAGGAATTACCTATTTGTCTCTGGGAAGGAATCAGCAAGCAAGCGCAGACTTTGATAATGTGTTAAAAATAAAACCCGGGTTTGAAGGAGCTTTGTTGCAGAGGGCGAAGATCAGGGCGAAGAATGCAGACTGGGCTGCGGCGCGGGAAGATTATGTTGCATTAGGGAACCGAGCGGCGGCAGACTTGGCCCAACTTGAGGAGGCAGAGGGTGCTGCCTATCTTGCAGTGGAAGCGGAGAAGAAGCAAGATTGGGAAGCATGTATCAACCAAGCAGGCATTGCCATCATGACAGCAGGTACGGCCTTGTCATTGCGACAACTACGTGCTCGATGTCGATTTGAGCGTGGCGAGGTGCAAGAAGGTATCAGCGATCTCCAACACGTCCTCCAAATCCATCCGGGCCTGGTGGAACCACACCTACAAATTTCGGCCATGTTGTTCTACAGTCTGGGCGATACGAAGCTGGGCATGGACCAGATCAAGAAATGCTTGCACTCCGATCCGGACTCGAAGCCCTGCAAATCTCTCTTCAGGGAGGAGAAGAGTATTTTGAAGCAAGTCGATCAGGTTCAGTCTCTTTTCGACAAACGACAGTTCAATTCTGGGAGCAAGGTGCTGGTTGGCAAGGGCACCGAGGATGACCCTGGGCTTCTCGCCGAGCTTCAGTCTCACGTCGAGGCTCACCGTGCACGGGGCATTATTCATGCAAAAGCCCCGTCGGACCTCTACGCGAACATGCTGGAGAAGACCTGCGAGGCGTTTATGTCGATGAACAACATGGACAAGGCCGGCAAGTTCTGTTCCGAATTGCTCACCTTGAGACCCGAATCTCTTCAGGGGCTGTTGTACCAAGCGCAGAAACACATGGACGCCGAAAATTTCGACGCTGCAATTTCGACTCTCAACACAGCTCGGGACAATCACCCTGACGCTCAGGGGACCATCAACACCAAATTGCACGAAGCGCAGGTTGCCTTGAAGCGGAGTAAAACCAAAGACTATTACAAGGTTCTAGGCGTCTCTCGTGATGCTGACGAAGCCACCATCAAGAAGGCCTACCGCACGGCGACTAAAATGTACCACCCGGACAAGGCCGCTGCGAGAGGGATATCCAAAGAGGAAGCGGAGAAGAAAATGACGTCGATCAATGAGGCCTACGAGGTCCTCAGCGACCCCGAATTGAAGGCCAAATTCGACAATGGAGAGGACCCTAATGACCCGATGGCCAACCAGGGTGGCAACCCCTTCCAAGGTAGCCCATTTGGCGCAGGAGGCCAGCAGTTTTTCTTCCAACAAGGATCCCCCGGCGGCGGCGGACAGAGGCAGTTCAAGTTCTCGACTGGTGGCGGAGGATTTCCTGGAGGAAATCCCTTTGCAGGCTTTCCAGGTTTCGGATAGATCGGGAGCTTTTTGGTCCGGTTTCCTGGCCTTGCATATCATGTTCTTGATCACTTGCACGAATTGATACCCCATGTTTTTTCCACATCAACAGGTCCCCTGTCTACGCTTTCAGTTTTGACTTTACGCCGGTGTCACCTAGGGTGGCAGGGTTTGCGAAAGACAAAAGTTCAGGGCACCTTTCCCATCCTGGGAACAAGTCAAGCGTGTCTAGACCTTTACCGAACATGCAACCGAGTTTGTCACATCATTTGAACCTCTTTTGGACCGACCATTGATCTTCGAAACACAGCGGTCTCTCGGCTCTGTGTCATTGAGTCTGTGATTCTGTTCACGTCGGCGACTTTCTACTGGAAAGCTAACAACGGCCTCTGCTGTTCTTCAAAAAACCCCGGTTATACCTTTTACTAGGCACGGATTACATGGTTCCGTTACTTTCGCGCTGACTATAGCTATCTGACCTCGACGCCATCCTTGAAACAGCAGTGGGAAACACTCTGCTTGGACAAGCGAACAAGCTAATCCAACGCCTTCAGCGTGCATTGTCTATCACCCGAAGATGGACTTGCACCTGGAGGTGCTGCTCGAGCCCGATGCCGTTGTACTCCGCATGAACTACAGCCGACTAGTGGTTTGCATACCCTTGTCGCGCCCCAAGCCCGGTGGCTTCCCGACCCGCCTCGCCTCGCCTCGCCCACCAACGGCTTTGCGTTGCATATAGTCTGAGACCACCAAGGGTGGTGAGACAGGTTAAGGCACTGTTTACAGGTTACTATCACAAACGACATCCGTTCGGCGGCCTGGACATAGCAGCGGCGGGAATACAGCTGAACGCCCTACCAGCCGAAGAGACGGCTGCAAACTTTCACACGCTACTCAAAGGCCGCTAAATCTGGCCCGAGCGTCCGAAGCAGCAATGGCCCCGAACTCATCACATCGCCAAGGACTTAGTTCATATACCTTGTGAGGGGAAGGAGCTTTGGGGTCGTTGTCACATCGGGTCCGCCTGGCATATCATTGAATACAAGCTCTGCTCCTCCAGACTCGACGGCAAGGACAGATTTGGAAGTGCAGGTTGCCAGGGGGTCAGTGGCTGTTTCACAGACAACTCATCCCCTGTCTGGAAATGCTCCGTACAGTCCAGGCCAGCCTGGAAGACACTGAGGCCTGCGAGCCCAAAGCCTGCCACACGACCGTCAGCGACCATTCCTGTGCCGCAGCGTAATTGGGTCATGAGACTTCGGTGTCCAAACAGTGCGTCTCGGGCGTGCCAGCGGCCGCTCCGCCTTCACAATCATTGACTCCTAGGTAGACGAGATTAGGTCGTCTTTGGCCTCTTCGGCAGACATGGATTTTGCTCTGCTACGATAGTGGATGTCGATTGTCCCTACTATCCCTCACGGGAACTCTACATGTCCTTCATTTGCGGAGGCGGCACAAGTGAGTGAGCAAGTGGGCGGGAACGCAGCGCAGGACGACAAGAGTGAGGCACATGCACCAGGGATGGGAGGAATCCAGCCACAAAGCATTCGGGGCAGAGAGTAGTTTACTCATCAAAACAGAACCTCTTGGCTGCTGCTACAGAGACCACATACGCAGGTTCTTACATTCCCCCTTTCCCAGCAGATGGGAGTCCGTCGTGCAATATGTTGGGCTTTTGATCAGGGAGTCTGCGTAGTGAAGTACTTGGTCTGCTTCTTGCCTTGGGATGCTCCCTGGAGATACTTCGCCTGGTGATGTATATCGCGAGCGACGGGTTCTCTAGGCGCCTTGATTGTGGTAGTGGTTGTGAGTTGGAATGATGCACCTGGCCGTGCCCTTTTTAGATAGACAGATAGATGGATAGATGGATAGACGTTGAGATACCTACCTACCTAGGTAGCATGTACGAAATCTGCCAACCCAGAAACCGTCGCTCGCTGTAGTGTCCCCTCACCCCTTTACCTAGGTATTCTTGAGACACACACACACATATATTACATATAACCTACCAGTTAGGTACATGTATATGTATACTTAAGCCATCAACCTCCTCCCCCCAAAATCTCCATGACTAACTACCTAGTATACTCGTACGCAGATTCCACACTCGCGCTCAACGCAAGGCTCCATTCATGTTCCTTACCGTGGGTAGGATGTATAGCTCGGACCTTTCGTGTTCTTCTTTTTCCAGTGCTTCCCGGCTCCAGTCCAAGCCATCAAACCACCAGTGGAGCGTACCCTATTTGCCTACGACCGAGGACGATCTGGATCTGGAGGTCATTTCCAGCGTATTTGACGTCATTGGAGAAAGGGAATAACCAGCTCGCCATTAATTACCTAGGTAGTTCTGAAAATGATGGCGATACTTAGTGATGGATATAATTACAATATTTACAACATGGATTCATAGGACGGGCTAGGATTTAGCAAGTTATACTATCTAGAACTGACGATTTTATTGCTTCAATTTATCTTGCGCGATCGCGGCCTAAATCGCCCCTGATCTTCATTGCTGTTGCCCTCCAGCCTAAACCAAAACACCCAGTGATATCACCATGTCGACGGGCAAGAACGTCCTCATCGTCGGCCCCGGCTTCATAGGCTGGAACGTGCTCGACCACCTCGTCCGCGAAGGCTACAACGTGACGGGCCTAGTCCGGCGGGCGTCCCACGCGCAACAGATCCAGTTCTCGGGCGCCAAAGCCGTGGTAGGTGACCTGAACGACACCAACCTCATCAAAACCCAAACGCTCCAGAACGACGTCGTCTTCCACACCGCCACCGCGGACCACAAGCCCAGCGCCGAAGCCGTGTGCCAGGGCGTGGCGGAGCGGGCGCAGCAGGGCAAGTCGACGATATACATCCACACGTCCGGCACGAGCGTGTTGGCCGACAATGCGCGCGGCGAATACAAGGGCGACAAAGTCTATCACGACAACAACCGCTCAGAGATAGATTCGGTGCCGGACGACGCGCCGCACCGGCAGATTGATTTGACAATCCTCAAATACCAAGGGGAGATCGGCGACAAGGCCAAGATCGCCATCATGATCCCGCCGTTGATCTACGGGTATAATCCGCAGCACAGGCGATTGACCATCCAGATACCGACCCTGACCCGGTTCGCGCTGAAGCACGGGTTCGCGGGACACGTGGGCAAGGGATTGTCGGTCGAATCGCAAATCCATGTGCTTGACCTCGCGCAGGCCTATGTGACTTTACTGCATCACATGGAACAGGCACCGGCCCAGGAGTTTCTCGACAACCCGTACTTTTTCTGCGAAAATGGCCGTGAGGCGTCCTGGCGCGAAGTCGCAGAGATGATCGGCGAGGCGCTCCACAAGGCTGGGAAGATCAAGGATCCAACTCCAAAGACCATACCCGAGGACATGTGGGGGGACCTCTTTGGAGAGTATTCCGCCGCGGTCGTCGGCTTGAATAGTCGGAGTCGAGCGGTTAGATTGAGGGAGCTCGGATGGGAACCTGCTCCAGGGCAGAGGAGTATGGAGGAGAGTTTCCAGATGTTCGAGTTGGCCGAGATATTGAAGGAGGAAGGGGTCGATTTTCGTGGATATACCGGAACGGCTGCCTCGTAGAGGGTGGTGAGACTCGTATGAATGCTGCGGCCAGAAGGCTGCCAAACGAAGGACATTCACTCGGCCGCCCTGTGGTCGGGCGACCCTCGTATCGAAGAGGAATAGGACCCCGATGTTCAGTCTTGCTCGTAGTTCTTCCACCCAGGTCGTCTTTTCCATCTTCACTGGCCACACAAGCCATGAAACAAAACATTAGACACCACTGCCCCGACATTCGGAGACGGTATTCCATTTTCAGCATTTCAAGTCGTTGTCCGTGATCTTTAGCCAAGGATCCCAATGGAAAGTTCGGGATGTTCTCGTTCTCCGATCAGCCCTCCAAGGCTTCTCCGGCCCAACCTTTTCACTCAACGTGACCTTGTCTATTGTTCTTGGTCGAAGTTCAAACAGATCAGAAGGATTTGCTTCTGCAACAATACACTGCTGACTGGCAAGACTTGAAGGGGTGTAGACGGTGCATTCCCGCTCAATCGAAAGAACTTGTTTGATATGTCTCTATTCAATTATACGTTTTGGTCTCCTCTCACATTAACCATCTCATAGCTCGGACCGGCATCATTCCTCATGCCCCTTCCCGGACTGCCTCGTATATGGTCATCAACGCCGGGCCCCTCTACCGATCCGTTGGGTGCATTTTGACCAGTCGCTTTCTTGGGCGCCGGAGTACCAAAAGAGATGGGTTGCATTTCACGATACCGACAAGCCCAAACGCCCAAAGTAATCATCAAGACCGCACTGGAGGCTTCTAGACCCCACCATAGCAAATTCGTCGGAACGCCGCCCGTGTAGAGAGAGGTTATGAGGAGGTGAATGAAGTGAATCGTCAGGGCGAAATCGGGGACGAGTTTCGAGCGGGAGATGAGGAGGAGGATTGGTATTACTCTTTGAAGAGAGTGTTAGCTCAAAACACCGGTGTAAAGGCAGTGGGAGCAACATACGTTATGAACCCATCAATAACCCACAAGAAGCCCACGGTCCAGCCGACGGTTGTGTCCCCACGCACGGTATTCCAATCAAAGATCAAGTTCAAAGAGAATCGCTGGCCCAAGACCACGGTCGTGAACAATATCAGCACAAACGCCGTTGCATAGTACGAGAGTTGCAGGAGCAAGATGGAGCGGATGATCTTCAGAGGCGGCAGTTCGGTAAGGGCGCCTGCGCGGGGAGGTTTGCGCCGTCGAGGGGGCATGGGCAGTCACTCCTCGTTGGTTTTATGAGTAGAGAGGCCGTGGACTGTGGATTGGGAGCGTCGACATTAGCATCGCCATGAAGTTGGGGGTTGCCCTCGACCGATAGACATGGCGGTCGTGGATAGTTGAAAGGTGGTTGAAACGGGGAGTTCGAGGGACGAACCAAAAGATGACGATGAATAATAAATCTCCGAGCCTTGTCACGTGGAAGGCTGGATGGGAGTGGGTGGTGACATATTACCATCTCCAAAATGCCATTGAAGAGTAAATTGTCGAACGCCAGTGACACCTCATGAGGGGACTTTTCATACACCACCAGCGAGAACACAGCTTCTAGCAGCCAGTCTGCATCTCTTCGACCCTGAGCTCTAGAAATTCCCCCATCGCCTCGCCCGGCTCCTTCGCTTTTTCGTGCACGTTTCTCATCTCCGAAAACCATGGCCTGGGGTCTTCCGACTTGGCTGGGTGGCTCTGCCTCCTCCAATCCCTCGCTACCACAATCATCGAATCTCCCTCCACGATCCAAAGACGGCGGATACGTTGCTCCCGACCGCACCTCTCGCGAACAATGCTACGAGTCCCGCGATATTTTCTTCCAATGCCTGGATCGGCACGATATACTGGACGCCGTCAAGGAGGATGAGAAGGCAAGGAAGGTCTGTCCGGCAGAGGTGGCGGCTTACGAGAAGGATTGCGCAAGAAGCTGGGTGAGTACATAACCTGATTTGAGTGTCCCTCTCCTGGTTGCAAGTTCTGCAAATGCTGCATAGAGACTAACGGTGGTTATGCTTTCGTGGCTCCAGATCAAATACTTCAAGGAGAAGAGAGTCGTGGATTACAAACGAGATCGCACGTTAGAGCAGATTGCAAAAGAAGATGCCCAGGCGGCTGCAAAGGCAAAATCCGAGAGAAAAGGCAAGTCATGGTTTGGGTGAAGAGGATACATGGATGTGTTGGGTTTGCATATAGCTTCAACAAGGGTTGCCACAGGCTTGCGAGCATGAGACAGTCACCTCCACGTATTGGCGACGTGGGTACCAGACTTGGGACCGCGATTGCTTGAGAGAGTTGATCGTGCTGGTCCTAGGAAGGAGAAGCGCCACCCTTTCAAAATTATAATGACGAAGAGAAATGTACAGACAGGGCCACAATTGTACAATAGGATGAAGGAATTGCATAGCGCGGATGTCAGGGAACCACCTGCATTTCGGTTTGACGGTGCAAGGGCCTTCTGAATAAACATCTTCACTCGTGTTCAGGAGCACCAGAGACATTCGTTTTGACAAGGGGTCAGTCTTCTACCGCCCCAGCAAACCTACAACACTCCCAACCATTACCGCCGCCTCGCGTTCCCAATTCTCTACTTCTTGCTCGCCCTTTGCAGTCGACATTGCTTTCGAATCAGCCGCCAGCACAGTCCTCGGAAGCTTTGAGCCTCGGAGGACACACTCGCGGATCTCTTGCCGGACAGCGTCGCGTTGACTCCGCAGCGTGCGTGCCGAAACACCTCCTCTTGTCAGGATCTCTTGCACACGAGTGGATAATGAGGATGCCAGTGAGCGCCAAAAGTAGGATGGAAGAGAGGCTGTGTCGAGTGCGCTGAGGAGCAACGAGAGAAAGTTGTCGGAAGGAGCTGTTTGAGAGGGCTCTGGGTTTTCGTCTTCTTCCTCATCTGATTCCTTGTCATCGTCCACGCTGGTGACTTTCTTGTCGTCCAGAGCTTCAACCTGCAGTAGTGGATGATCAGGGGCAGATATGCCGCGCAGCGTGGCTTCAAGGGCCACGATATTTTGACACCGTGCACTTGTCTCCAACAAAGCACGGTCTAGCGTCGGTAATTGGCCCAGAGCTCTTCCTATCGATGCAGAACTTGACGTGATAGCCGTCTGCAAATAGCCCTGCAATGCACGGAGCAGATATTCAGGCTCAAAGTCCTTTTTCTTCATCTTCTCTCCATCTATTCTTGGTGCTGGAGAGAGGAGATAGAGAATATGCACCGCGCTCGTGAATCGGGCACGGCTATCCTCGACTTCTCGATACGTGGGGCCAGAGGTCGTTGAAACCCCTCCGCCAGGGCCCGAAGAAAGGGTGCTCATGGAGAACTCTCTGACCGTGCGTCTTGCAAAGTCGAGGATCCGAGCTTCACCATCTTCGAAAACTCTCCCGCGCAAAGTTTTCACAAGGTTGACACGAGCCAGGTCGGCGCCCTCCTTTCCAGTGATGACATCGCGGAACCCAAGAATTGAATGACTTGCGCGCACAAGCGCACCATGGTCCTCCTTGCCCACTCTGGCACCGCCTCCGAGCCCGGATTCCGCGAGGATCACTTCGAACTGTCTGGCAAGGTTGAGGATGCGCTGCACACCCCTTCCGAGCCGCAGAACCTCCCAGCTCCGTTGCGCGGTGGTTTTCGCATCCACGGCTTTCTGATGCCGGACCAGGATTTCCTTCTCCAGCCTTTCGTAGCTAGCGTTGAGACGTGCTCGTTCCTCTTCTATTCTGGTGAGGATTCGTTGAGCAGCGGCATTCTGGGAGGCGGTGTATGTCAGGATGTCGAGCGCCGAGCGGGCGGTAAGAGTATGAATATGCGAATCGATTTCTTGCAGGTCGAAAAGAACACGGGATAGCGGCGTGGTGAGGTCGATTGTTGGGTCGGACGGGTTGTTAGTAGCGAGAACGAGGTTGTTTGCATGCGTGTAAGGCGAAAAATCGTCCGAGGTGAGAGCGTCAATATCGATATAGGTCGACGTGGCATTGCCCGAGTCTGCTTGGATGGTCGTTGCGGCCATTTCCAACAAACCACGTCACCACCCCGGCGGAGACGAAATAGATGCTGAATCCTCGCTCTTACGCAACACTATATCGGCTTGCGTCGCACTATATAACTGAATCTCTTGCCGTATATCAGCCAAAATGTTGGACGCTGTCAAAGGCTCCTGAAGTTGTCAGGTTTCGCTGTGGGATGAAGTCGTTTCCTTTTGCCATATCGAAGCGCCAAGACCATTGGAAACTTGAACTGTTCAAGTTCGTTCAGGCCTCGTGCAAGGCTGAGGCGAACCAGATTGGTACTAGACTCTGAGTCTTATCGTTATCGCCATTTCCTGCGGGGAGGTTGAGGGTCAAGGGGTCGAGGGCTCTATCAATATCAATTGAATCAGTCACTTGGGCCAAAAGTACCACTGCCCGGTCCGAATCTCTCCGTACAAAAACATCCCTCAACTAGAGGGACCAGTCCTAGTCACACTACGCTAGGGAGCATGCGGGCGCCTCCAGGTTAAGCCTGTGGGGTTGAGCGAACGATCTCGAATTGCACAAACGATGGTTTCTATCACATGCCATTTCTTACCAGCTTAGCTCATTCGCGCTATGCTGGAGGTGAAGGTTTCAGGCAGGTTCGGTGAAAATGGCAATAATGGTATGACTCCATACACCAGGAGAGCTGGACAAAGTCATCTGATACGTGCGGTACGGGGCATCCGGAGCAAAGCGTGAACGGCTGGGGGCGGTTCCTGACGCCTGTGCCTGTTCCTGGACCGAGCGAAGGAGTTTGCAGCAAAGTCCAGCCATGGCCCATTAGGGTCAGTTCCATGTTGTTCACGGCGAGTAACGGCTGTTACCCACTCTCCACGTATCATGTACCTGACAGATGAAAGAGTCTGAAAGAGTCTAGGACCGAAGATCACAAGTCCATTGGATCATCCAACCCGAGAGACCCGGGGCATCCTGCGGCAGGTATGCGGTCAGAGTCAGCGAAGGCGGAAGTGCTGTCAGAAAATTGCCTGCGAGCACAATCTCGGGTGTTCAAGAAAGAGAGTGGCGGCGATGCGGATACGAATTGGCGGGGTATTCCGGCGTGCAGAAGGCGAGAGGGCGAGAGGGGTTTTGTACGCGCAACAAAAGGTGAGTCAGGCGAAGAGATACACGAAGTGTAAGACCGGGATGACAGGCTCGGCTTCGCTCTTAGGCCATATGTTGGAAACTTGATTCGATCATACAAAGGCTGAGCAGGCGGGATTACAGGAAAGTCGCAGCGAAGGTGGTAAGAAAACCATACACACGGCAACGAAGCCTCGAGTTTACTCTGGAGGGCAATTGTCCCACAGGTTCATTGAGGCTTGACAGAAAAAGGCGCAAGAGAAGTCCAGGCGAGGGGCAGTCAGCCATTTCACAAACAAAGGGCAAGTCTGCTCAGTCTGGATAACTCATGGCCTGGTCGGGTAAAGTGTGGCCTTGAAGGAGGGTTGCTAAAGAGCAAAGAGTTGTCCAAGGTTGTGGAGGGCGAGGCCTTTTAAGATTTCCTTCGCGAAGCTCAGTGGCCACGATGCTGATCTCGCAGGGATGCTGCCACTTCTGCGAGGGGCACCACGCTGGTAGACGCCGGGCTAATCATGCACATCAACAACGGGTTGAGGTACGGAGGAAAGTCATAGGCACGAGTACGGGCCACCGAAGAGCCTAGTAGTCCTGAGAGCATGGGGGGCTGTGCCCTGAAATATCCTCTTTAGTTAAAACTCAGCTAGTGCCGCCTGCCTAAAGCCCCAACCACCGAGCAACTAAGGCACCCTCCTAGAGGCTCCCATGGGGCCATGGGTGCCATCAGCCTTGCCCCGCCAATCACTCCTGCCCCTCGCATTATTTCACAGCCTATTGGTACTCGATAGCAGTGGCCCAAGCAATTGCCCGAGGCCTAGCTCAATACCCAGACAGGCACCACGGACAGGAACCATCCAAGCACTCGGTCGAAGTGGCACAGTGTGTGGGATGCAGGAGGATGATGACGGCACAATCGGCTTAACAGGCCTGCACAACTTGGAGAGGCGACGCCCCTGCGCTGCGCTGCGATGCACTGCACGGCACGGTAACCGCACACTGCACATGCAACTCATTGATTGCCTCTCTTCGTGATTCATCAACCATCGCCATGCCATTGCCTACCATCGCCGGCCATCGCCCATCGCTCATCGCCCGCAAACCATCAAACATTCAGCCAACAGACAACATCATTTTTGTTATCCATCCCTCATCCGGACAGCACATCATCCCGCCCTTCCTCCTCGTATCGACCTGTACCACTCCATCCCACCTGCATCGTGGCAAAGGTCGCTTACTAAATCCAGCAGCTCCCATCCACCCAGCATCCATCCTCACCGAATCCTGTGCCTCGATCCTGGGACTGGTGGCCTTTCTGACGCCCGCTTGACCCACCCATGGTGCCCTTAAGGCTCGTCATCTGCCACCCGCCTGGAGCCCACCGTCGAGCCCTGCTTTACTTGACTTTACTTAGCACCGACTCCACCATTCACACCAGGGGCATGCCCACCATGCCTCGCCGCCAACAATAACCCTCCTCCCGCTTCATCACCTCTCAAGTCCTGCGTCTGCGATCAACCGCATCAAGATCTTGTCCTTCGCCGCCAGTTGTCGACTCTCAAAGTCTCTCTCAGATCTCTCGCTAGTTGCTTCATTGCTCCCCTATTCAGTTTCTTCCCTCGTCCCCCTCCCCCTCTTCCCCCCCGGGCTACTTGTCGATCATATGGGTTGTTCGCTTCCGCAACCACATCCTTGTTGAACCCTTCTTCGCGCCCGGAAAACCCTGGCCTTATCACCGTTCTCCAGCCCCTCCGAGAGTGTCCGTTACGTCGCCACTCTCGACTGCGGCATAGTCTATCAAGTCCTCCAGCCCGACATTCTACTCTAATCATCGTTAAAAAAAATATCTCGTTTTCAGCTACACCACGCCGCAGCCTCATCGTCAAATACGACCGCTCCGGATGTGCAATCATTGTGTGGCGTAGAGCCGCAGCCTTTCGAGTGCCTGACCGTCGCACTGGCTTTGCCTCACCTCACAACCCCACCATGGCAGCCATCTCCAGCCTCGTCCTGAGCGACAATTTGCCGCCCAAGGATAGGAGAGACGACTTGGAATCACCGACCACCCCGCGGCCTGATCGATATGCGTCGACACCGATGGACGAGGCCACAGTCGCCGTCAAAGACCACGCTCTGCAGTCCCGGCCAAGCGTCTCAACCACCTCACAGCCTTCGAGTCAAGGTTCACTAATTGATCATGGAAATGCTGAAGGAGACGATTCTACAATGAGAAGAGATAGTGGCGAGGCCTTGTCAAGCACCATGGATATGGACGACGATGACACTGGCCAGCCTGGCTCGGATAACGAACTCGAGCCAGGTGAGGTAGACCTTTCCGCGCGGAAGAAAAAGGGCCAGAGATTCTTCTGTACCGGCTATCCGCCCTGCAACCTCAGTTTTACTCGAAGCGAGCACCTGGCTCGTCATATCAGAAAACACACGGGTGAACGCCCGTTCCAATGTCACTGCAATCGCAGGTTCTCCCGCCTGGACAACTTGCGCCAACATGCTCAGACAGTGCATGTCAATGAGGAGATCCCAACCGACTCCCTTGCTGCGACGGGGACTCGGTTTCAGCGGCAAATCCGTACCGATCGTGTGAGACCCACAGGTCGCCCGCGAACCGGCACCGCTGGCAGCACTGGAAGTCACAGTCGTGGTCACAGCCGAAACCTATCGGCTTCAAGTGTTGGCTCGACCTCCTCCAACTACAGCATCGTCACCGATGGAAAACGAAGGCCGCCGCCTCTGCTAATGGCCAATGACAACCTGAGAGGACCGAGTTTGGGAATCGAGCCACCCCATACACCCCCGGCTCAGTACCGCGGGTACAATCCAAACTCCCCTGGTGGTCTGAGTACGCCCACCTCTGCCAACTTCTCGGCGACACCTAGTTCCCCGGGATTCTTGTCCTCGATGGCTTCGCCAGTATCAAGTAATGCCCGCTTGGGTGGCTTTTTCGGCTCAAGGCCGCAATCCCGCCGCTTATCTGTGCCATCAGGGCCTAATCCATACCAGAGTCAGTACCCACCAGGGTACCCTGTTGGCTATCTGAATCAGATGGGCCCACCAAGTTCCCACGCATCGTCAAATTCAAGTGTCTTTGCTAGTCCAACTTCTGCAACGTTTTCTATCGCTCCTGGCCAACCTGTTCCACCTGGAGAAGACTGGCGCAGGCGAACATGGCATGCGTCCACTTATCCAGCTGGCCATTTCAACTATGGACGTCCTGCTACGAGCGGCCTGACATATTCGCAGACCCCGGATGCTCCTCAGCCTGCACATGCTCAACATGCCACTGCGGCCGCCGGACAAGCCCCTCGACTACCCGGCATTGAGAGTTTTGATCATGTCCAACACCGCTCGTACACCCCCCCGCGCCGCCAACCGAGTCCTATGCAGATTGATGTAAACTTGTCCTCCTCAGCTGCGGGCCAAGACCCCCGGATACGCCAGGGTCATGTTTCGTGGGAAGGCCCTCGTCCCAGCCAGTACCCAGAGCTTGACGAACATGCAGACCGGAGTCAAGGAGCGGGGTCATGGGGTCAGCAGACAATCAATGAGATCCAGAGTGTGGGTATGCGATTTACTGAGCCGCCGAGGCACGTCGACATGGGCCCTCCGCCTCCGTCCATGATGACTGCTCAACAGCACCAGCAGATGACGCGCGAAGCACTGGAGGGACAGTCTTCAGCAAAAAGAACGAGACGACAAGCATGGTACGGTGGACCTACGCCAACCAGGACGTCACCAGAAGATTCGAGCAGCAGTGACGGTATTCCTACCCCTGGCATGACCGCAGTTGAAGTGCACCCGATGATCATGCCCAGTAGCGGGTACATAGAACCACAGCATGGGCCATTGCCTCCGGATACCCATCAGAATGTGAGTTGTCCCAAATGTGTATTTGACGGGTACCCCAGAACAGGAACTAATCCTCGTCTAGGTTTGTCTTGCCCCAGCCCCATTTATCGAACAAAGCCGTCACCAGAACACAACATCCTTCGGTGATCGCAACGGAGCTGGCGGAGGAATGAATCGACTGGAAGCTCTGGTAGCTGTGGCGACAAGTGGAGATAATGCTGCCCGATGAGTAGAGCGAATCGTACCCGACGGAAGATGACGACGACTTCTTTAATAGGAACAGGGAAAGCTGTTCCTTGGACGACACGACCTTTCGAATTCGACACCAGCCTCTAAATGGAGGCACACATTCGAGGCGCAGCGCTTCTGATCATTGAGTCTTGACGGCCTGCATTGAGAGATACCCATGACGACTCTTTCTTCTTCTGATACATGTATTCTGCTCCTGTTGTTGTTCATTGTTCTTGAGGATTCAACGCATGCATTCGGGGTGGGAGTCGTGCTTTTTTGAGTGCAAGCAAGCGTTTAGCGGTGGTATCTTTGGGCGCAGTCACGAAATACCCACGACCATTGACGAACATGTGCTTTTTGTTGTATACGAAGGATTCTTTGCGGATGGGTCTTGATTCTTTGAAGACGCATGGGGTTATTGCAATCAATTTGGATCATTTCGCTCCTCAACATTTCCGCTCCTCAAAAACAGCCACCTCTTCTCGTTTACGGTTTGGACGATCGTGTATGTTAGTGACGCCAGCAGGTAATAATGAATGGAATTGTCTTGATGCAGATCGCTCATCGGAGTAGGATATGGAACCGTGTGCTTCTCTAGAGACTTTTGACGGCTTTGCAGTTTCTTCTACCCAGGGAGGGAATCTATCTCCGCCATGCCATAGTACAGTACGGCTAGCACCGGGAATTGACCTGCCGAGAGACTAACCTCGTTGGTTTGGGGGACACCGTCTATTATTATTGGTCTTACCTATCTGTCGATCAGTTGGAGCTTCTTCTCAACTTGTCAAGCTGCCTTGGAGAGCAATGGATTCTGCAAGACAAGGCTCAGAAGTATTTCAAGAGAAGAAGCTGGTGAAGAGGCCTGCTTGAAGGCAAGTGGAGTACAACTGGCCGCAGTCTCGCGCTGTGTGCCTTCTGAAGGCCTGGCAGATTGCAGTCTGGCGCGTCGCGTCGACGGGATGCCGCGACGTCTCACATCTGGACAGGTTGGTGATCTCATCAAGGTGTCCAAGGCCAAGCTCCGGCTCAGGGTTTCATCAAATTGAACCGTGTGTCACTAATTTCCGGCATGAGGGTCGACAGCTGTAGGTACCCGAAGGATTTGGAAGGAAAATTCTATGCCAACCTCGAGGCTGCCGCGCTGGGGCAAAGCGGATAAGTACTGTCTGCGGTGATGGAATTGACAGATATCCAGCCGATAGCAAACATTTTTGGTCCATCTCATAGGTTCAGTTCACGGTTATGCCTCCTCTTGACGGTCAAATCGACCGACAAATTCGAGATCGCAATTGAAAAGATGACCAGGCGCAGAGTGTGCCTAGCAGGGGCCCGGCAAGGCTTGCATAAACATGCAGCTGTGCGAGATGTTGCGTGCTTCTTTGTCCTTCCACCATGCTTCTGCCACGTGCTTTGATCTGCTCCATCGTGATCTTACCGACGTGGTTCGGGGAATGAGCGAAAGGAAATGAGGGAAGATGTCACCGCAGCAAGATCGGTTGGTTGGCTAGATGGATTGACGGCGAGGCACAGCCTGCGCACACAGCATAGTATCATGGTGCGATGGATGACAAGGTTCCAGAAAAGGTGAAAGGAACTGGCTGTGTATAGGGTTTGGTAGAGAAGCGACGAGGGCCGTGCAAGGGAGGGGACATTGAGTGTGAATTTCACTCCGATCTCGCTGCCGGGTTGAAGGTCAGAGTGAAAGAAAGGGAGTGAGGTAGACAGGAGAAGGTAACAGTGTGAGAGAGCATCTCTTGGTGAAAGTGGTCAAGTGCGATCCATGACCAATTCAGTCTTCAAGTTCTTCAACTTTTCACTACTGCCTCACCTTTCCATCAGTCATCGACGCTCTCAACATCCCGACACTCTCACTTCCAGTCGACACTCCTTTATAACCCCTTTCCTTTCTGGCCTCTCGTCTTCATCTCTCACATCCCATCACTCTTTCCCTTCGTCGCCCGAGAGTGCAATTGCTCCTTGGTCCTGTTACCACGCCTCTCTTTGCCATCATCTGATCATTTTTTCATCAAAAGTCAACAGACCTCAACTCCTCGACCTCTAGAGGAATCACACACTGAAGTCAGCCACGACAACATTGTCACCATGAGACTCGCAAGCTCTGCCCTCCTTCTGGGTGCGGTCTGTGCCTTCAGTGAGGCCGGAGTCTTGCCCATCAGACAAGCGTGAGCAGCTATCCTCAACCTCCCCCTTTGTTGATCTTGTACTGACTGAGGTCCCACAGGTCGAATCCATCATGCTCTGCTGTGACCATGTGGAACTACGCTACAGTCACTCAAACTGTCGTTTCTGTTCCTCCAACAGTCACTATCCTTCAGCAAGACCCCAATTCGATTGCGAACACCATGGCTCCCATAGACTCATTGCAAGTCAGCCAAGAGAGCGAGGAGCAACCTGTTTCCGGTCAACGATACCCTACCTCTGTAACATTCATTCACACTATCTCTGTCTCTGGCTACGAAGCCACTGAACTTGCCAACCCTGGTGCATCCGTTTTCTACCTGTCACAGGCTCCTGCCGACACAAATTCGCCCTGGGCATCTATCGCTGCGCTAACCACCACTGTCACTGTTCTACCTGCCAACGTAGCAGCTACCACTGGAAGTACCACTGGCACTACCACTGTCACTGTTCTACCTGTTCCAGTTGTCAACTCTGATCAACAGGAAGTCCAGTCCAATACCACTGCTGGTTGGAACACCGCTTCGACTGACTCTTCCTACGGACCGCCTGCCCCCCTCTCCTCCTCAACTGAAGTCCAGCCAACGCAGCCAGTGCCCATAGCCACAGCCACAGTGACACAATTTGCAACGGTCTACTCAACAGCCACGGCCCCCGCAAACGGATATGGAACGTCAGCAAATGGTCACCACGCCTTCACAAATAATGATAAAGCAGGTTCCCCCAATGGTGACGACCTAGAGAAGAGACAAACGTGTGTGTGGATTTCTGCAACAATCGATGGGCAAGAGGTTGGATGGTGCAACAATTGGGCCGGAGGGTCAACATTGACTTTCACTTCATGGGAAACAACCAGTCAGTCCATCAAGCCACACACTCTTAGTTTACCTGCTGACTGAGGCTTAGCAACTCCTACTTACATCCCTGGCATTGGCCCCATCACCCAGTCAAGCACCTCCACGACAGATTCTGCTGCAGGGTCCGTCACGATCGAGACATCCACCGACTTGGCCAGCTCCTCACAAGCGAGCGCAACACCAAGCGCATGTGGCCAAACCGGTCCCTTCCAGATTGGAGTAGGTGTTGTTGAGAGTTCTAAGGTTGAGTGCTTGCTGACCATATATAGTTTGACGACCTACCTGTCTACTCTACGACTGACAACAACACCGCAGACTTCCCACCTATTTTCAATCCCTATGAGCATTTCTTCTGGGGTGACGGATGGGCCTACGTACCACCGCCAAACGAGCCTTTCCCTCCACAGTCAGGTAACCGCCTTGCTCAGTTTATCCCATCACTCAACAACACTGTCGACGGTTCAACAGACGCAGGTACCATTCCACCCAGTTCTTTCGGAGCTGGGCCGCGCAACTATGACGACAACTACTGGTTCAGCGCCAGCTCCGCCTATGTTGGATGTGACAACGGGTCCAGGAATTTGAGCTCGATCTGTGACTTTGTTGCCACAGCCTATCAGTGGGACAATGTCACGCAGTCGGAGGTGGTGGTTGCCACCCAGCACTTCCGCATTCCCCCATGCCCAGACTTCATCAAGTGCCAACTTACGGAGATTGATTTCAACTATCTCTTCTACAAGATGTCAACGCTAAGCTTCTACGCCAATGTTCAAGGTCAGCTCAGTCAGTTCTGGATTGACAGCATTGACCTGAATTGGTACAACAACACTTGTGCTGCTGGACTGGCTCGTGAACAGTCGAGGAAGGTTTGAAAGTCAGGAGCCAAGTCAGACCTGGCACCGCAGCCACTCACTGGCACAAGGCGGGGACAGAGAGAATCGGCCTTGCCTCGTGAATATTCGAATACGAAGAGATGCTTGGAGTAGCTGAGCTGCAAGGAGATATGTTCAAGCACGGGAAGATCCAAACAATTGACGGGCATAACGTCCAGGCATCGTACAGCAGTCAGCATACAGACACATGGTGGGAGCTGCTCCTATTTTGTAACAAAAGTGGACAAGTCAGAGCAGACGCAATGAAATGGGCCCCAGGGGAGATAATGAAGGGGCGCGCAAATGAGCTCAACGTAATTCTACGAAGATTCTCCTCTCATTAAATTTGTTCTTTTCACTTCCATCTGTCCAGAGTGAATCTGCCACATTGGGGTCGACTTGGTCTTGACCTAGGGAGTCCCCGGTAGAGGACCATAAGAAAAGCATCTTCACACCCAGAATTCCCGGCGGAATGCTTGACGGCGAATCATGCCAAGAAATGCCAAGCCCGGAGCATCGACGTCATACCACTCGGCGCGCGCCCCGAGCCACCAGCGATTCCACCCCGTGCCACTCTTCTCAGCGGTTTACATATCTCGACTCAACCCCCTCCGGCGCTATATCTTGTCGGTATGGAAGTAACGAGCGTCGTCCGCACATCTTCCTTTATCATCCTGAAAGGGGCATGTCCAGCACAAATGGCCAGCAGGACTCTCTCAACGGCCACTCCGGCTTCATCCTGGCCGTCTTCTGCCTGGTCTCGATCTTGGTCATCTGGCCAGTCAGGATTGCGCTGCCGGTGTTCCTCCAACGGCTTCTACTCTCAACCCTTTTAAAGACCAGGGTCATCGCCCTCAGTGACTTCAAAACCTTATCCAGTCGCCGACTCCATATCCACTTGTCTCTCACGACAGCCCCCGTCATCGCCGTGGTTCTACTCCTCGCGACGACAACTATACATGGCTCCACCATTCGCCTGGGTATCGTTGGAGATGACACAGTCAAACCCTATGACGTTCTGGTTCTCTTCATCTCGCTCGCCTACATCTCCATTGCCCTGGACGGTACTGGCGCCCTCGAGGCTACCGCATTCTATGTCTCCAAACGTGGCGGCAGCTCCGGCCGCTTGCTCTTCACGTATCTGTACGCCTTCTTTCTCCTCACGGCATGTATAGTGGGTAACGATCCGCTCATCCTCTCTGGCACACCGTTCCTGGCATACCTGAGCCAGCATACCGATCTCGATCCGACGGCTTGGGTATTTGCGGAATTCATGGCTGCGAACACCGCCTCCGCTGTGCTGGTGAGCAGTAATCCGACCAACATTCTCATCACAGGCAGCTTTGGGCTCAACTACTTGACCGACTTTACCAAGTGGACGGTTCTTCCCTCTCTGATCCCTGCAGCGTTGAATTATCCGATTCTCCTCGGCATGTTCTGGAAGAAGATCCCCAAGACGCTGACTCCATTGACGGACGACCCGTGGAGCAAACTTCGGGACCGTACAGGCGCTTTTTTCCTTAGCGCGTTGATGCTGGTCACGGTGTCTGTGCTTGTCGGTACGAGCTTCGTGCCGGGTCATGCGGTGGAGGTCTGGATGGTGACCGCGCCAGCTGGCGTTTCGGCATTCCTGTTCAATGTGGTGAATGACTGGTTCCATCCGGAGATTGGTCGAGAAATTGTTCGGCAGCAGTCACGAGATTCCGCTGCAGAGATGTCCGAGATAGAACAAAAGCGGTCGAGACCAATGCAAGTCCATATCCCACGGGGCAACCAACTACGGGACCCTTCGGAGCTAGAGGACGGACGGATCCCGTCACCCAAGTCCTCCGAGTCCACATCTCCTTCACCACCGATTTCGGCAAAGGACGAGGAAAACACCAACACCCAGCACGATGCCCAGCCGGCGCCGGCCGATTCTGAGCCTCGAGCTCTTTCTCTTCCACTTCCTGCAAAGGGTCAACCCGACACGGAACCCGTGCCCGCCTCGGAGCCCAACAAGGCGGATCACACATCATTTGCCTCTCTCCTCCGCGCTCTCTCATCACGCTTCCCCTCGACGGCACATACCGTCTCGCTTCTCCCCATCCCGCTCCTCCCATTCGCCATGGCCGAATTCATCCTCGTCCGCGGCCTCTCCCAGCGCGGCTGGATCCGCGTCTTCGCGATCGGCTTCGCCCGCGCATGCACATCCCCCGCCGCGACGGTGTTTTTCTTCGGCTTCGTCAGCGCCGCGTTCCTGTGTCCGCTGGCCGGGACGAACATCGGGGCGACCATCATCCTCGTGGAGATTCTCCGAGATCCGCAGTTTATGCGCTCCGACAACGTGCAACGCGACCCCAGGGTCTTGCCCGCTGCAATCTACAGCGTGGCCATGGGGAGCAACATCGGGGCATTCAGCTACACGTTCGCCGGGTCCCTCGCGGGACTGCTTTGGCGGGGTCTACTCGCCAACAAGGGCGTAAGGGTCAGTCAGTGGAAGTTCGCCCGGGTGAACATGGTGCCGCTTTTGATGCAGATTGTGGTGTCCAGCGCCATTGTGCTAGGCGAGGTATACTGGTTTTCATGACGCCACTCTGCTCTGAGGCACGTTAATATCGAGGTAAGGAGAAATTTGATATGGCAACGCCCTGAATCATAGATTGAGCTTTATGAGCGCTGGAACAGCGGAAAATCAATCACTTGCTTTTTGCTGGCCTGCCTGCCTGCCTGCCTGCCTGCCTGCCTGGCCTTGATCCACCGCTATAGACCCATACAATCCACACGGTTAGATCCCCTTGCTGCGACGACCCTAGAGGTGGCACACTGCAGAGGTGATGGCGCGAGTCCCAGAATTCGCCCGACAGCCTCGCTCATAATACGACGAACATCGAGAAGGGGCGTTGTTAAGTTGAATATGGTGTAAAGGGATCACGCCTTCTTGTCCTGCTGCGGCTTGGCCCCTGACGCCTTCTCCTCCCGGGCTTCGCGATCGGCTCTGATCTGCGATCACAAGTCGACGGGTGTCAGCAAGTAAAAAACGAGAGTAAGTGTCGTGTCCCCGTGGACTCAGATTCCATATTCTGTCGTCACAACTCGCTCTCGACTCCATGACCACGGGCGTGTAATATACTGCTTCGCTTCGCTTTCGCTCAAACAAGGATAAACCAACTAAGTAAGGGAAACTTACATCCTCTTCACTCAACGTGGCATTCTCCTCGGTCCAGTGCCGATTGCCCTTCTTGTCCGGCAACTTCTCCTGCGTGGCGGCGGCTTCCGGGTGCGCTTTCAGGTCCGAGGCCTTTTCGGCGCGGTGCAGAGCCGTCGGCCACCGCGTCGCGCGGGTCGTTGTGTACCACCGTCTGCCGGTGCCTGTGATTCCGCCCCGGGCGATCTGGTTGGCGACGGTGGTGGCGGTGGTGGTGTTAAACTTCATGGGTATAAAGATGTTGAGATATTTTTTCAGATGTGTACGAGTTATTTGGGGGCGGGGGGAACCAAGGAGCTGGGGATGGATGGATGGATGGATGGATGGAATTTGTATGTTACTGTAGCACGATAGACAGAGGGAAAAAAAGGGTGGTGCTGCTTTATAAATCCGTTGTCCAAGCGCGAATATAATAATGAGGTGAGAGGTGCATGCCAGTACATACCAGCTTACCTTTGCCCATTGAACGGCTCAAGCATCCTCGTCGAGACTCGTGAGTCGTGACACGCAGGAACGCAGAACGTGGTGTGACATGCCCATTCTAGACTGAACGGGCTCTTCTTCTGGAGACCTGGCGTGAACTTTCACGCGGGGGAAAAGGGTTTGATATCAAGGGAGACCTCACGCCACCCACCCTCTCAAAATCACGATACGATCAGTGGGGAGAAAATTGGTCCTGTCGCCCTTGGACTTGTTGAGCTAGATAGATCGGTAGATACGTAGGTAGATAATCGGGACATCGCTAACCAATAGTATAAAAAAAAAGGCTGCTCTTCTTAAGGCCCCGTCTATCTCTTTTAACCGGTAAGAGATAACTTTCTCGATTCTGGTGGGCGGTTTCGGTAGAACGAGGACTGCGTAATGATTATTTATATTCCACCGTCGCTTTCTTTCCAAACTCAAACCCTACTTCACACGGTTTGTTCCATCGCCTGGGGAGCAGTCTTGTGGTTTGGGACCCCTTCTGAAGCCACCCTGTCGACATACCTAGGTAGGTGGTAATGAAGTTTTGGAATAGAATCGAGAAGCAGCCTCAAGGGGTTGATGTTCCGTCACGGCATCCGTCATTTCGCGCGGGAGCGGAATGATGAAGCGGTCGAGGTCGTAGTGGAGGATGCTTGCCGTGTCATTCGCCATTCTTTTCGAGGAGCTGTCCGGTCTCTTTCCACATCGTCGTTCGCAAGTTGACGACCTAAAGACGCCACAACGGCAGCTCCAGAGACTTGTGTCCTCGTGGGTATCCATGACGCGAACCACAGCTTCTGCGGTCCCTGGGCGAAACCTCTATTATCGAACCGAGACCGATGCGGAGAGTACTCACGGCCCATCGGCGGACCAACGTTTTCTGAGTTTCGCCTGGTGTCTGGTTGAGCAGCGAATGTATCAGAGCGGAATCCTCGAAGCCCACGATCGACCAGGTAAAGCTTCGAAATACGAGAAAAATTCAAAAATCCTCGGTCCAACTGATAAAGTACCAGGTTAGTAGAGGCTGAGAGGCAGAGTTTCACATTCATTCAGCTTACAACTTTCTTGTTCTCTCGAAACCTAGTCGACGGAAGGTAGCTGCGTCGAAGCTACCTAGATATACTCCACGGCTGCGCTTGGCGTGAAGCGCAGCCATGGCTGTCTTTGTATCTTCGATATAGAATGACGCTATCAACGTGAGACAATGCCTGATTGACATAATGCGCACATCTCATCAGAGACATCACATACCTGCACAACCAGTTAGTATTAGAATACATATTTTGAACGAGGGAGCAGTATTACCAAGCCAAACGAGGCACCCCGTAAGAAGACCCCTTTGTCAGTTTCGAGAACTCTCTCTTCCTTCCTCTTACCCTTCGATCCGATCGACACCTGTCAATACCGAAAGTATCAAAACTCACCCTTGGTGCCCCGACAAGGTTGTTGCTACACCTTTCCCTTCCGATGACAACGAGGGTGTAAGCTGTCTTCGGGAGAGCGAGTCCTGCGTTCTCGGAGTGTCACCGAATTCAAGACGTCGTCACCTCAGCTCGTGTCGTGTGGAGAATGAGGCCTGTGACGGAGTTTTATGTGGAACGCGTAGATGCGGTCGCTGAATCTGAGGGTTGCTGACTTTGTTGTCATGCTTATGGTCCATGGATTGTCCGACCCGGAACTCAGGGAGTGAGGCCCTATTTGGTAAAGGGTGAGCCTGAACCTGTGTCTGATATCAGCCGGTTGGGAGAATAGATATCTTCTGATATATAACTAATGTGCCGGTCCTCCCTCCCACCTCAGAGACGAACTGAGCTCTGATCTCACAATACCTGTCGATATGGAGCACGTCCTAGACCTCATCTTGAGCCATTCTTTGGCTTTCACAGCCTTTGCCTTGTCGCTGTTCACCGTCACTTTCTTCCTCAAGCGCTATCTTCGCCTTCGCCATGTTCCAGGCCCTCTCCTTGCAGCCTTGACAGACCTTTGGTTTGCCTACAGGTTCTGGACAGGCACGAATTTTGATCGGCTCGCCACAGAACTCCACCAAAAGTATGGCCCAGTCGTAAGGCTCGGACCAAACCGCTTGATCTTCAGCAAGGCGTCCGCCATTCCTGTGATACACAGAACAACTGATGTCATGCCCAAGGTGAGGTCGAACCTGTCCCAAACGCGTCAATCAGGCATTCTCCGAGGGCTCACTAGACACTTGACTAGTCTTCGTTCTATCTTCCACTCCGAGTCATGGTTCGAGGCCGTGAAACCAGCTCCTTTGGCAGCATTCTCGATGAAAAACGAATGAGTGCCATCAAACGTCTTCTGCTTGGAAATTTCACCATCAATTCGTTTCTCCAACAAGAGGCGGAGCTCGATCATACAATGTCCTCATTGGTAAGATATCTCGAGGACACCAGAACCGACATTGCAATAGGCACCACGCTAGGGTACTGGGCTTTTGACAGCATTTCGCGCATTGCTTTGACGGAAGATCAAGCCTTTCTGAGCCGACAGGAGGACTGCGGAAATACTATCAAAGGTGCAAACGAGCGCATCACGCACTGGCAATACTGGGGAGCCATGCCAACGTTGGAACGGTGGCTGTTCAAAAACCCCATCATGCAAAGAATGGGAAAGTCGTCGCCCTTGGGCGCTTCTGCTGCGCAACAGTTGCAGAAGAGACTGCACGAGGACAAGGATGTGGAAAGTCAACTCGACCTCTTAGGGAAATACCTGGCAGCTAGTCGAAGAGCACCCGAGTTGATCAAAACTAATGACGTGGTAGGCTTCCTGGTGTCGACCATGCACGCCGGCAGCGAGCCTGTCGGACAGACTACGGCAGGCATCCTCATAACTCTGTTGCAGCATCCGGACAAAATGGCCAAGCTTGAGAAGGAAATCCTCTCAGCGTCACTGAGTGATATGCCGCAGTTTTCGGAAGTGCACAACCTTCCCTACCTAAATGGTGTCATTCGAGAGTTTCTAAGGCTGAGCACATCAAACGTGGGCTTCCTCGAACGGACAGTCCCCGAGCCCGGGGCAATGATCGATGGCGTCTGGGTGCCTGGTGGCACTGAGGTCTCAGTCAGCAGGGCAGTATTGCACAAAGATGCCGATATTTTTGGAGCCGATCCTGAGCAGTTCCAACCAGAACGATGGATCGGGCTCGGTGACGGGGAACTCAGGCGGATGGACCACGCAGATCTCAGCTTCAGTCTCGGACGCCGGATGTGCATCGGGCGCAATTTAGCAATGATCGAGATGAAGAAGGGACTTGCGCGGCTAATCAAGACGTTCAAGGTAAGTCTGATCGTTCTAGAATGCGTGGATGCGCAGACTGTGTGCTGAACATGATGCAAGGTTGTTCCCTCTGATCCCAACGATGACCTTCAACCGACCGTGCGGGGGCCCAGACGAGCATACTATAACACAAAAGTGAACTTTCTAAAGCGGGAAGTAGAGGTCACGGAAGAGAAGAATGTAGCTTGAAATGGATGGGAACATGCGACACAGCTATCATTGAGTGAGAGATGCATGATGGAGATACGAGTCAGATCAGCCTCAGCGGAGTTGCGGTGGTTTTGATATCGCGATATTAAAGCGGCGGAACTTTAGTCCGTTGCCGTAGCAGCCACTCATTGCGGACTCCCGTAAACACACGACGACAGCTTGCTGCCCATTCAACGATGGCGACATCATTTCCTCTGAACACACGTAGGACACAGCAGAGAAGCAACCATGTGTGCGTACTCGTCCGAAGACGACCTTCCAGACCTCCACGCCATCTTCGCGCCCAAGCCGTTAATGGCCACCGGCACACATACTACCCTGCGACGATCCCCGCGCAAGAAGCCCGTAGTCAACGAGTCGACATCGCCTCAGAAAAGGCAACGAGATGTGTCGAGCCCAACCAAGAGAATGGAACATAATGGTTGCCACCTGCCAGTGAAGAGTCGTTGTCGCAAAGAAGCCACGAAGCCAGAAAAAACAAACCGGGCCCTGCTCAAAGATATCCCGCTTCTTCCTCGAAATCTGACTCTTGCCGAGACCCATGTCACTTCCAACAACCGCCGCGCTGAAGCGAGTCCCCAAAGAAGCCTCAGATTGGCCCACGTCGACTCACTGCTGATTCCGCTGAAGTTGCTAGCTGTGGAAGACGGTGGGCCGTCAGCTGCATTTGCAGATTCATCGAAGAATGCGGGTGGTCCCGTGATGCTTGGACAGGCTGAGAAGCCAGTCAAGTTTCAAATGCGAGAGAAAAGAACGAGGTCAAGGAAGGACGACATCCAGGAAAAGAAGCCGGCGACCAACCGGACATGCAGATTCGTCTTGAAAGAGGCCCGATGCAACGATGATGACGAGGAATCAGGCAGGGATGACGAAGAGGAGGATGAAGACACAGATCTGAGCGGCTTTATTGTTGATGACGACGCGGAGCTGAGCTACTATGACTCTTCAGCGTCAAATTCGGAGGATGATGATTATACAAGACCGACAATGAAAGTCCCACAAACGCGTCCTCGAAGAAGGCTGCACCGTGGATCGCCAACTCGGCGGCGCCTTAGCTTTGGTGACCGTGAAGGCTCAGATAAGGAGAACCATTCAGCAGAGACACTATCAAACGCACTGAGAGATATTGCTCTTGGGGAAAGGGACTCCAGAACTAAGACAGAGATTCAAGTCATCGACCTAACCTCGTCCCCGACCATTTCTCCAGAGACCAAACTTAACACCCGACCTGATTTACCCTCACCTCAGGCTCACCATGCTCTCCCATCGAGGGAGCTTTTCCAAGACTCGAATCCTTTCAACGACTTCAACCCTCATTGCCAGCTCCCTCCGCCTGCTCCAGTGCCTGCCCTGATGATTCCTGCAAAGAATCAGCTCGTCGACCGTGACTCGGACGACGGCTCTGGAGACCTGCAAGAAGGACCTGTCAAAAAATCCCATGACAACTTCGAGACACCGCCTGCCACACCACCTCGATCTCCTTCGAAACTCAAGTCGCCCTCAAAGTTACTGTCCCCTTCCAAGCGACAGGTCATCCCACAGTCACCGCACCGCCAGAGTATGGACGCGTTCTGGGATCATAATGTGATCAACGAGTGGAATGACGAATACTCTCCCAAGAAAGCACCGGCGACGTCTCCAAGAAAAGGTATCCTTGGTCGATTTCAACTGTGGTCGGACTCGGAGGATGAGGAGCAGGACAAGTCTTTTGGCAGTTCCGACTCACTTCCCAGTCCTTGCTTATCGCCACGCAAGTCAAAATCACCGACCAAAAGTCCAGAGAAGGAAGAAAAGAAACGCTTAGCAGAAGAGAAACGGGCTGCTGCAGCACGGAAGAAGGCCTTCGACTCTCAGAAGCAACAACTTGCACGGGACTTGTTACAAGAGCTCGATGAAAAGGTCGCCGACTCCCAACTCCACCGCTTATCGTCCAGCACGGGTGGTGTACGTATCATCTGGTCCAAGACCCTGCGTTCAACAGCTGGCCGAGCAAACTGGAAAAAAACCATCACAAAGCCGTCCGGTTCGCCCGTGAAAGGCTATAGTATGAACGAGCCGAGTGGGCCGGGAGTGAACGTGCAACATTTTGCGTCGATCGAACTCGCCGAGAAGATTATTGACTGCGAAGACCGTCTGGTCAACACTCTCGCGCACGAGTTCTGCCATCTGACGAACTTCATGATCAGCAACGTGCGCGATCAACCCCATGGTACAAGCTTCAAGGAGTGGGCCACGAAAGTCACGTCGCATTTGCGGTCGACTGATGTTGAATCCTGGAAGAATGTGCAGGTCACCACCAAACACAACTATGCGATCAATCACAAATATCTTTGGATTTGCGTCGGTCGCAAGGAGAAGACTGCGGCGATGGACTTTCTCAACTTGGACCAGGACGAGGGATGTGGAGCGGAGTACGGGCGACACAGTAAGAGTGTTGATGTCGAGAAACACCGTTGTGGGAATTGTAAAGGGAGACTGGTACAAGTCAGACCGAAGCCCAGAGCGAGTCCGATCAAAAAAGAAACAAAGGCAAGAGGCGGGCTGGGCTTGAAGAGGGAAGGGAGTGCAGAGAGCACAGTCTCGAGCAGCAGCGGAAGTGGTCCACTGGGCAGGATGATTGAGACGATTGAGCTGAGCGAGTGACTGATTGATTGGTATGTCACTGTTAGTTGGACTGGATTAGGTGTTGGGAGCCGTGTTGCTTCTCGGCGTTGTCAACAAACGTCCATACCTGGAAAGGAGTGTATTGGAGTCGGACAAGAGATTGGGCCATCACGACTTGGTATGGTTGAACCTGTGCCAGGCATACTTATGAGCGAGTGTCTGGCGTCTGTCCTATGGCCGTCACAAGGACGCCTGTGAGAAATCAATGTGCGCTTTCAATCCAAATTCCCATGCAATCAAACTGATCTTGTGTGCCTGTCCCCGCCAGCGGCGAAGGGATTGTCACTGGGAAGTTAGTATTGTGTCCATGATTTCTTTGATTTGTCGCTATCTAATGTAAACTCGCTACTGTCGAGGGTCTAGCTCCCTACCTAGGTACATGTGGTATCCCCAGTGCCGAAGCTGTGGGAGAGAACTCGGACTCCAGAGCACACAGTCGTGAGTAGTCCTGTGCAGTGCCAGCCTTTCCTGGCCATATGTCCCTCTCTGCCTGGCTGGCCCCCTCTCTGTTTCTGTCTTTGTCTCTCCCATTCCCTTTCCTCCTCCCTCTCGTGGGGGCATCCAATCAAGGCCCGTCCATCCGTCCATCCATCCATGCTATATTCCCAATGATGACCTTTCAGCTCAAAAAAAAGCCCAAATCAGTCCGCGTACCTATCCATCCATCCGTCCCTTTTTTTCTCAGGGATTGAAGAGATGCCAATCCCTGACGGCCAAGGTGCCGACAATGTGCGCAAAGACGTCGCGCGCCTTGCCGACTTCCTCGGCGATCATGGCATCGGTGGCGCCGCCGCGGTCGGGGGATCCCACGCGCTGGCCGGCCTCGACAAACTCCTTGACGGGGACGTTGATGCGCACGCACACGTCGGCGTTGTAGGGCTGCAGCCGGATCAGGAGCGCGAGCTGGTGGACCAGCGAGATCAGGTCGGAACGACGCGAGGCAGAAGATGAGTTGGAGGACGAGGTAGGGTGGTGGTGTAATGTTGCTGACGAGGTTGCTGCTGACGATGATGCATTTGGAGCGGCCAAGGACGACGACGACGACCGTGGCGCCATCTCGTGGCTGTTGATGTTCCCCGCCAGCATGTACGCCGGGTAGCCCGCCAGGCTGGGGTCGACCATCTTGATCGGCTGCGGGTCCGGGAGCGGCGAGGCCAGCGTGTCTGGAGGGGAAATCACGTCCGTGAAGTGGTACTTTGCGGCCTCGGCGTCCAGCTCCTCCTGTGGACGAGTACCCTGTGGTGACGCTGCGGGCGCCGCGGCGGCAGGGCTGCCGGTGACGAAAACCTGGCTGACGGCCGTGGTCGTGGTTGTCGTCGTCGTCCCGTCCGCCGCCGTGGTGGTCGAGGTGGTGGTCGTCGGTCCTGGTGACGGACTGAGGTGGTTGTTCGCAGCGCCAGCGCCGCCGCCGCCGCCGCTGGGGGGCCGGACGTAGTCGTTGATCTCGAAGATGATGGACGTGAGCGTCGTCGGGGAGAGGAAGACTTCTTGATGGTCCGGGATCTGGCGGATGTCGCTGTATTTCAGTAGTCACCTTTTGGTCAGCAGGGATCAAGTCAGATACATAGATAGATAGAGATGCGCCCTAGCTCTGAGGAGACGACGGTATGCCAGCCATGTCAAAGGCAGGAGATGGGGATGGGTGGGATCAATCAACCCGGATGCTGAGGTCGAGTAGGATGAGACCCTCAACCTCCTTTCCTCTCTCTCTCTCTCTTTTACAGCCCCGACGCCCTACCACACATCCTCACTTGCTGTTTGTTGGGCCCGCCCGCACTCTTCGAGTTCTCCCGAGCACTCTCTACATTCGATGTGGCACCAAACAAAAAAAAGGCCACTACATGAATAGAAACACTCACCTTGAATCAATCAGTTCCACTGGCAATTGCACAGTCATCGCCCCGCCGTAGAGCTCACGGGCGCCGTACGTGGTGGCGGCCATGGTTATCTCGAGCCACCCGCAGGGCGGAGAATATTGGATTCCCTTGTTTCGTCCTTTTTTTTTCTGTGATAAGAGGGGACCACTCGGGGGCGATGAAGTGAGGGGGAGATTTGTCCCGCGCAATGATATAACAAAGGGCAGTCTGTTCGTCTTGGGTCAAGGCTGCGAAGAGAGAAATCAAAAAAGCGATAGAGGGAGTCAGAGCTAAGGTTTGGGAATGTCTTGATACTTCGCCCAACAGGCAGCACAGCGAAGGTTGGTAGCCTGGATTGTGGCCTACGAGGTCGCCTCAGGCATTGTCCCTCCAGTCCATGATCGCACCAGTTTTCTGCAAATCTCAGCAATACAAGAATCTGATATTACTCCTGGGGTTACCCAGAGACAGCCCAGAGAATCGGCTTGGATATTGCTACAGTTGCTACCGTGGTGTGACCATGTTCAGCCGACAATCAGCCGACTACAAGCACCTAGTATGGACCTCATACGTGCATCCACCCACGCAAGGCTGCAGACGGTGAAAGAGATCGGCCACCGAATTCTTCGTACTTGAAGTTACACCTTGAGGTAGGCCTTTTTGACTAGGTTTCGATTGTTTTTGTGCTATCGGGATACTCCCTAGACCAACTGAAATTGGTGCTCGCTAAACTTCACCCCGAGGCCGTCAATTACATCGCCAACGCGAAAGTAGGTGGCAAGCTGTGACTAGAATGACCTTGCAAACCCATATGGACATGCTCGAATCGCTTGTAACCAATGTAACTACATGCATCTCCGACTCGCTTCCTGACCCCTACAACAAAATCATACCAGCTCCCGAAACAAATGCAATCGTGATATAAACCACGAGCTGCAGAACGCCCATGTGGCCTGGAGTGATAATTCCAGGGATACCAGCACTTGATGAGCTGCTGCTGCCGCTGCCGCCAGAGCCAGAGCTGGAACTCGAGCCAGAGCCAGAGCTTGATCCCGATCCAGCCGTGCCGCTGGGTGCTGAGGTGACCGTACCAGTGCCTGCATTACCGGCCTGGCTGATCAATGTCGCACAGCTTCCAGTTGGGCTTGTGGGAGACGCTGTAGTGGCAGAACCACTGAAATCGCAGGCCGACGCACCGTTGCCTTGGGCGGCTTGTTGTTCGTAGTAGCTGTTGAGGGCCCAACCCAGTTGTTGCTGAGGGTTGCACATGCCATAAGCACCATAGTCGCCGGTGGTGGCGTTGGCGGCAATACCGTCACAAACACCATCGGCAAGGCCGCAGACAATGCCAAACAGGTCGCCGATATCGTCCGTGGCCACATTGTTGGGTCGGCAGGTCAAAGCATTGTACATGCATTGGCATAGTTCTTCGTTAGGAGTGGGAGGCAGGCTGGATGATGCTTGCCAATCCGCACCAACGGTCGGGCAAGCAGCGGGAGCAGTGTTGGTAGGAGTATAGCTGTTTGAGTTGACGCCAGTCGGATGAATTTGGGCAATCTGGGTGGACAGTGCGTTGAAATCGTCCAGAGTGCTCACCGAGCTACCGGAGACAGTGACCAGACCTATCCCGCGTCAGTACCAGTTCAAACGAAAAGCAGTGTTGTCTCACCAAAGTCATTGGTCTCTTGGAAGTACATGTAGACAATGCCGCCCGACCAGACAGGGCTCATCTGAGGGCCGTACAGGGCCTGGACTTCGGTGAATTCACGGGGCTGAACGGTGTTGCACCCGTACTCAGCAAAGAACACGGGGACGTTGTAGGTGGAGAATTCCTCGGTGCGTTGATCGTAGCCAGACTCGGTGTAGCTGGAGTTTCCGCACCACGAGTAGATGTTGTAGCCCCAGAAATCAATTGCATCGGTTGAGTCCCCGCAGTCGAAGTAGTTGGCAAGATTGACACGAATGTCGGCATCATCGTTGGTAGCATAGCCCACTCCTATGGTGCGGTAGTTTTGTTGCTTGATGTAGGCCTTCATGTCACGGACAGCAGCCTTGACAAAAGCGCTGGCGTCGGTGTTGGTGTTGTTGTTGGACACCTCATTGCCTGCGAAGAAGCCCAGGGTATTCTTGTATTGTGACAGGTTGTCAATCACCGCAGTGTAACGAGCGTACAGGTCATCATTCCATGTGGGAGAGTCTCGGTTGATGGAGGTGCCGGGGGACGACAAGTCAGAAATGACATAGATACCGGCGTCTGCCAGCATGTTCATGCAATCATCGTGGTTTTGAGTAGGGTCGACTGCGTAAACACGGATGGTATTGGTCCCTAGTTGGAGGAGGTAGGGAATGTCTCGCTGGCATGACGACGCGTCCGCCAGAGGGTCAACATAGTTGTCATTACCACTGGACGTTGTGCCGTTGCCTAGATAATCCTCTTTTGCACTCGTCAATAGCTGATTCAGCAGGGAGTAGAGGAGAAGAACACACGTTGGTAGGCGACGCCTTTGATATAGCTGTATCGTCACGTTAGTCAACGAACAATACCCGAGTAGCAGCAGCAGCACTCACAATTGCGTTCCATTGGTCTGGTAGAAGAATTTGGAGCCCTAGACAAAGAAAGGTCAGTGCTGCTCAACCTCGCCGGCTGCGGAAGAATGGGTTGGTGACTCTCGTACTTTAATGACAATAGGGTCTACATCTGCATATGCAGCTCTGAAGAAAAGAGTAGCGCCGGCGACAGCAGTCGCAGCGGCGGAGAAACACTTCATGGCGATGAGGATGCGCGAGGAAAGTAGTAGAACTGAGAGAAGTAGTTGTTCAAGAGCGTGCGCGTGCGATAAGAGGTGTGCGGATGTTCTTGAGATACCTGGCAGCAGGAATGCAGGTTCCCCAGGTGAGAAAGGAGTAACGAGCTGTCACCGCCCAACAAGCAGGCAGGAACGAAGGTCAACAATGTTATCGATCTGGAAAGAATGTCACGAAGGTGAATGCAAAGATGGAGAACAACGAAGGTGGTAAACAAGGGACGCAAGAGGGTAACAAAAAAAAACAAGTGCAATCAAGTTTCTACGAGATACAGGAGGATTGACGACGACTACGACTCCAGATCAAGGGGGACAGATTTCAAGGGATGAGCCGGAGTCGTACCTAGTCGCAGTCGAATGTCCCCCTCTCAATGCATGGGGTTTGGTCTGCTTTGGGAGTGGGCACGAAATGGACCAGTACGAGCATCGGGCACACCACCCCCCTGGGTCCAACTCCCCCCTCCTCTCCAGGCACCTCGGGACCACTGAACCACTGAACCGACGCCCGAAGATTCAGTTCTCACAGGCACCGCCGTCTCACCCATTCCCGCCGTCCACGTTCTTTTCTGGGGCACTTGCGCACAACTCGTGGGCATTCCCGTTAGCAGATCGAGCGCCTACTCGTGGCAGCCCGTCCAGCCCAACAGCACCGTTGGGGGCACCTAAACTCGCCTACCTTCTTTGTCATTATTGGTTCTCGGACCTGTTGCAGATCTGTTTTCGATGGTGCTTTTGCCGCCATTGCCGGCGCAACATCAATCAACACGACACGCGTCCCTTCTCCATCGAGCCATATATGGACGGACTGATTCGTCGAGGCTGTGCAATGCAGGTACGAGTAGTACTTACTCCGTATATGGTCCGTAGCTTGTGTGAGGATTTCCCAACAGCTCGTTTACCATCGACGGCGATTGACCAGATTCTTTGCGGGATGCTGTCAGGCAGGGCAAAGAAGAAAAAGAAGGACATCAGTCAAGGGAGGAATTATTAATTATTAATTCTGAGTGAGCCCTCCATATCACGGCCATCCTAGCTGAAGGAGTCCTGACTGGGAAGTCCTCGTCTTCTTGAAATTGTCCTATTGTCAATAACACTTTCACTTTCCTTCCGGCTACACTTTGTCCCTGTCTTTCCGTCCAGCTCCGTGCAAGGAATTGATTGCTGATTTGCCACAGATGTGTGTAGCAAATGGTGGATGAGCGTGTGGAGGAAAGTCTCTGCATGTCTCACGGCTTGTTCATCCTAGGCAAGCTCAAACGAAGCACAGAGGTGTCTCGGCTTTGCAACAGAATCGAGACGATGATGACCCTGATATGCCCACCCAGCTCTCCGCAGCATGGCTCCCATTTGCCCAGACCGAAATTGGATTTGTCTGGGTCGCTGCCCGTATCAGGACATTGATTGGAAGACGGCCCCTTTTTCCAGCTGGTGGCAGCCAATGGCCAGGGGTGTTGCACGCCCGGCATGATCCTTCCCCATCCAGCCCCTGGGATATGACGAGTCCTGGCTCTCCATGAGTCCACGCCGGGCTGGCCCACCTGAAATAGCAATTCGCCACTCAGAGCCGGTACAGCATCTATTGTTCCTAGCAAAGCTTGTTTCACCTGGGGCTCCAGAGCTCGACACTAAATGCCATGTCTTGAGGAGGCCCAAAGCAGGTTTTGCATAGGTACGTATGGAGTGCCCTTACAGTGCTTGCAGGACCTGCTGGATTTGAATGATTTCTAGAAGATCATGCATCCAAGAGCCAAGAGAAAGCACATCCGGTGAGCTGGCAAAAGATCTATGATAAGAGCATGCTGGGCCTGTGGTTTTCCGGTTGGTTTGAGAGCAGTCCTCAAGAGGAAATACAAACCCTCCACCGGCGTCAATGGCTGCCGATCCGATGTCAAATGGTCCCACAGAATCAATGATGATGGCTTTCTCGGCTTCAAGCCACAATTAGCCACAGTGGGATCGTGGAAGGGGAAGAACAAATATTCGAATAAAATCGCATTATTGTTCATAGGCCATTTCTAAGCAGCACAGTGCAGAATCGGGTGCCTCCATGCCTAACCATCTTGTACCGGAATACGGGGTGCTTGTGCAAGGTACAAGGATTGCCCAAGGAAATACTTATGGCATAGCATTTTGTCTACTTGTATGAACGAGGAGTACGAGGTACAGTCATTCATGCGCGTCGGCGTCAATCAAATAGCTTACGGAGTATACAACATAGACCTGATAACGGCCGCCTATAAAATCATGCAGAACACAATCCGTACTCCGTGCCTACTGTAGGTACCGCATACCTAGGTACCTAGAAGTACCTCGTATGTCCAAAGAATCGGTCACGGCGCTCGGAGTCAATGAGGCCGTTTCGACGAAGGATGCCTTGTACTTGACCTCGTTGCTACTTCATGTGGCCTGAAGAACCGCGTAGGCCATCTTTCGGACGTCTTTGTCAGCCGGACGAGTTGTGCATCTCTTTCCCAAAGCCCCGATGGCTGGTCATCGCCCATGCACAGATACAGATAGAGCTTATCGTCCAAGATGAGACCACTCAGATAGGACCAGCTCGTGCATCCGAACAACAACGCGGAGAGCAGTGTGGCCGGGACCACTGTCCGTGAAGGCCCACGGATACATGCAGGTTTTTCCCGCCAGCCAAATTGTCCGAGACGCAGTTGAGATCTGCAACGCAAAAACCCTCCACGATATGAAACACGGGTTGTGTGACCCGCGAACCAGGCAATGTCTCCGCCAAGGAAACAGCATGAGCTTCATCCCTCCTGCCTATGTGGTATATGCTGACCGACTATCTTGTTGGCGATGAATTTGGTTGACCTGTCGAAACGAAGAAGGCATACAATAATCAAGGCATTTAGCGTGAGGCTCGATCTTGCTGCTCTTTTTTGCATAGCCACCCACCCAGCCACGGATTAGGTTGAGAGTGCGCCAGAGATAGCAGTCGACCTGCAGCAAGGCGGGAAGCGTGTCCGTAGCGCAATAAGCGATGTAGGTCAGGTGGGGACATAGATGACGCTCTTGATGTGTCGCAATCAAGGACAAAGGGACAAATGGCAAGGACTCGAGGGCATTCCGGTATCAACGGTTAGTGTGTCTGCGATGGGCCAAAGAAGCCCACTTGGACGTGGAAAAGCCGGTCGTGGAGAACAAACAAAGAATGAAAAAAGGTGGTGTCACTGGTGTGGCGTTGCTCATGGACCTGGGTCAGATTTGCCCATTGCCCAGTGCTTAGCGTCTAGCCCACCAGCCCCCCTTGTTTGTTGATCCCCTGCTATCCTGGTCTAGCACTCCAGGGTGCCTGGGCACTGGGCAGCAGTTAAGCCTCATTTGCTCTCACCCGTTTGTTGCTGTTGGGTAACCCCCTGCCGGCCCGAAATCATCAGCCTTTGGAGGCAACATCCACCGAACCACCCACCGACAAATCCCAAGGGCCACTGGGCCACCCAAGTGCCTCTAGCCTGCGCACGCTCATACACCAGTAGCAGTCGGCCCCCCCTAATCCTAAGCCCGAAACAAGCATGTCCTGAGGGACCCCAGTCTCGCCAGCTCTCCATCCAATCCTGCTTCCTCCCTGGTCCTGCAGTGCCCAGCTCCCTTTGTCGTCCTTTTCTCCCATTATTCAAACTCACCAGCCTCGCACCTTGTCCCTCGTCGATAATTCTCCTTCATACTGTCGTTTTCTCCCTCGTGATCCTCCTTCACTCGCTTCTATCGCTGCGGGAAGAAGGCAGGAACGACGAGGACTGCTCATCCTAGCCTTGGGAAGGGGCAATCGTCAGCTCGGGTGCCGTAAATAAGGGCGACGCCTGTCCGCAACGCGCCCTGCAGCTGCACATTGGCTGAGCAACCACCGCACCTCCCCCCTTCGTTCGTTTCACAACAACCACAGCCCAGCTCACCAACATCCGTTCCCTCCACCTTTCACTTGCGAGTTGCACGCTTGAGCCAGCTTTTGCTCGAAGCACTGTCTTGTTGGAATCCTAAAAAAACAGACAGTGACAATTCTACAAGCAGCTCTGCACGACTTCCCATCATTTCATTGCGCCGTTTACCCCTATCCGACATTCGCTGCTTATACTAGTATCACGCCTAATATCACACACGCCGCAAATACGTGGGATCAACCTTTTCGCGTGTGACGAACATTGGAAACTGGCAACATTGTTCATGGGACATCTTTGAGGTAAGTGGAACAAGGTTTGGTTGTGCAGATTTTGCTGTCCAAACGCGGTATTTACTTTGTGGAGGCCATAGGCTGACCTCACATCGTGCATCAGGAACTGCACTCAAAATGTCAGGCCAACCTCACCAGGGCGACTATGATGATGGCTACGGCCAACATCATGGCAACGACGCCTATTACCAGGAGGACCAACACGGTTACCATGACCAGTATGACTACGGTCATCAGCAACACGGAGGTGAAGGCTACTATGATGAACCGTGAGGAACACACATCTCCTGCTTCTATGCACATGGACTGACACAAAACAGGGGATACTACAATGCCGATGCTTCAAACCCCTACCACAACGACGGCGGTTACTACGAAGGTCATCAAGGCTACCAGGATGACTACTATGACGGCCAATACTATGACCAGGGTGCTGCTGGACAGCAATACCAACAAGGACAACGCCCGAGACGTCGCGGTCATGACTCTGAAGAGGACTCGGAGACATTCAGCGATTTCACCATGAGATCAGACATGGCTCGTGCAGCTGAAATGGATTACTATGGCCGAGGAGACGAGCGCTATAATAGCGGCTATGAGGGTCAAGGCGGCCGCGGATACCGGCCTCCATCTTCTCAAATCTCATATGGTGGTAACAGGTCATCCGGTGCATCAACTCCAATCTATGGGATGGACTACAACAATGCTTTGCCAGCCGGCCAACGTTCTCGTGAGCCTTACCCGGCCTGGACCTCCGATGCTCAAATCCCCCTTTCGAAAGAGGAGGTTGAAGACATATTTTTGGATTTGACAGCCAAGTTCGGCTTCCAACGCGACAGCATGCGCAACATGTACGACCACATGATGACTTTGTTGGATTCCCGAGCTTCGAGGATGACGCCGAACCAGGCGTTATTGTCTCTCCACGCGGATTATATTGGTGGTGACAACGCAAACTATCGCCGGTGGTATTTTGCTGCTCATTTGGATCTCGACGATGCAGTGGGTTTTGCCAACATGAAGCTCGGAAAGGCGAACCGCAGAACACGAAAGGCCAGAAAGGCTGCTGCGAAGAAGGCAAAGGAGAACCCGCAGAATGAGGAGGCCACATTGGAAGCCTTGGAGGGCGACAACTCCTTGGAAGCCGCCGAGTACCGTTGGAAGACACGCATGAACAAGATGTCGCAGCATGACCGTGCCCGCCAGATTGCTCTCTACCTTCTCTGCTGGGGCGAAGCCAACCAAGTTCGTTTTATGCCCGAAGCGCTCTGCTTCATCTTCAAGTGTGCAGACGACTACTTGCACTCTCCCGCATGCCAGAGCCGTGTCGAGCCAGTCGAAGAATTCACCTACTTGAACACTGTCATCACTCCTCTCTACACCTATATCCGTGACCAGGCCTACGAGATCATCGACGGGAAATATGTTCGTCGAGAAAAGGACCACAACAGGGTCATTGGCTACGATGACATCAACCAGCTCTTCTGGTATCCCGAAGGTATTGAGAGAATCGTGATGCAAGACAAATCGCGCATTGTTGATCTTCCACCTGCTGAGAGATACCTGAAACTGGGCGAGGTCAACTGGAAGAAGGTTTTCTTCAAGACGTACAAGGAAACGCGCTCCTGGTTTCACTTGATCGTCAACTTCAACCGTATCTGGGTTATCCATCTCACGACTTTCTGGTTTTACACGGCTTTCAACTCTCCGACGCTGTACACTAAGAATTATCAGCAACAACTGAACAACAAGCCCCACGCTGCTGCCCAGTGGTCCGCCGTCGCCTTGGGTGGCACGGTCGCGACTTTGATCAATATCTTGGCAACTCTGATTGAATGGTCGTACGTCCCTCGGAAATGGGCTGGTGCTCAGCATTTGACCAAGCGACTTCTCTTCTTGATCGGCGTCTTCATCGTCAACATTGCTCCCAGTGTCTACATCTTTGGCTTCACCCAAACAGGGAAGATCGCTCTGATCCTGGGTGTGGTGCAATTCCTCGTTGCTCTGGCCACGTTCTTCTTCTTCTCGATCATGCCTTTGGGCGGGTTGTTCGGGAGCTACTTGACCGGAAACAGTCGTCGCTACGTTGCCAGTCAAACGTTTACGGCCTCGTATCCTCGCCTTAAGGGTAACGACATGTGGATGTCTTTCGGTCTCTGGATTATGGTCTTCGCTGCCAAATTGGCTGAGTCGTACTTCTTCCTGACTCTGTCCTTCAGAGACCCGATTAAGATTCTCTCCTACACCAAAATCCACAATTGTCAGGGAGACAAGATTCTGAAGGACTACCTTTGCAAGAGACAGCCTCAGATCTTGCTCGGTATTATGTTCTTCACCGATCTGATTCTGTTCTTCTTGGATACCTATTTGTGGTACATCATTTGGAACTGCGTCTTCTCGGTCGCTCGGTCATTCTACCTAGGTGTATCCATCTGGACGCCGTGGCGAAACATCTTCTCTCGCTTGCCGAAGCGAATCTACTCCAAGGTCCTGGCTACCACTGACATGGAAATCAAATATAAGCCAAAGGTTCTCATCTCACAAGTCTGGAACGCCATCGTCATTTCCATGTACCGAGAACATCTTCTGGCAATCGACCATGTCCAGAAACTGCTCTACCACCAAGTGCCTTCAGAGCAGGAGGGCAAGCGTACGCTTCGCGCGCCTACCTTCTTCGTCTCTCAGGAAGACCATTCGTTCAAGACTGAATTCTTCCCGTCGCAGAGCGAAGCCGAGCGTCGTATCTCGTTCTTTGCCCAATCACTGTCTACACCTATCCCCGAACCTCTTCCAGTTGACAATATGCCGACTTTCACGGTCCTGATCCCTCACTACGGCGAAAAGATTCTTTTGTCTTTGCGAGAGATCATTCGTGAGGATGAGCCATATTCTCGTGTCACACTCCTTGAGTACCTTAAACAGCTCCATCCTCATGAGTGGGACTGCTTTGTCAAAGACACCAAGATTCTCGCGGATGAGACGTCTCAATTCAATGGCGACTATGAGAAATCCGAAAAAGATACAGCGAAGAGCAAGATCGATGATCTTCCGTTCTACTGCATTGGTTTCAAGTCCGCAGCGCCAGAATATACTTTGCGTACTCGAATCTGGGCCTCGCTCCGGTCTCAAACACTATACCGCACAATCTCTGGGTTCATGAACTACAGCCGAGCCATCAAACTCCTGTACCGCGTTGAAAATCCCGAAGTGGTTCAGATGTTCGGCGGCAACTCTGACAAGCTTGAACGTGAGCTCGAACGCATGGCAAGACGCAAATTCAAGATTGTGGTTTCAATGCAGCGCTATGCCAAGTTCAAGAAGGAGGAACGTGAAAATACTGAATTCTTGCTTCGTGCTTATCCTGACCTTCAGATCGCTTACTTGGATGAAGAGCCGCCTCAAAACGAAGGAGAGGAGCCTCGCTTGTATTCGGCCCTGATTGATGGGCACTCGGAGCTACTCGAGAACGGCATGCGCCGACCTAAGTTCAGAGTTCAACTTTCCGGTAACCCTATCCTCGGAGACGGCAAGTCCGACAACCAGAATCATGCGATCATCTTCTACCGCGGTGAATATATCCAGCTTATTGACGCCAATCAAGACAACTACTTGGAAGAATGCCTGAAGATCAGAAGCGTCTTAGCCGAGTTCGAAGAGATGACGACGGATAATGTCTCGCCGTACACTCCTGGGCTCCCCCCAACAAAGACCAACCCAGTGGCAATTCTCGGTGCTCGTGAGTACATCTTCTCTGAGAACATTGGTGTACTTGGCGACGTCGCTGCTGGCAAAGAACAAACTTTCGGCACACTCTTCGCTCGTACTCTGGCTCAAATCGGTGGCAAACTTCATTATGGTCATCCTGATTTCCTCAACGGTGTCTTTATGACAACTCGAGGCGGTGTCTCCAAGGCACAGAAAGGACTCCACCTTAACGAAGATATCTACGCTGGAATGAATGCTCTCATCCGTGGTGGCCGCATCAAGCACTGCGAATATTATCAGTGCGGAAAGGGTCGTGATCTTGGTTTTGGCTCTATTCTCAACTTCACGACCAAGATCGGTACTGGTATGGGTGAACAGATGTTGTCCCGAGAATACTACTATCTCGGTACCCAGCTGCCCTTGGATCGCTTCCTGTCTTTCTACTATGCGCATCCTGGTTTCCACATCAACAACATGTTCATTATGTTGTCGGTGCAGCTCTTCATGATCGTGCTGATCAACCTTGGTGCCTTGAGACACGAGACTATCATCTGTTTCTACAACCGCAATGTCCCACCAACGGATCCTCTCAAGCCTACTGGATGCACAAACTTGACTCCTATCATGGAGTGGGTGGAGCGTTGCGTTGTCTCGATCTTCATCGTCTTCTTCATCTCCTTCGTGCCCCTGGTCGTTCAGGAGTTGACGGAGCGTGGATTCTGGCGCGCTGCTACTCGTTTGGCTAAGCACTTTGCATCTGCCTCTCCAATTTTTGAGGTGTTTGTGTGCCAAATCTATGCCAGCTCGATTCAGCAGGATCTTTCATTTGGTGGCGCACGATACATCGGTACTGGCCGTGGCTTTGCGACAGCACGTATTCCATTTGGAGTCCTCTACTCTCGCTTTGCTGGTCCATCAATCTACCTGGGAGCTCGGTCGTTGATGATGTTGCTCTTCGGCACCATCACCGTTTGGGGTGCCTGGCTCTTGTGGTTCTGGGTCTCCCTGCTCGGCCTATGCATCTCGCCCTTTATTTTCAACCCTCATCAATTTGCCTGGAACGATTTCTTCATCGATTACAGAGACTACCTCAGGTGGCTGTCTCGGGGCAACTCGCGGTCGCATGCCTCATCTTGGATTGCCTTTTGCCGACTGTCACGTACTCGTCTCACTGGATACAAGCGCAAGGCCCTGGGAGTTCCATCCGAGAAGCTCTCCGGGGACGTTCCTCGTGCTAACTTCACTAGCGTCTTCTTCAGCGAGGTCGTCGGTCCACTGGTGCTTGTCTGCCTTACCTTGATCCCGTACCTCTTCATCAATGCCCAGACTGGCGTGACAACCGATGTGAAGCCGCCTACAAACTCTCTCGTGAGAGTGGCTATTGTTGCTTTCGCCCCGATCGCCATTAATGCTGGTGTGCTGGCTGGTCTGTTCGGCATGGCTTGCTGCATGGGTCCTCTCTTGAGCATGTGCTGCAAGAAGTTCGGTTCGGTCCTTGCGGCTATCGCGCACGGCGTCGCTGTCATTATGCTCTTTGCATTCTGGGAAGTCATGTTCTTCCTCGAGGGATGGATTTTTGCCAAGGCACTCTTGGGCATGATCGCTGTGGTGGCTTTGCAACGATTCATTTTCAAGTTGATCATCGCGCTCTGCTTGACCCGAGAGTTCAAACACGATACTTCCAACATCGCCTGGTGGACTGGCAAATGGTACTCGATGGGCTGGCACTCCATGTCCCAGCCTGCGCGAGAATATCTTTGCAAGATCACTGAGCTGGGCTTTTTCGCAGCGGACTTTATCCTGGGCCACATCATTATGTTCATCATGCTGCCTGCTCTCTGCGTCCCTTATATCGACAAGTTCCACTCGGTCATGCTTTTCTGGTTGCGCCCTAGGTATGTGACTCCCTTCCACTGCTCTCTTCTGGCAAGACTAACACTTCGACAGCCGTCAAATCAGACCCCCCATCTACTCGATCAAACAATCTCGTCTCCGCAAGAGGCGTGTCATTCGCTACGCTATTTTGTATTTCATCATGCTCATCATTTTCCTCGTGCTCATCATTGGGCCCATCATTGTCCGGAAATACATCACTGGCCTACCAACCATTCCTCTCGACCTCGTTCAACCTACTGGACAGAACAACAACGATACAACCACAGGCGTCACCGGATCTGCTCTCGTCAACTTTGGCCAGGACGCTGGAACTGCTGCTGCCACGGCTGCTGCTACTACCAGCTCCAACTCGAACGACCCCTTCAGTTTTGGTGGCGGTGGACGATTCGTCCGATGGTAAAGCTGTTTCAACCAAAGTCCTGCGAAGACGGTTGGTGTGTATACAATGGTGCATGCGGAAGGGGGAAGGAACAAGCTAGACAACATGGCCCTCTAATGAGTTTGAAATTCTTTCGTCGGCCATTGGGGCGAACAAATTAATGATTGAAATGGCATAGACAAGCGGCCTTTGCAAAGGGAGCTTTTTTCAGCAGGTTTTCCAAACCTGGCAAATATTGGGTGGTGAAAGGGCGTCAGGTTAAACCTTTGTTTGCTAAAGAGATAGTGCACTGTACATGACAGTAAAAATGAGAATTGCATACAGCCCAATTCAATTCCTTTTGAAGAGACGGCGAGACGGGTTGGAGCCTTGATTCCGGCGAGCCGGTGGCCATGGAAAACCCGGGTTCGTTTTGGTGTGTATATAAGTGCCTCGTACCTCGTAGAATGGTTGGTAAGCGGCGAGTGCCGGAAATTTGATCTTCCCAACTGCCCCCTGGTGCCCCTGATTCCGCCACGTGACGTGCCGCGCTGAGCCCTTTCGCAGGCTGTGACATCGTCAATCCGTGCCATGCTCCCGACTTAAAGAACCGCTGTCGTCGCCGCAACTACTGTTCCTTAGTCTGTCTCTGGCGAGGCTGTACCTAGGTAGACACCTGCTGCTGGTCCAAAACCATGGACCCTCAAGACGCCCAAGAATATGTCACAACCATAGCCAACACCGCCGCCGAACAATTCCAGAAAATCCCCGGATCAGCCATCTTTCTCCGCTATGTGAAGTCCAGTTACCAGAATGACCCCATCCGGTCTGCCGTCGAACTCTTCCTCGTGCTGTTCGCGATCCGGTACCTGCTGGCTCCTAAATATTCGACAAAGCCGAATTATGTGAAATTGTCTGACGAGGTGGGCATAGTGTTACGGCAATTGGAGGGCGAGTCTCGAGGCGCTGACCACGAAATCAGGAAATCGACGATCTAGTTGACGAATGGACGCCGGAGCCCCTGGTCGGAAAGACCACGCCCTTCGAGGATGCAGAATTGGAGAGGCGTCCCATCATCGTCGGGTGAGTTCAGCCCTGGAAATCTGCTATACAAGACACGTTCTGAATGCGAGGCGACAGACCGAGCGGGCCTCGATCCAAACTGACCAACGGCCGAACGGTGACGAACCTAGCCTCGTACAATTTCTACAACTTTGTCTCAAACGAAAACCTCAAAGAGCGGGCTATTCAAACATTACGGACTTATGGAGTTGGTCCCTGCGGCCCGCCTGGTTTCTACGGCACTCAAGATGTGCACATGAAGATCGAGGCAGATATTGCAGCCTTCCTTGGAACTACGGCATGCATCATCTACGCTCAAGCATTCTCGACGATATCCAGTGTCATTCCGGCCTTTTCCAAGAGAGGGGATATCATTGTTGCCGATAAAGCTGTGAACTATGCCATCAGAAAGGGAATACAGATTTCTAGGAGTGCAGTCAGATGGTATGAACACAACGACATGGAAGATCTACAGAGGGTGCTGGCCAAGGTCACCAAAGAACAAGCCAAAAAGCCGTTGACAAGGAGGTTCATCATTACTGAGGGTCTGTTCGAGAACGTCGGTGATATGGTTGATTTGCCAAAGATTGTGAGTCGAGTTGTGATCTACTGCATGGAGAACGGGCCGGTCTAATTGTGGTTTGCGCAGATTGAGCTGAAGCTCAAGTACAAGTTCCGACTGATACTCGATGAGACGTGGTCATTTGGCGTCTTGGGCCGAACTGGTCGGGGCGTGACGGAACACCAACACGTCGACGCAGCAGAAGTGGACATGATTGTCGGCTCCATGGCAGGCCCTCTGTCGGCCGCAGGAGGTTTCTGTGCAGGTTCAGATGAAGTGGTGGAGCACCAGCGATTATCTGCCGCCTCGTATACCTTCTCCGCAGCGCTGCCGGCCATGTCCGCCGTGACGGCAAGCGAGACTTTGATGATGTTGCAGACTCAGCCGGACCTGTTCATTCAATTGAAAGAGAATATAAAGGTCATGTGGCAACAGCTCGACCCGCGAAGCGACTGGATGTACTGTACCAGTGCGCCGGAGAATCCAATCATGATACTGGTGCTGAAGCCTGAGGTGGTTTCGTCGCGGAGGTTGACGATCGAGGACCAACAACAGTTGCTGCAGGATATCGTGGATGAGGTGAGTCACACTTGGAAACGCTTCTCGTCCCTGTCTATTCCGCTCTCAACTGACTTTTTGGACATTAGTGCCTGTCACAGAACGTTCTCATCACCCGTGTGAAGACACTCCCAGCCGGCCCCTCAGGCGCGAAGACCGATATCTACACGCCTTTACCAGCTCTCAAGATCTGTGTGACCGTCGGCCTAACCAAGAAAGAAATCGAAAAGGCGGGCATCACGATCCGGCACGCGATCACGAAGATCCTGACACGGAAAAGGTGAACTGGTTATCGTCCTTGTCGACCGCAGGCCTCGGGTCCTGGACATTTGTACATTACCAATTTTGTTTTACTTCGTCCACAGTTCAGCAGGACAGCGACTACATTTTTGTAATAGCGGAGGAATGATGAGCGGCCTCGGCGGTTCGTTTCTGGGGCGTCCCTCCGATTTGCGGCCAGAGCATGAAAAATCATATAGAGTGCAACTAATAATGACGACCACCTTCCATCCGTCCGGTCCATTCATTCATTCATGCTTTCTCGTCAGACGGTGTTGGTTCGAAGCATTCCAGATTGACAACCAAGGTCAACACTCCTCCATCAATTGCGATTGATTGAGGCCCTCTGGCGACAACAAGGCTTTTACTGTAAAGTTGTTGCAGGGAATTTAGCCGCTGCTTTAGGTCATAATATTGGTTCTCATCAATCGTAAACTATCAATACAGTTCTGATTCGTGCACTTCATGCAGCGTGTCCCATATTACTAGAATTGTGTCTCTTATGGAGGTGGTGAGCCTGCGACCTCTGGTAACCCGATGTGAGCTCTGAGCAACCGCTTCTTATCCGCCAAATTTGCACCCTGCGTAGGAATACCCAGTTGTTGTAGTACAGAATCTAATTGTCTTCTTGCCATTCGTTCGAGTTCGGATGAGGTGCGAGGGAAATCAAGGATAGCGGCACCGGTAGTAGCGTTGAGAAACGATACAAGATTTTCGTTTTGACTTCGAAGGTATGTATTCTGAACCCGGGCTGCATTATTGTGATTCCTATAGAATTAGCATAGTAATATTAAAACAGGTCGAATTGTACATACGACGCAGTAATTATAGTCACAAGCTCTTGACGAACATCGACAATTTCCTGGCGGATATTTGCAATGTCTTGTCGGATTGCCATCGTGTCTCTCGTTGACTGCTCCCTTATTGCACGGAGCTCGGCGAGAAGTTGCTGGCCGCCGGCGAGTGCAGGTGTATTTGGTATCTTCAGTATCTCAGTAGCAATGATATTGAAGTTAGCCTGCGGACCAAGAGCGATTTCGTCAGCCATCGTGACGGTGAGGGTAAGGGTGATTATGGTGACAGTGGTTTGTGGTGAGGGTGGAAGTGTTTGTTTTGGTTCCCGAAACAGGGATGAAGGAAAGCGCACCTCCAAAAGCGGCGGTGCTGGTCGCCAAATTGGGCAGGAAATTTCCCTGCAACCTGCGTTGAAACTGTAAACCAAGGCGGCACAGCGGAACCTGTACAGGGAGCCCCTGCAAACCCTCGCTTCCTACTCGCTAAGATGTTACATTGAGAGTGTCACCAAGCGAGAAGGAAGCGAATGTCGAGTCCGACAGCCACTGAGGACGGCGAATAAGCGAGAGGTAGAGGTGGAATCCGCTTGTTGAAGCGAGACAGAGGAATAGAGACGAGTACAGGAGTTCCATGGAGGATGGGTGGAGGACGGCGTGGAAGTATATAGGAACGTACCTGGCGAGTTGGTTGTGTGTCCCTAGGTACCTAGTAGAGATTTACGGTAAGTACGGGGTATAGAGTATGCATTAACACAGTGCAACATGTAAGCAAGCGTTAAGTCTCATTCATGCACCTGTTCATTCCTGTTGATTGGATACATAATTGACGCACTCTGTGTAGTATGGATGTTTCTGCTCCTTGCTTGATTGTCCCCCATCATGAACCAAAATGGTTCCCACTCTCCTATGTCTACCTCGGTCGCCCACCCTCCCTGCTATGTAATCCCCCGCAAGTCGGACAACAAGAGAAGGAGATTTGGCTTAAATCACCACGAGCTGAAGAAGCCTCCAACGCGCTCGTCTGTTTTCGTCCTTTGATTCTGAGAACGCCTGCGGAAGACGGTTAGTACGCCGCTCAGTTGCGGGGCATAGCGGGTAGTGATACCCGTGGTTGTCCTCTCAAAGAGCCTCGCTTACGAACGCTTTCCTTTCAGCCTTCAGCAGCGAGGGGAACTCTGGCAGCTACGTGCATTTCTTACCTGTTCCTGTCGTTCGGGAAGCGAATGGGCTTCGAAATATCACCTGCCCAGTGCTCACATGGGCGGGTTGCTATGGATTGTTGGCGGAGCGGCTGAGTTTAGCTCTGTACCAGACAGCTTGAGCTGAAAGAGCTTGCATTGCCTTGGTGCTGGATGGCGTCGACTTCAACTTTCTCGCATGGACTGTCAACTATATAACTTTCCCTTGTGTTGCTCTCGATACCGGTCTTACTCTCCTTCCAAACCGCAAAACTCAACAGCTGCCCCATTCCACATCTTACACCACGGTTAGTGCTCTTGACCGCAGAAGAGGATACGCAACGTGCTTCTAGTCACTATGTCTTACCCGACCAAGCCGGCTTTCGTTCATGTTGGGACCTGGGACGATGAAACTCGCAAGCACCCTGCAATGAAGTGGATGGAACAATACACAATCGAATTCAACAAGCGTGGAGACTGGAGTAAGGAGGAGAGTGACTGGGTGAGACTCTTCTGTCTTTTTCAACTGTGGCAAGACTACCAGTCTCTCGACAGCTGACACAAAGAGCCTGGCAGTTGTCCAAGGATGCCGTGCTCATCAAACCCGACGGCTCAGTTCACAAGGGAAATGCAGATGCATTCAAGGAAGCAAAGGCGGTCTACAGCGCATTTACCTCGGAATTCCATGAGCCCTACTTTCTTATCTGCGTTGACACGGACGACGGCTGGGAGATGATCGGCACAGCCCACATGTTCGCCAACTGCCAGGGAACACCAACCGCGGCGGAGAAGAAGGTCAAGGACCTACAGGGGAGGGAATGGGATGTCAAGATCCCGGGAGGGTTTCATTTCTACTATGCGAAGCAATCGAAGGCGGCCCATGACGGTATTGTGCTGAAGAAGACGGAGATCCTGTGTGATTCCATGCCAGCAGTGCAGATCCTGTTGGCGAGAGGAGTCCTCAAGCTGTGAGCTGTGGGAGCTATAGGCTGTGAGCCACACAATAGCAAGGCTACATGGGTCCATGCGAAGATGAATCTACCTTCCCAGGCGAGCATGTACCAGTTGCTATGCACTGGGGCCTCAATGCAAAGCATTTTGACTCTCATTCCACAACGCCCGTTTCCCTAGTATGCCCATACCCTGTCAAACCCACAGCTTGGTGATATCGGTAGCCGAGGACACGGAGTTGAAAAAAGGTCGAGAGAATTTGAAGCTGGTGGAGCTTACATGCAGCCTGGTCTACCCTCAAAGAGTGAATGTCCGATGCAAGAGCAACAACATGCACGCGGCTGTGAGGAAGCGAAGGGGGCAAGGCTGCTAAAGCAGCAAGTTGAGGCCGGAAGAAAACGTCAAGAATAGATCATCAGGGGCCAACAACAACAAACTCGTTTGATCCTTTTCACCTTGTCATTTTCGTGTCTCTACAGCAAGCAGCAAAACGCAGCTTGGGCCCGGGTTATTTCGTGGTCCGATCCAACCCAAAAGGATCCTCGGATTCCTGCCGAGGGCCTCCGAATCGAGTTGGTATTAATATCCACCAATATGGCTTCCCCCGTATTTGTTCGTCTAATCTGGGATCCTCCTCACATCAGATCCAACTTTGGTCAGCAGGGGGTGCGGTATGTCCTGTGGTGAACTGAGACTCCCTCGCCTCTCTGTTCACAGTCTGCCATTCACAGCCTCAGTCGCCTCAATGGCCTTGAGAGGCAAGCTTTTACCGTGAGAGCTTGTCGTCGACATTTCCCAAGTTTTGCCATGGCGCTTGGAGTGTACGAGAGACAACGACGCTCCATTGAGGCGGCCAGCGGAGCTTTCTGGGGCTGTTTGACAGATGTCGGACCTATCGTCCTTCTTCACGCCGACACAAGGCGCCTCACTCTGCGGAACCACTGCCGCAAACGGGAACCTTGGTTGATGTCTCTTCTAAATGAGGTTCCTCTAATGCTGCTCGACGGACGACTTCCTCCTGACCAATGGCACCTCCGGTGAGCGGTGGTACTCAGAATATATCCGCTCCAGCTTGGGTGAAGAGGTTAGTCTGGCCCAGGACCCTACCACTCGCGAAATGGGGTGACGCCCAGGTCAGCGGCCTGCCAGAGCCAGTGAGGCTGAGCCACCTTCTCCCAGGTGCAGACTGCAGGGATTGGATTTTACAGCATCAACCGTGACATGCACCTTTTGGATACTCTATACATCCAAAGAAAGAGCTGACAGCTGTGCAAGTCCAGAAAGCAAAGTCTATAAAGATGATGAATGGCCCGCAGTCCTCTATCATTGCCATCAACCGTCTCTCGATACACTCACTTGGGTAACAGATTTCCTTACGACTCTCATTAGACTTGATTCCTTTTCTTTGGAAGCTTTCTATTACATTCCTTGTATTTAAGCCTTGTCTATACATCGCCATGAAGACCGCAGTCATTGCCACCGCCGCTTTCTCCAGCATCGCAGCCGCAAAAGGAAGCTGGCACTATAGCGGCAGTAGCTATCCACCATACGCCTCAAAGGACTGCCCATTCATTCCTTCTGCCGACCAATTCGTTCTCTTCGCCGACAACATTCAGACAGTCTCACAAGTCAACCCAAACAAGGCCTTTCTGAGGTCGTCGGATCTGTACGTCGAGACTGCCAACGATCTCGCCACGGCTTCTCAATTTACCATCCCCGACTTCGCTGAGGGCGCCAACTGCTCCCTGAACCTCGCCGTCCCAAGCCCCGATCAGATCTATGGCGATCTCTCCCAGGCCATCTTCAGTGGTGGTGGAAAGTAGGTCTAACTTCAATCTTCTTGCAATCTTCTTGCGCTGTGTTGGCCTATTTGGAGAAAGGGGACGGGAATTCTTCTCCAGCATCGGCTCCTTCCTGGCCCTCTGTCTCATGGAACCATCACTGACATCTGAGCCCAATATAGCTTGAACTTCTCTCAACTAGCGAACGACCTCCCAAGCACTGGCTGTATGTAAATTCCTCCATTCTGTGAGACATCAGACACATCGCAGAAGTCGAAACCATCTTCGAAGCCCAACGATGCTTCATGACGAAGGCTGACAAGTTGTGTACAACAGTGACATTTAATACCCTTGGGGACCTGCAAAACGATGGTGTCATCAAATTGACGCCAGGAGAGTTGCTTACCGTCGTGCCTAACTTCCCCTGCCCACCTCCTGGCACCGTTCTCCCGGGGATCATCCAATCTGTTGACACCACCCTCGTTGTGCGCGACGCTGTGGGACCTGTGTGCCTCTCAGGTCTCTTCGTCGTGATTGAGCCTGTTGGAAACCCACCCTCTAGCCCACCGCCTTCCAGCACGACCTCCTATGGGACCACCAGTTACACCGGTAGCTACACCGGCACCTACAGCACTTACAGCGTTGCTGCCACTTACACCAGTAAATGGTCTGCTTGAATGATCAAAACCCGAGGCGTCAGTGACTTAAGGGCTACTTGAACCAGAAAATGGGCATGGAAGTAGGGGGAACGGGTCTGCTCATTACGGCTTCGCATTTGAATAGCGGCGATTGGATATTATGCATTTTCCTTCATTCTTCTTTCACGAGAGGCGAAATATACTACTCTCTCACTCGTTCTGAGGTGGACGCAAAGCATACTTTATATGGGCTCAATGAGACGAAAGCAATGATAATCTTCTTCAAAACGTTACCTAAAAGGGAGGACCGCAAGGCTGAGAGACGAGGCTGAAAAGTCACGGGTCACGGGGTATGAGATCACCGCCCCGAGCCTCCGACGCGTTCCTCAGCACTTGGCGCCCCGCCGATCCTCAATCCACCGCAGCCGTGGCCGTAGCCTTGACTTGCTGCGTCTCACTGAGCCCAGCCGTTGACAGTGTCTCTTGAACTCGTCGGACAGAGCGCAGAACCCTCTCCTGGTCATGTGGAGGGTCCCGCGTCCTCAGTAACTATGGCGCACTTCCTTCGTGGCAAGCAGGCCGGCATTCAGAATGACCTCTCTCTCGGTGTTACCCCAGAATCATTTATGCTAGACGACGTACGCCTGCCTCTACTTGCAATACTTCTGGGGAGACTGACCATATCTCAAGTTTGCCCGCTATGGTATCAACTCGCAGATCTCTGTGCTCGCCTATGACCCTATCCAGTCCCTCCTCGCTGTCGGCACCAACGAATCCCAGTTCGGTCCTGGCGTCGTCTATGTCTTTGGACAGAAGCGAGTCTGCGTAACCTTCACTCCTCCTCGACCCTCGTCCATTCGAGCCATACAATTCTGCGCCGACAAGCTCCTTGTGCTCGACAGCAAGAACGATGTCAGTGTCTTCAGCCTTGACAGCAAGCATATGCTGGCCAACTATTCCCCTCCCGGTCAGGTCGTAGCCATCCTCTCAGATCCAAGTCTCGACTACTGCTTTTCTGGATTGCAAAACGGTGGGGCTAGAAAACAGGACGGAACAAAAAAGAGGCATTGCTGACATACTTTGGCAGGGGAAATCGTGGCGTTTGACTTGGATCGAGAGAATCAAACGCCCTTCAAAATCCCCAACTTGTGGCGTGAGCGGAATCCCAGAGCACGAATTCTACCCATCGTGTCGATGCATTTCCATCCCAAGGACATAGGGACGTTGCTTATCGGGTACTCCGAGGGCGCTGTCATTTACTCCTTCAAACAAAACAAGGCAACCAAGTTCTTCCACTACGAACTTCCACCAGGAGCTCGGGGCGGAGATGGAGATCCGACAAACGCCAACTCCGTACGGCATCCGCGATTGACACATGCTCTCTGGCATCCAACTGGCACTTTCGTGTTGACGGCTCATGACGACTCGAGTTTGGTATTCTGGGATCCTCGGGATGGCAGACTTGTCCACGCGAGGACAATCGAAGATACGGATGTCAACGTGCCTGGAGCTGGACCGCCAAGGGATGGCCCTCGAACCCCTCTCAGCCCTGTGAGTCCAGGGTTTGGTACCGTGAAAGAGCCGTACTTCAGCATTTCCTGGTGCTCGAAAGCTAATCCTGATGATACTGGCTTGCTTCTAGCGGGCGGCGCACCAACGACCAACCCCACAAGAGGACTGACTTTTATCGAACTGGGTCCAACACCGAACTACCAAACCTCAACGTGGGATTACCTTGCAAATCATTTTCGCCATCCAAAACGCACACATGTCCTTCGAACGCCGCCTAACGCCGCGATTAACATGTTTCTCCTGATCCCTCGCACGACTTTTCATTTTGCCGGCTCTCATGATCCGATAGCAGTCATGACCGTTCTGTCATCCGGTGAAGTAATCACCTTGAGCTTTCCGTCTGGACATCCCATTACACCCAGCAACCAACTGCATGTCTCGTTATCTTTTGTACATCCATTTATAACTAAAACAGCACTGGCATTCGTCGACCGGACTAGATGGCTGGGGATGCGCGAAGTTCGTCAGCACGGTCCGCATTTCTTGATCGGTGGCGCTGAAGGCATCAAGCCCCTGAAGAGACATGAAAACAGAAATATCGTCCAAGCAGCCCATGCCGATGGAACCATCCGAATATGGGATGCCGGACATGGCGACGTCATTGAAAATCCCAATGTCCTCCAAGTTGATCTCGGAAAAGCAGTGGGCCGGTGGGATAAACTAGACGTGTCCCACATGAGCATGTCTGGTGCGACGGGAGAGCTTTCGGTAGGGTTGAAATCTGGCGAACTCGTCGTTTTTCGACTTAATCGCAATCAATTCCACGGCCACCCTCCGTCCGATCCTGGCCCTAATGAAGGACCCGGGAAGATGCAAGATATCAGCAGACGAGCAGATCCAGGCTTGAAGGAAGGTCTCTTACCTTTGACAATGACCAATGACCAACAAGGTGCCGTCACCGCTCTGCGACATTGTGATGTCGGATTTGTTGCCGCCGGTTATGCTGGAGGTGGGGTGACCATCGTTGATCTACGTGGTCCAGCTATCATCCACACGTCTCTACTCAACGAAATGGTTGGCGGTAAACATCGGAGAGGGAGTATCCGACGAGCTGCACCGGCCACTCAATCAACAGAATATGCAACGGCGATGGAATTCGGTATCTTAACCCTTGATGGTGACGGTAAGTATTTCCCATGTTGTTTTATGCAGGGCTAATGAAGAGACAGACTATTCCTCACTTGCCTTGTTTGTCGGCACATCTCGAGGTCGTGTCGCGACGTTCAAAATTCTCCCCTCTCAGTCCGGACGGTATTCGGCACAGGCGACAGGAGTGGCACAATTATCAGATGACCGAGTCATCTCCTTGTGCCCGATTGATGCTCACACGGGCGCCCCCGCAGCTGCAACAGGATATGCAATGGGAGGATTACAGTCCGGCCGGAAAGTGGACGGCGCCCTGGTGGCCGTCACGGTGTCGTCCGCGCACATCTTTCGTCCAGCATCTGCAAAAGGGGCCTCCAAAACTTTCGACCACTACCTGTGCGATTCGGCCACCGTAGCTCGCTACGAAGAACGCGGTTATGCTCTCGTTGGCTTATTCGGCGATGGTGCCGCCCGAGCATTCTCAATTCCAGCCCTGAAAGAGATCGCAAGCATACGCGTAAATCATCTCCTCGATACCAAACGCTTCGGCGACGCCATCGTGTCTCCCACAGGAGATATTCTGGGCTGGGCAGGCCCCAGCGAACTAGCCATGGTTAATGTCTTTGGCTGTGGTACGTCCCTCCCACCCAGCACCGATCGTCTCTATGACGCCGCCAAACTGGTCCCCCCTCGACCTACAATCAGCAACCTACAATGGATTGCCGGGACACAGTACATCACTCCTTCGGATATGGACATCCTGATTGGCGGGCCCGACCGACCACCTTCTAAGCGAATGTTGGCGGAAATGCGGGCCGCGCAAGAGGCAGAGTTTCAACGGCAACGCGAAGCAGCACGCACGGGACGTGCAGCCAAGCCGGATCAGTCTCAGGAGACGTACTGGGCATATATGCAGCGGCAGCTTCAGGAGCGAACGGAGAATTTGGGATTGGCGGGTGACAGCCTCGACAGAGCAGCGGAATCCAGTAGCTCGTGGAGTGACGGCGTAGACAAGTTCGTGGCGAAGCAGAAGAGAGCGGCAGCCCTGGGGTTTATTGGGTCGAAGCTTGGGTTCTAAAAGTTTGCTGGCGGATTTTGAGCGAGGAGTTTATGATTGCACTCCAGCTGGTAGAAGGGCGTCATGTGCGCTGGAAGGAAGGTACGTGCTATGATGAGGTTTGCTAATGCTGATAAATGAGACAAGTCTAGGGATTTGGTCTACGTATCAGCCATCTGTGGGCTGGCTTTGATGCAAAGCATCTATATACATATATATATATCGCCTTGCAGCAGGTTGGTCATTTGCTTTTCTCCGGTGATCGGTATATATGCTGGTTGCCCGACATGTCCATTCCAGCTCTCTTGTCAGACTGTTGTGCTGTCTCATGGTGTCCTGCATCTTTGTGCTTCCAATCCTAGAAGAATACCCCACGAGGTACATGTAATGATGTGGTCCGTGCACCCGACAAGAACAATGGGGAGGAGTCTCCCGTCTTCTCGAAGCAGGAGGCAATATGGCTATGCAACAACACTGGAGTAGGTCGCCATCGACGCAAACGACGCTCGTCAGTGAAAGGAAGGGCAGTCACAGCATTCCGGACGACGCGATGCCTCCAAGCGTTTCCGTTTGTTTGTTGGGCAAACAATTGGGTGAATGAATTGTGTCATTCATTATCTTTCACTTCCGGCTCCGCGTCCGAGGATGCTTTTCATTGTTCTGCACCGAGTTTTTCGAGTTGCCATTGTGTGATATGACCAATGGAAGGGTTCAGAATGCCATGTCACGCAGTGTCGATGCCTAAGCCGGCGGTGATTTCTATTGTTAGGGTAGTGAATCAGTCTCTTGTTTGTTCAAACGCGGTCTACACCAGACGTGACGGGGACAAGATTCCAAGGAATAGCAGGAGAGTCCACCCTTCGTGCGATCTGCTCATTCGACCTGGGATCGAGGTTGCTAGACTTGTTCTCTCAGCAAACGACGGTCCTGCACCAAGGATAATAACAGAGGACTCGGCAAGATGAAGAAACTCGCCCGCACGCTCTCCGCTCGTGGCAGCAGCAGCAAGTCCCATCCTCATCCACCCTCGAGCAACGGCATCAGCACTGCTCGTTCGAGCCAGGCCCATATTCGGAAATCCTCCATGACGAGCCCGATCCCTCCCTTTACGCACATCCATTTCCCCCAATGTCCACACACCACGCCTCCGACCCCTCGACCAGCACACTTGCCGTCTGTACTAAGGACCGAGATTGTCGGAGGCGCAAAGACACCAGACAATGCCAGATCAGATGAGATTGACAGGAACGTTCAAGTCCGGCAATACTTGACCGAGCAAACGCATTGTCTCGACTGCACACTCGCTCTGGCCTCGCAACAGGAATCCTGGTGGAGAGAGGGATGCGATGCAGGTGTACGGGAATTGAGAATGAGAGTCGTAGAGTTGAAGTCAGGTTTGGCTGCCCTGACAGCTGCAGATGACGCTACTATACCTGCCCACGGTAACGGAGGCGAGCCGGACGATGAGACCAGGAAAGGAGCGGAGATGAAGCTCGAGACGGAGATCCTGTGCTATGAAGAGCGCATCGAGGAGCATCTGCGCCGACGGGACGGCCATGTGAAGAAGCTGTGGGACCAGGTTCGCAAAGACTGGGAGGGCGGTGTCCGGGAAGTGGTCCGGGATGACGGCACTGGCGAGGCTGAGGAACAGTGCATGTTTGTGTTTCCGTGGGAGGAGGATAAGGATGTACTCGCGAAGGGAGATGATGGGATAGGGCAAGGAGAACCCAGGGAGTCAGTGAGATTGCGGTGGCTGCCGATCGAGGCGGAGAGAATTAATGAGTGAGTAGTTAGTATCAGCCCTCTGCATTGATATTGCTTCTGCATAGCTAGGGGAGAAGGCACCTTCGGTAGCTAGTCGAGAACCATATCGTCTCAGGGGAGTCGAGGAGGATATCTCTTGCTTCTCCTTTGATAAGTCGCGCTCGCTGCTTTACTCACCCCAGCTGACCTGCTATTTGTACGTCCAAAGCTATGCTCAAGCACTCCCTATATCTTTACCTCGTCTTCATCACTATCACCATCACCTAGTGCTGCATCCGTCCCCAAGAGACCAGAGATCTCTGTATTATTATGCATGATTCCAAGATCGTCATCGTGACCAGCCCGCCTCGAATGCCTTTCCGCGGCTTTGAGGCTCCGGTAGAGCTGGACGAGCATAAGCGTATCTGCGACGGGAAAAATGAATTGTCAGAAATATTTCCTTGGTACGGGCCTGAGTGTCTCGAGGTGTGGACTCGGTAGGGGACCTACAACACATGATGCCCATGGCTATCGAGAACCAGATCAGCATCAGCGAGATGTGGTCCAGGCCCCAGTAATTGAAGAGCCACAGGGTTTGGGGAGGCGCGTATATGTTGATGACGCCCATGACTATGATTAACTGTGTGTGGAAAGTTTGATAAGTGAGCCACAAAAGACAATCAAATCAAGCAAACAGACAAGTCAGCGGGAGAAGAACTTACAAACGAAAAGACAAACTCGGACGGATTCGGACTCTTGTGAGGCCTCGAGTCAATCGTCGCGGTGCTGGAATCACGATCTCTCGTGAAATAGGCAATCTCCACAAAGTGTATCGCTCCAGCAGTCATCATGACGCACCCGAGGATCTCATGCACATGCTTTGCCATGGGGTTTGGCTGCTCGTGCATGCTGAAGTACCATCCTGTCACCAAGAACACCACTCCGGGGATGGGTGTCCGCTGGTCATGTTTGCGGGTCTGCCAAAGGCCGACGATACCGGCTATCCACCAGAAAACCCCAAAGGCGACGTGACTATACTCGCGGTGGTTCCACTCGGAGCCTGGAATCTTTTGGCAGCAGGTCAGTTTGCCTTTTTCTTCTCTCTGCACGTTGCGAGGCCGATGGACGTACATGTTCGAACACTCCAGATCAGGTCAGCAAAAGAGCTCCGGAAGGCAGGGAGACGAAAGACGACGGAAACATACATGCATTACCGCACCCAGATGCTGCGATGGTGGCGCAAGCATAGAAATCCAACGATCTCCCCGTCTTCCGTATCCTCCTCTCGCCGTCGATGGTGATGATGACGAGTATGATTCCCGTTCCGATCATGATCGATCCCATCGAGACATGACCGGCGCACATGGGGAGCCAGTCGCCGTGGCAGAAACCTTGTCTAAGCCCACAGCTCGTCAGTAAACTCGACAGTGCTCGCCAAGTGGCTGATCGCCCTTAGGGGAAAGGGGGAATAAATCTCACGACGTCTCTCCTCCGAACATCATCTGCGTCCACCCGGCGACAGGCATCAACTTCCCCGCAACACCGTGCCAGCGATGCAGTATCTTTCGGATTGTCCGATGCCGAGGGCCTTCCAGCCGCAAGCTCAAATATGTCCCGCTTGCAGCCTGAGCGACGATGGCAAAGAGGAGCCACTTTGCGAATGATGCGTGGATGTTGGGTTTCAGGTACTGCCTCCCTCCGTGGAACGAGGGTAGTACCCAGCCGATGACTGCAGTCACAAAGCTAATGTTATCTGGTAGTTCTTTCGTAGTTGCCGGTCTGCGGGTGACTTACCAGTCAATACCAACCCAAAGATCTGGACTGGGACATGCCACCGCGATTTCCCCAGGCCCAAGACCATGCCGATGGGAAAGACGACTGCGAAAGCAGTGACCATGAACCCGACATGAGCCCAGATGAACGAGTCGATGGGATCCCCCGAGGCAAACCAGGTGGTCGGGATCCGGTCTATGCCTTTTCCATGCCGAAATTCCAGAGTCATGTTCGTCGCCATGACGTTCACGTCGTCGTCTCCCATCCTGGACCACTTCCACCTCTAGGCTCGTCCGCTAGGTATACAATAGGTGTATGTATATGTGGCAGGAGAGGAAGACGGTGTGATAACTCGGATGTGGCAGACACGAGGGTCTCACAGGGAAAAGGGAGTGGGGGAGGTGAAGTGTGCAACTCAGGTCTCGCAGCAATTCTCGCAGCAAAAACCAGAGGTGAGAACCTGCCTGATCCACCGCTGTAGAACAGTCCTCTCAGACTCTGAGCGCGCAAGTTCGCAATGCCTGGGACGAAAATGTTCCATGCAATCTGCAAAAATTCAAGATCACTCGCACAATACTCTACGGTATTGGGCTGGGCCAACTCTCTCTCGCTCTCCCCCCCAAAAGTTCCCCTCGAATCAACTTCCTCCTTACATAAAAAAAGGGGGCCGTGGAGAGAGGAAGAGAGACAAGGATTGCATTAATTGCTCCAGCAGGTGCCCATTGCTCCACACAGGGCGGTAAACCTGAACACCCCCTTGGTCTTGCTTACTTTCAAGGTACGGCTGAAAGCTGGCTGTATGGGGAAACCTGGGATCCCTATATTGTCAGCACTAAAGACATGGTACTCTACGTAATCGTTTCTCGTACGAGTCAGTGGAGAAGATCTGGCAGATTGGCAGATGAAACAACGGGGGGAGGGAGGGGATTTTTTTGAATAGACCTAGCTAGTAGTAGTAGTCCATACTAGGTACGCAGGGTTATACATCTGGAATTCCTCTCAGGTTTGGTGGCCCAGATTCAAATAGTCTTTTGTTGTTCCGAAGGTTTATTGGTGATTTCGAAAAAGTGCACGAGGTATATATCTCTCGGAGGATTAATTACAAGGATTGCTAACCCCCCGCTGGGACGCCTCTAGGGCCGCCAATCGCAGTATTGAACTACCGGTAGGTACCTATAGAAACAATTAATAGGGCTGACCGCTCAAAGTCCATCGCGCGTCCCCTTCCTGAAGATGTTTGAGCTTAGCCGAGCTTAGCTTAGTCTATTTATTGGTAGGTACTTCAAACCCCCCTGGGGCTCGCTGGATACTACCTCGTATTCTATACCCACCGCGACGACGCACGACTCGATACCGCTAGGTAGGTAGGTAGGTATTCGATTCGAGCCTCGAGGCTCTCAGCGAGTGAGTGTGGGGCAAAGAAATCTCCACTTTTTCGATATGCGGGTTTTTTTGGCCTACCCAGCGGGCTAAGTAGTCTCAGAGATTCAGAGTACTTACTAGGTACTCGGGAGTCGGGATACGGCATCTCTAGGTAGGTACTCGTTGTTACTGCTTATGTGGCTGTGGGGTCCTTACTACTACTAGTAATTATCATCGCCATCGTTTCACATCTCCCTGCTCATCTGGGGCGCTCGTATATCGCTCTACGAGTACGAGCTCGTAACACCCATCCGATTGCATTGCATTGCATTGCGGTGCGGTGCGGTGCGGTGAGGTCCAGACCGGGAAGGAGAGCGGATGGGAAAGTTGAAATTCCTGACGAGAGAATCTTGTCCCATGGATCCTCCTAGTGTTGATGGTGGTGGTGGTGGTGAGCCGTGGTGGGGGAGAAATATTCCGAAGGAATCGGACGACCGTCAACGTCTCGACGTCGACGTCGACTCGACACCTGCAGTGTCGTTGACTCGTCAAACTCTATCGCTTCTTGTTTCCCCTCCCCTTGTCTGGGTCTGGACACTCTCTTACCAATAGGGCTGGTGAAAAAATAGGGCTGATGGCTTGCGCCACTAATAATGGTCTGACGCGAAGGATTTCATGGGGTCTGGAGCTGCATTACTGCTTACGTAAAATTGATCTCTAGAAATCGACACAGAGGAACTCTTGTGCTTGGAAAAGCGGACCCCAGTGGTCGCTCGATATCCTATCCCAGACTTCTGATTGTTGCTTCTATTCGGTGCTAGCCTGTTTAAAGAGTCTCGTCGGGATGTAATGCCAGATATCGCTCTTGCCATCGACAGATCATCTGTGGATAGACCGCCCTTGGGATCGCCCAGCATTCGAAACATATGACCCATAGGTACCCCAAATATCGCCAGCCAGGAGATGGTCTGGCACCCTTGAGGGAGGATCCCAGGCCAGAACGTTCTGACTCGACCAGACGTTCCCCTTTTGCGTCATGTAATAATGGGAGCGTGCTGACGGCCTGTATGGCGTTTTCGTCCGCATTACGCGTCGTCCTCTTGCCGGACAGCCACGCTATCGTCCTGCGGTAGCCTAGTTGTGCAAGATCCTCGACCAGAATTGCGCCTGCGATGGACAGGTAATACCACAGCGGGCGAAGACTTGCACATCTCCACGATGTGGAAAACGCCACAGAGTGCATGATACCTGAAATGGCAAGGGCGGTCACAGAAACCAAATACCTGGATATGGTGGCAGAAGGGGAGATCCGCAGGACGCGAAACGACAGGAACTTGGCATTGGAGACGAATGCAGTTCGCATGACTCGGTGCCAGAAGTGACTGTAGTATCTCCGGACCGTGTATGCGTCTTTCAAGCTTCCGTACAATGGTGGCCAGTCGGCCGGATCGTCCTGAAAGAGGAACACTCCCACGAGAGAGCTCGTGCTGTGGCCGAGGGACATCAGGAGATAGTTTCTGAAATGCTCCTTGAACGCCGTGTACACCCGCACGACTGCCTCACGGCCACTCACTTGCGACAACCGCCCAAGGAGATGCTCTCGCGGTCGGGCATAGTCGGTGATGAGGACCCGCAGGGGGTACCGATGAAAGACGCAGTAGTAAGCAGTAGCCATCCAAGCGATGCTGGTTGCCCGTCGGCAAAGGAATTGCCAGCGAGTTGGCACATGGTTCGGCTCCGTGGCGTCGAATGGAGGAATTGACTTTTTAGGCACATGGAGTCTTGGGGAGAAGAGAAGCCTCAGGCCCGCAACGAGGCGTTGTGGGGTCGAAGAGGAGGCCGGGACAGTGAGTCTTTTCAGGAGCAAAAATTCGTGGGCGTAAAGTATGTAGCCGCACATGTAGAGCCGGAACACTTCGCCTATATCGGAGGGCTCGTCCACTGAAAGGAGACACTGTCGAACGAGGACCACTATCAGAAGCATAGCAACGATCCGAAAATGTGAATCTGTAGGCGAATAGACCATCGCCAGAAGAGCTGCCGTGTGCGCAGGGATGGCCAATGCCAAAGCAGAAAGAAATTGGGGCCTAGGACGAAACATCGTGGCCTGGGACAAGTCAGCCAGGCACGTTGAGCTGAAAAAGGCAGGCGAGACTGGCTCGGATCCCTTTGGCAATGATGTACTGGGGGGAGGTCGAAATAAACAGATACTGTTACCGTAGACAGGGACTTTTTTGGTCTGAACGACAATGAAATAGGGTTTCTCCGTGGTCCATGGGTTTCCCTTTGTCGATTCTTGTGTTTGCCCTGACCAATCTCTGGAGTAGCATTCTAGGATCTTAAGTGCGGCTGTATGCCCGCTCACGCGTTCAAGGGATCTGGCCGGCGAGTCATCGCCCACGTTTGATATAGTGGGTACGAGGCTTGGTGCCACCACTCCTGAACCCCACAAAGCGCTAAGAGGGTGCTGTTGTAGCGTGTATACCGTGCTTTTCTGTGTTGATAGTGCTTATTTTGCGTCTGCCCTGTGAGCACTTGGTACTTTTGGATCGACAGTTTCAGAAGGATTCAGTATGACCCACCAATGAACCTCAAGGCCACCCGCAATTTTGCAGCTTGGAGGAAGAGAGGACTAACCAGACTCGGTGAAAAGATTGCATTCCAAGGCCATGTGTTCATAGGTGACTGGAGCTGAGAGGACAAGGACAGATTAGCTCTCTTTTCATGGTATGAAGGGGCCAGTGGCTATACGAGGAGGAGGCCAAGGGAGATCGAAACGAGGAAGCTCCAATTTCCCCTGCCAGAGAACCACAGTGCACACAGTAACGATCGTAAAGAGCGTCTCGGGTGGTGCGCTACACTGGCTCCTTTGACCCTTTACTCCAAACAAGGGGGGAGTCTAGGTCCAGTTCCCGAGTCTCCAACTGTCTCGTGGCGTATAAAAACACTCGTCGAGACCCTCGTTGTCAGAAATTCTTTCCATCATCAACAATCATCCGACCTCGAAGCAAACACTTTACAGTCAACATGAAGTTCACCAGTATTTTCACCTTCCTCGGTCTGGTCATGATGGTCGTGGCCGGCGGTGGCGGCGGCGGCGGTGGTGGCGGATCTTGCTCAAACCCTTGCGAACCCGGCTGCAGTGGCTGTACTGGTCCAAGCTGTTGCCAGAAGATGGCTCGATTGATGGCCCGCGACTGGTCTTTCAACAGCTTCACGCCTCGCGGTATTGCTGAACTTTTCGACTTTGCCGAGGAGTCTTAAAGGCAAGGGGTCTCTTCCAGCCAAGTGAGATAACCCTTGCAGAAAGAGTTGACCAGCGCTAACCATCGTAGCATTTGTTCCCAGAATCTTGCGACCACCATTCAAATGTACCAAGATTTCACACGTACGCATCCGAAAGACTTGGAAGTAGAGGAAAGCAGCCGGAGGCAGGAGATTGGGGGACAGTGGACAATGACCAGGAGGATGACAATATTGATGATGAGGAGAAAATAAGACAGTCTGAACGGGTCCCACCTTGGTTCGTTCCTTTTCAGCCATTGTACGTGCGACAATAAGACACATTGCCTTTTACACCGAGCCGAGGACGTAGCATTTCTGTTCAATTATAGTCCAAGCTTCTTCGTGCTAGCCTCATGCATGCCCTTGTACTGCCAGTGACTGTCCCGTGTCAAGCGTTAGACGTCATGGGGATCGCAGCGCCATAATTCGGCGGCCAAAACTGGGCCCTTGATGAATGATTTTGCCAGACTGAGGATATAATAGGCATCAATATGTGGTATGTAGGCGGGATGGTGGTGGTAAAAGAAATGGTGTCAGACAGTGGTAGATAAGCTGCACGAGCTGGGTCATTGCCCATGGCCTGACGACGGCCAGGTGTCCGGTCGTAATGTGACATCCGCCTTGAGGTGGTGCAGGATTGTCCAGAGAATCCTTAGTCGAGTTCAGCACGTGTTCGCTACACTAAGCTTTGCGCAGCCATGAACCAACCCGGGTGACAAGAAGAGGATGAGTGGTTAAAGGAAAGACTCGAAGTGGAGTGACATCAAGTGTGATTGAATTGCCAAGACCTCCCCAGCCTCGCGTGTTCAGCCTCGTCTAGCTCGCATTAACAGTATCCGAAAGAAACATGCAACAGACGAAGAGCGCCGCCGGCCCGGACTTCCTCATGATTTCCAGTCTTCACCTCTTCCGAAATATGGAATTTCAACACTCTATATCTCATTTACTAAAAACATTGCTACTACATCACTCAGCTAAACCAATAGAACACAAACTCCCAAAAGAACAGCATTCATTCAGTCTCTCTCCTCGCCTCTGGACATGTTATCAAGGGGAGTTTGCTTGAGACTTGGCATTAGCTCTGGTGACACGCTTCGTATCAGGAGCCTGAGCCTTGGACTGTCCAGCGCCATTCTTTGCCTTTGCTGCGGCGGGTTTCTTCGCGGCGGGGGCCTTCTTGGTGACTTTTGCGCTGGTGGTGGCAGTCTTGGACTTGGTGTCCTCCTTGGTGTCCTTCTTGGTGTCCTTCTTGGTGCCCTTCTTGGTGTCCTTCTTGGTGTCCTTGGAAGCAGCCTTGGTAACCTTGGTGGCAGCCTTGGGCTTAGCCTTAACCGCCGCTTTCTTCTTGGGTTCCGGCTTTGGGGCTGGGGGTGTGGCTGTGGCGGTTTTCGTGGTCGCGGCCTTGTCCTTCGCCGCTGCCGCGGGCTTCTTCTTTCCGGCTGTCGTCTTGGTCGTCGCCGCCGCCGCCTTGCGCGTACCCTTCTTCGGAGCAGCAGCAACGTCGTCTACATCGTCAGAAGCCGCATTACTATTCACCTTGAGGATGATCTTGGGTTTCTTCGCTGCCGTTGCTGCCGTCTTATTTGTCTTCTTGTCCGGTTTGACGGGACTCGTCTTCTTCGGATCTGCCTTGTCCTTGCGCGCGGCAGTTTTCCTCTTTGTCGCGGCGGGAGTGGTCGTCTTCTTCTTCTTGTCGGCGTCCTTCTTCAAGCTCGCTTTCTTCTTACCTTTGCTCGTGTCTTTGTTCGGGTTACCGGCCGCCTCGTCCTCCCCGTCATCCTTCTCCTCGTCGTCTTTGTCCTTCTTCGTCGGCGCTGGTACCGAAGAAGCCTTATTCACTGGGGAAGTAGTAGGACTTATATAAGCAGGGCCCAGCGCATCCTTGATAGCCTGCTTCAATGCCCGCTTCGTCTTGTACTTTGGCGAGAGAATAGGCGGTGCGCCGCCGGCTGCGAAGTCGTTCTTCTTAGCCTTGGCTTTGGCTTTGCTCCTCGTCTGTCTCTTCGTCGGCACGCCATCGCTCGCGCTCCCGCTCGAGTCGGGCGAACTCGGCGCTGGTGGGGACTTTGGTGCTGCGCCCGACGACGCCGGCCGTGAAGTAGTAGCAGGGATGGGATCCTTGGACTTTCCCTTGCGAGTCTTGGAGACCCCGGCAGCCTGGGCGGCGGCGGCGGCGGCGGGTTTTGGAGGGCTGGCAGATTTCTGCATATACTTGGATCAGCGACAAGGCAACAGCATGGAAGTAACAAGAACCACTACGACAACAAGGGCAGCATTGTGACAAACGCTGACAAGGCGATTCCCTTCTGGGACACAACTCTGATGAGATGGTGCCACTTACATTCGACATGGTTGGGCGTGCTGATCTTGTGATCCTGATCTTCTATTCTCTCCCGTGATTCAATCAAACGGATCCCTCTGTTCGGCGTAGTTAAGCGGGCTTTGCTTCGCAATGTAACGGACTGGACTGGTATAGGTAGATAAGCGCAAGGTAAGAACCCATGGCTGACAGTACGGGCTTGCTTGCCCGCTTTTGTGGCTTGCCCGGCCCATTCATTGATGCGCTTGCGCTCGATGCATACAAAGGAAACATAAGGAGAAGGAGAAGCAAAGAAAGCCGCAGTCCTCAGTACACAGTCCGGCGACGCAGCCGGCAGCAAGAACATGATGAACAAAGGCATCGTAGTCGCTGCAAACGGCTGAGCCATGAAAGCGGACAGAACGCCCATTGATCGATCGACGTAGATGGCCTCCTCATGTCTAAGGGTTTGTGCGAGAAGGTGCTGGGACATAGCGTAAGATCGCTGCTTTTCTTGATCATAGCAAATGTAGCGCAGCCAAATCGCAAGTGGGCGGCCAGTGAGAGCATGATGGATCACAAGGGCAAAAACGCACGCATGGGAATTGAAGCAGAACGGAAGTCTGGCAACGGACATGTTCGGAGGAATGCGTAATAAGACATACCAGGCCAGCCCTCTGCATTCCTGGTACCATACCACAACGGATAAGCAGCAAGAATGTCACCATTTTCTCCACCATCGCCTTGCCTTGTCCAAAATTCATCCTTCACGTTTCGTTGTGTAGATGAATCCACTATAGTAACAATCGTGCATTATGTGTCTTTTCTTCCTTTCGTTAGACCGCGTTAAATTCGTCACTTGCCGTCTTGTAATTACTGTGTAAAGAACGGCTCTTCCTTCCTTGATATACTCGCTCGAAATGGCACTGGTAAATCCTTGGGTGTTGCAAGAGGTTGGTATCATTTGTACATGGGGGTCAGTGTTCAACCACCAAGCCCGGCACCGTCTACGTTTCTCAGCTTCGCGGCCAACGTTGTGTCGTAGAAGTTATAGTATGGGTCGGGGATACAGAATGTTGAATGTCGGAGCAGGGTGTCGGCCGTCGGTCGGTCGGTCGGGTTGCTGTAAATCCATTAGTCCACAATATTTCTTAACCAGCAGGCTGAGACTTACACTTGGAAACAGTCATACATAAAGTTCAGCCCGTCCACTGTAGCTGTCGACTGTACGTCCTCGGGGATAGGCGGCGCTTGGCTGAGACTTCCTAGCTTGAAGATGGCGCCGATAGCTTCTTCTCGGCTCCAGGGTCGCTTTCCTGCAAACATTTCCAAAACCACACAGCCAAGCGACCAGATGTCGACTTTGGCACTATAGCCCTGGCCATGTGATCGGACAACTTCAGGTGCCATCCAGAAAACCGAGCCCTGCATACTATTGGTAACATCGTTGCCATAGATGTTGTCTGATTTCTTCGAGATACCAAAATCCGAGATCTTGCATGTGCCATCAAGGTCGAGGAGGATGTTGTCTGCTTTCAAATCTCGGTGCAGGATGCCTTCTTGGTGAAGATATGCAAGTCCCTCCAGGGTTTGTCGAGTAAGGGATCGGACCACAGACTCTTCAAACTTTCCATGCTTGCGGAGACAACTGCCAATCGAGCCACCAGGAATATACTCGAGATAGATACTGATGGAGAATTCCTTCCGTTCACAACCAAGATACTGCACAATATTTGGATGCTCAAGATGCTGCATGGTATCGATCTCTTGGTCCAGGGCAGCAACCATTTCCTTGATCCGATCCTTGTCTTGACCGGCAGCTTTCTGATTGACCTCCACCTGTTTGACAGCCAGAAACTCACCAGTTGTCGCATTCATACCGAGGTACACACGTCCATAGGTACCCTTGCCGATGAGTTGACCGCGAATAATTTTGAAAGTTGCCTGCCGTTTGGGTGTTTCGTCCGTGGGAACATCCTCTTGGGGAATGGGATCTAGAGTAGATAATCGACTGCCTGGTTTGGGTCTGATCTGAACGATATGGGCGCCAAACATCTTCGTCGACTTCCGGCGAACAATGCTGCTTGCGTTATTCTGCTCTACGCGAGCAGCAATAGAAGGTCCTCGCTTAATGTCGTTTCGCTTTTGAGCAACTTCACGGATGGATTTCATCCGAGAGATGCCCCCAGTCGCTTTACCAACTTGCCTCTGAGCAACGCTGGCAACCTTTTCACGATCCTTCGCCTTCAGAGTTGATTCGTCAGAGCCCAAAGTATCCGAGTCACTCTTCCGACTGAACTCGAGATCGAGCCCTTTGGTACCAAAGGTCAGGCCGGTGGAGGGCCCTTGGAGGGCGTCAAGTGGATCTTGCTCAGTCGTCCTCATAGGTGAGTTATTGTCGCCTTTCTCTTCCAAGTACGGCTTATCGAGATCGACGCCGGGGAAGAATTCGTCGAGATGATGGACAACGTTTTCGACAGCCGGCCGATTTGCCCAGATGTCGCTGATGAAGGAATCTCTCCTGCTCATTCGGTCATCCGGAGACTGAGCAGAACCACTGAAACTGCCATCTGAAAGACTACGGTCATAGCCTTCTCCACTGGCCGTGGCGCTTTCGTCGCCAGTGTTTTGCATCCCACTTGATGAGCTTGGCGACTTGAACCGCACATTCTTGCTGGTATTTTGGTCCGTGTCGACCGTCAATGTTGGTCTCTGATCTTTACTGCGAGATGGGATTTCATCTTTAGATAGAGACTTGTTTGCCAGGGGAATAGCGAAGAGACCATCGTCGGAGTCATCATCCGAATCATCTTTCATGGGATGGGGCGAAGGAGCAAAGGAAACATTTGTCTCCTTGAATTCCAGATCGGGTCCGTATGACTTTCGGGTTTGCAAGAATGGTCGTGGTGCCGATTCAGTCGAAGGACTGACCGCTGGAGAAGCACCGAAGCGTCGAGCATTCTCCAAAGCAGCGTTCCGTGCCCGACTCTCCTGGTTCATATCGGCAAAACCTTCTGCATAGTCAGGAACCTTGAACAGCATATCACCTTTGCCCCGTGTAAAGTCGGGACGAAAGGACCCACCTGAAGTACTCCGGCTGTAATCAGCACCTCTTCTGTCTTGTTGTAGCCCGTGGTTACCCAAAGTCGCCGGAGCGCCAGCCATCTTGCCAACATTGGCTAATGCGGCGCCGATGCCGCCCGAAGGAATGGCCGCCCAAGCAGCAGATTTCTTCTTTGCGCGCTCTGCGTCTTCTTCAGCAATTGGATCAGATATTCGCTTCAACGCATCCAGGGAAGATCGATTGCCAGATCCTCTGGCCCGAAGCGAATTGACCTTGGTTAAAGTGGTAGATTCTGCAGGGGCAGTGGGTGGCCGTCGGACGGGGACAAGATTCTCGACCTTCTTCTCTTCGAAGGGCGAGTGGCGGGGACTGTCGAAGTCTATGACCGTGCTTCCTCGAATGCCACCACCACTGTATGTTGAGGTCGATTCTTTTTGAGATCGACGAGATTCTAGGTAGGCCCGTTGCTTAGCCTCCGTCTGCCGTCGGTACTCTTCAGCTTGCTTTTGCATGAGAGCAGGGTCAGTTACAAGCGGTTCAGCTCCAGGAGATGTATAACCATTCCGAATGATGCCACCGGAGGAGTTTGACTTGACCATAGGCGGAGCCCTTTCAACTTGACCTTTTTGGCCAAAGGAAACGCCGAGACCAGTTGACTGGGAAGCGGAGCCGGGAATCGCGGATAGTGTAGGGCTCTGGACATACAACTTGAAGCTGCCCAGGCTATCTGTCCGGTTCCGGAGAGCGACCAGCATGCTGTCCGAGAGAGCACTTTCATGCTCTGTTTGACCTGGCTCGGTGACAAAGATCTGCGCATATTCGGCGTCTGGGATCCCAAGCTCGATACAAACGAGGCTACGAAGGGCGATGGCAGTTTCCACTTCTGTAACATCCACAAGCCGGTAATTCCAACAATCTGGCGTCACGAAAATATATCTCCTTGAAGCATTGGGTCCTCGACGACCCGCTACCAGCGCCCTCTCATCTTCACTTGTCACTGAAGCAGGGCGCTGAAGTAGCGCTGAATCACTACCATTCGCGCTCGGCCTCGCAAATAGCTTCAACGGACCAGGGCTCGTCGGTGATTCCAAAGGATGTTCGTCTGATTGAGGTTGGTTGTGCTCGTGCCTCTTCCTCATAAACTTGCTGAGGAACCCCTTGCTGTGATCTTTCCCTCCAGGACCAGGGGCATAGTCATTGCTCGCATTGCTCCAAGTCCTAGTTGCTTCTAGTGGCGAGGGTCTAGTCATCTCTTGTGCGTCACGCCTATCTGCGTAGAAGCGGTCGGAGCTTCCAGATGTGTTGCTCCTTTCGTAAGGGCCCTGCACGTTAACATTTGAGCGGGAATTGCCTGATGTTTTGAGCATAGAATCGGTGCTGTTGCTCTTGCTGTGATCTGGCCGCAGTGACTGAGAAGAGGTGCTTGTAGCCGATACAGGGACTGCACTTCCAAGCCCAGGACTGGCACTGGGAGAGGCATCGAACGTCTTTGGCACCAAGCCTGTGGAGCCATCGCCAGAAAGATTAGGGCTATGTCGACCACGATTGTTAATGCTGGTCAGAACGCCCCTTGTGTAATCTGCACGTCCAGCGCCTGGAAAATTTTCCGGTGGCTTGGGGTCGCTTGGGGTTGAGGAAGCGCTGCTATGCTTGCTGAGCACGGGCATGGTGCTGCTTCGACCCTGGGAATTCCGAGGACCCAACCCTGTTGGAAATTGAGGAGGCATCTGCTTACCGGGACTTCCCTCTGGGCCAGCCGTGCCAGGCGCGCTGCTAAATTCGGATCGAGGAAGATGAGGCGAAGTTTCCAGATTGCCCTCAGTGGAAGCACTCGGAATCATACCAGATTCTCGCCTCCGATGGCCGATACCTGCACTGGCTGGGCCCTCACCTCCCTGTTCGACAAGGCGAGAGATCAGCTTGCGCAACCTCTTGCCTTCCTCCCGTTCGCGAGCCTGATCCCAACCAGTATTGCCGCTTGAACAGACCTTTGCGAGCTGCGGGTAGATTGTCTGATGCATCATGCCCAAATTTCCACGGCCATTTGGTCCTCGGCCTAGATCAAGAAAGTCGGATCCTTGCAGTTTCAACAATCTAAAGGTCTCCTGCCAATCATTTGAGAACCCATTCGCAGCCAACCAGACAAGGACTCGGTCCAGAGGCCATTGCGAGGATAGTTCGCTCGAATTGCTCCCAGTAACGGCGGCACTGTGCGCTCGCTGCCGACCTTGGTCAAGGCTTGATTGCGGATTGGCCAAGGTTGCAGTCGGGGGTCCTGGAGAGATTGGTTCGTTGATGTCACGAAGAGGGAGAGTAAAAGCGGCCCTATTGGAAGAAGCAGAGGCAGCCCGACTTTCCCTATTGGCGATATCCGGATTCGGATGCACGGGATTTGGATATGAGTAGCTGTGAGAAGCAGTCGTGGTGTCAGGATACTTCTGGTCCGCATGAGATAATGACGGCTCGGAAGTGAATTGAGCATCATATCGGGAGTATGAAGAATAATCGTCGAGGGGCGGAATGCCGACGCCGGGCCCAAACGAGTCCCCTGTCGGAATAAAGGTTGCGGACAAGATGGGTTTGTCGTTCTGCGGAGGAGGCGGCGGAATGTTCAGCTGTCGCATACCGTAGGACAGGTGTTGCTGGCCTTGAGGCTGGGTATGATTTAATGGCGGAGGAGGCGGTATATTCTGGCCTAAGCCTGATCTTCCCCATGGCTGCTGCCATCCTGCGCCTGGCAGTCCAAAGACGGTCCCAAGTGGGAGGGCGGAGGGATGTGGTCCCGGCGGAGGAGGAGGAAGATTCGATTGGAGATACGGTCGAGGAGGCGGCGGTGGAAGATGGCCGAGAGTGCCTTGCCCGGGTGGAGGGGGAGGCCCGGGAATATATTGTTGTTGTCGCTGGTTGTCCATGATCTGGCTGTTCGAGACCATCCTTCAAACGTCGGTCGTTGAGAGACAGCGCAGGGAGAAAATGTGAGGACTCGACCAACAACCCAGATAACGTCGTTATCACCGCAGTCGGACGAGCGAGAGAATCATGTCCCGGGTTGTGACTTTTCCTAGCTGTTCGGACCTCGACTCTGACGGTCGCAAACCAGGCACCTTGCCTCAATGGAGATTGTCCACGGGCTTTTCAGCTGAGTCGAGCAGAGCAACGAGGCACACCCCCAGACAGAAGCACAATGTCAAAGACACATGATAAATGTTTGAACCCGCCAGCAGGCGTAGTAGCGAACAAGCAAGGGCGAGGAAGCGGAGAGGACGACTGATGTGCGGCGAGAGAAGTTGGGGGTGTCTGTAGAACTGAGGGAAGGGCGGAAAATGCCACGCGCAGGTTGGTGCCGGGCGACAAGCACAGATATATGCGCAGATAGTGTGTTGGCGCTTCGACTGAGAGCGATGTCAGAGAAGTAGGACGTCGACGACGGTGAGAAATGAGAAAGTCGCAGGCCGAAGGAAGTGTACCGGGTACGGGCTGTGTGGCTGATGAGCGGCACCTACGATATGGGGCAGAAGGAAGAAGGCAGGCTGACTGCGGCCAGCCTACAAAGCCCAAAGAGGCTAGAATGGGGCTAATGAGGCTGTCGGTAAGGATGCCCAATAGAGGCGCCGAAATAAGCGCGTACCTGAAGGAAAAGCCCTCGCGGTCCCCCGGGGCATCGCCTACTGGCTACTACTAGGCTATCGGCCCTGCGAGATAAACAAACAGGCTGGGCATTATTATTATTGGGCGCCCGGTGGGCACTCGCATTCGGACTCGCAGGGACCCTGAGAGACTTTCTTTACCTAGAACTTCCTACCCACCTAGGCATGGTGGGTGTAGCTAGGTAAGCAAAGAAGCTTGAAGCTTTGCACACAGATCCCCTGGCTGGTGCTCGTGTCCGTCCACACCTGCAGCGACATGCTCGGAACGACCTTTCAGCAGAAGCAGCTTAGAATCTCTCACATAATGATGCTTGATCCAATAATGAAAAATATCACAAGCTTTTTTGGCTGGCGTGGTGGGCTGATCTTCCACGTCACATCATACCACTCTTGCATCACACAGCATCATGATCCCAACTTTGTACCTGTTACATCTGCTTCTCTCAATCCTCATTGAGTGCAGAGGTCTTCTCAACATTGACGTCTCGAAGCATCTTGTGCATGTTGCCGGCCTTCCGCTGCAAACCTCAATGCTTATTCCGCCGATCGGATCGGTGTCGTATCGTGGATTTCTTATAAGTTTGAACTCGCTCCCGTTTTCTCTGAGCGTTGCTGTCTGTCCATCGATACTCATTTCTGAGTTTCTCTTCTCTGTCTCACACATCCTGCTGCGCGCTCGTGCCCAATCATGGCTGCTCATACTGACATCCGCACCACGGAGCTGAGGGAGCCCGTCGATGTGGCCACTTACCTTTTCACTAGGCTGAAGCAGATGGGCATCGACTCTGTCCACGGTCTGCCCGGCGATTTCAATCTGGTAGCCCTCGACTACCTCGAGAGCTGCGGCCTTCAGTGGGTGGGAAATTGCAACGAGCTCAATGCTGGCTACGCCGCCGATGGCTATGCTCGAGTCAAAGGGATATCGGCTCTCATCACCACCTTTGGAGTAGGGGAGCTGTCTCTCCTCAATGCAACCGCCGGAAGGCGAGTCACGTCGTTTTGGAGTGGTTTCCCAAACTGACTGTTTATTCTAGCTTTGCCGAGTTCGTGCCAGTGGTGCATATCGTCGGGACGCCGAGCACCATATCTCAGAAAAATGGCATGCTCCTGCATCATACCCTGGGCAATGGGAACTTCAATGTTTTTGCCGATATGGCTGGCCATCTGGCAGTGGAAACCGCCAAACTGACGGATGCTCGCGACATTGCCTCGCAAATCGACCACGCACTTCGCGAGTGCTACCTTCAAAGCCGGCCTGTTTACCTGACACTCCCAACGGACATGGTCAAACGGAAGGTCGAGGGTCAACGACTCAGAACCAAATTGGACCTGAGTCCGCATAAGAATGACCCAGAAAAGGAAGACTACGTTGTCGACGTGGTCCTGAAGTATCTGACCGCTGCCAAGAACGCCGTTATCCTGGTTGACAGCTGTGCCATTCGTCACCGCGTATTGCCTGAGACCCACGAGCTGATCGAGAAGTCGGGTCTTCCGGTCTTCGTGGCGCCCATGGGCAAAGGGGCTGTTGATGAAACTTTGCCAACCTTTGGCGGTATTTATGCTGGCGCTGCCTCCAACCCCGGAGTGCAAGAGCGCGTCGAACAGGCTGACTTGCTCATCACTATCGGCAGCGTCAAGTCCGACTTTAACACCGCCGGGTTCTCCTATAGAACCTCGCAGCTGAAGACGATCGATTTCCACAGCACATACACCCGCGTCCGATGGTCAGAGTATCCCGGCGTCGGCATGAAAGGCGTCCTCCGCAAAGTCATCGACCGACTGCCTAAACTGAATGTTCAGCCTGGGCCCACACCGCATCAGAAAGAGATCCCTCAAGATGAAAACCCCAATGATTCTACCATCACTCACCGTTGGTTCTGGCCGCGATTGGGACAGTGGCTGCGGGACGGTGACATTGTGCTCACTGAGACTGGAACGTCCAACTACGGCATTTTTGATACAAGGTTCCCCAAGAACGTGACAAATATCAGTCAGATCCTATGGGGAAGCATTGGCTATGCGACTGGCGCGTGTCAGGGTGTAGCCTTGGCCGCCAAAGAGCTGGGTGGCAATCGTCGGACAATCCTCTTCACGGGCGACGGCAGCTTCCAGCTCACATGCCAGGAAGTGAGCACGATGATCCGCCACAACCTCAACCCGATAATTTTCATCGTCTGCAACGACGGCTACACCATCGAACGCTTCATCCACGGTATGAAAGCGGGCTACAACGACATCCAAAACTGGAAGTACAAGGATCTGGTCCCAACCTTTGGGGCAAAGGAAGGCAGCTACAAAACATACCAAGTCAAAACCAAGGATGATGTCCATGCTCTGTTCCAGGACGAGACGTTTTCATCAGCGCCGTACCTGCAATTGGTCGAAATGTATATGCCATGGGACGATTCCCCGGCAGGATGTGAGTCCCTCGCGCCACTCGATTTCATTCGTGAGACTCAAGGCTAACCGATGTTCCAGTGACTGTTACCGCGACTGCCAGTGCTCGTAATAATGGCAAAATGCTCGAGACGTCCTAGATGGTTATATAGAGAGGGTGGGGACTGACACACGGGAAAAGCTTTATGGAGGCTGGGATATGGACAAGGCTGAAGAAGATTAGAAGGAGGGAAATCGATAAGGCTGGGAAACAAGAGTACAATCCCTTTTTATCATCTACAAGTCCGGGTAGATAATGCACTCCCTGACCCATGCTCTGCCAAGATCTACCTGTACCCTGTAGCTCGCTCTGTGAGAGAGATCTTATCCTGCCTAATTCAGCCTGGCCATATGGTTGTGGGCTACGAGTAAATCTATTCCGGCGTCAAGGCTGCGTGCTTTTGTCCTTAATGGTGCCTGGAATGTTGAGCCGAATCTCGCCTAATGCTGCCTACGGACTTGTTGTAATCAAGCAGGTGCAAGCCTTGTGATTGGTTTGACATTCAACACCCTGGCTTACTAGCGGATACACGGTCTCGAGGCTCAGTCACACACACGCAGCACAGAATCCCCGAGAGATATGTTTCGCCTACTTACCTCAGTCTTTGCACCATCTCCCGCTGTTGACCGGCACAAAGAGTCTGTCAGCGGTAACGGATCCCAACTATTTGTTTCTGCATCCGCATCTATGTGCTGTAGAGATGCTTTGATAATGTCCTCGACCCATGGCCGACGTCCTGACTATCGGGCTGCTCCCTCTCCCCAACCCCATCGCGCTGTCAGGTGAGAGACTGCGCTGTGCCTTGAACGTGTGACCCCGGGCAACTGGGCTCGCTCAAAGGGGACGCTGACAGTGTGCACTTGCCCAAATGCCTCACGCGTCGCCGACACTTTGAGAAGGGCATTTCTGCCGTAGCGCCGAGAATTCCAGTCGTTTGTCACCTTGACCCGCGCCCGCAGCCGCAGATTCACATTCACAAACGACAAGATGTCGAACCTCGAATCTCCTCCGTCCAAAAAGAGCGGCCTCCGCAAACTTCACATACGAAACCTCAACCGCCTACCTTCATCCCATATCCCCTCTCGCCTACGGCTGGGAGACGATGCCCAAGAAGATGTGACCGCTCCAAACCGAGGCTCAAACATGCCTGCCCAATACATGAATCAATCAATCTTTTCCATGATTGCGGCCGCCGGGTCGCGAACCGACTTCAACACGAGATTCGACGAGTCCAGCGACAGTGAAGATGAGATCTCTGAGGAACAAGAACAGACAGCTGGCGACAAGGGATCACTTCCGGTTGCTCCAGAGACGGGGTCGAGCGAGACACAATCCGTAGCAACAAAAGACGAGAAAAGCACCGGAGAGAAGAAGAGCAAGCGTCTCTCGAGCCAGCGGCTGGTTCAGTCGTTGCCACGCCTGTCGGGGAGATCGCTGCGAAAGAAAGAGGACACACCCCGAAAAGATCCAAGTCCTGAGAGCGACGATACCTCGGAGTCTTCAAGGAGCAATCCACGAGACGCACCTGTGCTAAGTCGGCTAATAACCGCGGAGGCCCAGTTTCAAGAGAGTGCAGAAGGGCAAGACCAGATGCTAGAATCTCCGACGGCGATGAGGTCGAGAAGCAGAGGCGAGTCGACACCGCAGACGCTCCTTGCGACGCGATTGATGGAGATCTTTGGATTTGAAGTGCCCGAACCCGTGGTGGCAGAATATCCGTGTTGGCTGTTGCAGAGTGTTCTCCTGCAAGGCTATCTTTACATCACGAAGCAACACATCTGCTTCTATGCCTATCTGCCCAAGAAATCGCACACAGTCGTCAAAACAGGCAATCTTTCGAAGAAGGGTAGGACGACTTCCAAATACAAAAGATACTGGTTTTCTCTCAAGGGAGACGTCTTGTCCTACTACTCCGACGCCTCAAACCTCTATTTCCCTTCCGGAAATATCGACCTCAGATACGGCATATCTGCTAATCTGTCTATCGACAAGGAGAAAGGGAAGTCCAAGGAATGCAAAGATTTCTCTGTCACGACAGACCATCGCACTTACCACTTTCGAGCAGACACTGCTTCGAGCGCCAAAGAATGGGTGCAGACCCTGCAGAAGACAATCTTCCGCTCTCACAACGACGGAGATAGCGTAAAGATCTCCTTACCAGTGGAGAACATTATTGACTTTGAGGAGAGCCCGGTGGTCGAATTCGCTGAGACGGTCAAGATTAGAGTGATTGAAAGTGAGGATTCGTATGCCATCGACGAAGTAAGGATTACTCTACCCCATCAGCCTTTGTTCTGCGGCACTGACTCTGGTAGTATTTTTTCTCCTTCTTCAGCTTTGGTCAAGATGCACTTAACGTGCTCGGAAGTCTGATTACTGAAGCTCCAGCCAGGAGGACGTCGGAAGACGTACTGTCGCCGACAAGAAAGGTCGAACCGCTGTCCAGCCCAAGGCCCCGAGCAACATCCAATCAGCACTCCTCCGACGTTATCCCAGGGAGTCCGAGAGCTCAGTCGAGTCCACCTCTCAAAGACAGTGTTAGAGCCACTCTACTACCGTTCTCTGTCGGAAATGATGGTAGAATGTCTCCGAGAATGAGCGGAGAATTCCCTCGTGGCAACAGTCCTTCTCGTTCTAGCCACGAGTTTGCGGGGGAATACGGTCGAGCCAGTTTTGACCGAGGGCGTAGAAGTGGGAGTACGAGTCGTCTTGAGGCGACCAATTCAAAACGAACAACCCGGTCACCTTTAGCGAGACATGACGCCTCTGAGGATTCATATGTTCAGTCTATCGACAAGGAAACAGATTCATCCACAGCGCCTCTGTCGCCGCGAGCAGAAGCACAAATGTCAGCCAGCCAAATCTTAACAAGAAGTGATGTTTTCCATCAGCCAGCCATTCATCGAATGGAAACTTTGGCATCCATGTCTACTGAACCCACAAGATCGGATGTAGGGACAATCCTGTCAAGCTCTCCACAACGAGGAGATACACATCCCATTCCTATCCGAAGCGCACATGAGCCGCCGACAGACCGCCGTGCGACAGTGGCAAATGAATTCCTCTCAGCAGAACTGGAACCGGGCAAAAATTATGTCAGGAACAGCTCCTCGCCGACCTTGCAGGATCTGGTCAAAGCGGGATCTTACCCTCTACAACGAGCTGGAGCATTTGCCGACTACCTTAAAAGCCGGTCCAGTTCAATGAGGAAGCTTCTAGCCACTGAGTCCATGTCCTATTTGGAAAAGGTGTCAGGCATGTGGGCTGGGAGCAGGAAACATTATGGAGAAAATGAGGGCGTGGTGCCCGATGACAGAGGCATCGATCCGGAAGATGAAGAAGCCAACGTCGGGCATGGCGATCGCTTTCGCGCACATTTCGCGTTACCTGCTACCGAGAAACTACAGGCGACGTACTTTGGCTTCCTGCATCGTGTGCTCCCCTTGTATGGCAAGATATACATCAGCAATCGAAAGTTCTGCTTTCGAAGTCTCCTACCTGGGACGCGGACCAAGCTGGTGCTGCCGTTGAAGGACATTGAGAACGTGGACAAAGAAAAGGGCTTCCGGTTCGGCTATCACGGCCTCGTCTTGGTGATCCGTGGTCACGAGGAATTATTCTTCGAGTTCAGCTCGGGCGAACATCGGGATGATTGTACGGTGACGCTGCTGCACAGCCTAGAAACGGCTCGCTACATGGCTGAATCGGGCGTCCTCGCCAAAGCGGATGAGGACGACGCGGAAATCGCCAAAGAAGAACACCGCAGGCTCCAAGAAGCCCGTCGCACCTCTACGGCGGGCGATCATGCGCTGGTCCTGCCCGACACCACCGAGGCAATCTACAGCCACAAGGACGAAGAACCTTCAGGTCCGGTGCTCTTCGATGAACCTCGCGCTTCAATCATCAACCTTTCCAAACCGAGTGCTTCACTGCGCATTACGTGTCTCACAATCGGCTCGAGAGGCGACGTACAGCCTTATATCGCCTTGTGCAAGGGACTCCTAGCAGAAGGCCACCGTCCGCGGATTGCTACGCACGTCGAGTTTGGCCCCTGGATCCAGAAGCACGGGATTGATTTCAGACCTGTGGACGGTGATCCGGCCGAATTGATGCGCATCTGCGTCGAGAACGGCATGTTCACGTACTCGTTTCTACGAGAGGCCTCGGCCAAATTCCGCACATGGATCGATGAACTTCTCACCTCCGCCTGGGCTGCATGTCAAGAGTCGGACCTCCTGATAGAATCTCCCTCGGCCATGGCTGGCATTCACATCGCCGAAGCCCTGGGCATCCCTTACTTTCGCGCATTCACCATGCCGTGGACACGCACGCGCGCGTACCCGCACGCGTTCGCCGTTCCCGAACACAAGATCGGAGGGGCGTACAACTACTACTCGTACGTCATGTTCGACAATGTCTTCTGGAAGGCCATTGCGGGGCAAGTCAATCGGTGGCGCAAGAAGGAATTGGGCTTGAGGAGCACCAATCTGGACAAGATGCAACCCAACAAGGTGCCCTTCTTGTACAACTTCAGCCCGCATGTGGTGGCTCCGCCGCTGGATTACAGCGACTGGGTCAGAGTGACGGGGTATTGGTTCCTTGACGAAGCCTCTGACTGGACCCCGCCTACCGAACTGACGGATTTCATCAAGAAGGCTCGTGACGACAAAAAGAAGCTCGTGTACATTGGGTTTGGAAGCATCGTCGTCTCGGACCCCGCAGCACTCACCAAGACGGTCGTGGATTCGGTGCTTAAAGCCGACGTGCGCTGTATCCTTTCCAAGGGCTGGTCCGACCGCCTCGGCGATCCGCAAGCTGTCAAGGCAGAGGTTCCCCTGCCCCCGGACATCTTCCAGATAAAGTCCGCGCCGCACGACTGGCTGTTCCGCCAGATTGACGCGGCGTGCCACCACGGCGGTGCGGGGACCACGGGCGCAAGTCTTCGAGCGGGGCTGCCCACAGTGGTCAAGCCGTTCTTCGGGGATCAGTTCTTTTTCGGATCGAGGGTGGAGGATCTCGGTGTGGGTATTTGCTTGAAGAAGGTCAACGTCAGTTTGTTCTCGAGGGCGCTTTGGGAGGCGGCGCACAGCGAGCGGATGATTGTAAAGGCGAGGTTGTTGGGGGAGCAGATTCGCCAGGTGAGAGACTTCCTTTTTCCTTTACCTAGGGTAGACTTGGCGATCCTTCTGTCATTAAGAGAAAGAAGAAGAACCTGGGGCATGAAACTGGTGCTAATATTGTTTATTTTCGGCAGGAGAACGGCGTGCAAACTGCCATTCACGCAATCTACCGTGACCTTGAATACGCGAGATCATTAGTCAAAGCCCGCGCCGCGATCCAACAACAAGGCGCCGCCGCAGCGGCCGGAGGAGCAACTGGCCTCACGGCGATTGATCTCCTCGACGAAGGCGGCGACATTGAAGAGTCCTGGACATTTATCGGAGATGAGAGCGATCCCAATATCCAGCGCCGGCTCCAGGAGTGGGATACAACGGCGGCGGGGACGGGTGGTCACAGTCCTATGCGCGGGAGGGCACCTCGGGTTAGTCTGGATCGAGCAAAGCTGGGTGCTATGCAGGGCGTCGAACCGGTCAGAAAGGCGAGTGTCAAGAGATGAAGATGACCAATACGACCATGACCACCTGCATGACCATGACCGAGAAAACATGATGCGAAACACGTACGACGCTGATAGGGTCGGACAAGGAGAAACAAAACCAACGGCAGGGCCCAGGGGAATATGACAGACAGCGTCCCAGGGGCTCGAGCCTAATTGTGACAGGAATCAGGGGACTCATGAGTGATGTCGATGGGTTGGGTTAGGCTGGGTTGGGTTGCACAGCGCGGGCGTTCCAGGGAGTTTGTGAGTGATTCTCATTATCATTGGTGATCTGTGCTTTATCGCAAGACCATGCAGGAGTGTCAGGACGCCTTTTTACTCTCTTCTCGGAGAAGAAGAGTCTAGAGCCTTTTTTTGTCCACGATTCGGAACCGACTGAGATGGCGTTCGTCCGGTGTTCATGGCCACGGGAACATACCTGGTATGGATCGAATTTACTGAAGGGTTCATACAGACAGGGAGCAGCGTGCCTGGAGCTTACCCGTTATTGTTGGTTCTAACCTTGACGACGTCATGAGTGTCCAGATAGATCTAGCGGAAGAGACAGACGAGGGGGGTTTTAGACATGAGATCCGGTAATGCGCGATTGGATATGAGAGAGAGGAGGGGCAATGTGGACGAGAGGCATTTAGAACTTGATTCCCATGAAACTCGATGCGTTTTCCCAATTCGTCTTGTGCTTTTCTGAATTCCTTGGTCATGGTTTGCCCGCATCGAGTCGAAGGAACCTTGGGAAGTCATGAGTGTTGTGTGCTGGTGACTTCTTTCATCACACCACGCGGAAGGGAATGAGATAATACGAGGTCACTGCAAAGTACGAAGGATTTTGGACTCGCCTGGAGTTGGTGCAGCTTCGAGGCCGTGACCGAGCATTGTAAGTCTCATGGAGTTTTCCGCCGCAGGAGTGGAGTTTCTCCTCAAGCGCTGCCCAAACACGATATCTGGGAACCTTTAAAAGCGGAAGCGGGTTTTTCGCAGCTTGTCCAATTCTGTTGAGTAGAGCAAATACAACTGATGTACTCTCCGAATGTCTCGGCTGCATAGAGCATTAGCTGCCTGGCTTCCTTTCGGCTATCCAGCTATGCTCCAGTGGACTGAGGTTTCAATGCTCTGCGGAGGGCCGTGGAGGAGAATTACCCCGAACAGGTATATTTGTGGGTGGGCTCGACTGAAGCGTTGAGGGGCCCTGAAGCAGCCCTGAAGATCGCTAGCCAAGCGGAAAAAGAAGACGCGCATCGATCCAAGGTCAAGCTTTGTCGAGATTGTCTCTAGCGAGAGGGTCCCGCAGGGATCCCCTGCAGAAGTGTCAAAAGTTGGACCCGGTCTGACGGACTGCGGCGAGCACCATTATGGGGCCGTGACAAATTGTCATTTTCGTTTTTGTCAGGCTAGGTCTGGAGATTGAGCTTGTCAGACAGAGGTTCCACCTCTTGATTCTGACGGACGTCCCAAGCCTTCAGGAAGCTTTAGAGCATGTGGGCTCCAGTTACTTCGAGTATGCGTTAGTGGCGTTGGTTGATGCCATGCGCCGGGGAGCCACGCACACAGCTGGAGAGAGACACTAAGACAGGGTCGCGTGATGGAAGAGGCGAGTTGCATGCAGATTGTGACGCATGAGGGCGGAGAGGGAGAAGCGTAACTAGGCGGCGTATGTCAGGTTATGAGTTTGTAGTGATGAATCCGATTTTACGGATCCCTTAGCAACCTTAGGTAGAGCCCCCTGTCAACCCCCAGTGCCGACAAAGGGATATTAAATCCGGTACTGGGTTATCTAGTTCGGGAGGTAGATGGTGGAGCAGACAGAGGGATAAAATTTCCGAGCTCAAGCCGAGTATGATTGGGTGATTGAAGGCAAACTGAGGTGGCCATCGGGTGAGAAAGCCGCCAATGATTGGAAGAGAGGAAGCACTCGAGGAAAGAGAGGAGCCTGGGAGATTTCTTGAGGTTCTGGGTGCTATATCCGGCTGAACATACTGAGTATGGCGGTGGTGGCGGTGGAGCGCTTGAGCCAGAAAGGAAAGGTCCGGGACATCTGGAGATAATGGCCAACAGCCAGCGGGTGAGGCCGGTATGATGCTGATGGTCAGTAAACACAAATCACTTGGCGCAGGAAGGACTCACCGCGTCCGGTATACGGAATAAGATGGATGACTGACTGTGAAATGGCGGTGGTGGTGGCAATGATGGGGGCGGCGGCGGCGGTGACGACGACGACGATGATGACATGGCTGAGGCAGCAGGCAGTCAGATCTTGTCTAAGCAAGGAAGAGAGAAAAGGACTCGGTGAGGACTCCGGACGAGGTACTCGGTACAGCATCGTAAATGCTGTTGCTGTACCACTGCAGAGGGAAGAGGGAGGAACAAGCCTGTGCGATTGGGGCGAATGACAAGCTGGGGAAAGGAAAAAGCCATGTCATTTAACGATTAGGCAACTAGGGCACTAGATGAGTAACTGCAAGGGCGAAGCAATTAAGCTCAATGACAATTAAATTTCCGCCCTGTTGCGTCGGTACATCCACGAGGAGTACCGAGCAGATATTCCGCACATACAACGCCCCGGCCCTTAGTGATTGGGAGTAGCACCGAGGGCCCCCAGCTTTGCCAATTACTAGGGAGCTGGTGTGCCTAAGAGTTCGGTATCGGAGTGCCTGGGAGGTGGTTCATTACGAGGTAGTAGGTGCTGGACTCGACACTCCATGCCTGGAAGACACTGTACTCGGTAAGTACCTAGGTATTAGGTAGGTAGCTACCTACAGGGCATCGGGGTATTTGATAATGCCGAGTATACCTCGTAATGATGGACTCCCTCCCATTCTCATCTTCCAGGTTGTCCCGCACCCACCGCTTGTCGCCGCTGCCACCAACGGACTTCGGGTTCAACAGCCCAAAAAGCAAAAAGCAAAAAGGCAAAAGCAAAACCCCCCGTTGTTTAATGTGCATATTCCTGCCGACCAATGATCGACTAGCTGCCTCAACTTTCTTCCCTTTTGCTTTTTTCATTTCTGATGTTTCTTTTCCCTCTTTCCCTCCCTCCTCTCTAGCCTTGTTCGGGTAAGTGATCTGTCTATGACCATCCCTCGGTTTCTTCCTCTCGATCGCGTTCTCTCGGAATCCTTCCACAAACCTCCTGATCTTCACCCCTTCTTCGCCTCTTCTCTGGCCCAGGCGCCTTGTCCACCACCACACAATACGCACTCACACACCCACAACCCACACACACACACGGCTGTTCCCCGTCTTTCACCGTTACAATCTACTTATGCGCGCGTGAGATTTTCATCACTGCCCCGATCTTGGGCCAACGGTTCTTTCTCGCCCCCAGTCATCAATTCTTCACCCTCCCTCGACAGGTCATGCCGCGGGCCACTCAGCCATCGCAACTATTTTCCCTTTCTTCTCTTCTCTCGTCTGGCCCGTTTCTGTCTCTCCCCGTAGCTTATCCGTCTCTTGCGCATCCCAATTCGATTGCCTCCCCGCCATCTCCGAAGCCCTTCGCTGTGGCAGTCCCCGGTCCGAGCTCGCCGTAGCCAGTACCCAAGTACCTAGGTAGGTACCCAGTACAATTTCAGTACCGAGTACTTACAGTGGTCTTGGTCTTGAATTGCCTTGTTCACTCGCGTGTCTCCTATGACCTTCCCCTTTTCATACCGGACGTTCTAGTCGAGCCTATGGATTCTCTCGGCTCTTGAACTCTTCTAGCAAAGGTACCGGGACCCAGACAGGGTCTATGCCTGGGGGGGTTTCTGGGTCGCAATTGTCCATCCTTCCGGGTCCCGACCACTACCGTGGGCCCACCACGCGATCCGTTACAATTTTCCAACGATTGACCGACCATTGGTGTCAGTACAACGACAACACTTCGAGCCATTCTTCGGTCGCCTAGAATCACAGCTACCCGTCTCGCCGCAGCGGTCGACTGACTGACTGAGCAACTGACGGGCGGAAACTGAAGTGACCACAGCAGAAATTTCGCCATTCCACCCCTCACTAGCCTCTCTCACCACCTACAAACGCCCCCTTCGAAACGCTCTGGGGCTCCGTCTACCGCGTTGCCCTACCACACTTGCTCAAGTCCGCCATCGAATCCACTGGCCTCGCTCTCCACCCTTTTTCCCTCCTCCGAATACCTAGTACCACGAGATCGGCCACACGCATCTTGCAGCTTGATACATCTACCCGTCGATATCCTCACTGCCTCCTTCCGAAGTTTCTAGCTTGGCTCCTTTCTTCCTCCCTCACTCCTAACCCAGCGCACCGTCTGCTACTGCTTATGCACTCTCTCGCAACTCGATTCTGCTCTGTTGGGTTTGACGTTTCGCTGCATCAAGAGGCCTCTAACCATATGCCTTGATTTCTTCCCGGAAAACAACCTGTTGAGCCTCGGCAAATCAGTCATGAAGCCTGGCAATACCACCAGTGGCCTGTCTCCACCTTCTACCGCTTCTCCCGGTGGTGTCACCAAAAGTACCTCGTTGCCCATTTCACGCTCAACCAATTCGGCGTGGGAGAAACCTGAACGCGCTCGAACCAGTCACGCTTGCGAACCATGTCGCGAGCGAAAGACAAAGTGTGATGGCTCTAGGCCTGCATGTCGAAGGTGTCTTCACACCGGCACCACTTGCTACTATGGCTACGGCAAGGGATGGAGGAAACGGAAGTAAGTGTTTTTGGAACCTGGACCCCATGGATGAGCCTGCATGAGAATACAGATTGCTGACAGCGTCCCCCCACGCTTCTAGGACCGCAGAGGACCTCACGGCAACCTCGCGCCGTTTGGCACGGTATGAGAGCCTTCTCAATGAGATCATACCAATGGTCTCGCCAGAGGTACGAGCCTTGATCGAGGATGCACGCGACAACGTAAGTCATTCATTCCGCTTGCTGTTGACCAGCTACTCCGGGTGCCATGATGCTAATCTGGGTGGCAGGATACGGGCGCGTCAAATAATGGCTCCGAGACGGCGGAAACAGAGCAAAATCTTCTGCCGCCTGCTTTGCTCAAGGTCGAGTCGACCATGTCGGGATCGGGCGGCCGCATCATCCTGCCGCTCCCGGTACCTAGCCCGCATGTCCCGGCAGCGTCCCGCTCATCTACGTCGTCGGGGACATTTGATTCAGTTGTTCCGCCGCCCACGATTGCGAGCACAGGTCCAGGATCTACCGTCCAGACATCGTCACGACTGTCGCCCGAGTCTAACAATTCGGGGACTCGATTGCCATCCATCACGGCTGAGGGCCTTCTGATTGAAACCGGACTCAGAGATCGGTCGCCCACAAGTCTACACCCGGTTGGAAGTTATGGACAAGACCGTCTGGGAGCGCCGCCAACCTCTCCGACCAGTCACACGTCCCTTGGAGGTGCGTTGACCACACCACATCCTGGACCTTCAGATACTGACCCGCGGAGAAGAGACTATTCGGTCCCCACAGTTTTCCCCTGGCTAAAATCCAACGAAGCCGCAGCAGTCCGCAATTGACACAATCTACACCTCTTGAATTTCTTATCTTGCGAGTGTGGTCTGTCCTCGGCTGTTGATGTCGATCTCGCTTCCTTGTGGAGCTACTGGAGCTGGACTGGACACCTCCAAAACTCCGCACTTGGATGAGGTTCTAGGCCACGAGGCTCGACCTCGCGCGCAGAATTCTCAGTTGTGTGGGACAATTTCTGCGCACCAGCCATGTCCACCGGAGGGTACTTCACCCTGGATTCTCACGGAGATTTTGTTCTGAAGAGACGATGATCTGCATTGACCATCGCCGATGGAGGGTGGCTGTATAGCCGATAATCACCACGGAAATCTCCCGCAAAGTAGATTCTGCCGGTCGGATTTGGGCGAAGGATGTTCCTGCAGAAGGACCAAAAGAGGGTATAGTTATTCTTCACGCGCCACTCCATCGAGGACGATCCGCTGGTCAACTACCTTTCCCGGATCAGCGCAGAGACTGGCCCTAACAATGCGTGAAGAAACATCGGGGGCCAGCGAAGATGGCAGATTTTGAGACTGCGATGCAGGGACTGGTGGGAAACGGAGCATTTGGAGGGGCGACACTATTCGTCACTGGGGGTTTGGAGATCCACCGCCAGCCCCTTGACCTTGGCACTGCAACGGCACGGGGACTGGGGGCTGATTGGTCGAATCCGCTAACAATTTGCTTCCGAGTGGTGGCGGATTCCTGTTCCGGGTGACACGTCATGCAGCAGGCCTCCGACTTGATCTGACCCTATGACATTCCGGCCTCCGAAACAAGAAGGGGAGAAGGGGAGAAGGGGTTTTACTTGTGCTGACGGAGGGTGACGGAGGTGACGGGCAGAATGAAACGTTGTCATCGCACGATGCTGTCCGGTCGGGGCCATTACTGAGCAAGAGTCCACCATGGTTTGGTGATGGTGTCAGGGCCAATCTGGAAATGGCATGTTGGGTGGTAGACCAGCGGACATGCACATCCGGAGGCAATCACCCGAACTCCGGAGTCGATGCAAGATATGATATTTCCGATGCTCATCAACTTTGGCATTCACGAGTTGCGACCGCGAGCCCTCCCGCAGATCTGCAACGATACACACCTCTTCCACCCTTCTCCTGCGCAGCCCATGGACCGCTGTCACCCTACTACCGCTTATTGTCATCGGGGCATCCGGCTCCAGCGGTAAGGCCACACGCTTTCTTTGGGTTGATCGTGTCTCGAAAATAGGAGGATTACATGATGATTTCTGCACGAGGACTTTTGGGGGAAAATATCACGAAGCATGTACCAGTCACGAGACAACTTGTGCTGACCCAATGGTGTTTGGTTTGGATGATCTCCGCGGGGTAGACAGCACCAGATTCACATGACACAAAAATATAGGTATAGAAAATCTGGACTGCCGCTCACACGATAGCGCTGGGTCAGTCTAGATTCGATCGATCAAACAACTCGGATGTTGATGACTCAGTTTCTCATTTAAATTATAGTACCGACTCTCTCTTCTCTCGAGGACGAGAAAGCATCTCCCAATCCGTCATGAGTATCTCGCAGTGATCGAGCGTCCATACCATGCATGTATCAGTTGCTGACCTGCGAAGAGGCACGCGATGTTAGTCATGGCCTGGTAACCCCAGATATACTGCGAACACAATCGTGGAAATAGATGGCACACGCGTCCCACTCTTCAACACAGCTCCCGGATTACCTTCGTCCATTCTCTCCGGTGCCTGGGGTTCCAACACTTTGGCCATTGCGCCCCCAACCTCAACGTTCTGCGAGCAACGAGACGCACGTGATATGGATCACACGATTCCACGGCATTTGAGGATGGACATCCGTCTTTCTAAAAAGAACTCTTGACGCACCTTGTCAGGAACATCTTTCCCTGTAGCCTTCTCAAACATCTCTCGCGCCTTGTCGGTGATTTTCTCGTTCGTGCTTCTCTGTTTGGCGGGGTCGATTTTGCCTGATCAAGCGCGGACGATGTCAGAACGGTGCCTCAGAGTCTCCGTACATTCCCCAAGATATCACAGTCACGGGCAGTGGATCAAAGCAGGAGCCACTGCCCGGAGCAGACGGGGCAAGTAGTATAACGCGGAAAGGGACCAAGGGGTATCTAAGTACCTTGGCCGTACTTCTTCTCGACGGCATCGAGACCTGCGCAGGAAGAGACTGGTCAATACCATGGCTCGGGACAAGGAGGGGATGGGGCGAATCTATTCACCCTTGTCAAGGTAGTCTTCCTGCTGCCCAGCTGCCTGTCCTTGTCCTTGGGTATTCATTTTGACTGTATCACAAAAGATTGTTTTCCCAGAAAGAGGTTCGATTGTTTGTAAAGGAGGACGAAGTTGATGTACAAATGGACTCTCAGAACTAGGTATAAGATTGGACACGAGGCACCGCTGGCGTATCTTTATACCTAGCTCAATCGAACCCTCTCCTTCACGACATTGGTTCGTTGCACATGCTACGAGTACCGGGTGCTCATTCCAAGATGGTATAAGGAAAGGATCTGACACTTAGGCGTGCTGCAAAATATCATATACATCATAGCGGGGCAGGTCTCCAGTCGATGGCCCTATGAGGTTGTCGTGCGTGCCACTTATGTGAGTTACCGGGCTATGCAGGGCATTTCATTGAGGACCAGCCCAGGGACTGAGCAGGACTTGGGCAAAAGACAAAACAAGATTGAGCAGGCTATGTGTTGAGTTGTTGGAGCAGAAGAAACTGAAGCCTGGCTTGGCTGTCGATAGTTGCCCCGCTGACGTCACTAGCTCCCAAAGAGGTATGGGCGAAGCTCATGCCAAGCCTCTCTAGCTTCACGTGACGGGCCTTGGCATTGTCGCGCCTTCTCGTCGCTGAAACATGTAAACAGCTTCACCATTGTTCGGCTGTTCAACCCTCCGGTTACCATCTCTCTCGTCCATTTCTTTCTTGAGTCACTGAGAGACATGAAATGTCTCAAATAACCACTGTGGCTGGTATCTTCTCCAAATTCGACGTCTTCAACGTGCCGCCACTGTCGAGCTGAAAGCAGCTCCTTGCATGCGCCGGCAGCCCCCAGCCTCATACTGCTTCCTCAAGCTCCTCCGGTGTCGCAGTTAAATTGCAACCGTTGGTGAGATGCAGCAAAGTCTGTGATGGTCCTCCTAGAAGCGGACACTCGCCGCTTCAGTCGAGGTTCTAGCCCGTCTCCCCAGATCAAGAACGAGGCGCCGAGATCTCAGCCCAAGCGTTAGCTCTGCGCAAACACCCCTTTCGCCCATGTTTGTCTCGCAGATCAATCTGAACGTCGTCTAAACACTTTTGCTCGGCATCTGCCAGCTTCCGAAAGATAGCTTAGGCACCCCTACCCCATGAACGGGATACAGAGCTCCCATATTAAGTACCCCCCCGAGGTGTTCCTCCTTGATACAACACCGTTGGAAAAGTTGAAACAAGTCTCTTCTATCACCCGGTGTCAAAATTTGTAGTGAGTTGAACGCTTGTGCTGACAGCATGACCTCCGTACGGGTTACCGAGATGGATGAGCGAGCAAGCGATGCTCGGATCTTCGCGCTTCCATCTTGGAAGATGTCTGCTATCCTAGAGAGTTTGTATATAACTTCCCTTCTTCCTTCGGCCAATGTGATACCAACCAGCAAATCCTACTAGCACTCGCTTTCCAGTCCTTAAGACTTTTGACAAGTCGTTCTTTTCTACAAGGCTTTTGATAAGTCTGCCTTTCATTCGATTCAACAAGCTTTTGACAAGCTCTGCTTTGCTTTTTGACGTGTGCTGGACACTCTCATTCATCCATTCTACAGTATATATCTTTGCCTCAGTTATACACATACAAAACCCCCTTTTCCCAAAATGAAAGCATTCACTCTTTCTGGTCTGAGCACCCTTCTCGCTGGCTTGACGTTGGCGCATCCAGTGACCAAACGTGGAAGCGGCTTCTCAGAGGTTGATATCACCATCTTGCAATTTGCTTTGACAGTAAGTAGCCACTTCGGCGACCTTCTCCACTCGAGACGGACGTCAGTAACCTGACCATTTCTGAACAGCTCGAGCATCTCGAAAACACCTTCTACAAAGAAGCTTTCAGCAGCTTCCAGCTGCAGGACTTCATCGATGCCGGATTTGACGAGGAATTTTTCATCAACCTTGAATTCATCGCCTCGGACGAATCTGCGCATGTGGAATTTCTCATTGCAGCCATAGAATCTGCTGGCGTTCAACCGGTCCAGCCTTGCCAATATAGCTTCCCTGTGACAGACGTTGCCAGCTTCGTCACCGTCAGCGCTATCTTGGAGTCTGTTGGAACCAGTGCTTATCTCGGTGCCGCACCGTTCATTGGATCACAAGACATCCTCGCCGTGGCTGCGAGTATTATGGCCACGGAAGCGTTGCATACCAGTTTCCAGAGGAGCTCGCTCGGCGCAGTTGCAGCAGCCAATGCATTTACCACGGTAAGTTAATCTGCTTTGCGCGCAGAACACCATTCTGGAAATCTCCTGTACTAACGGGTGGCTATTCAAGTCCCTCGATGCCAACTCGGTTTTCACCATTGCCTCGCAATTTATCGTCTCATGCCCTCCAGAGAACCCACCCTTGCCATTTACCGCGTTCCCTGGCTTGAAAGTCAACTCTCAATCCTGCTTTGATGAGACCGGTAGCAGTGAGAGTTTCTCCACTGATTCCGTCAACTATGCTACCATTGTCTCCGACATCGAAAGCGCCACGTATACTACCAGCGCGTATATCGCTGATGTGACAGACTCGACTACTTCAGAGGCCTATGACTACAGCTCGTCCACCACTGATGCCTATACCACTACCACTGACTCGACTACTACAGTGGCCTATGACTACAGCTCGTCCACCAGTGATGCTTATACCACTACCACTGACTCGACTACTTCAGAGGCTTATGATTACGCCTCGACCACGACCGTAGCTTACACCACTACCACCGACTCGGCTGCATATACTACATCGACCACCACCATGGATATGGCCTCAATGACCATGACCATGTCTATGTCTACATCGATGCCCGCTTATGGACGGCGAAGCACTGCCCTCTCGGCCCGCACAAACAGTGGCTCAGTTTCATCTTGCTCCGCTCCCGGTGCCGGCTCCTCTCTTCAACTCGTCCCCGACTTTTCTCAGTCCCACCGTGACTTCTCCGAAACGGAAGTCATCTTCGTGACGTTCATCGCAGGACTCGAGGTCGTGTCCATACAGGCCGTCTTTGAAGGAGACGGAAGTATCAACGTGAGCATCCCAGGAAGTGTTGGTGGTGGCCAAGTCTTCATCTTCATCACCGTTGTGGACATTTCGGGTCGAAGCTTGAGTGACAATGAGGTGCTCTTTGGGCCCGCCATTATGGAGAGTGAGTGCTGCCTACAAAGTTGAAGTTTTGGGGGATTCAATTACTAACGTCCGAACAGTCGCCCCATCTTTCCCTTCTCTCAGCCAGTAAACGTGCCTGAGACAGGAGCTGCGGGTGTCCTAGGGGAATCAGATACATGACGACCCTTCTGAGGACAGTCACTAGCGAGGAAAAAGAAGGGGAAAGGGCCTATTGGAGCATGTTGTTCCACGGCGGTGGAGGGTTCGGGTCCAGGACTGTCGCGATACCCATTTTTCATGTCTCTCCTTATACGACCATTTGTGTTTTCTAGGCCCTTTTTGCCTGATTTCTACGTATTCTAGCGGACTTGACGGAAAGGAAGAAAGGAGGGAAAGGGTTAGAAAGAAAAAGCGCAGTGTGTGTGTGCAGGTTCACTGTGCATCGCCCCCATTGAAACATCTGCTGATGGGAGTTAAAGACGAGCAAGGTGTAAAAAGATACCCCAGAGAAGTGGCAGATGTAACACAACGTGATATGATGAACTCAAACATCAAATAAAAAGAAGATATTTTGGAGACAGTATACAGAGAAAATGCGGACCGGGAGTCTTTTCGGAAGGACATTCCTCTAACACGCTTTCCCCCCACCCGCCTGACGCTTGCAGCATTATTCACACCCCATACACCTCCCAGATCGTGAAGTCGTCGGCGGATGGTTTTGTTTCCTGAAATATAGCTTGCCTTCCCGTTAAATTGAACACCGTCACCCGCACCATAATGTAACTCGTTTCGGCCTTCGCTCATATAGGAATCAACACATGAAGCCGCTCCGGTACTGGCAGACATACTCGTGGTAATACTCCCTTCTGGCGCGCAGGACGGGGTCTTCTTGGCCGTCGGCGCACAGACACGGGCTCAGACACGGATTGGCGACGCCGGTCTGCGGCGGCCGCCGGTCGGGGTGCCCGTTGTTGTTCCTCAGGCAGCCCGGGATCGCGGCGTCGTCGAGCCAGAACGTGCCGGCCGTCATGCGGGGCTCGACCTCGGAGGCTTGCACGACGTAGTTGTCCACCAGGACCTTGAGGCGCTGTTTCAGATCGTCGAGAGACGACGGCGACGACGACGGCGACGACGCCGTGGTGGGAGCAGCAGATGCTCGGGCTCCGGCTCCGGCGGCTAGGGTGGTGTCTAGGTGTTGTTCCAGCTCGTAGAACAGGCATGGAAACATGATGATCAGGTCGTCCAGGGCCAACAAGGAACCCTCGCGCAGCAGGTTGGTGCGGATCTCGGCCGCGGGGACGACCCCGTCGTCGCCGGTAAACACCAGCAGGTCCGGGTACATGGCAGAGCTGATGGCTTGGTTCATGGTGGTGAAGGCGACGGACAGAAATCCAATGGTCAGCGTATCGATTGTGTCGCCGTCACCGTGGTGGTGGTACCCTTGCGCGATCCGGCGGAGAAGCCTTGCATATTCCGAGCCTATGACCTTGAGCTCGAGGAAAGCGGCGCGGCGCTGGCCCGGGGGGAACCGCTTGATGATATTCACGTCGTTATTGGCGTCCGCCGACAGACCCATGAAGGTGGCAGCCATGAGCCGGACAATTTCGGACGACGACCGTGCAGCGTGTCCGCTTCCGCTTCCGCTCTGCTGCGTCGCTTCTCTGAGAATCTTCTCCCCGCTTTTGATGTGCTCCATGGCCGCGGGGAAATCCTCGTTGCACTGGGCCATTGAGGAGAACAGGCGGCAGACGATCAGCGCGACGTCCCACGAGGGGCGTTGGTTGGTGAATGCACGGACCGCCTGGGCCCTCCGCTCTAATACCAGGGCGGTGTGATCACGGCCCGAAAAATACGAGTCAAACGTCGCCGCCACGGCGACCATGCCATGATGGACCGACGGGTTGTTCCAAGCAGCTTGAGGCACAATGAATTGCCAGAAGTGATGCCACTTTCTGGTGGAAGAGAGAAGAGGCGCGGTTTCAAGGAGGAACAGCTGCGTATATCTCTGGTCCACATCCGTCGTCCAGGGACTCGAGGGTTCGACAAGAAATGCAAAGGGATCGGAAAAGCTCTGCGTGCTCTTGCTTGCTATCACGGGCGATGGAAGAGAGTCCCGGTGTGACGGCAATGATTGCCACGAAGGTGAATCTGGCTCCGATTGCTCGAGCTCGTCTTTGCGAGACGGCTCAAACAGCCACGTCTTTGGAGGTTCGTATCCCTCACAACGAAACTTGTCTTTCAAGCACCTTGGTCGAACGTTAGAATGACACCAAAGTCGAGGGCGAGGTCATTGTCACCTCGTACAATGCGGCTTTCCTTCATCGCAGCGTTTCCGCCGTATCCTGAACCTGTCATCGAGGGTGTGGGAGACTCGAGACGTCTACGCACTTACTTGCAAGTCTTACACCCGGTCCTGACTTTTGGAGCCCATCTCCTTTGCCGTGCTTGTGGAAGTGGTTGTGGCATTCTGTGAGTAATCCTATTCCGAGAGGTTCTCTTGGTTGTTGGTCACATGTCAGCATGCCTTGGGAGAATGTAAGGGCATCGGAGCGTAACCAAAGTCTCCTACTACTTGATAGATAGCGTCGCAGAACAGGATACAAAGGTGGTGGACAATAATAATAGAGATTCCGGGTGCCTGTATGGCAACAACAAAACTGCCAAACATAGAAAACATGACAATTCCTGTAAACAGTAAAAACAGTGCAAACAGTGCAAACCCCCTGAGCCCGGACTGCAGCCTCGTCAACCCCTCAACCTCAATCAACCCCGTTCATCAACCCCTCGTTCGGAGTCGGCACCAACTCCGAGGAACCGCTGTGAAAGATGTGGGGAAGCCAGGGGGACGTAATGCCCGTTGTGAGCAGTGAATCCTGCCAATTGAATATCTTGTATTTCGAACGCTCTTCCTCGCCGGAAGGTTTCAGTCACAAACTTCTCGCTGGCACTCAAAGCATCCTCATCAGGCGTTCGAGATCCCCTTGTACCTCATCGAGTCTGGCCTTTGTGTATTTCTGCCCAGGAACCATCACCTGTCAGGCGCCTTTGTCACTCGTAACCGCGCGGGATTGAGCTTTGAACAATAGCCGACCCTTCAACATGGACAAAACGGGTGGCTTCCAGGAACCCCGCTACCTCGAGTTCGTGCGCTCCTCGGAGCCCACCGGCGTCGATGGCAAACCCATGCTCAACCGCTACTCAACCCATCTAACTCGTCAGCATGACTTCCCAGGGGCACAGGCTATGCTCTTCGCCGCGGGAGTGCCAGACAGACACGCAATGCAGACGGCTCCCCATGTCGGCATTGCCAGTGTCTGGTGGGAAGGAAATCCCTGCAACATGCACCTTCTGGACATTGGCAAGGAGGTCAAGAAGGCTGTCCAAGCCCGCGGCATGCTGGGCTGGCAGTACAACACCATCGGCGTAAGTGATGCCATCACCATGGGAAATCAAGGTATGCGGTTCAGCTTGCAGACGCGTGAGATCATTGCGGATTCTGTCGAGACGGTGACGTGTGCCCAAGCGCATGACGCGAACATCACTATTCCCGGCTGCGACAAGAACATGCCGGGTTGTATCATGGGGATGACGAGGCACAATAGACCGAGTCTGATGATTTATGGTGGCACGATCGATAAGGGATACTCGGAGACGCTCCGTCGGCCGGTCAATATCGCCACCTGTTACGAAGCCTTTGGTGCGTATACTTTCAACACCCTACGTCAACCGGACGATGGGGGAGACACGTCCAAGACCAAAGACGAGATCATGGAAGATCTAGAAAGACATGCTTGTCCAGGAGCCGGAGCCTGTGGCGGCATGTACACTGCCAACACGATGGCCACAGCGATCGAGTCAATGGGATTGACATTACCTGGATCAAGCTCAACGCCAGCGAGCTCACCAGCCAAAATGCGCGAATGCGCCAAAGCCGCAGATGCCATCAAAGTTTGTTTGGAACAGGACATCACGCCGAAGAAACTCTTGACGCCCAAATCATTTGAGAACGCTCTCGTCATCACCATGGCCCTCGGAGGAAGTACCAATGCCGTCCTCCACTTACTCGCTATGGCTGTCACTGCAGGTGTGGAGCTCACACTGGACGATTTCCAACGCGTAAGCAATAAGATACCCTTCCTCGCAGATCTTGCACCATCAGGAAAGTTTTCCATGGCCGATCTGTACGAGATTGGGGGTGTGCCAAGTGTGCAGAAGCTCCTGATTGCGGCCGGTCTGCTTGACGGCTCCATTCTAACGGTAACTGGGAAGACCTTGGCTGAGAACGTCTCGAGCTGGCCCAGTTTGCCTAGTGATCAAGTCATCATCAAGAGCCTAGATAGCCCGATCAAGGAGAGCGGGCACATCCAGATTTTGAGGGGCAACTTTGCACCTGCAGGAGCGGTGGCCAAGATCACTGGCAAAGAAGGCCTTCGGTTTACAGGCAAGGCAATGTGCTTTGAGAAGGAGGTGGAACTGAACGAGGCGTTGAACAGAGGTGCCATCCCGCGTGGAGAGAACCTTGTGCTGATAGTAAGATATGAAGGACCTAAAGGTGGACCAGGAATGCCAGAGCAGCTCAAGGCGAGTGCAGCCATCATGGGAGCAGGACTCACCAACGTCGCTCTTGTAACGGACGGACGGTACTCGGGGGCATCACACGGATTTATCGTGGGTCATGTTTGCCCAGAGGCCGCCGTTGGTGGCCCAATCGCGTTAGTCAAGGACGGTGATGAAGTGACAATCGATGCTGAGTCGAACACTATCTCGATGAGTGTCAGTGATGAGGAGCTGGAAAGGCGCCGGAAGGAGTGGAAACCTCCGAGGCCGGCGGTAACAAGGGGGACTCTGGCAAAATATGCAGCACTGGTCAGTGATGCCAGTCATGGAGCGGTCACAGATCTCTTCTGAAAGGCACAGACTAGCAGGAGAGAAATCAGGCCGACAGCAACCAGGAGATCGAGGATACAAGAACTTTGCAAGTTTCTCTGGACCCATTCTGATAGAGAACAAAGACAATGTACCATGTCTGTACATGTGCTGCTCGATCGGGGTAGTGGTTGACAAATCAGAGGCGTCTCTATGTGGTTCATCGTAGGCCAGGAAAAGAATAGCCTAGAGATTAGGAGGAATACGAGAGTTCTTACCACCCACAAAAAAACAGTCGATGCGGTGGAATGGAATATCTTGAAGAGAGTAATGCACGTCGGGCTGTGCGTGATGATATATGTCCAGGGGTGATGGTGGAGGTTGGAACAAGTGAAGCTGAGATTGGCGCGTCTGCAGCTGCCTGCGCACGGCGGGCCGAGAGGTTGCAGCCTCGCTTCTTCGCCTTCCTCTTTCCTTTCTCCTCTTGCTCCACGTCTCTTTTCTCGGAACCGGCAGGCTTTTGTTGATCTTTGACTTTGACGCCATGTTGCTCACGGGTATCTATATTACCATCTCCTGACGATGGCCGAAGCAACAGAGACATCCGCAGCTCCTTGAGGCCGTGCTTCCTCGAGGCCATCCACTGGATTGTATGACCTCGATCTGCTCGTAAGAAGAAATCCGGAATTCAAGGCAGGAAACGAGGTTTCCTCGATCGTTCTGGCCAGTGTCCATGCGAGCATTTGGGTTCGGTACGTGATGGAGGTATGCTCGACAAGGTTACCTAGGTACCTTTGGTCGGTCAACCATAAGTCTTGTCCTTCCGCCCACTGACGGTTTGTGTTGATATCAACAAGTCGATAACGGTTTATGGATGAATGCGATGCCTGGTGGTGCTATAAGGTCATCACTGGTCAAATATCTGGAAGAAACACGTGAATCAGATCAACTCATCGCGATTGTGAGGCGTTCCGATGCTGATCAGTGAGGTACTTCGGACCATGGACGACTTTGATCCGGAAATGAGACTCGAGAAGATAGCGCTTCATTCGTCAAGAGGCCATCTGCTGACGACTGGAGGGATTTTGCTCGGTGAATTATGAAAGCGAATGTCATCAAATCTCTCAGGTAGGTGAGTTGACTCTCACCTTCACTTCACGTCGTCTTCAGCCTGGTCCAAACCGACCTTGGTTTGAAAATCTCAAAGCCCATCTCGTCTCGACTCGCCAAGAATATCCTGTCGATATTCGCACAAGTCAACCCCAATCCATCTCGATCGTCTTCTGCCATCGGTCTGCTGATAGCTGACAAAGGAATCACTCTCTTTAGCGATCTTGCACGAAGCCGCAAGCGGCGACAAAGCGCAATTCTCGAGCTCGAAAAGACTTGCTTAACAGCAGCCCAACTCTACCACATCCTCACGTTCGCTTTGTCGTCGTGTCCTGCCCGACTGAACACATTCGCCATGCTGTTCCGCGGATTCGGCTTCCTGGCCTGTGTGGCTATGGCTCCTGTGGCGCTGGCTGTCGACACTGACGTGGACCCGCACCTCGTCGCTCAGCTTCGCCTGGTCAACACCAACCTCGACCGCATGAATTTGCTCCCGAATGACTCGGACTGGTTGTTTGACTTCACCAAGCAGGACAAGTACACCTTCTCGCCTGGAGGAGTGGTCAATGCCAATGCTGCTACATTCCCGGCAACAGTTGGACATGGCATGACAATGGTAAGGGCCAGCCACATTCGTCTTTCACTGGAGCCTCACGTCTCTCTGCGAGTCCTGAACTGACTTTCAGTCGAAGGCTATGCTCAACCTAGGTCCCTGCTCCATGCTCCCACCACACATCCATCCGCGCGCCACCAACTTTGTCGTCGCCATCTCCGGGACCACTACGACGTACATGGTTGCCGAGAACGGCGCCCGCACCGTGGCCGAGACCCTGTCACCGGGCCAGATGACCATCTTCCCGCAGGCGTCGGTGCACACCATGATCAACATGGGCTGCGAGAATGCGCAGTTGATCTCGGCTCTGAACAGCGACGACAGCGGCACCACGAATCTGGCCAACGCCTTCTTCTCCTTCCCGCAGAACATCACGGGCACTATCATTGGCGGCGGGCTCAACGCGCAGGACATCCTGAGCCGCGTCCCCCCGGTCGGCACGGGCAGTAACGCCGGACCACAGGCGTGCTTGGAGGCGTGCGCCAGGAAGGGCAAGATGATCAAGCGGGAGTGGAAGCCACGGGGTACCTCAGTTGGATGAACACAGCGGGAGGGGGTTTAGCAGCTGCAAACGTCAACGAACTCCGACACATCCGTCCATCCAATCCATGCAAGCTGAGAACGAAGAGGACAGGGCAGGGTTTTGGGAAACAGCAACCGCGTTCTTGGAGACAAGGAAACCCGACCACCCCTGGTTGTTTGTTGCGAGTACCTAGGTATTCTAGACGCACAGATGCCACTCATTTCAAGTCGACTACATATGTAGATATGGCAGTGGAACATTCCGCACGGGTGTGCCAACTTGTTGCCGGAAATCGAAATGCACTTCTTCTTTAATGGCCCTTTCCGAATCTTCGTCGTCCAATGCTAGACTAACAATGGGCCAAATATTATCAATAAGATCGCCAAGTGTATAGACACAATTAATCCCCCCCCCCCTTTCCTTCTATCGAGACGACCACCCTGATGCAATGAAACATGATGGTCGATTCAATAAGGACACCACCACGGTGCTTTTAATTCCATGGGCTTCCCAGGATCACGGATCACCAGCAATGACCTGGGCGTGGTCCGATGTGCCTTTTCTTCTCTGCACCCACCCTTGTCAGACCAAAACCCCCCTGTCCCACGCCATTGCTGGTGATCCACCTTGAGGAAGTCTCTCTCTTTTGAGACTCGTCATGGTGAAGATACACCGTGTATTCCCAGATGGTTGAAACCAACGACAAACACACCAAGGCATGCGACTTTCACCTCGACCAGGCGGGCATATTTTCGCGTCTGCCTTCTGGTATTCTTGGCTCGGGAGGCTCAATGTTCTTGATGGCTGTAGGGTGGAGGAGGTTGGTTAGCGTTCAGAACTTGTCGCACAGGAATAGGAGGGCGATGGGCACATCTATATCTTACCTGTCACGACCCTCTTGACAAGTGAAGGTTTCTTCTCCTGTCGGGCTCGTTCCTTGTCACTCATGAGAGATGATGTCGAGATCGAGGCAGCGTCGAAGGAGACGTTGGGCTTGGAATCTGAAGACATCTCGAAGGGTCTGGATGTAATGGAATCTTTCAGTAAGCAAGCTACGGTGTCCTTGATGTAGACGTTTCTTGGACACAGGTGAGTTGAAGTAAGCTTTCGAATGTACCTGATGCGTGCAAGGGGGAAAGAAAGCAGAGGGCCTCAAGACTCAGGCAAAAGGCTTTGGTCCCCTTTATAGCCCGATCATGAGGCGGGCGTAGCGGCCGAGGAATTGGCAAGAAGCTCGTCAGTCGATGGTGGCCTGGCCTCGCTCGAGCAATGGGCAATGTCCAGGCAACTTCCATATCGCATTGACTGAGGGAGTGTAAGGCCCATTCCTGTGATAGGTCCGCTCCTCTGAGTCTGACTAGAATGGTGGCGCCGCAAGAGGTAAGGATTCGAGGAAGGCCTGCTGTGGATATCCAAGGTGGATATTATTACTGTAGAGAAGCGGATCCTGTATTGATCTGACTCATGAGGAATTCTCCGTCAGCCTCACAACTCTGTTCTTGGTAGCTCGCGCGCCTCCTCTTGACTCCCACCTCTTCTAAAGCTCACTCTGTACCCCATCGCAGCCGAAGAGGAAGGTGACAACAGGGTTCGTGTTCGCAGGAAGCCGGTCAGCGGCCTGATGTGGGAATCTGGTGCTTTGTAAAGAGAAGAGGAAAACTGCCAAACTGGAGAAAACTCACCAATGTACGCCATGGCCAATCACAGTTGGAGAGACGGACGTATTCGCAATGCGGGTTGATTTGGGCTCTGCGCCATTTCTGCCTGAGTCACAAGTCATAAAGTCACCGCATCATTCAAGTTCACATCATGCGCAGCGTCCAGACCCTTTCCGCGCGGGAGGTTCGAGTTTCCAAGTATGGAAATTGGAAAGGATACTCGGTACAAAGGTGAAGAAAAGAAAAGGGTCTTCGCCTAGCGACCGCCAGACACCACCATTGGAACGTTTTCAAGGCTGGCTTTAGGCATACACGATACTCGTCAATCCACTTCCAGCTCCATGCCTGCAATTGAGCCAATGTCCTCTTTGATGGTCCATCAATCCAGGCACCACTCTATCAACGTGCCTGATCGTGTGGAGCTCTTCTGCCACGAACAGATATGTAATTTCCATAACCCCAATTCAAGCTTGAAGCTTAAGACTTAGGTTCGTGTGGTTGGCCGAAGCTTTGTCCCTTCTCCCTGCAATGACCGTGTGTGCTCTAGACCGCCAGTGCACTGAGTCACGACTCGACGCGCATACTGGGATGCTGTGCCGTCTGCACGTCTCGAAGATCCTATTTCTGCCGGTCAACCACTCGCTCGAATTGTCAAGACTAATATTCCGAAGGACAGGAACAGCCCCATGGTTCCACATGGTGGTACCTCCGGACTCTGCCTGCTCGACGCTTCATTGAGCAAGTCCACCGGAGTGTCTTCCAAGCTGCGCTCTCGATATCTTTCGACAAGTGACACGCAAGCTGCTAGAAATGACCTGCTCTCCATGTCAAACAGGTAATACACTGGCTGTCAATGATGTTCTGGCTGCGTTATGGCCACTGAGACAGACTGCGGGCGTCTGTCTAGAATGCCAAACGAACGCTATACAAGAATAGTGATGAGTGTCTTTCCTACCACATACGCTCCAACGAACCTCGAGCGACAGCAAACGTGCCCATATTGCAAACGCTCTCGAAAACAGAGCTGCTCTGCTCAGCGTGCTTTATAAACGAGGTGGGAGTGATTCGCCGTGATGACATTCGCATCAACGTTGTCAAGAAACTCAGGACTAACAAGTAGCAATGATGAGGAGACTAGTCTATGCGCCAAACCGTCACCCTTCTCGCCGTCACAGACCTGCCCAACCACATATTCGGCGACGCCGTCGGCCTTCACCTCAACTCGGTCAACCATCAACGGAGCCGCGCAGACAGACTCAGCTACAACCGATCCACGAAGAAACTATCCAAGGAGCCTATGACTGGACTATCATCGTGGTCCTCTTTTTGGTCGTATGCATGGCTATCTTTGTTACCATCTATACTGTCGCAGTCTTGGGCCGATGTTCAAATTTCTGGCTCTGGGGAAAGGATTTGTTCATGTGATTGCCCGTCATCGAACTCCGCGTCATAGCAAAAGCTGGAATGGGTGGAATTTGGACTTTGGTCTCTTTATGCGAGTCGGGGAAACATTGAGGTGTTTGGAACAGAGGTGATGGTGGCGTGGCTGTCATGCTATGTGAGTTGAGCTGACTGGGATGGTCACGATCAGACTGGTCGTCGGCATCACGTTCGTTTGTATCTTGTCTCTTGGCCGGTCTCATCTCGCTCCTTATCTATGTCCAAGCTTCTTGTGTCTGGCACTTTCTTTTGCTTCTTCCACATCCACCATCCCCATATCTAACTACAAGAATGCGGCCAAAATGACCAAAAGGCCCATGCACAGACCCAACGCGAGGCAGACTCAAGACACAGCCGTTGAGCTTGTTGACTCCACAACTTATATGGGGTTTATCAAACCTCGAAGTTGCCCGTATGCGGACACCGTCGCAGCTGCATCGCAGACACACAGTCCCGCTCATACCAGATCTCATCTCCATACGAACAGCTCACGGGGAAAGAGGGACGACAGAGTCCAATTCGCCGGCAATGCTGCTGCTGCTGCTGCTGTCGAGGACGAGGACAAGCGCTTCCGTGCGTACCACTACACTAACGGCGCCTACCCTGACCACTCTTTCCAGGTCGAATACTCGGATGATCCGCGCTATCCCGCCGGCGAGTACCCCGACGGCGCGTACCCGACCGATACATATCTGGTGGGAGGCGTGGATTCAGGTTCCGAGCTGGTTGACGGCGACGAGTACGAGGACGAAGACGAAGACGAAGGCTACGACAAAGACGAAGATGAGGACGAGGGCTACTACGACATGGACCTGGATCTGGATCCGCGCGTGGAGGAGCTGCACGATGGTGATAAAAACAGTGCCCACGGGGACTGCGACTGCGACTGGGACGGCAACGCGGACGAGTCTGTGGATCGAGAGGATCCAGTTCCAGATACACGCGCGAGAGAGCCGATCAAGGCTGAGGCTGGGGGCGAGATCAAGGACATGGAGCCAGAGACAAGAAAGCTGCAGCTGCGCCTCCTCCAGTGATGGCGACGATGACCGTCTCCGAGGCTACACCCCAGCGCGAGACAGCACCAGGAGAGACCACCTGCACTCTCGCCTAGCACTACCACACCAACGACGCTCATAAGGATCAGGGCGCCAAATCACGCAGTCGTGCCACTCTGCGCAGCAGGCGCGTGCGTCGGGCTGACTATGTACGCGTGGGACTACAGGTGGTCTCTGAACCGACCTAGAACGTAGGCGTCCAAGCATGTATGTAGCCTGTAGGACTGTTCATTCATGAAGACCGAGCGAGGTACATTGATTCATCTGCAAGTGAGTCCCCATCTCGAGACAGTCCTGCAGGTGGTACATAATTAGATTGTGTTGAGGTACTCGGCAGCGCGGATTGATCGCCCTGCATTCCTTCCACCTACTAGTCCTGCATGCAGTGGTCTCCATCTTTCTGCTGGAAGAGACCCATTTGGTCTACATCCAAACAATCGTTATAGGCCTGCTGTTTACTGCCTTGATTTCTTGGGAGCCGATTTTTCCCCCTACACATTTCAGATTACCAGCACAAGTCACCATCTCCGGGCAACATCACAGGTTGCTGCAACCTGGCTCTGAACAACGGCGGCCGTTCGCGGTCACAGGAGGTCCACGGGCTCAGTCGGATTATATCAACGCTCACTTAGGCCCTTGGTGCCCCTGTGCAAACCACCTGTAGTAGCTGGACCGTTCACGCGGTCTCCGCCGAATATCTGGCCTGGACGACACACGGAAAATACAGGCATCGACCGAAGCAGATCCAGCTATCGGCCTTGCCTTCGGATGGTGACAGCCTTCTGTGGGTCGATCTCTTCAAGCGAGGCAGGTTCAGGGTTGCCTGTTGAGCTCTCTGGGCGGGATCTCGCTTATACCCCATCTAGCCCGGTTGCGTTCTAGGTCGGCTTGGAAATGAGCTGCTTCGAGGCATGCTGGGATCTCGCTCAAGGCGGAGAGATACCTTCCGGAGGTCGTCCGGTAGATCTGTATCTGGATCATCTCATAAATAGACCTTCTGTGTTCGTTGTTCATTTTCGGTGCAACGCGTTCTTTCGCAGTTCTTCAAGGCCCTTTCCCACTCCCGCCACTCACAAAGCGCCTTGCAACCCACGCACTCCCATGTTCGAGATACTCCTCCCTCGTCACACCATATTCCCTGACAGTCCTGGGAAATCCACTCGCCAACCTCGCGCCACCAAGCCAAGTCGATGTGACGGGATCCGCCATCTTGCGGACCCGAACCATCCAATCACTCTTCACCCTCATGCGTAGCTCAGCTTCGACTCTCTCCACAAAGCCGGGAATTTGCGCATTCCCGCCAACTAACAGAACGTTGCTGAGCATGGTGGCCTGCAAAAGCGGCGGGAGGACACTGAGTGACTGCATCACAATATCGGGCAACCCAGGCTGTTTCGAGCCTATGTCGCCCGGTGAGAAGATGATTTCTGGGATGGAGAAGCGTTCATTTCCCAATGTCATTGAGATTTCTGCATCTGGTTCCGAGGAAAGGCCGGCCTGTTTGCGCTTGCGCGCAGCGGCGGGAGTGGGATCGTGAGGACGGCTAAATCCTCGAAGAAGGCGGATGCCATCAGGGAGGATGTAATCTACTCGAATTTCCTCATCTTCCGAAGTGACTACTTGTTCGGTGTCGATAGTACTGTCCGAATCCTTGGGTTTTGAGGACACCGATTTCTGCCTCGTTTTGTTTCCCTTCCAAGTCTTCTCCAGGTCCCTTCGGAAAGCATTGCTGACGAAACAGACGTCCTCCTTGATGTCATTGACGATCTTGGTGTCTTGATGCAAGTCGAAGTGGCGAACGGAGATGACTTCTTTCAACAGATTCGTGAGATGCTTGCCCCCAAAATCAAGTCGACGGACAGCTCGGTGCAGAGGCCGGCCGTTGAAAAGCGGGGTGATGGTGGTATGGCTGTAGCCGCTGTCGATCACAAGAACGCATTCCATCGGCAGATCTGCCATGGGATCGCTGCTTGACTTTGTGTAGGATGTGCCCTCGAAGAGTGGATGGAGATCGTTGTAGGCATTAAGTGACGGCCCTGCTCTGAGCATCAGTATAGCCATCCGTGGCACAAGACGTCTCTGGCTCAGCCATACCTACCAATAACCCTAGAATAGCCTCCAAAACCCCATTCTTCCATAATGATCTCGTCTGCATTCTTCTGGAAAGCAGGCATAGTATTAGGTGGTTCGGTGAAGATCAGGGTGGTCTCCTCGGGACTCTTCACCAGCAGGTCCTTCTTAGCAATCCGTTCATCGAAGAAAGATTGGTCCCATATCTCTTTCTGCGCCTCCCAGCTCACGACTTGGCCGTTCTCGACCGGTCGGCGAAACAAGGCCTCGCTCCATTGTGTGATTTCCTCAGACTGCGAACCGACGTAGACTTTTCTGTCACGGCTGCGGACGATGGAGTTTGGGATGATATGACATCTCGACAAGGCTTCCGTGTCCAACACGGGATCGGAAGGTGCGAAGCCAGCCTTGATGGTGTAGCCGCCGTTGTCGAGGACGAAGGTCGTCGAGGGTAGACCGGGGGTGTTGCGCGTGGATTTTGGTGCGCGGGGCATGTCGATATTATGCAGCCCACATCATTTCTCTGGGGAGAAGCGTGGTCTACTTTGAGAAAAAGCCTCGAAGTTAGAAGGACTGTGGCTTGGACAAGCTCTTCGTGCATGTAAAGGCGAGCATTTGTCGTGCTTTGAAGCACCAGTTGGTTTCTTGGGAACCGCCAAAAATTGTTCAAATGTCGTCCACGTCCCTCGGCGCCTCGACGCGCCACCAGCGAACCAGGTACGTCACTCGCCGCTTTACTACAACAAGGTGCTCGGCACACTTTCTGCTCCCTAGTTGCCCTTGAAACTCCCATTCTTCTTCATTCTAGCATTTTATGACAACTCTGTGGTGGCAGTGCGCTTAGACTACGCAGCGAGATTCTACCCAATGTCAAATGGTTCTTCTATCAAGAAATTGCTGAAGTTCGTGGTGAGTGATGATATCACATATGACGATACAAGCCCCTATCCGGTTTTCTTCACAAATCATGCAGCGCCGTTCACGGCGAGAGAAGATGGTCTGGGACGATCCTGCGTCAAGATCAAGCTCTGAAGCGATCCCGACGCCATTGACTTCGTCATAGGCTCTTTGAGACATTTGTGCGACAATGGTACCTTGTGCTTAGACGCGACGAGCAAGGCTGAGAAAAAGGGGGATTGGATAGCACCGAGGCTCTTGTATGCGGTTTTATCGCTATTCTTCTCGTCCTGTATACAGAGCTAATAGCCATGTATGTCTCAGAGGCTCACATGTCATTCATACTGCTCTGGATCGTAACAAACAAAGCTGCAGTATATGGCGTCTATTAGCTCGAAGGAGATCCATATTTCTATGTACATGCTCTTCCTGCAAATCTATACTGGCTCCTAGGCAGCAAGGACTGTCGAGTTACTAGAAACTGGTCCGTGTGACTTCACTAGCTTGGGATTCGTTGACTTCAGGCTTCAATTGATCCGTGATGTTCTTCTCGTCTTTCCAGGCAAGAGCGACAAATTTGGTGTGGCTCCCTCGAGCCACGATCTCGTTGTTTTTGTTCATGAATTTGACCGACGTGTATGCAAGTGTTTTGCCGACTGCATGAGATCAGTCCATAGTTCACGTGGTGAGAGGAGAAAGAACTCTTATCTCACACTTATCACAGATGACTTCGCCTTTGACCAAATCACCAATCTTTCCGCCGGCGTTGAGGTAGGTTACGCTGAGGTCTGTCGAAACTCCTGTCGAATATAGACCACGAGATGCCAGAGCGAGCGAACCACTGGTATCAACCATGGTGGCAAGTGTAGCGCCGTGCAATATACCTAACCGGTTCGTATGCTGCTTCTCGATAGGAAGCTCAAAGTTGACTTTGCCAGGTTCCGCTGCTGTTATCCGCATCTGAATGGGGAACGTAAGCCAATGACCAGGCGACAGCTGAGATGAGCCCTTCAAAGAGAAGGATGCTCTCGGTGCACATCTGCGATCCAGGATGATACTTACGCCGTCTATCAACCTGTTGTTTGGCCAGCTTAATGTGAGTTGCTTTGGATATTCATGACGGGTATTACCGTGGCTCAACCCCCGAAGTTGCTCTAAAGGATTCCCACACCTACAAGGCCTCAGCTCAAAGTCACCCCAAGCTTGCGGATTCCTGGAAACTCACCAGGCGGACGAACTTTAGTGCCGACATTGTGTCGTTACCAAGCTTCTGAGACCACCACTCGTAGAGCCAATCGAGGAATAGACCCCACAGGAAGTCCGGGGCTCTAAGAGTTAGAAGCGTCGTCTGACTGTTTATCGACAGAAGCCAGATTTCAATGGAGCAAGATATCAAACAAGGTGTTGTTGGCCGAGACCCAATGAGGTCAAAATGAGGTGTTGGAAATTGCACTTAGCCCGATTATTGCTTCACCGTGATTATTACGCGTTCCTGACACAAATGATCCACCGTATTGGCGTTCTCGCTGGGTTCCTCTTTTCCTCCTCTTCTTCTTCTTCTTCCTCACCTTTCTTCGCATTGAACTCCCCGATTGCCGTTGTGACACTTTCAGTGAAGGTGACGGTATAAAAACCTCAAGAGTTCATCTCCTTGCGCTTCCTCTTCCAGCCAAGCTCATTTGCAAACTGCGAATACGAGTCGTGGTTAGCGCAGATGGTGAAACCCACAAGTTAGGGCGTGATGACAGCCAGTAAGAGCATGAATTCGAACCCTTTTCTCCATTGACTATTCCCTGTTTGCCCAAAGACCAACGAACACTCGGTAGAGTCAAGTCTAATCCCTGCGTTCCTTGCTAAACTCCGGCAACTCCATGACGGTTCCTTCCCTTGAGCCCCGCGTCAGGCAGGCAGCCTCGGCAGCTTCTTCGCCCAACGAACAATCAACACTTCATCAATCGGTCTACTCGGGCCAATTGTTATTCCATTCGATACACATAGTACTGTGGCCCTTATCAAGATAACATCGTACACAGCGCCATATTGTTCATCAGCAAACCTCCAATGGCCAGGACAACCAAAATCAGCCAGGCGCCAGTGTCTACGTCTGCCGGGGACGATGCCAACGTTCGCAAGCGGAGGGCTCACAAAAAGTCTAGGCTAGGCTGTCGCAATTGCAAAATACGCCGGGTGAAATGCAACGAAGTTCGACCAATGTGCGGGAAGTGTCTGGAGTACGGCGTGCTATGCAACTACGATCCTAGTATACCTGATCTTCAACCCCGAACCGTTGCTTCCGAGCTTGGCTGTTTGCACTCGAGGATGGAAAAGTCCCCTCTGGGAACCACTAAGCCTGTCTTAGATATGGTCAATGTCTCGTTGAACAGAAACACTGATGGACCAGAGTTGTGCCGCATCGACAAATCTGACCTGGCGCGACTTGACAGATTCCAGTCTAGAACAGTTCTGACCATTGGCACTAAGAAAGTTGCTCGGGTTTTCCAGCATGAAACCATCTCGATTGCCTGTTCGCAACCCTTCCTCATGCACCTCGCCCAGGCAGTGACGGCATCCCACGATCGTTACTTGTGCGGAAGGGCCACCTCGAGACCTAGCACAGCCGAAGCCTACCACCTGAACAAAGCTTTGGTCGCCTTTCAGAGCATTCTTTCTCGCCCCATTAAACAAGGAGAAGGGGATGCGTTGATCGTCGCCTCTTCTCTCTTGGGGGTTGTGAGTTTCTTCAACCTTGAGGCATCGTCTGTCGAAGACGTTTGGCCGTTGCAGGACACTGACATGGCATGGCTCAATTTAAGCGAGGGCAAACATGCCATCTGGCGACTGGCAACCCCGTTGAAAGGCGACAGCCTTTGGCGAAAGGTTGCCTACCTCTTCGATTGCGAGAAGTTGCCTGAAGATCAATTTCCAGAACACACTCCTTCGATCTTCGATCATCTCTGTGCTGAAGACCCCTCGTCACCATCAGCACGGTCCAACCCTTATTACAAGACTGCACAACAACTTCTACCCTTACTCGACCTTGAATGCAACGACGCCACCTGGTTGATGTTTCTTGGGTTTGTCAGCCAAATGGATCCTCGCTATAAGTCCCTACTTGCGCAGAAAGATCCTTGGGCGCTGCTGATGCTTTTGTATTGGTATATGAAGGTTTGCCGGAGTGCTTGGTGGGTGTCGTCTCGATCTATTCTCCAAGGGCACGCAATCTGCCTGTATCTCACACGATATCATTCCCATGATAGGACCATAGTCGCAGCTTTGGAGAAGCCGAGTATGGCATTCGAGACTGCACGACTGGAAGGGTTCGGAGGAATATCTTCTGCAGTAAGCAGTCCGGGGTGGTCTTAGCATGAGAGATGCCGCTACAAGCGCACAAGCTGGTGCCATATTCAGGCCTCGCCGAGTGTCTCAATCATTTCACTAGTGATTAACTCAGTATAGTTGTGCTCGGGAGCCTTTCCATCGTCTCGCTTGTAGCTTGTTCCAGCCTCGCCAGGAAATTAGCCAAAGCAGCGAGGTATTTGTCCCAAAGAAGACATATTTCTTGGCACTTTTGACTCAATTTGCACCTGGTTAATGCCTGAGATGCTGCTCTATCAACTGTTACTTCTGGAACTCATCACTCTCGACTCGCAGTATGTGCATCGACGGAATGAGATGATGGATTAGGTGACCGTGGTCACGAAGACCTCGACAATTGCAACTTCCTCCTCTTCGATTCGTCCTTGGTCACCATGGCGGACGCAACACTACAGTCATGGGAGTACCTCGAGACGCTCCCGGGTACCCAGTTCTATCGCCTCTACAGAAGTCCATCCTCTGCGTTGGCGATATTCAGGAAACGGCTGTCAGCACTGGCAAAATCCTTTGTCTTGATGCTGTTGTACATGCCCCGGCCTCTGCCAGTGAAACAACTGGAACAGTTTGTCAAGGACACCAGTAGAGGCGAACGCGAGTACGCCTTGGATCTACTTCACCGCTACCACATATTTCGCGATGTCACCCTCAACTCGACCAAGGCATATGCGTTGACTCCGGACTTCGCCCGATCTCTCCGTCGCGCTTTGACGGGGGCAGGTGACAGCCGGTCCTTTGGACAGGTCGCGCGGGTCCCGGCCAGCGACAAGGCCACGATATCCCAACTGGATGAGTATTCCCGCCAACGATGGGAAGGTATATTAGGCTACATGGTCGGCTCATCGTCCATACCACTTGAAACGGCCAACGAGCAGCCAGCCATCGAACCGGCTCCAGGAGTCATTGAGCTTCTCAAGGCGGGTCATCTCATCGAGGTTAGCGGGGCGTACAATCATGGCCAAAGAGCCAGGATCACGAAGGAAGGCTTTGCGTTTGTCCTGCAAGACATCAACACCCAAGTATGGGCCTTGCTATTCCTCTACGTGGACAACGCCGAGGTCTTTGACATGGACAAAGTCGACGTCCTGTCCTTCCTGTTCCTTGTCTCATCCCTAGAGCTGGGGCTCGCGTATTCGACCTCTACTCTGGACGAAACCCAACGGCGCTGCCTCTCGGACCTCGTCTCTCTCGGGCTTGTCTACCAACCTCTATCCGACGACGGCATCAATCCTGCCAATTACTTCTACCCGACACGGCTAGCCACGACGTTGACATCCGACTCGGCCTCCGCGCTCTCGACGACCAACCTCACCATTGGCACCTCCCTCTCCCAGAAATATTCCTCCTCGTCAGGCACAACCACGCCTTCCGGCACCGTGACACAAAAGGGCTTCATAATAGTTGAGACCAACTACCGCGTCTACGCCTACACTTCCTCCCCCTTACAGATCGCCCTCTTATCACTCTTCGTAAACCTTCGTTCCCGCCATCCGAATCTCGTCACGGGGAAAATGAGCAAATCCTCGGTCCAACGAGCCGTCCAGGCCGGCATCACCGCCGACCAGATCATTTCGTATCTGACGACTCATGCGCACCCGCAGATGAGGAGGCACGCGCAGGCCGAACAAGCCGCCTTGCTAGCACGGGGCACTGCCACCGAGGCGCAGGCGCAGAAGACAGTCCCGATCCTTCCCGCGACGATATTAGACCAAATTCACCTCTGGCAGCTGGAAAGAGACCGCATGACGACCACGCCGGGGTTTCTGTTCCGGGATTTCTCCACGCGGGCCGAGTACGAGGCCAACTGTCGGTACGCGGACGAGACGGGCGTCCTGGTGTGGAAGGACGATGCGAAGCGGTTGTTCTTTGTGACCCGGTTGGAGGGCGTCAGGGCGTTTATGGCCGAGAGGAGAGCGAATTTCGGTTCTGGCGGTGCAGCACAGGGCTGAGGGTAGAAATGCGATAGAAATGAGGCTCTGGCTGAAACCGGGCGGGATATACCATTGCGAGGCTGGGATGGGGCAAAAGGGGAAGGGAAAGGGAAACATCATCTCCGAGTTTTATAGGGCACGGCGGTGGTGCTTGCCGAGTCCCCTGGATGAGCGTGGTGTCAACCACGGACACTGGACGAAGGGGAGAGCTTGGAAACAGTCGACGTGCTCCTCTTGATTGTAATCAATGAGAGACACCAGATCTGCCTTGCCGGCCTGCTCAGCTGGCTTTCATTTCCTCTTGACACTCCATGGCCCATCCAACCATCCATCTGAGCAGAGTAACATCACTCACTTTGTCTTTCTTCACCTCCTCCACCCCATCCATAAACAACATACACATCCCTATCACGGCTCACCCGTCCGCCCCAAGCCACAGCACAGCGCAAGGAGGAACAGGACAGGACAGGACAGGGCGCCGCGGGCCCGCCCATCCATACGACGCCGTACCTTTGAATCCCCAGCAAGCCACGGCATCATGTATCGAGGACTCGGTACGTTGCCCAATCCGCCTCTTAACCGTTCCTCTCGTTCCAGCTCCCAGGCCCGGCCTTGTCTATCGCACGACTGAGCCGGAGGCGCTTAGTTCCGAGGTCGTTTCAAAAGAAGGCAGACTCGGCTGTGTGTATGCCACGAGAAAGGGGTTGTCAGGTTGAAGCGAAGGCGGATGAGTGTGTGTGTGTCTCTCTCTTTCTCTCCGCGTGGATGTGGCCATGTGCCTCAAGTGGAGGATCTCTCTCTTTACATGTAACAGACAGTCCAATCAATCTCCTCGTCCTAGGACGCATCGATGCAGTGGTGCTGGCTTCCTGGGACAATAGAACATATGTACCTATCTATCCATCAGACATCTGGATAGAACCTACCCACCCTCCTCAGTGCCTGAACAAAGCGACGGAGCACACGAGATCCATCCACGCGCGCGGTGTTTTCGGCTCTGGTCAAGGAGGCCTTTCAGACTGTCCCCCGCCCGCATCTCTGGACATAGAACCCAATGTGAAGCAGAAGCTTTCACACTAAAGCTAATTCTCAAGCTGAAGGTGAAGGTGAAGGTGAAGGTGAAGGTGAAGGTGAAGGTGAAGGTGAAGGTGAAGATGAAGATTGAGCTCGAGTTCGACATCTGGGAAAGGTTCTTGAGTTACACCTGTCTCGGTTTTTTTGTAGGTCGCACGAGCTGCGATACACCGAAGACTGCGACGGGCACGCGCCGCTGATGGGGAGGGGGAGCTGGAGCTGGAGCTGGAGCTGTGGTTATTTGTCGGATGCGAGCGTTAACAAGATCAACGAGCACAATGTATTAAGGAAAGGGTTCCCTTGCTGTCCAGTCGTTCTCCTTGTGACCGCGCGGAGAATTGAGAGATGAAGCGTCAGGACACGGATCCGAATCGGACGGTAGTTTGTTGGGACAAATACATCCTTTGTCTCTGGGCGGCGCATGTTAAGAGGATTGTCGGTTTCTGTATCAAGAATCGTGCTTGAAGGGGGCGGTTTATCAAAACTGCTGCAGGAATTAACGCGGTCTCTCTTCATATCGATGGCGAACACGACGTAGGCAAGTCAAAGGTTCGCGATCCTGCCCAGTAGGTTAATAACGTCAACAAGGTTGAGTTGGAAGACCGTCCTAAAGGCTTCGTCTTCCTCAGATTCGCCGTCGACGTCCACGCATCAACGAGAGGAGTCCTCATGTTTGGTGAAAGAGCCAGGAAAGATTGCTGAATCGGAAAACATCTGCGTACAGTACCCTTTTGGTATTGTCCAGGAAGCAAAAGCACAGTCAAGGTCCTGCATTGCTCGAGTAGAAGCTGAGAACCGCCGTCAACCACATCAGCTCGTCTCTTTCCAGCCTAGGCGCTTAACTCGGACCTTTCCGTTTGCACGCAGCACCACCGGTTCGGCAGGACTTCTCAGGTCGACGCGACGGTTAGAGGTCCCTGAATACGCAGCGTACACGCTACGCACGAAAGCCTGGCATCCGTCAATCCCCCATCATGACCCGAAACACTCCATCTTGCCAGAAAAATCCAAGAATCTTGCTGCTTTGCAAGATTCGGGCTTCAGCCAGAGCACGCAATCTCCATCCATCTCGAATCAAAGAAGGATCGGGCTTCAGAAGGTCGCCGATGGGATGGGGTCCTGCCCTTTAAGTACTTGGAACGGGACAGGGTTGGATAAGCCCAAGAAAGCCAGGGAGAGCACCCAGTGGCAGATCTGGGCAGTTGGAAATCGAAGCCGAACGATCCACCTGCCCTTTCCAGGCTGTAGAGATGCCAGAGTAGGTATAGGCGACGAGGAACGGAGCACCACCACGGCCATATGCCTCGCTCTCCGGCCGCGGACGAGTATGCAAGAGATCCCCTGCCTGCCTTGGTCAAGGACTCAGGAGATATAATTAAGACGGGGGTAAGTGGGGGTGGAGCGTAAGCGCTTAGGCCACGTGGTGGGATACGAGGGTGTTTCAAGATCGATCTTGCGATATCCGGGCCTGCAAGATGCGGTTGGTATTGGCCCCCGAACGGTACGGTATCGTGTTAACAATCGTAGAAGAAGGGAGGTTAAAGCTTCATAAGAGGAAATCTCAAGTCGGATGCCAAGAAATTGTGCCTTGTGGTTGCAGTTACTGCTTTTCCCAATGTTGTCTGGCACATTGGTATCTTCGAGAGTTGGCATCAGGGCAGGTTCTTGCTTGCCCAAATGCTTGGAAGGCTGCCGCGAGGTATACCGTAGACAGAGTGGACCAGTAGCTGAAGGTCGGCGACAATGCTTCTGAACCCTCTGTCAGCCACCCACAGCCTCCATTCGTTCCCTTGACCCCTTGCATATAGTACATCCGCCAACGTTCTGTATTTTATCTTTCAGTAAACGCGCATTCGTGACCTTTGGTCCCACCGTTCTCGAAAACCTGGTTTCCTCGGCTTCGCCATCATCCGGACGAAGAGCTCCATTCTGGGGTAATAACACCTCGTCGCCTTCCGCATCGGGGCCATGTAGCAGATGTGAGACGTGATAGACGTGCCCGCAAGCGAACCCGACCAGAGTTTCGCTTTCATTTTCATGGAACGCCTTGTGACAGGACGCACAATGTCCTGGCTTAATTGCCTCTTCGGCTTCGGTTTGTTGTTCCTCCGCCGGTTGGTCCTTGGAACCATCAAGGTCCTGCGCGAGTGGCCGCTGGTGTTTCCCTGTTGTCGCGACAATGTCGAACTTGATGCCTTTTCTCCGACCTCTTCTCAGAGTCTCCATCCCGACGGCGACTTCGCTACTGAGCACTCTCGCAACCCCAGCGCTGATGCTGTCTTGCAGATCATACTCCCGAATCATCTTCTTCAGTCCATCCTTTAAGCCTTCCACTTCCAGCCCGGAAGGTATTCTTTTCACCAAGGTAATAGGGTCAATCGCAGTTCCGACCTCTGCCAGGAGACCTGAAATGAATCTTGGTCTCGACATGCTGTATTCGAGGAAGTCGTCCCAGAGACTCTGGTCAGCTTGCTCCTTGGCAAAGGCGATGGCCTTTGAGACATCCTTCAATTCGTCAATGATTAAAAACAGCGCTTTCTTGGTTTGTCCGGTTTTGCTCAAGAAATAGACGAGTTCTTCAACGTAATGCTTCCTCTCACATATTTTGACAGCGTTTTCGAAAGCGTAAGCCGTGGATGCTTGCAGGAATTCCATAAGCAGATCTCGATCGAATTCGGCAAACAATTCGACAGCAATGTCCGCGAAGTGCTCGACATGTTGTTTGCCGGTGTCGGCTGCAAGCGACGTGGTAATAGCTGAATGTCCAACACGGGGTAACGCGGGCGCTTCCTGGGTCCCCTCGCCGCGCCACAGATTGCGAAGATAGAAATAGAGAAAAGGCTTCAGTGTCGGCCTATCAAGCTGCGCAACAACTTCGTCGGGTTCAACGACTCCAGCAGTAGCTTCGTCTACGAGAACTTTGATCGGGTCAGCAGCGAGTTCATCCAGTTCCTCGCGGGTCGCGCTCTTCACTTGTTCAGGCGAAACTCGCAGCATCACAAAGCTGGGAATGTCGTCAGCAATGGCGTCGACGAGATGATGTTCCTTGATCAATGACATGGCTGTGTCTGCGTCCTGCAAAGCGATGTAGCACCTTAGAGCTTCGTCATAATGCCCGTCTGCGAGGAACAGTTTCCCCAGACTTTCCTGCAATAGCCTCCAATCCTGCGACCCTTTCGGAGCACTACCACTGCGGAACTGATCTTCAATCGCTGCTGTGATGCTGCTGATCTCAAAAAGATCAGAAGGCCATTCATCAAGAAGCTCCTTGAATCGAATTCTGTCAACCTCCGCGTAATGACCGAGGATGATTTCATAAACGGAGGATGGCAAAGGGGGTGTGAGTTCCAACGTCGGTATGTGAGGCGATATCTCGTCAAACTTCGCTTTTTTAACGAATACCCATGCCCAGTGCTCCCATCGGCTTGTTGTGTTTAGGACTTTTGCTGCAACTTCGCCAGCTTCTGACCATTTATTGGCGTCAACCAATTGCTTCAGCCACAACTCGCCTATTCTGCGCTTCTCCTTTTCAGCAGCAGAGAATTTGTTCTTCGATTTGACCCGCGCTGAACTCGTGATCGAAACAGAATCCGAGAAAAATTCGGCCATTGTAGCCTGCTGACGAGCCTGCGTTGGGCTCAGAGGGACTGCCGTGCCTGACCTTGCGACGGAACTAGCCTTTGATGGACTTGGCGGTGATGAAGTTTCCGAAGATTCTGAGAGGGTGCCGGCCGCTTCGGGATGCTGGTCAACCAGTTCCCAGGCTTCTTTGTATCTCTTCAGGCTCACAAGCCACTGCATGCGGTCGTTAAGATTGCGTCTGACTGCCACAATACAGTCATAGGGACTGTAAATGAAGATCTTCATGCTTTGTGCTGTGGCCATGGTATTTATCTCCTCTTTGGCACCTGCTTCACTGGATCCAAAGCCGGGGATCCAGCCTGTGAGATAGTTGCGTTCTCTGGTGCTTCCTGTTTTATCAGGGCCACTGACACCGCTTCGAATGCTCTCGCCTGAACTGAAGATTCGATTTGCACCCAGGAGGCGCGGCCCATACATGGTGGCGTCCCACATCCCTTGACCAACGGTCTCGACGCCTGTGGCGAGACTTGAACCAACCGTACTCATACCAGAGCCAATGGTGCTGAGGTACCCCTTTTGGAGAAGTGCAGCGGGGATACGAAGCGGTGGCAGAACCCCCAAGTGATAGTCTGAAGCCGAGAGGGTCTCGAATCTACTCACAGTGAGAGTATCGGTGTCGACTTCTTCTTTCGTGTCGATGTTGACTAGACGCAACTCTGGTTCTAATGCATTATGTCGTGCTCGTCGGCCTCTCCTGCTGCCTTCGCTGTCTTGAGACGCTGAACCATTGCCCTTTTTCTTTTCCATGAATGCAAGCACCAAAAGCAGACTTGGGGTATATAACGAAATTCCAGATATTGTACAGTCATCGAATCGTATACTGTCCAACAGTCAGTATTTGCAGCTTCCAGAGAGTTTGTCGAACTCACATCGTAGCGACTTCAGCGCGTCCAATTTTATTATTACCTCCACTTTCCAGAGATCCTGGGTAGACCTTGATGATCCATGCTGAATCTCCCCACCCTACTAAGACTTCTTCAACTTTTGCTTTCCTCGGATCTAGCTTAGGAGATGCACCGTTTGCAGGAGCAGGGACGAGGGCGCTAACGGGAGAGTCGTCGTCAGTTTCGAGGTTATCGCGGTCGATCCACTCAGCGCGAGCTTTCCATACACCCGCCATATCCTCCCATCCAGGACGATTAGGTCTGTCGATATGGCTCATCCGTTTCCATTCGAGGCCAGCCTCTGAGCTTTCGAGCTTCATGTTCGATCTCATGATTTTGATCCCTTGTTCGTTTACCCAGAGGACATATTTTCCTGTGAGTGACCATTTGATAGTGCTGATGATACCCTCACCGCCGTGCAGAATTTTGTCTGAACCCGTGTTTGTACCAAGACCGATCGACCCAAGCCAGCCAGAGGCGGCCGCCGCTGCTCCTGTCGTAGTCGCGTTGGCACTTTTGCCTGCTTGTCCACCAGTAGTCAAAACCAAACTGCCAGCCTGCCCACCAGACAGATAGGTTCTATCCGACTTGTATTCCGGGGACAGGGCAACAGTCTGAACAGGTCTTCCGAAATTGCGCAACTGTACATCACGAGGATCGACTAATGATGCAATGCACACATTCCCGTCTATGGAAGACGTGGCAACGTATATCCGATTTGGAGGTATATCTGGTAGCGGGGTTTGCAATTGCTTTCCTTTCGGCGCCGGTGAGCTTGAGGGTGAGCTCTCCGCTTTCGAAGCAGCTTCGGCTGCTAACTTCGTGCCTGGGTCGAGACGAAAGCCTGCAAGCGGGGGGTTGTAAGGAGATATCGAGATAGCCGATATGCTGGCTGTGTGAGCGTGGTAGACGCGCACGGAGTTGAATGAGGGCAAAGCGAAGACATGAATGTTTCCGTTGTGAGTCCCAACGATCATTTTGTCCCCGGCCACGTGAAAGGCGCTCGTCGCATCTCCATTGCGGTATATGGAGCTCACGTTCCTTGTCAACGTAGCATATTTGAGTCGTGGCTCTTCGTCCTCTTCTTCATCCTCCTCTTCCTCGGATTCGTCTGCGGTCGACTTGGGCTTCGTTGGCTTCGGAGGATGGCTGACGGTTTCCTGAAGCTGCTCATGGTCGCCTGGCTCAGACGAGCCATCTCCGGCCGCCATGCAGAGGATAGGAAGCTCAGAAGCGCGTCATTTGCGCGCGCAGGCTGGAGTCTGCAGACGGAGTAGTTCCAACACCGAGGGATCTGGAACATTGAAATGACGAGCGCCAAGTCCTCTGCCTTGTTCAGCCTTGCGGACGTTGCGGCCAGAGCACAACCTGCAGCTTGAGCTCCAACCAAGATTGGCACTTAGTGTTGGCGATGATACAGTCTTTGATATTCGACGCTCCCAGTCTCTTCATCAGACCATGCGCTCGGCGGCTTCTCGCCCAATGCTAAATCTGGGAAGCCAATTTATTTGCACCGCTTGTCGACGAGCAGGATATGATGTGCTTCGTCAACCGGGCTTCCGCCCTCTCCACGCATCGCCAATCTTCCAACGACCCCGCCGCCGGGAGTTCTTTTCCTCCAATACGTCGTTAATGAGCCAGTCAGCACAAAAAACAGACGGGCAGAGGGACGGGTACTCGGTTGATTCCGTCGTCGAAGCAGCAACACCTGCGCAGAAACGAAAGACCGCACGTTCCCCGGGCACCAAGACCTCGCTGCGAAGAGTTGGATTGGAGGCCCAGAGATCCAAAGCTGGCCTGACGAAGCCAAGCGTGAGACCATATGAAGAGGCAGAACAAACACCCAAACTTGTGACGGCGTACGCTGTTGCAGAACAATTTGACCTAGCCAAAGTTGTCGAGATTCTTCGCAACAAAGGCTACGAGCCCGATCCACTCGGCACTGGACTATTTCCGCAGGTCGTCCACGTACAAATCCCCATCTCATCAATCTACCGTTCGACCAATCCTTCCGCAAGAGATCTTTCGTCCACAGAAGTTGGCGATGTTTTCGTCTTCCCGTCGGGCACGGTGGTAACGTGGGCTTTACCGGATGGGTTCACTTCATACTTTGCAACACGCACTCTTCTCCCCGCAGCAGACGACCCTCATAAGGAACCAATTGAGACGGAGGATCTGGATTACATCGAGGATCCGAACCGCGAACACAGTCTCATCCGCGGTGACACCATCATCCTGGGAACCAAGAAGTCAGACTATCAGGAACCGGCCTCAACCGCGGACCCTCAACAGGTCGAATCACATTTCCAGACTGTGGATACAGTCCTCACCAAGATCGCCTTTTCCTCCGGGTTTGCTCGCTCCACCAAACTCGCCGTCCTTGAGACAAACCTCTCCACCTATCTAGCCTCTACGGCGGACATTCCGGCCCTCCTAGCAAAGGGTTCCCGGCTCCCGTTCAAACTCTCCCGTGACTTCATCTCCCGCAAAACCGGGCAACTCCTCCTCCTTCGCGCGCAGCTAAACCTCTACTCCGAGCTCACCGACTCTCTCCCTGATCTCTTCTGGGACTCGCGGCACGAACTCAACCTGGAAAACTACTACGATCAAGTCGGCCGAGCGTTGGATGTAGGGATCAGGATCAAAGTGTTGAACGAGAAGATGGACTACGCAGCAGAGATTGCGACTGTGCTGAGGGAGAGACTGAGCGAGAAGCACGGGTTGTTCTTGGAGTGGACCATCATCGTCCTGATCGCGATAGAGGTGGGATTCGAGGTCTTGAGATTGTGGAAGGAAGGCTTTTGGGAGGAAGTCTGGGAGAATGGCGGTGGCCCTCCGAAGAAGGCAAAGACCCTGTAGACTAAAAAGCCAGGTGGTATCGGCCCATGAACGCCATGAGACTGCCAGGAGGGACACAAGGTAGCACGGTCTATTGCTCTACGTGAAGGTGAAGATAAAGATGCAGATGGAATATACCTGGATATGTAGATTTGCCCTGCAGATGGTGTGGGTGATCTTGTGATTGAGAAACAATGTGACAAAAAAAGGCTTCTCTCCTTCAATCACAGTCGGCCATTGGCCGTTACAGCCATCAAAGCATGTCAGAACCTGAAGCAGTAGCTCGTTGACAATGAGGGTCGGACAAGCGACCTGCAGACATTACAAGTAGGAGGTGCAAAGGTGCATTGCATACTAGGTAGGTACCTAGCCATCGACACCAACGGCACCGCCAACTCCCAAGACCAACGACAGCGTCCTTGAAAAGGGGTGGTCAGCCGAAGATCAGCCGGGATTCTCAGCCTCGCCAAATGCAATACAGAACCCCAGCCGACCTCAATCGGGCATTCGTGGTTCGTGAACCTCCAAGGAGTCTATCTCAACCGGCGGAAGACTTCACTAGCCGAGCGACAGCTCACTCACTCAGGACAATGTGAGAGATCGGTGAGAGAGAGAATGAGAGCGCCGTCAAACCCTCACGGCGACGCGCACCACGGAAGATCACGGAATGTCGACTGATCTGATCAGGCGCCAGGAGGGTCGATCTCGCGCTGGAGAGGTCGATCTGACGCTGGAGAGGTCGATCTGGCGAGCAAAGGATTATTTCGCGATCCTTGCGCGTGATTGGCTTACCGAGGGGCTGCTGCGATCTGGCGATATTGTCGTGGTTGATCTGATCGATCAATTGGGGGCGACATTCTCAGGGCCATTCTAGTCTAGGGGGTGCACACAGTGCTTCAAGGATGGGCAGTGCTGATGACAAGAACAAAGACCTTGGCCTACTTCATGACACATTGATGGCGGACAGAGGGAGTTTTTGAAGGCTACAGCACTACAATGAGAACTCAGGATACAAGGTGGAAGTACTGGAAGCAGAGAGGTTGATTTTCAAAGCACATTTCATTCGAGACTAGCTATGGTTCAAGGATCATCAACTTTGATCACTGTGCCAACATGCTGTGTGATGGGAATCATCAATAGGTGCAATAGCAATTAGCTTTGATTCCTCAATCCAACCCAAGAGAAGTGGTTGCCACCCTCTGTGACCAGTCCAATATGGCCGCTGGAAAGATCCATGCTGCTGCCGCCACTTGATTTCAGGAGTTCCTTTGTAAAAGCTAGTGCTGTGTTCTCTTGTTGTTTGTTCATGCATCTCACTTGAAGAGATGGGGAATGTCTGTTGTCATTTGCATATGCTGATGAACGGCATGTTGTGGTACATGGCAGACATAGCTGCAAAGAGCGTCAGGGTATCTCACGAAGGTGTGTGTTCTTAGGCCAAAGCCAACACAGCCACCAACCCGGCCAAGCCAAAGTTCAAACCGGTGGTTCCAGCGCCATTTGAGTTGGGAGCTTGTGGAATGCCAGTGGAGGTAGTGGCAGTGGCAGTCGTCTGAGTGGAAGTGGTCGAGACACTGGCAGTAGTGGTGGAAGATGATGTGGTCTCGATGACAGTGCTGCTCTCAGTGCTGCTCTCAGATGACAGAGTCGGGGTGTTAGGCACAGGTGTGAGTGGAACACTGCTCTCAACTGGAGTGGTAGACGGAACCGGAGGTGTCTCAACAGTTGGCGTGGTGGAGCTTGTTGGCACACCTGGGGTCTCAACTGGAGTCTCACTGCTAGCCACGGAGGTGGAAGTGGACGGTGCGGGTGGGTAGATAGTGGTGATGACAGAAGTGGACGAGGTGACCGTAACATAAGTGGTGGACGGAGTGACAGAGGTGGCAGGAGTCAACGCAGACGGAGGACCATACGGGGTGCAGTAAGCTGGAGTCACGGTGACAGTGACGGGCTCTTCTGCAAACAATGTCAGTCAAATTGCAGAGACCACTGGACTTGTTACTTACGACGTGGCATGAGATTGATGATGTCGTGGATCTCATCAAGGGACAAGTCACGAGCTGTGCGAATTCGTCAGTGCTGTGTTGTCAGGACTCTGTGGGATTGAAATTCTCACCTGCCAAGGCTGCAACCACCTTGTCATGGACACCAAAGTTGATGGCAGTAGCTGTTTGTCTTGTCAGTAACAAGCACACACAAGTTGACGAGAGGCTGTTGACTCACCAAGGGAAGCAGCAGCGAAGCTGGCAACCACCAGGCTGATGACATGCGCAATCTTCATGGTGAAGGTTGGTGAAAAGGATGAAGTTGGGTGATGAATGTGATGAGTAAGAGTATGGAGTATCCAAGTTCGTGTGTAATTCTGGTCCAAAAGAGCGACGCAGAGGGTGTTGATGAGAACTTGAAGTTATTGGTAGAGAGTAAGAGGCGGAGGTTCAGGTTCAGGTTTCGGAAAATGCAGAGGAGAAATTTATAGCCAGGCGAGGCGCACCAGATCGACCCGGGCCACTAGTGCGATCTGTCGTTAACGCTTCACAGCAATCACCGCAATCACAGCTGGAGGCAGCTGCAATCAGTCAGTGATCAGATCAGTCCAAATCGATCCAGCCAAGAATCACCGCTGCGGAGCGGAGGAAGCTGCCATGCGATGCGCCTATCCGCCACCCCGGTAAACCTGGTGCTTGCAAGTCGAAGGCTTGTGGGCCACAAAATCTTCAGACGACGGTTGCCCCTCCACCGCATGCAACCACCCATTCAAAGAGACACACAAAGATATTCTGTTCCAACTTCGAGGGCTGCACAAGCCTGCAGACCGAGCCCGAAACCACGGACACAGTCCGGAGCTGGCAGTAGGGAGGTGGACAGACAGACACAGGACAAAGCCTGCCCAGGAACCTTAGGACAGTATGAGTGAGAAGGCATATTTACCTGGTACCGGTTAACATCGACCAGCTCTTTCTTTCACACCTCAGCAACCGAAATTCGGGAGGCTGGAAACCTCAACTTCGGCTACCTGCAATGTCTCATCTTGGACGCGGAACGAATGTACCCCGATCTGTCACACTTGCTGTTGGCGTCCTGTGGCCGTTTGCTTGACAGAATTACACGGCGGGGATGACTTTGTCAAATCATACTGGAGGTTGTGGTACAGAAGCCCAGGAATCTACGACGAGGTGAGAGACATATTGAGGATGTCCACCTTTTATCGCAAGAGGATTTAGCCGGTGTTTATCCGGCGCTAAACCTGGATGATCGACCGCTAGAGGCATTAGCGTGTTCTAGCGCCAAATTGTCCAACGGCGAGCACGCATGGGCCTGCAACTTCAAGAACCTCCACAAGCCAGCGTCACTCTCTGCAAACCTTTGCGCACAGAACATACAGACCTGGAAAGCGATGAATGGAGGGCTGAAGCAGGAAACAAAAAAGCAGCGCAGGGGCATTAACATGGAGGAGAGTTTGCGCAATGAGACCTTCCATGACCTGTCGAGACAGTTCATAGGCTTGATGCTGTCTCTCTATGCGTTCACAGAAATCCCCTCTGAGACGAGGCTGCCACATCAGACCACAACGAGCGCTGACGTGACATACAAGGCTTCAAGTCAACAGTCGTGGATGGTGAGAGAGCACGTATCGTCTGGGTGGAAGACAGGAGCGGGGGTAAGAGCAGAGGGTCAACCAGACTACCGACTCACCAGAGCTAGTTTCATTTGTCATGAGGCTTGTTGCCCTGTGTGATCACTTTTCTGTAGCCAAGCTTTGCATTCATTGAGTCTTGATTGCTGGAGGGGGATTTACAACGATTGTTCTGTGGCAGGCAGGCAGATAGGCAACCATCCTTGACATAGATTCTGACACCTGCATCAATCAATAGCAATCACGGAGCGTATGGGTGCAAGAGCACAGCTTCATCCATTGAATATCGAGCATTAGATTAGACTAAGGAATCAAAGTTGCAGCTGCTCAGCAACTTGAAGGCAGACCAAGAACTCCCGCTCTGGGTGGCTGTACCACTTACCACTCCTGTACAAATGCCCCTCCGTATGATTTCTGCCATGGTTTTGCTGCTCCGCTGGCGAGAACACGGGGTTCATTACAGCTCTCCTTACAGAATTCGCAAAAGCTCCTTTTGTCCCAAATCGACTGTTTGAGACTACGTCGCGTCGCAAGATGTGTGATTGACAGCTCCCAATCTGAAGTGACCAGGTCGCGTCGATGCACCCTTTTTCCTCCCTGACTATTGGTATCTTCGTTGCTGGATACATCACTGCGCGCTGGGATCTTGTTACCAGGCTGTATGAACTAGCCATCTTTGCCTGGGACCACGGTGTTTTTGCACGCGTGGCCAAAGCATTTGCCGTCATTTCTCTCATCTACGTCCTCCTCGCCATCCCTCTCGACTTCCTCGCCTCCCACGAAGCCGCCGTCCATCCCCGAATCCTTGCGCATGGGATCTCCGCCCAAGAGCAACTACGTCGGAGAGGTTCCTTTTAAGCTTTAACAATATGTTATCATGGTCGAGAATAGCGATGGCATGCTGCGGGTATTCTGGCCGAGCAGCCTTACTCGGACAACCACACCCGGTGTAATAGTAGGATGGAGGAACTCGGAGTACGATTTGTTTGTTATAACCGTTCTTGAAGATGTTGAAGTAAGGCAGTTGAAAGAGCGTATGCGGCGTCAAATGCTGATCGAGCCAGGTCCGCAATGTTGAATCTGCTCTTCGCATGGGCACCCTTTTCCGCAACAGTCTCTATCCAGTGGCCCGGATTTTTCAGCTTTGCGACCAGCCTCATATGCATGTTTTGGGTACGCTCAATCATCCAGATCCACCAGAGATGTTTGATCCTTTCAGGATCTGCGCCTTCACTGTTCCAGGGGCTCGGAGACCTTCCATCTACTGCCCACCAGACGCGGACTTGGCTGTACAGATTGTCCTTTTCGACCCTCCGAATCCCAATCAGATGCAGTACATGTCTCTTGAGCCAATATCGCTTGCTCTGGGAAGGGAATACTTGGCCGCCGGTGCCCCCGATTCTACACTTGACGAAAATGGGATCCAGGGAGGGAAAGAGCGCGAGCGAGTCGCTGAATTGGTGGCGAAATTGCGCTTTCATACCGTGATCAGACATGTCCCGACGAAGAAAGAGTTGGCCTTACCTGCGATTCTTCGCCAGATCAATTGCGCCCAAGAAGTTGCAGAGTTGCTCCAGAAGAACACGCCTCTTGTTGGTCCGCGGAGAAAAAGGAGCCTTTCTGTCAGCGAACGCGTTGTCGAATCTGCGCAATCACTTTATACATTTGCGGCGTGGTCGCTCTGGACACTCTTCATGGCGTACGCCTTCCCTACGCTGTTGTCCATCTTCAAAATCGCCATCATTGGACACAGGATTGTCGCCGAAGGTCTTCTGCAACTCCTAGAGTTGCCCCTACCTTTTCAGAAACTACAATCTGCCGAGAGGCGCGGGGCTGTCAAAGGAACCCTCGCTCTGAAGGATATCTCGGCCTGTTGTCAGCAAGTCCATCTTAGACTCCAACAGTTCTCCTACTACCCGACTCAATATTCCCTTCTCCGACGCCGCAAAGCAACCTGGTCATCCTTTCCAACAACAAATAGCGATTACATTCGCTTTTACAATTCGCTTTGGCTGGTTGCAAACGATGTCATCATAGGCATTGCACTTGGGAGCTTCATCAGCGACAATGCGCAAGCTACGTCTCAGCTGATCGGTGGAGTATTGGACGAGTACACGATTGAAGGTCTCAAGCGCATGATCAGGTGGCTCATGTCATACCCCGGTGGTCTCAAATTGAACACGGAGCTTGCTGCATTTCTCGGCGACCTCTTCTTGTGGGTCATAGAGTATTGGGCCTCGACCATGGTTGTGCTCATTGTTCCACGATTGCCCACGGTCGTGTATGTTGTCGGATGCTCCTCTTTTGCTGGGGCCACTATGCCTATCGCCATTTTCTCCGACCTCCTCAGCCTGCTTACGATGCACATTTACTCTTTTTACGTCGCGAGTGCACGTATCTTTAACTGGCAGTTGACAATCATCATCAGCCTCTTTCACCTGTTCCGTGGCAAGAAGCGGAACGTTCTCCGCAACCGGATCGACAACTGCGACTACGACCTTGATCAACTCTTGCTGGGTACGATTCTGTTCACCTTGTTATTCTTCCTTCTGCCTACCGTTGTGGTCTTCTATCTGACCTTTGCTTCGGCTCGCATGGCAATTATTTCGCTGAAAGCCACTCTGGACACCTGTCTAGCTTGTCTCAACCATTTCCCCTTATTTGCATTAATGCTTAGGATCAAAGACAGTAAGAGGTTGCCAGGTGGTATTCACTTTCAGCTGTTGGATGCAGAGCCGACAAGAGTTTCTTACCAGGAAGAAGCTGAACGAGGAGACGATCATGATGACAGCGCCGGCGACGCTGAGGAAGAGGAGGAAGGAGGAGATGACAATGATGTGACCAGCGTGGCTTACATTCGCTTGTCCTCTACCCCATTGTCACTGCGTCAGATATTTGAACAGTATTTCCAGCTCTGGGCACGCATCCGTCAGCACTATCTGTCACCCACGGTCGTGTTTCGACTCCTCACAGGACGATTCGTACCGCCTTTAGGTCGGAGTCAAATGTACGGGCTGCAATATTCGGTGCTCCCCAGACAACGGGCAACAATAGCGGAGGTCTGGAAAAGCCTGAGTGAGAATGAATCGCCCAGCACAAACCATGGGACGCCTGCGAATCCGCGCGGGCAAAAGGGGTACCTTGGAGGTTATGGAAGAGCCATAGGGAAGCAATGGAAATAGCACAGAGCTGATCGACTTCTACGTCTCGTTTAAACGGATTCAGCTGCTGAGAAAGCCGACATGCTCGGCTTTGGTCGCTATCCCCATCCTGCAAACACTGATGATGCCTCAGCATTTATTTGCTTACATCATCATTCCTGTACAGATCACGTGCAGATTGGTTCAACCGAGATTCACATTCATCGACCGTCTTTTCAACTGCTTCCTCTTTTGTGTTGGGCGAACTTTGCAGGAAAAGTCTCCCATCGGGTGCTCACCTCTTTGCTTGCTATTTTATAGAATCTTGACCGCCCCTGCCCTTGTCCCAACGCCTTGCCTCTAGCCTTATCGTCCAGTTCAAAATGCCCAAGTGCCCCAACTGCGGTGGGAGGGTAGATTTGACCAAGGAGGGAGACTGGGGTCACTGCGCCGATTGTCAATGTTCCCAGCATGATCCATACGATTGTGAAGCTGACTGCTCTTTAGGCAACAATGTAAGCCAGTCTAGCTTGACGTGTCCAGACTATCCGAATGCTGAAGCCAATGCCAGATCATCGAGATCAAGGATCTGAAGGATGACAGTGAACAGGGGCCTCAACCGACAACACAAACGGGAACGTCAACTGAGGTGAAGAAATGATTGCCACTCGACCTTGCAGCTTCCTCAGTAACTCGTGCTATTGCAATTGCCATTGCCATGGAAGACAAGAGCACGCAATCACTTCACCTTCCTTCGCTACCAATTGAACATGTATACTCCGAATTCCTCTTTCAGTCTCTCCCAACAACTGGCCGTACAAAATCAAGTGCCGCGAGTATCTTCTGTTCATTTCGTGATCCTTTCCAACAAGGGCGTGGCCTTCCTCGTCCCAAATCCCCTTCGAGCTCGTCATCAGATCTCACACAGAAGCCATGAAGGCCTTGACTCGGTCCTTGTACTTGCCGTTCCTCCTCCTGTGCCTCTTCTCCACTTGCATTGCTGCACCGACCCAAGAGAGTGATGACGTGAAGGGCGCTGCGTTTCATGTCGGAGGAAAATTAAATGCTCGGGATACTGCTGTCTTGCCATCCGCATGGGGCTGGCACGTCGAGTGCAAAGCAAGATACTCCTTCAGGCTATGCATGGCTCCAGTCTGACAGATTCAAGGAATTACCAGGCGTCGATATTGGTTACTGCCGGGAAAACAACCCTCCATCTGCGCGGACACCCCAGAACGGTACCCATTTGACACCAAGGAATGACAGCATGACCGATTCTTCCCCGACCTGGGCCTTGACACCGCTGAAGTGCTACGACCTATGCGCGTGCGACCGACAAGGAACACTGATCTGTCATGAGTGGGGAGGTACGTGGCAGGCGTCGATTTTGAAGCTGAAGCCACGGGAACGTACTAACATAGAGAGCAGCTTGCAACTTCCACACTGTTTATTTCCGCTGCCATGGGTACGTGCTCATGGCATAGCGTACAATTGAAGAGCGACTGACGTCGATTCCCAAAAGCAGTGGACAATGCGACTGTATTTGGGAGGAGCAACTTACTGGAGATACTGCGAGGCTAGGTTGGGTAGATGGCGTTGCTGACTGGGCAAGCAACGGTTATACAAACCACTGGTGGACGCGGAAGGAGAATCAGAAGGACCAGGACGGCTCAAATTGAACGCGGTCGCTGTACAAGACACCGACGGAGTGATAGAAATCGGTTTCCTCCAGCTGGCGACAGACTGGTGATGTCGACGGACGAGAACGGCTGGCGCTCCGAAGCCAACATTTTTACCTATTATTCGCATCACTTGTCTTAATTCCGCGTCTCCTTGCCGAAAAACAACTCAACAGACCAGCCAGCGCTCATTTCGCTTCTCTGTCCTTCTTGCTCAATCCTAGGCTTTCCTACCTCCAGTCTTGCCCATTTCCTCACGCTAACCACGAAGGGCGGACAAGGATCGACAATACAACGTTGCGGCACACAGGTTGCTTCCTACCAGTCTCAAATTGGCAGTTAGCTCTCCATCTCCAGTGCCTCAGATGGATGAAGCCCAGTCGGTCTGGTGCAGTCCTGCACTGCAATCAAGTGGGCGAAATCATTGGTGTTGATTGGCAGAGTATGCCGTCGCACATTTCCCAATGTCGGTCTAGTGGTTGAGAATAATTGACCCTTCTCCAGGCTCCAGAGTACGAGTACGCGTCCTCTGTGAGGACCGAGCGCTTTACGACGGCCCATTCTCGACGATTGCGCCGCTTTTGAAGCAAGAAAGGCCGAAAATCGAGATAAGATCACCAATTATACGAAGTCATGTCGAAGTGGTTGCCCATGCGAAATGTCTGGAGGGCACACGGAGCACGCTGTGATCCAGGGCAAAACCAGTCTTATGGGGGAGTAGGTCAACAGGAGCATGTTCCTATGTGGACAGTCCCATAGGGTTGGCAACCCCTATGGTCCCCTCTCGTCACCGGCCTTTCCGACGAAAGATGGATCATGGCTCTTTCAAGACAATTTAGCGGCTATCCAACAGGCGTTTTCGAGAACCATCGGGAAAAGCCCGCTGGTGGTTGGCGGAAAAGGATATGACAAGGGTTCCCACACGACCCTCCTAAGCCTGGTGTCCCATTGCTGGATAAGGAATTCCGAATCTTGGGAGGGATAGGCGCCGCCCAAGAGGCGAGAGACGGATGGAGGAGAAGCCAGCCTGACTCCACGAATCCACAAATCTCTGACAGTACAGTACCACTTGAAACTTCACCATGCGAATGTCTGTCACAATTGACCAAACCCAAAGCATAAGCATCGAACGAACAGGCATTAGCCCAGCCCACAGCGCGCCCCGCGTTGGCTGACTTCAAAGTCGCCTTTAGAGCGTTCCGAAGAAGCGGGTGTCAGCACTGTCTTCGATAGCTTTGTTTTGCCCCCTTGACAACCAGGCAGAGCGGGAGCAACCAAGAACACCACCCAACTGGCATCCGGCAACCCTCATTCTGTGACAAGCGAACCAACTACGTCCTCAATCTTACCCGACCACTGATCCGTGGTGCTAAACGAGGACAGAAGCCGCCCGTGTGTCTCGTGCGAATGTCCTGGTAGCCATCTTACTCTGCTGGATATCCACATCCCATGCCCGTCGCCGTCCCCACCCAATTGCAAGCACCTGCAAGCATCCTTCCCCCAAACGCCACACGATATACCACAGACCGGTTGGCAATTTTCAATTGCTGGCGCTCGATCAGGCAACAACTGCGCCCGCTGCTTTACTCGTCCATCGAAACTCGTCCGAAGGCCAAAGCATTCTGTCTGCGAACCCGCTGACCAAGCGTAAGCGCTTTGCTTAACCCCGCTGCGACCCTTTACTTGGGCCTCTGCCCCCCTTTGAGGCCCAGCCTGCCTGTGCCTTGTGCCTTGTCTCACGAGAGCCATACAGCATTTCAAAAGTACAGACGGCATCCTTGAGCCCCGTACCATCGCTCCCTCAACAATGATCGCACAGTCGTTTCCGAAGGCATGGCAAAGTCAATCAAGATAGAACAATTACTCCTGCAGAATCCATCAACATCCTTCAGTGATAAACCACGACCGCGAACGCCCGCCGCCAAGATAAATGCAATCCAGAACCGTCTGCCGGCGCATCGTCCGGGACTGGTGCTGAAGACTCCCTCTACAGCTCTCGTGTCGGCAAGTTCGCCAGCATCTGAGCGGTTTTCATGGGAATTCGACAAAGAGGAGTCGGCGTCCAATCGACGTCGGAAACGAAAATCGCCCGTCGAGGATGAAGTGTTTGCGACAAGAAAAGCTATCAGGCTACCTAGATTTTCCGTCAACATCTTCCACTCCGAGCCAGTCAACGTCTATCCTATTCCCAACGAAGGCGTGGTTCCGCGAATGGTCAAGTATTGTGAGCACCATTCCTTGAGCTCGGGTTCCTTGGAGTCGCGCTAATCTTGTGTTCAGATTTACAAGTTTGGGCGGAGCAACATGGTCGAGCACTTGCTTTTGAAGGGCATCCCACACCGTACCGCTCACTGGTGTTTCCGTACGCCCTGGAGCACGCTGTGCTGTTCGAGGCCATGGTAGCGCTCAGCCGGGCGTCATGGCTTTTGCAAGAAGGCATCCCATGGTCCAAAGACAGCGCACTTGCATATCACCGTGCCAACGCCTTCGCCGCTCTTCGCCTGAGGCTGACATCTGAAGTAACGTGTGCTGACGACACCACCATCTGTACCATTGCGGCGCTCACGACAATCGATGTAAGTACAATGAGTTCCCAGAGGGCCTGGTCAACTACTAACAGTCTCGGCAGTACATGCTCGGCGTCCACGAGGGTGCAGAGAATCATATCAAAGCCATGCAGCAAATTCGCAAGATTCGCACTGATCTCAAGGGAGACACACCGTGGCAATACTTTGTCATATCTGCCATGAAAGCGTAAGTTGTCGAATCTCCCTCGCATGCACAGTCTCTAAGTCGACCAGTTACGATGCCCTGTGGAAATTTGTCAAAGATAGAAACGAGGCCACCACCAGCATGGCCCAGCTCTCGATCGATTCACCCCTGCGTAACGAATTACCCGTTTATCCCTCTCTCCCGTTCAATATTAAGGTTTGCGAGGCTCTCTCGAAAGTGTCGACCTCGTTCAACGACATGGCCATGGCAGGGGAAATGTCTATTCAAATGATCGACATTCTTGCGAACTTATCTAGCACCGCCCGGGGCGATGGCAGCGCCACACCAACCAGCTCACCGCCGAGCTCACCAGGAGGACGGAACTTGCTGAATACAATCGCTGATCTGCGGTGTTTGTCGGTGATGGCCACCACCTCGATCGAACACAAGCTCTGCTTCGGTGTGATTGGGACCTGCTTTACCCTACACTTTGGAGATGGGAAAATCGGTGAAGAGTTCAACGAGACACTCCAGGAGCTTGAGGACACACTCATCGGCAATGGCAAGCCCCGGCCGCAGCAAGAGAAAGCCCAGAAGAGCCATCGAGAGTGTCTGATTTGGGTAGCTATGGCAGCGGCGGGTGCACTCGAGCAGTCCGAACTGCTGTCTGCCATGAGTATGGTGTTGGATCAGACTTTGGACAAATACCCAGAAGAGGCCGCCCAGTGGGAGACACTGGAGAGGATATTGAAGAAATTCTTGTGGAACGATCTTCTAGCACGGCATTGGAGAAGATGCTGGGCCAGAGCTGTGCATCGTCGGTCGAAGGCACGATGACAGTCACCCCGGAGGACAAGGAATCTCAACAACTAATAATCAGTAGCCATCTTGCTTGGGCATCTGAGGACTCCAATGGAGAAGGGTATTCTCGACGATAGAGCTGGCTCATTGAACAGCAGCCAACCCGGATCACGGCTGAGGGGCCCAACATGCTGGGAGCAACCCGGCAAGGGACAGTCCAACCTCCTCCAGTAGATTGCACTACATGGGAACAGGCAGCCCTCGAGAAACAGATTCCTCGCCTCAGGGCAAAGCGGCGACATGTGCGGCTCCGGGAGCAGTGCAAACTGTCTCACCGCCAGTTCAGCCTTATAGGGCGACGATCCTGCTCGGCGTGCCAGCTTCCAAACCATGCCTGTATCAGCAGCCCGCCACTTCCTACAACAGTCTATCCAAACGAGGACCAGGATTTGGTTCCAACAGGAACTGCAACCGAGTTGCCACTTGGGACAACGGCTTCCCTCTCGCTCCTTAGCCCTCGAGGGCGCATTGCGAGAAATGTTGCTAGTCTCTTCAGCATCGCCGTCTTAGCGAGTCACACCTAGGCTTTCCACAAGGCGAATGACAGTCCCAGCACGTCTAGATTCTCAGTCCTGCAGCTTGTTGCAGGCGGGAAGCAAAAGACCCGAAGCTTTTCTCGTTGAACAACAGCGGGTCAGACCTTCTCCCTAATGTAGAGGGAGTTTTGTTGAGGACGAAAAAGAGGTTCCGGCGAGGGGACATGGAAACTTTTCCCCTAGCCGCAGAAACCCTGCATCCAATTTTGTCCGAGCAAATCTATGACTACGTAGGAACAGCGTGGGCTACTGAACATGCTCATGGTTGGCGAAAGAGGGAACTGGTGGACAGTGAACCTGTGACATTTCCGGCGGACAACGAGGCCTTGGAAAAGGCCTCTTCTGTGCATCCAATGGCCGCGCACGAGGAGGAGTTTCACGGCCCAAGCGATCCGAGAAGATCTTCGATGGAGCAGCCTCCGTTGACCACTTGCCTACATACCCATGCGGGCTTGCGCTTTGTTCTTTTGGCTGGGCTCCCAGGCTCCCTGGTTGGCAACCGACGAATCGCCCCTATCGTTGTCCGGCCGCTAGTCCAAGCCAAAATGAGTAAACGGCTCGTGGATGTCCGTGCGTAGTCAAGGGCCCCAGGCGATGGGGGCCGGGATGGAATCGAGGTATCCATGAGAGAAAGGGCAAAAGGACAGGTATCACTCCATTACCAGTCTCTTCTCAATGGCTGAGCAGGTTAGACGGAACGAAGTGATTGATTTCCATAACTTACTGGTAATCAAATCCCTCCTGGCCAGTGCGAGAGAGGCCAGCCTACTCCAGACATGTGGTATTATTTCTAGCCAGCTTGCCACGCACGCCCCAATTCGGTTATAACTAATTACTGTATCATTGTCAGGCCGCCTGCGCGGGGACGTCTCCTGTACTCGTATACCGTAGATAGCTTGGGCAAAGGGCGACTTGAAACTGAGGCAACTGCTTGTTCTAGTAATAGACCATCGCTAATTAATGGCACACGCGCCTCCGAGCAATTTCCGGGGGGCGAGCCTTCAGCCTTATGGTGAATGGAGCGGACGAACTCTGCTCGAGGAGGGTCAGCCAGAAGCCTAAAGTAAACACCAGGTCCAAGGCCGGAGAGCAAAACACGGCTTCCCAGCGACGACCATGTTTTCATTGAGACGGCATAGTAATTGATCCTATGCCGTTGCAAGAACTGCCAATCCCGTCTCCTTTTGGCGCCCTATCCACGTCCTGCTCTTCACCGGGAATCGGGCGGATGGACCTTTGCGGGCGCAGGGTGGTAACCTCACAGTACCTCGAGGGCTGCGCTTGACGGTGAGTGTCCAGCCTGAGCCGTGGGAACATTTCCTCCATGACTCTGGCCATTACGTGCCTGTTCTGAAGAGCAAGGTTTTTGACGGTGGCAGGATGATTTTTATTTTTTTCAAGGCAATAGACGCGCGGGACGACAAATTCTCGTCCAAGTGAGCGTGCACTCAACATAGCTTTGTGTTACCAGCCAGAGCAGAAAACAGGCGCGAAGTCAGCGAGCGGGGATATGGTAGCAGGGCTTATAAAGAGGGAAAAAGACAAGGAGAGTCACAAGAGCCAGAGAAAGAGAGAAAGATATACAAAGAGCTGGGTACGGACTGGAGGGAACGAAACAAGCATTGCCAATCTTCCAACGATGACCAACATCACCCTACCCCTTCGTTGAGCAGCTATACGACCACGAATACCTCCACAGTCTGCGTCTAGCCCCAACACGGAAGCTATAACTGTCCCCATCAGACATTGTCGAGCTTCTCTTAAAGGTCGCCCGCGTCGATCCGGATCAGAAGGTGCATACCGCATACCGCGAAACGCAATACACGAAGGTGCATAGGACGTGAGGGAGATATGGCTATCGTTTACAGCCCCATCTCGCTGACACCCAGTCTTTGCTCCAATCTCACTGTGTCTGGGTACAGCAGCACCAAACTGAGGAATTGCATGGGGTATCCTGTCACATCTACCATCTTTCGACCTGGAAATGACGGGTACTTCTTCGACGATAGAACCTCGCCCCCTTACATACAACTTGGACTATAACCAGGCGTCACGACATTGGCCGGTGATATAGTGTACAAGGTTCTAGATATGGGTGTTCGACATCAGAGGTTCGAGAGCGTCTTTATTTCAGACACCCTCGAGAACGCTCTGTGCGGCGCCGGGTGAGAAAAATCACCAATGACCCGTGTCCCGTTTCCTGCTGGAAGTCGATGTCTTTTGCAACGGTGGGGCTAGAACTAATTCAGCCGTTTCGTCGGTCGAACGAAAGAGGCGAGTGACGAGACAGGTATGTGCTCACTTTCACTCGTCCTTGGTCAATAGGGTATTCCTGACATTCTCCAGGTGGCCGCCGCCCCGGGAGGGACGAAATGGCGAGAGCAAAAAAGAAAAAAGAACACAGACTGCAAACACATCTTCCAGAGCGATAGATAGGCTGTTCTGTCCTGCGCCGTGGAGAACTCCAGAACTTGTTTTCGCTGTCCGCATCTGGAACCCGGACAAATGTCCTACGCCGCAGCAGCAGGATTGGTCATGTGCTGTATCCCCCGATTCTCATCTATACGGCAGTACATAGCTATGCGAGAGGGTGAGAGACGCCGACAAGTGGTGGCCGAATGCGCCATACAAAATAGACGACTCGTTAGGAGGGAAACAGTTGATTGTGGTTCGGGATGCCCTCGTCAAGCTATATACGCGGTACGAACCCTATGGAGTGTGAGTGTGAGTGTGAGTGTGAGTGTGAGTGTGAGTGTGAGTGTGAGTGTGAGTCTTCCATTCTACCCCCCCGCCCAAACCTGGTCCAAGAGAGCGCTTGACTTATCGATGATGCCCGCCTTTGCTCTCGATATGGGCTACGGGCTCGAACCCGCGGTTCCCCAGTCTCAGCACAGAAACCCCTCGAGCATGAGCTCCGAAACGGACACCAGTGCGTGCTTGCTTGTTGCAAAACGTGGGCGATCCAGCATTGTTGGGAAAAAACAAGTCCTCTAGTCCGGCACGAGCGCATATACCATCATCATGATGCCAGGCCAATACGCTGGGGATATGCAATGGAGGGATGAGAGATAGAGAAATACATATATTTTGTAGTATATTTTCTCGGCGTCCCTTCACCTTTTTGCTATACAGCCTTATCCCATACCTTACCTACTCTACTCTTTTCCTCCCTGATATATAGACTAGGGATCGGATCGGACCGGGACCCCTTCACTCGTACAGACAGAGTAAGTAAACGGCTCTTTGACCATCAGGCTACGGAGGGCTCGCTAGTACAAGGTATCAAGCACGTCTGCTCAACCTGCTTGGCGTCATTTGAAGCTTTCGCCTTTGGGTACGGTACCATTGGTGGCTAGCGGATCTGTGGCGATTGGAGGGAAACCCTTTTGGCAGTGCCTTTAAGGGATGGATAGTCGGCCACTGGCATGTTCGGGTTCGACAAATTCGAAGAGCCAAAGGACACGTACCTAGGCATGTCAACGGAGGGGACCTGACACCTAAGCGCGGGAGACATCGGTGGTCTGGACGACGGATTCCGCACGTGCGAGGAGAATATAAACTTTGCACCGGTGTAACCTTGATATATTCCCTATGTCCAATATATGCAGATCCCTGCGGGAAAGACTCTGGTCTTCACCAGCCTTTTGACGCCGTTGTATGCACCCCATCCTGAATCAATGCTTCCAGCCCGTGGAAACCCAAGGAGGAGAGACGGTAGTCCTGTAAAAGCATGTTCGAAGAGAAGGGATCTTGACGCGCAAAGCTTCATGCTCTGGTAGCATCCCGAATTCCCAGGGTTCATTGATGCACCGGCCGCGTTCGGACACTATGGACCATCCATGGCAATTCTTGAAGAATCGCAGTCGGCTTTCGTGGGAGCTCATCCGAGAGACTTGAGAGCTTCGGAAATGTGGATTCAGCATCTGTTTATGCTGAACGTGTCGCAGCGAAGTGGTGACTTAGGTTGATACGCCCTCTTCGACCCATACCTGCGTACCCCCAGCTGCTCTTTGCAGACTCCCCCAGCATCGTGCTCGACCCCAGTTCTCTTCTTTCCCTCCTCTTCCGTAAGACTCCGACCCCTCTCTCTAAATTCCCCCACCATATCCGACAGTAAATACCCAGACATGCCAAATGTTCTGGTTGTTACACCATCGCATAGATACCAAATCTCTGCTTTTGAGATTCCCAAAACAAATCCAAAGCGGTGCTTTTCAATCTTCTCAGGGCTCATCCTCATCTTTTACTGCCTGATATTCGTTATTTCTCCTCTTCAGTCTATCCCCCGTGGTCGGCGTGGGTTTATCCACTCTCAACACCCAACAAAGTATATCCTCGGCCGGCAACAAGAACATCCAAATTCTATTGCAACAAAAACTCAGAGTAGTCGTACACATGGCAACCACGGCATCCAACCAATAGTGATTCGCCGTGGCGACAATCACCGTCAGGACCAACAGCGGGTAGCAGATGCCCGCAACAAGAAACAAGATCTGGGCGTAAAATGGCTTGCGTGGTTCGCCCCGCTGAGCGCGGCGAAACACGCCAGAGTGGTAGAGGAATGTGCTGCCGACACAGAAGGCGTAGGTGAAATGCAAAGAAGGCATGGCAGCTAATTGGTTGACATAGTTGCCGCCAACCCAGACCGACTCGGCGTTGGCTTGGCGTACTGTATCGTGGAAGCCGTATTCCTTGGGCAACAGACGGGGCGGCATGCATGGGAAGAAGGTGAAAATCGCGAAAGCGGCAAAGTTACCCAGTGTCATCGTCCGGCGCACGGTGGCGAAGGCCGAATGGGTGGGTGCTGCGTAGTAATACCACGAGAGAAACCTGGAGACATGTTAAGTGGGAGGTGAGACAGGAGGGGCGAAGAGGGAAGACACATACGCAACAGTACCGGGAATATGAACAAGCGAATAAATGCGGTTCAAAAATGTGATGGCAGTCAAATGGCCGCCCAAGAACCAAGCTTGGAAGTCATTTTCTCGGATCGGGAACAGGAAGCTCAGCCAGGACTTATGCTCGATGTCGAGGATCAAAATGCCATGATCTTGGGCCAGCTGCCATAGACCGTCATTGGCGGAAAACAGTACTTGGGCCAGAGCCTTGGTGAGTGTGTAGAACAGCAAGTTCAGGACCCAGTAGAACATTTCGATCAGGAAAGGAAACTTGGCCAAGACTCGAGAGTGCCAGTTGTCGGCGAACCTGGACGAATTGGGGGTCCGGACGATGACGCCGCAGCAGTTTCGCTTCTTGGGCGGGTGCTTGGACGAGGTGAAGACATCCGAGTCGGAGCTGAGGGAGTCGGAGTCGGTGAAGCCATCAGGAGAGGAGCCCTGGGAACTGTTGTGGGGGAGCAGAGAGCGGGTAGGTGAGCGGCCTCGGCGAGAGTGAAATATGCGAAAGTTGTGTCGCCGATTAAAGTAAAGCGAAGCAGTCATGATACTGACAACAATCTAGAGCAGTCAGCGAAGAAGCATGGGGACGTTCTGGATGGGCGTTGAACGGACAATTGGTTCCATCCAGGTATGGGAGGCGAACTGGGCGCCACCCATATCGGGCTGGGCCGCCTCAGCGGCCTCGGTGACGTTGAATGGTATCGAGGCCATTTGGAGTTGTTTTAAAACAGGTGAAATCGAACCGGCTTCTCGAACAAAAGGTCTAACTCATGAATCTGGACGGCCGTTGCGAAAGTGTAAGCCCAAATAGGGTGTCGCGTGCCCACCGAAGGATGGTCACGTGCGATAGGAAAGGTCGACGCGATGCAGCTGCAGACACGTCGTCCGGGTTCTGAGCGCACCGAAAAGGAGTGACAGCACAGGTATACTGCTATAGACGCGTGGCGGAGAATAAATTAGGCCAGTATGAGGCCAGAGGGTGGAATATGAGGCGTGAGAAATCGCGGATTGACGGCCCTATGCCAGGGCAGCTCAAGACGTGTTGTAGGGGGCCGACCGTTGACGAAGGGACGCCGAGAGGCTTAGATTAAGGGGAAAAGAGAAAAAGGTGGGTAGGGGAGGGATAAAGAAGAAGATTCAGGTGAGAGAAAAAAGGACAAGAAAAAAAGATCGACAAGGAGACGATACCAGGATTGGGGGATGGGGAACGGGGGATGACGATGATGTGTGATGATGTGAGTGTGTAAGAGAGAGAGTGTGTGTGTAAGGCAGAGGGAATAAAAGAGAACGGAGGACCGTAACTGTGGTCCAGAGTGAGAAAAGGGAAAGAGATCAGACAAGAGTGTTGAGAGAACACAATACGCAGTGTCGTAACGGAGCGACTCCTACTCGTGCGTACTCGGTACTCCTCCCAGGTACCAGCTTGCAACGCACGCAACAATAATATTGGAACCACCACTGTTCAGTTTTAGGCCAGGCGGTGCAGGCGTCAGGTCGAGGTTGGCAGAGGTTGCTACTAGTGATTTCTCTGCTGGAGGGAAAAACAGGCTGAGTCGCTGGTAGTCGCAGGTGGGCGGGGAGGGCGCCCCTGTCAGCCCACAAGCCCAGTGCGCCCACCAGTCACCGTGCAGGGCCAAATGGGGAGGCGAGGCCACTGGATGCCCAGTTGATTTCTTTTTCTCCTGAGAAGAGAAGTGCCTGAAGATTCAAGAGCCACCTGGGCCTCCTACGACAAAAAGTGGGCAGAGTGGGCAGGTGGGCAGGTGGGCACATGGGCGTCGTCTCCCTCGGGCGGCTCCAGAGGTTTTAGGCTGCTAGGCTGCTAGGCTAGTTGAGGCCTGGAAAAGGGGAGCCATTTAGGCCCCATGCAATCATCAGCGTGCCTCGTACTGGTCAATGGTCACGCCGCTGGTGGTAGCCTCATCATGTCAGCGTTGCAGGCACCCCCCGGACGCTCCCCAAGCGGAAAGAGGGATATTGGCAGTGGCGAGTGCGCGTCTCCTTTAAAATTCCCGCTACGAGCACGGAACTCGCCAGCATCCAGAAGTCTTGCATAAAAGCCATCACATCTCTTGAGGCCGTCGCATCTCAGAAGGTGCTCACACCGAGTCCGGAATACTCGGTACATCGTGTACTCACTGGTCAGAGCACCGTAAGTCAGTCGAGTGACGCGGCGACCGTCAGGCGTGCAGTCTGTCTCCTGCAAGTCTTGTGCACCTGGGGGCAGTCTCCTAATTATTACACACCTCTACCTATTACTCTCGGTACGGCGACCGAGTACGCGCTCTCAGCCTTCCGACCTCAGCCCTGATGGCCCTTTTAGCCCTTTTAGCCCTCGATAGCCCTCGACGAGTCCCTGTCCCAAGAGCAATATGCGGCTACTCTCGGGCCCCGACTCCCCAAACAGCAAGGCCTTGAACAATAATGGATGAATAATAAGAATAAAAGCCTCCTCCGAGGTGGCTGCATCTCGTATTCGCCTACCGCAGACTTGGCTTCACCGACTATGCTCACCATGGAAGTACCTCGTCTGCTCACCATGCAGTTTGCACGACCGTCTACTGGGATAGTCAGCAGCATCCAACATCTCGGTGATGTGAAACCTCCGCGCATAATTCGGCCTTTTACTCGATTTGAGGTCATTATGCGAGCTCACGCACGTACTGACGGGGCCACACCGCGACACAACGCTTCCAATCCACTGGGTCATAAGATGCTGGCATTCTGCCAATCATGATTCTCGTCACTGACTCTGTCTCTCTCTAACTGGTGGTAAAATATCCAAGTACGTGAGAAATGCTCTAAGAAATGAGAAGTTGAAAGATGAAGAGGCGAAAGACGCAAATAAAACCGAGCCCTCCCTCCAACTCCCACCCTCTGAAGGGCCACTCTCTCCAAAACCCCGGACTCAAGTCGCCGTCAGGTCGGCCGACACAAAGCGTCGCACGTCGCGGTATTTGCCCTTCTGCGTCTTGTTGCCGCCCATCTTTCGAGGACTCGGCATGCCGGAACTTCCAATGCCCCGCATAATCATCGGCAACGCGTCCAACACCTGTTTGTTGCCTTCAAAGTAGTGATTGACAAACCCTCCCCCAAGGAGCCTTCGAATGGCGTGCAACCGCATCAACTTCCACCATTTGTCCACTCGCATCTCGCCTTCCCGATGCACCCGCACCACCATCTTGGAGGCGTTGTTGGACTGGAGCCCCAGTCGGGGGTCTTGCACCGTTAGGACAATGCTGGCGAACGATTGGTGCAGTGACTTCTTGTCTCGTCGATTCATCGACTTGGTACTGAGCGACGAGAGTGCCGTCACCTTTTCCAGCACCTCGTGCGTGTTGTGGTACGGGTTGTACCGTTTGACCAGGTAGGACCGCATGTGAGGCCGGTCATGGGGCAGTTCGTCTTCAGGTATCTCCTCGTCCTCCTCCGACGACTCATCGTCTTCCTCGCGCGGCGTGTAGCTTTTCTCGTACAGTAAAGCAATGTTCTCGCCCGCCGATACTTGGACTTTGGCGTCGTCTGCATCAAGCTGGTCGAGGAATGTCGCAACCGCATCCTCCGACTCCTGCTCGAGATCTTCCACTTGAGTGGCCAGGAAGCCGTACGTGTTTAAGGCGGCGGTGACAACTTCGGCACTGTCGTCTGCATCAACAAACGCCCCGTCACTCGACGCAATCTCCAATAAAAAAGTCATGACGTCCAGGATCTCTTCTTCTCCCGCGCCACCGAACGAAATGCAGATCCCGATGGCATAGATTGCCGCAGCCTTGACCGAAGTGGACTGAGAATCGGAGATGGACCGTTTCAAGGACGCCGCGACCGTGTCGTAAAGGCTGCCATCGGCGAACGTGATGGCAGTAAGTGCCATGGCCCTCAAGGCCAAAGTCGTTTCTTTCTCGCTCGTTTCTGCCTTGATGCTTCGGCTGAACGCGCCCAAGAGGTCTTCAACGCGGCCGTAGAGGACCTCGGCCAGATAGTGCGAGGTCAAGCATTTGACATATGTAGTCAGCGCATCTTCCCTGCTCTTGTTGCTGCTCCCTTTCCGATCGAGCAGTTCCGCGATAACGTCGTTCAACTCCTGTCGAGCGGCGTCCGAAGTCTGCTCATTGATGTCGTCGGTTTCGAGGAGAGCATCGATCGAATTAATACTGTACGACAACACCGGTGTCAGCTCGCCCACCCTCTAACGATACGACAAGTCGTGGCGAGTAATGGTCATCATCAAACTCACCTCTGGGTCGTGTCATCACTGAGATTGCCCTTGTCTAAATCCTCGTCGTCCGAGACGTCTCTGCTCTGGATGCGAGAGGCACTTCGCGAATTGGGCGCCGAATTGCCGCGCGAACTCCCTCTTGATGACTGCTTGGATTTGGCCTTGTTGGAGACGGTCTTGCCGCTCTCGAGGGCCCTGCGGCGCAAGTCTTCATGCATCTTTGCACACGCTCTCTGAGGCTGATTCTAGTAGAAAAAAATAAAGTGTATATTATGGCTCTTGTAGGGGGAACCCGATTATGGAGATCTGCTCGCTCGGATATGATTGCAAACGGCCGCGAAGGGTCGGGGTTTTTGGGCGTTGTCACCCTTTAGGTCTCGAGGCTCGGTATTTGGACAGATGATGAGGAGGGAGTCGTTGAATTTCCATGTGGGAGGAATTCCACGCCGCTTATTAGAATGGGTGAAAGGACAATAGGGTGGTCGAAAAGGTCCTCGAGGGGAAGGTCAGGCAGAAAACAGATGTTAAATAATGGGACAGCGCAGGTCTGAGAAGCGGTGACAACAACAGAATGTGGAGGAGTTTTGACACGGGACTGGACCAAGGGCTCCCCCCAACCTTGGCGAGCCACGGCGATCTGGAGAGTGCAGTGCGTAGCGGCGAGGCGGGTGACCTGGCGACCTGGACAAGAGGACCTTGCCAGCACATGCCAGCAAGCCTGCCTATGAGGTACCTACCTCGCTACCTAGGTACCTAGGTAGCTAGTAGTAGGCACCCAATGTTCGGTAGGCCTACTAGACAGGTGTTGCTGTCCGGTGCAGTGTCAGCCACTGACGAGTGACACTGCCCACTCCGGTTTAACCCGCGATCCCCCGAAGCCCCTCCCCCAGGCGCCCCTCGGCCGATCATTGCATTACAATTTACAACCACTGCACCGTCCACTCGCCCTCTGCAACTACCCTACTGTAAGTACCTATGAACTACCTTAGCCACACCCCCACAATGTAGAGTAATACACCCTGATTCCCTTCTTCATTCTTGCTATGACGACACGGCTCATCTGCTTGATTCGCAGTGATCATTCTTGCGGCCAATTCCCGTGACACATACCGCATAACGTCTCGCTCCTCGCGTCGTGCCACTTCAATAGGGCATACTGAAGCATTCCTCGCGCCCTTGGGCAAGGACGTACTCTGTTCTTTGCATCCACCTCGTGCAGCTTTAGAATACGATGGGGCTCAGATAACACAGGTATCGCTACTACCTAGTAGGTACCTACCTAGGTACAGATTCCAAGCCAAAGTCGGAGAGGGCTGTGGGTGGCTGTGATAATTCTGCTTGATCACTAAAAGGAAAGAGAAAAGATCGAAGTACTTTGACAATCCCCGCAAACACTCCCTCACTCACGCCCCAATTCAGCTTGATCCAAAAAAGCCCCCTGATCCGGCGCGCATATTCCTCCGTGATGTGTTGTTTTCCTTTCATTCTGTGCCGACCCCAGGCGTAGCTTCCACGTTGTGCATCCCACTATCATTGCCCTAGCCCGGTGTACACTCCGTACAACTTTGTTGGCACCACTGTCCTATGCCTGTTTGTTCACTTGCCCACGTGTGTTGGTCCCCCCATCAACAAATCCTCGTCGCTGGCGTCCAGAATATCGTACTCCTCATCTGTCAGAAATCCTTCGCCATCACTGTCCGACTCCTCGAGCTCGAGGCTCTCAACGTCCTCGAGAAGTTCGTGTTCGTCTGCCTTAATGGTTGGTTCCATCACGGCCACTGGAGCTTCTTCGACCTGTGTTTCACGAACATCATGCACGCTGGAGACGGGCGATTCCTTCTCGAGCTTAGGGAAGATCATGGTCGAGCTTGTCTGCGACTGGTCGTCCGCCTCGCCTTGCTCGCTGACTGATTTCGCCGTCACAGGGGCAAGAGGCAAGATATGCGAGCGGATAGGCAACTCAACAAGAGTCGAACGAACCTCAATGTCAACCCACAGCTTGTGGCCAAATGGAACGCCGCCTGGTGTCTTGAGACGCCAGTAAGAAATGGCCCGTCCTTCCCGAGCCGGTGACTTCAGGAGGACAGTAAAGCGAGCCGTCTCGCCGGGCTCGACAGGTGCCGCCCAGACGTTGCTGCGGTTGGCCATTGTCATCGCGCTTATGCTGGATGGATGAAGGATATCGAGATTACGCATATCATCACCCCCAATGTAGTAGACGGCACAGCCGGCTGGCCAGGCGTCAGGGCCTGGGTTGCGCAATGTCCAGGATTGAGAAACAAAATGGTTGGGAGCAACTTTCGTGCCGTCCGGGGTCGAATCCGTAACGTACCACGCCTGAAGATCGCTCGCGATGGGCTTCACAGAGGTGGCATCATTCGCCTTAGCAACTTCAACCATTGGAGTGGTCTCAACAGGATCCACCTCGGCAACAGTCTGGACTTGAGTCGCAGCATTGGCTGAGGTAGATTGAGTGGTCTCAGTAGCCGCATTCTTAGCTGTTGGTCGATCACCCAACTGAGCAACCTTTTGGCCATTCTCATTCTCTTGTTGAGTCGTAATCGAGACGTGCCGCAGGGGAAGCTTGATCTTGATCAGAGGATGAGACGGATTATGTCCATTGTTAGGCAAAGCCTCGCAGTTTGCACAGAAGTCGGTATCGTTACAGACAGCACACTTGTATCGATCACCGGTGATGTACCGCTTGTAGGAAGTGCAAAGTGGGCCGTCACAATAAATGCCACGATGAGGTGGCTTTGTAGTGCGCAGGGTCTTGATAGGCACGTAGATAGGCACGAAACGGTGGAAGGGGTGTTTCGCACTCGCAATACCAATGCAAGCGGAGCAATAGTCGAAGTCTGGGCAAGACAGACATTTGTGTCGGACACCATAGATGGCCTGCAACGAGAGTCAGATTGGTCAATGGGAGTGATAGAAGTTGAGTTACCTGTTCACAGCCATCACAAATGGCGTCATGGCGAACACCACGTCCCGGGCGGCACAGAGTTTGGATGTCCAGATTGTACTTCACTTTATCGGAGTCTCGTGCCTCAAAGGTATGAGATGGGTCATGCCCGTGTTGACCGTCCTGAAAACAGGACAAGCAAAGGTCATAATCGGGACATTCCTGGCAAGTGACACATTCACCGGCCGACAATCCTAGGAGTTCGTTAGTGCCTGATGCGATTGTCTGTTTGTGCTTGCACCTACGGAAAATACATGAATTGCAGGTGAGTTCTGTATCATCGCGCTCCGGGCTGATGGGTGTGGTCAACTCGCTGGAGGAATCTGCGGCGGCCTTGGACAATTTCTTGGGAGCCAGCGTCTCGGTAGTGCTGGGAATGACCATTCCATTACGAACGGTTCGCTTAAGCAACCAGTGCTCGTCCCCGTCACAAGTGACTCCAGCGTCAACGCAAGCCTTGCAGAGATCAAAGTCACCGCCTTCGCATATGCCGCAGTGGTAGTGTTCGTTCAAAACAGACTGACCACAGCGGTTGCAGTCGATTGTGTAAGAGGTGGCAGGGAAGTCATTCATGGTAGGAAGAGTGGGCAGACTGAACATGTCGCTTTGATTACCCTGAGTACCATTGACAGCGGCCTGGTCCATGCTTGAGGTGTTGACGTCGACATCAAAGGCTCCTGGGATGGCACACTTGGGAGAGAATTGGCAGGTCTTTTGAAAGGCCTTGAAGGAGGGTGCTACACTGTTGCCCAGTGGTTGGGACAGAACAGTCTCAAGGAAGTTGTTCCTCGGCTCAGCCTGGGAATCGGCACCGTCCTTTACAGCGAACTTGCTCTGGGCCATGTCGACGTCTTGGACGAGGCCGTCTCTTGCAGGCTTCCCCTCAACGGTAGCCCTCAAACGTAGCTTGAGCTTCGCTTTCGCCGCCCGATAGAGCTGCTTGTAGATGGCCGGATCGTTGCTATCAAGGGTGATGTACCTGGCCTGAGAATCAGAGAACCGGTCAAATCGAACGTCTTGCTCCGGCGGAATGGCGAGCAGGGAACGGAGCTGCAGACACGGAGAAGAATTAGCTCTCTCTTCAGTGGAACATCCAGGCCCAAAGCAGGGCTAAGTGAAAGCCGAGGGAGATCCAAGTCCCAGGCTGACACCGACAGATCTACGCACCTTTTGTGGAAGCACGTTGGCACCGAGATCCCGCAGAGCGAGTTTGAATCTTCTATTTGTCCCGTCGATGATGACCTTGACCGTGATAAGGGTGTCGGGACCAACGGGCCCTATGTGAGGATGAGGTGTAGCCATGATGGTTGATAAAGGAATTGGTGGATTAGGCGGTGTTAGGTAGGTTTGACCGTAGCACCCTGCGGGCAGGTTGTTGCAAAGAGTCGGTCAGACTAGGGTAAACAGACACCTCAACAAGTAGCGGACATGAATAGAGTCTATCTCCTATGTGTTGGAGGAGACACAAGAGAGGTTTACGATGAGGACGCAAGGAAGGTCGAAGAGGTGGGTGGGAGGTAGAGGTCGTGTATGGTGGTCAAACATACGCAGGCCGTCGAGAGATGACGGGTGCAAGTGGAAAGCTCGCAGCCTGGCTGAGGCAATGGGTGTATGGGTGCATGGCGGGAGGCGGGCAGGCGGGGAAGAGCAAGCACTCACTAGGACTTCACTACTGGCAAGCAAGAGACCTCGACCTCAGGCTCTCGGCTTCTCACTGCACCTCTCACTCCACCGCCTTGACTAGCCGCACGTGATGCCACTGGTGGGTGACTGGACAGGCAGCACCCTCACCACCCTCGCCCACCAAATCAAAATTCATTGCCCAAACCTCACCAAACATCACCAAGCATCACGGATACCCGGCTCACCTCCGCGATTCGCGGACCAACTTTCTCGCACAGAGTCAACATTCCACACCGGTTAGTTACATACTTGCTCTGCATCTACTTTTGCTAGTACAGTCCCAGGCCTCGCCACAACTCTCGGCAAAGGTTCAGAAACCGTTGCCTTTGTCTGATACGAAGCCACACCCTATCAGCCTGAGCATGAAAGCCTTTTTTCATTCTGCCTAGCAAAAGAAACCCTGCTTCCCGGCGCCGAAACTACCCTTTCGTCGACCCACAAGACACGAGGTGAGCCTCGACCTCCTTCAGCTCAACCGGTGGCAGCCTCGTCCTAATGAATCTTTGAAAATCTGCTCCACCAGTGCGACTAAATCGACAAGTGGACCCTGACAAAGCCTTCGAGCTTTTGCCTTTTGCCTTTCCTTCTGTGACCATAAGCTCACCAGCTCAAGAACTCTAACATTCATCAACAAGTTCTCCTTTTAACCGCGAGATATAATGTACATGAAGAATATGATCAAGGATATCTCGAAGCCATGATGGAAGGAAACAAAGGAGAAAAAGTCCCCGGGGTTTTGGATGATCCTTTAAAATCTGACGAAACCAGTTCCCCTCCCCTAAATGCATGCGTGCTCCGAACTCCATAGCCCGCTGAAAAGGGAACAAAAGGATCAAAATACGAGCAAATCAATCAAAGAAGAAATAGAGCACCCATAGACCATTGATCAACCAGACTGCGCTGGGTAGAACATGCCAGTGGGGGCAGAAGAGTAGTAATAGGGAGCCTGGGACGGCATCCCGTTGCCCAGTGGCATCATGTTTCCGTTGGGAGCCATGGGGAATTGCTGCATTCCACTCTGAGCGCCAGGAGTGAACATTGTCGGGTTGTAGTAGTAGACCATGCCGTTCGACTCATGCGCCAGCGTGCTGCTTTCCGTAGGTCCTGTGGCAGGCAGATAGTTTATCGGGTGCGATTGCGAACCGGGAACAAAGCTGGGTGCCAGTGCTGGGCCTGCCATTGGAACTCCAAAAGAGCTGGTTCCTGGAACGGGTGGGTAGAAGACGGCTCCATTGCTGTAAGGTGCCCCGAAATACGGAGCGGCGCCCATGACTGGGTATGGCTGAAAGCCTGGCGCGAAGACCGCTCCTTCAGGTATCTGCGAGAGAGGCGCCACTCCGGCCATTCCAGACATTGTCGGTTGGCCAGGTTGAGCGGCAGTCTTGTCTTCCAGATAAAAGTTGGAGACCTGGGCGGGTACTTGTTGGTGAAACGGTATTTCTTGCTGCTGTTGAGGAGCTTTGAAATGGAAGGCGGCCGGCGATTCGATATGTGCCACGGAGACTGTTTTCTGGGGGCGCGGTTGGTGCATGGGAATGGCTGCAGAGTGGCTGCCATACATCGCAGGCGCGTGCATTTGTGTCGGTGCGGCATTCATGGGGACGTGGCCGTTCATTATCGGCAGCCCAGTCCTCGACAGAGATGGCGTAGGCGCCCCGGACGGCATGCGGACCACAGGCCGACTGCTCTCATTGCCGGTTGCCGCTGGGCGAGAGATCACCGAGTCGGTAGGTGATTTGATGCCTTCTCGCATGGTGGATGCCCCCATGGAAGATTTCCGACTCATAGCAACACTCGGAGTATAGCCTCCCCCATATATACTCGGTCTGCGGCTGCCGTGGAAGCTGCCTCTACCACGGCCGCGTGTATATCCCGGCTGGTTGGGACGCAGAGCCCGCGGAATGAAGATGAAGGACCGGTCTGCGCTAGGAAAGATGTACCGTGGTGCTGCATCTGGGATTGAGACGCGCACGGGCTTGTCCCTCCTCAATGGAGGACGATGCTGCGGAAGCAAAACGTGATGCTTTTTAACGACATTTGGCACCTTTGTTTTCTCGGCCATGCCTGGGAGTGATATTTGGACATTGACATTACCCAGAATGGACGTGAACGAAAAGGATCTGTTCGGAGCTGTTGAAGTGGCTTTGACTTTGTTCTGGTCCTTCTCAGTTTCGGCCACCACAGGAATTGGTCTGGTTTCTTGCTGCGCTGGTTTCATCTTGTTCTCGTGCAGCTCATGGAGATCGTGCGCCCAAGGCTTGTCTGTCGGTTCGTTGAAACCAATTCCCCGTCTACACAAGTCAGTAAAGGTATCAAACGAATCATTTGTACCACTTACCCTGTGCTCATTGCAGGCCCATATGCCCGACCCCTACCTCGTCCAAGAGGTCTGGTGTTCAGCCCGATGGAGGACGAGTTCCGGTCATCATGAAGGAAGAACCCGCCCCTGGTAGGTACGAATGCGGGATTTGCATTCCTCTGGCGGACGTACTCTTGATGCTCCCTGCGAGCGCGCTGTGCTATAGTCTCCTGCCTAGAAGCTTTCGGAGGAGCAGCAAAAGCTTCAACAGCTTCAACAGCACCAGAATCCATCGAATCAGGCAGATTGTCAAATTGCAGCCGTTCCATCTCTTGCGACTGCTGAGCTTGACTCAACCCATGCAACATGGCTTCGGTATCCGCCGAGGGCGCAAAGACACTCTTAGGCTTTGTGGAATCATCCTGAGATATCACAGCAGCACGGCCACTTTGACCTCGCGCCGTTGCACCAGTTGTAGTTGCCTGCACCTGGTCTCGCTCGTCTCCACTAGACTCACTTCCTTCGAATTCTCCTTCCTCCTCACCATTAGTGACTGCGGAGCCCTCACTCAGGGAGTCATCCTCAAAATCGCCGAGGATAGATCCTTCTTCCTCTCCTTCGTCTTGTCGCCGCCGTCTGCTTGCGAGCAGATTTTTCCGTCGGGGCGCGGGCATGTTTGTAGTGATCCCGATCCGACTTGCAAGTCTTGGACTGGAGCGATTCGACGCGACGTAAATGGAATCTAGGAGAGTTGAGAATGAATCATTCTCGGTTGTCGAGCACTCAAGTCTCGACTCGATGGAGGTAGGACGACGGAACTCTATTGGGCAAAGACCATTTATAAGATCATAACACCCATCTCGAGGTTGCGCGGATGAAAAGGAAAGATTCAGAGCCAGATAGAGGAAGTCGGGGTTTGAGGTCTCTGATGTTTCAGACCGGTGATAATAGAATCAGTGCGCGATCGAAGAGGCACAAGATGCCCTTGCACTCACCAGCAAAAATGTCTTTTGACTGGAGGCGAGAAATGAAGCCAACTGTGGCACAGCTACTAAACTCGATGCGGCCGCTGCCCCAGATTTTCGTCATGGCAAGAGCCAACCTACCCGAGTAGTAGCCTAGAAAGGGGCCTAACTGCCTGGGGCCTAGCACGCCTAGACAATCCCCCCAGGCATGAACACCGGCCCGCTGCCAGTTTGCCAGTTTGCCCGTTGGGCTCAAGTCACTCCTTGTATCTCGTGGCCCGTAAATGATCGGATGATACATGCAGACCTACCTAGGTACCTACCTGGTAGATAGTAATGGTACCTAGGTATACATCTATGCAGTAGCCACGGCATCTATTCAAAGACTGTTCGCTGGCCTTTACTTTCAATGATTGCGCCCGTCAGTCTCTGCACCGTCTCTTCTGAATATTTCCCTTGAGCCTTGCTGGGATTCATCTTCTTGTTGTCGTACATGGATTCGGTCTTCTCTTCTCCGTTGTCAACCTCCATGATCCCGCTATCTTCCCTCGAATCTCCCTCTCCTGTTGCCGTCTTTTTCGCCGATTTTCCAAACCTCTTCTCATACCGAGTCGCCTTGTCTTCAGCGTACTCCATCCTGAGCTTGCGACCGTGAAGTCTGTGCAGCAAAATTTTGCTCTTTGACGATTTCGACTCAACAGGCGAGTTCCCGGCACTATCTCTTCGCTCAACCCAGCCTCGCATAGCCTTCTCTGCAGATTCTAGCTGTTCGAAATCAATCCACGCAAATCCTTTACACTTTCCTGAATCTTCAAACGTAGCCATGTGCGTATGGACGACCGGTCCACATACTCCAAAGTGCGCTTCCAGATCCTCCACCGTGGTGGTGAAATCCAGGTTGCCAACAAAGATTCTCTTGCTTGGAGGCCGGGATTGCTTCTCAGCATGGTCTCTTTTTTGCTCGGGTCTGCCCTCAAAATTCTTCGCATTTTTGATTAGCACCGGGCGGCCGCCCAGAAGAGATTCGCTCAGCGTGAGCGCCATGTCGATGCATTGTTGGTCAGAAAAGTCGATGTATGCAAACCCTTTGTTCTGTGCTTTGCCAAATTTTGGCGGACCTTGGGGTAAATGAATCCTGGTTATCTGATTTCGGCTGATCACATTCGTTAAATCGGAGGTCAAAAATCTTATGAGGTCGTCCTTCGTCGTGCCAAAAGATAGGTTACCGATCCAAATCCCGTGTTGAGAGCGTGTCGAATCTTTTTGAGGGACATCTTGTGTTTCGGTAGGTGGCTTCGTCTTCTTTGCTTCTGAGGACGATGTGCTCTCATTAGATACTTTTGCTTTCTTTGCTTTGCGAAGGGCCTTCTTGGACGGAGGTTCTGGCGCCTCCACGTCTATTTCGATCTCTGCGGCCTCTGCATTGCGTTTGCGGGTATTGGGCTGAGGTGTTTCTGTTTCTAGCTCTGTGGTACTCATGGTGAGCGTCTTGTTTTGGGATTTGCCCAGGTTGTTCGTAGACCAGAAATTGAAATACGAAGACGAAACGAGAATTAAAAATGGAGATCGAAAAATTCCTGGTGGAGCTTTCCCCCAAGTCACACCCTCAGCTCGTTCCGCAGACGAGCTCCACAAATTAATACCCAAAACGCGCTGCGGTTCTTCTCTCTAGACTCTGACTGCGCCCTTACTCCTCATCCCTCAACATCAGGCTGTTTCACAACCGCGATTCTTTGATTGTGTCTGCCGCAACTCCTATCACGTACCTCCAGTAGCTGCTCACCTACACAGGCAAGAAAACTATATCCTCGATGGAACCGACAGAGAACCATGTCCCAGGCGAGCAAGCCACAGTCTTGTCCGATCAACCTGCCTCGTCCAGGAAATCGTACAGGTATCTTCTGCGCCGAAACCCGGTTTCCAATATCGTGTGCTGACTGGCCTGCGCAGACGCAAGTATCGCAAAATTATGGTCACATTTGAGGAGAAGATGAGGGAAGGCAACACCCTGTTTAAAGAAGAGCAGAGAATCATGGATATCTCGCTGAGGCTGGCCGAGCAGACTGAGTAAGGCAAGATGCATTATTTTTTCGTTCACTAACGCTTGGAACAGCCAGCTCCTTCAGCTGCTTGTTGAACTCAATTCCTGCCCCCAAGTGCCCCAAAGACTACGTTACGATCTTCGGCCTCCCGGTGAGAGCCATCCCGGTGACGAAACTGTGAAGCCAACTGTCTCTGAAGAAGACGCACATTTGGATCTGAGAAAGGCTAGGAGACAATTACAAGCTGGAGAAGTCACTTTGGCTGGATACAGAGAAATCGAAGCCGCGCTCCTCAAGACCCGAGAATTTGCACCAAGTCGGTCGTATGCTTCACTGCTCTCAAATGCGCCTACGCATAGCCATGCACTTGATAAGATGGACCCCAGCAATGTTGCATCTTGCTTACTGTCGACGAAACAAGAAGAGCAATACCTGCAAGGTCTGGATGCATTCCTCGAGGGGACGGTGACCAATCCCAGGCCACATGTCGCCAACAGCCTGGGCAGTCGAAGCGTGGACAAGACAACAGAGCGCGAACGAGAAACACAACTAAGGAATCCGGTGTCTGTCTACAACTGGCTTCGAAAGCACCAACCTCAGGTGTTCCTCCAGGACAATGAGCCCAGTACAGAGAAGACGCCTCGAGCCACGGGATCACGCAGTTCTACACGCAGGTCGGCAAACAAAGATGCTCTCAAACAGGAGCAAGATTACTATGACGAAGACGGCTTTGCCTTGGAGAATGGAGCATCTTTAAGAGGGAAGAGGAAGCGAGACGCTGATGGAGGATATCGACCCAAAGGGGGCAGTTCCAGAAGCGCCAAGCGCAGGAAGGAAACCAAAGAGGATTCTGGCCGAAGCAAGCGGACCAAGAAGATGTCAATGGATGCCAGATAGAAGTGCCCGCGCAAGAGGCACATGCGGATGGTCAGAACCAGTGCTGATAGGCAGCCGACAAGGCCTTGGGAATCCCTCGACTCGAGTAGAAGAGAATATGATCTTCCCACGTGGTGTTGGAGTTGGATGATTCTTCCTTCTTCCCCTTTTTTGGCGCACGTGTTAATAGCAAGAATTGATCATGACTGCTTGGGGAAGCCTTTGGGTGGTGAGTGACTGGTTGGGAATTTTCCCCAAAAGCCGCACCGTGCCGGCAATGCGAAATGATGATTGACGGTTCAAATTATGGTGCCTTGTTAGTTGGAGCACCAGGTAATGGCACCAGGTTATGCTGCGTTTATGTCAGATGTCTCCCGCCTGCGCGGGCCATGCTCATCCTTAAGGAAATGCCGCTGATCAGTCTTCTCGGCAACTTCTCACGTCCAGCTCCGAAGACAGCCAAACTCCTTCGCCGGGATTTCAATGGCAACGACCATTCATATCTAGACTTCCTACCAAGTAATACCGACGAGCGCAGCTAGACTCCTTTTCCTTACCGTTGCAGGAAAAAAGCCAGATTGACACATTCCCTTGACACCTGAATGCGAGCGCAGCACTTCGACGAAGTAGACAGCATTGTTACACCCTCGACGATTTATCGCTAGTACACATCCGACCATGACTTGAAGAGTCTGTCGGCGAATCTTTGAAAGGGAGCGATCGGTCTTTGTCCTTTCCCTATGGCAGGCCTCGAGCAGATCGAGGTCCATTCCAGGGTGCGCTCTTCAGCGTCTACTTATGTGTTGGATTGCTGATATCAGGCTTAGAACTACCTCGTGCGCTGGGTCAATGTCAAACAAGAGCATACAATCTCCTGGACCATTCAGCCTCACAAGAAATCCATCAATCTCGGCCTGTTCAAGCATCCTGGACCACTCTCGAACCTGCATTCCGCTTCCTCTACCTCCCTACCTCCTCCTTCTCCCGTCAACGCACCAGTCGATGAAGATAAAGATAAAACAGAGACTCAGTCCACTGCGATCGAGAAGTTAACTAGCATTGGTCTGAAGGTGGTACGATGGATCGGCAAATGTGAAGCCGACAAGGTATCCCAGGGAAAACACGATGTACGATTCGGCGAGGGAGGGAACTATGCCTTGGTCTTCGACAACACCTTCTCCAAGAACATCTCGAAGACGGCGACAATCTTCCTCCTCACATATCCTACCGCGTGCCAACCACAGATTCAGTTTGGCGCGCAACTGTACCACCCACAGTCCATGGCTTCGGCGATGGCCATAGCCAGCACTTCTTCCCAGCTGTTCAAGAGAAGTCCTAAGCTGAAAGCCAGGGATAAAGAATCCGTCGACTCACTGAGACAGGTTTCCATTAGCCAGTCTGCCGGAGGCAGTATTACACCAGTTGCCGAAGAAACGAAACTTGCGGAAGACCCTACTTCAATTCATACGGGTGTGTTGCAGAAACTGAGGCGAAAGAAGCATCAGGGGTATGCGCGGAGGTTCTTCTGCTTGGACTATACCTCTTCCACGCTGTCCTACTACCGCGACCGCAACTCTTCGGCCCTACGTGGTGCCATTCCCCTCTCTCTGGCCGCCATTTCAGCCAACAGCAAAACCCGGGAGATTTCAATCGATTCTGGAGCCGAGCTCTGGCACCTGAAAGCCAACAACGATGCAGATTTTGAGTCATGGAAGCACGCTTTGGAGACCGCAACCCGGCTCATGTTAGAGGCCAAGACACCGGCGGACAACCTGCACCTTGAAACCGGTGATGGCACCGACGGCGAAAAGTCCGCATTTGAAGAGCAGGAATGGGCGAGGCTGGAGACTCTGCTCAGCAGAATCTCAGGCACAAGAGATGCCGTGCGGCGACTGTGTCTAGATACGTTGGCGCAGCCGGTGGCATTGCCTTCCCCGAAGCTGGGAGCGACTTCTGCCAGTACCACGCCGACCGAGGGACCAAATGGCGAGGATTACTTCAAGCAGGATGAGAGACGACCTTTTTGGAAGCGCAAGGTCAGTACGACTAATAGTCAAGCCAACATCTTCAAGCGCAGTGTTTCCGCCCAACTCGCTGTGCCGCTGCCCGGGGTCGAGCCAATCCTACGCAATGGGACGCCTCCTCCTCTTCCCCCGGCGCCTTCCACGTCGCGACCAGTGATGCATCACGAAGAAAGCATGTATGATCATTGCCGAGCACTATTGCATGATCTAGACTCGGTGGTCAGTGAGTTTTCTACATTGGTGGCTGAAAGCAAGGTTCGGCGTACAACTCCTCCAAAGTCTGCGGTGTCACGACTCAGCCTCCAGACGGTCGACTCGCAGGAGTATTTTGACGCAGAAGACCACCGGCATGTGCTTGATATTCACAGCGATACGGATCATGAGGCTGAAACGGCCGAGGAAGACGACGGCTCCGCAACCAGCAGCGACGTTGGGGAAGACTCGATTCATGGGCTGAGGCGCAGATCAGGAAGCGTGTCTTCATATCTTCCTCCTCGAGCAAGATCGTTGGCCCCTCTGCCATTAGATCCGGTCCCTCGACGGCACAACATAGCAGCCCCGACGGTCATGCCGCCGAGTCTTATAGGATTTCTTAGGAAGAACGTAGGCAAAGACCTCTCGACGATCTCAATGCCCGTGTCGGCGAACGAGCCTTTGTCCCTCTTGCAGCGTGCAGCGGAGCAACTCGAATACTCGCAGTTGCTGGATAACGCTGTCAGATGCAGCGATGCCTTTGAGCGACTGATGTATGTGGCGGCATTTGCCATCTCGTCACTGTCGAACACGCGGGTCAAGGAGCGATCGATCCGCAAACCATTCAACCCCATGCTTGGTGAGACGTTTGAGCTGGTGCGCGAGGACCGGGGCTTCCGCTTTGTTTCGGAGAAAGTGTCTCACCGTCCTGTGCAGCTTGCCCTACACGCCGAGTCTGAGCATTGGACGTTCACACAGTCACCTTTGCCATCGCAGAAATTCTGGGGCAAGTCGTCCGAGATCATCAACGAAGGGAAGGCACGACTGGTGCTCCACAGCACGGGGGAAGCATTCAGTTGGTCGGCGGCGACGTGCTTCCTACGAAACATCATCGCGGGCGAGAAATATGTGGAGCCTACGGGAACCATGACCATCTACAACGAGTCGGCAGGTCACAAGGCGGTGGTGTCGTTCAAGGCCAAAGGCATGTTTTCGGGTCGCAGCGAAGAAGTCGAGGTGCAAACCATCGACGCACAAGGTCAAGAACTGTCGATGGGCCTGAGCGGGACGTGGACCAACTCATTGCAATTGAAAGAGCCCGGTAAACTAGGCCAACGGCCAACCATCTGGTCGGCCGGTCCGCTGGTGGAGAACGCGCCGAAGCATTATGGCATGACGCTCTTTGCTGCTCAGCTGAATGAGCTGACAGCGGTGGAACTGGGGAAGGTGGCGGCGACGGACAGTCGCCTCCGTCCGGACCAAACCGCACTGGAGAATGGAGAGCACGAGAAGGCGGAGCACTTGAAGAACCAGCTCGAGGAAGCACAGCGGGCACGGAGAAGGGAAATGGAGGAGAAGGGCGAGGAGTGGAAGCCGAGATGGTTCTCCAAGGTGGAACTGGGCGACGAGGTGGTGTGGAGGCTGAAGACGGGCAAGGAAGGATACTGGGAGGAGCGCGGGCGAGGGGAGTGGACGGGGGTGGTGCCGGTGCTGCAAGTATAGCAGTGTGCGAGCCTCGAGATCTATCTATAGATGTATCTATATCCAAGGTGGACGGAGCCTTCAATCCGTGTTCCTACAAAGCATGCGAGGTAATTACCAAGGTAGTGAGGTACTCCGTATTGCCCGTTTGAGGAGGAGGCTGGGGATCTGGCATCTTAGTATCTGAGCATTTAAGCCATCACCGGCTGGGCGTCTAGCCGCCCCTTTTTAGCTCTTTGTTCCTTTCGTATCTCGGTCCAATGACACTGTATCCCGCCCCACGTTCTCCATCGACGAGTGTGAGTAGTGCCAATGCCACCCAATGGGCCAATGTTGGTCTCGCTGGTAGGCGGAAGATGCAGCGGCCCAGTGGATGCTTATTTCAAGGTTTTTTTCTCTCTCTTCCTCTTCACCCGTTGATGTCACTGTAGCACAAGATAGCACCAGCAAAAAGAGTTTCTATCTATCGACTGCTGTTCCTGGCGCTGCTGGAGATTGCCACTTGATACTCCAGACCATCCACCCGCTAGCATCATGCCTCCCTCCCATCCTATCGTCCGCTTCCCTGTTTTCGCTTTCCTTGTTGGCCTTTTTCCGCCTCGACCCGCAACTCCCCTCGCTGTCTCTGTTCCTCAAAGTTCAAACCCTTTTCGCAAACCCCTCGAAATCTATTTCCCCAGATTCTCCTTCACCCTTTATCTTTTGCCATCTTCGTAAAAGCCCTCCCGCAATTGCTCGTTGGTCCATATCTTATCAACCATTATCCCCAGCCTTTGCTTTGGTTTGTTCTGTTTCCTGCGCATTTCTATCCTTCGCCTCTATCCAATCAGCCACGAATCTCCGGTGCTCAGGTCTCTTGAGCCTCACACCATTTACCCGAGCCTGGACATCCGCAACCCTATCACAAAATGGACATTTAACTTCTGCCTGAACCAAGACCCTGGAACCCTCCCTATTCTCCTGGTCGCACATTCGTCACTGTATCAATAGTTATCTTTTCTCCTTCTTTTCCACGTCTCTTGAGTCAAAATGACCCTCGTCAAGACCTCTCTATCCCCATCCCTAGATCTTTGACCAACACACGTCCACGCGACAACATCACCGCAGCCGGTCCAAGGTCTGAACAAACCGATTAGAGGGTGACATGGCTATTGCTCAACGACCCTCTCCGCTTCACCGGACCATGAGTACGCCTCCGACCACTCCAAACACCTCGCCAAACGCCGAATCCAAGCAGCAAAACACCTATGCCAACGCCTCGATCCTGACTCCGCCCACTTCCCCACGGCAAAGTCGATCTTCTTCCAACATCTTAGAACTTACGACGCCCATTTCCGCTGCAGTCACGCAATCTCCTCCGGGCCCTACGTTGAAGTTGAAGGACGCCCGACTAGATCCCATCCAAACGGATGTTGGCAGCCAGAGCGTGTTGACTGAGACAAATGTCACCGAGTGTCCTTTTGATGTTGAGATCCTCAAGGATGAGTGTGGTCGAGATGCGGTCTTTGGGTCCGGCGCCTGGAGCACTGTCTACAAAGCTACCACCCACCCCAAACAGCGAACTGTCTCGGGTTCCTTGACACCGCCGCTCTCCCCAGCATTTGCCCTCCCGGTCCTTGTGGCAGTCAAAAAACCAGCCCGCCGAGACGCCATTTCCATTCTGAAGAGTGAGGCCAACATCCTCACCTACCTCCAAACCATCCCTAGTAGCGACGAATACGTCGTTCCCTTCTACGGCACCGTCGACGAAACCTCGTTGGTCCTCGAAGCCATTCCATTCAGTCTCGAGGACCATATCCGGCAATGCGCAGCTGTTGCTGCCCAAAATCGGTCGACTTGGACCATGGCAGACCCTGTCCTCGGCAGTGATGCGAAATGGTTTCATCTGGCACGGCAACTCATTTCGGCCCTGGTGTGGCTCCACAATGATGCACGAGTCGTTCACGGCGACATCAAACCCGGCAATCTCCTCCTGAAACACGTCCAAGGATCAGGAGTCGACGTTTCCTTTCAGCCTATCTTCGCCGACTTTTCGTCAGCCCAACGGCGGGACACCGAAGATACCACGGCGAACACGCTCTCGGCCGTCACGAGAGAGTATACTGCCCCCGAACTTCTCAACTCCAAAGTCCTCCGCGATCCCACGTCGACGGCCACACCTGCTTCGGACGTCTTCTCCACGGCAATCACGTTACTGGTTGCGGCGACAGGGCAGCTGCTGGTGTACCCCGGCTCGGTATTCCAGCGGCAGGCAATGGCTACCCAAGGCTGGATGGTCCTGAATTACGCCAGGAACGGAGAACAAGGTTCAAGAGTACCCAGATTCGGTATCGTTGAGAGGGTGTTGGAACGGGCAGTTTTGAAGGCCGACATGGGAAGGGTGAGCTCACAAGAATGGCTGGGGATCATCGAAACCATTGCACAAGGCGATCCTGTGAAGTTATGAATCCCATTTAGGAGGGGAGGTGGGAACCAATGATGGGATACGAGTTCCAAGCCGGAGTCTGGCTTGGCAGGGCTCGTTCCGGAGAAGATGGTGACATGGCTGAGGGAACGTTCAACTCACCTCATCTCCATTTGTTTGACTAGGCCAAGGCGTGATGCCAAAAATGTACCAGGTATGATGGGAGGGAAATGGTCAGAGTGGGCTGTGTGTGACATATCCAAGGATGTGTCCAAACCATGGAGGAGGCTGTCTGTATTGGATTGTTGTACTTCTAGAGAGCCCATGGGAATGGATGTTGAAGGACGGGTGGAATGTCCGCCGGCATGTACTGTATCGATGTATCTGATTACCTTTGTACCTAACTAGGTACCTACCATTCGCCTACCACCCGCCTACCTAGGTAGTGCTAGGTACCTAGCGAGTGGTTTTAGATGGGAGCCTTTCACGTGACTTAGTATCGTCAGCCTGGCCAATGACCAATGGCCAATGTCCAAGCTGCTTTGCCCCGCGGATGACCTCATTTGATACGGCAAACTCCGACCATCACCAACGTCCATCGACTCGGTATAATTATCACCAATTATCACCTTTCGTAATGGAATTTGGGCTTCAGTGGATGGGATCATCTTCCCACCTCGGCCACTCTCGGCCATTCTCCTTCTTCTGCCACTATCATCGGCCTGTATCTGTCTGCATATGGACATCGTTTATGGGAAGAGAAATCCGGGCCAGCAGGCTCCTCCTTTTCTAGCTCCTTCTTCACCCACGTCTGGCCACTCGTATCCAGACACCAACTCCACATATGGTGACATGCACGATTTCGCTTACACAAAAGTCCACCACGGATGTGCATTTTCCTGTTCACTTTCACTGCCTTTTGCCACTGGCAAGTGTAAGTTTGTTTCCTTTCCAACGTCAATCTAGGCCAGAGAGACAGCCAGTGGCCCCCCTCAGCGACCGTTGGATGGCATGACATTGAGAACGTGCGAAAATCCTTTGCCCAGAAGAGAAATGGAACAGCCCTCCACCCTGTGTCCGGCTTTCAATACCGTGCGACTGGCCTGGCCTCACCCAGAGCTGCTCTTGGCTGCTTGTACCTAGTAGGTATTTCTCGTCATACTCCATGCAAGAGGCCACATCAAGATATTCTGGCTTGTTGACTCTGACATCATTTGCTCACCGGGGCCTACCACACTTAGGGTCCTAATATCAAACTAAATTGTGTTGCATATGCAAATGTCCATTGTTCACTTCAGTCAGAGCCCCCCCAAAAAGAGTTCTATAAGATACTCTTCGTGTTGTTTTCCTCACCTCAGTCTCTATCGTATAGCTCTTGAGGATATTCTCGCCGAAGCCTCGACATCATGGACAACATCGACCCGGATTTCGAAGGCCGTGTTCTGGTCGTGGCCAACCGTGTGCCCATCTCTATCAAGACCACTCCAGACGGCGAGTTCGAGTACAGCATGTCTTCTGGTGGTCTGGTTTCGGGACTCAAGGGCTTGGCCAAGGCGATTGACTTCAAGTGGTTCGGCTGGCCAGGCATCGATGTACACCGCAATGACAAGGACAAAGTACGCCGCCATCTGCAAGACAACTTTAACGCCGTCCCCATCTTCCTGGCAGAAGAACTTGCCGACATGCATTACAACGGCTTCTCAAGTACGTCGTACCGTCATCGTCTTCGTCACCATCCCTCTTCTCTTGGACCTGTGTCATCTCGCCATTCCTTTGTTATCGCTGACTAGACACTGGCAGACTCGGTATTGTGGCCGCTGTTGCATCGCATGCCCGACAGAGCTGGCTCGGATGAGAGATGGTCAAAAGCGTACCAGGAGGTCAACGAGATCTTTGCCGACAACATCGTCCCCTACGTGGAGGACAACGACATCATCTGGGTCCATGATTACCACCTCCTGCTTCTCCCAGGTATTCTGCGTGAGCGACTGAGCAAGAAAAAGAATCTCAAGATCGGATTTTTCTTGCACACTCCTTTCCCCACAGAGGACTATTTTACCATTCTACCATTCCGAGAGCAGATTTGCCGGAGTTTGCTCCTTTGTGACGTGGTGGGGTTCCACACGAATCAGTACGCCAAGGACTTTCTGGAGAGCGCCCGCGTCGTCCTCGAGGGCGTGTCGAGATCCCCGAGTGACCTCCACTGGAATGGACGCAAGGTGATCGTCCATGGCTTCCCCCTTGGCATCGAGGCAGACGAGTGGAAACAGAAGTTGGGTACGGATGAGGTCAAGCAAGAAGTGGCGAAGTTGCGTGATGAGTTTGAGGAGCAAAAGATCATTCTCGGAGTCGACAGACTGGACTATATCAAGGGCATTCCCCAGAAACTCAAGGCCTTTGATCGCTTTCTGACAGAGCACCCGGAGTGGGTGGGCAAGGTGGCCATGGTCCAGTTGGCGATTCCCACCCGAGGAGATGTGGATACGTATCGAAAGCTGCGGGAGGAAGTGGAGCTTCTCGTTGGACGCATCAATGGCAAACACGGTAGGATTCTATTTCATATACCCAGCGTTGGTGTTCTCCAGATCATACTGACTATGAGAAAACATAGCGACATTCAAGCACACGCCGATCCACTATCTATACCGATCTGTGCCGCCGGACCAACTCTGCGCGCTCTACGCGGTTTCGGACGTGTGCATCATCTCCTCTGTCCGCGACGGCTTGAACCTGGTGAGCTACGAGTATGCGGCATGCCAGGAAGAACGCAAGGGAGTCCTGATGATGTCGACGTACGCAGGGGCAATCAAGACTCTGCCCCCGTCATCGATGATCCTCCTCAACCCCTGGGACACAACCCGCTTTGCCGAGAGAATCAACCAAGCAGTAAACATGGGCATGGACGAGCGGGCGCGGAGGCACAAGGAAATGATGCAGGTTGTGGATACCTGGACGAGGTGAGTGGTCGCCTTCCGGGTAGTAAGCCCGTTGCCTGATATAACAGACCCCGGACTGACTTGTGGGAATGACCAGTGTCAAATGGGGCAAAGCTTTCCTCCAAACCATGATGACCATGGATATCCCCCACGACGCCGAGATGCCGGACCGCGACCCGCTGGTAGACTGGAACTCAGAGGTCCCAGATGAGGAAACGGGCAAGATTCAACCCTAGCCTCCGCCCAGATTGCGCGAGGTTTCGACATGTCTTTTTATTTTTGGTTTTGGTTTTGTTTTTTCGTCGCGGCCTTTTACACTTGCACACCGTTACTTCCGTATTCCTTGCAGAAAAATCGGGCTGAAATAAACGGCTCCAAAAAGGCATCCAAGCGAGTCAGCGTTGGGGTTTTGTTTTCAGAGTAACATCCATGGGATGTTTCATTGTACATGCATTTCCTGTTTCCATCTTTAAGATGCATTATTTCTCTTGTATGGGAGATAGGAGCCTCGGAGCGGAAATACACAGTATATATTATTAGTGATACCTATGGCCGTGTGCGGCTTGAATAGACCGAAAAGGGGAGGGAAAAAAAAATTGGAAAAAATAAGAATGGTATTAGTTCAACAAACAACAACTTGGAAGTTCCAGGTTCCTATAGGAGCTCACAGTGACACCTCAATATCGAAGGGATTTGACATGACTTTTGTACACATATATCTTTCTGTATATATATGTCTGCGTGGTGGCATATGTATACCAATAATCCTACTACCCAGCAAGTTGCCCGGAGTATACAACGTGTGATTATCACACATCCATCAACCAACTAACTCTTGCGTCAGCATACTAGGTACCTAAGTAGGTAACCTATAGATATATATATATATAGGGCCACTGAGAGATGTATTGGGGCTAGACTCTAGTGCTTTAGTCTTCTAGAGTCTTGCCTGTCTTGGGGAATCTTGTATATATGTATATACTCCCTCTGTCTTTTTGTCTCTTTTCGACTTTTCTCGTTTCGGTAACATCCAATCCATTCCATAGCTCCGGAGTCCGGATTCTCGACACTCGATACTCGACACTCGACATTGCGCACCTCCGCGGATTTTTCATATTATCGATACTATCGACGTAACATTACTTGTAAATGATATCAAGCGTGTCATCGGATCCAGGACCCTTTCTCACCTGCAGGCGCCTAAAAGGTATGTATGGGGTATATGTTTCCTCAGCTCCTGGCATCAGCTCATCGCAACGTAGTATCCACTGCCATTAACTACCGTCACATCGTTCATCAAGCTATCGTCCGAGCATCGTCGTGTAATCGGAAATCTCGGTCCTGATGTCGTCTGCTCCAACCGATCGCTGTACATGCAAGCCTCGCATACAGGACCGGCCTCCAATCCCACCAACCCCTCTGCCATTTTGATTGCTGTGCTGAGGGGGCAAAAATCTCATCTTCATCCGAGGCCCGGAGGCCTGGGGTCTAGCATCTCCAGATTCATCCAACGAAATCCCGCCTCTCGACCGCGCCGCCCATGCTCTCGCAGAACTCGCCCAATCTTCTGCCCCACTCCGCCATCCTCTCCTCCATGTACGCGCTCTCCTTCTTGTTCCTCTTTGACAACATGCCCTTTTGGCACTCCCAGTCCCAGTACTCGCACATTTCCTTGCCGTCACCGCTGGTGTACGGTCTGATTTCGTGGACGCGTTGCGTATGAAACAAGAAACGCGGGTAGCTCTTGGGCGGGTTGTAGGAGTTGATGCTGGTCCACACGAGTCTGTACACGCCGGATATCGAGGTCGTATGCGTCTGGGTGCGCATCAGGGCGGCAGCCCGGCTTCCGGGTTCGTCCTGCGGGTCGTCCGGACGCGAGACTTCGGTAACGACGACACCCTGTTCCCTCATCTCTTGGCTGTGGGGTAGCTTTATTCTCATGTACAGGTTCATCTTGGTACCCAGCTGGATCCGCACAGAGGGTTCGCCGTAAAGAGCGTTGATATGTAGCTGTCTCCGGTGCTGGGTGCTAGTGGCGGATTTGCGCCGCGAAGCTTTGGCCGCGAGGGCGGTCGATTGGGTATTGGCAGGTGCTGGCATGAGAAGAGAGGCATTCCCGGGAGACTCGAGCAGGACGGAATTGGCGTTTGTGGTTTGGTCTGTAGGTGGAGGAGGTGATTGGCCCGAGGATAGGGACGCCCTGCGTGCTTCGGTCGCGGCTTGATACTTTTGGGCTGCGGACAACGCACCAGTGCCGTTGGCATTTGTGGTTGAGTTGTTTCGTGAGGGCCCGTCCACGCTGTTCTGTGAGATTCCCGAGAACCTGCTGGCATTGCTGGCTAACCTTTGCCTTGTCACGGGTGGTGGGCTACTTGGCCGCTCAATGCTATGTGAGCGTCTGGCACCTCCGTTCCCTACACTCAAACCACCGCCGCTTCCCCTCCTAAACGCCGTAGAGTGCTCGACTGGCGGGCCGGGCATAACTGCTCCGTCGGTGATGTCGGAATCAAAATTCACCGCGATGGAAGTGTTTCTCACCAACTCCTCGATTTCGGCTAGCGTGGCGTCATCTTCGTCATCCGGTTGAAACGTGATTGCTACACGCGGGATCCAGCGATTCCAATCTTTCCAGGTCTCGGTGTTGCGCAGGGTGCGGAAGACCAGGCTTGCAGGGGCGTTGATGCGTGTGCAGGCTGAGACGTAGAATGTAGCGGTGGATTGAGGTATGTCGGGGGTTGAGAAGTCGGTTTTTGTGGCCATTGTGCTAGGACTTGATCTCAGGAGACTTAGATCTGGCAGATCTTTTGAGAGGACTGTACCAAGGGTCGAAAGGCTGATCTGCTATGGTGCGCGACAAATGGTCCTTGAGATATAATGCCTGTTTTGTTGCTATGCTTGCTTTCGCCCAACATGTAATGACACGGCTGAATACTAATGGTGGTCAAGGTCGGGGCGACATAAAGGTTGTATGTATACGCAGGGCGCCAAGGCAGCAGCGACAGGCACAAGCTGGAGAACGGTGGTCAACGCGCTATTTTTCCCCGTTTCTGAGGAGTCAAGCCGATCAGGATCGCGCTGATGCAATGAAAGTGGCTCAATAGAAGTTTTTATGCGCTAGAGGGCACAGCTTCATCACTTCTCTTGCGACAAGAGAGTCAAGAGGACGAGTACAGCGTTCGTGAGTCAGAGTGCGCACATGACTTTTCGGGTGCCGACTTGGTGGTGGCCGTCATATACTTGGCTACTTTGCAGTAGTAGATCTCAGGTGGAGAAGCTCGCCGAGTTTGCGGTGATGGGATGAGACGAGTGATGAGATCGCTAGTAGTGCCGAAGTTGGGTGTATATGGATGCGACGTGTAAGGCCAACTTGAAGGACTGGTTCACCGCTGGTGGGAAAGGCATGAAAAAAAAAGCGAGATTGTAGAAGGGCGATGATGCACTGGGCGTGTGGAGGCACCAGAGGGAAATGTGGGGGACGAGCCAGGCGCCCAGCACCCAACCAGATGCGCCCAGCCAGACGCGGCAAGTGCTAGCGAGTATCACGTGACTATCACGTGACTGTAATATCACGTGAAGCCATACTCCGACATCACGTGACCGACCTGACAATTTCCTCGGTCGGCTGCTCACTGCGTCTAAATCCTCAATTGCAGTTGACGGGTGACGAGTGAGCACTTTCATCCATCTTTCACTGAACCCGAACCCGAATCAGACCACTCAAACACGACCATCTTGAGCATCATTCTGTCCCTTGCCGTAAGCGAACGACTGACACTAGGTCGACGCCTTTGCAAGGAGAGCCTCAGAGACAGAGATTCTCGAGATTCGCATGCAGGTGACACAGGCATTTAGCTAACCACACTGGAGCTTTTGTAGGGCTTCTTCCTTCTGCTCTCGGCCCGAAACCTGGCTTCACCCGGACCCATCCTTCATGCCTACCTAGGTACCTACGTGCTCCGTACACCCACCATATTACCTATCTTACTCGCCAGACTCCAGACTTCAGACGATTGGGCGGAACGGCCCTAACCAGAGGCGGGTGGGCCCATTGAGGCTGTGTCCCTTCCCCCGCGAAGTAATGCTGGTTACCTGCCTCGCTGCGTCCTGAATACTAGTGACCCGCCTTCATCCAATGCTGGGCAATAACCATTCTCTTATCATGGCAATCGGGTGGGAAAAAACCATATTACCTGCCTGGCTCCCCTGACGAATTGATGGTCGATGGCTGTGTCTTTGCAGAATTCCACTCCTGTTATTCGAGGATTGTGTCCTTGTATTCGACCCTGGATACATGATTGGGTGTCGCTGAGCTGTCTAGCCACAAGATAGGAGCCTATCGGGCTACGCCTCGGCTCGAGGCACACTGCGCTCAACAGGTGGGTGACGAGTGAGGCCCAGCTGGTCAGTCCCAAGCCCGGTTGTGATGTAAGTAGTGCCTGCGCCCGATGGGCCGTCTCTCTGAATCGTTGGCAAGCAACCCTCCACTTCATCTACTTGCCTGGTGACAATCCAAAGAAGAGATGCAATCAGAAGTCCAGCATAGTGTCCCCCTGCCCAAGCCTGCTTCATGACCAAATCCCTTGCGACTGCCAGGCTGTCTCATGTCTTCTGAATCCCAAGCCCCAGCCGACACGTGGTCCAGTCTGATCACGGACTTGAAAGAAGCTCTACTGGGCGAGAACACACCGACACCTTGTTCCAGCGAAGAAGAGTTCAGGGACAATTTCGAGTCTCTCTGCAACGATCACAATGAACCAAACGCTCAGCGACTTCTTAACCTTTTCTCTCGACAACATGGTGCCATCACAAGGTTCACCAACGCAATAGACGACGCTCAAAATCTCCAGCCACCAGACACACTCAGTGATTTGTTCTGGCAACTTGCTTTTGCAACCATTCAGGTCGGACCGCGCAGGATGCCATTATTAACAACCGTGGCTAATCTTCCCAGGCCGCGCTTGACGCAGACGTGTCTCTTAAAGACATCTTCGAACAGCTGAACCCTCTCAACTCAGCCCTCAAACCCTTCGGAGCGCAGCTAGCGCAGTTTCCTACCCGACAACGGGTGCAAGAACCTCTTCAGGCAGTATTCAGAGAATATATAGAGTGCTACAGCATCATGCTAAGTCAATTTGCGTCCCATCCTCCCGGTAAGATCACGCCATCCATCATCTAACGAGGTCAGGACTGATCCTCCTAGGGCTTATTTTTGAAACCTTTCAATCTCGGGTCGAGACTGCGTCAGAGCTCTTTCAAAATTCGCTAGAAGACTGGAAAGAAGTAGTGAAACAGATTGGAGAAGAAGAAGGAACAGGATCTCTGCCTCGATTGCCACATCAGGGCCAGGACCATCTACATCCTGGTGTGACCACAAGCACGAGGTTCCAGTGGCTTGAACCGCTGGGCACTGGCACTTATGGCCAAGTCTCCAAAGTCCGCGAGGTCACTACAGGCAGCATCTATGCTCAGAAAACCATCCGGGTCCAAAACAACCATCGCGCAAGGACCATTATTGAAAATCAAGTCAGGAACGAAGTAGCCATCATGCACAAGCTGCGTCACCATCACATTGCCCCTGTGCTTTTCTATGTCAAGGACGAAACTACCTTTTCCATCATCATGCTCCCAGTTGGCGACTACGACCTGCGACATTTCTTGGAGGTCAAATGTGAGGGCTTTCCGCGGACTGAGACAAGGCACCTCGATCAATGGTTCGGTTGCCTGGCCTCGGCACTGGCGTTTGCACATCAGGAACGAGTCAAACATGAGGACATCAAACCTTCGAACATACTGATCCGGGACCATCAGCCCTACCTGGCCGATTTTGGCAGTGCGATAGATTTCTCCTACATGGAACGCAGCACCTCGTCTGATGAGCACATTGTGGGCACCCCAGTGTACTGGCCACCGGAGCCAGTACCGCAGCGAGGACGCGCGGCCGATGTTTTTGCTCTGGGATGTGTCTTCAGCGAAATGCTCACCGTCAGGCAGCACAGGTCGTTGCAAGAGTACCGTGATGCACGCTATGTCCCTCACCACGACAATGGATATGCCTTTCGGACGAACTTAGAGACAATTTACACCTGGCTTGACGCACTCCCGGACCACGGACCTGCAGAAGTTAGGTTCCTTTTGCTGGAGCAGACGAAGGTATGTTTTCTGGGACTTCGTACAGTCGTCAACAATCGCGTTGACTTTCTTCCGCGCAATGTCCAAATTGCTGACTTGGTTTATTCGACAACATCAGGGCATGCTGGCCGCAGACCGCATGCAGAGACTGGAAGCACGAGACGTCAAGAGAAATTTTCGACGCGAGGGAGATGCATTGTTTTGCCTGAGCTGTGCATGATCGCAGGAGCATGGATTCTGTGGCAACATCAGGAGGGGTTTTCTTCTGGCCCATTTCTTTCGGTAGCCCACAATTTCGGGAGGAATACACGTGGTGTGATTTCTTTATACCTCATACTGTGCTCACAATTCTTCGGAAGCACTCGTGGCAGATTGGGAAGCAGCTTCCACCCCTGTCTGAGACAGTTCGTTCTCCTCGAAATTGTCTATTTCGTCCATCCAAGGAATCCCTTCCTGGGCGCCGATGCGCCCGATTGTCAATGCCGCTGCTTTACAAGCACGCGTGACCGCCTCTTTGATCTCCCATTGCCCCATTTGCTTCTGTCGCAAATAATCCGTCGCGTACGCGCCCGTGAATGTGTCCCTGAGGCCGTTGTCAGCGTTGGTCGGTAGTACTAGTTAGACCCAGGAAGAGACTTGCCCTGCGCCCGTGCAATCCAGGACATCGACATTGAAAGCGTTGACGTGGCCAAACTCGTCGGCTCTGCCAAAGAAGGCACCGCGAGCACCCAAGGTGATGACCACGTTCTCCACGCCTTGATCAAGGAATTCCTCGACTATCTCTTGCCACGTCTCGTCGTTAACCTCTTCGACCTCTCGGCCAGACATGGTGGCCGCCTCTGTTTCGTTCAACAACAGGTGTGTGATAAACGGGTAGAGCCTGCTCAGGATGTTGAGTGCAGGGGCTGCATTGAGCAGAAACTCGATGCCCGCAGCGCCGGCAGTGGCAATCATCTGCTCTACCACGGAGCGATCGAGTTCCATCTGTGCGATGACCAGATCCGGTCGCCTCCCGTTGGCAAGACTGTCGACGTTGGTGAAGTAGCCGGCGGTCAAAGCATCGTTTGCGTTGTTGGCAAAGGTACAGCGGTTCTCGCCAGTGGCGTTTTCCACCAGGACAAAACTCACCCCAGTCATGCCATCGACCTTCTGGAGGCGCGACACATCGACTCCGTTCTCTTGCAACGCATCTTCAAACATTTGCGCGTACTGATCGTCTCCCACAGCGCCAACCATACATACTTCAATCTCATTCTCATTGGAGTAGTCGATCCGCTCATCAAACGAGATTAACTTTCCCTCAGGGGGCCGGGCATGGCAGCTTCGATAGGCGGCGATGGCCGAGTTTGCTCCTTTCCCTCCTAATGCCTCATGATATCTTTTTGCCCTGTAACTTTCTCCACGCTCTGGTATATGGTCGGTGATCATTATACGATCGACATGGAGACAACCGATGACGGATATGAGCCGCGGTGCCATTGCACCAGATCGCGCCATGGTAAGAGAGCGAGAGGGGTCAGAATTGGCGCCCAATTGTCCACTTTGATAAAAGACAAGACACGCGAAGAGGCCCCAGGCCCTCTCAACCCTCTCAACCAATGAAGGGACTGAGCGATTCGGGCAGAGAGAACAGCGGCCGTGAAAATCCAGTTGATTGACGATCGAGCCAACACTGCATGCTGATTGCTCCACAGTGATCAAGTTAGCGATTCATCATTCCGCTGTATGTGGATGAAGCGATGACACATGTTTACAACCGGTGAGGCTGAAGCATGTCACTAACAATGAAGAAGTCAAGAATCACGAACCGACCGCAAGGCATCAATCTGCCTTGCCTTGTTGGCGCGAGGACATTTGTAAGAGGACGTGAGAACTGATAGGCTACGACACTGGTGCCAACCTCCGCCTTGGACGCAATGAAGTGCCTATCTGGGATTTCAGGTGGGTAGCGGCGGTGAGCGCGACGAATTCCATGACCGCCCGCATGGCACACCAATCTGTGCGCTGGCAAGACTGGCCAGCTACTTGTCTAGAGGAAGAGAGGGGGAGATGGCTGGCTGGTTCAGCGGCCAGCCCCTCATTTCATGCCCTCATGGCTGAAGCCTGCCAGGACTTTTCCCAGCATGCGCCTTGTTACCGTATCCTTTGCAATCTCCCTCCCAGGGTTCCCCAATTGCAAAGAGGAATGATATTCCCATACTCCAGGCACGCCCTTGAGGCCTGGACCCTGGGTGGCAGCCGCCTGCGAGGTAAACATATATGTTCCAGAATCCCTCACAAGACTGCCTTACAAAGTCTTCCACGCGTCCTACCTGACAATCCCAGTTCAAGATCTGGTGGGACAATCTAACACAGTGTACCTTATCCAATGGAGCTGGATTGTCCTTGAATTTGACAAGGTGGCCGCTCTATCACAATATCGTTAACAGCAATAGATGAAGGACAGTGTGGTGCTATTTCTGCGCACCGAAATGCCACCCATAATCAGTGAACGCCACCTTTGATCTATTGACTAACGACATCTTACTTTGCTATTCATCACTCATAGCCTTTAGGCAGTGGTTATCTTCTGTGACTGTCCACGGTTAACCGATGCAATGCTATAGTGGTTCAACATGAATGGCCTCGATACAGCCACAGGCATTGCAGGCCTGTTGACCTTGGCCTTCGCCTGTTTGCAAGGTTGTATCAAAGGTTTTACGCTGCTACGCCGAGCGCGTAGCCACGACCGTGATGTGAAGGTAGTAAGCTTGATGATCGAGCTCGAAGAGCACAAGCTTCAGACATGGGCCGAAGAAGTTGGCCTGTTCGATGATCCGCCAAACCTTCGGATGAACGCCCGAGATGCTCGGTTGGTACCAAAGATCTTGGAACGACTGCAGAATCTCCTTCTAGATGTGAACGGGCTCAAAAAACGATACAATCTGGACATTAGAGAGGGCACAGAAATGCTGGACCCCGACGAGTGCAATTCCGTCGATTTCAGGCTACCTCCGCAGCAGCGAAAGAGCCTGTCAAAGCTATTTGGACACAAACCAGGCTGGAGGAAGTGGACATGGATTGCCTTTGAGGAGAAGAATGTTCGCAAATTGATGGAGGATGTCAAAGTCTTTGTCGACCAGCTACGGCAATTCCTTGAGCACGAAAGACAGATCAAGATGGAACAGAGATTTGACGTATTCCTGCGGACAACTGTCGTCAAAACTGCCAACGAACAAGAGCTAGGTGTCATTGGTCGCGATCACAATTCCTCTTTCTCCAAGGGGGCTGTTCCCGCTGCTGCTCGCTTGAAACGACAGGGTCTTCTTCTCGGGGTGACAGAAACATGCACAGACAGTCACTCAACCATCCGAGGGCCTGATCCTCGGAGGACCCCTACCAACAGAGACTTGCACTCTTCTCTCTCCACCGTCTCAATCGCAACATCACCTTCGGCCTCGTCGATGTCGATGAGGCTGAACTCGACGGAGCTCGTCTGCGATTCTTCGCGGACGGAGGGCAATCGGTATTTTGCTTGGTATGCGCGTGAGCCGGTACTTCTCGAGTGGAAGAGCGGTGGAGGCATCAAGCTCTTGCAGCTCGAGAACCGACTGGACCGCGTTTCAGCCTTTTTGCACGAACTTGAACCGTCCTTCCACAGTCTGCCTTGCCGTGGCTACATCAAAGATTGGTCCGCAAAGGACCGATACGCCTATGTCTTTGATCTTCCTTTCAGCGTCTACCCTCCAGCAGTGCAGAAAAGCCCTGTCAGCAGACACATGGATCCACCATCATTGCCTAGTATGTACACCTTGCGAGATATGCTAGAACGACCAATGGAGACCCCGTCACTCAATCTTCGACTCTCCTACGCCATTACACTCTTGGAGACTTTGCTTCAGATTCATACTGCCGACTGGCTGCACAAGGAGCTTCGGTCCAACAACATTCTCTTCATCCGAGGACCACAATCGAACAATGCATCCGATGAAGATATTTTGCTTTCCCCGATCTACGTCGCGGGCTATGTCTATGCAAGAGTAGACCATCCAAACGAACTTACGGAGCCTACCGGGTCACACTTTGAAAACAACCTTTATCGTCACCCGCTGTCTATGGGCAGCTCTAGGGTTTCATATCGCAAGAGCTTCGATATCTTCAGTGTCGGTTGCGTCCTGCTTGAGCTGGGACTGTGGAAAACCCTGCCAGACATTCTGCGGAGTGGATCTAGGGACTTGCAGCGTGGCGTGGACGTACCGAATGCTACCTATAAAAGTCCGAATGTCTCATATTCGTCCTCATCAGTCATGCTCACGCCAAGATCATCATCTCACTCTATGACTAGACAGAGTCGTGGCAGTCTAAGGGAGAGGCAGAGCCGTGATTCAAGGCTGCAGAGGAGTGTTCACTCTGTCGATCAAGAAATGGCTGATGACAGCCCGGCGCCTGATTTTGACCTTTTGGAACTACGACATCAGCTACTTCTCTCCAATTTGACAGAGGGGAGCAGTTGTCAGGTGGCCACAGCAAGGAATGCCTCATCTAATGACATTCTCAAGTCGCTGAAAGCGGCCGCAGGCATTGGATATGCAGGGATAGTCGAGAGCTTCCTGGGGGTTGTTGAAAACATGAAGGCGACGGGAAGCAACGCAGACCTTTGGGGACACATGGATGAGCACGAATATGCTCTCAAGCTGGAGATGGAATCTCTCGACTCTCTCAGGGCCATTGCAAGAGTCATCTGAAGTCGCTGATAGAGACATCTAAGACCCCTGTTCAGATGGCTTCAGCCTTCAGTTTAGCGATGCTGTTTCAGCCTGACGATTAGCCTAGCGACCTCAGCCGTGACCGCCACCAACTCCTCTGCCTTGCCTTCGTTTATGTAGTTTCTGTCGCGCCTTCCAGCATGTTGTTCGTTTGCTCTACTGCGTCTCGGCGTTTCCTTTTGTTTGATTTCGCATTGTAAAGACAACGCCTTTGACTTGTGATGGTGCTTTGCACATTCGCGAGACCCCGCCACTTCTGAATCATGGCACCTGCGTCTTTGTCCAGCACTGCTTCTAACACTTCCGACCCTGTGGCAGGAGGCCATTTTGTGGCCATCGCGGACGCCGACGACGTCTTCAGTGATGAATCAGACTTCCACGGTAAGCCTCCCTACCTAGTCTCGAGAGCGGGCATCCTGCCCTGCCCTTTCATCATGCTGGGAGGGCTTGTTCATCTGATCTCTCGTGTCCTCTGCCACTACCCAGGGAGCTTGAAGACCAAGTCGACATACCACAAACTAGCCGAATCATACAATCCCCAGAAATATTGGACCATCCACGAATGGAGCACCCAGGTGGCTGCCGCGAGAGGGAGGGAACGAGCGAGAAGGCACGAAGAAGCTGCCGCCAGACACCAACGCGCAAAGCAGCTTGCCCTGAGGAACCAACAGGAAGCAGGCCAGCCGACGCGAGATGATAATGATGGTCCAAGTGTCCAGCTGCAGCAGGGGGAAGGGGAGATTCGAGTGGCTTTGGATGGGGATGGAGATAGGGTAATGAAAATCGACACCAGAGCCAATGCATCCGCAGGTCCCGAAGAACCTGACGCCAAAGTGGATGAAGACATGGTAGACGACTCTCGCGCGCCGCGACAGAACTTTTACGAGGGCATGCCATCCGCCAAACAACTCTCCGAGTCCGTATCTGAGTTTCTCACCCGTCTGCCTCCTTCGACCACCACTCCCGTCTCCGCTAGAGGCGGGCCGTGGATCTGGATTGCCAACCCTTACCCCCCTGCACGCGGCAAACAGTCCCGGACCACGAGCTCTAGTCCCGAGTCCGGAGGCGGTGATGTAGCCACATTCCGCCAACTCGGACTGCGTCTTTTAGAGAGGTATCTCTCCCGCAAACATGAGCTCGAGTCTCAGAATCCCGGGAAAGCCCCCGGCGCGATCACGCGCATGTTACCTCCCGATCGCTCGGAATTGGAAAGCGACATCAGGGAGCTGGCCAAGGCACAAGGTGTCACGGATGGGAAGTGGATGCTTTTCCTGCGGGAAGAGGAAGTTGATGCCGTGTGGGCGGTTGTCGCGCGCGCGGTGTGGGAGGGCAAGTTGGGCACGGCGGCTAAAGTCGCTACTGCTACTGCCAGAGGAGACGGAGAGATGATGGTCGACGACGATGGTGGAAAAGACAGAGGTTTGAGATTGATATGCATCTACACCCAGGACTTCTCGGACCAGGTAGATGTCAAGCGCGTGGTACAAGGCATGAAAGATCTCGGCCTGCTCAACCCCAACCTCGACGGACCGCCCAGCGCTGCCGGCACGAATGCTGCTCTCAAAACAATCTACTACAAATGCGACGCCTACACGCACCTCGACTTGACCAGCGGCAACGAATACAAGTTGAAGGCGAGCATGTACTCGTCCCGCGACCTGTTTCCGGAGTGGTACAGCGCCAGTACGTACACGACGCAACGATACCGTTGACTGACAAGAGAAGAGAGGCCAGAGCCCAGTGTAATAGACAGGGCCCGAGAGACGGGAATTCGAGGTTCTGCAACCCAACCCAACCCGAGAAACTTGTCCGGTGTGTGTGTCATGCAACTGGGATGTGTGCTGCGGTGCATTTGTCAAGATGTCAGGATTACAGGGCTTGTTGTGGTTGTTATTGTTGTTATTGCTGTTGTCGTCGTCGGTGTCGCTATCCTTGCCTTCTGCCAACAATGATTGATGATATCTGCTGAGATTGATGGGATTGTCAATCACGATCGGGATATAGGCGGCGGCGCTGTGTGTGTAGTCAATGTGTATGGAATGCAGTGCCACCTGCAGGGCGTACTCGGGACATACTTACCTAGGTAGATAGGTATGTATGTATGTATGTAGATATGTTATCCAGGGCAAGTAGCTTGAAAATACCCCGTTGACCTGACCTGTCCTGCACTGCAGAATGTGTGTCCGCGCACAACTAATTACCTTCCCGTGCTCGGGACTTACCTACCTTACTCCGCAATTAGCTGTACAGAAAAGCCACTGTACGGGAACAAAAGAGTCAAGAGACAATGGTTTTGAGGAAAAGGTGTATGTAGCTGACTTGTGCGGGATTATTGTAGATACCGTCCTTGGTGGAACGGACAAGTGGTTTTTACAGTATCGAGCAGATTGAGCCAAAAATGGAGTTGATCTGAATAATATCGTAGGAGAAGCACACTTGGGACGAAGATTTTCTTTTTCATCTCTCGCTCTGACTTTTGCTTGTGCTGAGCTGAGCTGAGCTATCAGTAAAGGTGCGAATGCTCTCAAATCATGACATCTGTCTCGTCTCGCTTCCTCCCATCCTCGCTTGCCTTCCACCACCATCGTCATCATCTTCATAATCAAATCATCATATCGTCTGTGCTCTATACCGACCCCCAGCCTTCCGCTGATGCATAAACAGAAAAAGACATTGTAACAAAGGAGAGAGTGAAGACCTCGAGACGAGACGACCTCGATCTCGATCATTGCAACCACTTAGCCAAGACATCCCCAGAGCGCCCAGTCTGTGCAACCCATGGGTTCCATCTGGTTTTCGGCAGATCCAATCCCGCACGCCTCCCCAAATCTGTACAGTAGTCGTGTGGAGGTTCGGGGGCTGATGAGTGCGGAGGAGCTTCCCTCATTTCTTGCCCTTTTTGACCGACTTTGCTGCGCCAGCAGTGCCCAGCGCCGCCTCTCTCATCTTAGCCTCCCGGTCGTTCTTCTCCTTGTCGCGGGCTTCTCTCTCCTCCTTCTCGGCCTGTTTCCGTGCCGCAGCGGCCTCGCGTTGCTCGCGGATCAACTTCAGTCTCGCCAGGTCTGCCCTTGCCTCGTCGGTCTTGCCCTCCGCGTGGAGCTTCTGGTATCTCTCCCGAGCTTGCTGTGCAGCAATGGCTTCTCGTTCCCGCCTGCTGAGATTCTCCTTCTCCGTCTTCTTTGGTGCTTCGCCGCTGGGGCCCGTGACTGCTCGTGCCTGCGACCTTGCCTTTTGCGTGTGGTTGGGGTTGGCCGGCATGTCATCGTCATCTTCCTCCTCTTCATCTTCAGAAGTACTGGGCAGGTCCCCGACGGCCGCGGCCTTCTGGTTCTTCTTTGCAATGGCTTCTTGCTTCTTCTTGCGAGCGAGCTCTTTGCGTTGTTCCCGACTCAGCTCATTTGACGAGGGCTGCGCTGCCGAGGCTCCCTCGTCATCGTCTTCCGAAGACTCTTCTTCCGATGATTCTTCCTCTTCTGAGGGCTCTTCTGGTCGCTCTCCTGGTTCTCGCCACATGCCCATCTGGTTTCCCTCTTTGTCCAGAGGTTGCAGGTCACGGGAAAAATGCTTGCCACCTGCGGTTCAGAGTCAGCCAACTGGTGGTGGTGTGGACGGGTTGGATTTTGGGTGGAATCAGGGTGTACATACCTCCTCTGGTGGGCTTTGAGAATTTTCCTCCTCGTCCTCGTGGAGCCATGGTGAAAAGTGTAAGAGTCTAGCGTACACAGGGAAGTGTGTGGTGAAGAAGAGCAGCGGGGCGGGAGGTCTGGTGTGGAAGGGCTGCTGATTGCGGTGTAGCTCAACAGAAAGCTGGACTCGGTAGGTAAATTTGCAAGACGCGCTGTCCTTGAAAGTGCGATTAGCAAAACCCTCGTTCAGACTGGATAGGAGGCAGGAAATGCGGGCATGTGACTGGGACAAAGGGCGGTGGCCTCGAGGTTGCAACCAAAAGATTTCTTTGTGCCCAAACGCGGGGAAGAAGAGCAAAAAAGGGGGTCAACCTACCTAGGTACACGATTCCCCAGTAAAGAGACCGATGCCACAGAGTCCTCCTGAGGTAGCGAGAGAGAAGAGAAAGTCACTTGTTGAAGATGCTGAAGAAAGAGAGAAATAGAATGAGCCAGAGGAGCCAGAGGAGCCAGAGGAGCCAGAGGTGCGAGATGCCGCTGAGTTGTCACTGGAACCGCCAGCCTCGTCCCACCAATCAGCACCGGCTCCCACGCTCTGTGGTGGCGATACAAGGCTGGCGCTCCCTGAACAGATCCAAGCACCGCCAGCATCCCTCTGGCTGATCCTCTTGTCTAGACCTCGAATACTATGCCAGAGTGATACCAGATATTTAGTATCGCAGATATGGTGATGAGATACGGGCGAGGAAGGGGCCACCAGGAATCCCACGAACCCTCCTATAACTTTGCTCGCTTCCATCCTACAGTCACCCATCTTACACACAGCAGTACCACTGCCGCCGCCATCATGCTTGTTGCCGAGAACAATTGCAACCCAGTAAACCGTCCCCCCTCGCTTTGTATCAGCGCTCCTGCTATAGGGGGTCCTGTCAAGACTGCTATGCCCTAGGACACACTTGGGGTTAGGACAGTGCTTATAAGGCCAAAGGTTCAACTTACCGCGATACTAAACCCCATGCCCGTACGAACACCTATCATCTTCGGATCACTTGTCAAGCTGGTGAGCACCACAGGAAACAAAGCCTGGATCCCGGCGGCGACAACGCCATATGCCACTGAGAAGATCCACAACCCAGTCACCGAATCCACCGCCATCCAACAATAGAGAATCATACCAGCCACAATGACAAGGGGGATCATCAAATTCAATGCACCGACCCATCTCTGAGCGATATATGCAGGGAGAATGCGTGAAGGCACTCCCACGCCGTTCATAACCATCAGCAAGTTGATGCTCGTGGCTTGACTAGTCCCTAGGGCGTCCCTGCCAAAACTACCAATGAAGAAAAACCCAACATAGACGGACCAAAAATAAAGGAACGAACCGATGATGTAGAGCGTATATGGTGCCTCCTTGAACGCTGACCATTCTACCACTGGCCCGGATTTGCGTGGCGGTAAACGTGGCTGTCAGAACAGATTAGCTCCCATCACGATCGACCAGAGTCAGCTACTCACTTTCAGAAACAAAAACGCCACGACTGCGAGCAAGAGCTGCACAAATGCCATGGTACGAATAGTCCAAGGGAAACCAGCCTTCGGCAACATCGTTTCGGCGATGGCAGGGAACACGAGACCGCCAGTCGCCGAACCTGTCACGGCGATACCCAAAGCCGTGGACCTTTTGTGGGCGAAATAAGTGCTCAACAGCGCCAGGGTTGGAACAAATGCCAGCCCATATCCAAATCCAACGCAGAGAGTCTGGGCCAGGAAGATCTGCCAGTATTCACGGCACAGACTGAGCAAAAACAAGCCCACAATATAGACGACACTTCCGCCAATGTACTGGATGTTGAAGAAGCCTGCATCGAGGGCTCTCCCTGTGAAAGTCCCCATACCAAACAAGACAAAGACTTGGGTGGTCCCTATCCACGCCACTGCGCTCGGATCGCCTATTCTCATTACCTGGACGTAGTAGGTTTGGAATACCCCAAAGCTGTTGATAAAGCCCCAGGTATTGAATATGACCAAATGCGCAGCAAAGGCCGTCGCCCAGGCCCTGAACCCTCCATCTGGTGGTGGCCCGGGATCCGCAATATCGGGCGTCCGGACTCTAGAAAGCGTCTTTGAAAGGACACCGGCAGACTTTTGCAGGTTCGACGTCGTTAGAGGGATGTCGCCGGTGGAGGTGTCAATCTCGACGACATGTTCCTTCTCATTCTGGATATCTCTCTGAATCCTCGAGATCTCGTCCACCTCGACACGATCTTCCATGATTGTCCTTGAAGATTGGACATGCACCTGGCGTCCTGGCCGAGAAATAGTTTAGGACTGTTGGTTGCCTTTGAGGCAGTCCTCGCTGGTAGAAGACATGATGGAAAAGTGACAGAGGAAACAGCACACGAGAGATGGCCTTGATTAACCGACAACTCAGAGTCAAGTATTGAGCAATAAGAAGATCGTAGCCCATACCTTACTTTGACTTGTCCGAGATCCCAGAGAGAGCCATTTCGTTCCCCCGCACCAGGGCGACGGCCGCGATGAATATCCACGGCTATCTCATCGGATAGACAGAGAGCTAGGCTTCATGAGGAACACCATGGCCGCGATCCGGTGGAAAAAGTTGTGGAGGCCCGTGGGATCACCAGGCTGTCCTGGGGGTGTCCAACATGGCCAATGGTACGCGATTGAACGTGGAGAGAACAGCGATACAAAGCCGCTGAGAACGAAAGAAACATGGAGAGGGCGTTGCCCAAAACTGCCCCTTTAGGTCCATGGCAGTCCATGCCCTAGACGGAGTAGTTGGTCATGGGACTCTGCGGCGTCGGACTTCTTCCTTCAAAACTATGACCTATTCACAAATGCAGCAACATAGCTACAACAGCACAATAACAATCAATTATATCGCTCACCACGGCCAGGCCTGTAATGAATATATTCCCCCACTGGCTGCTTCGACTTCTGCCAATCCAGCGGCCGCTTTGGGGATAAAATTGGAATTCGACAAAATCCCAAAACATGTGAAAACCACGGGCGGTGAATCTGTTGATTTTTCTAAGGAAACAACGGGCGTCCTCTACCCCAGTCCCCAAATTAGAGGTTTCGTGAACCGACGAGACAAAGACAACACGCTTCGCTTTTGCACGACAACAGATCTGCAGTCTAGAATGCTGAAAGTGGCTCCTTCAACTCTCCTACTAAGCACCCACTGGCCACTCCCCAATATTAATCGAGCCAAAGATAACGACCATCCAGTTATAGATGAGGGGGGAAACATTGGTCGTGAAAATGGTTCCAAGAGCTAGGTCTATAGAGCGTGCTCCAGTCGCGTCAACAGCAAAGTTTCTACCACCGTGACCTGTTCTGTGTTCTTCCTTTGTCCTCAATCATATCAATCGCCCGCCAGATACAGCGCTCTTTTTTTCCAATGAAATTCGTCGCCATGGTCGTTGTACCTTGGGCCAAGAAAGCGTGCCTGTCGCACATCAACCTCTCCCCACGCGAGAAGAGTCTCCGCTGCCTGATCGCCTGCTGGCGTATCTTGTTGTGGCATCGACCCTCCATTTCAACAGGAAAGCTCACCCGTAACCCTGTGGCTTTGAAGCCTACAAGTTCTCTGTCTTGTTCAGCGCCGCGATTGTCGCAATAACATCACTCGGCTCAAGTAAGTGCCATGCCGCCAGGGTGCGTTTGCTGCTGGCGCCCACTGTACACGCAAAGACGTGTTCTTTGGGAAGATCTGTCTTGAGGAGGGCGCGGAACATATCTGAACGACATCACAGTCAGTGAACCTGTGTCGTGCATCGAGGACATTTCCTGGGCCATTTCGGCAGAGACTCACCTTCGTCGGTCTGATCATCCCCCAAACACAACACAAACTCCGGCGGTTCACCCCTCGCATATCCGTATTCATTAATCAACCTCGTCGCGATGAAGCCCTTGTTCACAAACTGCGGTCTCACCTCCAAGTTGGCCTTTCCACTCATGACTTCAACATCCCAGTTCTTCATCACATTCTCCTCCAATGCCTTGCGACACTCCCTTGCCTGGAAAGCGCCAAAATCAGGGTCGGCTTGCCGATAGTGCCATGTCAGTGCAACCCGTTTCTTCTCAATCCATGATCCCTGAGTGCGTTCTGTATAGTACGAAAAGACGTCCATGACTTCCTTCTGCCACCCCATGTCCATCGCCGCAGCAAGGTTCTCCCATGTCTCCGACCCGGGCCGTCGTAGGAAACAGCCGTGCTCAGCGCTCAAGCCCAGCTCGCTAATATGACCCATCCATTCTTCGAGGAACGAGGCATCGCGGCCACTGATAATCCAGACGTTGTTGCGCGGGTCGGCTGCAAGGGCCTTGAGAGTACGAATGACTCGGTCAGACGGGATTGCCGCATTGGGGTCTTTCACGATCGGCGTGAGTGTGCCATCATAGTCGAACATGAAAAGCCGTTTCTTTGCAGCGTGGTATTGTTGAACCATCCGGTTGCGGTCCAGTGCCGGCGTAAGATCGCTCTGAGTGAACGAGGTGAGGTTGGTAAGCAAACGTTTAAGGAAACTGTTTGACCAAGTCGCGACATTATGGGTCGTCACGTAGTTGTAGAGTTTCTCGTGATTGCTCTTCTTTTGAGCTTCGGGCATCTCAAGTGCCTGCTTCAGTGCATCGGCCACACCACCCAGGTCCCACGGATTGATGTGGATGGCGTTGCTCAAGCTGGCCGCAGTCCCGGAAAACTCTGACAGAATCAACGGTCCGTGGTTGTTTTTCTGGCAGATGACATATTCCAGACTGGTCGTGTTCATACCGTCTCTAACACTGGTGATAAGTCCCACGTCGGCGATCCGGAGTAGAGCAAAATATTCTTGTGAAGAGAGATATTGCGGATAGTGCTGCACTGGGGAGTGGCTCAACGACCCGTATTCGCCATTTATCCTCGACACCAGATTTGAGATCTTGTGTTCAATCTTATGGGCCCCGTCCACCTTCTCTTCCATGACGCTCGTGGGACTGGTCACCTGAATCAGAACCACCTTGTCGCGCCATTCCGGGTATCGTTCCAAGAAGATCTCGAACGCCATCAGTTTTTGCGACACCCCTCGGACAGTGTCGAGGCGATCTCGACCAACAACAATCTTCTTGCCGGCGTACATTTTCTTCAAGGCTGTCATGTTTTGTTCTATTACAGGATCGCCAAACGCTGTTTTCTGCACCGCTGCCACATCGATGCCGATGGGAAACACATCCACAGCAACGTGAGCGCCATACGCGTCCACGCCTGCTGAACTCGAATCGAAACCCAGGATGCGCTTGCAGCAGGAGTTGAAATGCCGAGAGAAGCTGTATGATTGAAAGCCAATCATTGTCGCGCCGAGAGCCCCAGTCAAGATATCCTTTCGTCGGGGCAGACATCGCATGTACTCGCTACTAGGGAAGGGGATGTGCAGGAAAAATCCAATGTAGATATTGGGGATGCGTTGACGTAGCATGCTCGGTAGCAACATTAAATGGTAGTCGTGGATCCAGACAATGTCCCCGGGCTGATAGATGTGTAAAATTCGATCGGCAAAGCACTGGTTCATCTGCACGTAATCCGCCCACGAAGTCTTCTCGGCTCGGCCATCATCAGGACCATGGTGTCGATAGTGGAAAAGAGTGTAAAGCTCGTGCTCTGCATACTTCCGCCACCGGCTTTGATCTTTGAAGACGAATTCACCATCCTCGTCTCCTGGGCCCTCCGGCAGCCACACAGGAAGGACTTTGCCATTTGGATGGTTCGCCAGCATTTTCTCCAGACGGTTCCGGTCAGAACGAGGCACTCTCAGATGATCAGGATGAGGGACGTGAGTATTTGGCGTGGCGCCATTTACTGGATAGGGTGCAGCAGACTTGTTGATGGGGTGAGGGGCTTGGGCGGCCGCTATTGCTGCTGACGCATCGGACTGCAATATGCTGATAGCTCTTGCTTGTTGCTGCGTGCGGATCTCACCCGTCCATCCGACCAAGGTGTGGTTCCAAGGGGTTTTACCCGACGAGAGATGGGCGAATGAGTCAAACAATGCAGAAGTCCCGCGCCTACTCGACAGTGTCCATTCACCATTCCCTCCGTGCGTAAGTTGATAAGGAATGCAGAAAGTAGCACTGATAACATTCCCGCTCAGTCGCAGTCCAGGATAAGCCGTTCGAGGGTCGACCTCAAAGGCCTCAGCACCTCTAGAGTCAACAAGGCTGAGCCGGCGCAGTAATTCCCTGCCGGACTTTGCCCCCTTCGCAACCTCTGCAGGGGATTCTGAAGCTGCGGACTCATTGGTGGACTGCTTTTGAGGCAGAGAGAAATAAGAGGTCGTTGGTCGTTCTGGTTCTGACGATATCTTCTCCGGTTCGCTTGTCAACTCCGGTCTCTGGCCTGGAGGATCATTGTCCGCACGAAGGACTTGACTGGGTGAAGCTGTATGGGTGACCATGGTAGTAGTACTGATCTGGGATTGCAGAAAGAAAGGGTGGACTAGAACATATAGGAAGAGGGAGAAAGTGCTAGAATGCCAGAATCAGCCTCTTCAACCCGAACGAGGAATAGTAATGCTGATCAGTTGCTGGTTCGGTGAGCGAGTGATATGGAAGTAACGAAACCCGGGGTGACGGCGGGGTGAGTGAGTAAAGGTAAAGATAACGACACAGGAAGTCGATACGTGAAGATGATACAGGGAAGACAAGGGAAAGCGGTAAGGATTGGAAGAGGTAGAAAGTACTAAGTACCTTTGTAGAAACTGTCACAAATTTTGACAAAATCGGGCACAAGGCTCACGCGATGATGTGATGTCGCATATGAAAAAGCCGCTGTTTAGAAGGAGCAAGGTGCAGGGAGGGGTTGCTTTAGAGGTGGGTTAAATTTTAAACTGTAAGTCGGAAGGCAATCCCGGTTCAAACAAGTTCGTCATATAGCTAGGTAGTTATACCGAGTACCTGACCTGGTTGACCTCTTTGGTGTCTTGTAGCTGGATGCTGACGACGGAGACGAGAGATGTCAGCCAAGATGGAAGTGGCTTCAACAGAGGAGATATGAGGTCGAACGAGTCTCAGGCATTACAATGTCATCCCGAATCTTTTTCTTTCTCTTTCAACGCTTTTGACCACGACTCCAACCAGAATGCCGGATGAGGTGAGGTGAGGTGAGGTATGGCACTCAGCGCTGTCTGCAGTGGTCGAGCTCTTGCAGGCTCTACATGGAAGAGGATTGGCTGCGCGTGGCAATGTGCTGGATCTGCTGGTCCTGGTCAAAGGTCGAAGGTGGAAGAAGGCCTAGAGAGAGAACCTTGGAACCTCAGCAATGACACGCAGCCAGATCATTCGTTGGTGACAGGCGTTGGGGGGAAAAGAAGGGTAAGGGAGGGGCTGCTGCTTGCTTGACAAGGGATGATGGAAAAGGGTGGAAATTCAGAACCATGGGCAGCAGTTTAGGCGCATTAGGCGTGGATCCTCCCTAGGTCCAACCAAAGGTTTACCTACTTAGGCATAGACTACCTAATGAGTGCCTAAGGTAAAAAGTGAGTGTAGGTAAGCTTGTGGGGCTTGTGAGCTTGAATCGGGCAGCCGCCAAGCCGCTCGCCCAGTTTCTTGTTGGTGCGTTTACCTAGCACCCTACTAGGTATGCAGTGCTCCGTACCTCGTACTACATTTCCTTTCTGCGCCGCATTCAAAAATTCAAGCTGCTCGGGCAGCGCCATTGACACTGCATCATATGATTGAGAGCGCACTCCCCCGAATTGAATGAAGCCTGACCACTGTGCCGGCCCAAAGAAGACACAACGTACACCCGCGCTCTCCGAATATCCACCTCTCGTTCTCCTTGCTCTCGACCAAATCTGCTGAGTACTCTCCCTCCGTCGCTCCTATGCTGCATGCCACCAGTCTACCAGTCCCTGTGTCGAAATGCCGCTTGTGGTCGTCATGATTCTTCAATTTACCTCAGTCTCCCATCAAGTCTCCGACGATGTCAACCTAGATCCTTGGCCAGTGCCATAGGACGGCTCGCGACCGTTCACACATCCTCCCGAGATCCTCCAACTACTTTCACCACGGAACCCAATGTCGATATCAAGAGTCTCCACAATACCCTACATGCCCATCGCGAGGCAAACCGCGCATCAGTTGTCCGAAAGACTTACAAAGATCGCCCATCTGTGCGGTTACATGATGCCGATGTGCGACTCCCATCTCGTGAGATCAAGACTCCGGTACCCCGAAAAGACGCCTCCCGGTTCAAAAGGGTGGAACTTGCTCCATTCAAGGGATTCAAAGGCACGAGTCGCGATTTAGATCTGCTGTGGCGGATCAATGATACCGAGAGCGATCCTCCAGTACACTATCGTCTCCCGTGGCTCCTTCATCTCCATGATTCAGTGCCGAGCGTTTACATGTCCGCGGCCGATCGACTTGCTGATGAAATTCGCGCATTCGAAAAATACACATCTCCTTCAAAGGAAGAGCAGCGTGCTGCCGACGACGCTTTGCATGATCTGGAAGAGTGCGTCAAGGAAATCGCAGGAGACCTCCATATCGATATTATCGGGTCTCGTGCTACCAATCTGGCAGATCCTTTATCGGACTTGGATGTCAATATCTCCAGCTCAGGCCAACCAGGCTCTTTGACAAAGCCCGCGCAAGTATCTTCTGTGACCGTGCTAAACAAGCTCTACAAGAACTTTCGTTGGCCCCCCAAGACAGCAAATCTCTTCCACTTTCGCCCCATCGAGGTCCAGCTTTATCTCAAGCAAGCCCGTGTACCCATTCTACTCTGCCAGCACAAGGCGTCGGGTCTCCCAATTCAGATCCAGTCTACACCCCGAACATATGACAGCCGCGAATACGTGAAAGCCTCCTTGAAGGAATACCCCTCTCTCAGAGGTCTTTTCAAGGTCATCAAACAGCTTCTACAGATGCGGGGGCTCACAGTCGGCAGCAGCGGAGGGATCACATCCTACCCACTATTTCAGATGATTGTTGCGGCCTTGAAATTCTCCGAGGGCAGATTCCATCGTGCGGATATAGGCAACCAGTTCCTCTTCTTCCTGGACTTCTACTCGGACATCGACTTTTCTGCACATGGTATATCTACTGAACCTCTCGAGTTGTTTTCAAAAAGTGTTGTGCGTGCCCGCGATCACAATGAAGAGCCCCAGAAAGTAATCGCGAGGTCTCAGACATCTGATAGAGATCACTCTGATCCGCTGCCTCCGACCTTTCAAGGACCAGGTCGAAAGAGGTCCCGCGACGGGATGGAATATCTCATGACGCTTCAAGATCCAGTGAACCCCAAAAATGATCTTGGGAAATCTGGTTTTCGAATCAACGATGTGCAGGAAACCTTTATTGCCATTCGGGCGACGCTGAAGGCTGCCATGGCCAAGTGGGACAAGAGTCTGCAAACATGGCAACAGTCAGAACAGCGAACACGAGCGCGGTCCTTGCTTGAACCTTGTGTGGGCGGAGACTACCGAATATATGAGCACGAAAGAGACGACTTGCGTCGCTTGGGACACCATTCCTTGGAAGCAGCGGCGGCCGTTTTGGAGACTCCATAAGCTGCCAGGTCGCGGTTTCTGTTGACAGATCGATTTGCTTCTATGTACACAAAGCTATTGTAATCGATGCGTGGCCCGTTTTCTTATTCCTGGAGGGACCATTCATCTGGGCCCAGCATTTGCTTTTGCCGAAAGTCAAGCTCGAATAACAGAAGCAGGCGGGGAACACCAGCACTGTTTCCAACTCAACTCCCCCCGGGAGCCCTGCGCAAACCAAGATCGAAGAGGCCAACTGGACTAGAACCACGATCCCTCAACCTGCTCAACTCCCTCCGCACCACTCAACCAAGTAACCCGATCTTTGACATATTGCTCCACTTGGGGCTTCAACTTTGTCTCATGCAGATGAAAGTCATCCACTGTACCGATGCGCATGACGAGGCTGTCCGGACTGCGGGAGCTGATGCGATACATGAGCGTGCCACACGTGGAGCAGAAGTAGTTGGTCATGGTGTGTCCGCTCTCAATGGTCTTGGATTGGCCAAACGAGGTCAGGTTGTCCTTGCCGCGCAGGTGGGTCACGTGACTGTCAGCGACGATAAAGTTTGAAGCGAACATGGATGCAGTGATCTTGCGGCAGTCGAAGCAGTTGCAGACGAAGGAAGTGATAAACCCAGGCTTCTCGGTGGGGAATTTCAGCTGGACGGCGCCACAGAAGCAGGTTGCTGTTGCTTCGCCCTCTTTGGACCAGCCATCCTCTGCGCTACCAGAAAGAGGAATGTAGGGTTTGGTCTTGTCGAAGCCTTTTTGAGCGGACATGGCTGTTTGCTTGTGGATGGCTGTCAAACGTGATGTAGGGTTCGAAGTCCGCATAGGCTGTTGCACTGAATCCTTGTAAAGGGAGGATTTGTTAGAGCACGCTACTGAAGATGAGCTTCGTGTTTGTCGTCTGGTGGTGAAGAAGTTGCACACTTATATAGGCCAGCCAGACAGGTTGACAGTCGCCGAAAAGCTCTCAAGGATGATATTCCATTTGTCATGCTCGAGCAAGCAAGCGGATAGCGGTCCAGTGGCTCCTATACATCAGTTTCCTTTCTAGGCTGATATTTTCCATATGAGGGAGAAACATCTCTAGTCTTGCCAAGTGATCTCCGCAGTCCAACGACGGAGTATTCATCTTGCCTCCCTTCAAGCCATACCCGATTTGTCTTGATATTTCTACATCGGGAAATAGCAGCCCTCGGTTTTGTCCCGGCGCGAGGCTAGATGACGATGGGCTGCGGCTTCGCACAAGCACGGTGAACTTGTCCAAGATTCAATTCACAATACTCGGTAGATTCAGAACACCTCAGAAAGGTCCACTGGCCGTTGAATTTGCGTGAGTGATGCCTGACCTACGTTAGCTCGCCTTGGAGCAAGTCTGTGATTGACGTAGGACCCTCAAAGCTGCCTGAGCAATGTCGGCTCTGTGCATCCTCATCCGATATGTGACAGTGGTGCATCCAACCGAATACTTCTCACTTGGGACGCTGTTCGAGTCAGTGTAGCATGCTAAGCTGGGACCACTTAATATGTGGCTATGCGTCTCCCGTTAGTGGTCGTAGGAAGACGGGTTTCGAGGTGGAAAGGGCGGCAACACGGCCCTAGAAAACAGTAGACCCAAAGCGTGGACTTTGATACCTACCTAGGTAGGTATCCATCTAGTCGGTGAACATACGTCTACATGTGAATGGAATACAATGTTGGAACAGCTATAGCTAAAGAGGAGTGTACCGAGTACACGTACCTGGAAATCCTCATGTCCTCTTAGAACGAGGCTGGCCTTATTTAAAGCGGCGTGAGGCACGCAGGTGATGTGGCTGCGGCGCACTTCGCAGCCCAACCTTCTCGTCGACTTTCTCATTTTCATTCATTCCTGGTACATTTGCAGACTGGTCACGAAAGCCAAAGACCTTGTCTTACCTTCCACTCGATGAGTAGTCCCCGAATTTCCACTCCGCGTCAATATGGCGGGGCTCATTTTGGCGCCACCTCAGGGGGATCCAACATTCGTATGCCTCGATTCTTCAAGCGGTAAGCAGCAGGATGACTTTGGCTCGAGCAGCTGATGTTGACGATATGATATGGCAGGCTCTTCAAATTTCCACAGATGGACTTTGAGATGGCTGTGTGGGAGATGACACATCTGCTCATTGCGCCGAAGAAGGTCTTCAAGTCCATATACTACCACAAGCGTGAGTTGACCATAACCATCGACTTGGCTTTGTCCTCGGAGCTAATTGCGATGGTCAGAGACGAGAAACACCTGGCACCGGCCTGATCCGTCCTTTACCTACCTGTTATCCTTTTTCCTCCTGCTCACATCCTTCGCCTGGTCGCTCGCTTACACGCCATCATTTGCCTCCGTTGTCAAGCTGGCCTTGATGTTTGTCGTCATTCATTTCCTGGCAGGATCTCTACTCGTATCGACACTGGCATATTATCTAGTTGGCCGACTGCTAGGGCCTGGAATCGCCGGACTCCCCGGTCGCAGGCGCCAACAAGGACTGTTCGGCCCGCCAGGAGGATCAAGAAGAGCCGAAGTGCTAGAGTTTGGATACTGCTTCGATGTGTCGATACGGGCATTCTTTCCGCCATACGTGTTGCTTTATATCGTCCAATACATCCTCATGCCTGTCATCAACCATCAAAACCACGCGTCGACCTTCTTCGCCAATTTGCTTTACCTTGCAGCAGGGATTTATTGGAGCCTGATCACCTTTCTGGGATACAACGCGCTGCATTTCCTGCATCACACACAGCTGCTACTCTCGCCCATGTTAGCATGGATTGTGATATGGCTGGTATGCACGATTCTGAACATCAATCTTACGACTTTGGGGACGAGGTGGTTATTTCTGGGCGTGAAGGGCTGAGCGAAGTTGCACGTGAAATTGGGACAGTGGTCTCTGATGCGCGGAAGGAACAAAAGCCCGCAATCTGGTTGCCGATTGAAGAGCTCGACATATCTCTCTGCCTCGCTTTTCGCGGAGTGCTGTGTACTGAAGCATGAGCCTGACAATAATTGACAACAGCCCTCAATCACGGCGACCCCGATCACAGCATGTCAACATTGTGCCAATCAAGGTGTCGGATTCAACAATTGCGAACTTTGGACAAAGGGAACCCGAGTGTGGACTGGGAGAGATCATTACAAGCCCCCTGTCCAATCGCTGTATGGGGCATTCTTCCCACGACGAACTCCCGGTTTGCGCCCAAGTTGTCAAATGCAACATCAAACGGGATAATCGCCGAGATGTGGCTCAGCAATCCAGCGACAGGGCGCCCTATTCGGCCAACTTTGCGGGCGTGGCGTTCGGTAGCGGGGGAGAGCTAATGCAGGTCCGTCGATGTTTGATCTTGGCCAACCTGCGGCCCACTGCAACTCCAAGGGGTTGGATGATATTCTGCTATACGGCGTATGGCTGGAGGACTCTGATGGTTCATGAAATCAAAGTATCCGCGCGGAGTGACATGGTGTGAGCCGAGCTACCATACTACTCCTAAGTGGTCACAGAAAGAGAGATGAATCTCAAGGATAACATCAGTAATTGCAATAGTAGTTCTTGTGGGTGTCTGTGTCGAAGTAGGGGCGGCAACAGAAGAGTGACCTGTCGACCAGCAATAGCAGCACTCTTTTATCCGACACTGCCTGTGCAGTGGGCATAACATGCTCGAACATATCAAGGTGCGCTATACTTAGTAACTTCAATAGGGCACCGTTGAAACCGGGAGAGCAAAAGCTTGTATGCACCGTCTATAGCGTCAGGACTCAGGAAGATTCTGGGATTTCGAGCATTGGAAACCCTACTACGAAGAGGTAGGCCAGTAGCTAGTGGTCCTAGGTGGTCCTAGCCTTCTAGGGGCCCTGCAAGGGGGGATGTCTGGGTACCCCTGGCCGCTGGCCCTTGCAGAAGGTGCCCCCTATCCATGCATTGGCTGCTGTTAGCGACTGGCTCCAACCCTAAAAGATCCACTGGTGACACCTTGACACCTCCATTGCCTATCGCATTGAGGGACGCCGGACTGCGACTTGCACAAGTCCTCTGCCGTCCCTTGGACCTTTTTGAACCCCCCCGTAAAGACAACGAAGCTGCGCTCCACGCTCAGATGGCTCATCTGCATTCTCAGATTCGTTGACCTATTGTTTCTACGAGTGTTGTTCAGCACGACCTTCTGAAAGATTGTCCTTTGATAATTTTCGTCAGTTTATCTTACCGGTGGGACATGCGCGGAACACCGTCCAACCTGTCTCGGGTCGTGCGACATTTCACGAGGGATGAGGAGTTAGCCTGAGACGACCATCGCGCACCGCTACTTTGGCATCGCAAGCAGAATTTCAAAACCCAATTCCATCTTTCCACAAACAATGACCCCTCCACCCAGTTTGTCTTCGCCCAAAAAGCCAAAGAGTCCTCGCCGCCAATCCTCCAAACAGTTTACTGTCAACGACCATCAAAAGCCTCATTGCAGTCCCCTGCCTGTTTCTCCAACCACGGAACCTCGACAGCTTCGACATTTGAATGGGGACCTCCCAAGCAGGCCACCGGCCGGAACAGGGACCTTCCTGGCTGAATCACCCCCAATGGACCACGGCCACGAGAACGACGATGTCGAAGACCCTCATGATCTCTCCTTCTCTAGCAACCACATCCTCCGAGCCTCCATGGTCGACAATCTAGTCATGTCGCTCGATCAGTTCTCTGGGGGTTTGTTCGACGACGGTCCATACACGCCGCGAAGCAACAGTTACGATACAAGTGCGAGGATTCGGAAAAGAGGGCACACATTTTCTTCATCCACGTCTTCGGAGAATGACGTCCAACACATAAGACATATGCCCCAGTTGCCACAGACAATCCCCAGACTTCCTGTCCGCAACAGTGTCCGGTACCAGAAGGATCTGCAGAAATTACCTAGCATATTTGGAGAAGACGAGGATTCGGTCCGCGCAAAGGTCTATGATGCTCAAAGAGCGACCCAACCTCGTCACCCGAGGCGGAAAAAGAACGCCTCTGGTGGCGGCAGAAGCGCTAACAGTAGTGCATCTTCAAGCATCGATCTGGGACATCTAGCTAGTCTTACAGGCCGTCTAGGAGGCCCGGGCAACAGACGGTCTCGGAGCTTTGATTTCGGCGCAAGGCCACGAGATTTACGTACCAGCAAACCGCTCGGAGGTGCTGACGGGGCGCCCACTCCGGTGATATTTTCGGGCCCAGAAGCTCAGAGTGCGACACCAGGAGGACCTCCCGGCTCACCTATTGTGCGGAAGAACAGTGCCAAATCCTCCAAAAGCGCGTATGTCAAGAAAGGCCGGCCAGCAGCTTTGGCATCCAACTCGGCGCGCAATGAATCCGTCCCCCAGCTTCCTACGATGAAAAGTGTACCGAGCTTCAACACTGTGGAACAAAGATCGAATATAGGGCCTCCGCATGAGACGATCGCAGCGCCCAGACCTGGCTTCTTCCGACGTGTTTTCGGATCCTCCAGAAACCCATCCGTGAATACAGACACTATCCCAGCGCACAATGTACTTACCAAGTCACAGCATGGGCGAGTGACTCCGGTTCAGGACGAGAATGCACACCCTCCCATGACGCCGCCTGCCAAAGCGCAAAAGCCCCTTCGGCGGACGTCTATTGATGCTTCAGCGAACAAAGAGAACCAGCCAGTGATCACCAAAAAGTCTTCCGCATTTTTCCGCCGAAGGAAGAAATCCATCTCAAACGTAGTCCCACCACCACTGCCTTTGACCTTGAACTCGGAATTGCCATCAGAGAATGAGCCTGTGGATGGAACGAGTCCTGTAAGCAGCCTCAGAGCGTTCATGGACCCTTATCTCGCCGATCCTCCGTCCTCGACAGGACACGCTCATCCTCGTGGCCATAGTCGAACGAGCTCAATGCAAGGTTTCTATACACCGCCTCTACCACCTCCGGGGTTCGGCTTGCCAAACCAGGCTGCCAGTCGACCCAGAGTAGGAGGCCACAGTCGATCGGAATCCCACGGCAGTAATAAAACGTTGAAGTCGAACCCCAAACAGGTGTCAGCTCTTCGAATTCCCCATCAAGACTCTTTTCTGGCGGATAGCAGCAGTGCGGAGGAGCCAATGAAACGATCGCCGTTTGATGCGGGCCACCATTCTGACAATGAGCGGCCCTCGTTACGGTACCGGGGCAGTGTGAGCGACTTGAAACTAGAGCATACACCCTCCGCAACCTCATTACCTAGCCCCTTGTCTGATCCAAGGGCGGCTACCACGCGACAGGGATCTTGGAAGTCTGAAAAGGTCTCGCCTGTATCTTCCATGATTGTGGCTCCAACGCCCAGCTCCCAAAGTGCTGAACACGGGAATAAGTCGACATCGACCAGGCGACAGAATACTCTGGAAATTGCACGCAAAGGAACCAAGGGTTCCCCATTCGCGTCAACCTCTGACGTTAGTGATTATAGGTCAGCGCCGAGCACGCCCTTGATCATCGAAACTCCTGATGGCGAGATCGCATCGCCATTGGGCTCTGCCCTACCGGGCGACGTTCAAACCGGTCCTCCGCCAGACTATGAAAAGAGAGCTCGACAGATATTTGACAACACCGACGATGAGGTCGATCCTTCTTCCGCCGGAGCCTGGCTGGGAGACCCCGGCCACGAAAGGGAATATGTGCGGAAAGCATATATGGAGCTCTTCGATTGGAAGGATCAGAATATCCTGGAATCGCTTCGGGGTCTTTGTGACCGGATCATGCTCAAAGGTGAGACTCAGCAAATGGACCGCATCATGGATGCCTTTGCTCGGCGATGGTGCGAGTGTAACACATCGCATACATTTAGATCAAGCGGTGAGAATACTTCCCCTACTTTGACGCATCCTGGCTAACGCAAGTAGATGTGGTGCATACAATCTGCTACTCAATCCTCCTTTTGAACACCGATCTTCACTTGGCGGACATCGATCAGAAAATGACAAAGGCCCAGTTCGTGCGCAATACGCTTCCTACGATTAAGCGCGTTGCGCAGGGATCCGAGGCCGAAAAAACTCTACGAGGTCCAAAGCGGACTAATGCTTCATCGAATGATGATATAAACAGTGCTGCTTCGGACGCGAAGCGGTCTGCAGAGCGGCTGACCTACCAGGATGGACAGCCTTCTGAATCTGTCGAACCTGCTGTAGAAGTCACACAAGGGAGAGGCTGGGAACTGCAAATCGAAGCCGTTCTACGGTCTTTCTACACCTCGATCTCACAAGAACCACTACCGTTATTCGGTGCTCAGGCCGAACCGAATGCGCAACTAAATCAGTCAAGCAATTTCTTGACCATCGGAAGTTCGATGCTTCGGCGCACACCCAGCGTGCTAAGCAAAGCACATTCAGATACCAACCGCGGTCGATATGTTGGCGAAAGCAAGTCACTCGGCGCTCGTTTCATCACAAAGACACGGTCGAGGCCCCGGCTACCCTCCGCTCCGGGCTTTGCCTCTAGTAGAACAAGCATCGATGAGCAGTCCTCGGCCTGGAGTCCATCAATGTCGAGCACGTGGAGTAAAGCATCTCTGGGAAAGACGTTGACGTCAATGTCGGTCGACTCGTTCGGCACAGAAGCTACTCACGCCGATTATCAATCGTCCATTGGTTTTGCGAATGCTTTGAGCCAGGCCATCATTCGGGAAGACCAGCTAGAACTCCCTATTGAGGACGGGGCTAAAGGTGTCTCTCTGCTTGAGGATGAGTCCCTCGAGCTTTGCGGTGCTCCGTGGGCCAAGGAAGGCATTGTGAAGCATAAGTGTCATCTCGAGGGTGTTGATAAAAGATCAAAGGACAGAAATTGGAATGACTGCTTTGCGGTGATAGAGAAAGGATATATGAGGCTTTTCTCTTTCTCGATGACGGCGAAGTCTCTCAGAAACAGGGCACGAACACCCAAGGTTCCAGCTGTCGTGGGAGGCGGCAATTGGCAGGACAATGCTGAAGAGTTGTGGAAGTTTACCCTTCGACATACCATTGCCAGCTCACTCCCACCCCCGGGATACTCAAAGGTGCGACCCTATGTGTGGGCGCTCAGTTTGCCGACAGGCGCTGTCCATCTCTTTTCGGTTGGAACGCCCGACATTGTGAAAGAGTTCGTTTCTACCGCCAACTATTGGAGTGCCAGATTGTCGAAAGAGCCAATGATGGGCGGTATCAGCAACATGGAATATGGCTGGAGTGATGCTGTGGTCAATCGCGCATTGATGTCCTCGGAGCTCCAGTCCGGACGCAACGCGGCAATGAGTCCGCGGCCCAGCACACAGATGTCAATGCGGAGCTCCATGGACCATGTGGGCGGCGTCCGACCCAAGCTTCCCGGGGACAAGGCTCATATCAGCGACTGGATGCCGCCCCAGCAGTCCATGTTTGCCTCCCAGTTGATGGAAGTGGACCAGCTTCGAGCGCTACAGACCTATGTCACCAACGTGGAGGAAGAATTGCAGAGGCACAACGAACTGCGAGGACTAATGCTTCTAGCGTTCACAGTTAAGCACCCCAACTCCACCAAAGCCATGAACAACTGGGAGCGGAAAAGCAGTTACTTGCTCCGAGAAATTGTCAAGTTCCGCACGTACATCGATACCTTACAGAATGCCCAGTCGACGAAGGAGAAGATTTATCGGATGAGAAAGGAGGAAGAGAGAATGCAGCACGCAGCGATGGACTCTAGGAACCAGGCCACGACTGCTATCCCTGGGGTAGCGTGATGCTGGAGCGGTGCCTTTGTGGACCGTGGATGTTCTTGAACGCGCTCTGGAGTTCTAATACATGCTAATGATGCCGAGGAGTTGCTTCGATTCATTGTACTATACCTCTGTACTTTTAGTAAACGACTTGATGATTGATGAAGGTGAACAAGAAACCATAGGAGCAGATGAGAGAGTATTTGATTGCATCAGTATTCCACCTCTACATCTACCTCCTGTAGGTGCCTAGGAAGCAAGTACCTAGGTAATTGTACCGAGTCCTGGTCAGTCTCGTTTGTATCACTCCCTAACAGCTCCATTATTGGTGCCATTGCTCGCAAGGAGCCGGGTCACTTCGAGGTCACACCAATCGAGGCCACTGCTGCCACTAGCTGGGCAGTTTCGCTTCCTTACCGTTGGACCTAGTGCCCTCCCCGAAAGAGGACTCCTGGTACCACCAGGCGGGAAGGTGGAATGATTTTGTCTGACAGAAGGCTCTGTAAGCCATGGTGTGCCTATAATATCCCGGGAGAAGAATATATTTCTTTGTCAGACAGAAATACATTTGACGGATCTCCGAGTGGACCCCTGCCTCATGTTGATGGCCTGCCCGGATTGAGTCTGGCGCAGGGTTTCAGAGAAGGGGGCAGACACACTTGGGACTTGGGACTTGGGACGCTGTGACGGACAACTCTCACCCCCCGGACACATTCAACTATTATCTCAGTCGATTGAACTTGCGCAGGGAAATCCGCGTATTCTTGTCCGAGCGACCTCCCTCACTGTGCGGTGTTGGCCTCCCCTCGATCCCTTCTTGTCCTCTCTACCCTCGAGCCCCTAGAGACAACAAACGCGCTGCTTCACCACTCCGTCATAGCGCGCGTCGACACTCTCCCTTCTCCACACAGATGTCCGCACCACGGGATTCGAGAGGCTCGAATCACATCGGCCTGCCATTGCGCATGCCCAACGTACAATAATCGCCTTGGCTCTAGTCAACTTGGACAATGTCATCCTCGATTCTAAGCAGTCGGCCTCGCACCGAGCGCCGATCGTCGAGGGTACCCGGTGGATTCGATCCAGAAGAGGAGGACGACGTGGCATCCCTGGGAAGCGACCATAATGATTCGCCTGTCCAAGAGCATGATTCCTCCTCCTTTGTCGTGGCTGGTCCCAGAGACCCCAGTAGCCTCCTGCAGCCCGTCGACGAAAACACAAATCTCGAGTTGCCTGCCAACATGACACTGGACGAAAGTGAGATGAACAAGAAGTTATTGGATGTTGAGTCGAGCTTCATGCCCGAGCATTCCGACCTGGTCGAAAAGAGCTCGACGACGACTGGTGCAGATGACACGCATTTGTTCGGCGTTGTGAATAACAATGTCGCCGTGCGCAAGAAGCCGCACCCTATCCAGATTTCCTACCCTCCCGATGACACCGAGAACCGTGGTGTAGCTGAAAGATCCCCCCAATCACCCCGTACACCACCTGGCGCTTACAAGACTCCTGCCCCGGAACGACATGAATTCCGTCACAGCGTCGAAAGCGACGGGTCCACTCGTCAAATGCCGAGCACATCCATGCTGGAAAGCATGTCCTCCTCCCCGACCGCCGCTGCTGCTGCCCGAACCCTTTCGCGAGTCCAGTCTCTGGCTACCATGGGCGGATACGAGACTGCCAATGAAACAGAAGACCAGGTCAGGCCTGAGAAGCGGCCTCGAAGTGTCCAGGACGATGCGGAAGCTACCCCACGAAAGAACGAGAATCGATATTTGAGCTTGCCACACAGCGCCGACGCACAGCAAGAAAGCTCAGAAAGCGCATCTAAACAAGGAGCAAGGCGACCCGGGTATCTACACAAGAGATCTTCTCAGGCCCGCTTATCCTACGATTCCATGGCCAGCTCAAATACAGACGCCAGCGATGTCACCGTAGGGGCGGACTTTGCGCTGCAATCAGGAGGGGCACTGCCCGATTCGAGCGCGCAGCGCAAAGCCAGGGCTACGATTTCCAGACAAGCTAGCTTAGGAAGCATGATGTCTGGGATATCAGGGATCTCCGACGATGAACCTCGGTCGCAGAGGCAGGCTGGCGCAACTGACTTGACGACATTAGAGGAAGAGAGCCCCAACTCTAATAAGGCAGGCGGGTACTCTACTCCTCGCGCGTCGGTCTACAATTTCAACATGCCCACCGATGCAGTCATTTCTAACAACGCCAGAGATCTGGAGGTTCCGGGTACTTTTGCTCGTCAGTATCGGCAAGAGCGGAGTATGTCACCGGAAAAGAGCAATACTATCATAGGCATGACACCGGGCCCCAAACGCGGCCTGACTCTAAAAGAGCACCGAAGCACTGTGGAGAAGTTGGGCAAAGAGAACTTTGACCTGAAGATGAAGATCCATTTCTTGGACCAAGCGCTGCAGAAAAGGTCCGAGGATGGCATCAAGGAGATGATCACGGAGAATGTACAACTAAAGTCCGACCGATTGAGGTTGGAAAAGGATAATCATAATTTACGGAAACAGGTTCGAGATTTACAGAAGAAGCTCGAGGAGACAGGCGCCCGCGACTCGCCGAATGCTGATCAGGGATATGCCACCGACGAGGAAAGGAGTCCGACCGCCGAGGAAGAAGTCATCTATCTCCGAGAAAGAGTCGAAATCAGTGAGATAGAGATAGACAAACTCCGTCAAGAGAACCTTGCCAAAGAAACGGAGAAGCGAAAGCTCGCCGAAATGGTCAAGTCCCTGGGCGACACTCGCGCTGCTGCTTCCGATGTCGGCTCGAGGGAGGAGCGCGATATGTGGAAGGACATGCTTGAAGCAGAGACCATCGCGCGTGAGCAGTCCGAAGAAGAGAACAAGCGGCTTCGAGAAGAGGTTGCCAAGCTTAGGAGTGAGACGTTCGTGTCAGGAAAATCCAACTCGCGCAAGATCAAGATTGGAGGCTCGGTTGTTTCGAGGTCTAGTAGTGTCGAAGCAGCAAATGCCAAAGACGCGGAGATTGAGAGATTGAGACATGAGGTTTCGGAGCTGCAGAAGATGATTGGCGCCCAAGCTTCTACTCTCACGTCCCGGAACAAGGAGAAAGAGCGGTTGTACCAGGAAATCGAAGATCTGAAACTTGGCCGGATGGGCGGTCTTCGATCTGTGGCGGGCGACAGTATTCTCGACCGATCGGCGTCCAGAGCAAGATCTCATTCCCGAGCAAGCAATGGAACGCGGTTATCACGGATGAGCGACCAAGAGCGCGAGGTTCTCGAGACTAGGATCAACGAGCTTCGCGACGAAGTGTCACAATTGAAGCTCGAAAATCAAACCCTCCAGAATCAGTTTGACGAAGCACTTGCCGAGCTTGATGCTGTGGATGCCCAAGCGCAAGCGGACGCAGATCAATTCAACGAAGAGCTTCTCCTGCTGACTCAGGAACGTGACAATGCCTTGCGTGACGCAGAGGAGCAAGACCATGCCTTCCAGCAATTGAAGGGTGAGGCCCAGGAGGAAATCGACGGCCTGGGAGATGAGCTAGATGCCAAGGTAGAGGAATGTGCGAGGCTTGAGGGAGAACTCAAGGCTCAGGTCGAGAACGTCAAGGCGTTGCAGGCAGAGATGCGATCTGCTGCGGAGGGCCTTGTCCGCCTCGAAGAGGACGCACAGCAAAATCTAGCACGGTACCAGTCTGTCAAGGCCGAACTTGATGACGCGAATCGCGAACTTGAAAACCTCGAAAAGACTCTCGCCGAAGCTGAAACCAAGGTGCAAAGGTTGACGGTGCAGCAGGAGAGCAGCCATAATGAAATTGCATTCCTCCGTGAAGAGCAAGACGCTGACAAGATCAAGATTGGCGATCTCGAGTCCCTGCTCAAGAAAGTACACCTTAACTTGGAATCCGAAAGGGACAAGAGCAGGGAACTCGAACGGCGGATCAATGAGGAACGGGCACAAAGGGATGCGGTTGCCAGTCAGGAGAAGCAAGAGGTTCAACGAGTCATTAATGATCTTAATCGGGAAGCTTCTGGTGCGAAGGACGAACTCCGGAAAGCCCGCAAAGCTCTCTCTGCCCGCGACATTGAAGCCAAATCGTACCAGGAGCGGTTGACTGAATTGGAGGAGAGTCTGCGAAACATCATCGGAGACCCGAACAGCTCTAGGTCGAGCTTGATCAGTGCGGTCACCAAGATGCGCCGCGAACTGGATCAAACAACCATTGACCTTGAATCTGTCCGACGGCAACTTGAGCAGACAGAAAATCTGCTTGCTGATCGTGATGCCTTACTAGAGTCGACCAGCCACGAGTGCAGAAAACTGGCTGACGCTTACGAGCGAGAGAAGGCAGGACGACGACAAGATAAATTGGATTTTGAGAAGACCAACAAGGGTCATAACTCGACCACTAGGGCGCTTACCTCGGCCTCCACCAGAATCGCCGAGCTTGAAGGACTTCGTCAGACCGACAGGAAGCGGATGGCACAGATGGAAACCCAACTCAAAGAACAATTATCCGAACGGAACCAGGTGTTACTCAACCTCTGGAAGAGGCTTTCTGCCATGTGTGGCCCGGACTGGGCTCACAACAACAGCTTGATTAATGGCAACCTCCCTTCTCAGGAAGTCATTGGTAATATGCTCTTCTGGCCTGGGTTTAGCCGGAATCTGCTGCTGGCTGCGAAGCAGGTCGAGGGGACTCTGTCCACTTTCAAAGACAAGATCAAACGTGTTGAACGCGAGCTATACAAGGAGTACCAGGCTCTGGAACAGACTTTAGAAGTGCGGACGCGGAAGCTGGAACGGATCGAAGAGAGCTGGGAGCAGATGAAGATCAAGATGTCGGAAATGGAGAGTCGCATGGATACCGGGGCTCGCACGCCGAAATCCAGCAGAACTCCTGAGATCAGCAAGTTGAAAGGTGAGAACAGGTTGCTCAAAGCCGAGCTCCAGCTTCTCCAACAGCAACAGGCACATCACAATCTGCACCACCGACGGGACAGAAACGAGAGCCGGGCGTCTGGATATTCAAGCATCATGTCAAATGAAGGAGCCGGTCAGGTTGATGGGGCTTTGAATGGAGCGGTTGGAGTTCCCGCTCGTTCGTCGAGCATGAGGCGCACTCGACACATGGAGCTGCAGCGACATCACACCACAGGCATTGTGGAGCATCTCGCCAGCATGGGCGGCGAAGTGACGTCGTTACGGTCGAATTCGATCTCGAGTCGTCATTCAGGGTATACGCAGGGCGGCGAACGGGACCGGGGTGGCCTGATGATTCCAGCAGGTCCGTTCAACGCACCGGCTGACGGAAAGTTCTCCCTGCCACCTCCCCCACGAGAAGCCCCTCCAGCACCACCGAGCACAGCGTCGGGCTCAGACATTGCGAGTATCACAGCAGGAAGCGTGGGCGGCGGTCAGGGACAGGAGAAATGGATCCATCGCCTGCGAGAACTGGAGAGGAGGCTGAAAGCCGAACGGGAGGCAAGGCTCCTTGACCGAAGTGGCGCGAGGAAAAGGCTGGAGGAGAGAGATGCAGTGAATGAAGAGTTGCGTCGTGAACTGGAACGGGAGAGGGTCAGAAAAATCAGTGCCGATGGTGGCTTTGACGCAGGTCATGCGATTTCGCCGCCCCCCCTAACGTTACCGCCGCCGCCCCCTACGGCCGACCTTGAGCATATGCAAGAAGCAGCTGTGGCGGACTTCGATGCGCATGGATCGGCGCACATTGTTGGAGGGGCGAGGAAGCGCTAGTTCCGCGTCATGGGCATTGGATTGAAACTGACGCAGTCCTGGCATCAGCCGAAAGTGTGAGGGAAGGTCAAATATAATCCTACCGAGTGAAGGGAAGGAAAGGGAGAGAAGAGAGGACCCTTGCATACCGGCTTCTGGTGTAAAGCGAGGTTCTGGTTTTTTTGTTTTCAGGCTATTCTTGTATCATTATAGTTCGGGGTCAATATCAGTATCAGTATAGCGCAGGCAGACGGCTGAGGGCGACTCTACTAACAGATAGAGAGGCCTATTGGATGAAAAAAGGTTTCGTTGTGGCGATCAGATGCCACGTTCTGCCAGTGCGTGTATCCTGCGTATATCCTGCGTGTATCCTTATCCTCGGACGGTAAAAGGTCTCCCGGCTCACCGGCTCTTATCAATCTTTTACTTGATGCGGAACGAGTCCCCGAATGCCGAAGAGGCTCTTCCGGTGCGCAAAAGGAGCCGGTCACTTTTTGACGCGGTCCAATGCGCCCCACCGCTTGAATGCCGGCCTCCCATCCTTGTCAACCTCTCAAACTCGGTAATATCCTCCTGTCCACCTCCCTCTCCTCCGCAGCCTCGTCTTCCCGTTCATGTTGGGACCTCTCTTCTCTCGCAACCTGAAAGTTGCGAAGCTTAGAATCATGAACCAAGCAACCTCGGCCACCCGACCGCAGAGCCCTAGAGTGGAGGAGCAAACAACCACGGGAGCGCAGAAAGGGAAGTCGAAATTGACCGCCGGCGACGGACCAAGGCGTGAGGGCGCGGAGGTGGAGAACGAGAACCCACGCGACAGTGAAGAGGGCTCCGCTGAGCACGAGGTGGAAGAAGACGAAGAGGATGAAGAGGAGGAGGACGAGGACGAAGAAGAGGACGATGATGATGACGACGATGAGGTGGACAAGTGAGTTCAGATGCCGGGAAATTCTCCCTCGCCACATCCACCAGTACACCATTGTTTTGCTCTCGGGTCTCTACGCTCGTTTTGATGGGACATTCCTCTCGCTGACCTTGTGACTCTTTTGCGTCAGCTTCACCACTTCCGAGATCGTAACCGTCTACGTCGGCCCCAAGCGCAAACGGTTCCACCTCCATCGCGACCTGATCTGCCAACGGTCCCCCTTTATGGAAAAATGCCTCCAAAAGAACCGCTTCGATGAGGGCTACAAGAACGAACTCTACCTTCCAGAAGACGACCCCAAGGCGTTCAGCATAGTGGTCGAGTGGATATACAGAGGAAGACTGCCCGTCTTTGGGAATTTCGGGACAAGTGCAAGTAGCGGAGGCAGTGCCGCAACCGCTGCGAGGGCAACCACTGGACTGGACATGTGCGATATGTCGGCTGCGTATTGCATGGCGGACAAGTTTGGCATGGAGGAATTGCAGAATGGGATCATGGATTGTATACGGACGAATTATCGACTGGGCAGCGGAAGTGGGAGTGGGAGTGGAGGTGGCCATAATCACTCTCACATCCATCACATTATCGGCAGTGGACACAGCAGCAGAGAATCCAGCCGACCGAGCTTCGTCTCAAGCCTATCCGCAGCTGGAGCAGACCGAGACGCTCACACAGGGTCCGATCCAGCATTATCTCCAAACCTCCGCCCCAACTATTCGGCCCTTGCCCTCGTCCACCTCCACGGACCGCACAAATCACCGCTGAAACGGTTCTTCATCGAGCACCTCGTCCACCACATGATGACCTTCCCGCGCCATTACCATGACCAGACCAGGAAAGGCGTCGCGGACGACAGTGACCGCGCCGAGTTCGAAGACCTCTTCAAGATCCCGGAACTGTCCATGTTGATCATGCGCAAGGTGTGGCAGTGGCAGATCGAGAAGTTTGGCGACCCGGCGAGGGACAAGGGTTGCGCGTTCCACGTGCATTCCACCACGCAATGCGACTCCAAGGTGAGGTCTGCTTCTGCCATGGCGGGAAAGGGCAGTACGGGAAGTCGGCCTATCGGGTCGGGCTTGGGAGGAAGCCCCAGCACGCATCCGGCGGTGATTTTGCAGAACTTGGCCAGGACTCAGCAGGGGCAGGCTGGTTGGATGAGTGGCTCATCGACGAGTCTGGGAGGATGGCATCCCGGCGTTGGGTGGTAGGGACACCCAAGGGACCAAGACTCGCAACAAGAAGGACAGGTGGAGTGGAGACAGCAGCAGGAGGAGGCGACCGACGATGATTCTTCCTGATGGACAGAACCGAGCTCTTGAAGGGGTTGGGAAAGAAGATTTACGCCTCATGAAAGGCAGAGGAGAAGTTTCTAACACCGTTTATTCTCTAGGCGTTTACGGAGCAGCAGCCATTTCACTTTCGACATTGTTTGCCTTACGACGTGGCGCAGCGGACCGACCGATGGGATATTCAACTGTGTTGTTGCAAGGTGTCAAGAGCGGAGTTTGTTGTGCCGCAAAGGGTGTTCAATGTTCAAATGTTTCTTTTCGAGTGGGCGCTCCATACATCTATCCATCTTCCTTGCAGGGTCATGAAATGAAATAGAGAGCAGGGTTTTGATATGAGCAGGAGCAGGTATGACTCCTTGATACGAATGACGAGACTCAATTTAGTTATTTCCTTCTCATACATCGAATTCCATATCATTTTTTTTTTTATTTACCTGGTCTGTTTACCTGATCGTCGAAGTTTGTATTTGGGATTTTCCTCTTGGGGCAACGATGATCGTCCATGTCGCGTTTCTTTTTTCTCGTTAAAAAAGAGATCGAGGATTCTATGATGCAACCGATAAGGCACCAACGGCCGTCTCCTTGTACCTCTTAGGCCAGTCGAATCTAGGGTCTTGGTTAAGTAACTGGGCTCGATGGTGGGCGGGCTCGGTTAGTGGTAAATGGCATGGTGAGGTGGGCTAGCTGCGAGTAGTGCCTCCTTGGTCTGTGCATCTGCCCATCCTTTTGGTTCGAAGATCGAGATAACTGAATGCAAAGCTGAAGCTGAGCTCAATCCCTGTTTTTCTTTGGAACTAAACCCTCCAAAACTCTCTCACAGCTTGCACTTCATTTTTCTGTCCGCGTTGAAAGATTTGTCGGCTTTTTCGAAGGGGAGTGGAATGTATGTCGGTTATCACCATTGTCTAGTTTCTTGCGCTCCTTGTTGGAAAGATCGAACTGAATTACAGGTGGCATTGTGAGCGGGAAAAGTTGCTCTGCATGTGCATTTTGTAATCGGAGCCGGGGTGCAGCTTGACATATCAGGGCAGTCAGTTTCAAGCTTGAGAGGACTGGGATATCATCTGCCGGTGGCTTTCGAGACCGCTCGCTATAAGTTCAGGAGAAAGGATTGGAAGTCAGGGGTGTTGAAATCTTGGTCACACTGTCACACAGCCAGGACAGCACATATACAGCACAGAAGGTTAAGCTGCTGGCATCGCGAAGAGACGGGAGTTGGATAAATACCAGCAACGACAAATACAACAGCTACGACAGATCACTGCTTGTACTCGGTACCGTCCGCCACTATGCCCAGCGAACGCACGCCTCTCCTCTGGTCGCTCGATGCCGACAACAGCGATTTTACAACCGACCCGCACGCACAGTTCTGCATGATGACCGGTGTGCCTTCCTCTGGGCCGACCCCAGATGGCAAAAAACCGCGAGCTGCACCAGCAGTGCCGCCCAAATCCCTGTACGGCAGGGCGACTCGCCAACTCTCGAAGCAGACATTTACCTACTACATGACGGCCTCGCTGTCCAACACCATGCTGCTGGCCCAGGTCGTGCTTGGCGCCGCGTTAACTGCCCTGGGGGCCTCGGAGTCGAGTCACATCCTGATCACCATTTTCGGGGCTATGAACACCATCATTGCGGGACTCGTCGCGTACCTTAAATCGAGGGGTCAGCCGATGAGGGCGCGCATGTACCGAGATGATCTGGAGAGGGTGGTCGACGAGATCGAGAACTCGGAAGTCATGTGGTTAGGCATCACGACGGGGGTCAACGGGTACGATGATATCGATACAGGGGATCGCAAGGGCGGAGAAAGAGGGGCGGCGGCCGTGACTGTTCGGAGTGAAGTCGCCAGACTCACTAGGTTGTATGAACGCGCAGTCAGGAATAACACCGTCAATAACCCGGACATGTACATGACGGGCGCCGTGGACGGGAATTTTGGAGGGGCAACTCTGAGGAATCGAGCTGGAGCTGGAGTGGGAGGAGGCGGGCAGACTGCTGCGTCGCCGATGCCAGTGCCAGCACCCATAACGACGCCGGCCGTTGGAGTAAACCCAGGTGGCCCAGCGGAGGTATCCGCTCCAGCAGCCGCACCGCCAGCTCAACAGCCGGCGCCGGATCCAGATGAGAGTCCGGCCACTGCACCACCGAAGCCGAAGGAGGACAAGAAACCCGAAGAAAAGAAGGAAGCGGATAGCACGAAGGGCAAGGATAAAGAAGCCGAAGATGCAAAGGGCGATGATGCGGGATCGTCCGAGCCAGCTGATTCCAAACCTGAAAAGAAAGAAGGGAAGGCAGCAGACCAGGAGCCAGCGCAGAAGGAACAGCGACAGGAACACGAACAGGACCAGCAACCACAGCAGCAGCAACAGCAACAACCACAACGTGATCCCGACGCTGAGCCTGCCAGCGACCCGAACGTTCCCTTGAAGAAGGTCGCTGGTGATTCGACGGACGGGGACAACTAGACTTGATTGTCGCTGATCTGACCGTTCAACAGACCGATTGGAATAGGAGAGCAAAGTTGCAGTGGCAAAGAGTGCCGGTGTATCAAAGAGCGTGTGTGGAAGGAGAAATTCGTATAGGTGGGTTTGGTATTGTATTACACCTTTTTTACTTTCTGGTTTATTGCACAGAGCATATATATACCCCTTGGACGATGGTGCTATAAGCTTTTAATATAATAGTGGTGAGCATACAATTTGTGTCAACAGAGGAAGGAGAGACAAACATGGGCGAGACTTTTCAGCGAACCAACTAATGAGCATATACAGAAAGTACACCTTGACTGTCTCTGCCATCAATTATTGCCTTAACTCAAAGATCAGCCCGTCGAATGCCTCATGTTCAGCACCGGACCATACGCCTCTCTCCATTTCGTGGAAACCATCTCCGCAAAGCCCACAGCGGCCTCCTTGATCTCCCTTGCCGGCTTCTCCAAGATTTCCATCGTTTTCGACGTGTACTCATCCAGCTCCATCGGCGTGACGATCTTGTCCATTCGGTTCGCGGCGTCGAGGTCTGTCCGCACGTAAGGGGGCGCAATCTCAATGACGTTGACGTTGGTGTCCTTGAGGCTCTCTCTGAGTCCGACCAGGAAACTGTGGATGGCGGCTTTGGTGGCACAGTAGACGGGGAACACGCCCGCGGGGACGAATGCCAGACCAGACGAGGTGATCATGAAGGTGGCCTCTCGTCCCAAGGACAGTAGATGCGGCATGAAATGACGGGCTAGGATGATGGGCGCGGTCATGTTGGTGTGTGTTTCCTTGATGATCTTTTCGTCCGAGAAGTTGTCGAGCGATAACAGGTTGCCCTGGTATTGGATGCCCGAGTTGACCCAGACGGTGTCGATGGCTGGATACTTGGACAGGAGGGTCTTGACGTGGCCCGGGAGAGCGGCCAGGTCACTGTTGTCCATCGGGTAGGTTTCGAGTCCTGGAAGCTCCTTGGCCAGTTGTGCGAGGCGGGACTCTCGCCGTCCTGTGATGATGACGTTCTTGCCCATGTTGTGGAAGGCTCGAGCGAAGGACTCCCCGATCCCACCGGTGCCCCCGAAGATGAGGATTGTGGACATGGAGGATGTCATGGTTGTGGTTGATGTGCTGGAACTAGAGCTCAGAGGAGACGCTTGAGGGTATGATAGAAGCTGAGGTGTTGATCTGTGAAGCCATCTGTTCGCTGCCTTTATATACCATTAGGTGTCTTCCTGGGAGTCCCTATGTGCCTCGTATGTTTGCATGTACCTCGTAATGGATCGCTATATCCATAGTGCCGACGTCAATACTTCCCAAAAGGGCATTGGATGGAGATAATCTCGGACGTGGAACTTTCCTGATTTGGCAAGAGTTCTGTCGCTATCCGGTGCCCGACCCAATCAGAAGAGGAGCATGGCGTCTTGTCAAGGGGCCGAGTTCTTTTATCACCGCCTTGTCTCCTCTACCTTGCATACGGCGGCAATGGCGGCGACGACGGCGGCGACATCCCTTGGCTTCTGGTTGTTCGTTGACGTCGTGTCCGTCTTGTCCGCATTCTGTCGTGTCTGGTCATTTTGGTGATTGTGTACCGAGTACTCATTATGCTATTCAACCGCTGTCAAGGACAGTTGACTTGTTCCGTGTCTCGGACCACCAAAGCGCCCCAGACACTACTAGGATCGCACAGGTTTGATACCCGGCATGACTGAGAGGCCCTGAGAGACCATTGCCCACATGCCTCAGCAGTCACTGTGCAGGACTCGCCCGTTCATCACCAGGGCATCTTGGCTGTGAATGTATCTTTTCTGGAGTCAGGCGCAGAGTGACAGCCTAAACATCAGTTGTCATTGAGAAACAACTGAATGTCATATATCAGGTCTCGTGAACGGCCGGGCCAATAATAGTATCAAGCGCTGTTGGACCATTCACCAATCAATCATGTTTCGTTTGATAGATGAGGGCTACGGCCCAGTGCAGGCTCTGTTGCTTCTCTCCAGCTTCAGACATACGAAACCTGCCCAACAACCTCTGCTGCCTACGACCAACGCGAACATGTCTCTTGTACCAGGGGGAAGCGCTCTCCTCAACATCACTCAAGCTGCCATCAATGTCTTTCTAGGATCGCAACAGGACGACGGCCTGATCGGCGGCCTCACCTACTGGCAAGTCGCTAATGGCTATACCGCAATCGCGCTACACGACACCTGGTCCAACACTTCCTCCTACAGCGGTACCTTGGAGGAGCTGATTGGCAAGGTCGAGGTCAACAACACGAACTGCATCAACGCCATGAACGACGACTCGATGTGGTGGGCTGTCTGTTCGCTGGAGCTCTTCGATCTGACCGCTGCACAGGACCATCTCACGGTGGCTGAGGCCATTTGGGAACACGTCAACCAATTCGTGATTCCGCAGGGTAAGTATGTCATTAACGGCACCGACATGGGCGGCGGAGTGATCTGGTCGAGCAGGCCGAATGAGACTCAAGTGAATGCCGTCACCGCCGGCCTCTACGCGGAGCTTTCGGCGCGGCTGGCGTCTCAGAAAACGAACGAGACATACAGAGAAGGACTCCTCGCCTCGGCCATCAACACTTTCTCCTGGATCTTACGCAGCAGATTCGATCAGGACGAGTATGTCGTTCTGGACCACATCGATCTCGAAACTGGCTGGGGCTACGACTGGACATTTACGTACAATACCGGCCAAGCTATTGCCGCATCTGTTGCCATCTATAACACCTTGAAAGCAAGGGACTTGGACTTGACCCAATCGGCAACGACAGAAGCGTACCTGGACCTGGCCTGCGACATGGCGAGCTATGCACTGAACCGAAGTAGTTGGGTCGACTCGAATGGAACTCTGACAGAGCCCGGCGCCTATCCCGGCACTGGGCCCGACAAAATCCCAGCATGGCAGGACAACGACGCTGTCGGCTTCAAGGCCATCTTGCTACGGAGCCTGGCCAAGCTGTACAAGATCCTCGTCCGTGACAACAGCCACGCGGAAATGCAGACGCAGTTGGCCAGCTTCATCCAGACGCAGTTCCAGAGTTTGCAGCTTAGGGACACGAATTGGCAGGGACAATACGGCCCCTGGTGGGATGGGCCCATGGACTTGCCAACAAGTCACTCTCAACTGGCGGCACTGGATGTGATGGCGGCAATCCATGCCGTGTGACGGAGGAGATGACCAGAATGCAGGGTCAAAAATTGATAGTGGAACCAGCTTTCACGTTCAAACGTTGGTGTGCTTGATGCCGTGTACAGCTTTTACCGCTGGCCAGGGACGAACCGTTGCTTGTGTTCTTCGGCGCACAGTTCGTCCTGGATGTCATTAAACCATCTTCCTCGGTGACACTGCAGCAGTCAACCGTCCGATGTCAGAGGGGATTGAACTGAAGCGACTATCACCGGAATCTTTCCAACTGGTGTGCCTTTCGAGTACCTTCATCGGGCTACACGAGCTGATGTCATATTCTTGAATAATCCAACTCGACGGGGGATCTGGGATGTTTCGAGGGTAGGGGAATGCACAGCTCGAGAACCATTGACGCTCGTCTCCTTGCTCGATATCACTTCCTCCACAGGACCCTCGCCTACCTGGGTATTCTGCGCGCCAAATCGTCGTTTACTTGCCGGGTTGGAAGCGTTCTGTGTTCTTCATCATTAGGGAGCACAGCTGATACGCTGGCCTTGAATGTGCGCCGTGGTACAGAGGGCAGTGGTCGTACATCGTTTTCATTCTGTTCAGTTGTCTTCTGGGTCATCTAGAGAGCAGCTTTGCCATGTGGAAGCACGTCAAGTGGTGCACCGCCTGCCATTTCTGGATGGACATCCTAGACCCATAGATAGCCTGTCATTCAAGCCGGTTTACACGGTACAACGAATACTCAACGTTGCTCAAGCGCTATGCTCCCCGTGAGATGTGCCATGTACCTTCTCCAACAGTCTTGTTCATCTTCCTCTTGTTTAAGGCCAGCAGCTGAGCGTAGTGCTGTGGATGGTCAGATGAAACAGATTAGGTGCACTGTGGAATAACTTGTAGATAACTAGTATAACCATAACGGATCCAATAACCGTGGATAAGCGCCTTTGATAGAGACAAGTCAGAGGAGGTGAGAAATCAACCCCACAGTCACTCTGGTGCGGGGAGGCCACGCAATGGGAATGTTCTGATATTGTCCTGATATGCACCCTCTCACTCTCACTCTCACTTGCTCTTCCTCACGATCAGACCGATCAACTCATCTCTAGACACCTGTTGTCAATCATGTCTGTCAACGGCACGAATGGCACCAACGGTGCAACGCACAAGGAGAAATACCCAGCCAAAGCCCACTGTCGGCGGGTGGCTCAATATCTAGTCGACGCAGGCTTCTCGCGGCATGGCGTGCTGTACCTCGAGGCCCAAAAGACGCGCATGGTCGAAGACGACGACCAAGCCATGCACTTCCGCCAGCGCCGATACTTCTTCTACCTTTCGGGCTGCAAACTGCCCGACGCCTATCTGACCTACAACATCCCGCAAGACATCCTCACCCTGTTCATCCCGCCGATCGACCCGGACGACGTGATTTGGAGTGGGTTGCCCGAGTCCAAAGAGGAGGCGCTGGAGAAATACGACGTCGACGACGTCCTCTACTCCAACGAGGTCAACGCCGCGTTGGCGGCCTACGGCCCGTCCAAGGCTGCGACCGTCTACGCCATCCCCGAGCAAGTCTCCGAGCACGTCACGTTCCTGCCCTTCAAGGCCGTCGAGTTTTCTTGCTTGAAGAACGCCATTGACGAGTGCCGCGTCGTCAAGGACAGCTACGAGGTGGCGCTGATCCGCAAGGCCAACGAGATCTCCACGCTGGGACACATTGAAGCCGCGAAAGCGGTGCGCACGGCGCACAACGAGCAGGAACTCTACGGCGCCTTTGTGGGAACGTGTATCTCCAACGGGGCCCACGAGCTGGCCTACCACTCCATCTGCGCCAGCGGCACCAGCTGCTCGACTTTACACTACGTGCGCAACGACCAGCCCCTGCGGGACCGGCTGAACATCCTCCTAGACGCCGGCGCCGAGTACGACTGCTACTGCGCGGACATTACCCGCACGTTCCCGATCTCTGGGAGTTTCACCCCGGAATCACAGACGATCTACGACATCGTGGACGAGATGCAGTCGAGTTGCTTCAAGCTGCTGCGCGCCGGCATGCGGTGGGAGGACGTGCACATGAACGCGCACCGCGTGGCGATCCGGGGTCTCAAAGCCTGCGGCATCCTCGTCGGCGACGACCAAGAAATCTTCGACAAACGCATCTCCGTCGCCTTCATGCCCCACGGCCTCGGCCACTATCTGGGCATGGACACGCACGACACCGGGGGCCACGCCAACTACGACGACCCGGACCAGATGTTCAAGTACCTCCGTGTGCGCGGCCAGGTGCCCGCCGGGGCCGTCATCACCGTCGAGCCGGGCATTTACTTTTGCAGGTTCATCCTCGATCCCGTGTTGGAGGATCCGGAACTGAGCAAATACATTGATCAGAAAGTGCTGGACAGGTACTGGACCGTCGGCGGAGTGAGGATCGAGGACGACGTGCATATCTTGGAGGATGGGTATGAGAACTTGACAAAGACGCCGAAATTATGATTGAGCCCACAGTGCGGGTCCTGAGCATGTCCTTATGAAATAGAGCCTTGTTAAGCGGGCCGTCCGGGTTCTCGAGTTTTTGCGTTGGGGGATCGAACCCGCGTCATGGTCCTTATGAACTATGAACTGGGGCCTTGGGTGAGAGCATTGACTACAGCTAGTAAATGATCTGCTCGTGCCGGGGCCCAGTAGAATGCTTAGAAAGAGCAGACACTCCACGCTGGGAGGAACGGACCTCAGGTTCATCGAGCTCTTACGTAGATTTCACGGTATGAGCAGCAGAGACGCGGGTACAGGAGAAAGCCTAGTGCATCCTCTCCCCATTTGCAATGTTGCCACCACCTTAGACTTGGTACCGACCTAGGTGGATTGATAGTGCCTCGCCCAAACCCGCAATTACCTCCCCTACCTCTCTACCTCCTCAGACACATATGGGAGTGGTTTAATCAGCATGGGGCCCGACACTATCGCAACCCCCACAACCATTCAGCCGGGAGTGACCGGGGCCCTACAATCCCTCAAACGGGAATCAATCCAATACTGACAATTGATATTGCTGTTGATATTGGCTATTGCTCTCCCAGATCTTGCATCAAGCTCTGGCTATGGAGGCTCAGTCCTTCCACGTAATGACCTTTGTCCTGACCCACTCTTCCAACCCAGGCACGCCATTGAATCTCCCAAATCCAGACTTCTTGACGCCGCCGTGCGGCAGGGCCGCCTCGTCGTGGACGCTCATGCTGTTGATGTGTACAGCCCCGGTCTCGATCTGGCGGGCCAACCGCAGACCCTTACGCAGGTCCTCGGTAAAGATCGCGCTAGCGAGGCCGTAGTCGGTATCGTTGGCGATCTTAAGGGCCTCCTCGTCGGAGCCCACCACGTACAGCGACACAGTCGGACCAAAGGATTCCGTGTGGTAAATGTCCATCTTGGGGGAGACGTTCTCGATCACGACGGGACGCATACGCGTTGATGACTCCTCATTGTGTGAAGCGTCGCCGTACAGCGTCTTGGCGCCCTTGGACAGCGCGTCTTCGAGCAGTTTCTTGTTCTTCGTAACAGGGGCAGACGTCACGAGCTGCGGCACGCCCATGCCCTCGGGTGTTTCGGCAAAGACGTGGTCCATGGTCTGCTTGAGCGCCTCGCGGAACTGGTCGGCCACCTTCTCGTGCACGATGATGCGCTCCGTCGACATGCAGATCTGGCCCGCGTGGAGGAACGCGCCCAATGCACATTGTAGAGCTGCGGTGGAGATGTTGGCGTCTTCGCAGACGATCGAGGGCGCTTTACCACCCAGTTCCATGACCGTCGGCTTGAGATACTTCCCGGCCTGGGAGGCGATGATGGCGCCCACAGCTGTAGAACCCGTGAAGTTGATCTTCTTGATGGATGGGTGAGAGATCAGCGCTGTTGTGACCTTTGCCGCGTCGGCAGGGCGGTGATAGATAGTGTTGAGGCAGCCCGCGGGCAGCCCTGCTGCGTGAAGGATGGAGGCGAGGCCCCAGTATGTTGCAGGAGCTGCTTCAGGGCCTTTGAGGATGACTGTGTTGCCCCTGTGCGAGTGCTTCATGTCAGTCGAAACCCCAGACTTGGTCTCCTACGAAAACCTTCCTTCTTCCAGAAACGGAAATAGAGGACGTCATTCTCGCATCATTTGGTGTCCAACTTACATGGCAAGAGGTTGCAAGCACGCGCGAAGACCCAGGACATAGGGTGCGTTCCACGGCGCAATTCCCAGGATCACACCATATGGTTCCTTGACCACCATAGCACTGCTACCCTCTTCGCCAACAACGGGCATAGTGGAGGTCGAGGCGACCTGGATGAGGCCCGCGATGCTCTTGCAGGCCTCGTAAGCTAGGTTGTGCTCAAAGGCAAACATGGACTCGGCGGCGCCCGTCTCGCTATGGCTGTAATGCCGTAACTCGTCTCGTCTCTTCTTGAACTCGTCGGCCGCCCGGAGGAAGATGTCTCTCCGGAAGGCTGGCTTCGTCTTAGACCACGTTGTGAATGCCTTCTCGGCGGCGGCGATGGCTTTGTGCACATCCTCTTCGTCAGCGGAAGAGCATTTGTACAGGGTTTTGTGGTCGACGGGAGAGATCACGTCGAAGGTCGAGGAGAGTTTGACTTCTTTCCCGTCCAGCCACAGAGGAATAGTCGATGATGTATCGAATGCTGGAGCTGGCGCGTGTGCGCCGTTAGTTCCGTTGCTGGCCATCTTAGAGAATGTCTGGGAGTTGAGGACTGATGGTTTTCGCAGAGACGATGGACGTTGTCAGTCAGAAAATCGGGGTTGGTGTGCACAGATAAATCAAAGAGAACGAGACATCCGGCAATTGCACAAGGCATATAGATCCATCGGATTGCGCACCCTCCCTGTAGATCTTAATGCTGGTATTTCCAAATCAACGCGGATTCGTCCCGCTGGGGGTGGAAGCGGGGAAATGGGCCTGATTGTTCCCGAACGCTGGTGGAAGCCTCAACGCGGGGCAGTCCAGGCGCCGGGTGGGACAAGGTGGTTCCCCTGGGCATCGAGGGGCATCGTCGGGGGGCAGCCCCCGAGTAGCAGCCTGAGAGCCTGCCAAGCGGATAGATGCCCAGGTGATCAATGGCAAGTGTTCTCGGCTGTTCGTCAGCGCTATGGCCGCTCCAGGCATGCTTCACGAAAAGCTCCCCGAACCAAATCAGACCGGCAAAGCTATACCCGATGTATTCGTACACTGCGTCCATTAGAGTGCCCTGCTTATAAACAATCCCAGCGACAGCGGAAATTCGGTGGCTTCCCGAGTTCCGTCGCTTGCGCAATTCTTTACTCCGAAGTTGGAGAGCCTCACGCAGCTCGCCCACAGGTGCCTATCAGGTTCGGGGCTTGTGCTGTGTGTATCCTGTGCTCTTTAGCTCTTGACAGAAACCCGCCTCGCACCGAGAGCCCCCTTGTTCAATCTCTTTCCTCCCACATCTTTCAAATATTAATGTCTCTAGTGATTTCGTACGGCTTGAGGGAGGGGGTCAAGATACGCGCCTCGTTCTGAGAAGGGTTCTTTTCAGGAAGGAAAGCGTCCCGGCTATCGAGTTAGTATTAGTGGCTAGAAACCTCACCTGCAGAGCCCCTATGCCTAATCCAAGTAGGTAGTGTAAGAAGCTCTTGCGCTCACGTACTTGAAATTGTTCAAAAGGTTTTTTGTTGGGAAACAATAACACATACTGTAGGCGCTCACGACCTGGTGACTCTTGCGCACTGGGCGCGCAGAATCCGGGCGGTGTGCTCCTCGCCATCCTCCTTCTCAAACGCAGTGACCGCGATTAGGAACCAAAAAATTGAAATCGCGCGATCATGGGCGTGGTTGGTTTTGGGTGGTTGAACTCGCTGATCTTCCACAAGATGCGGCATTTTGAACGAGCAAACGTCTGGTGCGAGCACATGCTCTTCAGCTCAAAAGGGGAACCCGAATCCGAGAAATTTTGATACACCAACCCTTAGCTCGTCTGCTGCTTCCCAGAGATTTTGATCCTCTTTTGGCAGATGATTGAGACCCGCGTGGCAGCCATCACACCACTTTTGCATCATCGCATCAACAGTCATCGCGTTCGCTTATGCCCGTGACACGTGGATTTGATGGGTCTGTCCTCGGCTTGTGCGGAAGATGCTCCAGGGGCGCAACAGCGACTCTGTCAATAGAACCGCCCGCAGGCGGAAGATAGTGTGTGTTTGGCAAAGACAGGAGGGCGCGCAAACGGCAGCTAAGTATCGAGAGGACTTCAAGGTCTTCGACACACGTCGAGGAAGGCTGGTCAACGGCATGCTTTCTGCACGTCGCAGCTCGCCGAGGAGCGAGTGCGGGAGTCTGTTTCGAGGATGCAATATCAAGGGATCAGAGCGAGATGGTAGATAGGTCCAATTTCTAGCTTATCGAGCTTTGAGGTTTCATCACCTCATCCTCAGGTGAGGCCCGAGACATGCAGAGAGGGAGGGTGACAGTGGCAGCTTCGCGCAAACATTGGCCCGTACCCCGCAACTCATCATGCCACTTGGTAACGTAAACAAAGAACCCAAAACATCAAAAACATGCCTTCATGATGGCATTGCGGCGGAGGAACGGGTTTATCTGGAGCTTCGATTGGGCAGATCAGCCTAGTGGCCGCGTAAAGGAAAAATAGCGAGGGGGTGGCAATGTGAGGTGAGGTGAGGTGGATGAGCTCGGGCTGGGGGTGGCCAGAGTGGACACAGTGAGCTGCGTAGAGCTCTTACGAGCACCTGGGCTTGCGATGCCCATACCCATTCACCACTGGCTGCCCAAGGGTACCTACCTAGCGACCTAGGTAGAAGGTGGAAGGGAACTCTTCCCCGCATTGCATGGGCTCTGCCTGCCCTGAGGGCCTGGGGTACCTCCCCGGGCCTCGTTTTCGTGACTCCCTCTTCCGGCTTCCCTTTGGTCCTTTTTCTACGATTTCCTTCGGTCCCTCGAATCGAAATGCGTGCTGGCGACATGGATCTCACATCTCGGCGAGCTTAGGTTTGGGATCCGAGCACAAGAACAGATCCGGAAAAGCTTGGGGCCGCGCATCAGTCACCCTTGCAGTGGTCCAGATCTACAGACCATCTAGCCTCCAGTAATTACGAGGTGCATAGAGTTTCCCTAGGTACTAGTCGTAGGGACCCTAGCACCCGTACCCGTACCTACCCAAGCTACCTAGGTACCAGGTAGGTATCCACAACCTCTGATCTCCCTGTCTGTTAATACCCGTATCCATGCTCCTCCACTGTATCCGTACCGCCAAACCCCCCAGCAGTCCCTTCATTTTCTTGTCACTTCCAACTTATGCTCCATCTTGCTGCAGCCTTCATTGCCCACTGGCATGCTGGTCCATCCGGCCAAGGGTGCTTCCCTGCGCTTTGATGGTGAGAAAAATCCGTTCGTCCACACGCTCATCCCGCCGGCCGTCTGCTATCTTCTGGCCAACCTGATGATCCGCTTACAGAAGTCTCCTTACACCCGTCATGAGATGTAACATTCTCAGCCCTCAACCAAGTCATTGATTGGCTGTCCAAGCTCTGCGGTCCACAGGAAACACGTCGAGACGTTCAAGTTCTTGAAGCCATGACGGACACACGCGCTCTCCGTGATCAGACTCTGAGGGGTTTCCGCTCATCCTGAGCTGAGTTTCTCGATTCTCTTATCCATTGAAGAGAGGGGTCGAGAGCTCTTCTGACTTCTACATAAGGTCCGCCTGATTCCTGACATGATCTGTAGAATATCATCCTCACCACCACCATCATCCCACGACCTCAGAAGGCATTGCCTCCTTCATACCCATTTCCACCTTGCCAAAAAGTGTTGTTAAAGACCTTCTCTTGTCAAACTTACGTTTTTCATCTTCATCCTACAGAATGACTTCCCACAAGATCCCCACAGAGCAATGGGCTCAGGTCATCGAAAAGGTTGGCGGTCCGGTCGAGTACAAGAAAATCCCCGTCCCCAAGCCAGGACCAGAGGAAGTGCTCGTCAATATCAAATACTCCGGTGTCTGCCATACCGATCTGCACGCCGTCAACGGTGACTGGCCCCTCCCGACAAAGCTACCTCTCGTTGGTGGCCACGAGGGCGCCGGTATCGTTGTGGCCCGTGGCGACTTGGTCACCGATGATATTTGCAAAATTGGCGAGGCCGTCGGTGTCAAGTGGTTGAATGACTCCTGCTTGAACTGCACTTTCTGCCAACAATCAGACGAGCCCCTCTGCCTCACTCCCAAGCTCTCCGGCTACACCGTTGATGGCTCCTTCCAACAGTACTGCGTCGCATCCGCAAGGCACGTTGCCCACATCCCCGAGGGTGTACCTCTCGACGAGGTCTCCCCAGTCCTGTGCGCAGGCATTACAGTCTACAAGGGTCTCAAAGAGTCGGGAGCAAGACCAGGACAAACAGTTGCCATCGTCGGTGCCGGTGGCGGCTTGGGTTCATTGGCACAGCAATACGCACGGGCTATGGGCATCCATACCATTGCCATTGACACTGGAGATGACAAGAAAGCACTCTGCCAAAAGATGGGTTCCGAGGTAAGTCCCAGAAACCCCTTTTATGTCTCGATGACGATACTAAACCAATATCACAGCACTTTATCGATTTTGCCAAATCCAGCGACGTTGTCAAGGACGTCAAGGCCGCAACAAAGGATGGCCTCGGCCCTCATGCCGTCATTCTCGTCGCTGTTACCGAGAAGCCCTTCCAACAAGCTGCGGAATACGTCCGCCCTCGGGGAACCGTCATTGTGATTGGTCTTCCCGCTAAGGCGTACATCCGGGCACCGGTCTTCGAGTCAGTGGTGAAGATGATCAGAATCCAGGCCTCATACGTCGGAAACCGACAGGATAGCGAGGAAGCCCTCGACTTCTTCGCCCGTGGGTTGATCAAGGTGCCATTCAAGACGGTGGATCTCAAGGAACTTCCCAAGGTCTACGAGATGATGCATGCTGGGCAGATCGCTGGCCGGTACGTGCTCAAGATGCCTGACGCAGAATAGAAGACCAGCGCGATGAGTCATGTGGCGAGCCAGACGACTGATATCGTGACTGGTTATGTAAGAAGATTACAATAGTGAAAAGGTAGCTTCAACAAAATGATTATAATCTGAGAGACTACGAGGTACTGCTTGGGAGTTTCCAACGGGCATCCAACGGGCGTAGGGCGTTCGGGCCAAAGGATCTCCGTCCTCGGGTGCTCATCCCGCCGTCCCTGCCTGAGATACTAGCGAGAAACTGTATCGCTTGCCTACTTCGTGCTCTTTCACTTGAGTTCTACTAGGTACACGATCTTCTCCCTCTGTCCGTGGCTGCGGACCAGCTTTACACCGCCGAATTTGTCAGGCCGACGCTTTGTTCACATATTCATGATGTTGACAAGCCTCTCTAGCCACAAGTATATTATGCGTCTTCGCCACCCCGCCCCGTTTGCTGGTGTCGATAGCCTCGGATCTCCACTGTCGCGGACAGCAAGTGTTGAATCCTTACTGAGTCAGCAGGATTGGGATCTGCAACCCTGCTGAAATCGACGCAGGGCTATTTCAGCCACCGATCTTGAATAGATTAGAGTAGTCAGCAAGTAGGGACTTAGGTAGACGTCGACTTCGTACAGACGACTCGGTACAGCTAAGCAGTTCCCAGAATACAGTTGCGAGCCAATTAAACCGGTGGAGAGACTCCAAATGCTGTTTATTGCTCAGTTTCTGTCTTCATTCCTTTGCCCACTTGTTCTTGCTCCGGATCTTGCGTCGATGTCTGTCAGCCTTGAGTAGCTGGCGATGTGGCTGGATACCAGCAGGAGGCTACCTCCCGGTAGGTACGGACATAGAAGCAACCACTGTGATTTCTAGATAGTTCTACTCGTATTTCTGCCAGATATCAAGCGAAATGGCCGTCATTGTACGAAGTCACTGCCTGAGGCATTGCATACGGACGCTGGGTGGACGCCACCTGCGCTAAAGGCCCTTGCAGCCTCATGGCGCTACGGTCTTTGCCCGAATAGGCAGTACCCATTTCCCGATCAGGTCATCCAAACAAGGCTCCTGGCTTGCTCGCCAAAGGGCCTCCACAGCCGCTGTGCCGCTCGATATCTGGTACATCTATTAGAGGCCTGGATGTGTTCCACGCTATTCGCTGCTTTCAAAGCACAAGCTTCTAAACTCTTTCGGCTCACGAGGCTCCGCTTCACACAATGCCTCGACTATGCCAAATCCTACAAGGCTCTTCACGCGGTCTGCCCTTCTTTCGGCCGCTATGCATCTATTGTTCAAATTGAGCCCGGGACCAAAGTCCTTGGGCAGGTCTGTTGCATCCATTATCCCTCGACCTAAAAGCCCATGGTGCGACAATGACTCTTCCTCACCAAGCAGTATCCTGCAACTGCCTCAGCCTTCTCCATTATATAGCCAAACCCACCTGCCTGCTGCTGGGATGCGCTTGCCGACCAGAACACGGTATCATCACCGTTAACTCTCAGATCTACGTCGGGCGAACTTGTTGCAAATATGAAGGCGCCCAAGTTTATGTTCATCAATAAAACAGCCGACTCCGATTCCCTTTCACACAGCCACAAGAGCGAAAGAATAAAGATCCACAGCCATGTCCAGAAGGGACGGCGGTACAAGAAGTCCGAGGGAGGAATCATCTATGCTGCGCAGCTACCGCCCCTTCGGTCTGAGCCACGAGATGGTCAGATGAATGACAGCCAAGACGACCCCGACCACGAGAAAGGCTACAATGATGGTTCTTCAACGCAAAATACATCGGACCTGGTGCATTACCAGTCAGAGTCTCCAGTAAATGGCCAGAGCGATCACGCTCTACAGCCGCTCGACCCAAACATCGATCCGTTGCTTTGGGACTATTCGCTACCACGTCTCAAGCTATCAGGCTCGCCTGAATCAATACCCATATTCCCTGCCTCGGCAGAGGAGAACTTCGATCCGTTTGAAGTTACATGTGTCAGGGTCGACGAAGCCATCTACAGCCTGCTGCACTATTTCCTTCAGGTGTGGCACCCTAATGTATGGCACCTCGAGAGAAACGGCCGGGCCGATCACCAGTATGCGTTTCGGCACGACGCTATGAGTCTGATCCAAGGCTGCCTTCATGACGAATACAACATGTACGCTCTGCTTGCCTACATGGCAAGCTACATGCAAGATATCGATGGGCTTCCGGCACCCGGAGACGGCGCTGTCTACATGCACCGGGCACTCAGAGCCTCCCAAAACTATGTGAAGAGTCGGCACCCGATTACGGGAAGGCTGATCTTCAACATCTTCGCTCTGGGCTGTGCAGAGTGGTATAGGTACAATCGCGAGGCGGCCTACGTGCACCTCAAGGCCGTTAAATCTGTTATCGACTCAATTGGAGGGTTAAAGTCGCAGGATGGCCCGCTCGTGGATCTCTTGTTGACTGGTGATGCATATGTGGCTGGAGAGCTGGAAAGGAAGCCTCTATGGTCTGACTCTGATTTCGACAATGGTGACGACCATCCCATGACGGCATACGGTCTTCAAGAGCTGCAGAAGCTTCTTTCAGGCGCGGTCGCTATAGGATCAGGCCTTCTGAGCTCTGCGCAGCAAAATATTATCCCTGCCACCTTGCGCTGGATTATTTTGGATCTCGCCGTGTTGCTTTCTGTCTACAGGTCCTCGCAGTCCTTGGGGTCCGCGGCCGAAGATCAACTCTCTGCTCTCGAAGGGCTCCACTGGATCAACGTGCGTAGCATCGCCATCAGACACCGGCTACTGCATCTTGACCTGGCGGATGAGAGAAGTGCTGCCATCCGTACTGCGATTGTGATGTGGATGTTTCTGTGTTTTACTGTCACTGGACGAGTTCGGTCGGCCAAAGTCATGGCTCCGTTGTTACGAGATAGAGTGTCCTCAGTGTCCGAGAAAGACTGGGAAGGTCACGAGGAAGTCCTGCTGTGGGTTTTGAGCATCGGTGCGCTGTCTGCCCAGGTGGGCTCTGAAACCCACACATGGTTTGTGGCCCGGATGAGTTCTTTGCCTGTCATCAACAGCGGAGCTGCGGAAGCGGACAGAACTTTTGCAGCCCTCGTCACCCTCGCTGAGAAGTTCTTCTATCTGGAGTCGGCACAGAAGAATGATTTCAGGGCTCTCGCTGACGATGTCCACGATATGTTACAAACAAGCATGGGAGAATCAAAGAGCGCATCCACGTCGCCTAAGGGCTCCAAGCGTTGAGGGGCCCTTCTGGTTGCGGTGGATGCCACCAAGATGGGGGCGCTTCGGACAGCTAATTACTCGTACACTCCAAGCCTATCTGAGCCTAAGATGTTTTAGCTGAATTTTGAAAAGAGGCGGGCGAGCCGGTCACCGGTGCTTTTCGAGGGCGCTACAGCAGTTGGTCTAGGTATCCTCGGAGCTGCTGCGTCTGTATCATGATGAGAAAGTCACTTTCGATTCAACGTCCCGGCCATATCCTCTTCTGAAGCGCACAACATTTCCTCATTGGAAGCGTCCTGTGGTCGCGTCTGGGTGCTGGGCAGGAGGGCAATCATAGATGCAGATAGGGGGAAAGGAGCGGTGGTCGCAGAGCTACATCAATATCCGGCTGCACAGCATCATCCACATCAAACGAGACACAAGAGGCCGACCGCTGCACAGACCTCCTCTCGACAATTGCTGCTGTCTTGTATAGCTACTTGAGGCTCACTAGGCACAATTCCCTCCCCAGTTGGTGGGAATGAAGTCGCCGGCCGGAGGAACTGCGGCAACTCGTTGATATTGAGCTTCCCCACAGCGCCCTTGATTCCATCTGCCGTCTGGTGCCACCCAGGTGCCGTTGCAAATGTCTTGACGTCAACCAGGTCACCGCGGTGCCCATTATTATTCATGACTATTTTCTTGTGTCGCAATGTTCAATGTGTTGGGGTTGACGAGAACGCCAAATCGTCCAGCGCACGTCGCTCATGGGCCGTGGCCCGGTAGACCCAGCATACGAAATACTAGACCCGCGAATAGACCTGTATTAACTCCGCAATTGCCGATGGATGTCGCCATGCAGGGACCGAAGATATTGAGGAGATAGCAATACATAAGCAGCAGGAAGAGGGCCGGAGACGATTGGTGAATCGAGGGACTAAGAGAGAAAGTGCCCGTTGCGGGAGAGATATTGGCCCGAAAGGAATATTCAATTGTTCCTCCTGCGAGCACACAACCTTCTTCATTGATCAACCCATCAACCATCCTCCACGTGGCGTTGAAGAATTCCCCTTGTGTATGATGCGCGTATATATATCTTAACCCAGAAGAAGAACGAGATCAGACATTGAAAACTTCAGAGACACATCCTCGATACAAGTCCATTCCGTCCCTCTTCAGCATTATCAATCACTATTCTGAATACCCGCCCAACAACTACAGGAGTAGAATTTTCACCACTTCACATATCTACCTACCTACTGTATATTCCGGTGCCTCTCAGCACAGCCAGCCATGGCAACGCTCAAATACGCCGATAAGCTCGCCGACACGACCGTGCTGATCATCGGCGGCACATCCGGGCTTGGTTTCGGCCTGGCAGAGGCGCTGCTCGAACACCGTGTCGCAAAACTGTACATCTCGTCGTCGCGACAGCAAAGGGTCGACGCGGCCGTGTCGCGGCTCAAGTCCGCCTACCCAGACTCCAAAACCAGCATCACGGGCCTGGCGTGCAATCTCGGCGACGAGGCCAAACTTGAAGCCAATATTAAGGACTTGTTCTCGCAGATTGGCGGAAAACTCGACCACGTCGTCTTCACCGCCGGGGACCCCCTTGCGGCCAAACCCTTCGGGGAAGTCGATTTCGCGTTCATGAAGCAGGCGGGGATGGTGCGGTTCTTTGCACCGTTTTTTGTCGCAAAGGAGGCGGTCCCTTATTTGACGGCGGGACCCGCGAGTTCTATCACCTTGACCACGGGGTCGGTCTCGGAGAAGCCGCTGCCGAACTGGGCCGTCGTGTCCTCCTACGCGAGCGGGTTGTATGGCATGACCCGCTCTCTCGCTCTTGATCTCAAGCCCGTGCGCGTCAACCTCATCTCGCCGGGGGGCGTGGACACGGAGCTCTGGGAAAACACTCTCGGCGACAAGGAAAAGGTCGCTGCCGCGCTGGAAGGGATGAAAGCACACGTCGCAACGGGGGAGGTGGGCAAGGTCGAGGACGTGGTTGAGGCGTTCCTGTACGTGCTCAAGGACAAGAATGTCACGGGCACGTGCATTAGGAGTGATGGGGGCGTCTTTTTGATGTGAGATCTCAGACAGAATCTAAGATTGTGTGAATACGTGCGAGGCGGTGGTCTTAAGAAATGTCTCTTCCACGTCCTACAAGGTAGACAAGAGCGGACCGAAACAGATGTCCGCGTACCCATAAAAATATACAGACGTTATGACGAATAAGTATCATGGGAACCAGAATGCTGTTGTTAGTTACCTCTCCCAGCATGTCTTCATGGTTACCTATAATCTAAGTCTGCTCAAGTCACAGCTGTCGGGAAATGCTGGAAAGAGGCGGGAATAAGGGGGTGTAGCCTGATGGCGGGCAAGACTTACCCTACGTCGACCTCTCAACCGGTTGATGGCCAAGGCATTTAGCGAGCAGCTCTTTTCTTGGTTTTGAATGGCTCCATGGGTCCTTCTCTCTCAGCTTTGCTGATCTGTGCCTACCTAGGTATGCTGATCTGTCTGCTGAACTGCTTCTTTTCTCTCCTTTTCCCTCTCGTCCTTGCAGAGCGGATTGGAACACGGGTATGGCGTGAAAGCTTAGAGCATGAACTGAGGCAATTTGGCCGGTCAAGAGAAACAATTCAGCTGGCTGAAGAGCTTTTTTCAGTGGAACGGCCAGAACAGACTGTAGTTGTGTTTGTATGAAGGGGAGGACAGCAGGTCCAGAGCAGGACTCCTAAGGCCAGCATTGGTTGCCAAGCATCCTCAAGCCCAGCAGTTGTTCGGTTCAGCCTGGCAACCCTGTTTTAACTAAGTAACTAACGAGTCAAGCCGGAGGGTGACAAAGGCGAAGCCTACAGCACAATGCTTTAGGCTTCACTAGCCCCCCAATACCGCCTAACGAACCTCAGATGAGAAAAGTAACGCCTAAATCACGCAGGTATCAGGTCGCCTGAGCTGCCCACGTCTGCTCTGCCCGCCAGGTATAAAGGGAGCCGTGTCTCTGCCCGAATACCTCCCACTATGAGTTGACCTGAGCCAACTGGACAACTAGACAACTGCCTACCTGGATACCTAATCAACTAACCAACTAGGAATAGGTGACTCCAAACATCCCAGTTGTTAAAAAACCAGCATGGCTCTCATCCCAGCATTTCATATCGGAAATCTCGGCATGTTCCTTATCGCCTCGCTCACTATGATAGCCGTCACCATCCCTACCGTCCTCTTCTACACAAACAAGTTTGGCAATTTGGCAGATCCCAACATCCCAATGGCCTTCACCTGACCCCTGCCTTGCATCTCGGGAGTACCTTAGCCCTTTTTCAGATCGCAACCCTCCTTTCACGGACTACTCGACAATCAATCTCCCGCCGGCATGACCGATAACCAAGCGAGTGGCACCCCTTCGGTGCTTGCCACCCACACGATCGATCCAAGCCAACAAGAAATCTCGCACCCGCCAAAGTCATACACATATTACCATGCCGGACCGCTCTTCACCATCGCCGAACTGCACACAAATGCTCTTCTTGCACAAGCGATCCAAGGTCGCTCTTCGGGCAAATTCATCCCCGTCTTACCCCAGGATCTGGAGCAGCGCGACCAGAGCCCTCATTCCATCCGGGACGAGGATCTCCGTGCCCTGTTCTCCTGCGACATGGCCCTGTTCACCTACGACGGTGCGGATCTCGACCCCGGCACGGTCGTTGAGTACATGGCCGCCAAAATGGCCGATATCCCCGCTGTCGTGCTCCGGACCGACTTTCGCGGAGCGGGCGATCAGAGCTTGAGGGGCGATGCGTGGAACCTGATGAGCTCCAACTGGCCGAGGACGGTGGGTGTGGTCGTGCACGCGATGGTGGGCTACAAGACCAGTCTCCAGAGGGCCCAGGCTGGAGCGGAGGGGAGTCAAGATATGGTGAGGACGGTGGGCGAGTACATGATTGAAGACGTCGCCCAGAAGGTCGTGGATGCTTTTGAGAAGGTGTTGAAGGAACCCCCGAGAATGCCAAAGGAGTTGAGGGAAAGTGTGTATCAGTGGCTGGCTTTGATGCCCGGGTTCAGGGACGGAGGCGACCAGCATAACCTGGAGTTTCTGGCTAAGGTGTGTAAGGAGAAGCAATCTAGAGGTTTATTATGAAGAATCACGTTTCGCATTATGATTAGACCAGTCAAAAAATCTTTTTGAACAACGCTTTTCCGCTGTGCTGTGCTGTACTGATTGACTTCTTGATATGTACCAGATGTTCTATGTTCCACAATCTTATCTGTGTAAGAAAGCAATCACGAATGAAACCATACTTGAGGACCAAAGGCCAGAAGAGTCCGCTCATTCATTTCTTGAGGCCATAAATACCTCGCTACCTAGGAGGGACCGCCGATTTCCAGAGGATGAAAAAGGGGAGAGACTCGCAAGGCTGCAGGGTTGCCAAGCCTCGTCACCTCGCCACGTGACTGCGCCATGGGCATCACCGGCATCACCAGCCTCGTCCACAGTGCTTCGTACTTCAGTCAGATGCAGTCTTCCTCTGCCTGAAATAGTCCTGGCCGCAGAACAATGTCGAATTGATTATATGGCTAAGCTATACGCAAAAGCTCCAGTGCCCATGACCAAAGTATAATTCAAGTCCTACAAGGTCGGACGCTCAGATGGTCTGCAGCTCAAAGGTGCTCAAGCGGACTCGCTTACCAGTTTCGAGACTCCAGACATTCGAACGAGCCATGTAACTACCTTGCTTCCTCTACTAACCGCTGTCCCTGAGGCACTCACTTTTGTTCGAAATGCTATACACCACTGTTTTGGCATATGCCATCGTCACCATCCTCCATTTTCATGCCCTAGTCGTCGCCGCTGAAAACTCACAGACTCTACTGAACCCAGATTCGGCTGCTCAGCAGTCAAGGCAGCAACCACACCGGATAGCAATCATAGGCGCCGGCCCAGGTGGCTCGTCCACATCCTACCACCTCCATAAATTCTCCAAGCAGCTCTTCTCGCCTTGTGAGAGCACCCCAATCCATATCACCGTTTTCGACTCCAACCCCTATGTTGGTGGCCGGACAACCACAGTCAACGCCCTTAATGACTCCCGCTACCCGGTTGAACTCGGTGCAAGCATCTTTGTCAAGATCAATCATATCCTATACAATGCCACACGAGATTTTGGTTTAGCTGCTTCCATCAAGATCTACGAATCCGCACCTGATTCGAAATACGAGTTGGGCATTTGGGACGGGAACGACTTTGTCTTTAAAGCGGAGAGAGACGACGATGAGGACAGGGGATCGTGGAGAGGATGGTGGGACATTGCCAAACTTCTTTGGAAATACGGACTGGCTCCAATACGGACGCGGCAGGCGACGAAGAAAGCCGTCGGTGAATTCTTGAAGTTTTACGATGAACCAATATTTCCATTCAACTCGATAGGGGAGGCTGTGGAAGCTACAGGGCTACACGCATACACCGGTCTGACGGGGAAGGATGTTTTGCAAAAGGCCAATGTGGGCGAGCTTTTCTCTCGTGAAATCATCCAAGCAAGCACCCGCGTGAACTACGCGAGCAATCTAGGCGGCATACATGGATTGGAGACACTGGTGTGCATGGCTATCGAGGGGGCCATGGCCGTCGAGGATGGTAACTGGCAGATCTTTGACGAGATGGTCAAGAGCACCGCTGACGGACTTTTCTTGAACGTGACGGTCACCGATGTCGTCAAGGACGAAACGAAAGGCACATTCCGGCTCAAGACTGAGAATGAAGAAATCAATGGACGACTTACGAGCGAATATGGAGACGAGTACGACACAATCATCCTCGCAGCCCCATATCAATTCGCCAATATCACCTTCACACCACCGCTCCTTACCGTGCCGCAGAAGATTCCCTACGTTTCGCTATATGTGACACTCTTCACTTCTCCCCTTCGTCTCTCCCCGTCCTTTTTTGGACTTGACTCGCAAGCAGAGGTCCCTTCGTCCGTCCTCACGACTCTCTCCCCGGAGATGTCAGACGAACTCGGGTCTCGTCGGGGTGTCGAAGCTGTTGGGCCCCCGGGATTCTGGTCGATAAGCACACTGCGGGTCTTGCATCCAGATACAGATGGTAAATTTCGCGGGCCGACTTCCAACTGCACGGAGCTGCCTGGTGGAGCCAGAGAAGACGAAACTCGGGAAGATACACAGTATCTATATAAAATCTTCTCCCCGGCTCCTTTGACGGGCACGTTCCTTTCGTCTTTGCTGGGCTTCCAATACAACCCAGAACCTGAAAGCAAACACGACGATCCCCTCTCCCGGCTCCCCAAATCCGATATTACCTGGCTGCACGAGAAGCACTGGCACAGCTACCCTTACGAACTACCTCGGACAACATTCGAGAACTTCACTTTGTGTTCCACGGAATCGTGCTCCTTGCGCGGCGCCTCAGATGGGGTCTACTACCTCTCGGGCATGGAATCGTTCATTTCGACAATGGAAACTTCCGCGCTTGCGGGAATGAACGTCGCCCGCCTTGTGGTTCAGGATATACTCGACGAGCAGGAATTGAGAAGGCTACAGTCGGGAGGAATATGATAGAAGCCCGTGACCGGGACTAGAGGAGAGTGCACGAGTTGAGTCTCCCTGCCCCAATCTGGAAGAAGCAAGCATAGCGTAGGGCGTTTCCTTAGAAGAAAGACAGACACAGATCCAGTCCATGCGCTTAATCATAATGTCTCACACATCCAATCGACGCATGTCAGGAATCCAGCTATGGAGACAAGCCGCGTATCCATCACTGCCAGCGGTCCACACTTACAACGATAGATCCCTGGACACCCGCACCAGCATTTCATCTCATCTCCTCGCAAGGAACGGGAACCCGTAATAGGCACGCACGCGACAGACACTTTACGAGACTCAGTTCCGTCCATATCTCGGTCCGAGAGACCGCGGACACGTTTGTAGAGAGCGAGCGATATTGATGTGGAAATGGACGATGAAGGGAAGATAATTAATAGACCACAATTGATGCCCCACACGACGATGGTCTCCTTTAAACCCAACCCCCTTGCTTGGGGGGTGGGTAGGAATATTTTCCAAAACCAAGATTTTTTTCGGAGACAATATATGCTATGCTATGCTATGCTGTCTACAGACCCTTCTAGATACCTAGGAAGACAATTTTGTCTGATGTGTGCTTGCAAAAACGCTGCGTTTGTTTCAAGCCCCCCTTTGGAAAACTCCCATTAATTACCATGCTAGGACGCCAGGCGCCTTTTTGGGCAGTTCCCATAATACCCTTTATGAAAATCAAACGATCCGATCCATCATTCACTCATTTTGCGGAATTCAATATCGACGTGGAAAAGAATTTGTAGCTAGAGATGCTGCTCCTTTCTCTTTTATTTCTTTGGGGGTTCCCTCGCTTGTGCATTCATTCATCACCGGCTGGAATACTCACGCGCGGATTTATCCATAGTCCTGAAGAGAGAACGAAACAACAGTCAAAAGTCGACTGGCTGAGAGAAAGATGGGAAACGCCGAGGGTATCATTACCATTACCATCCGCGTCGCCAAATAAAAGAGGGAAATGTAATACGTCGACAGAGGTCTTCTAGCACTCGGGCAACCACCACGAAAGGAACGAGGTCCATTCCATTAACAAGCCGTTGGCACGGGTCTGTTCAACCATTTGACGTCGCTCCTTAAGTGATGGGTTTAGAGTCAGCCGAGGATGTCGATGTCGATGTCGATGGCTCTGTTCCCTCAACCTCCTTGCTCGCTGAGGGTGCCGAGGGTCCACTTTGTGCTGCTTGGACTTGCGGATTTGATTTGACAAGCCCTGACGGAGCAGGTTGAGGAGGACCAGGCGTAGTGGTTGCAGGCACTGCAGTGTGCGGCGTAACGTTTCGTGCGGTGCCCATATTGACTGAACTGGCGGCGGGCGCAGGCGAGCCAGTCCGTGAGAACCCTGCAAAATTGGGATTCTTGAACCGCCGGATAAAATCCCGAATGTGCCCCATGATTGTCTCCTCTTCGATGGTATGGCCACCTGGCACCAAAGACTCTGGATGGCCGTGGAGTAACCTTCGCGTGGCAGACGCAAAGATCTTCTGCCAATGTTCTATTCTAGCGGGATGGACCTGTTCAAGCATGGCGCTTTCGAACTTCTTGATAGTTATGAGACCGTCCAAGGTGCAAGGCATGTTTCGAGACGCGGAAGAGCTTGTGGGAATGGGTACGGCTGATGCTGGTGCCGGCGTCGTGGTTGTACTTGGCGGCGGATGAGATCCCTGGCTTGTAGGGTGGCCTGAGTGCGCAGGAGCAGGCGGGTGCTGTGGTGGAAATGGCGACTGTCCTGCTTGCGCCGGTGGATAGAAAGGGCGGTTCTGACCTGCAGGATATGCTGAAGCCGACGGCGGCATTCCTCCTGGCGGAGGCGGCCACGGCATTCCATTTGAAGGTGGCGGCATGGATCCGTGTGGGCCTTGTCCGTAGAAAGGCGGAGGATGTCCTTGAGGCGGCATCCCATTCTGTTGGGGATATGGTGTGCTATTCTGCCAATTCAGCATCTGAGGAGGTCCTTGGGGCGCATTTTGACGGGGCGCAGGTGTGGGTTTTGGTTTGGATGCTGCCGCTTGCTGAGCTGCTCGCCTCCTCTCAGCTTGAGGCTGTAGGGCTCCAGGGATTGCTTTCCACGCAAACCCTTTCCCTTCCTTCTCGCCCTTTTCGAAGAGCTTGTTCCATTCTTGGTTCAAATTGTGCCGGACACTGCTCTGCCATCCTTCCGAGTCCACTCTGTGTACAAAGAAGGGAAATTTCAACTTCAAGGCCCGGTAGATCTGCTTCAAAGGAAGAGCTTTTGGGTGGATGTCAAGCAAAATATCGTAGATCAATCGGGCATAGGGCTCAGACGGTCTGGCAAGCTGCTCTTCTGTCAAGCTCTCGACAGGAGGATAGTCTGGACTTGGAGATTTCGACCTGGCCTTCTTGACGGGCGGCGCTTTCTCGGGCTCGCTAGGCACGTCAACCTCACCTCCCTCGATGGACTGAACAATGTCGCCGTCTTCTCCAATCCGCTTTCGCTTCTTGTATTTCCTCTTCTCTGCTTTGGGTTCTGCCACGGGTTCTTCCTCGATTGGAGTTGGTCTGGGCGGTTTTGGGCCTCGCATCATGGGTGGAGGAGTCTTTCCTCCATTTGCGGCCTTTGCTTCTGCAAGCTTGGCCGCCTTCTCCCTCTCTTTCCTTTCCCGAGTCGACATGATCCCGTCCTTCGGCGGCCTGCCAGGTCCCCGCCTTTTCGGAGGAAGAGGCTGACCATCAGGTCCAAGAATAGGCTCTGCACTCGGGGGTGCGCTTTTCTCGATGGTATTCAGTATGATCTTTGTCTTGCCCCGGCCTGGCTTTGGCGGCGAAACGCTCCTGTCTTGTTCATTCGAAGTTGGCGAAGTGCTCCGTGGTCGAGAAGGGCTCTGCTCAGCTGCCTCCCGGCCTGAACCATCGCTCGCCGACTCGGGTTCTTGCTTGGGTAGTTTAAAAGTCATCCAGACGTTCGAAATCTGTATTTTTGAGCCGTCGCGAAGTGGTCTTGTTTGACCGCGCTGAAGGTAGACATCATCCAGGAAAGCACCATTTCTACCCATGACTTTCATCTGGAAGCGCTCTTTGTCGAAATCCCATTGGATCTTGACGTGCCGCCTGGAGATACTCTTGTGGTTTTCCAACTCGGACTTTTGGTGATTGCGCATTGCGTGAATAGGGATGAGCGGACAATTGTGGGCGTCCGGGATATGGTCGGCTGTCACTGGTGCTGGCTGTTCATTATCCGGTTCCTGCTCGTTGCCGTACTCCAGTTGAGCTTGACGTTCTGCCATTCTGTGGTAGTCGAAAGGAGCCAGAGGAGGATTGTAGAGAACTTCCTGAGGTTTAACGACACTACCAGCAGACCTTTCGGACGAGTGCGAATGTAGAGGGTGGCCATCTTCTCCTTTTTCGTTCTCCATACCCAGGCCGTCATCGACACCACCGAACCCACCAGCTTCACTGACAACACTCCCTTGGACTTGACTGTCGCCAGGCCGTGGTATGCCTCCAGACAGGCCTGACCGTCTGCCGCTCGAGCTCTGTGCACGGTCTTGCTCGGCCTGACGCGCTTCTTCATCCTTCGCAAGGGCTGCCCTGTATGCAAAAGCATCTCTGCCCAATTCGCAGGCATAGGTGGTGATGTAGTAGTTCCCGTCCTCAAACTCAATCTTTGCGAACGCTTCGATCTCCCTTCGTTCTGCTAGTGGAATTGGAGGGGCAGCCAGCGGTTGAGGTTCGCTCGCATGGGTCGTCAATAGACCATCTGGTCCTACAGGAAGCGGCAAGGGTTGCGTGAAAGAGTCCATCGGTAGGGTGGGAGGTAGCGGAGGGAGCCCGCCAGTAGCAAGAAAGTCCTCGGGTATTTGCAGCGGGAGAGGGGGAAGTAGGTTCTCAGGATCTGTTTCTAGGTTGATGTTGTTCATTTCCGTCGCCGGTGCCTCAGGAGAGCCATCAAGACTCGGGACTGGCAAAGGAGCCATGTCTGTTCTGACGGGCGCAGTTGCGGTCTGGGGAGCCGGGGGTTGGGTTTGACCGAGGGGTGTAAGAGCCGCGAGCAGATTGCCCACAGCGTGGTTCCGTGTTTGAACGTCTAGTCCGTCCCACGTCGCATGGCTTGGTACGGAGGGGCTGATGTGGTGGTGTTCTTGTTCTCGTTCATCTTCGTGGTTGGAGTCACTGTCGTTCGGATGCAGATTCGAAGCAGCGGTCCATGATGGGAGATCTGGCAGACCTCTTGACGACGTCGCAATAGCCTGCGACGACATTACGAGGTCTGCAAGATCCTGGAAAGAGAGTACGAGTCCGTCAGGTTGTTGTTCGAGGGCAGCGCGCAATCTCCAAACGATCAAAAGTTCCAAATCTTCTGGAAAAGTAAAAGTCGAAGAGAGGCGAGCGGGAGGCGGACAGCGCAGTCCCGCGCCAGCCAATCAGAGGCCATACGAGGCAGGGAATTTCTTTCTCGACATGTTGGGGTCCAGCACTGCGATCGACAAGTCAACCTCAGGGACCAGGCAATCTCTTGGACCTGTGGCCTTGTTTCTCTGTACTCGAGAAATCATTCGGGGCTGTCGTGAGATGGGCAAACTCTTGGTCCCGCTGACTTCTATGGGACGCGCCTTTACTGGACTACGAGGACTTTCACATGTCTGACCGACTCGGCGCCTGAGGATCTGTCGCTACAGCCAAGGGCATCGAGACAGTAGTTTTCCATTTATGGCGCCGCGAGGGAGACAGAAGGTTTCCTCCTCCAAGGGCGACAATGTCCCTTCAACGACGGCCAATCCGCCAGATTGGCCTCCTCTAGCGCCGCTCGTGCCTCAAGAGCACCTGTTCATCGAGACCGTGGTCCCCAGCCAGATCTTGGTCATCCGAAACCTCTTCACTTCCAATTTGTGCAGAAACTATGTATCTTTTCTGTCTTCCTTGCCCTTGACCACCACGCCAGGGAAGCCGAAGCGAGGGGAGGCAACCCGGGTCAATGATCGGTTCCAGATTGATGACCCAACTTTTGCCAAAATGCTTTGGGAGCGAAGTGGGATGCAATATCTAGTCAGCTCCTTCGAAGACCAGGCCGTCTTTGGCGGTCCGGTGCTTGGCCTCAATTCAAACATAAGAATATATCGGTATCGACCGGGCCAGTTCTTTGACAAGCATTATGACGAGAGCAATAAATTACACTTTGGCGAGGAAAAGCTACCTGCCAAAACTACCTGGACACTCCTCATCTATCTTACAACATGCGAAGGCGGTGAGACTGCATTCTACCCGGAGGCCCTGAAGAAAGGCGAGCGACCCCCAGAACCGATTGTGGTCGGACTTGAAGCCGGGATGAGCCTTCTCCACAAGCATGGTGATGACTGTCTGCTGCATGAAGGCAAAGAGGTCAAGAAGGGTGAGAAATGGGTGCTGAGGAGTGATCTTGTTGTTCAGAGGTAAAGCCAAAAGACCGACCGAGCATGACTGGAGTTTTGATAGTTGTAGTCGTCCTGAGCGTCAGATATCGTGCTAGGAGCATGATGCTATCGCTTTAAATGCTCTGCATCTGTCTCGTTTGTGCCTTCTCGGGCTTCCGACAGCATGCTGTCGATGCCCTTGTCTCTGAGGGCTTTCTGTTAAGTGGTCAGGAGGTTGGACAACAAATGCAAACAGTAAATCCAACGTACAGTCAAACAACTCTTGTACTGCTTGAACAGCGGTTCGCACTCATCAGTGGACGAGTTCCCTCGAATGTATTCTGCAGCACGACGTTTCAGCTGGTGGCAAAAAGCAGGCAACAAGCAGAGAGGCAAGGGCCCGTACTTTCGGAATACCACTTCAAAAAACAGCTATCATATTTCCTGGCAGCGCATCAGTGTTTTGTGTTCGAACGCTCGTCATGACCCCTCAAGCTCACTCTTTGACCTCATTGCATTCAGGAGCTAGCGATGCCGACATGTTGGCCGCTCAGCCAGTGGGTTGTGGGCGTGTATGACTTTGAATGAGAAAATCCGACCTGACGCAAGGCTTGATGGTAACGATGTCAAAGGGCCGGATGGCGGAACAAATATTTTCCGAAGTCATTTTCTTCGGGCTCCACTGGCCGTCATTGATTGGCTCCTTGTCCATCATCTAGGTATTTACTCTATTGTCAGTCGATGTCCCTGTACCTATTGGCATGGACAGGGGGGACTAATAGAGCTTTGATATACGACTACAGTGAGCAGGCAATCTTGGTACTACTTCAGAATTGCGGAAAATCAGGGAGGGGACAACAGGGCCCCTCCCCCTTGTTCTACTCCTCACACGTAGAAATCTGTGAGCATACGCTCAAGTCGAGAAACATATTATGGTCTCTTTGTATTTTTTTGTGCCCTAACCTGGAACCTAATTCCGAAGTGCTATCAAATACATTCGAGACCATGGAGGGGAATTCCTCGACCGCTTCGACCCTTCATTCCTCATGTAGCAGCTTCACCAACTCGTCAAAGACCCCTTTCACCTCCTCCAATTCCTTGGCCCACGGCCCATCAGCGTTGGCCAGCCCCAAGTCCTCCCCTTTGGCCGCCTTGATAAGGAATTCTCTGCCTGGCCCTGGAAAAGCCAAACCGACGCTCTTCTGCACAACCTTCATTCTGACACCGCTGAGCACCTGTTTCAGTTGCTCGGCGCACCGATTCCCCCCGTGACCACCATATGACACGACCATGGCCGGCTTACCTACCCACTCGTTGAAGAGATAGTCGATGGCGTTTTTCAGATTGGCGGGGTAACCCCAGTTGTATTGGGGTGTCACGAAGATGAATGCTTTGTGGGATGTGATTACTTGGGACCAGGCGCGGGTGTGTTCTAGTATGATTACCAGTCATATTAGCTTACAATTCCACTCTCTGGCCGTGAAGGAAGGGCAAAAAGAAAGAGTTCTGGTGGGAAATATACACATTGCGCAAAGGGAGAGCCTACCGTGAGTGTATTCCAAGGGGTTCGTGATGCTCTGCGGGATGCCAGGTTCATTGAACAATGGAAGTGGATGGTCGGCCAAGTCGACGAGAGAGAGCTCATAAGGTTTGAAGTCCGGTGGTGTATGTTGATTGGCTTGCTGATATTGTTTGAGATTATCAAAGATCAAGGTGCCGATTTGGTTTCCAATCCGTGGCTGCCGTTGCGAACAAATAACAACCCCGATCTTGGCTGGTGGCAGGGTTTCCTGGAGGATGTCGTTGGTGGTCGGTGGCGGAGAGGAAGACATGGTGAAGCCTCGACTTGATGACTGGTTGATGCTATGTGCAAGAGCAAGGCTGAGAAAGGTGATCCACGTGTTTTGTTTCCAAGTGGTCAGGAGGATGGAGTTGCTAGCGAGGGAGTTTGATAGTTTTCTAGCGATGGCAAAAGGCACTTCGATCTGGGAAAACAGTTCTTCGACCACATGGGACTCTTCTTAAAGTTATATACACATTTGGTATGTGTGTCCAAGAAGTCGGAAATAGGTCATGTCAATCATTCACCTGTATTCAACTCTTGTCGTTGCGCCCGCCGCACTCATCTTATATTGATGAGCCGGAAGCATCGACAGGCAGCAAGATAGCCCGCTTCGTGCAGCTTGAGCCCTGGGTACGACCGAGCCGACATTGTAGCGGATGCAGATGCGAGCAGAAACATGTGTGTTAACAATGGCCTGGCGTCTATTGCCAGGATGACGCAAGCTTCGGCCGAAGCGGGGAGAGGAGCTCGCGGATCGTTGAACGGCGAGCGGGTCATCTGCGTTAAACGCAAGAGCTAAAAGTTTGCGGGAGATTTTCACGCGTCTTGGTGCGACAAACTCATGCCAATGGCCCAAAGTGGTGGGAAGAGAGAGTGGATACTGGTTGATGTTGCGCAGGAGCCAATCATGGGGCCGTGCCTTGGTGGGCCTGACGGGGTCTTGGCGCCGATTTACTTCCCGACTCGGATTCTCCGGCCTCGCAAAGCTTGGCTTTTGCCAAGCCTCGGCCTTCGGTCCTCGCGCTTCAAACGTGGGCTGCACGGAATGGTTTTGTCTGGGTTGCCTAATGCTGACACGATACCTGTCTATCTGGGTACATGACTCTCCAAACAGTGCTTTGATACGTTGCGCGGTGTCCAATAAGGGCCGTCTATGGAGATACAAGGCTGGCGTTTCTAGAGAAAGCCTGGCGGTTGAGAGTTGATCCTATCGTCCGAGAAGCATTTTGGGCTGGTCGCAGAGGAAATGATACAAAAGGGCCGACCATCGTCCCTGAACAATACCAGAGAGACACAAGCCCACATTCGACAGAAGGAGTTCAGAATATAAGCAAACCCCCAGAAATCCCTGATAGTGAAGACACCATGAGCAGTATCCGAGTCGCAATTGTTGGAGGCGGTCCCTCTGGCCTCACGCTCGCACGCCTCCTCCAACTCAACAACCTCCAATGCACTGTATTCGAGCTCGACACTGACTCCTTCGGACGAGATCAAGGTGGAACAGTCGACTTGCACCCACGGGGAGGACAACTCGCCCTTCATCATGCGGGTCTGACAGAGGAATTCAAGAAGCTCTCTCGCCCGGAAGGTGAGGCAATGAAGTTGCTCAAGTATGACGGCACCATTGTGTATGACGAAAATACGACAGGCAACGCTCGACCTGAAGAGTACGCCGACCGCCCAGAGATTGATCGAACGAAGTTGCGGCAATTGCTTCTCAACTCACTGGAGCCTGGAACCGTGGTTTGGAACAAAAAGCTGCAGTCTGTACAAAGGTCGTCCTCGCAGGCTGGGAAATATGACCTCCAATTCCAGGATAGCAGGGAGGAAGGATTTGACCTCGTTGCTGGCGCTGACGGGGCCTGGTCCAAAGTCCGCTCATTCCTCACAGACCAGCAACCTTATTACTCGGGCGTTACCGCCATTGAGCTGTGGGCCTTGGATATCGACAAAAAGCACCAGTGGCTGAGCGAATTCGTAGGTGCCGGCAATTGCTTCATGTTCGATGAAGGACGCGCAATCCAATGTCAGAAATTGGGAAACAACAGCATCCGAGTTTACGCCGGAGTGCGACAACCCGAAGATTGGCTTGAGAAATGTGGGATCGACTGGTCCTCACCCGAAATGGCAAGGAAACAGCTCGTCGAGCAGTATTATAGCAATTGCAGCGACGATCTGAAGCGAGCCATCTTCGACGCCCAAGACAAACTCGTTCCACGCCGGATGTGGATGTTGCCCGTTGGTTTCCAATGGAAGTCCGACGTAGGAGTGACCTTGCTGGGAGACGCAGCTCACCTGATGACCCCCTTTGCTGGCGTCGGGGTCAATCTTGCCATGGTCGATTCATTGGACCTTGCGAAGGCTATCATCGGCTGCGTCGGGGACCGAGAAAAGTTGGCAGATGCGATCAAAGCATACGAGGGTGAAATGTTGAGCCGGGCAGAGCAATTCGCAAAGAGGACTTACAGGGGTCTGATAAATCATTTCAGCGCTGATGGGTGCGAGGAAATGGCCGGACGTTTGAGAGGAAAATAGGCCATAACCTAGAGATTATTGTTTAGCGCTGGATTTTCGATAGTCTTGAGAAAGGGGATAGTGACATTTCATTTGGCTCGGGATTGAATCAAGTAGATTGGGAATGTTGATCAAGAAGAACTCAAAAATCTTCCTTAGCTCCGTCACCATGTGCCTTCTTCCTCTGCTCGAACCCAGCATCAAGCAACAATTGTTGCAATCCAAATTCAAGAGGTTTGGCTGCGATATGAGAGCTTGCTCGGACAAACTGAAAAGATTGATGCATGATCAATTTTCGTTTCGACTGTGCCTTTTGAAAGTCAAGAATGTCAACTTTGAGGACATGCCGGTTCGAATCGATGCTTGCCCACAAACTGTCTAACTTGATCATGACGCAGTTAGACACGCAATCAACGATAGCAAAAAGAAGCTCATCCTGTGGAGAGCTGTTCCTGGGAATTTCAACCTTGTTTGGTAGTGGAACTCCTGGAATGGGGCGCTGAGGTGCAACTTTGGTGCAATACCACAATTCGAAGGCCCTCTTTAGGGATGATATTTGGATGATAGCTTTCTGACGCCGCTCTAGAAGTCCAGCTGAGTCCGGTTTCCCGTTCAAGAGCTCATCTGCTATGCTCGAGGCTTCTCGAGCAAGGCCCGGCACGTCGACAAGGAACTCGTTAAGCTCGGATCGAAGCGAGATACCAGCATGCTCCACAGTCGCGATGGGAGCGGTGGAGCTCTTCAGCAATTGGCGCCACTCTTGCCGTGATAAGAAGCATTCTTGTCCGATGCTTGCGTCTTGAAGAATCTTGGGCAAGTTTGTCAGAGGCAATTTGGCTCCCTTGTCCTGATACTAGATTTGCATGTACTCACAAACCAGGCTCGCTGCGCCTCGAGCATGGCCCTCTCGAAGGGCTCCGTAAACCTCTCAGGACCGTATTCTTGCATGAGAAGTTTCGTTCCCATGCAAAGTTGACGCCACCGCCCTCCATCATCGTCTAGTACCAGCTGTACAAGTCAGCTTCTAATGAGACTGCCTCACCACTGGTGAAGATAGAGATATTCGGTTCATACCTCGCATCCCTGCATGATGATAGACGCACATATCGTTTCAGCCTGTGCGCGAGTGTGCTGTATGTCCAAGGACTTTCGGAGAGAGCGCAGACTTCTGGCGTACAGTCGAAGGCACTCTTCCGAGGGTGGTTGGGTTGATCTTAAAGAGTCGACGTAGATGCCACACAGACACGAGGCCGCGTCGTCCAGTGCAGTATTGCGACCCAGCCGGGCAGGAATCATGGCATAAAACCGCCCATGAGATTTTATGGGAAAAGCATGCCGGTTCTGCGGCTCATCCAGAATGTAGCACAGAGTGGAACGCAGTTGGTCATGTGGTGAGGCTAGAGACCACTCAATGGTGGTCTGTGATATTGCCTTGAGAGCGATGCTCTTTCCGTTGATGAGAACACCTTGAAACGCAGTGCCTTCGTCGCCTGCTAATTCGGAAGGGTCGACATCTTTGAAGATGTACTTCTTGTGGCGGTAATGCAAGGCGAGCGGTCCATTCTCATCGACAAATTTCCATCTCCTGGAATACCCGGGGCATTTCCAACCCGCTTTAATGCATGCTGAGCATGAAGGTAGCTCTTTATCGCACTTTACAAGCCAAAGTCAGCATGAATGAAGGCATTCCTTTGTAGCATATTCTCCTCACCTTCTTCTTGCGTTTCCGACAGGTCTCACAGCCAGTACTTCTGAGCGTCCCCACCATATTCAAAAACGTGAAAGAGTATGCTAGGAGGAGTCATTGTCCCGTCTTTGTGGTGCTAATATTTGGCAGTGACTCAAGGAAAAGAGTACTAGGCATAGCCTGTAGACGGTAAGCTGACCTGACGGGTGGTGGACTCGTGGGGGCCACATACGGTCATTTGGAATTAAATGATCGGCCGTAGATTGCACTTTGGTTGATATAGACTCCACCGTTGTCGCCGCCACTTATTTGGTGTCGCAGGTGGAGCATCTTCGGTGCGATCCCTGTGTTTTTTCAATCCTGCGAATTGTCCCAGAATCTTTCACTTCCCACTGCTTCCCTAACACCACTGGTTCTGCCTGTCACAGCACTCCGTCAACCTGCTGCCGATCTGCTGTCGACAGCGAAATGGTGTTTGGGAGAAGTTGACACAATCTGCGCTGTATCATGGATCTGACTGCGGACTTCAAGTCCTTTCAGGACCTTGTCCAAGCGTCTCTTGTCAATGTCACAAGGAGCGCAACCCAGGTGTCCAACCAAGATCTTGGTTTCCATCGCTCCTCCAGCGACAAACTGTCTCGCGCCCTCGACCGCCAAAATGCTCATCTTCTGCGCCTGACAAACAAGCTCCTTAAAGCTGCTACGCAGGACACACCACTCAAACCCCCGACACTGCAAAATCAGGATAGCATAGACGATAACTGGCGCGGAATTGTTGATGTCGTTGATGGTCTTCTTGAGAAAGCTGACTCGGCGCTTGATGAGTTCTCCGGTATCATCAAACCACAGGATGCAGCTCGCCAAGATGCCGAAGCCTCTTCCAGACCTGCAAAGACAGGCCTGGGTTTCCAGAGATGGTCTGCAGGCAACATGCAAAAACCTCAAGCCTTTTTTGAGAGACAAGTGAACAATTCTGACTCGACTCCCTTCAAGCCCTTGCTTCAGACGAAGCCTCATGCTATTGTTCCACTGGATGAAAGCGTAGGAAACGAGGATACTGGGTATGGGTCTTGCTACCTTTTCGGTACTTCCACTCACTCCGTGTCCAGATACAAGCACCCGTACGCACGAGAAATCGATCACTACAGATATCCTCCTTCCGTCTACAAATTCAAGCAGCCGATACCATTTACCCCAATCGATGAAAGTGAGCACGTCTTCGTTGACACAGAACAAGGTGTGATTGAGATGCTAGAGGAGCTCAAAAGTGCCGAAGAAATCGCGATCGACCTCGAACATAATGACATGCGCTCGTACGTTGGAATGGTCTGTCTCATGCAGATCAGCACGCGCAAAAAAGACTGGATTATTGACACCCTGAAACCATGGCGCGAAAAGCTTCAGATGCTGAACCAGGTTTTCGCGAACCCGAAGATCCTGAAAGTGCTTCACGGTTCAAACATGGACATCATCTGGTTGCAACGCGATCTGGGGCTATACATTGTTGGTCTCTTCGACACGTATCACGCAGCTTGTGCCTTGCAATTCCAAGGTAAAGGTTTAAAGCATCTTCTTCTACAGTTTGCGAATGTCCATGCTCAAAAACAGTACCAGCTCGCGGACTGGCGGGTACGACCTCTCCCCAAGGACCTGCTCGACTATGCTCGCTCGGACACACACTATCTGCTGACCATTTACGACCACATGCGAAACATGCTTGTCAGTGGGTCGTCGCCCAATGTCAACCTTATCAACTATGTCCTGGAGCAATCGAAGAAAGAAGCCCTTCAAGTCTATACTCGACAATCCTATGACCTCGAAACAGGTGGCGGCCTACTTGGCTGGTTTGGAATGCTCACCCAGCGATATGTCAATCTTAGCAAGGAACAGCTCGGAGTCTTTCGTGCTCTTCACGCATGGCGCGATCGGAAAGCACGGGAGTTGGACGAAGGCGTTCAATACATCCTGCCCAATAGGACATTGTGGTTAGTCGCAGAAAACATGCCAACTTCGGTATTCAATTTCCATCAGAGCTGCAGAGGAGACTCAAAGCTGGTGTCGGATCGGATCCCTGAGATTATTGAGGTTGTCAAGCAAGGCAAGGTCGATGGCAAGAACGGCAAATCACACGAGGAGGTGGTCCAGCACTGTGAAACAGTCCTTGGCCTGAAAGCTCGCCGACCGCGGCAGCAGAAAAAGCAGCAACCTGAGAGCACATATTCTGGGTTGGGCAGTACTTTGAAGCAATTGGCTACCACTTCAGCATCAACGTCTCCGGGTCATGATGATCTGGTGCCTACTGTGACCAGATCGACTGCTTCTTTGTTCTGGGGCGATGTGATACCACAACATCAACAGTGTCCAACAGACGTGACAACTGCAGCTGCAGCGCTCTCGTCAATCGTCCCGCTTCAACTGCTCGCCACTGTCGAAGAAGCCGAGAAGGCAGAAGGAACCCTGCTGCAGCCTGTATCCGAATCAGCGCCAGTGGAATCCTTGACCAAGCCTGCGATGGCACTCCATCCATGGCCTCCCACAGCGAAGGATGAACTCCGCTCCAAAGCCAACGAGATCTTCACGCTCAACGAGCTAGGACGTTCGAAAGGCAAGAAGCGAAAGACAGACGAACTTGACGAAGCCATGAATGACAACGAGCTGAGTGTTCTTGTTCCCGCCTCGGGGGCCATGGCGGGTGTCACAACAGAGAAGGCGACAGGTGGCGACGATACAGTCCCAACGTCCGCTGCTTCTTCCTCCCAACCTCCTCAATCTGCTCATGCAGACATGAATCCAGAATTCGAGGCGAAACGTCAAGCGAAGAAGCAGAAAAAGGCCGAGAAGAAGGCTCGCAAGGAGGCTGCAAAGGCTGCCGCCGATGCCAAGTTACAAGCCACGCAGCCGTTTGATTACGCCGCTGCGCCGTCCTTGTTGACTCCCGGTCCACCACAGCCCTCGGCACCGCGTGGTGGTGACGGGAGTGGCGTTGCCGCCCAAGGTCGCGGACAGGGACAGTCGCAGGGACCGGAAAGGAAGATTATGAACCCTTTTGCTAAAGCGTTGGATACGAGCACAGGAGCGAGACGGGGCAGGATGGGTAAGGAGCTGCAGGGCAAGAGTATGACTTTCAGTTCTTGACGGAAGGACCAGGCTTCTGCCTCGTACCATCTTTGCACTGCTATGCCGTCCCCTGCCTTGGGCTTTTATGCAGTAGGCCAGTTTTGTGCAAAGGAGGGGCGTACATACGCGTGGAATCAGTTAGGACTGCCGACGAAGAGAACCCCTTGCTGGCTCCCTGATTGACGAAGTCTCGAAGGCTTTCGATCAACCAACTGAATGCGAGCGCGCACAGCACTATGTGAAGCTCAATCTTTCCATCAAGCCGGCTATTTCTATTCAGCTTCTCTGTTGCGGTTGTGTTGTGTTCTTTGTCCTTTCCACCCCAGCAAAACCTTCCCTGGTTTTTCTGGTCTTGTTTCCCTGTCGTCTGGGTCTTTTTTCGGTATTGTAGTCCTGCAGGCATTTTGGTGTCCCGTGCGGCCTGAGAAAGCCTGGTTAAATTCGACGTCTGTTGCTACTTTGCACGGATGCGCCTGGTATGCTTTGACCCCCGTTGTCCTGTTCGCTTTTCCTCCAAAGAGATGACAACCGAGTGGCTTCGCCCGCTCTCATTCCTTTGACTTGAGATACATGCATGGTTGCTAAATGGGAAGGAAGTCACCCGCAGCCAGAGATTTCAGGGATTTGAAAACCAGTACTCCAAGTGATCGTCCCATTCTCCCTGGCTCGCGAGGTATAGACCAAGGCTCTTGTGCAACTCACGCATGTCCTCGTGGATGCTCGAAGGATAGCTTTCATGGATCGGTTCGCTGACGACACGAGAATCTTCCCAATTGAAATGGAGATCGGCACAATAGTTGTACTGCGTCGCCAGACATCCCTTGAAATGGAATCGTAACGGATTGGGGTGCTGACGAATTGCATCGAAGAGCGGCTTAAACACACCATTTTCACTGCAGGATCTCTCCTCGAAACCCAGATACCGTAGTCCATGACACTTTTCCAGTACTCTTCCCAGCGTCTGAGCAGGGAATGTCGCATTGGTCAGGTTCAGTGAGCGAAGAGCTGGCAGGTCCATGTCCAAATGTGTATGCCACGAAACGGGAACGTCTTGGAAACAGTAGGCGTTTTCGATGCTCAAAGCCTGAAGACTGTTCTGAGCCCCTTTCACGAGAGCAGAGCACAACCGGTCAACACAACGAATACTGTCGGAATCGCTGCCGGAAAAAACTGCCAGTGGTCCGCAACAGGAATATGGTCCTTCGTAGAAACGTAGTTGAGTCAGATGTTCCCATCGAAGCTGAGAGCTCTGCAAATCCTCCAATTTGGCGTTACGCAGGACGTTGCAGTCAAGGGCAAGGTCTTCGATTCGCATATGAGCGGATGCGAGACACCCCGTGACGAGGCCGAAGAGCGTCGCTTCACCAAAAGAGCTCATCTCTGTGAGGATACCAGTGTTGGATTCACAGAACGCACAGGACTTATATTTGTCGTCAAAGTCACCACTGTGCACCCATCGAGGCCAGAAACTAGGGACATTGCCGATGACGAAGGATGACGCCTTTGAGAATGTTTTCAAGACCTTGACCCAAGCGCGCTGCAGACTCCCATTCTGCACGATTTCCATGTCGTCAGTCGCGCATTGTGTATAGAAGTCATAGGCGGCATCGACAGTGCCGTAGCCAAGGGAGCGTTTAACGCCGAGCCCATGATACAAGTGCCAGATCTCGTTCCAGTCCGCGGGGTCACATGGTTCTGCCTCCCTGAGTTGACAGGTCCACATATCTTTAACCCGCCGGAAATCTTCGATGGTGACTTGTGGTGAAGATAGGGATGGCTTGAAGGTGACCTTTGTCACAAATCGTCCAATTGTAGCAAAGCTCGTCTCTAGCACGCGGGACAGTTGATCTTTCGTAGCACGCAGCGTGATATGATCAAACAAAACGGACTTGATGATGGCCATATCAGCGAAATATCGACAGGTCAGCCGCAGGTTGCAGAGGGCGGTTCGTGCAGCTCTGGTGCCAAATCAGTAACCAAGTCCCAAGCAGTTGTGTGATTGTACTCACAGAAGGGGGTCAAATTCGAGTACATGTTTCACGCAGGGAATTTCCACGCAGCGGGCGATCTCGAAATCATAGACCAACTGTTGCGCAACAAGGTAGAGTGTTGGAGCATCCAGCCGGACAGTTGAAGGTGGCATCTCTGTCGGAGACATTGAGCAACACCTGGGACGGGGGACACAGAGAACGAAGGTAGAGAGAAGAAGCTGCTGTCTACTTAGCTGCTAGCGATACCGTCAAGCAGGTGCTGGTAGAATAAGATGGAAGAAGAGACGATGCAACTGAAGGTGGAGTTGAGTGTCAGTGGCTGAGAGGAAGTCATATCCAAGACGACCTGTCGCTGGTGTAAGAGATTCCGTTCAAGGAAGATCAAGAAAGTGAAGTGAGAGTGAGGAACTTGAACAAAGAACTTAGCTCGCCTGCAACTTGACTTGACTCTTGAGAGACTGAAGTTGTAATTCATAATTCCTCTAGCACACCATTGACCATTCACAGTCAACATCCACCAAGACAAAACCGAGTGTAATGCAAGCCTGGCCTTCAAAACGCCCATCTACAATACGCAAGTTATATCAAAATCTGGCATTCGTTCCGATTCTTGCCTAAACATCCTGTTATTCCTTGAGAACCGAGTGCTGCAGTCACAAAAGGCGGCAGTGGGAGGCCTGCGTTGCCTGCGCCATCCATTCATCGGCCTTTCTCACACAGCCATCTCGGCTTGTAGTTTCCGTAATTCTTCTTCCTCGTCCTCTTCCACCGTGGAGGGTTTGTTGCTTACTATAGAATGGTCAACACGTCTTTCATACCCAGCTCCGAGGGGCGACTTACTTGGACCAGCAGACACGGCGGGAAGCCTGTTGATTTCGCCTGTGACAGGGGTTGGGCCAGTCTTCAACATTCTCTCGTCCATGGCCTCTTGTTCCAACCCTTCCAGCTCTTCCTCCAGATCAGCCTCGTCAATGGGTTCACCAATAGGGGCATTTGTGATTGCGTTGGCGATTTCTTCGCCGAGTGCGTGTTGCTCGCGAAGCTCGTCCATAGTCTGGTCCACTTTGTCGATGGTCAAGTTGCCATGGATCTGTTTCATGGCTTGTCCAGCATTCTTCATGGCATTGAGCGTCTCCTGGTTGATATTGGCGGCTTCGATGGAATAAATCTGTTGTTCCACCTGGGCGATCTGAGCTGATGTTTGCTCAAGTGTGCGTTCATGGAGTTTTTTGCGCCGCAGAGCAGCTTTGGCGGCTGTGGTGTTAAAACAGGCACCGTGTTAGCACGGGTGCCTTAACTGAAGAGGCATGCCGGCTGACTTACCAGCTTTGTTTGAGGTTATATTCTTCCTTGCTATCGCATCTTGCTCTGCCATCTGGGTTTCTAGGTGCTTCTCCCTCTTTTGCAGCATGTCCAGCTGTGACCGCAGCTGCAGAATGGCCTTTTTGGGAGCATCTTTTCTGGCTTGGGCTGCTGCCCCGCCAAACCAACCCCACATATTGTCTGATAGAAGGTGAGGCCTTTGCGGGATTGTCGCAAGCAAGGACTCCGGGGATCGTATGCTAGGGAAGTTGAAGTGACCTGGTCACAGTAGAGAGGCCTTCCGGCGTGGCAGAGTCACTTCCACCTGCTTCGATCGGTATCGCGTGTTCAGCCGATTGCAAATGACGGTCGATGAAGTTAGTCCCCAAATGCAAAGCAGACGGCGGAGGCCTTGAGGCAAAGAGGATCGAAAGGAGCGAGTTTCCTATACGATAAAGGGGATTACAGGATCAAGGGAGACGCTTGGGGAGAAGAAGCGTGTGGCTTTGGTGAGAGCCTGGTCCCGGGATCACAAAAGAGTCCAACGGCCATGACATCGCCAGTGGGTGCCAGTGGTTGCCAGTCTGCCGAAGACCAAGTGGGCTCTCCGGATGCAGTGATGTCTCTGGGCAGGTATGCCGAGGTCACATGGTTGGAAATATCCCAAGCAGGCGTCGAGCCCAGAATCATTTATTACGCGGTACTTAGGTACTCAGTACTCGCCGTCAACACTCAGTCCTCAAGGTCGCGTCGAAATTGCTACGGTTCTGGAGCTGCCTTCAATATCTTCCTCCATGTCATTTGACGAGACAGGTCCCAGTCCAAACATGTTCGCACAACCATGACCGAAGGTGCACCAAGTGCCCCAGCTCCAAGCAAACTGGTCTTCATTCACGAAGTAGCATCACTTCCTCCAGCGAGCAAGGTGAGACTACTAGGCTGGTATGCTCCTCGAATATCTAGCAGCCATACTGTTGACTTTTTCTTGGTAGTATCGTGCAATATGATGCCATGAAAGGTCACATCCTCCTCGAGCATGCCTATCCTAGAAACGCCAGCCCAACCCCTCGAATTTGGGTTGACATAAATCTTGTCCTTGAAAATGTGAAACCAGCTGTTCTGGACCCAGGCACTTGGGTCAACGTAATCGGATATATTCGGGCTTCGACGCCGCAGACCGGGAAAGAGAGTGTAAAAAGGTTGCAGAATGTGCTTGACACGGTATTCGTGCAGGCCGTCTTGATATGGGATGCAATCGCCGTCAGAATCGAAGACTACGAAGATATTCTGGAGGATCAGAGGCGTGTGCGGCGACAGCTTGAGTCCGATCGCAATTGACCTCGGGATGTTTTCCGAAGCCTCAAATATGTCATCTCGACTCCAAGCGCTGCACCAAACCATACTTGTTCCCCATTTGAACATCCTGCATGCCAGAGAGATGTCAAATGCTAAATGGCATCGGGACAATCACCTGCATCCGCCGATATCCCGGTGTCAAGGGGCCATTTCTCTCGTGGTTGATCTGTACAGTGGCCTTTCGAAATGGCCTAGCAGGGTCAGGAATTGGTGTCTCATGAAATTGTGGCACGGGCTGCAGCTTCTTGGATTTGGCCCAACCTTTTCAGCTTTGTTTCAAGGCGCCTGCTTTAAGATCGGTCTTTTATTGACAGCGTACAGTGACACTTCGCTTTTTCAGGGTCCTTATGGATCTGGATTGATGCCTCCTGAGATGGTTTCTCCATCGCCCTGGTTCTGGAGTCACGGTTCAGTGGACTTTTGGAGCTGCCGATCAGTCTGGCCTGCCCATCATTCAGATGGGACCTTGGTCAACTCCCATCTTTGTGCTTTGGAGTTCGAGCACTACTTCCAACCTTTCCACCCTTGTCCTCGTCTGCCAGGTGCGTCTCCTCCCAGGTGGACCAGGTTCAGATCCTGGCCCCAGCGGTTCCATTGATTGTAATATATATCTCAGTCACGAATGTACCAATCTGGTGTCTTTCATGGACGCGGCTGCTCAAATATAGGCTTCCCTCTGCTGCCTGGGTATTTGACCCGAGTTTCTTTCCTTGTTAGCTACCTATATTTTCTTGCTTGTGTTCATCTACGTCTCTGGGGCAAGACTCAACCACGCAATTGCAGTAGGCTCCTTGGTTCTTTCTCAACACCATGGACGGGAACGACGACGAACAGCCGAATGATTCAAACTTTCAACGTGGCCCCTCGAGTTCGACTCCAGCACCTACTATCGTCATAGGAAATGCCTCCCACGCAATGACATCGACTTTCAACTTGTCCTTGGTGCCTAGCCCTCCGGCAACTCCAGACTCATCCAGCGAAGCCCGACCAGCAAGCTCGTCTTCGGCCAGAGCTCGTCCGACAGCATCGAGACATGACTCAGGCAGGAGGATTTTGCTGTACCCTGAGGGCGACTTTCGTAATAGCTCAACGCCGGAACTACGAGATCTGAAGACCGACATGATGTGTAATTGGCTTCACCAGCAGCAACTGGAGCGGATGTGGTCTACTAATGGAATTGAGGAAGGGGTCATGCTTAAGAAAGCGAAGAACGACTACAAATGTGCCCCTGAAGACCTTCGTTCTCGGCCCGAAGGAGTCTATGATGCGGTGAGAAGGCTCAATGTCAAGGTATGAAGTGTTGTCAGTCATGACTTCCTGCTTACTGATGGCTTTAATAGTGTGCCATGACAGTAAACACGAGCGTCGTCAAACTATTCCTCCAGGACCAATTGCTCACTCACATGCCGCTCGACTCTGGCCTCCGCTTGCAAATTCTCCCAAGCATTTCTCACCTGCCTGACTGCCAAAAACACCAGTTCGCAGCGTTCATTCGAATCTATAATATCCTCATTGTCTGGGATGACGACCCAAATCACCTTCTCAAACGTGTCCAATCAATTGAAGACCAGCTTATCAACATGATATGGAAGGAAGAATGTGAAGACGACGAATCTTCGGCACCACTTCCCAGTGCCATGCCCAGCACACTGAATCTGAACAACGCCGGCGACGAGGAAGCATCATCCCAAAACGTCGCGGTGGCAAACGCTTTGCCGCCTCGCCGTGTGGTGCTGGTTCAACCGCTCCTCACCGCAATCACGTTGATCTTGCTCGTTGCCGCTATTGGCGGTGGCTGGCGCCAGATCGCCATTGAAATCAAGGTTGACGGTTCCTGGATGCGACTTGCTTTCATCGCTGTTGTCCCTCTTCAATGCTGGCTTGCATTGTTCTTCATGCAGTCCGTTGCAGGCTGCTGCGCTCAAATCATCGGCCCCATAAGCCAAATGAATGCAAACACCAAGTTCTATTCGGGAATGCCACCGCCGCGCCTCCCAACCGATGGAAGCTACACGTTGCCACATGTCACTATTCAGTGTCCCGTCTACAAGGAGGGTCTTTGGTCCGTGATTGATCCTACAATCAAATCTATCAAAGCTGCCATATCGACATACGAAATGCAAGGTGGCACTGCCAACATCTTCATCAACGATGATGGGATGCAGTTGATTCCCGCCGAAGAAGCTCAAGAACGACGTGACTACTATGATGAACATAACATCGGGTGGGTCTCGCGACCAAAACACAACCCCAAGCCGGCAGATCCCAGCTCAAAACCATTCATTCGAGCCGGGAAGTTCAAAAAGGCATCCAACATGAACTACGCATTGAACGTTTCTGCTCGAGTCGAAGATAAACTGTCAAACCTCGACCGCCCAGATGATGGGAGCTGGACCCTAGAGCAAGAACGTGAAGTATACAACGAGGCTCTTGCATCCATCATCAGCGAAGACGAAGGCCGCACACAAGCTGCAGGCAATATTCGCGTGGGGGATTACATCCTCCTGATAGACAGTGACACACGAGTCCCTCGAGACTGTTTCCTAAGCGCAGTCTCAGAAATGGAAATCTCCCCAGAGGTGGCCATCATTCAATTTGCCAGCGGGGTTATGAACGTCACGGACTCATGGTTCGAAAAGGGCATAACGTTCTTCACGAATCTAGTGTACACAGCCATCCGCTACGCTGTGTCCAATGGCGACGTTGCCCCTTTTGTCGGACATAACGCCTTTTTGCGGTGGTCTGCGGTACAGGATGTCGCCTACGTCTACGAAGACGTCAACGACGGCATCGTCAAGGAAAAGTACTGGAGCGAAGCCACGGTTTCTGAAGATTTCGACATGGCTCTTCGCCTCCAGACTTCTGGTTATATCCTCCGACTTGCAGCCTATGCTGGCCAGGGCTTCAAGGAAGGCGTCTCCTTGACAGTCTACGATGAACTTGCCCGCTGGGAGAAATACGCTTATGGGTGCTCCGAGCTCATCTTCCATCCATTCGCCCAATGGTTCATTAAAGGTCCATTTACTCCTTTGTTCCGCAACTTCATCAGGAGCTCGATGCCGTTCCCCTCAAAACTGACCATTATGGCATACATCGGGACTTATTACGCTATTGGAAGTGCGTGGATACTGACGCTCCTCAACTACTGCATCATAGGCTGGTTCAACGGCCACCTGGACCACTACTACATCGACAGCTTCAAGATTTATTTTGCCATCATCATCGTCTTCACAGCTCTCGGGAACCTCGCACTGGCGGTAATGCGCTACCGAGTCGAAGATCAGACCCTCCTCTCCGCGCTGTGCGAGAATTTTCGCTGGATCCCCCTCCTAACAATCTTCCTGGGAGGTATATCCCTCCACGTCTCCCAAGCGATACTTTCCCACCTCTTCTCTATCGACATGTCCTGGGGCGCAACCAGCAAGGAAGCCACCGACACGAGCTTCTTCAAGGAGGTCCCGACAATTCTTCGGAAGTTTCGGTTCACCTTCATTTTCTGTGCGGTAATGAGTTTGGGGATGATTGTGCTTGCTGGCATCGGCCCTCTAGGGAAACTGGTCCCCTACGATTGGCAGATTGGGTGGTTCACAGCGGCTTGGCCTCTGGCCACGGTTGTGGGTGAGTCTGCTTTCTTTGATCTTTCTCTTCCTGTTCTGTGTTCCCCCTCCCTTCAAGCTGAGATGATAATACCATATCGCCCATGTACTATTTCGCTCACAATTTTCTGGACAGGGTCACATGCATTGTTGCCACTTGTTTTGAATCCGGGGTTGATGCAGTTCACTTTCTGAGTGGCGGGGTTTGCTTTGTCGGCAGGATGTCTCCTCTGGCTCCAAACTCTGAAAACCACTTATACAAATCTTCATTTTGTGATTAAGAAACTCGTGAAGGAATCGCACAGATATTAATTGAATAGATTCCATAGACTCATAATACATGTCATGCGACCTGCCATATTTTCCACAGATCCGAAGACACAATTTTCCATACATTTCGCCATGCTGAGTTTTCTTTTTTCTCCATTGTGAGCTTGCCGCTTATGAAGAATTGAGTGATAACTGCTGCGACGAGGTCAAACAAGACCTGGAACAAGGCCAAACCAGACATTTGACGTTTTGGCGACAACACTGTACTGCGCCAAGTTGGGCTGGGACTAGTTGCAGAGGCAAATGTCACGTCCGACTCTAGAACCCCGGGACAAGACGGCGGCACGGACGAGAGATTCTGAGGTCAGCCTTGCGTAGAAGTGGAAGGGGAAAGAGTCTAGTGAAGCCCCTTGGCATTGGCATATTATCGATTATGGCATGATTAGTTGGTGATTGGTATTCTACCGCTGGGGTCTCAAGCAAATGGCAGCTGCGGATTGGATACCATCAACGACGACAGTGAGTGTTTTGTATTTTGGATACTGCTTCAGCATTTTCTTTCCCAAGAACATAGATACTGTATATCCTCCCACATAAACTCCTGCTCGGTTCAATAGCGTCTCGAGAGAAGAACAAAACCTCTCGTCCTCAAGACCACGACACCACCAAACCCATCACGCTTCTCCACTCACGCACTCACTCACTCAGATCTCCTTGATAGTCTTGAGCTCCTTCTTCTCCACCTCCTCATCGAAGTGCTTTGTAGCAAAAGAACCCCCAAAGAACGCGGCAAGGATCCACTGGAACCAGACAGGACTCAAAATCTTGACGTTGTGCTTCTTCAGCTTGGTCAGGGCGAAATAGACGGTCCCGACGCCGTGCAGGCCGTAGAGCGTGTAGAAGATGGCGTCCTGGACGGGTCTGGAGTACTTGGCAACCCGGGCGCCGCTCCTGGCGATGACTTGGTCGTGGAGGAGGGAGCCCGGCTCGATGAATCTGCGGCGGGCGGACAGGATCATCAGCGTGGCAGCCAGCAAAGCCCCAGTGGCGTTGCGGCCCCTGGGGAGTGAGAACTCGTCGATGGTGACGGCGGAGGCTTTGTGGGTGGACATGTTGTATTCTTTGCTTGTGCCTTTCTTTTTCTCTGTTTCCTGTATATATATCTTCCGCGAAGGAAATTAATAGAGCTCAGCCCGGGGGGAAGAGGGAAGAGGGAAAGAAGAGGAAGAGGCTTCAGGGATTCTGCCGGCAGACCCTAGCGGTCTGATCAGTCAATGGATATATGGCTACGGCTTTTCTGTGGCTCAAACGTTCTGGTGGTCAGGGCTCGACGTCGCTTAACATCCATGATGAGTTTCCCCGCCCTCCAACGCGGGGGAAGGATTGCGGAACATAGGAGCTGCACTGAGGGATGACATGGGGTTGATTGGGCCTCATCAAACCAAGCGGATGATCATCAAGTACGTAGATGGGATGGGTAAGTGAGGAGTACGCATATCCCTGGGATGAGGGCGACGTCAACGGACGGGATCAAGGAAATAGAAGCCAGGGTCCCAGATGCGGTATATGACAGCGAGGACGCAAGAAGGAGGGGGGAGTTGCCAAGAAAACTGCGGAGATACTTGTACTACCGACACCCGCTTTACCTCATACAGCATAGCTGCCGCGCGGAACACACCTTAAATCTTGCCCAATCAGCTTTTGCAGAAAAGACAAGGGTTTAGAAATTTGTCCAAGGGACGAACCCAGCGCAGGACAGCAGACGAGAAAAAGTCCCCGTCACTCTGTCCATTCCGCAAATATGGCACCTTACGATAGTGACTCTTCAGACGATGGCGACGACTACTCGACCACCAACGTCACCCTCGGGTATGCCACCGTCGAATCCACCGGCGACGACATCAGCCACTTGGGCGGCCATCCCACCTGGCTAGACCCAAGTCACCCTCCGCCCGCGGCGCTGGCCAAGTGCAAGGTGTGCAGCAGCTACATGTCCCTTCTCCTCCAGCTCAATGCGGATCTCCAACAGTACTTCCCGAGCGACGAACGGCGCCTCCATGTCCTCTGCTGCAGGAAGAAACAGTGCTCCAAAAAAGTCGGCAGCCTCAGGGCATTTCGCGAAGTCAAGAAACCTGCAGTGCAAGGGAAGAGTATGCAAAAACAAAAGGTGACAGAGTCACGGACAGCGATGCCTGTGCAGCAGGACCTTGGAAGTGCTCTGTTTGGCGGGTCAAGCCAGCAGCAGACTGCGGTCAACAGTGCAAATCCGTTTTCGATGCCGGGCGTCACCGACAACGGACAGTCCACAGCGAATCCATTCTCATCCATAGGCTCGCCTTCGCAGTTGGCAGCGCTGCCTCCACAGAGACCGGTAGAGGAAGCCCAACCCCAACCTCCCACCGAGTCTTTCGCGGATAAACTACGAATTGGCACCCAACCAGACGATAAAGACACCAAGACGGCCACCACCAAAGATCAAATACCGTGGCCGGACGCCTCCCTGTTCCCAACCCCTTACCCTTCCTTCTACCTCGACGCATACCCGGAGGAACTGCAAAAAGAACCTGACACCTCTCCCGCAAAAACAGAGTCCTCGAGAACGCAATATGACGTTGACGATGCAGGAGGAGGCGCAAGCACCGATGCGGACAAGGACACATTCGAGTCCAGCCTGGACAAGACGTTCCAAAAATTCTCGGACCGCATTGCGCAGAACCCGGAACAGGTCCTTCGGTACGAGTTCAAGGGCGAACCACTCCTGTACTCCGGCACCGACGAGGTGGCCTCACGTTTCGTGGTGCCGCACGGCAGGACGGGGCCCGCGAGGGGAATACCCAGGTGCGAAAGCTGTGGTGCCCAACGGGTCTTTGAGCTGCAGCTTGTTCCGGGGTTGATCTACGAGTTGGAAAAGGACGACGAGAATGCAATGAGTCTGGAAGACGGGATGGACTGGGGCACCATCATCGTGGGCACGTGTGTGAATAACTGCGGTGATGCGGGGTCAGTCTCTTTCAGGGAAGAGTGGGTTGGGGTGCAGTGGGAGGAGAGGGTTGTCAGGAAATAAAGATCGTTCCCCTCCCAAGAAAGGAAGGGTTCGATCGTGGAAAGGACGATTGATGAACGACGCCATGTTTTGGAGGACAGAAGTGATGACCTTGGCATACGGTTCTACAGAGGCGCCAATGGACATGAACGCCTGTCTATGCGCGTCGTCGAATGCTATCCAGAGGTGAGACAGAATCGAGTCCCGATAACACCGCTCCTCTCACGCCTAGTCTTCGTCATATGCGTGTATATCGTTCTTTCCTCGACTATCAAAGATGTGTGCTAGGACATATCGGCGTCTACGTACCTTATCCGAGGTTGACACGAGTGGCTCGAGGGGCGAGCAGGCGAGCCACTCCATGGAAGCAACAGAGCAACTGTTTGAGTCAAGGGCCGTCCTTCTCTGGACCTGTGCAGGCCTCTTCTCATCCTTCCCATGCGAGCTGAGCTAGGTCTCCCCACAGATCATCATGGCCAGGAAAAGTATGCCTTTTCTAGCCGCGGGATGTGGCAATCGGGAACTTTGTAGCAGAGGAGAGCGACTGTGACCAGAAATAGGCTCGTGTTCTCGGGTGCGCTGACACAGGCGGGCTGAAAAGATCAAGGGCCACGGCATCTCAAGCCGCGCTTGGGTAGCTTGTCTCCAGCCTTCAGCTGGCCCTGATGTGCATGCCATGCTTGGTTCTATCACGGGACCGTGAGAACCTCAGACGGATATCACTTATGGTTTGGGTGAGCCTGTCCGGTTGAACCTAGTGAGTGGCCTAAGAGGGAGTCTGGCTGCCGTCATCGCAACCCAATTTTGCCACTGATGCCATCCATACCTAGTAGTCACAGCCCATGTGTGATACCGACCATCAGGGCGGCACCTGGTTTTCAGCTTTGAAGCTCTTCCTCGTCCCCCCAGCCACCCTCCGGCGAACCCCGCGAAATCCACAATTGAGATGCTAGTGCCACGCGCTAAGCACGCGAACGCGGATCGCCGGGACGATCGGACGCGTTGACACGGGAAAATGCTTCTGATCACCTCGTCAACAGGCAGGATTGCGAGGGACATGTCCGCTTTGTGTAGACACCACCATCCATCCGTAAACTTGCGGTACACAGAAGGGCCAAAGCACGGGCTACCTTGAGCACCTGGGAGAGAAGGACAGGGAACGGAAGAAAAAGAACAGAACAGAAAAGAAATAATTAATAAAATCAAGACGCGTCAAATCAGGCTGGCCACATTTCCCCCACTTTCCCTCTTTTGGTGCCGACCTCATTTCCCACTTCCCACTCGCGTTTTCCACAAAACCCGCCCGTTTACTGGGCCTGGTTGCGGTATAAACCCAGTACATTATCGTCCGCATTTACCTATTGGCACTGACTGACTGACTGGAACCGTCATCTTTTCCCGGCTTCCCTATCAATGGGGGCGGATGGACAGGGCGCTACCAACGTAAAAAGTGCCTGCGCACGCGGTCTGACGACTCTACCTAGTAGACGTGACGAGAGACCGGCGGGCACAAGCGTTGGTGATCACACTGATCAGCATGCAAAACAATCAGCACAGTTTTACCTAGTTCTTTGCTATATACGGGATTGGGATGGATCACGCAGCAAAAAGGAAAGGGCGCGTGGTGAGAAAAATGCGTGAGGAATGTCTCGCACGGCGGCTCCTCGCTTATTGCTGCAAAGCTATTCGTAAAAGATCACGCCCTAAGACCCCCATCGGCCCGTATCATGGCATCCATGCAGGCAGAATCTCGATAGGATATGTATTCCGTGGCCTATCACTTTTTCCTCTGCGAAACTTGGCGAACAAGTACATAACAGGTACGAGTAGATATCTAAGTGAGGCCAAGCTCGTTCTGCGAGTCACACTGGTTTGGTTTCGACCTTGTTCCGCCCTTCCCAGTTATCGTGACAGTAGATACCAGCTACCTAGGGTTGTTAGGATCCGGACGAATGCCTCCGGATGTGGAAATAAGTTCAGAGACCTAAAACCATCGGTGCTGTAAAGTGCATGCATGACCAAGGTGCTAAACCAAGGTCTGTCCAAGCCTCCAAGGCTCAAAGCTGACCGGCCGCTCGCCAGCGCCGGCACGACAGAAGCACCTTGACGTAGGTAGTGCTCCACGACTGAATGCCCTGAAACGGCCGTTTGACCGGTCGTGGCGTTCGCTAGATGGTTGCATCAAATTTCTGGCCCAGGCCTGGGGCGCCACGAGCCCGGCGGACGCAGGCGGACGCACGCACACGACCTCGATCCATGATTGTATCATGCCGTGTCTGGAGCACGCGATGTACCTATGGCTAGCAGTCAACCGCCCTGCAAAGCCTGGGAGAGGGGCAGCAGCAGTGCGCAGCAAAGACGGATACTGGTAATGTTTTCTTTATTCAGAGCTACCTACTTTCAGCTACCTACTACAGCGATCGCTGTGTTGTGACGATGTTGATGGAATTAAAATCATGTCGGTGTCAAGGGGTGAGGATAGGCCGTAGACATAATTTGACCAACTTGACCATATCAACGCGGACAAGGGACTCAAAAACAGAGACAAGCATAATTGAACAAACTCGCCGAACAAGGAATCGCTGCTGCCCAGTTGCTTTGCTTTGGCAAATAAACGCCTCTGTGTTTCCCGGATATCCAGCTCCGCTGCATGTTTTCAAGCTCAAATCCATGGCCCTCCACCTTTTGGGGTCATTTATGCGTCATTGCTGGACAGAAGAAACATTGTATGCTATTCGTTTCAATTCGAGTAGGTCGTTGCACAGCTACGCATGTGCCTTTGGGTGGTTTTATCATAACAGGGTGTTGTGGATTCGGCCATGGCAAATGAGAAGGGGTGGCCAGATTGTGATTCACGATCTCGGGATCAGCTCGTCACCCAATTGCAGAGCCAGTCCCTTGCCGATCGGAGCCTTTCGTGGTAAAGTTGGACTGCCCGACGGAGGCTGCAACGTATCGAAATTCAAACTTCTTCGTGAGAACCGACTGGGGGTCTTGCTAATGGTTGGAGTTCGGTTGCCCCACTGGGCAGGTGCAGGTGAAGGAGTGACATTGCAGAAGTCGGCCAGGTTGAAATTCTGGCCCGGGGTTTGTAGAGCGCCATTAAACAATCCTAGATGAGTGCCTGGAGTGGTCATCACCGAAGAAGGAAGGTGTGAATGCTGCGAAGGGGGAGTTGAAGGTGGTTCTTTCGACGAGTCCGACGGCCTATGGATGTTGATGGCCGGTGAACGAGACGGTGAATTTGCCAGGTAAAGGAGGAGATCGGCTCCGGATTGCTTGGAGTTGGTGTTGAGGAAAGCCTTTGCAGGAGGAGGTGTTCGAGGGGGTGATGAGGACAAAATACTGCTAGACGGTTCGTTTCCAAAGGCAGGCATGGGAAGGTCATGATCTTCGTCATCAGAATGAACATCAAACATGGGAGAGTCGTCATTGGCAAGGTGAGGTGTTCGAGTAGATTCTGTATGAAATAGTGGGTTCTCTTGAAAGGACTGTGTCCGATTCAAAAGAGGTGAAGACTGAGGCAGACGGTGATCTTGCTTCCATGTCAATGTGCTCGACTGTCTGTCCAGCCCTGTTGCAGAGGACGACCGGACTCTCTTCCTCGCAGCGAATGGAGGTTCGGGGATTTTAAAGGTTGGGTTGGAGGGTTTCGAAAAGCGGTTGTTGGCAATCGAGGAGATAGGGATGAATTCGTCGTCGGATCCAGACGAGGTATCACAGGGGAGGTCTTCCTCCAGGAATGGTCTCTTCCTCTTTAGCTTCTCGGTGAACTCGGGTTCGATCGAGGCAAGTGTTCGATCTTGCCAGCCATTTTGGGCCTTGAAGCTTGCAAAAGCCAGACAGTCTTGGAGGTTTCGAGCAACCTATAGAGGCCCAGTCAGTCAGGAGGGGGTTTCCTGGCAAAGTCTTGTGAGCAGCTTGGATTTGAGTTACCTTTGCAATTTCCACTCTCCTCAGCACCTTCTCTGCTACTTCAGCAGCAGCATATGGATGCTGGTCAGAGGTCATGTTGTTGCAAATGTTGTGAGAGACCAGCATGAGGAATAGGTCGCCGAGGGGGGTTTTTAAGAAGGAGAAGGGAGAGGATTTTGCCAAATATGTGTGGTGTTGCCCCGGAACGTCAATGCGCAGGCTAGGAAAGAATTGAAGTCAAGCTGGTTTAATTCCTGCTATGGATCCAGACTCGGGCTGGCAATTCGTGGGGCCACAACGCGAGGGTAGGCGGGTGCGACTGCGCTATGTTCAATGGGCGGTGCTCGGGTCCAGTTCGGCTCACTGGAGGACGGAGGTCATGCTGGAGGATCAGATGTTGAGATGGACGAGCTTGAAGGACGAAAGGACAGAGAGCAAGAGACTGCAGAGGGGGAAAAAAGAAAGTGGACGGCTGAGCAATAAGTTCCAGGAGAGTGAGTGAGTGGTAGAGGAATGCTGGTGGCAGCGAACTTGACGAGCACGGTGAATGGCCTGCATTAAGTTAATTGGACTCTCAGCACAGGCTTGACTTCCTACTGGAGGCAGCCAGAGACTCAGAGCGGCAACTTAGTAGTAACTGTGGAGGGCGGACGAGGGGTGCCCTCGTTGGAGCCGACGCTGGCGGCACTGGTGGGCAGTGGTGGCACGTTCTGGGTAAAGACCGCTAAGGCAGCTAAAGGGCGAGTGGTTCCCCAGTGGATTGAGGCCGTCCATTTGCAGCTCCGGCTCGCCTGTGGCTGGTGATGGTGTCAAACTCATTGGCTCCTTAGCTGCTAATTACGCATGGCCGACGCTTTGCCTGAGACTCCTGCTTGCCACTGCTTGGAGCTTACCGACTGGGTGCCGACTGGCTGTGAAATTGGCCGCTGGGCTGGTCGCATGCACCTTTTGCAGCTTCCTCCAGCCATACGAGTCGGCCATGCTCAGTCCATGTCAAACTGATGTTTGCACGGCGAGACGGGATCCAATGACGCCTGCGACCTGAGTTTCTCGTCCTTCTGTTCCCTCGTCACCTTGGTCACTCTGGTCACCTTGGTCACCTCTGATCTGGCGGCTGCAGGTACTACTAACTACTGCTCCGGAGGCCATACTGCCGGTTTCTGTGTCTCGTGTGCCCTGATATCCGGTCGACAACCCGCCTCCTTGGGTCCACTGCCATGACTGCAAGTCGATCTGCTTGTTCCGAGATTTCACGGCCCGACTGGGACATTGATTGATGTGCTGTCATCGACGATGTCCAACACCTGAGATGGGAAGAAACCGGGATTCACAAATTTCCTCCTTTTCCATGTTGGGTGCGGGTATCAGTGACAAGCCAAAGCCATCTCTTTGGATCTGGGGAAGAACAACTACTGGTACCTCCCTAAAGGAGTGTAGCTTTCACGGGTGTCAGGCCAGGAACCGGGCAGTGGGCACCGATGGGCGCACTATGCAAAGCATGACTAACTAAATCGCTGCCGTCTGACCTCATTCCAGACCTCAATGTTGCCCGCTTTGAAGAGGACAACGGTCGTTTACGCTGATCGAGGGGAACCCCCCCCCTGATCCAGGTTCAAACGGAGATAACTTGCTGATCATGGCATGTTGGGCGCACAGTCTTGGAAAGTATAAGTATAACTTCGGAGGATTGAGTAGCCACCAGGAGAAGATGCCAGAGAACAAAAAAGGAACATCTTCGGGTCCCAGATCCGGATTTGAAAATTACCATGGAGAACTAAGTCTCGGGAATGCCAACCCTCAGGATTCTTGTCGTGCGACCAAGATACGGAGGCACTGTCCACCTTCCATTCTTTGTCGGTGGCAGATACGGAGGACCTGGTTCAAATACCTACCTACCTAGGTAGGTATGAATGGGGACAAGAGTGTGCCAGCATGAGGCTGAACGATCATCTCTGACACTGGCGAATAGCCTCAGTCCATAACTTGGCGTAGGAATCCCATTATTATTTAGAGCGCCTTCTATGTACTCGACAGAATCGACTCCAGATTTTATTGTGTGCGCTCTGGACGAGGTACCTACTCCGTATGCGTGCCCGTTCAGTGGCTGTCGAATCGTCGATATGCCCTACCAAGGCGATCTACTGTGGCTTTCATATCCACTGGATGGAGCACTTCTGAAATTGCACTTTGTTATCCCCTTTGAGTAGGGGCAGCCGTGTTCTCGGATGAGATCGATGACAATCATTCAGCCTTCCCCTGTCTCTGACAAAGGCGGCTTCACTTGATAGTCATCGTCGTGGTCGTGCACATCAGACTTCCAGCTCCAGCTCAATACTGGCGGGCAGAGATTGTCTTGCTCCTGATCGGGACATGGACGGGAGGAAGACGCTGAGTGGATCGCAGTCACCCGCAGTGGTCACGGCGCTGGAACGAGACGGAGAAAAAGTCATGGTCAACGCCGATTATCTCTGGGCCCCAAGCCAACCACATGTTCTTCCAGCTGTTCCCAGCTGTTCCCAGCTGTTCCCAGGTGCGACTCCGACGTCATTGCCCGTAAAAGATGCCCACCAAGTCCACAACTGCATAGCTCGTCCATCTCGTCCGGGGCGCCAGGCCCTAAACAGCTTAACTAACAGCCCCCTCAGTGCCTTCGGTGCTCCCCCCCCCCCCCCCCAAAAGCCCCCAAAGCAACAGGAACGCATGTGTGCAGTGGGCAAAGGCGCAGTGGCCCAGGCTGGAAGGCATAGGGATTGCGCATTTTGCGCATGCCGCCTCCCCCCACCTTTATCATCTGGCATCCTTGTCGAATGCGGTGGGCTTCCAGCCAAGCTGATTGCACGATGCCCGGATTGCACCGCTTGCACCGCTTGCCCTTGTAGCCTGGTGCTGCTTCTGGCGAATGGCACTTGCTGGCGGCAACGCATGTCTTGCAAGTTGCAACAACCACACTTCGAACTTGCCCTGCGACGTGCTCTTGCTGCACGAAGCTGCATTTCCGTCCGTTGCTACCCAGAATATATCCATAGTGCCGCGGTAGCGTCCCCAAGCATTGTCCACGTCGCAAGTCCGGGCAATGATAATACCTCCTCGTCGCCGTTGTGCCATTTCAGCTTGGTGCTTATCGTCGAATTGACGATCGCTTTTCTCTTCATCTTACCCTTCACCTCATTCTCATCTTAATCGACTGCCCTCGTTTCCTCCTGGTCGCTCGTTTGTCTGTTGAAACTGTCCGAGCGGAGTTTGTATACGCTGCTCTGCTTCTGCTGTGATACCCTCGCAGCCAATTGTCACTTCGGAAAAAAGCTCCATTGCACATGCATGTGCATGCGGTCGTTACATCCTACCATTAATTCTTCTTACCTTGCGGCATCATCAACAGCACCATTCCGGTCACACCAACGAGCCTCCTTTGCACTGTCTCTCAAATCTATGACTGACTGTTAAAACGCCCTCGACGCCGATTCCCTCGCCAGCAGCCATGCCCTTCTTCAAAGAGCTGCGCCGACGATCAAAAGCAAGCTTCCGAACCTCAGACTCTTCAACGGAATCCAATGGCACCGTGCCCACCGCGAAGTCGTCCTCTACTCTCAATTCCGCTCCTGGAAGCGCAACGCCACCTTCGACATATCACGCCAATGGCTCCTCTTACAACGTTTTGGGCACAGTAAAGAGCAATGGAGACACTCCGCCTCCGGTCCCTCAGCGACCTAATGTGACGGTCCCAAATTCCAACAGAAACAGTATGATAGTGAGTTCTCTGGAAAATCTGCGAGCAGACTGTGCCTGTGAGCTGACCAAAAGCAGACTCTGTCCCCTTCGGGCTCCAATGGAACTGTACGAGTCCCTCCACCGACCTCTGCGTATGCGCCTAAAATCACTTCAGTCCTGGATAACTCCGTGGTATGTGCTGGTTGAATGAGTTGGGGTGGCGATGACGCTTACGGACGGTGTACAGGTTTACCACAAAGTACTGTTGGTGAATGGAGAAATTGGCGACCCTAATCAGAAACCCATGGATGGCAATCTGACGGTCCATCACGACAAGGAAGGACAGGCGTTCCCACCCACGAACTGGCCCGTGTCCGACTCGTACTTCAAAGCGCTGGTCTACCTCTCGCCCGGCTGGAACAGAATTCGGTTTGACTTTACCTCCCCGAAATTGAGCCATCACAGCATTGGATCCGCGCCGACAAACCACTCTTCCTATATTATGCTGAATTACCTGCCGTTGAACAGCGCACCACCTCTCCAGCTTGTCATACTCGTTGGAAGGGACTCACCATGTACATATGACGCAGTCCCTCAGAGAATACAAAACGAAGGAAACGATCTGTCCATGGCCATCAGGAAATTCCGAATGGCCGCTCACCTGTGGCAGACATTCACTGCAGAACAAATGTACCGACACAAATTCGGCCGCAGGTGTTTCAGATTCGAGGAAGAATGGCAGACCGGCACACTCTCCATGCGAGACTGGGAAATGGGCATCATGAAGAACGAAACCAGGATCCATGTCGTTCGAGCGGACAAGACTACTGCAGAGTTGCAGGATCTGCAGTATGCGCAGCAACACTCGCCGGCAGCCAAGAAAGGGGAGCTCTACTCGATTGCAGCGGATGCCGTCAAGAAATACTTCAATATGAGGCCAGGTCAGAAGCAGCATGTGGCCTGTCTTCTTCTTGATGCCCACTGGGATCGAGAAGCCGGAACAATTAGGGGCCATGCTGCTCTTGGTGGTACAGGGGATGACCTTGGCCTAGCCATTTTCGGCTCCCATGCTCTTCAGAGCTATCCCTCCTGTATCGAGGAAGTTGTGCCAGCCTTTATGGACTGCACGCGGACGGACACCAACTATGTGGCAAACGATTGCAATGAATCCGGGAGCAGCTGGGAAGCAGCCAATATTGGTATCGGCGCTCATATGCACGAGGTCGGCCATCTTTTTGGCTGTCCGCACCAGGAAACCGGAGTCATGCTCAGGGACTACGTCCGATTGAACCGCACATTCTTGGTCAAAGAACCATACTCGACGAGAACAAAATCCCAAGGTCTCAAAGTCTGTCGTCAAGAAGACGAGTGCGGTTGGCATCGATTAGACGTGCTCCGTTTCCGATACCATCCTTGCTTCAGACTTCCGAGTGATGAACCTCTTCCACAGGACGACAGCATTCAGTACTTTCCAGTCGGTAACGGCCGAGTGATCTTTTCCGCCCCCTCAGGAATTTCATTTATTGAGATACGGACGGAAGGAGACGACCTTTGCCGGCAATGGATCGACTTTACCAATGCTGATCCCCGACACAGCGCATCCCCCAGACAAATCACCGTGGCAGAGACCGACATCCGCGGACGTCTACCAGAAGACAAGAAAAAGGTCAAGTTGTCTTTGACGATCTTCTGTGGTAGTTCCCGGAGTGAAAAGATCGAAGATCTTGACGACCTCTTGTCGAAGAAATACATTGTGAACCTTCCACATGTTAAGCAGGCACCGAAGCGTGACGAAGGATTGACAATGAACGCGTTGAACAATGTTGTAGGACTGGGCAAGTCCTTCGATTCCCGCCTCGGGTTTCGAAGCAAGAAGCTCGGGCAGTCTCAGCTGGAAGGTTCGCAGCCAGAAGAGTTGATCCTAGAGAGTACTCATCTCCAGACAAAGCTTCTGACTTCGGTCAAAGTGTATTCTGGATATGCACTGGACGGCATTGAATTTTGTTATGAAGACGGCCATAGTCAACTATTCGGCAAAAGGGGTGGCAAACCCGGCGGTGACGAATTTTTCCTTGGTGAGTTGGAAGTGTGGAGGTACGATATTTCAGAGGACTAACATTTGCAGACACACGCCGTGGCGAAACCATTCTCGGATTTTATGTGCGTGCCGGGCTCTGGGTCGACGGTATCGAGATTTTGACCAGTACTGGTCGAAGATCGGGTGTTTTTGGAAACGCAACCGGCGGATCTGGGTACGTAAAAGTGTTCCATGCTACCTTTGTCTCCGGCTTTGTCCTGACCAGATCATAGACATACCTTGATGGCGCCTCGGGGATACAGTCTTGCCGGCATTTCAGGAAGCTGCGGCCCATGGATCGACGGTTTCCAGATTATCATCACACGCTAATGTCATCTTGGAGACGATTGCACATTGACGACGAAAACAATTACATACAATACCCTCCGGCGGACGTCGACTTGCACGATTTCGGAATGGAAATGTCCCACACTTGTAACAGGCGATAATCGTTTTGGATGGCTTGGCGATTAGTCGATATTGGTTCATTTCGGCATCATACGGGATATTAATGTTTTGCCACGCCTTGTACGGAACGAAACCATCAGGAGGGACACAATTAGCCAGGCATACGACGACGGCAAAAGAATACACATACAAAAAGGACAACGGAGAACTATTCTACAATAATGAAGAGGTACGATATCCACCGGTTGGAGACGATCTCAGCAGCGATTAGAGGAAGGCCATATCAGCAGCAGTCCGCTCAGGCCATGTGATAATGTCCTCGTGGAGGGACTGTACATATTTGTGGCCTTGGTGGCAAGGCGCGACGACCAGGCATTCCGGCAGATCCAGGGCTATCCTGCAGTAAGGTACCCATGTCTTTTGCTCTTGAACTACTGGTGGGTGAGACAGATTGCGCACCGAGTCCTGGCTCGACTCTGCTTTATATAGACATTAATGGGAATTCTGGTTAATGACTTTTAAAGCACATCTTTCGCGCCTCGTTCATGAGGAGCATGGATTGAACAGGTTAGATCCGTTCAATCGTGCCGGGGCTCGGTCATCTGATGGAACACCCTAGCGAGCAAATCCCTAGACGATAACATCCTGCTCGAGTCCTGAGATAGTTAGGTATGAACCAGGTACTCCGTGGTAGTGGCAGCCTTGCACCGCCAAACCCCCCACTTATCGGGACTAGCTCAGCCTTGTCGAGCTTCTTTGATGATGCTCAAACTAAAATCAATGACGATCGACACGAGCTGCTTGCAGATCCGCGCGGCTCGTGACGTGTACAGTCGGATGCTCTTAGCTACCTAGCTAGGTAGCGAGCTGGGGACCATGCATTCTGCCGGCATCAGCAAGTTACACACGTCCCACAGTTGCCCTGCTCGGTTTTCCAGTTCAGGAGCTGCATCGAGCCGGAGTTCCGAGTCACTCGAAAGAATGACGCGATCATGGATGGGAAGCCATCGGGGTGTTTTCCGTAAGTTGAGAGTGGCGCTGGACTTATTCTCAATATTATCTGCTCGATGAATGAGAGGCGGACTGTCCTTTCCACTGCCGCATTCTTGTGACCATTCTGTTTGTCGACATTGAGAGATTGAGCGAGCAGTATGGGTGTGATCAGTTTCTGCATGGCTGGCCTGGCGTTGGCCAGCTTAGCAATGGCCCAAAATGCCAGCTTGACTCAAGATAACACCATTTCTACAGAAGGACTGGTCTCCAACAACTCCAGATTCGATACGATTCTGCGCGTGGACAATGGCACTTACGGCCCTCCAATCGAGGAGGTCCACTACTTTTACAAATACTGGCCCATCGGCATCGCTGTGTCCAGCACACCGAGAATCTTTGTCTGCTACACCCGTGGCGACTACGACTATACCGTCGCCGAAGTCAACAGCACGACTTCGGAGACACCTTTCCCGTCTGCCGGTCTGAACTTGCCTCCTGATGCACTCAACACAACGTTCAATGGGATTGAGTTCGGAAGTGCGAATTCCACCGGCTTGATAAGTGTGCAGGCTCTTTATATCACACCTGCAACTTCTTCAGGGCGACCCGAAACGTTGTGGCTGCTGGACACAGGCCGGCCGACCATTCAGTCCTCTACCGGGAGCTACAGCATGCCCTACGCGCAGCCTGGCGGGCCAAAAGTCGTAGGTGTCAATTTATCGAATAACACCGTCTACGCGACCTACACGTTTCCGTCCACCGTGCATTATCCCGACTCGTACATGAACGACATACGCTTCGATCTTCGGGCCGGGGTTGAGGTGGCTTACATTGTGGACTCCAGCGACGAAGGCCGCAATGGGTTCATCATGTTGAACCTCACAGACGGCACGGCCTGGCGGAGATTGACGCAACATCCGTCGGTGCTACGAGTATACAATAACTTGCCGAGCTACCAGGGCCATCCATTCTACTATCGGAACCCTGGCATGAGCTTCTCGCACCAACAAGAGGGTCTTGATGGCATCCAGATCACCCCCGACGGCGACTACATCTACTACTCGCCACTGACGTCGCAGAACCTCTACCGCGTTCCCACAGCAAACTTACTGTTACAAGACAGCCAAAGCCCGCTTGCCGAACAAGCGGCGTCCAACAACGTCTCGTGGCTCGGCCAGCGGGGAGGCGAGGCCAACGGCTTCGAGGGCGATAGTAGCGGCCTGATCTATATGCTCATGCCCACCCACAATGCCATCTACTACTATGACCCCGCGGACCTCCAAGTTCATGGATTTGTACGGGACCCGAGGATCGTCTGGCCCGACAGCGCGAGCATCGCAGAAGACGGATACTTCTACATGACTATCAACCAGCTGCCATATCAGGATGAGTGGAATAATGGCGTCAACCTAAGGCAATTTCCCGGGGCGATTCTGAGGGCCAAATTGTTGAATAATGCCACAAAGATTACTTCGTTGACATAGTTTGAGATGTGAGGGGGTAATGATGCAAAAGTACCTAGGTATGCAGACAGTACTGAAGATGGGTTATAAGATTTCTAAACGAGTATCGTAGAGTAATATGAGTTGCCCTTAGCCATATCTGATGACTCTGACCTCCGTACATTACGTGATTAGTAATCGCAGGCGTCGAACGCGGGGATTTCAACCACCACCTCCTCCCACCGTCACGAAACACTGGCACTTATTCAATCCTAGGTAGTTCTTGTTGAGAGTCCGATAACCATCCATCACCACAGCCTACATTGTGTGGAATGTCGAAATGGGAACCAAAACTCCGCAAAACGAACATCGCAGAAACGATGGTACGTCGGCACTCCTCTGACTTGCATGAGGCACCTGTCCTAACGAAGATTCCAAGGCGATCCCTCCAAGTCTGATGGACTCTCTCACGTCGGCGGCGAGCCTCGAGGCTCTCATATGTCCAGGGACGGAGATGGCTGTCTCGGAGGCGCGGGAGGAGGTGACGACGAGAGCGACGGCGACGGCGACGGCGATGGGGAGGGCGAGGGAACCAGCCTAGGACCAATAGAAGCCCCCTTGACCACCGAAGCTGTAGACACACAGAAGAAACGCAAGAAGCCCAAGAAGAAGAACAAAAAGAATAAGAAAGGGTCGGCGTCCGTGCCTGTTGTCAAGCAATCGTCGCCACCAAGGGTCTTGTTGAGCGACCTCTTCCCGAACGGCAACTACCCCCAGGGCGAGGTGCAGAGCTACAGCTACACCGAAGCGCGGACAGCAGCTGCGGAAGCACGCCATGAAGCTCGTCGACATTATTGGGAAGACGACGCCTTCCTCCAAAACTACCGCAAGGCCGCCGAGGTGCACCGCCAAACCCGCCAATGGGTCCAAGACAGCGTCAGGCCTGGCCAGACGACTCTCCTGGAACTGGCCGAAGGAGTCGAGGACAGCGTCAGGGCTCTTCTTGGCCATGCCGGATTGGAGCCTGGGGACAGCCTCAAGGCCGGTATGGGCTTCCCAACTGGTCTCTGCCTCAACAACCAAGTCGCGCACTACACTCCCAATCCGGGCCAGAAGGATGTCGTGATCCAGCAGCAGGATGTCCTGACGGTCGATTTTGGTGTCCACAGCAACGGCTGGATCGTCGACAGCGCCTTCACCATGGCATTTGACCACACCTACGACAACCTTCTGGCAGCGGTCAAGGAAGCCACCAATACAGGGATCAAGGTACCGACCGAGCTCTTCTTCTTCTTCTCCTCCTCCTCCTCCTCCTCCTCCTCCTCCTCACACCATGTGTGTTCCAACGGCAGGGATATGTAAGGCTAACAACACCCGTCAACAACAGACCGCAGGTGTCGACGTGCGGATCAGCGATGTCAGCGCCGCCATTCAAGAAGCCATGGAGAGCCACGAGGTCGAGATCCGCGGCAAGACATTCCCCGTCAAGCCCGTGCGGAATCTCTCGGCACACGACATCAAGCACTACCGCATCCACGGCGGCAAGTCCATCCCCTTTGTCAAGAACTCGGACCAGACCAAGATGGAGGAGGGTGAGGTCTTTGCCATTGAGACGTTCGGCACCACAGGCCGCGGCTGCGTGGTGGATGATGTAAGGGCAGCCCATTTCACACCCTATTTCTTTCCCAATGCGTTGATTATTCCACATATAAGAAACACAAGAGACAAATTTTCGGATACTAATTGAAATCACAATTGCTCCACCTACAGGCAGGGGTCTATGGCTACGGGCTGAACCACGACGCTCCGCTGGGGGCAACATCTCTCCCCCTAGCCTCAGCCAGGCGTCTGCAAAAGACGATCCGCGAGAACTTTGGGACGTTGGTCTTCTGCCGTCGCTATCTCGAGCGGCTGGGCGTGGAGAGGTATCTGGCTGGCGTAAGTACTGTCACCCACTCCCCCGCCGTCTAAGAAGAAAGAAAGAAAGAAAGCACCCATACTTATTACGGACTGGACAAATGACCGTGGTCTCTACACAGATGAACTGTCTTGTCTCCCACGGCATCGTGGAATCTTACGCCCCCCTGATGGACATTCCATGCTCGTACTCGGCGCAGTTCGAACATGTAAGCCCATCTCGTGCATCCCTTCCCAACGGTTTTTCGTTTTCTACCATCCATCCCACAAAATGACACACGAAGCAAAAGGCTGACAATTCGACCCTTAGACCTTTCTCCTGCGCGAGACGCACAAAGAGGTCTTGAGCCGCGGAGATGACTACTGAATCAGCACCCCGCCACCCCCAAATCGCCTTTGTAAGGCGTGACGTTGATCCCACACAGGTTCTGTTCGTCTTGCAGGCCAGGAAGGCCCAAGGAGCAAATATGTAGGGCGGGTTTTGATCTTTTCTTTTTGTCTCTGATGCATGTATCCCTTGGTGCTGGTTTTTTTCCCCCTCCTCCCTCATCCAAACTCCTCGGTCATCATACATGACTCCTGGTACGCAAAGGGGGAGAGGGGGTTTTTTTTCCCAGCACCGTGACGTGAATGCGAAGGGATGTTTCTTTTGCACTCTGCGTTTTTCTCTGTCTGTGTATGTTTTCCGAGAAGTACGTACCAGTACATTTTAGATAGCCCCGGATATATGTGTGTGTGTATGCACAGCCGGAATGATGATTCTGTTGAATCTGAGCTACCATCCTTCATACCAATTCTTTTGTACGGTGTGGAAACTCATGTACAAACGTCGACTTAAGCATAAGGTCTCAACACGACGACTTAGGCAAAACGACTTGATGTAAGAAAGGTGCTACAACCGGCCTCAATATGAGTTTTGGTGGCTGAAGACGGACAAGGCGCTTCTTTCCTCACGCTCCTATACTACGTGGCACGAGCACTAGAGCGGGCTCAGTGACGAGCGCTCTGAGGAGATGGGAGTATAGGAACGTTGCAGGATTTTTAACCACATGGGAATATCTTAAAATTTAAATATATCTGTTCGAGACATGTGATATATCATATGTCAACGGCGAGCCGCTTCCTACCATATTATCAACGCCGTAGTCAATCCAACGCCCGCCAGGAAGGCGACCCGTCTTTTCCTTCCTGGCCTTGCGATGGCATGGCAGGTGCTTACCATCCTGTTGAGTCTGGTATACAATGCGAACCCATTCGGCAGATGGCTCAGTTAGTCACCCTCTCGGCTTCAGGAATACGACTGGAACTGAAATTTCACTGCTCCAGCTGCTTGTCGGCCGCAAGTGCCGGATAGGCGCTCCTTGTGGCACAAAGAATAGACGGAGAGTGGTACGAACGCGCCGCGGATGATTCGACCCTCAGGACGACATTCTCCGGACGGACGGCTGGCTAGGGCAAGAGCAAAATGTAACGAAAGCTGTCAACCGAATTTCAATGATGGCAAATCGCTTCTCCTTGCTCATCCAGGAGTTCGATCAAGTTCGTGAGAGTGGGGGACGGTTCCAGCAAAACGGTACAGGGCGGTGATCCCGACTGGGTCCAGCAATCCCTTTCGCGCCTTCGACACTAGTGTTGCCCAAAAATAATATCAGAGACGCAAGAATCCCGACCTGATAAGAGCTTGGCCCAGACGCTCGTTGACTTTGTCATCTCGAGGATATCCACGAAAACAGACAAGCCAATGCTAGGTGGCACGCTGGCTTCAAGGGTAAGGATGTTCTCCACTGCTCGATGGAATAAAGGGCCGCTTCGTCCTCTCCGAAGACTTGATAGGAGTGGTCTGAGGGTTTCGGCAAGTTCGCCTACTGACTTTTCAGCGTCTTCCAATCTTCCGGTCATCAGGATCGCTGAAGGTTAGTTCCATTCAATTCATGAGCCGTTTGAGGGTCTTCCACCAGGGAAGTCTCACTGCCATCATCCTGCTCATCCAATGGTCCCCGGTCTTAGAGTTACTCGGATCTCGTAAAAAGTCCCTGTGAACGCGTACTGCGATATCTTCCGCTCAGGATCCAGACCCGTGAGACGTCGTGTAGGTCGTTCGAGTCCCTGACTTCAGCCACAGTGGCGAGGTCAAAGGGATGTCGATCTCCTCGCTTACGGAAAGATTTTCAAGTTTTGTGGCGCAAAGCATGTGGCGTCCCGTTACACACACGGCGCTCCCTTTCAAAAGCTCTAGACTTTGTACCCTCCTTGGCGTGCACCTTCGATTGCGTGTTCTTTGTTCTCCAAGCTATTCCATTGGCGCGCAACATTGTCGTCCAGATACGTTTCTTCCAGGAAGGCAAATTTTCGAACGTTGTCGATAGGAAACCGTTGCCGGGGCAGGGAAGGAAATTCTGTTCAGCCCGCGAAAATTGCGGTCCAAATAATGGTCACTCCAGTTGTATGATGCCGCTTCTGGAACATCGGCAAGTCCTCGTATATTTTGTCCGAAGCTCATTTACCAAACCAACAGCCCCGGTCCTGGTATTTCGGAGAATATTCGAGAGTCACCTGCGCAATTTCCAAACGAAATTTTCTTCGTCCCGGTACCCGGGATAGACTCCGCGGCAACGGTGAGCCTGCGGTATGATCAAAGATTTCGATTCACCATTCTCAAAACGTGTCATTCAGGTGCCGAACGATGCATTTGGTACCTGGAGTCCAGGCAAATTTGCATTGCTGTCAGACATAGCGAATAGTGTCCCCACGGCACAAAGACGTTGGTGGGGCGCCAATTTTGTGCCACAGCTCCTCTCACCTTTTGGCTTCCCGTAAGGCCCTTCCAAGAACCGATCTGGTGCCCCCGTCCACTTTCAGATGGGCCACGCTCCTGGGGGTGCCGCCCAAATTTGTTCCACCCGCGTTCCAATTATCTCGAATCGAGATTGCCGGGGTCAGGCTCTTTGAGAACCCACTCAAATCACTGCTCTGCCTGTAGCCGACACACTTGTAGGTAGTATTGGTCGCAACTTGTGAACGTGAGTTCATACCGTTCAGCAGCCGGATTGATGGGGATGACCTCATCCTGTTTCGAGTGTTGCAAGGCCACTTCTAACCGACGGCGCCAATAATATCGAGGCGGAAATTGAGGATATAGCTTACGGGGAGAGCGGTTGGAGAAGGCACTTTGTGCATTGGACTGGTGACTCCCTGGATTTGCCTAGACAGGCTTGATTGAGGAGTCTCTCCAAGACTCCCAAGGTTACTGATTGGTGGTATGACGGGCTTGCCGCGTAGAATGACGAATATTTTGTGAGATCAATTGTGGGATTGTCAAATGGTCACTTGACCATGTATGTCCTCGAATCTCTCTTCTCGTGCGCCCGTTCAGTTTCATGTTGCAGAAGCAGCGGCCACGATGGTTGGTCAGCGAGCACAGACGTGATGTAATTTTGAAGTTGCTTGAGGCACCGCAGCGCGATATCCCGTTATTGGGCACCACGCAGGCGGCAGGTTTGGGGCTGACCGCCCCTCGAAAACTCTGTCAGGTATCTTCCAAATGACTGTTGTATTAGGTCAATCTGATGCGTTGGGCACTGATAATGACAAGTCTCGGTGTTTGGGTAGCCGAATACGGAGCCACGGTCATGTGGATCTAGTTCCCGATAGAGGAGAGGACATAGCGTTGGGTTATCATCCTATTGGTAAAACTTCTCTTGGTCTGAACAGATTATGACTTTTCTGTCTCCATGATGTACCACTGCACTTTTACTGTACTCGGTATTGTATCGCCGCATACGCGTCCAGCAGTGCCAGCCTAGAGGGAGATACGTGCTCGGTGAGTCAGTGGTGGCGCTGTTGGCGGTAATTGGCCTGTTTCTAGAGACGGCTTCTGGACGAAATGAACAAAGAGCAATGATCGACGACAAGGGAGCGTGCTGATCCTCGTGGGCACGTGTGGGCGATCAGCAGAGGTCATGCCTCCTACAGCGATAGATTAGCTTAAGCGATCTGATGATGATGATAGCGATGATCAAACAATCGCCTGTGGCTGAGAAAGGATGACTGACGGAGCGTTTCATCTGTGCGCCGTGATCTCGCTCCAACACAAAGATGTAGGAATACACAGTATGGGCGAATTGCTGGTCTGAGCGGCTTCTGTCAACCGAGATGGGAATCGGAGATGGGAAAATGACAGGGAGCAAGCCACAGGCACCACAGGTTTCTTAGGAGTGGGCGCCTCTCCGGCACCGGCAATTGTATACTGGGTACTCGGTACTGCTGACGAACCCGCCTTCGCTTCCGGCGCAGGTGGGAAAGACGCTGGTCAGGGTGGAATTTCCGACTCTTTTCTCTTTTTTGCCACAACGGAGCAGCCACAGTTTCCGAGGGAGGAGAGAGATGGTCAAGCCACAGCATGGGGGGTGTACGTGTGGCTGTGTGGCTGTGCGAGTGCGGTGCGGTCGATCAGGAGGTCGATCAGGTCGTCTGGACCTTGCATAGGAAGAGAGTTCTGCCATCAATTCCCGCTGTCATGGTAAGGATAAACCTTGCTTGGTGGAGGACGAAGGTCAGGGTACAGGGAGCAGAGGACAACGGCAGAGGACAACGAGGGGACAGTGGTAGAGAGATGGAGAGGGAGAGGGAGAGAGAATGAGGAGAGTGGCGGAGAGTGGCAGAGGTGCATGATGGACGATCCTTGGCCTGAAACGCACGAGGACTGGCCAGTCAGATTTCTGGCCATTGCCCACAGAGGCTCCCGAAACAAGCCACGTCGTGGGCGTCGTGGGCGTCGTGGGCATCCGTGGGTGCAAGGTGCCACTGGTGATGCCACTGTCAGGCGGTGACTGCCACTGAAAATGAATTGAACGCCACGTCTGGCTCTGCCGCTAAGCCTGTTCTAAGTGGCAGCTCCGGTCCGCTGCTCCAATGACACCCCCCAGCAGCCCCCAGTTGATCCTTGTACCTAGGCGTGGCTCAGTTCAAAGCATTAGGCGCATGGGTGGAGTGGGCAGTGGACCCCCGTGTTTAGGCTTTGGCTATTAGGCTGGATGCTAAACATGGGCGTCGATGTTGCCTTACGCCGACCGGACGCCCGTACCTGCTTTGTCTCCAGCACAGAGAGAGACGCAAATCGACATCGTGCCATGGTGCCATCGTGGACATTTCATCCCAATCTTTTGTTCTAGCGGGTGAGTACCTGGGTATCCACCCCTTGTTGCTTCATCCTTAGCACCCTTACTGCCCTTAAGCCATCCTGGACCCATGTAGCCCCCCCAATCATGGCTGCTAATCACGATCCCGAGTGCCATGGCCATTGCTAATTCCATCGCTGCTGCTTCCGAGGCCCCATACCCTCCAGTACATCGTGATGACCACTGACCACCCTGGGCCTCCCCCCCCGGTCCGTTCATTTTGACGAGACTCGCTCCACCGCGTTCTATGTCCTACGTGCACCTACTACCTCACCACCTCACACACGCTCACACTCACACACCAAACAACCTTGCATCTCAAGCCACTCGTACCTCGCCCGTTCATTCCCGTCGATCCTTTTTGTAGTCTATCTTTTTCTTCTTATCCTCTCGCCGGTCTTCATATTGCTCTCGAGAGTCCACCCTCCTCCAGAGCCTGTCTGCCCTACCAGATCTCGACGACTGTTCAGCCCCCAACCTCGAACAGACCTCTCGACGAAACACGCACGCAACAGGGCGCAGCAACTTCATCGAACCTCCTACGTTCCTGGATCTCGTGTAATCTCGTCTTCTCAGAGCACGTTCGCCATTGAAACTTATGCACGACGCCTGACCGCGGTCGGCTTCCCTGAACCAGTTCGACGCGCATCTGGCCGGCTCCATGTCTTTGATTTGACCTCATTCTCTCTTGGTTCAACAGCCTGAGACGCTGTCCCCGCCGCAAATGTTTCGCAATCGGTCAGTCTTTGCCCTCCGATCTATGCCCGTTTCATCTTCACAGCCCTAGCCGACGCAGAAATCATACTGACGTGCAGGTCGCGTTATTAGGCGCAATACTCAGAAGCCTGATGAGGAGTTGTACGCGGCCTTCAAGCAGAACTTCCCCGAGGTAGGGCCTGGGTCGACCTCTTCAGCTCTGCAAGGGGAGGCCGGTGCTGCCCGCCGATCGTCAACTTTAAGCGAGGCTATCATAGATGAACCGTCGACATCTCAGCAGTATGTTTAGGATTTGTCTTACTTCAACCCACCAGTCCCTTCACTCGGCTGGCCCCAAGTCTTGCCCAACGTTGACCCAATGTCTCCCAATCTACTCCCTTCCGGGCATGGCGACGACCATGCCGACAATGCTGACTATTTCGCCAGAGCCTTTGAAGGCCAGCAGCCCGACGTGAAGGAGCAGGATGCCACTCCCAAACCCTTTTCTGACGCCTGGAGGTTTACTCCCTCTCTCATGGATCCCAACTCTTACGCCTTCTCCGCCTTTGCCAACCAACCTCCGGGATACTACACTCCCACCCCTGGCGGCTTTGGTACTCTCTATCACCCTCAAGCCGGCGACCTTCACACGCCCGGTATGGGAATGAACACCCCGCTGTCGCTACCGCACTCTGTTCACGGGCTACACGCCCAGGACCACTTGATGCATCTCCAGCACTTCAATCCCCATCTTCTGCATCAACCTCACCCCTTCCAGGATCCTTTCCATCCTCAGCAACCTCCTATCCATGTGCCGACCCAGCCACCACAGACGTTCGCTCCTCAGCAGTTCTTGCAGCATCAGGACTCTGGCTATGTCGCGATGGACGAGACTCCCCATAAGACGACCCCGACACAGGCCGAGATGGGCATTGAGCGACAGACCATGAATCAACCTATGCGACAGTCGATGTCTGGAAGCGTTGCCATGACCAGTCTACCTTTGGGGGAAAAGTGAGTATCGTCCAGCTTTGTCCAGGCACTCCCTAACATTGACGCCAGGTTTCGATTTCACACGACACTGAATGCTCCGACAGCGATGGTCCGTCATGCGGATGAAATCCCTATCACCTACCTGAACAAAGGCCAGGCTTACACCATGTCGATTTGGGATACCACTCCTCCCATTCCGCAGAACACTCCTCTCAAGTATCGTACTTACGTCCGAGTTTCCTTTGAAGACGAGCAGCAAAGAGCGCGACCTGGAGCATGTTGGCAGTTGTGGAAGGAGGGCCGCGGTTCGAACGAAGCCCATCAGCGGGGTGGGAGACTCCTGGCCGTGGAGTTCGTCGAACCAACCCTAAGTGGAGGCGAAGACGACTTGCGGAAATCCCAAATGCAACTCGAGAAAGCCTCATTTGATGGTTTCGCAGTCACCTGGTCTCCAAGTCCGGTCAACGGAAGTCCCGATTGCTCCATATCAATCCGTTTCAATTTCTTGTCGACAGATTTCAGCCATTCTAAAGGGGTCAAAGGCATACCAGTCCGACTGTGTGCCAAAACCGAGCTGCTCACCGCTCAGACAAGCGCCAGCAACGAGCCGGAGGTGTGCTATTCCAAGGTCAAGCTTTTCCGTGATCATGGTGCAGAGCGCAAACTGTCGAATGACGTTGCACATGTGAAGAAAACAATCGACAAGCTCAAACAGCAGATTGCTCAAGCCGAAGCAGGCTTGGGAGGCTCTGGAAAGAGGAGAAGAAGCAGCTCAATCGCAAAAGCCTCGGCGTCCAAACCTGGAAAAGTTGTCAAACACAAACGGACTTGGTCTGTTGACTCGGAAGCAGAGGGTGTCAAGTTCAACGCGGAAGAGGACCTTCAAATGAAGCTGGTCAGCATGCAAGATATGTTTTCTTCGACAAGACCCGTCAGCGTTTTGTTTTTGCGCGGTGACCCTGAAGATGATCCGGATATGCACCCTGTCAAGCTCCCCGGAGACGATCCTGAAGGCAAAGAAATTGTGCGGACCGGTACGTGGGAATCGAGACACAGTGCATCAGATTCCCCCACGTCAAATGCTGGTTCGCCATCTTCGAGCTCTGCTTCACAGAACACCCCAAAGAGAAAATTCTCCGACCTGCAACAGACTGCCATCCTGGAAGAGGGAGAAAGCGAGTACGACCATGATCCCGCTGGAGGCGCCTCCGCCTCAAGACCAGTGAAGATTCCAAAAACTGAGGCGGAATCTGTCGCTAAACCGGATCTTTTTGCTGTTGATGTAGATAGCAGCTATCGGCCTCCTGTGGAAAGGCCTATTCGGCCAGGTAGGTGTCTATGTCTATCACCAAAGTTCCAATCTAACTTGGTCACAGTTGCGTGCTTTTATGTGCGCCAGAAAGACGCAGCTAAAGACTACTACCGCGCCATATACTTGATGCAGCGCACCGTCAGAGACCTGATCAACAACATTGCGACAAAATTCCAGATCGACCCTCAGAGAATTACTCAGGTCACACATGTCAATTCTCGCGGGCTTCACATCATCGTAGACGAGGATGTTGTGAGAGAGCTCCCCGAGGGTCAAGATATGATTGTTGAATTCACATCGCTCGACACCGATCAACCGGTCAAACAAGAATTCATCGCGCCCGCAGCTACAGAGGTAATGGTCGACGGCGAGATGCCACCCGCGGAGTCTTTTATTTCAGACCCGTTGGAGATGTGGTTGAACTATTGAAGATATGTACACCAATCCAGGACCCCCGGAAATTGCATGAGATACCCCTGGCTTTCTTGATTCTATTTGTTTTCCATCACGAACACGACAAATGTTACGGCGGCAAATTTCAGAGGAAGGTTCGGACTTATCGTCGTCGAACGACCCTCTCAACTTTTATTGATACCCTTTTTAATGGCGACAGGCCATGTCCGAACTCCGGGCTTTGGACTACCGACACCTCTGGTTGAGAATTGTACTGTTTGGCAACAACGGAAGGAGGACAGTTTGCGGCCAATTTCTCCGACAAGGGATCTTTTTTGCGACCAAGATTTCTTTTCTTTTGCTTTTCTTTTTTACTTCAGTACAACGAAGGACGATTCGAACGAAGGGATGATATACGGGTCCCCGAGCGAGCTCCGACCATATTTTTCACGAGAAACATGACATTTCGAGATACCCACATTATTGGATTTTTCGTTTGTTGGAAACGATGATACCCAAGCGTGACTTCTACTAGAGGTTGGTATCAACACGATGTATCGACCAACTAATTGATTACACAATTCACCTTTGGACATGTCTCGATTCTATGCCGACAGGCAACTTTTCGCGTCCAATCTACGGCTTGAGATTCGACGAGTTACGGCGAAATCTTTCGCCAGCGCATACACAACATGGGGGTCTTCTTAGCTTTTGGGAAGCAAGGATTGAGGGGCGCTTGCCAGGGACGGTGGGGGATTGAAGGTTCCGAGAGACAAATCTAGTGGTTCTCGTTCTGCAGGAACGGTATCATATCGATTATTAGCAAGGGGAGACGCAGGAACCAATGAGACTCTTGAAACAAGGGCCGGGGCCTAACGCTTGCACGTTCCAGAGCCGAATCGAAGACCGGCAAAAGGTGGGGGAAGTGACGGCCGTCTGGACTGGCTCGGAGGTAGAGGCGAGTATCTGCCACGGGCAGTGGCAGTGTTTCAGGCAAGAGTGGCAGGAAGAACGGCGAGGTTGAGCGAAGCAAAGCATGGCTCCGAAGATAGAAATCAGCTGACTAGCCGATCTTTTGTTCGGCTAAGCCTTCGTGTCTGGATATCTGGTACTTGGAACATGCATGAGGCTAGTAGCCTCGCATGCGTGCTCTTCGCCAATGCAAATGCAGTTCTGACTGTCAACCGGCTCAAGCTAGAAGAGGCTCTGATCATCTAGACTCTGCCCAGTGAGTCAAGAATAGCTCGCTCGCTCGGTTCACGAGAGATGAGCGGGCCACGTCAGCCTCAGGCCATTCGAGGCGATTTCACACTTTCTGCCTCTTGGGTGCCTCTAGCGGGACAAGAGGCGGTTGGCCACGAGCGTGAGGCAGAGCAGCCGATCGTGACCTCAACGGCGGGACAGGGGGCCCACGGCACAAGAGAATGATCAGGAAAGCGTCGCAGCGGGCCAGCCGGATCAAGAGACCCAGGCCGGGCGGTCTTGGCTGCATCGGTCCATGGACAAACGTTCCGCTGGGATCGAAGATGTAGGTAGGTACTCGCTACCGATGTAGCCGCCGTGCGAGAAGTTGGAAGAGGGCCATCTTCACCGCTACCAACCTCCCGTCGACGAAAATGAAACGCGGTAGTGCCGACGAGCAACTCATGCTAAGGCAAAGGTACCTCGGTGATCGGCCTGCAGTGAGAATTCAGTGTTGAGGAGGGGAATGGGGAAATGACAAGTAGCATTTCCCCAGCCACCGTATTTTTCTGGGCCACGGGAGAGGTCGCCAGGACGGAACGAGAACCTTGTGTAAGGTTGGGAAGATTAGTGGCTGTGAGACACGCTGGCCTAAGCGAGCAAAGCTTTGTCCCAGAGCGTTGCATTGAGAGATAGCGTACCTTGTACTGAGAGTGAGCATGCATCTCGATGCTTGTCGATGATTGCCGGTACAGGCATGGAGTGATTGATGGAAGTATGCGAATGTGGATGTGGATGTGGATGTGGCGTTCAAATACGAGGTACAGCTGGTGGTATGACGTCAGTAGCCCATGAGTGCACCTCCACATGTGCTGTGCCACAGTCACGTGAAATCACGTGCTCATGCGCCACGATATGCTGTCTATCTCAACTTCTCTTGTCGCGACTCTCTTGTTGTTCTGCTTACAAGCCCTGCGAGATAGCTCTTTCAGTGCCATAGTCACTATACCAGATCCTGTAGGCCCCAACATGGTCACAGTCACCTTCATGACACCCGCATCATGGTGTAATGGCCACAGCTTTGTCCATCGTCGACCACCTTGACAATGCTACCTCCCTTTGTTGAGTCTTCTTGTCCACAAGTCTTTATTTCTCGCATAGGTGTATTCTGAATCTGTCATTGTTTGCTCTCCTCTCTGGAGGAGCCCTGGATAATGCCGTTTCATTCAGTTAATATGTTCTTTGAAGCTGTATTCACTCAAGGTCTGGTCAATAGATCGATTGCCATCATGACAGTGTCATCCCTATTCACTCTCACAATTCTGCCACACCCACCGCAAATGTACATTCACTCGCCCATCACAGAAGACAAACTCTCATTTCGTCACCACCTTCCTCAGTGCTCCACCGTTCCATCGCTGTCGACAACGTCCATCATCTCTCCGGCGAAGCAAAATGGCAAACCACTACTCCGTGCTGGGTGTCTCCCCTGACGCTACTCACCAGCAGATCAAAGCAGCATACAACAAACTAGTCCTTCAACACCACCCTGACAAAGGAGGATCGCAGGCCGAGTTTATCCAAATCCAGACAGCATGGGAAGTTCTCAGAGATCCTGCCGCTCGCGCAAACTATGACCGACAATGCCGCAGCAGAGCCGGCGAGAACGCGCAGAGGCCTCGACACCACGGGCAACATCAGAGAGCCTCAGGAGCTCAGTTTCCACGCGACCAACCCAACAGCGGCCGCTATCACCACGACTCAATGCCGGGTGGTTATTACTCTGATGCAGGATCTGGCTCTAGGAGAGGACCCAGCTTCAATTCTTGGAACGGCTTTCGTGAGTCCTCGGCAGGTTCCGCCTACAACAGCTACTACGGCTCGTCTGCTGGTGCAGCAAGTGACAGAGACAGAAATCCGAGGGCTTCGAGTACACCAGAGCCAGAAGACAACTCACGTCACCAGCCTCGCAATGCGCAAACAAATAACCAGGATTTCCACTCGCGATCAAGACGCCGTGACCACACCGATTCTCCTCCTTACAGTCCGCAGTCCTCGTCTCCGCCACCCACGATGCCGACCGAACTCGATCTGAAGGCCGTCAAAGCCCTTGCCGTAGAGGCGTCACGGAACCTCGAACGCTACAAACATCTCATCTCCACGCTGCGCTCGTCTACCAGGAGTCGTCCGCTCTTGCAAGAAACCCAAATTAAACTTGAACATGTCCACCTCCTCCTGCAGACTCGGGAGTTGAAATTGAAGCAAAGAGTCACCGAGATCAAAATGTACAACATCAACGTACAAAACAAGACTCCACCAGAGAAGTTGGAGCCCTTCTTTGTGTCTCTGTGGGAGACCATCCTCAAGGAGGACAAGGAGGCGGTGACCGACGTGAACTCGTCGGCATCAAGAGTCATGAGGGATGCAAGCCAATGGCTGCGAAGAAGGGAGGTGCTGGAGGCACGTGGCCTTGAGTTCACTGAAGATGATAGACTCGCCCGAGACTTGAAAGACAGCACGGAGGCGTTGGAGCGACTCTTGACCAAGGTGCTCCTCTCGGCGCCAGGGGCTGCGCCACCTCGGTCCTACTGAGGCTGCGTACCCCTGGTAGACCAAGAGGGAGTTTGTACAAAGGTCGTTTGCGCTGGTTGGCAGTCCGGCGTTTTCCGTATGCAACGGTGGAGCAAATGAGAGCTGAATGAAAGAACAGGAATATTCACACGCACGGTCCCTCCCAGCTCGACTGGACGTCCGCTTCTCACGCAAACGCATAGTGACTGTCTTCCACTCGCGGTGAATGGACTGATGCGATGTCGACAGAACCCGTCCAAAGCATAACCCCGGTCCAAAGGAGGTCGAGAACAAGTCGGCCCCGCCATGGACAAGTGATCGACATACATGCATATGCTTCTGGTGTGGCTGTGCAGAACAAGTCTAGAGACCCCTACTGCACTCCATACCGCGTCTACCCGCCCACAGACGCATATTCGATACGGATATGAACATGGTCCTGCCAGTGATATGCCTGCCCACTCCCCCTCTTCCCACCCCCCTTGCCATTCCAGTGCCAGGGAGAAAAAGGTACACGGTTCTTTTGCACACGAACTCTGCAGGCAACAGACCAGCACTAACTATGCAGGGTCCGACGCTGTCAGAAGCTTCCCTCCATTATGCTGCCTGGGCCCTTGGACCCCCTGCCCTCTCCCTTGTGGTGCTGCTGAAAAAGAGAAGCCTTTACCCCCGATTCGTTCTGAACTAGCCCAAGAACACATTTACGTTCCCCGTTGTGGCAATACCCCTTGAAAGAGAGAAGAATGTCTAATCTTAGAAATCCCATGCACCCATATAGAGTTTGCGGAATCGTACCGAGTATATGATTTGATATGCAGAAAATCTGAGTCTACAGTTACCGAGTCCATCCTAGCTCTTAGGCGGAGGTTTGTTCCGCCAGAATGGATACACTACCATACATACCCTTCTATCCAGATGTATACCCACACAGTTGACACACCCACACCCGTATTCACAGACTAAAACTTACCTCTCCCCTCTGTTGTCGCCACTTTGAATCTGCTGTTCCTCGTGAGGTAAGAAAAGGCGAAGGGAATACGAGCCCGCGGCCTTTTCTTCCGAACAATTGTTTTCGTGGACCCCGACGAGAGCAACAGAATCTATCTAAACTTCCCCTTCCCCACAAGGCTCTATTCACGGTGGCGAATTCTTTTGAATTTGGGTCTTTTTTTCCCCTCTAAATTTTTATTTTTGGACATTCAACGACAATCTTCAATGGAGGCCACCGCTAGCCGACCGGTTCGAGATCCCTTACTCTGTCTTGTACTTGCCTTGCCTGGCGAACCCTCTCCGCCAACGAGGGACGTGTGATACGTTTGATACGTTGATACAATGTTCTCCGCACGTCTAAACACCCCCTCATTGACAATTCTTCCTTCTCCCAACGCTAGCTAAGGGGTCCAGTGTGGACGGACGCGCGGTCGAAGAATCATCGCCACTTTTGGTAGGTCGCCGGTCACCGGAACTGCCCTGCTCGGTTGGACTTGACGACGGAGACTGTATGTTAGAGATCGGCAATGGGGAGGGAGCGAAGATAGGGTCTGTCGGACCAAGAAGCCGGAGGAGGGGGAGTGGTGGAGAGGGAAAGGTGGGG